ACACACAATATGTATGAAGGGAAAGGGTAACTCTTGCCCAACACTACAGGGGGCGGAGGACACTTCGGAACGGACTGGATGATGATTTAGATATGAGCGTAGGTGTAGGATGAGGTAGATTAAGATTTTCACCGCTGATCGAGTCGCTTGACTATGGGTTGTACGAGCGACATGTGGCAGGTAAACGGCCGTTTGGATGGGAACCTGCATGTGTGGAAGTAGACTTGTGTCGACGGAGACGTTATCAGGAGTCGTTAGCAAGGTAAGCTCGACGGACTAGAGCTTCTCAGTGACGGGGTCACATAGGACACTACCACCTAGAAAGCACTAACCAACCGGTATGCTAGTAGGTCCGTGGGTGGGCGGCAGTATACAGGTAAGCGACAGACAGGTGGCGAGAAGTTTCTCTTGCAGCAGGTCAGCGCTGCCCTAGTTGACACATCTACAAAAGTTCCAGTGTCGCGATCCTGAAAATCTTGCTTGCAAGGTCATACTTCTCCACCCCAGGAAGTGAAACTTGGGGAGAACTGGGGTACGTAGTCAGTACATTTACAGTGTGGACGTGATGATGTCAATTCTGGGGTCCAGAATGAGCTCTTGCTATGGCGTCAAGTAGAGACACAGGCTTTGTCTGTTGTTTTATAATAGATATCGGTCGTGCATGTGTGGCCCCTCGAAGATACTTACAGACTCTGCGAGTTCGGGTCTCAGGGACTATACTTTAAGGTAAGTAATGCCTGGCACAGTGACTGTGTGGAGACATTGCCCCGCGCCAGCGTGATGAATCAGTGCTTCCCAGTGATTGAGCCATTCGACACAGCCACATGGAGAGCATCAACCAACCAGCAAAAATAAAGCGGCGTGGTGTGATAAAAAGAAACATCTGCTTCGTTGATTCCTGACGAGTCCGAGACCCTCCCTCAAGTTATGCCCTAGAGCAGCTCGTCGCTATGGACAGATCATGCTTTGATGCGTATGAATTAGCAACAAAAACATCAGGGGGTAGCAGACGCGGGTGGAGCTCACCTGGATAGGCCATGATTACTGTTCTCCTCTTTGAAAGTGATTCCAGTGGATCTTCTGATTCTGCTCGCTAGATCTCAACATGCTGAAAGCACAGATCATGGGTTCGAAAAGGTGCGTACCTTGATAGCACAACATCACGAGCAGGAAACCAACAGCAGGAGACGACCAGGCGATTACCGATGTCCTGCTGGTCCCTCAAATGGAATGGCGAAGGTCCTATAATGATCGGGCTTCTTTATGTCCTGGAGAAGCATGAAACTTTATAATGTGGAATGAAATATGAGCAGAGTGGAAAAGAGATGTGGTTCAATGCAGTCGGAGGCTCGGAGCTGACTACGCTGCATGAGGTACCAGACACGTGTTCTTTCAATCACGGTAAGGTCATCGAATTTGCCCACGCTATTTAACTTGTCCTCTATCCGAGTCCATGGCCATTATTTTATGTTTTTGACAGTTATCTGCTGTCCAGCTGAGATACAAGTGAATGAGCTTTGCTGTTGAAGTTTCAGTACTCAGTACTCAGTGCTGACTCGATCGAATGTTCAGCATTTTAAGCGAGGAAGACGCTACAGTGCGATGGTCAGCGTACTTATGGATACCGCATATCGTTTGGCCTGCCAGTGCGTTTATGAAACAAGTGCGTTATCCATACATGTGCCTTGGCATGTTTCTCAGGCTTGACTTATCTGTCTGCTAGTTTTTAGACATATGCAAGTCACAACGTTCTCGCATGCTACGACTTATTCATGAGATATGTGGCCAACCTTGAGGCTGCACCGATTTCCACGGACTTCATGCTACTTATCTCCGCATGTCGGAATCAGCTCTCTGCAGCGTTTTTTTAAATCAACGGCTGCAATGTTCCCCGCAAATTCTGCCGTCAGTTGCAAGAGTCCTGATGACAATAGTACAGATACTACCGAGCTGGGTTACCCAACCACCACGACGCAGAGGATAGTATATCTTCTTACTCAGCATCCGTGCCCTCACTCGTACTTTCTGTGTCGCTATTTCGATATCTATCGGGAGAAATGAGCAGCTGAGCAACCCTTTTCGTATCGCCGACTTCACACTACCCTGAGCCTCCCGTTCTTAGACTAGTAGATTCTCACTCTCCGTTAGAGGCTCGAAGCAGAGTAATTCGAGCTGTGCCAGTCTGCATATGCAACCGCTGTCTTGCATGATCGGACCCATTCCACTCGCGTACCTGGCGCACAACATCTTGATAGTTTCATCAAGAGCCGCTTCATGGCGGTACTGATGAAGGTCGGTGTCGACTGGAACAATCCGAGCAACAATACCAGGCAGACGCCTTGCTGGCATGGGAACGGCCCGCGGGTACTACGAGATCTTGTTTGGCTATCGTTATCATAAGTTGAGTACCTCTGTCAACTATGGATTGTCTTTGGTACTGAGATGGTCGTATTTTTTTTTTTGATGCCACACCAAAGACTTCTGACATATCTATTGTTGACATCAGGCAGTATCATGTGAATCACTACACCTGAGATGGAGAAATCAGATCCCTGCCTCGTATAACCGCCGATCGCGATTTTGGGAGTCAATCAACCTTCTTGTCGGGAGGGGAAGACTATCAAGACGTGGTCTGAGGAGGTATGAGTCGTTATCATGTGTGTAGGCGGGCAAATCAGTGAACACCGGAAACATGCATTAGCCGCTGCTCGGATCCAGGGCATACATCATGTGTGGCGTCTCATTAACACCGTGGATATTACAGGGCCTGGCGTTTATGAAGAAAGGCAGTGATGATGGAAAAGAGACGTGAGATCCAAACTGTGGACGAGCGCCTATGTGAGTGGGTTATAAGGAGAAGATATGCACTACTCGCCACATGCTACAACATCTACAATCATGATGCAACTCGAACGATATCCCCAATGTACGTTCCTCATCAACTTGAAATGCTACTGACCGCCTACCACTCTTTCTAGGTCAACACGACATGTCACAGGCGCAGATAATGCGAGGGCAGCCAGGGCCAACGCGTACGATGCGACGACACACTGGGACCAGATCAGTGAATACAGTCGCATTCTTCAATATCTGGGACGTCAAGAGCAGGCGGAGAGTATTGCGTCCGCTAGTGAAGCGTACATACTGTGCGAACTCGGTATTCTTCTCTCCCGATGTCAAGAGACCAGTTGTCGTATGGAATGCGGAGATTAAGACTGCCAGTGTTCATAGTACACTCAACAGGTTTATACCTTTCTTCGTTGTTCAGTATCGCAGATTGCCTAAAATAATCTCCAGATCACAGGATCATGCCATCCGGGTTTGGTCGCCCAGTGATGCCCAGCAACTTGTCACCGCGTCTGCCAACTACACAGCCAAGTTCTGGGACTCATCCAACGGAGAGCATCCCTCAGAATCTGATGAACCTGACGAAGCCTCAGAGTCCGACGAAGACGAGGATGCTTATGAAGACGAAGACCCTTATGGGGACGAAGGCTCTCAGTCCGGGGGCAACGACTCTTATGGGGGCGAAGGCTCTCAGTCCGGGGGCGATGACCCTTATGGGGGCGGAGACTCTCAGTCCGGGGGCGATGACCCTTATGGGGGCGGAGACTCTCAGTCCGGGGGTGAAGACCCTTATGGGGGCGACGACTCGCAGTCTGGGAGCGAAGACCCTGACGAAGGCGGAGATGATGATGACCAAGACAATGACCAAGACAGTGACCAAGACAGTGACCAAGACAACGACCAAGACAGTGACCAAGACAGTGACCAAGACAATGACCAAGACAGTGACCAAGACGACGACCAAGACAGTGACCAAGACCAAGATGATGGTGACGAGGACCAAGACCAAGACCAAGATGAAGACGAAGTCGAAGACAGCGATGAAGCCCCATACGCTGATGAGGCCTATGACTCGGAGGCAAATGAAGTTGACAATACTTCAGATATCAATGATTATGAAGACGAAGATGCTGGTGAAGATGAAGACGCTGATGAAGACCCAGAAGTCGACGAAGCCTCAGAAGTCGATGAAGCCTCAGAAGCCGATGAAGCCGATGAAGCCGATGAAGCCTCAGATGCTTCTGAAGCCATAGACGCTGATGAAGCCAACGCAACCTCAGAAGCCAGCAAGTCTTCAGATGCAGAAGGAGCCTTATATTCCGACGAAGCTTCAGATGCTCAAGGAGCCTTATATTCCGACGAAGCTTCAGATGCCGACAGAGCCTTATATTCCGGCGAAGCTTCAGACGCCGAAGCCCCATACATTGACGACTCCTACGAGCCCAATGAAGCTCGCGAAGCCTTGGATGTCGACGAAAACTCTCCCAGTGGCGGTGATGATGACTTATATGGCAGTGACCATAACTCTGTCGACAGGTATGAGTATGGTGTCGACAGTTACGAGTACGGTGTCGATGGGTACGAGTACCCTGTCGACCTTCCAAGATGCAGGTACACCCGTGCTTCACCCGACGAGTCTAGCATTTACAATGGACAACCATCATATAATGTGCGCCTTTGTATTCAGTGTGTCTACTTGATACAAACTTGAGCTTCCTTTGATGCAGATCTTCTCAACTGTCTTCAATTCGCGTAATACTGAACTACTGACACAAGAGATCAATGAAGATGGCGATGCCGATTCTTATTCAAGGCGCCAAGCACGAAACTGAGAATTGCCCAACAAACATAGCAGCAGGAACGACCCCCTTCCGAGGAGCCAATCACCAAACCGCCCAGGGCCCAGCAAACATAGCAAGAACAACGATCTCCATCACAGACATCATCCACCAAACTACCTACCACCCAGGGAAGATGGTAGCAAAGATGATCCCCATTCCAGGCGCCAACCACCAAACCACCTACTACCCAAGAATGATAGCAACAATAAAGATTCTCATCACAGGCGCCAACCCAAGAAAGACAGAAATAACAACGAAACTTCTCATCACAGGCACCAACCACAAAACCACCCAGAGCCTGATCCCCATCCCATGTCCCAACCATGCAACCATCCACCGCCCAAGAAAGATAGGAATAACAATGATCCCTATCCCAAGCACCAAGCACCGAACCACTCTCGGCCCAGCGATCCCTATCCCAGGCACCAACCACCAAACCACCCAGGGCCCAAGAAAATCGGCAACAACAATTCCCATCCCAGGCACCAACTTGAACCACCAAGCCGCCCGGGGCACAACGGTCCCCCTCCTGTGCCCCAACCACGCAATCGCCCCAAGAAGGATGGGAACAACAACAATCCCCGTCCCAGGCGCCAACCACCAAGCCACCCAGAGCCCAACGATCTCCCTCCTGTGCCACCCAAGAAAGATGGGAATAGCAACAATCCCCGTCCCAGGCGCCAACCACCAAGCCACCCAGGACCCAACAATCCCCCTCCCATGCCACCCAAGAAAGATGCGAACAACAATGGTCCTCATCCCAGGCGCCAACCACCAAGTTACCCAGAGCCCAACAATCTCCCTCCCGTGCCACCCAAGAAAGATGGGAATAATGACAATCCCCATCCCAGGCGCCAACCACCAAGCCACCCAGGGCCCAAGGATCCCCCTCCCATACCCCAAACACACAATCATCCGCCACCCAAGAAAGATGAGAACAACGACAATCCCCATCCCAGGCACCAACTACCAAACCGTCCACCGCCCAACTCTGAACCCGGGAAGAACCACAAGAACCACACCCGCGAGTTCCATTCTAGCATCACTGTTACATGGAATGGACAGAAAAGTAGGGGATTCACCTATCATTTGACAGCACATATTCACTACTACCTTTGCAGGACATATAGTCAGATCTCCAGACAGGCGACTACACTGTCCGTGCAGACGAGACGACCATCATCGTTACAACTATCACCAGTTTAAGAAAATATTAGAACAACCCATTCACCCTAAAGACGGAGCACTGGACTACGCTGATGATAAATATGATGGTCCCATTCATGACGAAGGCAACATAGCCAACGGACAATAATTGTATGACGTCAGGGTGAGCTTTTGCCATTGATGTGTCTACTTTTCATGCGATGCGAGCTTCCTTCATACAGATCCAAGTTTTCCCAACTGTCTGGGATGCATCTGTTTCTGGGGACCTGCATACCGCTGAAGAGCTGCTGACCCAAGAGATCAAGAAAGATGGCAACAACGACGATTCCTATGCCATTCACTCGGTTGTCAGAGCACGGAATTCCGAATGGTACAGTGCGCTTCAAGACACAGTAAAGGTCAGACACTTTGCCCATCATTACTACGCTGTTCACGACAGCTATGTTGCATAGTCAACTTCCATGCAGCCCTCATTTTGGGGATATATTTCTAAGGGCATTGCCCTCTGCGGCAACGAGCAGCTCTGGGACGCAATGGAAGCTTTCGACCTCGCTATCACATTTTCAGATCATGATCCAATGACCATTGATCTTTTACTGTTGATCAAGGTACTCTTGTTAGTTTCATAGTCTGTTTGTCATACTAATATTTCGGCATGGGTTTGTTTAGGTTGTTGTACTTTTCAATGCTGGTCGCCATAATGAGGCATTCCGGCGAGTTCAACGTCTCGCCATCGCTGACCAACACTTGCGTGCACTTCCATGCAGCATGGTCGATGTAAGCATTATGTCAGACCTGAAGAGTTTTCTTACTTATTCTGAAATACACTCCTCAGTCATATCTACGTGTGCAGCTTGCATTTATTACTTTCCAGAACGGGCAGTACAGCGAAGCCGCTGATGCACTCACTGCCAATATTCCTACCATAACCAGCTTGTTCTCGCCTACAACATTGTTGGAACCTAGATGGAAGATTTTCATGCTGGTATGTCCTTACAAAGCCATCGAGGACAGTTCCACTTATGGATGATGTACACCGAACAGCTCTTTGGCTGGGATCTTGACTCCTTATGGCGAACTGTCAACCAACGACAATGTGATGCGTTCCTTGAGGCCGATCGGGTGATCGAAGCAGCCAAATCTTTTCAGGATATGATGAGCATGATTGATGACAACGCAAAGAGCGGCTACATCGAATGGTCTACCAGTGAGCATGCTATCATCTCTGACAGCTTGAACACCGAGACTGATTCTAGTGTTGATAAGCCTTCAAGAAAAAATGCACTGCCAAATGTGTCGCAAAGGGAGATGAGGCCATTGCTGCGAGCAATTATGAGATGGCTGTTGAACTGTTTTCGGCTGCAATAAGGCTGGATTCCTCACACAACTCCTTTTTTGCACGCCGCAGTACGGCCTTTTTTGCACGAAAACATTATTCGGATGCCCTTGCTGATGCTAACACGGTGCAGACAATACCCATCACGTTTTCTCTTAATTGTGCTGATTACACCAACACAGGTCATCAAACTCAACCCTTCTTCTCATCATGGGTCCGAACTGAAGGATGCAGCACTTCGTGGTGCACAACACTCAGATAATAAAGCAAACGAGACTTTCGAAAGCATGCTCTCCAAGTTAAAACTTACAGATGCTCCCGACTCGAAGATGCAAGGTAAGTCCGGAGTAACTTGTGCATCACCATCCAATCAACTCTTTCTCCAGCGCTGCATCTGCAGTATACTGAAGCAGAAAGCACTATCAAAGGGGTCATTGATGCTCATCTGGAAAAAGCACCGCTTCGTCTACTCAACACGTCCACTGGGCTTTTATGCAATCAAGAGGCACAGATAAATGCTTTCATGGAAAGCACAGAGTACAATGAGCTTTTGTATTCATCAATGACGCATGTGCCCCTCCAAATGAAGCCCATCAAGAAATTGGTCGCGAAGTACTTCAGTTGGGTCATGTTATCTCATAGGTGGGATAAAGAGGAGCCAGCGCTGCACCACATCCAGGACAAGGATGTGTACAAGTTGAAGGGAGTTGCCAGCATAGAGAAGCTGCAGAAGTTCTGCAAAAAGGCTCGTGGTATGGAGTATCGTTGGGCGTGGAGCGATACATGCTGTATCAACCAGAAGAACACTGCCGAGGTCCAACGATCAGTCAACTCCATGTTTGTCTGGTATCGCCAATCAGCTCTTACGATCATTTACTTGTCAGATGTCCCAAGGATGGACTGTTCAGGAATTCCTGACTCCTAAGATCATTCTCTTCTACCACAAAGATTGGTCCTTGTATCTCTATGACCACTCTCCCAACCACAAGAAGTCTTCCACTATCATGCAGGAGTTGGAATGTTCAACAGGCATAAATGCACATGCACTTGTCACCTTCAATCCCGAGATGAAAGGTGCCCGAGAGAAACTCCGATGGGCGTCGCACCGGGTCACTACAGTGCCAGAAGACATCGCATACTCATTGTTCGGTATTTTCGGCGTCCAACTACCTGTACTCTATGGCGAGATGAAGCAAAGCGCGCTCGGCCGGCTCTTGCAGGAAATCATCGCTCGGTCGGGCGACATTACTGCCCTAGACTGGGTCGGAAAATCATCCGACTTCAACAGCTGTCTCCCAGCTGAAATTACCTCGTACACAGCTCCACCATGCACACTGACATCTCTATCCATGAAGGAGATGCAGAAATATGTCGCTAGGCTGGACACTACTGTGGATGTGGAGACAGCTTTGAGACTCTATACCCTTGTTGACAGCCTCAGTGCCCCTCGTTTTGCGAACTCTAGACTGCATCTGCCTTGCATAACATTTGCTATCACGGAAGTCAAAAAGAAGCGCGGCGAAGACAAGGAGACACATTTCACATACAAGGTCACAACAGACGGGCTTCAAGACCTATCAATCATCACAGAAGACAAGCTGGTTCAGTTCTCGCCCACACGGCCCACTCCACGGGCATTCTTGCTCGTCTGTCCGTGGAATCGTCATGATTTTGGGCTGCCCAACTTTGCAAATAGTGCAAAGGGCGTGAAAGAAAATGAATCTGATGGTTTGGACTCCTGTTCGCGAGCATTGAAGCTGATCGTTCGCCTGGGACAGCCTTTTAGCGCACTTTTACTGGCGCAGCAGCGTAGTTCGGAGTACAAGCGAATCACGTCGGACTACAATATTACCGCAGAAGTCAAGAGCATAACTGCTGTTCATGACATGATGGGCGTTAAGATGCTAGAAGTATTGTAGCCGTATTGTTGTTGAAGAAGCGGGAGCTTTGATTTGTTTTTATTCATGCTTTTACCTATATGAACACTTTTCACTGTAGGCCTTGGCATTTGTATGATATCATATGCTGAAATACCACAGGATGCAGCTCGGTCACAATCCTGAAAAATCCTTATCGAGATTCAATCTGCCCCTTCTATGATGTTCCAAGTGGCAGGACGTACAGTAAAGCGAGTGACAGCACATGTCGAAGATCTGGTTCAAACAGACCGATTACAAATCCGTCAAAGTGCGGAAGTCTCGAATGACTCTCATTGATAAGGTTGAGGTGTTCGTTATTTCTCAACCAAACAATATTGCATGAAGGACCCAGTGAAGCATGGACATCTTTGAGTTGGGTTGCCAGGGCTGATTGTGAAATACATCGACACGATCTAGATGATTAAAAAGGCTTGATTTAGAATACAGACCGCCACAGCAAAGTCATTGAGACTCAATATACATACTTACATTACCCGTGTTTGTCGCTCTACTGGTCAATGATCAATGGGGGAAGTAAAATATAAATGCGCAGAACTTACCAGCCCTAGCTCGAACGTCTCACCAAGGCCAGCATGATATGGTTGGCGCTTCTCAATGATGGAGCTGTTCGATACCACCATACGAGAAGCACCAACCATCAAGCACAACGTATGCACAGCACGATAAAACACATACTTCTCGATTGGTCATGATGTCATCTGCAGACTCTTGCCTCGTAGTCCTCGAGTTCAGCTGAAAGATCGGAACAGGAGTTCGAGTGATATCGTAAAGATTATCAACCCTGCGATTCACAGCAACACCACCCCTAGGTCACAGCCTGCGACCGTTGATGGTACCATGCTTCTGGAACGAATGTGAGTCAGTGGTTGCGCCGAGTGGATCTGAGCAAGATAAATCTGCCTGTATAGACACTTTGGGATACGCAATGCCATACCTGAGGCGAGCACGATTCCTTGATAACGATCAGAGCGAAAGAGTGAAATCTTGTGGTTGGGAAGAAAAAATAAGATGGATTATAAGTGCATCGATGAATGCATATGTAAGTAGATGTTGCCCAACGCCAACTTAATGTGTGAGGACGTTTTAGTGATACATCACTGCGCGGAATGCACCAGCCGACCAACATAATAATATGCGTACCTTGGTTCCAAAGAAAATAAAATCAATTTCTGCAACCCACCGCTACGCTACTCCACTAAGCAAGAGGAGCAATCATGCGGAGTTGACATTATTGCAGGGATCAGAATATTGACTGTGACTACTGAGATAATGATGGTGGCGGTGCAAAGGTGAAGATGATACAGAACCGTAATCGGTAGATCTCGGAGGGTGCACCTTGGAGATGTGGTGATAAGAAGTCATTACATGATCCCTTCATCATGATCATCATATCCATAGACAGACGAGGTGTCTGAATCACCCTTGTGGGCTGAAGCTGCAATGTTATACTTCTGAAGAAGACGTCAAAGAAAGAGCCAGTGACGTCTTAGTAAACACAGAAGGCATGCATTGATTGCTGTTGTTTGTGATCATTCCTTTTCTTAAGCTTATTAGTAAGGTCTCCATGTGAGACTTTGACGAGTGTCCAATGATCCTGCATCCCGTCTGTGCACCTGTTCGTGTCAAATTTATGCATGAATCCTTACAACTGTTACACTACTTTGATGCAACAATGCTACAGTCCTAACACATGTGTGATGCGTGCCCCCTCCAGTGATGTGATGCATCCCTCCCTTCAATTAATGCATCCCCCTGCTGCTAATTAATGCATCCCCTCCCTTCAATTGATGCATCCCTCTGCTTCTTAATGATGCATCTCCCGCCCCTCGTTGATGCATCCATCCCACCCTACATTGATGCATCCCTCCCGCCCTGCATTGATGCATCCCTCCCGCCCTGCATTGATGCATCCCTCCCGCCCTGCATTGATGCATGCATGCATGCATCCCTCCCACTCTTAGTTGATGCATCCTCCCGCCCGTCGTTGATGCATCCTCCCGCCCGTCGTTGATGCATCCCTCCCGCTCTTTGTTGATGCATCCCTCCCGCCCATCGTTGATGCATCCCTCCCGCTCTTTGTATCCTCCCGCCCCTTCAACGGATACATTGTATATTCAATTGCGTAGCTACGATACTGTACATTACACATGCCAAATGGATATAAACTTGTTAGGAAAGTCTCAGACTGAGAGAATTCAAATCAGTGTGGAGTGGTCTATGAATGCGCATGTGTCTTCCCAACTGGAACGACATGCGACTGATAGTGCACGACGCAAAGCTGCTTGGCGCCGAGCATATGCGATCTTGCCTTCTCTTTCTGCAGGACCCTCGGACCAGCTCTGATTCGCGCGCTCGTCCCAAGACGTGGCTTGCCAGTCGAAGAATTGTAAGATCCTCCGCATCTCCTCCTGTAACAACTCAACCTCCTCCTTCCGCTGCATTACATGTGCCCTGGCTTTGCACCACTCTATTTTCATGTCTGGAAGATGTGCGCTGAAGTGAGATGGGGTGGGGTAACAAGACCGTAAGTGCACATACCTTCCATAGATCCATCATTGCACAACTCATCTCCATGTGCGCCCCGCATATTCCAAATCCAAGACAACTTACGCCTTCCCTCAGTCTGGCCCCACAGAAGATCTGACATTCCCTGGATATCTTCACAATTGAGCGGGCGCAGAGAGGACTGCCAGCCTGTCTCCTTGACGAGGGGAGTGAGGACTACCAGCGCCTTGCGTGCATCCTGATATCGGCTTGATGCTGCCTCTATCCTTCCATTGATCCCTTTGAGCGTGTTACGTGCTCTGGTGTTAGCACCTTGACCACGGAGGTTCCGGTCCTTGTACTTTAGGACAGCAGTTTGCGCACGGAGATTAGAGCGGAGGGAGCGGAGGGTATCGCGGGCTTCTCCATATCGAAGTTTCCACTCAATGGTCTGGAATTTGAGGTCATAAGTAGTGGTTCCACCGACATGAGAAGGAAGCAAAAGCTGGAAAGATTCGGGTGTGATGACATCATTGGACTTGTCTCGTCGTAGGGCTGCGACCATTGGGATGTACAATTCTTGAACTTTGACCCAAGCCTCGATCCGGCACTGAAGACTGTTACTGTGTTGAAGAAGCTTTCCTACTTGGGTATCTGTGGCATGAATGCCCAGACCCGCCTTGTCAGCTGCAAGACGTCGTCTGAAGCATTTAATTAGTAAATATTCATTCAGCCGAATATTGATATCACTTACTGTTGTTCTTCGAGTTCGAGTCCACTGCTAATCAGCATACTAGGTGAACAATCTTCATGCAGCGCACGGGAGCCATCAGATTCTATGTCCGATGCCTCCTCTTTTGCGAGTTCGAGATGCACGGAGGCAAGGGTGATACCTGTGTGATGTGACATTAGATACTACGCACAAATAACATGGTACTCACGTTCCACGCTTCGTTCATATGGGTTTGGCTGGGAGGGATCCTGCTCCCATGCCTCGACCTCCTCTTTCCACCTGCTCAACGCTTCCGAGTATTCTTCTTTCAGCCCTTCCTCGAGATCGTCCAAAGCCACTTCATGTTCCGATAATTCAGGCAGGGCATCCTTCAGTTTGCGCAACATCGTGTGACCTATTCATGCATTAGTGATGCATCAGTATGCAGCGCCTCTTGGTGTAAAAAATTAAAAAATAACTTACGTAGATTAGTAATCTTCCTCCAATTCCAATCCCCAAAGAAATCGTCCAGTGTGTCCCGTCTCGCGCCTGGGCCCATTTCTTTGGTGCTCAATGCTATGGGGTTGATATTCGCCTACCCCCGCTCAGGGGCTTCTCCGTCCATCCGTCCAATGCCGGGCGTAAAATTAAAAGAAAATGTCGTTTGACACTGTTGAACATGAGCCGGAAGATGGAATTTGGGTACAAAGAATGTGATTTTCTTCTTGTTGTGGTTCAGCTGCATGGAAGGGGGAAACGACATCATGCGGTGCCATAGATTCTTATTCCACTGGCAAGCGATGTCGTACGAGATGTTGAGTATATCGACAGTTGTATGCCGAAGGGCCGAGAAAAACAAATAATCCATATTGATGTACCTAGATATAGTTAATTTGATGCGTCCGAGTCTGAAGCATAATAAACTTACTTTTCTCCTTTCTGGAGGTCCCCAACTGCCGTCGGTAACTTCATATTGTGGCGGGCGCAGTCAATGGTTCCGAGCCCTGTAGCTGCCAGGCCACGATTTGATTTAGTATCCGCCATGTTTACAGCATTGTGGCTCGAGCAGGTGGACTTCTGTTTAATAGGGTATCAGTATAGAAAATAACGATGGCCACAAATAGGCCATACAACCAGCTTTTGTCAGGAGGGGCCTCTCTCCAGTTGGACAGTAGGTTCTTCCCAGGCTGTGGGCAGGCTGGACATATAACAGCGCATGCACCCTCCGTCGTCGCTTTAATGCCGTTGTGATCATGCGCTCTCCCAGATCACTTGAGCATTTTGAGGTGACACCATTCGTGTACCATTCTCAAGAATGAGTCATATCAATCCTAAAGGGAAATAAGTCAATGTCCCAACAAAGCGTTAGGATAGGAATAGGACCCACTTTGATAGGATTGATCCTTGTGTTATCAGACCTTCGCATTAGGGCGTAATAAAACTGATAGCCCGATACTTTTGATTCCAAAGACAAGAGGTGAAATTCTTCTAACAGACAAAACGTAGCAGCCGTTTTGGGGACCGCAGTAGTTGCAGGGAACAGTGACATGCGCAGCAGTTGTTGTACGTGGGTTGTTGCCAGAGCGCAGTCACAAAAATCCAACAATACTTCGTGCACGCCATGAGAATCTATAATGATGAAGTCATCATTGAACGCGCGACACGGTTTGGGACAGGTATGGCCTAGTGCATGACCGAGCTGAATCCGGAGACCAAGGCTCTTCAGGCTTGCAAATTCGAAATATTCACCATTCCATTTCTGTAGTATGTCTAGTTAGTTTGTACCCTTCATTATTGAGCAATTGGCACCTACCTGCAACCGGTGTAGTGGGTGATCCTTGTGCGCCATCACCGTGCAAGAGGAACAATGGAGTTCAGTCCCAAAACAATCTTCACATCGATATTCTGGATGTGGATTACCACAACCAGCACAGGGCACTGCACTAATGTCACCTCGTCCTTCGAGTCGTAACATCTCTTGAAGAAACAAGGTACAATCCTTGAGCCACATTAGCAACGGATTATCCTGAATGATGTCAGTGGCGACAACAGTGTGATTCTGTCAGTTTATCGACTTACTCCTATTCTACGCTCTCTCCCCAGACGTTGAGCACCTTCATCGACATCCCATGATAGATCGTGCAAATATTCGCTGAATTCATCCAACAGCGTGGCAGAGTCATTTTGTTGAATGTGCGCAGGCGGATCAGGTCGCGGGGTTGGCTGAGCGTTTTTTGGAGGTTGAACATATCTTCGTGTATAGCTTATAGAGCCGTCTCTGTGAACTTGATATTGCATGTGTTGTCGCTGCTTGAGCCCTGAAGGCTTGGGACGTGAGTAAGAATTGAGGGTCGGCCTTTTCTGGTGCTTCTTAGCCCTCGCAATTGGTAACAATTCTCGATGCAACTCTGGTGTGCATATGATGGAAGATGAGCCTGCAAGGGATAGACTGGAGTTCATGATATGAAGCAATCAATGGATCAAAATTCCGAAATACCGTAGTCCAGAATGACTTACCGGCAAGTTCCGTACCACACGTGACCAAATTCTGGACAACATTTCAAATAAACAACCTCAAACAACTAAACAACCTTCAAACGTGAAATACCATACTGTTGGCAAGTTCCATACCACACGTGACCACATTCTTCAAACGTAAACAACCTTCAAACTCACATATTGCAGTAACATATTTCCGTATTATACGAGTGAACCGACGTGCATAATATCCCGTATGATACGGGCCAGCGGACCATGGGCCGAAGGTAGAAATATTCTCGACTATGACGGATGGGCCGGGAGTGTTATTATTCCCGATGGAGACAGGTGGGCCCATGTGGGGAATATGTAGAGTAGATGAGTGGGCCGATGGACATGAATATTCTATAGACGGATGGGCCGAGGTGGTTGGATATTATGTAGATGGGTGTACCAAGGTAGATGTGTATCAAATAGCCGGGTATGTGAAGGGTGCTTGTTATCACATAGACGGGTGGGCCCAGATATATATCATATTAGATGGGTGGGCCGAAGAATTAATAGTATTTTGTAGACAGGTGGGCCGATGGAAATGAATATTCCATAGACGGATGGGCCGAGGTAGTTGGATATCAAATAGCCGGGTAGTGTGAAGGGTGCTTGTTATCACATAGACGGGTGGGCCCAGATATATATCCTATTAGATGGGTGGGCCGAAGAATTAATAGTATTTTGTAGACGGGTGGGCCGATGGAAATGAATATTCCATAGACGGATGGGCCGAGGTAGTTAGATATTATGTAGATGGGTGTACCAAGGTAGATGTGTATCAAATAGCCGGGTATGTGAAGGGTGCTTTTTATCACATAGACGGGTGGGCCCAGATACATATCATATTAGATGGGTGGACCAATGAATTAATATCATTTTGTAGACGGGTGGGCCGAGGGAGTGGTGAAATATTTATTATATATATGGGTGGGCCGAGGGAGCAGTGAAATATTTATTATATATACGGGTGGGCTGATGTGGGGGTATATAATATAGACGGGTGGGCCCAGGAGAATGATAATTGTAGACGTGGTGGAGCTCAGGTAGTTGTATATCATCCAAATCAAAGGAGGTAATAATTCAAAGTCATCTAATGATGTCGTATGGCACAGAGCTTTGCAAAGGGGTGAAGTGGAAACTTGTGTTCCAGGCCCTGTTCATCAAAGCTTTGAGATGGAAGATGAAGGTCTTGCAGTATGGCATGGAGCTTTGCAAAGTGGTGAAGTGGAAACTCGAGCAAAGTGGACCGAGTTCTGAGACCTGGGTCTCAACAAATGAATATGTGATATCCAGCACACTTCCAATCATCTGGTATTTCATTGGGCAATGGATGATAAGAGATCTTTGAAAGCCAACATCATCCAAGCCAATCAAATGCCAAATGCCAAGTTCCAACTACCGAAAATTGAGTGAAGTGTAACATGATCCGAGCTCCGAAGATAGAATCACAACTATTGAGTCCCAACTATCAAGACCCAAAAACCGAAGCCTGAGATTTGAGACTAGAGACTACAAACAAAACTCAATACTCAACTCAAAACTTGAAATTCATACATGTTTACGAGTTTTGAGTCCCTGAACATCAAGTCCCGACTATGGATCCTGGGTATTAAATTTTACAAGTTTCAAGTCCCGAACATCGAGTCCCGACCATCGAGACCTGAAGCCCGAGATTCCAGACTCGAATCCCAACTAAGTCTTGAGTGACCAAGTACCAAGTGCCAAGTGCTGAGTGCCAAGTACCGAGTGCTGAGACCCGAGACCCAAAGCCTGAGACCCGAAACCCGGGAGTACCAAACTCCAACCTCCAAACTCGCAAAATGTATATCATGTAAAAAACTCGAAACTTGTAGAAATGTACAAGTTTTGAGTCTCAAGTGACCAAGTACCAAGTGCTGAGTGCCGAGGCCCAAGGCCCGAGACCCGAGACCCGAAGTCCGAGACCCGAAACATGGGAGTACCAAACTCCAACCTCCAAACTCACAAAAATGTATATCATGTACAAAACTCGAAACTTGTAGAAATGTACAAGTTTCGAGTCTTGAGTGACCAAGTACCGAGTACCGAGTGCCAAGGCCTGAGACCCGAGACATGAGACCAGAGACCCGAAGTCCGAGACCCAACACCCAGGACTACCAAACTCCAACCTCCGAACTCACAAAAATGTTTATCATGTAAAAAAACTCGACACTCATAGAAATGTACCAGTTTTGAGTCTTGAGTGACCAAGTACCAAGTGTCGAGTACCGAGTGCCGAGTGCCGAGGCCCGAGACCCGAGACCCGAAGCCCGAGACCCAAACCCCGGGACTACCAAACTCCAACCTCCAAACTCGCAAAAATGTATATCTTATAAAAAACTTGAAACTCGTACATTTCTACGAGTTTCGAGTCTTGAATGACCAAGTACTGAGTACCGAGACCCGAGACCTGAAGCCCGAGACCTGAGACCCGAGACCCGAGGCCCGAAGCCCGAAGCCTGAGACCCGGGACTACCAAAATCCAACCTCCAAACTCGCAAAAATGTATATCATATAAAAAACTCGAAACTCGTACATTTCTACAAGTTTTGAGTCTCAAATGACCAAGTACTGAGTACCAAGTACCGAGACCTGAGGACCCGAGACCCGAGGCCCGAAGCCCGAAAATCAAACTACACCCGACACCCAAAACCCGGGACTACCAAACTCTAACCAAACTCGCAAAAATGTATATCATTTAAAAAACTCGAAACTTGTAGAAATGTACGAGTTTCGAGTTTCGAATGACCAAGTACCAAGACCCAAGACCCAAGGCCCGAAGCCCGAAAATCAAACTACACCCGACACCCGACACCTGAAACCCGTGACTACAACACTCCAACCTCCAACCTCGCAAAAATGTATATCATATAAAAAACTTGAAACTCGTACATTTCTATGAGTTTCGAGTCTTGAATGACCAAGTACTGAGTACCAAGTGCCGAGTGCCGAGGCCTGAGACCCGAGACCCGAAACCCGAAGCCCGAAGCCCGAGACCTGGGACTACCAAACTCTAACCTCCAAACTCGCAAAAATGTATATCATATAAAAAACTCGAAACTCGTACATTTCTAGGAGTTTTGAGTCTCAAATGACCAACTACTGAGTACCGAGTACTGAGACCCGAGACCCGAGGTACGAAAATCAAACTACACCCGACACCCGACACCCGGGACTACCAAACTCCCACCTCCAAACTTGCAAAAATGTATATCATATCAAAAACTCGAAACTTGTAGAAATGTGTGAGTTTCGAGTCTCGAATGACCAAGTACTGAATACCGAGTACTGAGACCCGAGGCCCGAAGCCTGAGACCCAAGATCCGAGGCCCGAAGCCCGAGACCTGGGACTACCAAACTCCAACCTCCAAACTCGCAAAAATGTATATCATATAAAAAAACTCGAAACTCGTACATTTCTACGAGTTTTGAGTTTCAAATGACCAAGTACTGAGTACCGAGTACCAAGACCTGAAACCCGAGGACTGAGGCCCGAAGCCTGTACCAGTTTCAAGTCTTGAGTGAAAAAAAAAAATTAAGATGATATGGAAATCACCCAGTATCGAGTACTGAGTCCTGAAATCCGAGGCCCGAAACCCGAAACTCAACTCTTCACCAAGTACTGAGTCCCGAGTACCGAAGCCCGAAACCCGGTGTGCAGACAACTTCTCCACAGGCTGTAGAGAATATGTTGGGTCTTGCTGGCCTAGGCTAGTTCGACCCTAAAGGGTCTCTGCTCTAGGCTCAGTGCTCAAGGAGAGAGAAACAGACAAGGAAACAAGACAAAAGGACAGGGGACTTTCAGACTGATACTGGTACTAGGTCAAAACTTCCTTCAATTATGTCAGCAGTAAGAGTACCAACATAAAGTAAGTAAATCATCAATTGTGAGGCCAGAGAAAGAATGTTTGGTACACCGGTACTACCAAATACAATAGTCTACCATTAGGATTTTGATAAGGAGTGACTATGGTAGACCTTATGAATTTTTTCAAAGAAAATCAAAGTGACAGCCCTTGTCAAGGGTAGTCTTTCCATAGTGTCATGACATTTTTCAGTTAAGATCCTAATGAGTTATAAGCAAAGTACTACAAAGTGGTGTGTTCAAGAACGTTCAGGCACACAAGTGATGTGACTGAGTACCGAGTATTGAGTGCTGAGTTCCGAGCACCAAGTACCAAGTTCCGAGTGCCGAAGTCCAAAACCTGAAACCCGGTCCTACAGACTTGGTAGTTGATACTCGGTAGTTGAATACAATGGTCTATACTCGATTGTCGTAACACAATAGTCTATACTCAATAGTCTTAACTCGATAGTCTGATACAAGTACCGAACTCCGAAACCCGGTACCACACACTTGGTAGTCGATGCTCAGTTGTTGAGACTCGGCAGTTGAATACAATGGTCTATACTCGATAGTCTTAACTCAATATAAGGGAGTCAGTAATCCAGTACCCGGTACAAGGGAGTTGTACTCGGTACAAGGGAGTCGGCACTCGGTACAAGGGCGTCAGTATTCAATCCAAGGGAGTCGGTACTCAATCCAAGGGAGTTGGTACTCGGTACTCGATACAAGGGAGTTGGTACTCGATGCAAGGGAGTCAGTACTTGGTACAAGGGAGTTGGTATTCAATACAAGGGAGTTGGTTCTCGGTACAAGGGAGTCGGTACTTGATCCATGGGGTCAGTACTCAGTACAAGGGAGTACATACTTGATCCAAGGGAGTCAAGACTCAATACAAGGGAGTCGAGACTCGGAACTCAAGACTCGGTTCTCAATACATGGTAGTTGAGACTCAGTAGTTGAATACAATGGTCTATACTCGATAGTCTTAACACAATAGCAGTAGTTGAATACAATTCTCTATACTCAATAGTCTCAACATTGGACTTCAATTATTGTGAATACACCTAAGCCTGATAATTATTTTGGTGAAGCTTATATCTTACCTATATCTTACCCTATTGACAAGAAAACACCAGCTATATTTTTGCCTTGACTGGCAGCACATATTTCGTCAAGACGGCTAAGCATCATAATGACATTTCATAATTGACTCACATGCAGGCCCCAATTATTTAAAACATCAAGATCTTATGATAAGATACTTGTTATATGTCTCACATATTCTAGCCATAGCCCACAAGTTTCAGACAGATCCATCAAGTATTGAGTGAAAGGGAAGCAAAGTGACATATGTGTGAAATGTAACAATTGACACCTATCACATAAAAGTCACATTTTCATATGATATAAGTTTGATATTTGGTTAAATATTAGTAGGATATAGGTTACACTACATGAGGAACCTATACAACACTTTGCCCTGAGTGTGGAGGATGTGTGGAAGTGATTTGATGGTAAAGTAAGTTCATGCAGCATTAAGGTCCAACAACTACTCAACTGACCATTTTCGATGTTTTGGGTCTTTTGAGTTTCCCACACTCAATTTCTCATCCATTTCATGTCCTCAGCATTCAATTCTTGTTAGATCATTCTGTAAAGTTAGGCTTATAATACTGAATATATTTGAAAGGTACTACAGGTGTCTTAATATTAAATATCAATGTTTGGAAGGTATGAGCATCTTATCAGTAGAAACAGAGAGCATATACACTAGCTCAATCCTCTCACCTATTTTGCACTGATCTTTAGAATACAATGCACATATATATGTACCACTAATGACATATGAGCAGGCTGGATTTTGTGTGCAAGTGTAATGGAGTGCAAAACATCAAAAACATTAGATTGATGATTGTGTATGATTTTGCTCCTGTAGAAGGATCCTATACATATTTTAAAGTAACTAAGCCATAGATACACTAAGAATATGAATATGAATAGACTTCCTACCCTCCTTGAGGTCCGGTCCTACAGGACAAAATTTCACAGGGGCAAACCACCAGGAGAAGGTAGGTATACTGGATCACAGGGATTTGTCCTATGGTCAAGTACCGAGTACCAACTCCCTTAGATCCAGTACCAAATCCCTTGTATTGAATACTGACTCCCTTGTACCGAGTGCCGACTCCCTTGTACCAAGTCTCGACTCCCTTGTATTGGGTACTGGATTACCGACTCCCTTGGATCGAGTACCAACTCCCTTGTACCGAGTACCAACTCCCTTGTATTGGGTACTGGATTACTGTCATATACCGTACACTGAGCCCCTGAATCATATCCCATCTCTCCCAACAAACAATGTCCGGACCTCCGAAATGTAGCCAAGCTATACCTTAACCCTACATACCCCTCAGCAGGATCTGCCCTGTTTCCCATATACATCAGATGTCCTATATGTCGGACGTCTTATTCATCGGTCCTCCTCCTGCATACCTCGGATCTCCTTTTCGTCAGACGTCCTATTCGTCGGATCCCACTCATGTTGTCCACTCGTCCACTCATCCGCTCCTCCTGTATTCGTTGGACATCCTATATGTCGGACCCGCTCGGGTCCACTTAATCCCTAAGCATCGGACCCTAAACATCGGACCTACTCAGATCCTGAGCTTCGGACCCAGGTCCACTTAACCCCTAAAACATCGGATCCACTTCACAGTTCATTTCCGGTCCTGCTCCTATTCTGTTACCCCATTTGTATAGTCCCCTTGTCCTAACCCCTATATGCCCGGATATGTTTGACAGTTAATATCCGACTTCATTCTCGATCATACCTCCTATGCCCGGATCCATTCGATACTTCATCTCTGTCTCTGTTCCTGTATTATTTTCCTTGCGCCTGTCAGTTTAACCTTTCCATATGTTCCTCGCGTTGACCCGGATCTCCGCTGACTCCGTCCCCGTCGCACATGTCCATAGTATATAATACCTTGTAAACTCGTAGTAGTTTCCAGAGTTCAAATATCACCTTAGATTATCCTCATTCCTGTTTCCTCGGACCCGGATCCATTTCCATGGACCCAGGGCCACTTCCCTGTCCAACCTCTGTGTCCTGGGATTGATTCCTCGGGCTATACTCTGCCTCTACCTTCGGGTAGTCTACCTCTGTTAGTTTCTACTCTGGACATTGTCTAGTGTAGTCTTACCTCTAGCTTCCACCTTTTCGGACTTCCTGTCCTTCTGTCCTCTCGGACTTCCTGTCCTCTCGGACATACTGTCCTTCTGTCCCCTCGGACTTCCTGTCTTTCTGTCCTTACACCTGTCTATTCTGTCCCCCACGTCCGCCGGACTAAAGCCCCTATTGTCCGGCGGACTAATCCTCTTATGTCGGCCAGACTAACCCTCCTTACGTCGGCCGACGAACCCCCTTTATGTCGGCCGGACTAATCCTCTTATGTCAGCCGGACTAACCCTATGATCGGCCGGACTAACCCTATGATCGGCCGGACTAACCCCCTGAACATTGGCCTGACTCTTCCTTGGGAAAGCCTACCAGACTTGTCCCCTTGAAGTCCACCGGGATTCATCATCCTCCCTCGGACTTTGTTTCTAGCCTTCGGAAATTAAGGGCACATACTCGGGTAAGGGGCGCAGCGCACGAGCTGAAGCCCAGCTCTTCAGATCCGCCCTTTGAGCATGGTCTTAACAATTACCGACTCCCTTGGATCGAGTACTGACTCCCTTGTACCGAGTTCCGACTCACTTGTATTGAGTACCAACTCCCGGGGATCCAGTACCGACTCCCTGGGATCAAGTACCGACTCCCTTGTATCGGGTACCGGATTACTGACTCCCTTGGATCAAGTACTGACTCCCATGCATTGAGTCTCAACTCCCTTGTATCAGGTACTGGAGTACCAACTCCCTTGTACCGAGTTCCAACTCACTTGTATTGAGTACCGACTCCCGGGGATCCAGTACCGACTCCCTGGGATCAAGTACTGACTCCCTTGTATCGTGTACCAGATTACCGACTCCCTTGTACCGAGTACCAACTCCCTTGGATCAAGTACCGACTCCCTTGTACTGAGGACCAACTCCCTTGTACTGAGTCTCGACTCCCTTGTATTGGGTACCGGATTACCGACTCCCTTGGATCGAGTACTGACTCCCGTGTATTGAGTCTCGACACCCTTGTATTGAATACCAACTCCCTTGGATCGAGTACCAACTCCCTTGTATCAAGTACCAAGTCTTGAGTTTGGGCTATCGAGTTCAGACTATTGAGTCTCGGCTACCAAGTATTGAGTATTGAGTCTCGACTACCAAGTCTCGAGTCCCAACTACCAAGTACTGAGTTTCGAGTATCGGGTATTGAGTACTGAGTCTCGACTACCATGTATCAAGTACCAAATCCCAACTACCATGTATTGAGTCCCAGCTACCAAGTACCAATTACCGAGTCTTGAGTTAAGACTATTGAGATTGGGCTATTGAGTATAGACTATTGAGTATAGACTATTGTATCAGACTATTGAGTTAAGACTATCGAGTATAGACCATTGTATTCAACTACCGAGTCTCAACTTTGGGCCTCGAGCCTCGGGTCTCGGTACTCGGTACTCAGTACTTTGTCATTTGAGACTCAAAACTCGTAGAAATGTACGAGTTTCAAGTTTTTTATATGATATACATTTTTGCGAGTTTGGAGGTTGGAGTTTGGTAGTCCCGGGCTTCGGGTGTCGGGTGTAGTTTGATTTTCGGGCCTCGAGCCTCGGGTCTTGGGTCTCAGTGCTCGGTACTCAGTACTTGGTCATTCAAGACTCGAAACTCGTAGAAATGTATGAGTTTCAAGTCTTTTATATGATATACATTTTTGTGAGTTTGGAGGATGGAGTGTCATAGTCCTGGGTCTCGGGTCTCAGGCTTCGGGCCTCGGGTCTCGGGTGTCGGTCCTCAGTACTCAGTACTTGGTCATTCAAGACTCGAAACTTGTAGAAATGTACGAGTTTCGAGTTTTTTTATATGATATACATTTTTGCGAGTTTGGAGGTTGGAGTGTTGTAGTCCCGGGTTTCAGGTGTCGGGTGTAGTTTGATTTTCGGGCTTCGTGCCTCGAGCCTCGGGTCTCGGGTCTCGGTACTCAGTACTTGGTCATTCAAGACTCAAAACTCATAGAAACGTACAAGTTTCGAGTTTTTTATGATATACATTTTTGCGAGTTTGGAGGTTGGAGTGTGGTAGTCCTGGGTCCCAGGTCCCGGTTCTCGGGCTTCGGGTCTCAGGTCTCGGTACTTGGTCATTCAAGATTCGAAACTCGTACATTTCTACGAGTTTCGAGTTTTTTATATGATATACATTTTTGCGAGTTTGGAGGTTGGAGTTTGGTAGTCCCGGGTCTCAGGCTTCGGCCTTCGGGCCTCGGGTCTCGGGTGTTGGTACTCGGTACTCAGTACTTGGTCATTCAAGACTCAAAACTCGTAGAAATGTACAAGTTTCGAGTTTTTTATATGATATACATTTTTGCGAGCTTGGAGGCCGGAGTGTCGTAGTCCCGGGTTCCAGGTGTCGGGTGTAGTTTGATTTTCGGGCCTCGGGTCTCGGGTCTCGGTACTTGGTCATTCGAGACTCGAAACTCGTACATTTCTACGAGTTTCGAGTTTTTTACATAATATACATTTTTGTGAGTTTGGTTAGAGTTTGGTAGTCCCGGGTTTCGGGGATTCGGGTGTTGGGTGTTGGGTGTTGGGTGTTGGGTGTTGGGTGTTGGGTGTTGGGTCTCAGTACTCGTTACTCGGTGATTCAAGACGACAAAGATGTATATCATCTTATATTTGTATTTTCTTAACCCCACCCATGTATCTAATATTACCCGGCATTGGCCCACCTGTCTATGTAAATTCCCCACTTCGGCCCACCCATCTATCTAATATTTCCCTATGTCGGCCCACCCGTCTATCTAATGTTACCCCACGTCGGCCCACCCGTCTATCTAATATTTCCTTATGTCGGCCCACCCGTCTATCTAATATTTCCCCATGTCAACCTACCCATCTATCTGATATCCCCCTATGTCGGCCCACCCATCTATCTAATAAATGATTCCCCTCACCCTCGGCCCACCCGTCTATCTAATAAATAATTCCCCTCACCCTCGGCCCACCTGTCTATCTAATAAATAACTTGCCTCACCCTCGGCCCACCCATGTATCTAATATTTCCTTACATCGGCCCACCGGTCTATATAATATTACCCCACGTTGGCCCACCGGTCTATCTAATATTACCCCACATTGGCCCACCGGTCTATCTAATATTTCCCCACATCGGCCCACCGGTCTATCTAATATACCCCTACATCGGCCCACCGGTCTATATAATAATATTTGTTATACATCTCTCCTCAGGTCTATTAATATATGTCAATCCTACTCTACATATTAATCATGGGCCCACCCATCTCCATCATAATATTTCTCCCGGCCCATCCGCCATCATTGATGATATATATCACATCAGCATATATGGGCCCACCCGTCTCCATCGGAAATAATATTCCTCCCGGCCCACCTGTCAACATCGGGAATATACATAACATCGGCCCATGATCCGCTGGCCGTATTACACGGGATATTATGTAGGTCGGGTGACCCGTATAATACGGGATTTGTCACTGAAGGGGCTCTCAAACTTGCTTCAAACGTAAGTTGGCATCGTGCAGGTGATTCTCCATCGATATCGTGGTCGTCATCCTTGGTCGAAGTTCCAGTGGGTGAGTATTTATCTTCTGTACTGTATAGCTGTATCTCACTCATTTGACTTCCCAACAATGGCCACCACCAACACCAGCCCATCCAATGACGATGCTCAAAGCAGCTTAGGTGCGTTCTTGCCTGTCGCTTACTCAAAATACTTCAGTAATCCATATATTTTTCAGATGTCGTATTGCAACTGTTGTCATCGTTGACATTGTCACATGATGATGCACAATCAGTCATTGATGTAATTACTGACCAGACTCTGTCTCAGTCTTTGTCTCCTACCAATATTAATAAACTGGTAACTCATTCTGAAGTAAGTAGTGCGAGCTAGTTCTATCTGTCCCAAAGTCTAAAGTCGGCTAGTTCCATCTGTTCCTAAAGTCTGCTAATTATCCTGTCCATGCACATCTGACATCCTAAGGCAGCCGGTGTTTCTCTGCCACGGTCTTTGTATCCTACCACCTACCAAACGTACTGATAAGACATTCTGAAGTAGTGCGAGCTAGTTCCATCTGTCCCAAAGGTCCCAAAGTTTGAAGTCTGCTAGTTCCATATGTCCTGAAGTCTGCTAATTATCCTGCCCACACACATCTGACATTCTCGCGCTTCAAAGGCAGCCGGTGTTTCTCTGCTTCGGTCTTTGTATCATACATACTGTACTGATAACACATTCTAAAGTAATGCGAGCTAGTTCCATCTGTCCTGAAGTCTGAAGTCTGCTAGTTCCATCTGTCCTTGAAGTCTGCTAATTATCCTGCCTACGCACATCTGACATCATTACACTTCAAAGGCAGCGGTGATTCTCTGCCTCGGTCTCTGTATCCCTGATTCGCACTTCTGGAAGTGCTTGATTGAGTGGCGGATCACTTATAGTATTTATCACAATTGGTACATAGATGCATCCATACAGTATATACAAAAATGTCCAGAGTTCGAGAGTCACATATTGACTACTTAAGGCAACCATTGCGCTTCTCCGAGGTAGGTACAAGCAAAAAAAAATGTCAAAAATGTAACAAGTTTGAGAGTCGCACATTGTCCACTTAAGGAAGCCACTGTGCTTCTCCGAGATCTATCGCATCAAGCATGCGAATCAGACCATCATGCAGCGATTTGCAGCGGCTGAAAGAGGAGCAGCTAACACCAAGCACATATGGGGATGTGTGTTGCCTGAAAGAGAATGAGAATCAGAGCAGGAACATGGAACCAATGAAAATATGCACCATGTTTCGAAGACACCTACCCGGGAACCACGGGTGATGAGGTAGAATGGACCGAGGGCCGCAGCACGCGGGACATTGAATGCAAATCCACAATAATGCTGCTGTCCCCATGTCTCACCATTGATGACGACCTCAGTCAGCGGGAGATGCGGAAAACCGTAGAAGCCAGAGCGTGCTGTTGGGGTAGGATGGTTCTCCACAGCAGGAAGTGCAGTGGCCTGGACGATGACAGCGGGAGGTTCCACGGCGGGAGCTGGCTGCACAGCAGGACATGTAGCAGCCTGGACAATGACAGTGGGAGGTGCCATGACTGGGACAACGGCAGCGGGAGCTGGCTGCACAGCAGGACATGTAGTGGGAGCTGGCTGCACGGCAGGAAGTGTAGCGTCCTGGACAGTGGGAGTTGGAGTTGCCACGACTGGGACAACAACAGTGGGAGCTGGCTGCATGGCAGGAAGTGCAGCAGCCTGTAGTCACAGGTGACAAGCCTGCCAGCAGCGACATTGAGGACGGTGGGAGTACTAACATCGAGGCCCAGGGGGATGGCGCTTTGATTGATCGGATCGAGGACGCTGGGAGTACTAACACCGAGGCGGGGGATGGCTTAGATTTAGACTTCAATTGATCGGATCTCAAGGTGCCTAGATAAAATTAGAACAATGTGCTTGATACTTCTATTTATATGTTTCAAGTTAGCTATGGACGAAGTATCTAACTGATCTACCATACTGCTCCTTCAGGTGGTTGATTGCACTGTTCAAGACAACTTAGGCCTGTGCGTGAGACAGAATCCAACAGAATCCAACAGGTATAGCATACATAAGTTTACACACCATTTTCATTTTTTGGGACAACTTGAAGCGCGCGCATTTAATCTTGCAGTGACCTCATTCAACGTACAAGATCTTGTCATGCCTGCCGCACGCTGGACCTCAGACGTACAAACGGAGTGGCTTCAAGAGTGCCTTCCCCAATATCTCACAGAGCACGTGAAGGAGAAAGATTATTGGCCCACCTTGATCGGGGACTGGTTTAAACAGTTCCCAGAGGAAGCGGTAGTATTTCCCGACATTGCTGCTGACGCCCTTTCGCCGGAGCAACATATTGAGGTGGGAGAAGCTGAAAACAGGCGCAAAATAGTAAGCCCATCTATAATGAACATGTCACTATTTACTGACGTACTTCAGCAACTCCGGACTTGGTTTCGTTGGCGTGCGAATGTGTCCAAGAAAAACCGTAGCCTGAAAAAGGAGTCAACTGTCTTCGATGACGTGCTGCAGCCAAAACGACGTGCTAAGTCCGAGGCTGAGTTGTACTCCGATATCTACTACGACGAGCGGATCAAACCATTGGTAAAGGCCGAAGAAGAGGCTGGGAAGGTGTCGTCGGGCAGACAAATTGCGCTGGGGCGTAAATTTTCTAAGGAGCTGTTGAATGATGAGGATGAGGAGGTCAAGGTTCATATTCGTGACATGTACAAGAAGCAGTGGAAAACTCACGAGAGGTCTGGCAAGAAGAATTATTTAGACAAGGACAGCGAGGATGACTGTGTGCCATTTGATGCGGAGGGAATTGCGCAGTAAGTGGTTTCTGTGAATAGAGTTCAATAGTTAACATTCAAGCAGGGGCATAGACGACTTACCTATTATCTGGCGGTGATTTGCGCAATTGGTCAAGAAGAAGACCGGTTTCCTCGTGTCCTTCATGTTTGCTGGTCCAGATCCAAGAAACGACTGGGATATGGCCTCATTATCGTGAGTTTACGTATCGGGTATAAACTGTTTTGGGACTCACACTGACGTACTCAAGTTGCCATCCCTCTGAAACTCCACAAGGCAGAACCTTCACCCAGTTATACCCAACGGCCGATAGGAATTTCCTAGAGGTGTTTCAGCAATATGCAAAAATCATCTTCCATGCGTTTTTAATCTGTTGCTAGTTGACTTACCTAGTTTATATCATGCAGCATCCGACAAACGCAAGCCTAGCATTGCTGTAGGGAATGTAGGACATGGAGTGCGGTGAGGAAGTGTATGGTGAAGAGGTGCCTGATGGCCATGACGACGTCGAAGAGGACAATGACATTGAGTCCTTTGGTCAAGGGGAAGAGGAGCAAGAGGATAATGAAGGTGAGTAGATTGGTCGGTCTTTATACTTTTTTTATCATCAGCTGATGCATCCGCCTGATGCATCACAAGGCTCCTTGCCGCTGCCTGATGCTTCACTGGGTGATGCATCTGATGCATCAGGATCCACGCCTGATGCATCAATAGGTGCAATGGTACGTACCCTTTCGTTTGCAATACATATCTATTCACAGGTTGATGTACCCCTGCAGTCTGATGCATCATCATCATACTCTAACTACTCTAACTATGATGGTGTCTCTGCACCAATTCCTCATTTGTATTTACCAGTATACATACCTCCGACCACCAATTCGGTTCCCAACTCGTTCGGACCATTCTATGCGCCCCAAATGTCCACCACTTCAGTTCCTAGTTATTTTACTCCGGCATATACTGCCCCTCTCATGTCCATTGATGGGTTTACACCGGTCTACAACCCCTCTGTGTCGACCCCCAGCTTCTCATTCCCTAATACGTGGCAAGATCTTAATTGGACTGATCCAGTCTTCCAAACGTCTCCGGCCTCTGCTGCTGCTTGGCTGCAGCAAAATTTATCGCCGGTTTCTGCTGAGCGCACTAGTCTGCATGAGTCCAGTGCTGACTCGCTCCCAGTCTTGCCTCATCCCAACCCACCCTCGCTTGACTCGCTCCCCATCTTGCCTCATCCCAACCCACCTCGGGGTACACCCAACTCTCTCTCCGCTGTCATAACCAAGCCGATCACCAAAAAAACAATCCTTAAGCCCAAGGCCACCCAAAAACCGAAGGCCGCTTCAAAACCCAAGCCAAAACCCAAGGCCATCCACAAGCCCAAGGCCGCCACCACCCCCACGATTACTAACCCACCCGGAGCTGAGTCTAGTTCATCAGGGGATGTAGCTCCTGGTGGAATTACCAACGACGAGTCTATGAACACACGTGCATCTAAGCGTGTCCCAGTTAAGTCCAGGCGTAACGAGCTGGCAGATGCGATTGGTACTGGTCCTTCCATGAAACGGCCTGCGCAGAACGGGTCTGCGGGTGCTCAACAGTATGTTATCCTGCTCTTTTTTTTCGATGCCTGCTAAGAGCTCTTAGGAAGAAGCGGGCAAAGGTCTAGTATGGTTGTTCTTCATGCTGCCATCATCATAGTCTTGCTAATTTCTTAATATAATGTCCCTACTCAATCCAATAGTTATCTTGTACCTGACGAGAAATATAATACATCATTTTGCGCGCATGGTTCAAATGCTAATGTTTGACTGTGAGCGAGAATAGGTGTGTGAGAATGAAACTGCTAAAATTGATGCATCACCAAAATTTTGTGCTACGGACTTCATGAAATTTGGTTGTAGGAGAGTGATGCATTACTCGCTATGTACATTTTGTGCTAAGTACGGACTTCATGAAATTTGGTTGTAGGGAGAGTGATGCATTACTCACTATGTACTTGGTAACAGTGTCAATTGATAGATAGTAGTACTAGTAGCCCGTCTGCCCAGAACCTGCCGAGATGCAGCTGTACATGTGGCCATATTCATATTGCTAGAATTGAGCGCCTGAGGATTAACAACAAGGTGGAATGTGATTGAGCGCTGAGGATTACTATTAGCAAGAATGTGGAATGCTGCTGGTGCACCGTACCCTGCCAGAACCCGTACCAGCCGTATGCTGGTGCACCGTACCCGCCGAGATGCATCTGTACCTGCAGCCATATTGCTAGAATTGAGCGCGGAGGATCAGTAATAACAAAGTGGAATGCTGCTGGTGCACCGTACCCGCCATTGGCCCAGAACCCACCGAGACGCATCTGTACCTGCGGCCATATGCTGAAATTGAGCGCTGAGGATAAGTAACAAGGTGGAATACTGCTCGTGCACCCACCATACCCACTGTATTGCCAGAACCCATACCAGCTGTATTTCCAGAACCTAGAACCCGCTGAATACCATAAATGGATAATACCGCCCATCAAAGAAGGCGGGCGGGAGGGCGCTCTGAGAAAATAATGCATCATATCCCGCTGTATTGCCAGAAGCCGCCAAACACGCTACATACTGTAAATGGACAACCCGCCAAACGCGCTACATCCCGTAAATGGACAGCACCGCATCAAATGATGCATCATAGCAAGCATCGCAGGCATGCATCATATAGCATTGCTGATGCATCCTGCTGCATCAGTGATGCATTATGATGCACCCTATTTACCTGCCTATGGATTGTAACAGTGTTGCATCACTCTTACCTTACAACTACAACACATTCATGCATCAATATGACAGGGACGCCTGGTCTGTGTCTGACTGATTCCAAGTACTCACCAGCTGGGCACCTCCCTCATCAGACTTCCCACTGACCTTGCCCAAAATTTCAACACTGCTACCCCCCGGTTGAAATACCCGGATACGAATCGGCACCAGAGTTTCCGCCCAGACAGACACAAGGTATGGGCATGCTCATTTTCAACTCGGTATGCCACTCATTGCCATTGTCGAAGATGTGAACCCCCGAGATTGTTCTGGCCCTTGGGATGTCATTTGATGCGTGGAGGTGTCTGTCATTCGGCTGACCAACATGAATGATATTGGAAATATTAGCATGCACTCGAACATCTCAGCAGGCTAGCACGATGGGGTAGAGTCATGGAACAAGTCATAGAACAATGAGCATAAGCCTCACGCTGTTTTGGGTCACTCCACACCACGCTGCCTTTTCATTTTTCTCGACTTGTAGTGCTGTGGGTGAGGAAATAGGGATGCGAACTCCGGGGAGTCACGAGAATATCTACCTCGAGAGGCAAGCTTAGTAGATTCGTCCCTTAGGGGATGCTACTGAGGCAATCTCTCTAAATGATGAGAGGGATCAAGAGAAAGGCTCGAGTCGGAAGAATGCGAAGACGCACAGGAACGCGCGGGGCTGATGCGATGAATGCGCGGAACACGCGAGTCGTGTGGAAGAGTCGGAATGTGCACGATATGCGCAGAGTAGAGGAATGGCGGTGGAAGATAATAGGCAGGCTCCTTGACCTGAGAGGCGAGTCTTCACAAGAATAGGGAAATGATAGACAAATGCAGTGATGTTAATAGCGCTCTATGCGCAACTAAGCGGAAAACAGATAGTGAGTCCAAGTAAGGGAAAAGTAAGTAAGTCCGAAAATCCTCCAAGCCTTCTAGATATGTAGGTCGCTACGTGCGCTCTCAGGGTAATAAAACGTAAGGGAAGCGGATAGGCTGCGCGGAAGCGTATAGGGAGCGGATGTGTATGTAACAGTATTTAACAAGACCCTGGATGTGGTCAGAGACGGAGATGACAGTGAGAGTACACACCAACAGTACCAGACAGACAGGACAGGACATGGGAGGGTATTCTGATCAATGCGCCGGATCGCGGAAGGGTGCGGAATGTTGCTGATGTGTCGTGCGCTCTGCGGAAGAGCGCGGAAGGTCGCGCGTGTCGTGTGTGTCTCTATAGGACTGGGAATACATGGGGATAGGGATGAGGTCAACGTACAAATGGGGGGATACGAGCCTGTAGAGATATAACTCTCTACAGCGCATCGATATTCCAGTGACCAGCTTGGTACAGTATGGATAACTTGACGCTCGAAGTCATATATTCTGACCTTGTGATGTCTGGCAGAAATTATGGTGTGTTCTGCAACGATGGAGAAAGACAGCACCAAAGCAAAATGCACATTTACATGAAGGTGCATAAGAAACCTCCAGGGTTATGCTAAGTTGAGGGATCGTCAACGATCTGCATTGTGATCACTGAGGTCGGGCATAAATTTCATGGAGACGTCACAGAGGTTGAGTATGTGAGCATGAATTGGTGACAGATGAAAGGGCATTTGAATAAGTACTTAAAGGTTTTGCACCGCAGAAGTTGGATGCAAATCATCCTACATATTAGTACTTTTGTCACATTCAAACACACCTTCTGGAGATGCACCCGAGCATCGGACTCTACCAACATCGTGGTTTTCCTTGCGTGACTGAGTCAATCTACCAAATCAGCTATTATCATTACAAATCGAGTCAAATCTTCAAATACCCACTGGGGGCGATTCCACCACTACATGGAGACAAGGAACGATTGTGAGATGAAGAGAATGAACTATGTACGTGAATGAAAAGAGGGGGCACCAAGGCGCGTCTAATCTGAAGTGCATTTGGAGATTATTTGTAGCAAGAAGGGAAAGAATCGCAGTAAAATGAAGAACTTGAAATATAGTTGAGAGGCTCGATGAAATAATTACAAATCGAAGGGCATCGTAGGGAAGAAACCACCCCCAGCCTGGGGTTTCCTCCAATTCACATTTGAGGTGTGTGGTGACCGCCAGGGAAAACGGGGACACCATATGTCTCCTACGTGAGTCTGTTCATCTGCCAAGTCTGGCACCATTTCAGGTTGTTCTGCACGCTGAAGAGCTGAAATAAATTTTAAGCACAGTGTTGACAGACAAATCAAATTCAACCTACCAGGAGCATAGGGGTCGTCAAATTCTGATGTCTCATCTTCTTTCTTGAAATACTTATGACTCTTAACCTGTTCGAACCCATACCGATATGAGGGCAAGGGTTCGAGGAGCTATCACGGTGTAGATAAGTGATAGCGTTGAAAAATGAACAACACAAAGCTTACTCCCACAACCAAGTCAGCAACAGAGATATCCAGCTCATCAAACTCAGGTAACGACTCATACCCGGAGTCCCAAAGAAGAAAATCAAGTATGTCGTCCACCGTATCAAAGAGAGGCTGGCAAGATGGTATAAGTGAAATAGCAGCGAAGAAAGATGCGAAACTTGAACGTGCCATATTGTCCTTCGACATCAACTCATACAACACGCATCCAAACGACCACCAGTCCACGGGTGGCCCGTACTTCATACTATTGACGTCCAAATTACACAACATCTCAGGCACCATACAATAGATTGTGCCCTGGACATCTGATATGTACTCCCCCTTTGGATCCAAGGGAACTTCAGAAATGTAGCTCAGACCGAAATCTGCTATCTTGACATTTTCTCGAATGTCGACCAGGATATTTTCGGCTTTTATGTCGCGATGGATAATGCCCATCTCATGAAGAGCATTTATGCCGAGTGCCTTCAAAGTAGGAGTTATGAGACAGCGAAACCCAGGAACGGCAACTACTCACCATTTGGGCGCTCCATCTACTGGTGTTTTTGCGGCAATATTTACGGCCATGAGTCAACAAATGATGAAGATCACCCGCCATCAGATCCTAGAGATGCGTATCAATGAAATAAAATAGTGTGCAGGGGAGAACCACCTACCATCACAAAACAAATATGATCTTTTGTCTGGAAGCTCATTTTGAGCTCCATCAAAAAGATAGTGTCTGGATGCGACCTCAAAGCCGCAATATGTTTGTAAACGGCCAGCTCGGTGAAAAGGTTCTCTTTGTCGCGCTTGCGCAACATATGGTCCCTTCTAAAGACCTTGAGACACAGCAAACGCTGTGAAGCAAGGTCTTGTGCTACTATAGCCCTTCCAAAACCTCCCTCGGCCAAAACACGCGAGGCACAAAAGGGACCATACACGTATGATTGCGGAGGAATTTGCAGGGTGCAAGCCTCTGCTGTGCTTGAGTGTTAAGACCGTGCTCAAGGGGCGGATCCGAAGGGCTTGGCTTCAGCTCGTGCGCTGCGCCCCTTACCCGAGTACGTGCCCTTAATTTCCGATGGCTAGAAACAAAGTCCGAGGGAGGATGATGAATCCCGGTGGACTTCAAGGGGACAAGTCTGGTAGGCTTTTCGAGGAAGAGTCAGGCCGATGTTCAGGGGGTTAGTCCGGCCGACGTAAGGAGGGTTAGTCCGGCCGATCATAGGGTTAGTCCGGCCGACATAAAGGGGGTTCGTCAGCCGATGTAAGGAGGGTTAGTCCGGCCGACATAAGAGGATTAGTCCGGCCAACATAAAGGGAGTTCGTCGGCTGACATAAGGAGGGTTAGTCCGGCCGACATAAGAGGATTAGTCCGGCCAACATAAAGGGGGTTCGTCGGCCGACGTAAGGAGGGTTAGTCCGGCCGACATAAGAGGATTGGTCCGGCCGACATAAGGGGATTAGTCCGGCTGACATAAGAGGATTAGTCCGCCGGACAATAGGGGCTTAGTACACCCGGAGAATAGGGGCTTTAGTCCGGCGGATGTGGGGGACAGAACAGACAGGTGTAAGGACGGAAAGACAGGAAGTCCGAGGGGACAGAAGGACAGGAAGTCCGAGAGGACAGAAGCTAGAGGTAAGACTACACTAGACAATGTCCAGAGTAGAAACTGACAGAGGTAGACTACCCGAAGGTAGAGGCAGAGTATAGCCCGAGGAATCAATCCCAGGACACAGAGGTTGGACAGGGAAGTGGACCCGGGCCCATGGAAATGGATCCGGGTCCGAGGAAACAGGAATGAGGATAATCTAAGGTGATATTCGGACTGAGGAAACTACTACGAGTTTACAAGGTATTATATACTATGGACATGTGCGACGGGGACGGAGTCAGCGGAGATCCGGGTCAACGCGAGGAACATATGGAAAGGTTAAACTGACAGGCGCAAGGAAAATAATACAGGAACAGAAACGGAGATGAAGTATCGAATAGATCCGGGCATAGGAGGTATGATCGAGAATGAAGTCGGACATTAACTGTCAAACAGATCCGGGCATATAGGGGTTAGTGTTACAGTAACATGGCCCCCCTATCTTTTTCTCACCCTTTCACTCTGTCACACCATCACAACCATCACCTCTTCACGATTCACCATGATGCTTGATGCACACTTCTTGATCCCCGCCAACCCTGACCTTCTGTGACAGAAGCTAGATGCTTCCTTTGAACCCTTGATCTTCTGCCTCATGACCTGTACTTCTATCTCCCTTGATCTTCTCGTGAACCCTTATCCCTGACCTCATGGTCATATACCCTCGACTCCACCTTCCTGATATATCTACCTTTAGTTCCTTGACCTGCCCTGAACACTGTTCCTATTTCCCTATATATATTTGACTCCATTGTACTGTATTTCCCTAACTTGAATCTACTGGGTTTTACCTGAACGATTACCTGATCTCCTGATCCTGACTACGAACTGCTATACTCTTGGATTGCTATCCTTGAGTCGATATTGCCTTTGATTCTCTTAGACTATTCGTCTTTGAGTCGATACTGATCTCTCGCCTAGACTTCATAGTCGACAGCGAAACCCTTCTTCGGCTCCGCCTTAGAAGCTTACCTATCCTTTAGTCATATTCCGACGGCTAAGGCTACCGGGTATATTGACATCCCGACTCTTGATTGATAACTTAGAGGATGTGTCCTCTTCGTTGAATTATCCCAGTTCAAACACGACTTCTGTCGCAACAGTTAGGACAAGGGGACTATACAAATGGGGTAACAGAATAGGAGCAGGACCGGAAATGAACTGTCAAGCGGATCACGGGAAATGGGGACGGAGATGAACTGTGAAGTGGATCCGATGTTTTAGGGGTTAAGTGGACCTGGGTCCGAAGCTCAGGATCTGAGTAGGTCCGATGTTTAGGGTCCGATGCTTAGGGGTTAAGTGAACCCGAGTGGGTCTGACGTATAGGACGTCCGACGAATACAGGACGAGCGGACGAGCGGACGAGTGGACGAGTGGATGACATGGGTGGGATTTGACGAATAGGACGTCCGACGAAAAGGAGATCCGAGGTATGCAGGAGGAGGACCGATGAATAAGACGTCCGATGTATAGGGAAGCAGGGCAGATCCTGCTGAGGGGTATGTCCGGTGGAGACTGGGATGCAGAGTTATCCTGCCGAGAGATAGGGATAAGGTATAGCTTGGCTACATTTCGGAGGTCCGGACATTGTGTGTTGCGAGAGACGGGATATGATTCAGGGGCTCAGTGTACGGTATATGACATTGAGGGTGTGAAGGGGTAAATAGAGGGTGGAGGGCTGGTCACGTCTAAAGGGTATAGCAAAACAGGGAGATCAGACGAAGCATTCGGTTGTTGTGCTCCTGATGAGGATGCAGTGATGATCGAATTCTGAGTGGCCCTTGGGCCTGACTGGAGGTGACCGCCAGACAACATCGCAGTGATCAGGATGAGAAAGTGGAAAACGATGTGAAAGGGCAAATTCAATGAACGCCACTTGAGAATTTTGGTCGGACCACAAATCACCTTTAAATAACGAGTTGTGGACACTTGTCTTAAAACATCCACAGTGTACTTTCAGTGAACAAATAATGCCACTGCGTCTGTGGAGGCCTGCGATCAACAACGAAGGTGGCTAGCAGAACGGGAGAAAATTGTGGAAGGGTAAAATGTGGGACAATCAAATCACAATGCGGCCACAGTTCAATAATCCGGCACACATCTACCACACTTCCAATGGAACTTACGAAATCAAAAAAAATCTGATGCTGCGGAAACATGATTATACAAGTCTAGAATACTCTTAGCACCAACAGCATAACCATCTGATTAAGTGCTAACCGTTGCAAGGCATGTTTTGATTTCTTCTGATTATTTTGTGGCATAGACAATTGAACGAGATACAGGCAAACTCTCTGGGTGGCTATTATCAACAAGCGAGAGGAGTTTCATGCAGAAAGAAATTCGCTTGAAGATGCCTTCAGCCTCGTAAGTTTGTTTGTAAACTTCAGCTTGTTCAGATCTTGTTCCGCCTTAGTGGATATCATCATTACCCCTCTTGAACAAGTATGGGATCAAAACGCACCAAGAGCTTGAAGGTGAGTGCTACATTTAATTTTGTATATGGCGGTCGCCATAGGTTACTCAGATTCTGATGTCTGCTTGTTTTACGGGCAAACAAAATGATGAGGACTCGGGAGGGCGAGAGGGAGGGAGCTTGCACTCACGCACTTTCTCCTGTCCTCAATGGAAGCATTCCACCTCGCCACAGGTCACTCAGACGCTGACGGCTGCTTGCTTTATGGGCAAACGAAATGATGAGGACTCGGGAGGGCGAGAGGGAGGGAGCTTGCACTCACGCACTTTCTCCTATCCTCAACGGATGCATTCCACCTCGCCACAGGTCACTCAGAAGCTGGCGGCTGCTTGCTTTACGGGCAAACAAAATGATGAGAATTCGGGAGGGCGAGAGGGAGGGGGCTTGCACTCATGCGCTTTCCCTCGGCTATTTCTCCTGTCCCCAACAGAAGCATTCCACCTCACCACAGGTCACTCAGACGCAGACGGCTGCTTGCTTTACGGGCAAACGAAATGATGAGGACTCGTGAGGGCGAGAGGGAGGGGGCTTGCACTCACGCACTTTCCCTCGGCTATTTCTCCTGTCCTCAACAGAAGAATTCCACCCAATGGGCTCCAAATCGCTGTTACCAATGCAGAATAATGGCTCGCGAAGGGATATCCTGCATATTCTGTAATTTTTTCAATCACTTATCTCATGGATGTCAAGTTCCCTAGTTGTTGAGTCGGTCGGTCGAGATAGTCCTGACGTCTGTCGCGGCACACAGCAATGCTGAAAATTATGTTGAGCAGAAGGTGATTCACGTCGATGGGAATCTTGCAACTAATACTTACACCTTCAAGCGACAGCATGGCGGAGGCATGAAATGACAGTGTTAATAGGCAGTTACCGGTCATGGCAAAGTGGGTGGATTCAGGGTGTACGAACACATACTCATGAGGCCAACGTACCGGTACGTCGTAGGTCAAGGTGTCACAGCATGGTTCAATTGATGATGGCAAGTGCCTACTCCCTATAGGGCCGTGACTAATGAGTCAAAAATTATGTACCGTCACGTCCGTGACTCACTACTACTTCAAGACTTCTCTCACACATCAATCACGCCTTGAAGAATATGGAAGTACCCGTGCATGTAGATGCATTTTCATTCACTCATTCACAGTCAACCTGGCCTACCCAGAGACCCCGCTGCCAGTATAACTTCAGTACCGTCCTTTTTCATTTGGAGAAACCGGGAAACTTTGTCAGCCCGCCCCCACTCAGCCTGCTTCATTGGTGTACATCTTCAACACTGTCCCTGTTTCAGACTTGAATCAATGGAGTCCTAACTGTGTATTCGGAATCACGATTTTCGAACGTGGATGGTTGCTTGTCAGTTTCGTCTTCATGTGATCGGTGTCGACCACGTACATGGCAAAAGTGACGCATGGGTAGTTCCTCAAAGATACTTTGCGACTCTGCTAGGTCATGGGCTTCGCATACAGGTGCCATCGATGAAATTGATTGACGAGGTATCGTCGTCATCCGGAGGCATACCCCGCATCCTTTGCCCCGTGAAGCCTCAACTCTCAAATTTCAACCACAACGTGCAGATAGCGGCCACCATGCTGTTCTCCCGAACTCTCGCAATAACTCTCTATCCAGACCACTTCTCAAGCTGAAAAAGACCCACCTCCAAGCGGACGTGAGCATACTGTTCATTTTTGTTCTGTCTTGAATGACTGACGTGTTCGCTTTCGCAGCAAGCACCTTGTTGCGAGTCAGGCATACATGCATTCATCGCGCAGTCAAGACCTCAATGTGCATTATCCGTCGATGCTATCCGCGTCGTTCCTGTCATCAATACTCTGCCACACGTTATTAAAGTCATCCGCTATGTTGTGTTGGTGGAGCTATATCAACATTTCAAGCAGATAGGGAGTTTTCCGAGGCATCCAGCTCTGTCATGGACTCAAATAATTCACCCAGCATTGGTGACCATTCAATTTAACGTGTATCGAGGTTCTGATGCACCTCGGAGTCTCCCAAGTGCAATTACAGTTTGCATGGCAGATGGCAGTTGATGGCTTAGTTGGTTGTTGAAGTGCATAAATTTCTTTAGACGGGCTCTCATCAAGATCGCCGAGGTTTCTTACGCATGGTTTCAAATAACGCGGAACACCACAGTAAAGTCATACGATACTCTGTATACAGATGTGATATGGGAAGGTGAACTTACTCGGCCCAAGCTCGAACGTCACCAGGCCGATGTGATGGGGGCTGAAGTTTCTCGGTGGTGGAGCCATGGAACACCACCGTACCCAACACACGTAGTGTGAGTATGATGCGGTATAGCATCTGCGTATTCATCTTGTGTTCATAGGGCAGTCGCAGGACTCTCCAGTGTCAATACAGAGACAAAACACTTCGCGTATCCTCCCAGGCCTTCTGGAATCTGCTGTGCCCGTCTTCATCTCGTTGTAGGTTGGCTGTCCTCGATCCAGCCATCGATGTGATAATTAGGAATTGTTTTTACAAAGTTGTTTGCATCTCTCAAGTAAGCATGAAACAGCTCCTCAGGTGAGAGACTCCTTCACTCATGACCGTCATATTATTGAGTTACCTTTGTTAGAAGACATTTCCCAGCCTGCCCCAAGCCAACTAGATGGGTTAGACCTTCTCAGTGAATCGCATTCGGTACCAGCCTCACCTGGAAAGCACCAACCAACCAGAACAGGTCCGTGGGTGGGCGAGGCAGCATACAGGTAGGTGGCGATAGACAGGCGGTCAAGAATGATGTTCGATCATTGTCTCTCGTAGAGATAAGTGGGGAGGGGTAAACTATCAACACAACATATGGCGCCAGCGCAGACGAGGCATTAATCTGGACAATGAAAAGCTTGCACAGGATGCACGAATCATTACCATGTGGGCAAGAAGACAAAGGAGTTCAGTTGGCACAGCGTTTTACCTCGCCGCTCGAGACGCTGCCAGATATGTAACATCTCACTGATACCGAAAGGGTGAAGAAAATGATGTTGGCGCCTCGTGGTGAAGCAGAGTGCATGGACTTAAACTTACGAAGGGTGAGTCGAGTAGAAGAAATATCTCATTGAACCAGAGACCTGTTCTTTCGAGCGGGTTCACAGTACATGTTGATAGATTATGTAACGAGGTACGAGCGGAGGAATAGAGTTTTGTCTTCGAGCGAACGGATGACGTGGCACTGTGCTTCTTGTCTCCGTGCCACGATCACCATTCGTCCTCGGAAACTTCATTGTGCTCGTTTTGATTTCCCCTCCCTCCACTCCCTTTCTTGCATCGCACCCGATACAAGTACCTCGCTCTCCTCAGTTCCCGACCACAAGGGCCCGGAGAACACCTGCAGTACAGTCGCAGCGAGGAGGCCCTCCCTCCCTCGCAGCTCACCCCTCTGTCCCAGGTTAGTTTCTCGGGGCCGGAAGACGCTGCGAGTCCTCGCCCGAAACCTCTCGTTCCACCCTTATTATAGTTAGTATCTTCCAGCATTCGCATACGTACATTGTCCCCCGCTGGCTCGCGGCACAATGACCATCTCGTTCCCTTGATCACGTCTAAGTGAACCTCAAAGAGTACTGATGGATGGATGAGTGACGTGAGATCCAAGCCGTGGCAGCGTGGTAATATGCAATCCGTGGATAAGTACCTTCATTATCAACTTACTCATAACACACAACCTGATCAGCGTCAGCGATTAGTATACATATCTCCAACGTACGCTCCTGATTGACTTCGAATAATACTGGCCGTCTAAATATCTGTCTAGGTCAACGCAGCAACTTGCCAACATGTCACGGGCACTTCAAGTTGATGGAGCACTAGATACGTATTTCTCAATTTTGAGAAGGCAACCGACGCCACCGCGAAGGACACAAGGGCATACGGAATCAGTGTGGGCATCCGCGTTCTTCAAAGACAATCGACAGGTCGTTACTGGTTCGTGGGACTGCACCCTGCGAATCTGGGATGTGGAGAAAAGGACATTGGTAGGTCCTAGGGCCATTCAAAGGACACAGTAGCAGGGTGCGATCAGTTGCCGTATCTCCAGGTGGATTGCTAGTGGTGGTGATAAAACCATCATCTGGGACGTCAAGAGCAGGCAGATGGTATTCGAGCTGCTGAAGCATACTCAAGAGGTGAACTCGGTGTGCTTCTCCCCCGATGGCAAGAAACTCGCTAGCGGGTCAAACGATGGAACAGCTATTATATAGGATGTGGAGACTGGTGCTGTCCTCGCAATATTTCCTCATGATGGTCCAGTGTGGTGTGTTGCATTTAGTTCAGATGGGTTAAAATTAGCCTCCGGATCGTCGGGTCGTTCCATTCAGATTTGGCTGATCAATATCGCTCAATGTTTTCTCAAGTTCTATGCTCACAATCGAATTCGAAGTCTTGTGTGGTCACCTGACGCCCAACAACTTATCTCTGCTGCAGACGACAAAACAGTCAGGTTCTGGAACTCATCTAATGGAGCCCAGATCGATCAACCTTGTACCGGTCACACAAACTCGATCTACTTGCTTGCCATCTCTTCTGATGGCTCCTTTATTGCCACCGCCTCGGATGACAAGACTGTGCGAATTTGGAGCACAGAGACACACCAGCAAATAGGACGGCCTCTCGAACATCCCGACCCGGTTTATTGTGTTGCAATCTCTTGGGATGGAGGGCTACTCGTGAGTGGAGATATCCAAGGAAAGGTTTGGTTCAGGTCTACCAAGGACGTACTTAAGCGAGGCACGGCGGAGGAAAGGATAGAAACCGATGAAGAAGCACAGCGACTCTGGCAGCGATCCATTTCTTGTACCGACACGCAGGTATGCTCTTTTCATTATTGTGCTGCCTTTTTATTCATGCTGCATGGCGAACAGCTGTGCAGTCACAACGATATTAATAATGCTAAATTGGCGGGCGATCACAGTAGTTCAAGCAAGCATCCATCAGAAATTGATGAAGCCTCTGGCAGTGACGACAGATTCTCTTTATCAGAGGTGAGCTTTTATCTTTGATGCAGCTTCAACAATGTTGAGGTTCAACGATCGGTCAACTCCATGTTCATTTGGTATCGTCAATCAGCTCTTACGATCGTCTACCTGTCAGATGTCCCACCTTCAGCAAAGTCTGGCGCACTGGCAAACAGTGTTTGGAACACGCGAGGATGGACTGTTCAGGAATTCCTCGCTCCTTGTGTCATTCTCTTTTATCAAAACGATCTTAACAACCACTCTCTCAACCATAAAGACTCTATCACCATCATGCAAGAATTGGAGGATTCGACAGGTATAAATGCACAAGCACTCGTCGCCTTTCGTCCAGGCATGACAGGCGCCCGAGAGAAGCTCCAATGGGCGTCGACGCGTGTCACGACGTTGCAGGAAGACATCGCATACTCATTGTTTGGCATCTTCCGTGTCCACCTACCCGTCATCTATGGCGAGACAAAGCAAAATGCACTCGGTCGGCTCATACAGGAGATCATTGCTCGGTCGGGCGATATTACCGCCCTGGATTGGGTCGGAAAATCATCCGAATTCAATAGCTGTCTCCCAGCTAACATTTCCTCGTACAAAACAATACCATACACGTCGCCTCTACGTGAAGACGAGATGCAGATGTCTGTATCCAGGCTGCAGAACACTGTGACTGTGGAGTCGGCTTCGAACCTGTATACCCTCCTCTACAACGTCAACGCTCCTCGTTTCGCGAACTCCCGACTGCAACTTCCTTGCATTGTATTTCCTGTTACAGCAGTCAAGCGCAGGCACAGTCAAGAACAGGAGACGTGTTTCACCTATGATGTCAAGGCAGACGGTCTTCAGGACCTGTTAATCACCACACAAGATAAGCTGACTCAGTTCTCGCGGACAATAGCTGCTCGACAGTTACTATTGCTCATCCGTCCGTGGAATCGTCATGACCTCGAGCTGCCTGATCTTGAAGATGACGTGCAGAGTGTGGACAATTGGTCAGAGCCCGAGTCTCCATCAAGCGACACGCTCAGTGGATATCCTGGTGAAGATGAGCCGGTCGATTCAGAGTCTCACCCGAGAGCGTTGAGGTTGATCGCTCGCCTTGGCCAGCCATTCAGCGCATTCCTGCTGGCACAGCAGCGTGGTGGGGAGTATAAGAGAATCGCGTCAGATCATAGTGTTATCGCACAGGTGAAGGACCTAGCTTCTGTGGATGACATGATGGACATCAGAACACTAGAGATATTATAGCTGTATGCGTTTTGAAGAACGGGGATCTCTGATGATTTTTCGTTCATACTTTGACGTATTTGCATAGATCTTACCCTGGGCTTTGTATTTTAGCGTATGTTAATAGACAAACCCTCGATTGTTTACTTGAATCCTCACCAAGCCTACCAGCTGAGAAGGCGCCGTTTGTCCCTACCGCCCCAGTCGCTTGTAACAGCGGGTCCACGTCGAGCTTTATGGTCGTCATTGCTTCCACCCGAAACCAATCCATCACCATAGGAACGCCATGCTCGGGCGACTTCGGAATTAGATCTGCAGCAAATTTATGAATCGATAGCTGCAAGTTCCCCAGGAAGTTCTACATCTGACGTAAGCTGGAGGAATCCTATTAACGCTAGGCTCGAGGGCATAGCTTGCTAGCTGTTGTGCATCGAGTGGTACCGGAATGATGTACGACCTCATATTAATCAGTCCTGCAATGACATCCATCCCAAAAAGCAGCAATGCCACCCACATTGTGATAGCCCGCGACAGAATGACTGCTTACCCTCATGACTCAGGCTTGGCGAGTCGTGTGGTTGCGCTGAGCACAGCTGAGCATGAAAAAGCGAACCTTGCCTGTTCCTAAACTTTGAAAGTCATCGAGATAGGTGATATGGGGTGATTGAAGCAGTTGACAGACCTGACAAATGAAGATCTATTCTCTTCCATGATCTACCCGCCCGAATCACCGCGACGCCAACGCAGAGATATATTTGTTTCTACATTTAACACCATTTCAAGTGATGGTGGTGCGATATCACGATTCTTGTTCGAAGGTTGACACATTAGAGTGATAGAACAGAGGCGTAGCGTTGTAATCGGAAAAATGGCATGTAAAGTGGACGTGCGCAGTGGGTATTGTAAGGAGACGTTCCCCAAGGCCAACTTGATGGGTTAGAGCTTCTCAGTGATAGAGTCATATGGGACACTTCCACCTGGAAAGCACCAACCAATCTGACATAGGCCTGTGGGCGGAAGTTGATCTTGAGTCGTGGTGGATCTACCACACAGTGTAGAGTCATGCCATAGGAACCGAGCATAAGTAAGTCACGACCCTCGAGCAGCGTGGAAAAATCTGAATTGTGGCTGTGATATTACAATTTTAGTTTTAAAACTTCGGTCAACGTTCCGGGTTGGTCGCTGCGACAGCGGACGGTGGACGCTTGACATATGAACTTGTCCACACAGATAGTACCGACGATGAGCTGAAAGGCAACTCTCTGAATTTTGAAGTTTGCGCCTGTAATGGCACCCAAGGCGACAACCTCCCCCGGTCGGTTCTTTTTCGATCCTTCTTTCCTTTCTGTGGTATTGGAGAGCAGCCTTCCTCAAGTGCCAAAATGTGTTGCTTATAGTGGCTAAAGGGCAAGTAAGTACTGCGATTCAGTGCGATGGTGATTCACTCCCGCCCCAGATAAAATCTACGATCGTTTTTGTTCATGTCTTTTTTGCACGCCTTGATACAATGATACAGGCTTTTTCGCATTGAGTCCACCCAGCTACAGGTTATATCTTCTTCAGTGCGTGTTATTTATCTTGCTAGTCTTGAAAGGGGCAATAATATACTGGCTTTAGACTGGGAAAGCCTGGCGGCTCATCAGGCGTTGATGGCGTCGTACGCACGTCTGCGTGAACTTATGAAAGTCGCACCCAGAAGCGCGGCGAACACGTACCATGTAAGTTTTGACCATCATCCCATCGCATTCCAACAGACTGTCACGGAAGTCCTCCTCACGCTCAAACACCCCAGTCATCGCGCAGGTGTTCGAGATCCTCAGCAAGATCTCGAACTTGACTAATAAAATGTTCGTGTTTAGACCTACGCTGGAGGATAAGAATGTACTTATTCTGCTTGGCGGATGGCTGAGCGTTGAGGTAGGCGTTGAGATTGTTGTATTTTTGGACGTACTGATGCTTGTTGTTACGACGGGCGTCTATGAAAGTGGCTGTGGAAGAGGAGACGTGAGATACATGCCGTAGCAGCGTGGTAACACAGAACAAGAACCGTTGACAAGCATGAGTTGGGTTATATAAGGGTAAAAATCCAGTGGTACTCGCCACCCAGGACCCACAACTTAACGATATCCCAAAAGTACGCTCCTTATCAACTTCAAAATACTGCCGACAGCGTATCTCTCTGTTAGGTCAATGCAACATGTCAGAGGTGCCGACGCCAAAACGAATAACGGGAGGGCACGGAGATAAAGTGATTGCAGTCGCGTTCTTCAAAGACGGTCGACGGTTCGTCACTGGTTCATATGATAAAACCCTGCGGATTTGGGACGTCAAGAAGCAAGCATGTGTAGGAGGGCCATTCGAGGGACACACCAGAAAAGTGGAATCAGTTGCCATATCGCCAGATGAAAGGCGAATTGCGAGTTGTGGAGATGATGAGGGTTTCGTCGTCTGGGACATCGACAGCAAGGAGAAAGTGACATTCCCGTGCACGGCGAAGGTGTTCTCTGTGTGCTTTTCCCCCGATGGCAAGAAACTTGCTAGCGGGTCGCGTAACGAGTCGGTTGATGGAGATGTTGTTATATGGGATGCGAAGACTCGTGCTATCCTCGCAACACTGCAAGGCCATGATCTTTTGGTGAACTCTGTCGTGTTCAGCCCAGATGGGCTGAAATTAGCCTCCGCGTCATCAGACTGCACCATCCGGGTTTGGTGTACCGACGAAAACGAACTTCTGTTCAAGATCCGAAAAGCTCACGTTGAATCCATTTCGACTGTGTTGTGGTCACCTGACGGTCAGCAACTTCTCTCCGGATCAAATGACAGCACAGTCAAATTTTGGAACTCGTATAATGGCAACCAAATCGGTCAACCTTGCACCCACTTGGATACGAGATGCTGGTTCGACTTGCTCGCCATCTCTTCCGATGGCTCTTTCATTGTCACTGCCTTGTCTGATACTGTGCGGCTGTGGAGCACCAAGACTCACCAGCAAATAGGACCGACATTAATATCACAGGGGAGTACCGGCATCGCAATTTCTCCCAATGGAGAACTTCTTGTGATTGGAGACGACGACGGGAATGTTTGGTTCCAGCCTATCAAGGACATAGTCGTGGAAGGAAGGATACAGGATGAAGAAGAAGTGCAGAGACAACGACAACAACTTCTTGCTCTCAGTGGCACGCAGGTGCGCTCTCGTCCAGTATTTTTTCTGCCTGTTCGATCACTTACTTTGTTATCGTTGGCGACACACAGCTGCGCAGTGACGACAACCAATGTGACTTGTTAGGGGTGCCGACACCAAAACGAGTAAAGAGAGGGCACAAGCTTAATGTCACTGTGGTCGCGTTCTTCAAAGACGGTCAACGGTTTGTCACTGGTTCACGTGATAAAACCCTACGAATCTGGGACGTGGAGAAGAAAAAATTTGTAGGAGGGCCACTCGTGGGACACAAGGAAGAGGTGCGATGGGTTACCATATCGCCGAACCAAAGGCAAATTGCGAGCTGTGGAAAAGATAAAACCATCATCCTCTGGGACGCCGCAAGGAGCAAGCAGAACTTGGTATTCTACTACCTGTTTATCCTGGACTCGGTGTGCTTTTCCCCCGATGGCAAGAAACTTGCTAGCGGGTCGCGTGATAACAAGGTTATTATATGGGATGCCGAGACTCGCGATATGCTAGCAATACTCGAGGGTCATAAACACTTTGTATGGAGTGTTGCATTCAGCCCAGATGGGCGAAAATTAGCCTCTGGGTCAGGGGACAACATCCGGGTTTGGTGCACCGACAGTAACAAACTTCTGTTCAAGATCGATGGTGATCGCTATAATAACAATGCCATCCGGAGTGTTGTGTGGTTGCCTGACGGTTTGCAACTTCTCTCCACATCATTTAACTGTATAGTCAGGTTCTGGGACTCGCATAATGGCAACCAGATCGGTCAACCTTGCACCCCCACCGACTACAGGCTGATCAGCTCGTTCGTCATCTCTTTCGATGGCTCTTTCGTTGCTACTGCCGCCGGAGACACTGTGGATCTGTGGAGCACCAAGACTCGCCAGCAAATAGCACCGACGTTAATATCACAGGGGATTACTGGTATCGCAATTTCTCCCAATGGAGAACTGCTTGTGATTGGAGACGACGACGGGAATGTCTGGTTCCGGTCTATCAAGGACATACTCGATCCTCGTAGCCCTAAGTGGGACAACGCACTGCAAGGCGCAGTCAAGGTCAGACACTCCGTCTATAATCACGTATACTTCTCAGTCATAACTACGTGTGCAGCTTGCAATGATTGCTTTCGAGGACGGGCAATACATCGAAGCCGCCAATCAGTTTAACAACACCATTCCCGCTGTGACCGACATAGTATATCCTATGACACCTTTCAAACCTATTTCGACGGCGGTGCGTCACTATGATCTAATAGAGGTTATACCCTCACTGATTGATCATACACACTGTACAGCTCGGCGGAGACCTACCTTTGTTGTGGAGAACCATCAACCAGAGACGATGCGAAGCTTTCCTCCGCACCGATCGAGTGATCGAAGCTGTTGAATCTCATCAATATATGATGAGCATGATTGAAGAAGCTGCGAAGCCCAGCTGCCTCGAATGGTCTACCAGTGAGTTGTGTTAGGATCTCGGGCAACTTGAACCTCGAGACCCATTCTTGTGTCGATTAGCCTTCAAGCAGGATTGCATGGCACGCTGTGTCGCGAAGGGAGAAGATGCCGCCGCCGCCAGCGATTACAAGATGGCCATTGACATGTATTCTGCAGCGATCGTGCTAGATTCTTCACGCCACTCCATCTTTGCGCGATGCAGTAAGGCAAAATTGGCACAAAACCTATATGCAGAAGCCCTTCATGACGCGGACAAGGTGAACCATGCATCATTTTCCCTAGTAATTGAACTGATTGCGCTGATCTACAGGTTATCGAACTTGACCCTTCATCTCATGTTGGGTACGATCTTAAGCATGCAGCGCTTCACGGAGCACGACGCTATGATGAAGCAGTCAAGGTCTTGCAAATCATGCTCTCGAAGTTGGATGGCTCTCCAGATGCACAGATACGAAGTAGGTCCCGAAGAACTCATCTGTCAACTCGAAGATGACGACCTCTTTCTCCAGAGCTGCGTCAGCAATATGGCAGTCCATCAGACGTAGAATATGTTGTCCGAAGAGCCATTCACTCGCAATTGGAGAATGCTCCAATTCGTCTGATCAACACCTCTACTGGGAATTTATGCGACAGACAGGCACAGATACGTACCTTCAAGACGAGCGCAGAGCATAATGAGCTGCTCTATTCATCAATAATGGATGCGAACCTCCAAACAAAACACATCGAAGAAGCAGTAGAGGCGTACTTTCGTTGGGCCATGTTGTCGCACAGGTGGGAAAGCAAGGAGCCGCTGCTGCACGATATCCAGGACACAACCGTGTACGATTTGGACGAAGTCGGAACCGTGGTGAAGTTACAGACATTCTGCAAAATTGCCCGCGATGCAGGGTATCAATGGGCATGGAGCGATACATGCTGTATCGACCAGAAAAATAATGTTGAGCTCCAAGAATCAGTCAACTCCATGTTTGTCTGGTATCACCTCTCAGCGCTCACGATCGTCTATTTGTCCGATGTTTGCCCTCTGTCGAAGTCCGGCACGCTGGCAAATAGCGTTTGGAATACGCGAGGATGGACTGTTCAGGAATTCCTCGCTCCTCGAATTCTTCTCTTCTACCAAGCAGATTGGACCCCATATCTCGACGACATCTCACCCAACCACAAGGAATCTGTCGTTATCATGCAGGAGCTGGAGGATTCAACAGGCATAGACGCACAGGCGCTCGTCTCCTTCCGGCCAGGGATGAGAGATGCCCGAGAGAAGCTTCAATGGGCATCGAGCCGTGTCACCACGTTGCAGGAAGACATCGCGTACTCATTGTTTGGGATGTTCGGCGTCCACCTACCTGTCATCTACGGAGAGAAGAAACAAAACGCGCTAGGACGACTCTTGCAGGAGATTATTGCTCATTCGGGCGACATCACTGCCCTGGATTGGGTGGGGAAAGCATCCAGCTTCAATAGTTGTCTTCCAGCCGATATTGTCTCATACAAAGCTCCTCCATGCACACTACCATCTCTATCCGAAGACAAGATGCAAACGTCGGTCCTTGAGCTGCAACATGATGCTGCGGTTGTGAAGTCGGCTTCAATTATCTTTACCCGCCTTGACAACCTCAGCGCTCCTCGTTTTTCAATTGCCCGACTGCAACTACCTTGCATCGCATTCCATATCAGGGAAGTCAGAAGGAGGCGTGGTGAAGGCTCGGGGACATGTTTCACTTATGACGTCAAGGCGGATGGTCTTCAAGATTTGGTAATCCGCACCGAAGACAAACTGATTCAATTCTTGCGCACAAAGCACACTACGAGTCGGCAGACATTCTTCCTCGTCCTTCCATGGAATCGTCACAACCTCGGGCTTCCTGACTTTGCAGACGATACGCAGAGCGTGGACGGGTCTGTGCTCGAATCTCCGTTGGAAGATTCATTCAGTGAATCTCCTGGAGAAAACGAGCCCGTTGATTTAGACTCTCAGTCGCGAGAGTTACGGTTGATCATTCGCCTCGCGCAGCCTTTCGCCGCACTTTTGCTAGCGCAGCAGCGCGGTGGAGAGTATAAGAGAATCGCTTCCGATCACAATATCATCGCAGAGGCCAAGGACATAGCTTCTGTTTGTGACGCAATGGACATCAGGACGCTAGAGATATTGTAGTAGTATAGTGTGAGCTCTGCAAGTGAAATTTGCATTGCTTACAGGATTAAAAATCTATTTTACGAGGCCAACTGGATATGCGGATGAGCGGAACCGGGAAGACATCCTCTTCAGCCAGCATAGAGTCATAATGTGATAGGAGAGGGTGCCACAAGAGCGTAAGTGGATCAGGTTGCTTAGTTCCATGAGCTCCTCAACTAAAAACTAGGCTCAGGTAGAGTAATTATCAGCAGATGCCGATGAGAAGGAACGAAGTCCTCTCAGTTGACACTTGGTTGACACGTTGAGTTTGTAGCGGTCACGAGACATGTAAATATGTGCAAACGAGGCCGGGTACGATGTGCGGCTTTCACACCTAAACAGCCAGGACGTCATTTTTTTCCAGCGTGGACAGCCTGTGGTTCACGTTTGAACCTCACTACAATGATACATATTAATTGGTAACAAAACCCACCGGTAAAATTATCTCGCTCCAAAGTTTTTTGCAGTGCGTGGTACTTACCACAAGATATGTGCACGAGGCCTCATCTGATGCCACATGTCACAGATCCACTCGAAGGCACTTGTCGAGGCTTCACTGAAGTATTGCCCTCCTTCTCCGCCCTCACCCGTTGCTTTATCATTATCATTTACAGGCAAACATTACCAGAGATTGGGTTCGCAGCTGGCACCCTCTGGCACCACCCACGCACATTTTTACAGCTGTTTTTTTTCATGTGTTTGCACGATGGTCCAGAAGATGAAATATAGGCAATCTAACATGTCACAATCAGTCCATTTACTACTTCGGTGACAACCTCAGACAATACCCATATGTTTTGACACTTTTGTACATTCACTGGGATCATCATACTGAAATCTTGTTCATTAGATTTTGCGCTGAAATACTGGCGCTGATATTATGTAGGCATTGAATAACATCCAGGTAATTGTAAATAAAATAAACTGCATGAAATTTTCGATTAAACTTGTAGCCTAGCAGCGCGTTTTTGGGTAGGAACTACTACCTACAGTTTTTGGATAGCATGCGGATATTATCACCACTCGTACAGATAACGAAGTAGTCATGGTGCTATCTCACATCACGTCTTGTGCCTGCGTGCCTTGCCTAGGCGGTGGATCAGTGGCAGGCGGTAATGCCACCATGCGCCAACCCAGTTTGCTGGTCTCTCGCCATACAAGACGTATTCTTATCTGTACAACAAACATGAAAAACCGATATGCACCATCCAGCTCTGGACTCAATAGAGCTTCGATAACAGGCTTGAATGAAGTAAATACCAATCGGAGTCGGGAACTAGCGCTGCGATTAGATACATGGCAAGTTGGCAACTATCAGCAACTATCAAGGAGGGCACACGAAAAACGTACGGCGAAAGGAAAGCAAGGTTTCTGGCAGCGAATCCGGCATTTTACGAACAATCATTGGGGATATCCGGAATACTATATACGGTAAATAAGAAACGGGCATTAATATTGAGACTCACCAAAGAGACAAGTTATGGTTTATGACTCTGATATATCCAATAGATAGAAATATCATTGGGTCGTCATGTCACCACACGACATGGTTGAGTATTCAACCGCATTGATGCCCTTCAAGGTTTCGATGCTTTTGTTTGGAATAGGTTGATCCTACGGATTTTCCGTACTCTGAGTTGTACTCGATCGAGTTATATTATGGGTTAAATTCAACGCCAAGCTAGTGCCACCAAGTTACTTGCTAGTTAAAATGTCATGTTCGCGTCAATTGACTCTATCAAAGGCTTATACCATCACTAGATTTCGGAGACGTACCTGAATTTTGCACCTGTTCCAAGCGCCAGGTAGCCGTTTCCGCCAGAAAATGTCCACCGCTGAACTCGCATCTGGAACCGCTCGTTTGAGATTTTTGTCATTCGTGACTCTGTCGTTTACGTGGTTCTCGCCTCGCACGCGCGCACCGGTCAATATCAGAACACGAAATAGTAAGGTCGCCACCAGGGGTCGGCGGGACACGTCGCAACTACTGTCGTATCAAAAGACCGAGTTGCATGTGCTACTCACCGCTATCATTTGTCCTCGGAGCTGCGGTAAGGGATTCCAAAGAGAAGTGTGTAATCACATACCACCTAGATCGCCCGCCAGGAATTTGGCTCGCTGGTCGGGCTCCAACTAAGTTACCAGCATGGCAGAAAACCACCCCCATTGCTAAGGGAATAGAGGGTTAGGAATATAAAAACGCGAAATAGTAAGGTCACCGCCAGAGGTCGGCAGGACACGTCGCGACTACTGTCTTATCAAAAGACCGAGCTGCATATTATACTCACCGCTGCTATTTTCGGCAGGACACGTCGCAACTACTGTCGTCCAAACTGAATCCTGTCTACAACAATGAGCCTTAACTTTCGCGATACGTATAAAAGTAAATCATCTCCCTACCATTCACCCTATCTCAAAGAGATTATTCGCCCTCAGCAGACCATACCACCTCGCACACGCAATGCGTTTATCCTTCCTCACCGTTACCGCCGTGTTGGCAGTATTTATAATGTCTGCCAATGCAGAGAATCCGACGCGCTATGAGTGCTGCTACGAAGGCGGTGAGCTCGCTAGGGATGTGAGTAGCAGTAGTTTGCTTTGAATCTAGTTTTCAACTGATGACTCACCCTTCTTGCCTTGTTGTATCAGGTGCTTTCCAGTACATACTGCGTGAATTGTCCCGCCGCCAAGAGAGCAGGACGATTTGCACGTAGAGACACACTGATGGGTATTTATAAACGGTCAGAAGGAGAAGGATTGGGAGAAGATTCAGTCAGTAAGAACAGCCCTGGAGTGGGGAACAGAGACGTGGGAGATAAAGTCCTAGACCCGTTAATAGACCCGTCAGGGAGCAGCGGTGGAGTGGGGAATAGAGACGTGGGAGATAAAGTCCTAGACCCGTTAATAGACCCGTCAGGGAGCAGCGGTGGAGTGGGAAACTAGACTGGAACCGTTCAACACGTATAGTAGAGCACTAAAGAGAAGCTGGTCGATCTCGGAGTTTCAGTTTTTGTAATAGAGTCTAGACGTCTCGCTCGTACCTTCTGTACTTGCCCGATAATCAGATGGGTATCCGCTTTCCATACAGATGTTGGACCACTCAGCCATAATTTTCTGTATCTAGTTTGGAAGCAAAACTCGAACTTGGTCGTATAAAACGGACTCGAACCCAGTAAAGTCCTGGATGTCTCCTGCGGGGAATTGCACGTTCTTGAAAGAGGAATGTGCGAACAAACGAATTCGAAGGCGGGGACGCTCCCTACATCTGACAATACTGCAAACTCTGATTTCAGTCACTGCCAAAAAGGACTGATGTTTCTGACAAACCATTGATTACATAATTAATGAGAATCCTATCAGCGACATCCGATTTCAAATGTGTTCGAGCCGCAGCATCACCACCTGCAAGGATATCTTCATATTCACAAACCAGGCAGATGATGACGACGACTGCGTCTCCGATCATGTAATATTTCAGGCACTGCCGAAAAGCATATCAATATTAAAATGCCACCAAGTCACTTGCTAGTCACTTGCTAGTAAAAATGCCATGTTCGCGTCAATTGACTCTGCCAAAGGCTTATACTATGACTAGACTTCGGAGACATACCTGAAATTCGCACCTGTTCCAAGCGCCAGGTAGCCGTTTCCGCCAGAAAATGTCCACCGCTGAACTCGCATCTGGAACCGCTCGTTTGAGAATTTTGTCATTCGTGACTCTGTCGTTTACGTGGTTCTCGCCTCGCACGCACGCACCGGCCAATCTCAGAACACGAAATGGTAAGGTCACCACCAGGGGTCGACGGGACACGTCACGACTACTGTCGTATCAAAAGACCGAGTTGCATATCATACTTACCGCTGCTATTTTCGGCAGGACACGTCGCGACTGCTGTCTGAATCCTGTCTACAACAATGAGCATTATCTTTCCGATACGTATAAAAGTAAATCATCTTCCTACCATTTCACCCCATCTCAAGCAGATTATTCGACCTCAGCAAACCATACCACCTCGCACACACAATGCATTTCTCCTTGCTCACCGTTACCGTTGTGTTGGCAGGATTTATAATGTCTGCCAATGCAGCAGAGAATCAAAAGTGTATCGAGGGGAGCGGGAGTTACCGTGACAGCCCGCTCACTGAGTGCTGCAACGAAAGCGATAAGCTCGTTAGGGATGTGAGTAGGCGTAGTTTGCTTTGAATCTAGTTTTCAACTGATGACTCACCCTTCGTGCCTTGTTATTTCAGGTGCTTGGTACATACTGCATAAGTCCCAAGAGAGGAGGACGATTTGCACGTAGAGTGGAGCACAGAGACGTGGGAGATAAAGTCCTAGACCCGTTAATAGACCCGTCACATAGCAGCCCTGGAGATGGAAACTAGACTCAGTGGAACCGTTCAACACGTATAGTAGAGTACTAATAGTAAAGAGAAGCTGGTCGATCTCGGAGTTTCAATTCTTGTAATAGAGTCTAGACGCTCGTGCCTTCTGCACTTGCTTGATATTCAGATGTCTAGTTTGGAAGTAAAAACCGAACTTGATCGTATACAACGGACTCGAGGTGAACCCAGTAAAGTACTGGATGTCTCCTGCTGTCAGACGTCTCAGGATCGAGGCGCGACTCAAACAACAACTAACAAAGACCTAGATACTGAAAGAATTGACCATTGGTGAGTTTAAATACAAAATAAACGCTAAGTAATACCTGAAAGAATTGACCAGCACGACATCAGAGAAAAGGAGGATGTACGACTCTCCGAAGACAAATGCTAGATCTAGACGAACAAACGCGAACAAACATCATATCCCGTGACGAAACACGAAAAGAATTCATGGGGCCTGCGGGGGCTTGCACGTTCTTTTTGACGGAAGTTTTGCTCGCTTTGACTTGGGCGTGTCTGGCGAGTTCTACCCGTACCTCTTCGATTTGCATGAAGGTTCCACACTCACTTTTTTGACAGCTTATCTCGGTAGTTTGGGGCTTTTGCCAGAGGTGAACCCAGTAAAGTCCTGGATGTCTCCTGCGGGGGCTTGCACGTTCTTTTAAGAGGAATGTGCGGACGATGACCTGGATGGTGGTACGCGCTCATATTTCCAGCCTCACGTTAAACCCTTACACGTCTCTTTTTTGGATACCTTGATAACAGGCCTTTTTTGCGTCAAGCCCAGACTCTAGAGAGAGAGACGGTATTCGCTGATTGAAGAGAGTTCTTTCGACGGCTAATACTGTCGCCTTCCTCTGAGTCTTGGGTGTCGCTTCCAAGTCTAGCCATGGTGGCCTTCGCACGCGTAACCGCTTCTTAGTCCCCACTACGTCTTGCGACACCGACACGTCCACTAGAGAATCACGGAGTGCTGGTGGACCGCTTTTCTTCGTTGTTGTCTGTCCTAGAGGCTAGCGCGCACCTGCCGAATTGCATATCAGTGAAGCTTCGAATTTGAAAAGGTACGGGATTTTTCAAAGCGTATTGATATTCATCCATCGACCCAAATACGAGACCGTGACTATTGGGGTACCTCATACCCATCACTCTCGTATGATGCAATTAACTTTGCACAAGATTTGCACGTCAAAGGTTTGATGTTTTTGTACACTAATGAAGTTCAAGGAATGCATTTCTTGATATCTTGTTCATTACAGAGGTCGATCAATTGGCTTTCATCCTGCAGTTCGGCATCGCCCTGGTTCACATCCTTGGAAAATTGTGGTAGGCATTTGATTAGTCAGCTGCGTTATTAACGAATCTATCATGATGTCAGGCACCTGGTCTGTGGGTCTTTGCTGCGTAACCCCCTCATCCCCCGCTGTCATACATCCACCTCCATCAGCCTTCGAATCTCCATTGAGAGCTGGCCCGTTACCTTCCCTTCCCACCCCACGTCGGCTTACATATAAACGCCATTCCACCAAGTCGACTATGCATATTATATATCTTCATTGTCATCTTCATCTTCATTTCCACCCCCAGCTCCACCTATCACAAGCTTAATCTCCCAACTGGCTGATATGAACCCAAGTATTAAATTCTGTTTCAACGCACTCGAAAAAGAAGCACCAAACTAAACATTAACATGAACGCATTAAATTACAACAACTCTACTATTTATCTAACGAAAGAAAGAAAAACAGATAACAAGAACGAAAAAGTGAGTAGAATAAAGTGAGGGAGTGAATGAAAAAAAAAAACATTAATGAAGGTGACAACGAAACAAGACGGGGAAACGTGTATACGAAAAAGGCGGGGAAATGTATATACGAAAAAGTGTGATGATGTTAAAAAAAGATAAGCAAGCCTATGTGAACTTGTGATGCTGCGCCGCGCCGCCGTGTGATGTCAAAAAAAAATTACATGTACATGTACCTCCCCCTGAGTAGTAGGTTCCAGATAATCAATATGATGAACAACAAGATAATCAACAATGACATTCTTCTTCGGATTTCCGGCCGCTGGATGTATAAAAGGATTGGAGGAGTTCTCGTGAAAAAGGATTGGAGTAGGGGACGTGGAAAGGATTGGAGTAGAGACGTTGAAAGGATTGGAGTAGTCTCATGAAAATGATTGGAATAGAGATGCAGAAAAAAATGAATCGTCGCCCAAAGAAAGAGGGAAGAGAAAAAGAAAGAAGAAGAAAAGGTAATACAAAGAACAACCCAAGCTTTCACCGTTTCCGCTTCCCACTCATCAACCCCTCCCCATCCACCATCATCGCCATCACATTCCCCATCCCACTCTCGATACCCATACCCTCTGCACTCCCACTCCCACTTCCACTCCCACTCCGTGCGAACACCTCCACTTCTCCCTCGTCCGAATCTACATCTAGCATATCCATCTCTTCATCGAGATCGTCGTCCACACGTGCGTTCTCCATCGGAGGCAGATTCGAATTCGGGTGTGACGGCAGGTGCGGATGCACAACATGCCCCGCAGTCCGCACCCTCACGCGCGGTCTTGAACTCGCATCGCCCTCCACCTCCGTCTCAGCTCCGTCCCTCACCATCGGTGGCGCAAGCAACGGCGACGGCTTCGCTCCCACTCCCACCGCTCCCTCCCCTTCTTCCTCGTCATCATCATCTTCAGGCGACGAAATAGCCTCGATCACTTCCAGTTCCGGTTCAGGTTCGATCTCAACTTCGACATCTTCATCGAGATCTGCAAAGGTGCGGCACAGGGGACAGCTGAATGCTGAGGAGTGGGCTTCGAGGAGGGGGCGGATGCATTTGTAGTGGAAGGCGTGACTGCAGGGGGCTATGAAGAGTGCCTGGCGGATGGTTACTGCAAAGAGGCCTTTGTGGGGTTAGTATGGGATTGGGTAGATAAGGGATAGGATAAGCGGGAGGGACGCACAGATACAACAATCGGGAATGTTAGTCTTTGGCATGCGTTTCTTGCCGTGGGCGATGGCGCTTTGTGGTTGGTTATGGGGGTCTGCGCTGAGTGAACGGAGCTGGGAGAGCGCATTGGTGCTAGAACCCAACGATCAACGGCCTATCCGCATCATCAAGGAAAGCGAAAAACGCACTTGAAAGCATTAGGAGCAGCCTGCCACTCCCTCCCCACCTCGATCCTGATCTTGACAGACTTGTAGATATCCTCAGTGCCACCCTGATAATCCACGCCCAGCTGAACGATATCGCCGTCTTTGAGCTGATGGGGTTTACTCTCTGAGCCTGCGGGACTTAGGCGGAGATGGTTGAGGAAGGTGCCTGATGAAGATTTTGTGTCTTTGATGTAGAACTTGGAGTTGTCTGTCCAGATCTCAGCATGGGCGCGAGAAACGACTTTGCTTTTGAAGGCTAGTTTGTTGGTGTTTAGGGCGTTTACTGCTGCGAGACCTATTCCTGAGCGGTCTGTGAAGCGGCCGATGCGGAGGGGGCTGTCGTTGTCTTTGAGGTCGCGGGTTATGGGTTCGAAGCGGAGTGTGCGGCGGGAGTCGAGGTGGGGTACGAGGCGGATACGGTGGGTTGGGTTGTTGTTGGTGTTGGTGTTTGAGAATGTGGTTGCGCGGAGGAGAGGTTGGGCGGCGGGCATTGTTGGTGAGGTGGGTCTGTTTGAGTTGTTGACGGTGCCGGCTGAACGTCTGCGGCGAAGAATGTTTGAAATTGGGCCAAGATTTGAGTTTGATGATGGGTTTATCTGTGGTACGAAACTTCGTCTTCTTTGTGAGGTCGTTGAAGGAGAAGGGACTGGAGGGGATGGAGTGAGTTCACGGGGTGGTTGTGGTTGTGGTTGTGGTTGTTGTTGGTGTGAAGTAGAAGTTCCTCTTGGGCGTCCACGAAGAAAGGATCCCAAAATGGTCACTGTGGTCCGTTGAGGTAGGACAACTTGTTGTGAATCATTTAGAATCAGCCTAGAATTTGGAGCTTCCATCATGTGCATGATAGTTCAGTGGATGAGTGTCTGCTTTGTCGTTATTCGCTTGTTTATTTTCTTCTGTTCTGATGAAGGCACTGCGAGCGACGCCGTAGTTTAAGGCACTTGGCTCTTTACGGAACCCACAAGGTCCGCTTCAACCGACGCTAGTCAAACACAGCCTAGCTTAGCCTAGCTCAATTAACATCCTAGTACCACTGTCAAGGACAACCAATATACCGACCAACGACGTCTATCAACACAGGTTCCACCCAGTTCTACTAATCAGGTTTCCTTTCAACCTGAACGGGTACCTGAACTGAGACGATTCGCCCCATTGTCAGCTGCTTTCAGTCTCCTCGTGCTTTACTTATCCGGTCTCTTGAAATCACACCGGACCTCTTACTTATAAATAGCACCTCTTTCGTCCGGTTTTCGCACTTCTTACCGCGATCGCATTCTGCAGGTCGTGTTCGTCTCCAGGGTCAATCGTCTGAACAGAGTATCTCGCCTTTGTCAGTATACGATATCACCTCGGTTTCACGACACAATGCTTTATTGTCCGTTACACGGTGCCCACTCCTTTGTGCATCATGGATATTGGGCGTTCATCAGAGCCGTAGCGTCATCACCTTCAACGTGCTGCCTTTCTGCTTTAATTGAAGCAGCTTTTGAAGTTGGCGGCGCTGCGTTTCGTGCAGATCGCAGATATTCTACACTCTAGTTCGTACCTTGACTTGGTTGAACAACACGATATACGCACTGACCATGTACCCTTGATAGTCCTGCCATTTCTTTCACTCTTCACGGCACAGGAGAAAGGCAACACTACTGCAAAATGAAGATCGTCGTCGGAGCAGTAGCAGCATCACCTGCGAATGCTGTTTTCATCTTCAATTCAAGAGATCCTCGCAATTGGCGGCGCTGCATTTCGTGCAGATCGCAGAGCCACTCCCTATGTTCGTAACTTACCTTTGTTGGTCAAACTGATCACGTATCTTTGACAGTCTCTTCACCGTAGTGCCAAATGAGGATCATTAACAGCACGCGACATCGAGCATGCATCGGAGTCGCAGCGTAATCACCTATGATGATCCCTAAGTATTTCTTCTGGAGATCATCACAGGTGGCATCGCTGCGTTTCGTGTAGATCGCACAGTCACTCTCTATGTTCGTAACTTGCCTTTGTTGGACAAACTGATCACGTACCCTTGACAGTCTCTTCACCGTACTACCAAATGAGGATCAACAACACGCGACATCGAGCATGCATCGGAGTCGCAGCGTCATCACCTGTGATCATCCCCAGTTATATCTTTTGGAGATCATTACAGGTGACATCGCTGCATTTTGTGCAGATCGCAAAGTCGTTCGTCATTCTCTAGGTTCGTATCTTGCCTTTGATGGATCCAATACATGCACTGACCACATCGTTGACAGTCTATGCACCGTACTGCCAAATGAGGACCCCCGACATCGTCTGCTACTCAATATGCACTCCTTTAGGCAGCATGCGACACCGGGCGTTCATCAGAGTCGCAGCATCATCACCTTCGGAGTCAGCCCTTAATTATCTGGATGACTTTGCAGGTGGCGTCACTGCGTTTCGACCAGATCGCAAGGTTGCTCTTGGAACCTTCACTCTAGGGTTCGTACCTTTGCTTAATCGGATACTCGTTCGGACGCTGTTAATGTTCTCCCAGAAATTTTAATATTAATATGCTTTTCGGCAGTGCCTGAAATATTACATAATCGGAGACGCAGTCGTCATCATATCTGCCTGATGACTTCACGTTTGTGAATATGAAGATATCCTTGCAGGTGGTGACGCTGCGTTTCGAGCACATTTGAAATCGGATGTCGCTGATAGGGTTCTCGTTAATTATGTAATCAGTGGTTTGTCAGAAACTTTATCAGTAATCCTTTTGCCAGACTGAAATCAGAGTTTGCAGTATTGTCAGGTGTCGGGAGCTCCCCGGCTTCGTGAAACGTGAGGAGATCTCGGGTTGCAAGTGGGGACGCTGCGTTTCGAACAGATTGCGCCAAGTAACTTTGCCTGTTCGGACGCTGTCAAGGTAACCACGCTCCGAGGAGAGTTTGAACCAATCCTGAGCGATCCATTATATTGTATAACACTGCCACAGTACTAGTCTCGCACTATGCATAACCCTAGAAACACGTCGCTTCTCTCTTTGTTTTTAACTCACCCTGATAAAGCTAGGGTTCGTGCACTCCTCTCCCGTTTTGCTCAGGTTGACCTTTTTTGTCCCTGACACGACGAGACGCCCTCGAAGACCTCATAGCTTCACGTGTCCCCGTCATCGTCGGAGAAGCGCCCTCCGCAGATTCTCGTCACACTCGTGGCCGACAAGTGTTTGCCGATGGACAAATTGATAGGCTTGGATTGAGCCATCTGGGCAACACTCCTCCTGCAAAATCGTGTGCTGTGTTGTCTAAGCGGCGGAGACTCCGCGTGTTCGTAGAGGTACCACAGGCCCCACCCTCCTGGAAGTTGAAATCAATACGGCGACGCTCACTAGACTTTGGACCCAACGATAGCGACCTTATCCCACAGATTACCGCCATCAGGGATGATGAAGTGGGGGGTTGGCGCTATCAAGGATGAAGAAGCCGCCAATGATGCCAAAACCGAGGACGAAGAGGAAATTGACGAGCTTTTTGTGTCGCAGGAAAGGACATGATTTGTGTAAGCATCTCGAGCCTCCATTCAACCCTCACAAACCTCTCTTTAACCCTCGCAAGCCTCTCTCTTCAACCCTCGCAAGCCTCTCTTCAACCCTCGCAAACTTCCATTCAACCTCCATCACATCCTCGCGAGCCTCCCTTCCACGGCATGTACTAACCATTAGCATCTGCACACGTGATCATGTTGATTGAGTGTTGGTGTCGCGTGTTGCCTTCTATCTTACTTTTTGTCTTTACCGCTGTCTGAGATGCTCTTCCCCCCGCCTCACAAAGTCACATGCTCGAGTACAATACATTTTGCCTGGTATTCATGGTTACGAGATTAGGAGATGACGAGGATACATGGCCTGACAGAGAGGGATAACAAGTGTGTATTTTCTTCGTGGTTTGAATGTGTTCTTGTATCCCTTTCGCGTCCACGGCTTTTCCCCATGTTGTTAGTCACTGTCTCTGTACGCCTTTCATGCCAAATATATTGCCTTTCGCGCACTTGTATTGAGATTCAGCAAATTCCAACATGTATTGCAAAACATACAGATCAACTATTTTAAACAGCGAGGGCGCACGGCCTCGCGTGGTTGGTTCCTACCCTCGCAAGCCTCTGGGAGCACGGAGACAATACACAAAGGAAAAGGCATGTACCTCTTGCGGCAATTGCAGGGAGCCTCCGTGGAGAGGCATACCTCACAGGTGGGTTCCCTGCAACATAGAAACCCCACCTCATAGACCGTGGGACGGGTGCTTAAGTGCTGCCAAGGGTGATTGATTGCAGGGTGCGTGTGTTTGGATAAGTCAACAGAATGGGGTTGAGCCTGGTTGAGTGTCACTCACATCAAGTAGCGCGCTGTCGTAGTGTTCGCACCCCCGCGCAAAAATGGCCTTCAGTGTGAAGAGAAGGGCATATATTATGAATAGGCGGAAATAAAAGGTCTACAGAAAGTCGGTGGATGAATAGGAAGAGTCAGGGATATTGAACAGTGAGCTGACAGCGTAATGTCGTGCCAATGGTCAGTGCATCCAAGCCAAGGAAGAGCTTAGATTTCAGCTAAAGAGCAAGGCTGAAAGATGCGCACTGTCAACATATTAAGTCGAGCAGAATGGCAAGTGTGCTGAATCGGTCGTTTTGTGATGTGGTTGGTATCCTCCAAGTCTAATTGAAGTTTATGCTGACACTGGCATGTGTTCAAGTCACGGTGTTGGGTGACGGGTCCGACTGTCCATCATGCATCATGCATCATGTGAGGCATCTATACATTATATTCTGCAAGCTTAAAACGAGACGGACAAAATGCGTCGTAAGCGAACTTTTTACATGTCGTGCCGTTAACCATACTGCACCAACACGAACGGAGAAACACGACTCACTGTGGCTCAGCGCTCAGTCGTCGGTCACGGACGAACACTCATATATGTATACAGGCTACCGCGCCAGTGAGTCATGGGGTTAAATCCTGGATGAAAATTACTCATACTCACATTACCGGCTTCAGAAAGAATTGATGGCGTGCATACATCGCCATTGCAGCAATCTGCATCCGACTCGCAAAGGATGTTACATTCAACGTCAGCACTGACAGGCATGGACGCTGCCAATGCAACAACAGCGGCGAGGACGAAGGAGAGACGCATTGTTTGTGAGATATGATATCGGCTCTCGAAAATAAATCTGGAGGGGACAGTAGGAAGACAGCAGAACCTATCCACCTCAAATACCTCTTCAAACAGATGGCATTTGCAAATTGCAATATATTTGCAGATTTCCGACGGCTGTCTGTAAAAATCTGTCGTCAAGCATCGATTAGCTCGTTCTGTTATGGAAAGCGGGAGTGATCAGCTTCAGCTTCGCTAAGCGTGTTTGTTTGGCTATTACCTGTCACTGGCAGACCCCCAACCACTGCTTGAGAAAGCCAATGTTTTTAGTGATATATTCAAGATATATTGCTCGTCAAATTGAGCACTTTCTTGCATATGTACTCACCGACAATCTCCGTCTATCTAGTTATCGACGCCACGATTTTGAATTTCCCTAATGACAAGTTGAGTTGTGCGTCGACGTACGACCAAGGCGACATCGACATGCGCTACGACGAATACAACAACCGTCCCCTATAAGGGACCGTACTGGACAAATTGTTTTTTCGCTTTTGACTTTGCGAAACTTGACTTGAGCTTCCGCGTTACTATGGTGATGTTTTGATTTTTGATTTTGATGTTGTTAAGCTTGACTCACCAGACTTTGACGCACAGGACTTGTATCCACCCGGGCTTCCCGCTTCCGATAAACGTCACGAGCGCTTCCGTGCGCAGATTGCAAGAAGTTGACAATACCCCCGTCACCTACCGAGGACGACCGTGGCAGACGCCATCCGCCACGCCCTATGGTGCTGGTCCATCCGAGACACCGCTACGCACGCCACGCGGGGAGCCACTGACGACACGCCCGCGGTATGATATCGACTCAAGTCTAGACGACTTCCAGGCGCAGTATACCTCGGAAGACAACGCTAGCTTTACACAGAATATGGATGAGGAGAATCGGAAGCGCAAGGAGAGGTAGGGCTGGGCATGGGAGGCACAGAGGAGAGTTGAAGAGCAGCGGGATAGGATGATTGAGTAGGGCGAGGATCTTGCCGACAAAAAATCGGTGCAGCTGATGCTGTAGTCGCTCTTGCCAGGGCGGGTGCTACCGAGGCCTTCGAACCCACTTTCATCGACTCTGGTCTCTACGCAGCTCCCATTCTTCTGCTCATCCGAGAACATTAGAAGGTTATCCCTCCTGGCTCTCAAAGAGGCCGCCTGCACCGGCATCCTCTGTAGGAGTGTTCGAGCCCCCCTCACCCGAGGCGTTCTGCCCAGGCTAGCGCTAATCCGCTCATGGCCTTCTACCACATTCTTGAACAAACATTCTACGACTTCAATGCTGTATCTATAATCTTGCAGTATGTTTCTATCTCTTTAAGAATTATTAAGCGCTGTCTGATTTTATTATTCTGCAGGATCACCAGGTTTTCCAATCCTTGCGCACCAGGCGTGCCAGGTTCGGGCTAGAATTGGGCACTCGGTGCTGCAGCGTACATAGCTTGCCGGTTGGCTTGGATTACCATGGTTTTTGTGCTCTACGACTTCGAGCTCTTATCCAATCACAATCTTATCACGGACGAAGAATGCTTGGGCGCATGCTCCATGGCCAACTTTGCATTTGTTCCTCAGCTATTCTCATCCTTTTACGAAGTATTACAATGACAATATCTAAATTATAGCCGCTGTCCGAGTTGCGCAGGTCCGTGTGTTGTTCAGGCTGCCTCGTCAATTTGGCGTGTACCCGCGACCTCTTGCATACGTTGAATGGTTTACCCCGTTCAGAGAGCCAGACGAGTCGTCTGGTCTGCGTCTAATATCTCGTTCAACGCGTCACTTGCGACGGAATTCGGCCGTGATTCATGTTGACGAGATTATTCGTCCATGTCACCTCATACCCAAGATGGGTCAATTGGTCAATCCTACGTGGACGAGCGCGAATGTGTATGAGTTGGCGAGTGAATTTTACTTAAATCCATTCATTGACCTCGAGACTTTTTGTATGTCCACTACGAGTACTTAGATTGATTTAGAATAGGACTATTGGCTACTACAGTGAATACATCTACTCCCAGCGCCTCCCGTAGCTCTACATAGCCCCGTATTCAACTACATATCACTACAGTGACTATGTAGCAATATGTAGCCGTCACTGGAACTACACCGATATTTGTTTTTTCCTGATGTCCCTCCGACGCCATCTCACAACTTATGAATCCACCGCTAGCTATCTCGGACCATGTCAAACACAGATTCAGACACTCTCATCACTATTTCTTCCTCGTCCGATTCGGGTGGTGACGTCTCGAAAGACCTGACGCAGGCGGAATCCTCCACACCTCACAAAGAGATTGAAGCTCTTCTCCCAGAACTTCCTAACGACTGGAAGCCGCCTGTCCAGCCCATCGCTCAGTTCTTTTTCAATAAACTTTGCTTGTTCACTGTCGACAAGCCCGATCTCGAGGAATTTTGGCAGGAGGTCAGACAAGAGGACAACTGGTATAATTGTGTCATGCGCGTGCACGATTTGAAGTCGCGCAATATCCCTGTGGTGTCCACCATTAATCCCTACTGTTCTATCTTGCAAGACTGACGCCTCCGCTGTCTTATTGTAGCACTTCTACGCTTCCATAGCATATGCGTTTACCATGCACATGCTATGGCTGTTATCAAACCCGCAGACCTTACATCCAAAGCAAACTACATAGCGCTGTCTTACCTGTCGAAGCCGTTGCTGCTCGTCGCGCCACTTCGCCAAATGTACTTTGTTTTGCTCCTGCACAATGAGAAGAAGTTGCAGCAGATTATGACCCGGGTAGGGAATTTCCTAGAGCGTAGTGGGCTTTCATTGACCCCAAACCTAGCAACCGGGCAAGATGGTGGTCTTGACTTACCTCACTCTCTTTCGCATGATGTATTTTTCTTTCCCTTTAGCTTGTGCGTCTCTGGCTCTGTACGTGTACCTCTTCGGCCTGAGAGTTCCACGCTGACCGTTTTGATATCTTATCCAGTGCATTTTCATTTTATAGCGTTTACAGGGGCGAATCCGGTGAACTACTGGATGTCTATTGTGGGGGCCTGCACGCTAGCCCCGTTCTTGGACGCCGTTTTCAAGAGGAACGTGCGGGCGATGATCTTGAGAGGTGTGCTGGCTGTCGTAATGTGGTTTGGAATCGCCTTGGGTCACTTCCAGCGCAATTGTAATGACGATTAATCAGGCTCCTTTAAGCAGTACGCGTCCCGCCCCACAGATAAACTTCTTGATCATTTTTATACATGACTCTTTTTGCACGCCTTGATACAGACCTTTTTGGCGCATCGAGTCCAGTGTGAGGCATCTACAAATGTTTTCTGCGGTGGTGGTACTCTTTGAACGCCGTTTTCAGTATGATGACATGTTGCGTCTCTAACAACGGTTACACAAACGTTCTAGAGACTCTTGCAGTTGGCGTCGTTGCTTCGAGCAGATCGCAGGATCGCTCTATGACACTTTACTCTCAAGGTTCTCAGTACCTTGGCTTAGTTGAATAACCCTTCAGACGCCGCTGCTAATGCTCTCCCAGAATAATTAATATTCTGCCTGAAGTATTAACCGGAGTCGGAGTGTCATCGCCTGGGGATCCAGCGTTGAAACGCGAGAGAGTAGAGTAGGGTGAGTTCAAAATGAGTTTCATAGCTTCGATTGGCTGACATGTGTTCAGTCCGACTGTGGGAGGCTTCATATTCTATAGCCTTACAAGGTGGAGAAAACAATGCGTCGTCAGTCCTTCAGTCATATGTTATGTATTCAAGTGTTTGGGCTGTTCCTCTATTCCAAGGTCTTCATTGCTCGGCAGCAGTGAATTTGTTTCAAAGGAAGCACTCTTCAACGAACATCAACCACACTGCACCAATATGAGAGCAGAAACACGACTCACTGTAGCTCATGATCACTGGGCTATATACACATAAACACGTATTCAGCCTACCACGCCGGTAAGTCGTGGAATTGAATCTTGGGTGAAAACTACTTACACCATTCTTATCTGAATATTCGTACTGTTGCTGGCATGTACTGCCTGCACAGCAATCTGCGTCTGAGCCGCAAAAGAGGGCACAGCTGCTGTCAGAACTGATAGCCTTAGATGCTGCCAAAGCGGCAAATTGAGCGGCGAGGATGATGGCGAAATGCATTATTTGTGAGATGTGATATATGATCTCAAAAAGATATCTGAAGGAGGTAGTGATTTGTGCAGAACCTATCAAGAACCTATCCACCTTAAATACCTCTTCAAATGCATAGCATTTTCCACGCCAGCAGATTGCCAACAGACCCCAAGTTTGACTTGATTTGTTTCCAATAATCTATGCACCTGGCCCTGACCTACGCACCATCGTAATCCCTTGGTATCACCGAGCACCTAGATACTCCGCACGGCATATCCTCAGTATTATCGGGGGAAGAAGCGCCAGCGCAACTCTGGATGAACACATCTTCTCGGAGAAATGTTCTAATTCTTACGTATACTCCGGGTCACTCTGTGGAGGACTTGATCGTTACGCACCTTGGCATGATTGTAAGGAGACATTGCCCTATGCCAGGATGGTAAGTTGGAGCGTATTCGAGCCGTTGGGACGCCACCTATGGCAAACACCCACCAACAAACCAGCGTGTATGGTGCGTCTCAGCCACAAGTTGATTTGCGTCCATAAGCAGAAGGGCACGACAATCCAAAGTTCTTGTGCATAAATAGCAATAATGCCAGAACCAGTTGATTGTCGATCTGAATATACAAATACCTCGTTCCTATTTTAGCATCTGGACTTGGGCAAGACTTGGGTTCCATTCGTCCCGATTTATGATTCGGCGTCGAGGGTGATTCAACGGATAGTTGGTGTGCTGATACTTGTATCCACCGTCTAGCTTCAAATATGAGCGTTCTCCTGGGTTCCATACATTCTCAATTTATACAACAAATTCAAGAATACACTGATCTAATAAAAATCCAATAAAATCTAATGTTACTGCGAAAACCATGGCCAGCGGTCTAAGGGCTGATCTGTTCGCGAAGGAGGACTTCCCGCTGTGGCGATCGACATGTGACGACATAGGGGAACGGCTTGGGATGTCTGAAGAAGTAGAGGAAGCTTGTCAGTGCTCATCCTGGGTGCGACGAACGATGCTTACGCAGTCAAGCCACCCTCCCACTTGGGAACATAATCAATCTCTTTCCCATTCGCATCTCTAGGCCTGGAAATAGTCACAGTCGCCAGAATCTGGACGACTGCAGCCCACAACAGATTGTCAGCGTAGACGCGCCCAGGACAAGCGCTATATATACCAAGCGTGTAAGCGACGGGTTTGCCAAAGAAAGAGGCGTTCGCCAGGATGGAGTCACATACCGTCTCCCGAACCCGAAGTTCCCGTACATGAAGCTGCTGGCCAGTCGAGAATTGGGAGATACTTCTCCATCTGGGAGGAGGTGACGCTCTGGTTCAAAGGTTTCAGGATCTTCGCATGCACGCGACATTGCCCTACAGAGTTGAATTAGGCGACTCGTAGTTTTATGGTCATCGAGACGTACCATGCGTTGAACTTGACGATCGACCCTACAGGTTTGATGAATGAAAATTACTTCACAAAGTCACTCTGATCACTCACCTTTGGGTATGTAGTGACCTTCGAATACATCGTCCTCGGTCAAGTAGTGAGGGACACCTGTTAAATGTTTCATTGCTGTTATGAATGAAGAACCTGTGGTTACGAACCCATCGGTACGGAGGGATGCCAGCGCAATGATTCGCAGATAAGGGCCTCGATGTAAGGGAGAGAATCTCGGTCCTCGTAGGTCGGCAGCCTGTCAGCGCCGACGACACGATCGATCTCCTCTTGAGCCTTGCGTTGTTTGTCGCCAAAGAGGAACATGGTCAAGACGAAAATTTGCAAGGTAGCAGCGTTCTGTTGATCGGAGGTATGTCAAGTTCAAACGTAGGTCGCATATTGTACTTACGTTCTCCGTTGCAGCTAGTGGACGACGTGCGTAAGTCCCAGTTCGAAGTGAAAGCAAATAAAAAGTACTGACCAAGGTGGATCGTCGCAGCAGCATTCTTCAAGGTGAGGTCAGACCTCTTTGAATCCTTGCGACCACTCAGAACATCAACCATCGCTGAAGGTGTTTCCGTTCCTTGTTCCTGTTCAAGATGTTAGAATGGCAGGCACGACGACATCCACGACGACATACCAGCTCTTTGTTGAGGAACGCATAGGGAATGTCCGTGACAGCTGCTGCCAATTTCCTGCAGTACGAAGTGCGGATCATGAAACCTGGAATGTATTCCACTAGTGGAGCATCGAATACTCAAGTTAGCCTCGCTCAGAATACAAAATGAAACAACTGACGGAACGGGACCTTCTGTATGAGTGCAGCTTTCTCAGGCGACAATCTTCCGGTCACTGATGTGGCCAAGTCTTGAGCTGCGTTGACGACCGCATCACCCTGCTCTGCATGGTACCCATATGTTACGACGAGCGCTGTAGAAGCAGCAAACCTGTAGTGGATACTCAGCCCCCTTCTTTAAAAAAGCCTGTTACATACGTCTTGAGAAATTTACCGAGATCCTCAGGAGCTACACCGTCCAGGAGGCTCAGCGCGAGTGAATATGACTTGCTCATGAAAAGATCTTGGTATTTCTGAATAGAGCCAGCACGTAGAGCTTGCTGAAGAATTGCTCTGTTTCATTAATCGTCGTTAATGTTCGAGCCAACACTAAGAGTGTCTCTGACTTACCTGTGTGCTCGCCATTCTGAGCCGTAAGGAGTGGTAGCAGTATGAAAATCCACACCGAACCTAGATAGATAGACTCAGATATAACCCTGTGCACCTGATCGACAGAAATATAGTCTTACCGCTTGATAATTGGGAACGGAGGACGGGATGCATATATAGCAGACCGTTGACCTTCCGATAGAGCCCTGACAGCTCTTTCGGTATTGACCAAGATCACGTCGTCTCCCAGTATCCTGGAATAGACGATTTCGCCTGTGACACATCAGGAGTGCCGCTGGTGGGTTGAATGGATTACCCACCATACTGATTTGCCCAGTCTGTGTATGTGAGGTGCGGCGCGTTAAAGTCTATCTTCAGGGCGCTGCCAATGATGGGTAGGCCGGAAGGGCCTGGAGGATAGGGATGGGTGGTCTCCTTGCGTCGAGATCGTAATAAAGTCAAGCCCGTAAGTGCAGCCACGACACCAAGTACTGGCATGACAGGAAACTTGAGCTCATAGTACGATGCCATCGACAAGAGTGAGATGGAAGGATAGTGGTATTAGCAGAAAATCAAGGTCCGGATACTTATGAGCCCCTTGAAGCGAGTACTAACACTAGTGCGTTCAACTTGAAGGTCACTTTGTACGTTAATGTCTTTCTTGAGAACGGCACCAAGAGCTCTAGCTCAGTGATTGCTTCGGAAAGAGTACTTGGTATTATGATCAGAAACGGGCCCTAGATCTTCCTGCACCAAACTCAGATCTGATACACGCACTTTTTCGGGATGGCGGCCGCATCGTGTTTCAATGACCATGAAGCTGTCAAGGTTCAATACACCGACTCGGTTTCGAGCGTTTCTCGTCTCCGAACAAGAACAGCAGAAGTACTGCAGTAGGCGCGTCGTTCAATATAGGGTCAATGGTTTAACGCTGATTTCCCGGGTATTGGAAGTACTGTGCCGGTGGTGCGGTCTATAAATATATATCGGGTACGCGGATCTGCATGACTCACTGCTGCCCAGACTGTAAGTTCATGGCTACTTGTCAGCCCCTGTAGATACTTCAAGCGATTCACACTAGTACTTACTGGCGCAAATGCATGTCGGAAATTCTTCTCCCCCGCTCACAACCGCGTGCTACCACTAGTCCACTATAACTCTGTTTGGCGTCCTACCACTGGGTGCGCGAAACAATAAACCATCCTTCATAACCAGTCGTTGTGACCTGAGTATCGGTGGCCTTGAATATTGAATACCGGATGCTGGTAGGTTCCTCAGAGCCTCTGACTCTGAGACTATATGAATTAAGATGTCGCTGAAATGTGAATTTATGTCTCGACTCTCGAACGAGGGATGCGTTGGCGGAAACATTGCTTGAAGAATAACAACACTGGAAACGGAATAGAGTGGATTTTGAAAGTCGGTTCAAATTAAAGTTAACTTCAAATTACTAGGAGAGGGAGTCCGAAAGACGAGTTGAAGCGCCAAGGTTGACGAGGATGCAGCAGGTTTCGTGGACACGTGACTGATAGCCAATGACGTTTCTCCGATTAATGTCACTGTGGTCCTAATTTTTTGCCGCATCCCTAGTGTGGGACATTCTTTAACATTGTTACGTGCCGCCATGTGCATCATCTACGGGCTGGATGCTTCTTCTTCGACATTCTAACCCTCGAAACATATTATTGCGCATGGATTTGGTCCCGAGTAGAATACCCCATCACCGCTAAGTAGCTTGAACCTTGAGCAACTACTAACATTGGAAGGAAGATTTGACATGATTCAAATCATTGCGGCCTCTCGCGGTGAACTTGGGAATGTTTTGTATTAGGTTTCTCCCCGAGTTGCCGATCGCGGTCAGTGACTTCGAAGTTTCGACTCGACAAGTTTTATATGAGATGAGTTTTCAAATTCAAACAACCTGGAAATCGCCCAATTTCGCCAATGTCCCATACATCCCACTTCCTTCACCTCCCGGACGATGTTCTTGCATATCTGCTCGACTTCGCGCCTATGAATGACCTCGAGAGTGTCTCTAAGGTAGCTGCACTCATATTTCCCTATTCACGCGTCTTACCATATCACAGACATGTAACCCACTCAGAGCTATATGTGGAATAGTTCGTGCTCCATACCTCCACGAGCTCAAGCAGGAGGGTCTAGAGTACAACGCCACGTCCGCCTCGCCTACTGTGTCCTTTCCGCAGGCGTTGGCTTCCCTCAGGTGCAGAGAAAACAGATGGAGGACGATGCGTCCAATCATGTCATCCTGCCGTGCAACCTTGAACGACAGCGACTTCACTAGCTACTATCAGAAGGTAGCTTTGTACGTGTCTAGACAGGTTGTGTCAACTGTTGTCCATGGGGACACGTCGGAACGCGCAACTTACCATGGCCAAGCTGGCGAGGTTACTAGCCTGCATGCCGCTGACGTACCGCAGGACCTTCTTGTTCTTTTGCGGACGCACATTGGGTGGGTGGTGATCTTGTCGTCTTACCTGTAGTTGAAAACATTGACCAAAGTCTCTTCAGAACTAATATGTCGTATCTCTCCTTCCTCTCCTTGAGAGAGATGTCTCCGCATTCCGAAGCCGCTAGTCCAACGCGTGTCCTCGTCACTAGCATAAGTCCCATGGGATATTTTGCTACTCCTCTCAATGCCTGTGGTCTAAGAATACTTGGTCCATGGTGTGCGATTCTAACGACGGGGCCGCATTCCAACGTCCTCATGCTTTGCAACTGGAAGACTGGTGCATCATTTAAATTGGTAAGCAGATGTCTTCTGGCCGGAACAATGAATTTAACTAACACGTCATAAGGCGGGGATTCTTTCCGACAGGGTTGACGATTTTAATTTTATGAATGATCGTGCCCTTGCCGTCATTCATGGAGCATCCAACCCTTCTCGCCTAATACTGCGCCTTTACGACGTCATTTTCCCAAGCCAGCTCTGTCCATCTGGTCTCGTCGCACTCCGATTGTCTTTGCAATTACCTCGCATTGAAGCCCGTGTATCCATATCTCCCAGTCGCCTTCTGCTCCCAAGGACACTGCAGGAACAAAGTCTCCGACCCCATCAGCGCCCATGCGAGGTCTTTCCCCCGAATAGCGGAATCATGGCTCTGTCGATACCCCTTGCAACAGGTGGCGGGAAAGCTCGACTGGACATTGCTATCGATGTCTCCATGCTGCTTTCCGTCGTTCGTGGCAACAATGCCGCTGACTGCCCATTGCTCTGGAGCGAGTGGGGTCCCAAGATGTCGCGCGTTTTCTTGATTAACGAAGCCCTTCGTGCGACAGGCGATGTAGAGCCTCTGCAAGATGTCGAAGGCTACAGAGTGGCCTACTCCACCAACGCAGATGTCCAGGATACATGCATTGGAGTTTCTGAGGAACTTTCTTGCCCTGCAGCTTTCGTTCTAGACTTCAGTCCTGCGAGTGTTCGATGGGCTCGAGGGGAGGTTGAGGCACGTCGTGGAATGCGTGGCGCTTTGGTAACAGAAGCGAGCGTTCTACGACCGGGGCGCCTGCTTGCAGAGGAGGTCGTCAGCTACCTACCATATACTCGAACCATGCTCGATGGTTACCTACCCCAACACCAAATTCGGCTTTCGCGGGATGAAGTCGTCTATCCTGTAGGTTCATGTGCCACATCATTTTGTTCGTGTGGCTTACGGGCACTTTGTGACAGGTTAATCCGTTGCAAGGACCTCCGCTGCCTAATTTACATAATGTTTACAGCTTCGCTTGATACGATACTGGAATTGCTGCTCAAAGCCATCTGCGACGCCTACTTAACCAGTATTTTAATCGTTTTTCATCCTAGCACTATCTATCGCATACTAATCTTTGATACCTTATAACCTTTGATACCTTTGATATCCCTGATTGCTACATTTGCACATCAACTTGGGTCTTCCATCGCTTTTGGCGCATCATCACCACCTCTCTTCACAAATTCCTGTCATATACCATTAATAACCTCATCCTGTGCCCTGTGAACCTGCTAGGAAGAACTGGCACTATCACACCCTATAATCAATTCTGTGTTCAAACATCTATTGGACTGAACAGGCCTTGCATGAGAGCTCTAACTCAGTTTCGGAAATGGTATGCATTACGCTCAGAAATGGGCGCAGACCTGTACTCAGATAAATCACACGCACTTTTCGGGGTAGTGGCCCATGATCGGGAGCAGTCAAGGTTCAGCACATTAAGTTGTGTTTCTTGTCTCCGAACAAGAAAGAAGGGCAGTGGTGCAAGCTCGAGCTACTAGTACATAACGTTCAATACTTACCCGGGTATTGGGCGTACTGTGCCGATAAATGGCCTATATATAAAATGTCGAATACGTGGATCTTCCATTAACCTAAAACTGATGCCTCTTTTTGGGTCATAATGCAGGGTTCCTCGGGATATGCACGGCAGCCGTGGAGTCGCCTTCCGGTATATTCGTAGTATGCGCCCCCCGCTCTCCCAACCAAACTGAATGTACATGGCCTGCGAATGAAGATCAATCTGACATCAGACAACCCCTATAAATAATTCAAGCGATTTACACTAGTACTTACTGGCGTAAATCGATGTCGGTACCCAATTGCAAAGTTCTGTCGTGTCCAGCTTCTAGAATATAGATTGGGTTCTTGTGAGACTGTATGAGTTGAGACGCGGATGAAATGTCAGTTTAAGTATACCTCGAACGGGAAGTGCGTTGGCAGAACATGTATGTAATTTCAAAACACGAATGGAAACGCGTTGGAGACCACCGATCTTCGACAACAATGCAACTACAATATCTCTAGCGTCCTGACGTCCATCATGTCGTCAACAGCAGTCATGTCCCTGATTTGTGCGATAATATTGCGATCGGAGGCAATTCTCTTGTACTCCCCACCACGCTGCTGCGCCAGCAGGAGTGCACTAAAAGGCTGACCAAGGTGCATGATCAACCTCAATGCTCGCGAGTGCGACTCCGAATCAACCGGCTCATGTTCTGCAGCAGAAACGCTTTGCGAATGGTCTGGCAGAGACGAGGGCGTGGACAATGGTACAGACCAGGATGGAGACCAGCACGATGACCAAGCCTCCGTGGTCTTATTATCGGCAAAGTCAGGCAACCCGAGGTCATAGCGGTTCCACGGGCGGACGAGCAGAAATGTCTGCTGCGTGGGTCTTGCTCGTGAGAATTGAAATAGTCTATTTTCCGTGTCGATCAACAAATCTTGAAGGCCGTCTGCTTTGACATTATAAGTGGAACACGTCAGTTCCTGACCTTGACCATTCCTCCGTCTGATTTCTGTGACGGGAAATGCGATGCACGGCAGTTGGAGTCTGAAGTTCGCGAAACGGGGGGCGCTGAGATTGTCAAGGAAGGTATAAAGTTTCAAAGCTGATTCCACAGGCACAGTTTGTCGCAGCATGGAGATGGATGACTGCATTTCGTCTTCGGATAGGGATGGTAGCAGGCATGGAGGAGCTTCGTACGAGGAAATGTCAGCTGGGAGACAGCTATTGAACTCGGATGATTTTCCAACCCAGTCCAGGGCGGTGATGTCACCTGAGCGAGCGACAATCTCCTGTAAGAGCCGACCGAGCGCATTTTGCTTCATCTCACCGTAGATTACGGGGAGATGGACGCCGAAAATACCAAACAATGAGTATACAATGTCTTCCTGCAACGTCGTGACGCGCGTAGACGCCCATTGGAGCTTCTCTCGGGCGTTTGTCATGCCCGGACGGAAGGCGACCAGGGCATGAGCATCTATACCTGTCGAATCTTCCAACTCCTGCATGATGGTTATAGACTCCTTGTGGTTGGGAGAGTGGTTGTTGAGATATGGGGTCCAATCTGCTTTGTAGAAGAGAACTACGGTAGGAGCGAGGAATTCCTGAATAGTCCATCCTCGCGTGTTCCAAACACTGCTCGCTAGTGCGCCTGATTTTGCCCAAGGCGGGACATCCAATAGGTAGACGATGGTAAGAGCTGACTGGCGATACCAGACAAACATGGAGTTGACTGATCGTTGAACCTCAACATTGTTGTTTTGGTCAATGCAGCACGTATCGCTCCATGCCCAGCGATAGCCTGCATCATGAGCAATTTTGCAGAACATCTGCAACTTCACAGTAGTCCCGACGGGATCCAAATCATACACGACCTTGTCCTTGATCTCGTGCAGGAGCAACTCCTTGCTTTCCCACCTATGTGATAACATGGCCCAGCTGAAGTACTTCGCGACCGCGTCTTGAATTGGCTCTGTTTGGAGGCGCGCATCTGTCATCCATGAAAATAGAAGTTCCCTGTACTCTGTGCCTTCCATGAAGGCGTTTATTTGAGTCTCTCGATCGCACAAACGCCCGGTGGAGGTGTTGAGTAGACGAAGAGGGGCATTTTCCAGGTGAGCGTGGATAGCCCTTCCAATAGCATCTACTGCTTCAGATCTTAAATACTGCTGACGCAACTCTGGAGAAAGAGTTGATCATCTTCACGTCGACGCATGGCTTATCTGTCTTACTTTGGATATGTGCATCGGGGGGATCATCCAACTTGCTGAGCATGGCTGTGATGACCTCGATTGCTTCATCATAGCGTTGTGCCCCCTGAAGTGCTGCATACTTCAGTTCATACCCAAGAGAAGATGAAGGTTTCAGCTCAATAACCTATGCATAGGCATCATTAACTCGAGTGCTCGAACAGATGAAGGCTATTGTCCGCACCTTCTCCGCATCGTGAAGGGCCTCCGCATAGAGCTTTCGTCCCAACTTCGCCTTGCCACGGTGCGCAAAGAGGAAATGGGACGAGGAATCCAGCTCAATCGCTGCAGAATACAGGTCAAAAGCCATCTCGTAAATATCCGCGGCAACGGCCTCATCTGCCTTTGCGACACACCGCGCAGTACAGTCTTGCTTGAAGGCTAATCGGCACCAAAGTGAGTATCATGTGCAAGTTATCCCAATTCCGAAGGCCTCACCCGTAGACCATTCGAGGCAGCTGCCCTTTTTAGGTTCGCCAAGCATGCTCATCATATATCGAAGAGATTCGGCCGCTTCGGGGAGTCGGTCTGCACGAAGGAAGGCTTCGCACCGTCTTTGATGAATAGTTTGCTGTATAGAGTCGAAGTCCCAGCCGAAGAGCTGTTCAGCACGCATCATCCATAAGTAGAAGTTTCCTCGACGGCTTCGTAAGGACGCACCAGCGCGAAGATCTCCAATCTAGGTTCCAAAGGCATTTTGAGTGAGAACAAGCCGGTTGTGGTAGTAACATCGGCCGTAAGTTGATCAGCGGCTTCGCTGTACTGCTCATTGTCGAAGGCAATCATCGCAAGCTGCACACGTAGATACGACTGAGAAGTGTTAAGAATGAGAAAAATCATGACGTCTGACATAAAGCTCACGTTGACCACGCTGCACGGAAATGTATCTGAGTGCTGGTAAGCGCCGATGAGATCGTGAACTCGCCGCATCGCCTCATCGTGGCAACTGGCATTGAAAAGTGCAACAGCCTGGAAAGAATGGCATTGAATTCTTAGTATGACAAACCAACTATTAAAAACAGTGAACAGAGTACCTTGATCAATAGTAAAAGATCGATGCTAATCGGATTCGAGTCGTGTTCCGAAAATATGAAAGCAAGATCGAAAGCTTCCATCGCGTCCCAAAGCTGCTGGTTGCCGCAGAGGGCGATGCCCTTGGAAATGTACCCCCATAACGAGGGCTGTACAGCAATTGACTATGCAACAAAGCTGTGGTCGATGGTGTTATGATATGTAGAGTGTCTGACCTTGACTGCGTCTTGAAGCGCATCATCCCACTCAAAATTTCGCGCCCTTACAAGTGAGCGAATGGCATAGGAATCGTTGCCTCCGCCATCTTCGTCGATCTCTTGGGTCAGTAACTCTTCCGCCGTATGGAGGTCCCCGGCAATGCATGCATCCCAGACAGTCGCTAAGGTTTCGTCAGTTTCCGAGGGATGGCTGCTTTGACCGTCGTGACAGTGCAGCTGTGCGTCGCCACGTAGCATGATGTGCATGAATAACATATGGGGCAATGGTAGGTGAGAGCATACCTGCGTGTCACTGAATGTGAAGAGTGGCTGTTGCTGTGCCGCTTCACCGTCCCTCATCCTTCCCTCCGCCTTGCGTTGCTCAAGTAGACGGTCTCCGATAGACCACAGTCGGACTTTCCCAACATGGTCTCCACTCACGGGCACTTCTCCATGGGGAGAAATTGCGACACGTTCAACCTCCGTGGTGCGTTGACCTGTCTGATGGTGTGTCTTTGTGCTCCACAGCCCCACCGTATCGTCGCCTGAGGGGGTGGTAATGAAGGAATTATCAGAATATTTGGCGAGCGTGTCGATGTAGTTAGGGGGATGACCGACTGGCTCTCCGCTAGATGACTCCCAAGATGTGATTGTGCGGTCAGATGATGCAGATGCAGTAGCACGCCACTCGTGTCCGACCTCGATCCTTATCTTTACGGATTGATAGTTATCGTCAGCATTGCCATGATAATCGACTCCAAGCTGTACAATATCACCATCTTTAAGGTGATATGGTTTACTCTCAGAGCCTGCAGGACTTAGGCGGAGATGATTGAGGAAAGTGCCTGATGTTGATTTTGTGTCTTTGATGTAAAAGTTGCCGTTGTCGCTCCAAATCTCTGCATGAGTTCGTGAGACTACTTTGCTTTTGAAAGCTAGTTTGTTTGTGTCTGAGCGATCTGTGAAGCGGCCGATGCGGAGGGGGGTGTCACCGTCTCTGAGGTCGCAGGAGACGGGTTCGAAACGGAGGGCACGGCGGGAATCAAGGTGGGGGACTAGGCGGATACGATTGGTTGGGGGGATATTGTTGGAGAAGGTGGTGGGGCGAAGGAGGGGTTGTGTGGTGGGCATGTTAGTAAGAATTATTAGGCGTTGTAATTCTCTGATGCATGGAGGCTGTGAGCTGCTACAACGCCGTAGTTCGAGGCAAAGCTGAGGTCCCTTGATAGAGTCACGATTTCCGGCGCTTCAACAGTCAAATATTCATGCTCACCTGTGCATGTGAGACGTTTCCTCCAGCTTTCTAAACCGTTCGTGCAGTTGATCCATGCTTACTAATTAACCGGTCACTTAAAATTATGCCGGACTTGTCTCGATTGAAGGTTTTCCTGGTTTTCCTTTCTGCAATGGATCCGGACGGCCACAGAGTTGACTGTCGTTCAGTAATCGTATGTCTTAAACTTTCAAGTTCCTCCGTTGAACAAAAATGTATGAATCGTTCTTCATCTCATTTTTCCTCCCTTAGAACCCAATCAACTTCCGCTTTTTCAAAGTTGCATTATCAACATGCTCATCTCAGGGCATCATCATAGGTCTATCGGAAGATTCACTTCACATAGTGCGAAATCATCACGTCGCCTTCACCCATGTACGACACCAGTTGATCTAATTGGTTATCGGTGCGAGTGCCTTGGTTTTTGATTTCGAACAAAGTTTACATCCCTACCTGACGCCATCCAGCTGAGTCTGCACCAGAATCGACACCGCAAGATCTACTCGACAGATGCACAGTTCATCTATCCTTACCAGTTTATCCCTCCCACTGCAGAAGAACCGTGACTTATGCAAACACCACTGCCGGAGGTGCGTCATCAGTCCAATTAGAACTTATTGTAGACCGGTGCGCCCGATATCTTAAGTGGTCTGACATACTTTTGGCCGTGCATGATATCGGGCGTTCATCAGATTCGAAAAGTCATCACCTGCATTAGCGTCTGGTACTCAACACACTTTAGAAACAAACGGTCTTTGCTGCTTCTCCGTAAGACCGAACGCCACGGTGCCATCAAAGGTCAAGATCTCTTTGCGGTGTTAACGACTGTTCTGGGGTTGTAGTTGGTTAATAAATATGTCTGTACCCAACTCAAGACTAGCAAACGCACTCGGGGGCGAGGGGGACTCGCCTGGAAAAAAAAGTGGCATCGGATATCCGGATGCACATGAAGCTTGATGAGCTCCACCTGCATTTATTCTATTTGTTCTCAAATTGGGATCTGCTCCATACAGATACTCGAGTCTTACTAGGGCCATATGACAGGACTCCGCGGAACAAATGACGGCTAACAACAACAATAATCTCGCCTACACTTCCTATTTCTAGGAAATTTTGGCGCGGACCTGTCTACCGTTTGTCGCTTCCATTCAAATGCACGACCCGACGTCAGAAGAAGCGAGCCATTAATTAGTTCCATGATTATTGATTCTGCTACGGTAAAAACATGAAACGACAGTGATCGAATAGATAAATAATACAGCCGTCTAAGGGCTGGTCTGTTCGCGAAGGAGCGCTTCCCGCTTTGGCGATCGACAGGTGACGACATAGGGGAATGGTTTCGGGTGTCTGATCAGTAAAGGAAGTATGTGAGCTCACATACTATGGATGACGGATAATACTCACGCAGTCAAGCCACCCTCCCACTTGGGAACATAATCAATCTCTTTCCCATTTGAATCTCTAGGCCTGGAAATAGTCACAGTCGCCAGGATCTGGACGACTGCAGCCCACAACAGATTGTCGGCGTAGACACGCCCAGGACAAGCGCTGCATATACCAAGCGTGTTAGCGACGGGTTTGCGAAAGAGGAATTCGTCAGGATGGAACCACATACCGTCTCCCGAACCCGAAGTTCCCGTACATAAAACTGCTGGCTAGTCGAGAATTTGGAGATACTTCTCCATCTGGGAGGAGATGACGCTCTGGTTTGAAGGTTTCGGGATCCTCGCATGCACGCGACATTGCCCTACGGTGATAAATTAGATGACTCAAAGTTTCATGGTCATCAACTCTAAGGGACGTACCAAGCGTTAAACTTGACGATCGACCCTGCAGGTTTGATAAGTCAAATTGCTTCACAAAGTCAATCTGATCACTCACCCTTGGGCATGTAGTGGCCTTCGAATACATCGTCCTCGGTCAAGTAGTGAGGGACACCTGTTAAACGTTTCATCGCTGGTATGAATGAAGAACCTGTGGTTACTAACCCATCGGTACAGAGGGATGCCAGCGCAACGATTCGCAGATAAGGGCCTCGATGTATGGCATAGAATCTCGGTCCTCGTAGGTTGGCAGCCTGTCAGCGCCGACGACACGATCGATCTCCTCTTGAGCCTTGCGCTGTTTGTCGCCAAAGAGGAACATGGTCAAGACGAAGATTTGTAAGGTAGCCGCATTCTGTTGATCGGAGGTAAGTAAAGTTACACCATGTGTTGTATGTCAGTCACTCACGTTCTCTGTTGCAGCTAGTGGACGACGTGGGTGAGTCTCACTTTAAAGCGAAGAAAAAGGAACAATCACTGACCAAGGTGCATCGTCGCGGCGGCATTCTTCAAGGTGAGGTCAGACCTCTTTGAATCCTCACGACCGCTCAGCACATCAACCATCGCTGAAGGTTTTTCCGTTCCTTGATCCTTTCATGATGTTATAATGGGAGATACCGATACATCTACAAGGACATACCAGTGCTTTGTTTAGGAACGCGTAGGGAATGTCTGTGACGTCTGCTGCCAATTTCCTGCAGTACGAAGTGCGGATCATGAAACCTGGAATGTATTCCACTAGTGGAGCATTGAACACTCAAGTTAGCCTCGCTCAGACTACAAAATGAAGCAACTGACGGAACGGGACCTTCTGTATCAGCGCAGCTTTTTCGGGTGACAATCGTCCGGTCACTGACGTTGCCAAATCTTGAGCTGCATTGACAACCGCATCACCCTTCTCCGCATGGTATCCATACGTTACTACGAGCGCCGTAGAAGCAGCGAACCTGTAATGGATACTCAGCCTCTTTTTTTTTCAAAAAAAGAAAAAGCCTGTTACATACGTCTTGAGAAATTTACCAAGATGCTCGGGAGCCACACCGTCCAGGAGGCTCAGCGCGAGTGAATATGACTTGCTCATGAAAACATCTTTGTATTTCTGAACAGATCCGGAACGTAGAGCTTGCTGAAGAATGGCTCTGTTTCATCAAGCGTCGTTAACGTTCGAACCAATACTAAGAGTGAAGTCAGACCAACCTGTGTGCCCGCCATTCTGATCCATATGGCGTGGTAGCAGTATGAAAATCTACACCAAACCTAGACAGATAGAGTTAGATATAACCCTTTACACCTGATCAACAGGAATACAGTTTTACCGTTTGATAATTGGGAACGGAGGACGGGATGCATATATAGCAGACCGTTGACCTTCCGATAGAGCCCTGACGGCTCTTTCGGTATTGACCAAGATCACGTCGTCTCCCAGTATTCTGGTATAGACGATTTCGCCTGTGAAAAGTCAGTACCGCAGCTGGTGAGTTGAACAAATCACCCACCATACTGCTTCGCCCAGTCCGTGTATGTGAGGTGCGGTGCGCTAAAGTCTATCTTCAGGGCGCTGCCAATGACAGGCAGGCCGGAAGGACCTGGAGGATAGGGATGAGTAGTCTCCTTACGTCGAGGTCGCAATAAAGTCAAGCCCGTAAGTGCAGCCACGACACCAAGCACCGGCAGGATGGGAAACTTGAATTCGTTGAACGACGCCATCGACGAGAGGAAGGGGACTGGTTGCATACAATCAATGTTAGAAATTTTATAAGCCCCCTACGATGTACATGTCAGCACCAATTTGCTTCAGTTAGAGGTCACTGGTACGTTAACGCTTTACTCAAAGGAGCTAGCCCGATTCAAGGAAAGGATATTATTACGGGCCCGGATCTCCCTGACCGAACTCAGATCCGTTCATCTTATTCGGGACAGCGACAATGGCGGTTCGAACAGTTGACCAGTATCGTTTGGTTTTCGAGGATTTTGGCGTGTCTGGTTTGCGGACAAGATAGCTCTGCGGCAAAAGTTCAGTGGTGCTCTTGGTGAGAAAGATGGCCTACCGTCTTATATATACCATTACATGACATATCCATTTTTTTCGTCGCTAATTAAAGCAATACAAAAGTCATCCACGTAAAGGGAACGCCGCATCCCATAGGCTGACTGACTGTCACCGCATGGGTGCACCTTTCAATGTCGCTTACACCCGCTGTTATTCGGACGGGCCCGAATGTTGTTGAGATGCGGCCTTCCATTTGAACTGAAGATTGTGTTTGGTAAGTGATTTACTTCGACGCGGAAAGGAGATTTTACATAGGGTGATTGGCCGAGGGCCTTGATATTTCACTTCGCAAAAACACTCCACCGACAAACTGTTCTTCCACCTCGTCGCCGGCATCGATCGCGTATCCTTCCAACGCCAAAAATTCACAATACTAATCGCTGGAGTTTTCCTTGTGGTTTGGCAGCCGAATGGTGGCGGAGGGCACCGCGAGGCGCAAACGCAAATTTCACATTTTAATCTCCGCAACTTATTTGAAATGAACACACTAGTACTTGCTAGCGCTTCTGACTTAGTCAATTAACTTGATCGCTGACGGACATCGGACCCACTGTCGCCTATCCACTAGTAATATTTGGCAAACGCTCAGTTCAATTCAATCATACCCACAGAGCGGGGAACGCTCACCAGGTTTCTCCACCGACCAATCATGGCAGCCTCAATGCCAATCTAAAAATTTGACCCAACCTTTTATATAAGATGACCTCTCGATCCAACATACGCTGCACGTCGCCCAATGTCGCTAATGTCCTATACATCCCATTTCCTTCACCTCCCTGACGATGTTCTTGCATATCTGCTCGACTTCACGCCTATGAATGACCTCGAGAGTGTCTCTAAGACATGTAACCAACTCAGAGTTATATGTGGAGTAGTTCGTGCCCCGTACCTCCACGAGCTCAAGCTGGAGGGTCTGGAGTATAATGCTGCATCCGCATCGCCTACAGTGTCATTTCCGCAGGCGTTGGCTTCCCTCCGGTGTAGAGAAAACAGATGGAGGACGATGCGTCCAATCATGTCATCCTGCCGTGCAACCTTGAATGACACTGACTTCACTAGCTACTATCAGAAGGTAGCTCTGTACGTGTCTAGCCAGGTTGTGTCAACTGTTGTCCATGGGGACACGTCGGAACGCGCAACTTACCATGGCCAAGCTGGCGAGGTTACTCGCCTACATGCCGCTGACGTACCGCAGGACCTTCTTGTTCTTTTGCGGACACACATTGGGTGAGTAGTCATGTCGTCTTAACTGAGATTGAATAGCACTAACCAACCTTATTCAGAACCAATATGTCGTATCTCTCCTTTCTCTCCTTGAGAGAGATGTCTCCGCATTCTGCAGCCGCTAGTCCAACGCGTGTCCTCATCACCAGCATGAGTCTCATAGGATATTTCGCTACTCCGCTCGATGCTCGTGGTCTAAGAATACTTGGTCCCTGGTGTGCGATCCTGACGACGGAACCACATTCCAATGTGCTCTTGCTTTGCAATTGGAAGACCGGCGCATTATGTAAATTGGTAAGCGCGCGTTCTCTCGACCCGGACAATTAAAATAACTAACACGTCATAAGGCGGGGATTCATTCCGACAAGGTTGACGATTTTAACTTTATGAATGATCGTACCCTTGCCGTCATTCATAGAGCATCCAACCCTTCTCACCTAATACTGCGCCTTTACGACGTCATTTTCCCAAGCCAGCTCTGTTCATTTGGTCTCGTCACACTCCGATTGTCTTTGCAGTTACCTCGCATTGAAGCCCATGTATTCATATCCCCTAGTCGCCTTATGCTCCCAAGAGCGCTTCAGGAGCAAGTTCTGCAACCCCATCAGCGCCCATGCGAGGTCTTTCCCCCGAACAGCGGAATCATGGCTCTGTCGACACCCCTTGCGACGGGTGGTGAGAAAGCTCGACTGGACATTGCTATCGATGTCTCAATGTTGCTTTCCATCATTCATGGCGATAATGCCGCTGACTGTGCGTTGCCCTGGAGCGAGTGGGGTCCTAAGGTGTCGCGCGTTTTCTTGATCAACGAAGCCCTTCGTGCGACAGGTGATGTAGAGCCTCTGCAAGATGTCGAAGGTTACAGAGTAGCCTACTCCACCAACGTAGATGTCCAGGATACCTGCATTGGAATTTCCGAGGAGCATTCTCGTCCTGCGGCTTTCGTTCTGGACTTCAGTCCTGCGAGTGTTCGATGGGCTCGAGGGGAAGACAAGGCACGTCGTGGAATGCGTGGTGCTTTGGTTACAGAAGCAAATGTTCTAAGACCGGGGCGCCTGCTTGCAGAGGAGGTCGTCAGCTCCCTGCCTTATACCCGAACCATACTCGCTGGTTACCTACCCCAACACCAAATTCGGCTTTTGCGGGATGAAGTTGTCTTTCCTGTAGGTTCATTTATGCTCATCTTTCTGTTCGAGTGGCTTACGCGCCCTTTTTCTTTTTGATAGGTTAATCTGCTGCAAGGACCTCCGCTACCTAATCTTCATAATGTTTACAGCTTCGCGTGAGACACTATGCTGGAATTGCTGCTCCTGACACGAGAAATAATTTGTGACGACTACTTACCAGCTTTTTAATCGGTTTCTATCTCCGCTTGCTATCGCATACTAATACTTGATACCTTCAAACATTCGATACCACTGTTTGCTGCATTTACACCCAGTCTATAACAATACATACTATTCCTAATGAAAGTACGCAGCATTGCGTATTAACGTCTTTCCCTGCGATTGTAACGTGCTTGTCGCGAAGTGAAGTTGAGTTGTTTGAACATTCAGTCATTAATAGTTACGTAAGTGCTGGTCACTGATGGAATCATTTCTTTCTTCAGATCTCAAGTCGTCTTCTCAACCCACCCGCAGCCTTGCGTAGCACAGCGCACAATATGCAAACAGCTGGCTCAAAAGTCCATTTCTTCTCGTTCTCTGAAACCATTGGTGCGCTGCAGAACATTGTGAGTGCTCAGTTTTGTAGCAACTCGCGTATGAGTGTAATAATAAACCATGTTCGCTTCAGCTCGCTCATTCACAAATGATCGTATGTCGATTCCGTTGTGTGGTATATGTATCGTGTATCGTGTATTGATGATGTGATTAGATGCCAGACCTCGAAACCCCGTATCCCAATAGCAACATGGCCTTCGAGCCCAACGACCAGAGCATCAATACCATCATCACCGAACGCCAGCAGCAATTCGATGCAGTTTCGCACGAGATCTCCGGCCTAGAAGCAGTCATGGATAGCATCAAACATCTTCGCCAGCAACTCGTCGAGAGAAAGGACAAGATTACTCAATCCATGAAATTGCACAAGCGACTCGTATCGGCTTTGTGGCGGTTGCCAACTGAAGTCCTGTCCGAGATCTTTGTTTATTGTCTCCCAGAAACTAGTCACTTGTCGCCCGCATCAAAGCTAGCTCCCATGCTGTTGACCAGGATATGCCGACGATGGAGAGAAGTTGCTGTGAGCATGCCCAGTTTGTGGTGTGGGTTGTCTATGAAAGTCGACGACAGAGATTGGCAACGAGCAGCCTTCTGCTATGATTCATGGCTCGAGCGATCGCGAGGTCGTCCGCTCTCGTTGGCACTCCGTTGTGAAAGGGGCCACTGGACCGAGCTGCGAAGCCTTCTCCAGCCATATCTCAATCAAGTCTCGTCGCTCTTTCTTTATTTTTCCTTCGATGCCTCCCAACCTGAAGTTAGGATGACAGATTTCTTAGCACTTGAGGAGCTGTCCATGTCAATGGAAAGTTCTAGCGTTATGCCAGCTGTTACCCACTGTATCTCGCAACCGCCGTCCTCTCTGCGCAGTCTGAACCTCGATGGGCCGGCATTCAACATCGCGTACCTTTCTGACATCAATCCCACATGGGCCCGTCTCACAAATCTCCAGATCGACATATATGAAGCGAGTGCACTCCCTCACTTGCTCTTTCTATGTCCCGACCTCTCCTCCTTAACGATTGGTACTATATTTTCCTATGAAACGCCGGTCTTAGAGCCATTCACGCATACCAAACTTCAATTCTTACACATCGACTGCGACACTTCGGATACGAACGCAATCCACGCTCTTGGCCTATTCAATACCGTCTCACTCCCACATCTACGCACACTCAAAGCTTCCTATATACATCAATGGCCTCACGAGGAGTTCAAGGCATTTTTGACACGCTCAAAATGTTCCCTGGAGAGTTTGATTTTCGGTGCTGGAGTGACGACGACAGATGAGCAACGAGCGGAATACGTTGCCCTTATTCCTTCCCTCAAATTAGTATAGAAGATCTCTTGCCAGTGAGTACAGCTTGAACAGATGGTCGTTACATATCTCGTTAAAGAATGATGTCGAAAGATAGTTGCGCAGCTGCGTTTGCATTAATATTGTGTCACACTATGCACATACACCATATCGCTCTAGCCTATGTATAATATTAATATCGTTGCAACGAAACGGTCATGCGGCCGCTGGCCTGGCTCTGTTCCATCGAGAAAGGTGACGACCGACTGAAGACACCTCCAGAACTGAGTCGTGCACTACGATGGCACCTCATCGACATGAATTCATATTCATCTCACTTCAATGTCAGCGCCGTCAATATTAACAAGATAGTGTCATGGTCCCTGACTTAAAGAATGTAAGTGATATGAAGATCGAGGATTTCAACAACTGATGTACTCCGTTCTAGCCGCAGTTCGTTTTCAAGATATGATGGAAGACGGAAAAATCAACCCCGTGCTTGCAGTTACTTTATAACAAAAGTAACAAAACAAATTGAAATAACGCAGTGGAAATGTACGACTGCTGACTTGACGAAGATGGTTGAAAAATCGACAAGGTCGTTTAACTGGGCAGCTTGAAGTTGGACCCAGAATCGATGTTAAACACATTTTGAGCCTGATCATAGCAAAGGAACGTAGTACATATCTATAGGAGCGTTTTGACGCTCCCGCACTACACACAGGAAATCACATCGAAGTATAAATTTTGAAACTCCGCACTTCGCCTGTTGAACTGAACGTGAACAACTAGCCAGACTGATTACGAGTCTAGTGTCCGACTCCAGGGCTGTTCGAGCTCTGTGATAATTCCTCCCCGACTGACCGCTTGTGGCCAACTCCGGGGCTGTTCGAGCTCTGTGATAATCCATCCCCGACTGACCGCTTGTTGCCAACTCCAGGGCTGTTCGATCTCTGCGCTAATTCCTCCCCGATTGACCGCTTGTGACCCACTCCAGGGCTGTTCGAGCTCTGTGATAATTCTTCTCCGACTGACCGCTTGTACAGACCCGTCAACGTGTCTCTACGCGCAAATCGGCCTGCCCTCTTGATGGAATCATAGCAGTCTGAACCAAGCACCTAATATCACAAAGCGCGAAGGGTGAGTCATCGGTTAAATTGGGTGCAAAGCAAACTACACTAACACAGTCACTGGTTTGATCGCGGCGATCAGTGGGCAGGTCGCAAATTTCGCCCTCACTGAGGCACGTTCGTGTCTTTGACGCACTGACAGACATCCCAGATGCTGCCAACGCAACCATGACGGTGAGGAAGGAGAAACGCATTGTTTGTGTGAGGTGGTAGGATCTACTGAGGTCGAATAATCTCTTTGAGGTGAGTTGGACGGTAGGAAGATGACTTGCTTTTATACTCTAGTGAAAGCCAATGCTTACTGTTGCAGACATGATTCGGTTTGGCAGAATCATTATGCCTGGCGAATGGTATTCCGTCGTTCGTGATAAGCTGAGCGGTGATTCCTGGTCTGACGCGACTGATGACAGCCCCCAACTTGCACGGTGTCGCCATCAGAACTCCATTCGAAAAGTAAGGCACGCAACGGCGTAGTTTTACAGCTACTTTCACGTCTATGGACTCTTCGCTCATGTATTTATGGGCCTGGAAAAACAAAATCGCGCACATACTGACGAGATGCTTGTATGATAAGGCTGCATCTGACGCTCAACCTGCATTCCCTTAGCCATGGGGCGGCGGAACTACGACCTTCCTCCTTCGCGTTTTGATATTGTGATTATTATTTTGGTGCTTGTATTTGCATTTTAGCGGTGCGTGCACTTCCAGTCCCTAGTCTCCAGTAGTGATATTGACAGGTAGCGGTCCTTTCTAATGAACAGTACAAGGACATCCTACATCCGCAGGTTTATTCCACCACAGCCCATGTTGGCGATGTCAGCCAACCCCCGGCTCTATCTGACAATCCCTTGGAACACTAGAGACGACGTGAGGTGAGGTTAACGTCGGCGCCGTGGTTCAGATATATTTTGTGCCGTTCAAACTTATTCCAGTATACACCGAGCACCGCTCAGAGATATCCAAACGTTCTTTTCCCATTCCGAAGCTTCGGATGTCACACGAAGTTGATTGTCTGCCAGCTAGTACTAGTTATCGGAGTGCGAGTGAGGCATTTATTGTAAGTCAGACAAATGACGTGACCGGCGCGGGTGTGCGGTGCGAGAATTTTGCGAGTACATTACATTCCAATTAAATCGCTGCCGGAAGTAAATCTAAATCAGAATGAAAGCCAATACACATCGTCCGCACGCTCCTCTTAAATTTGGCAGTCCTGATGTCGGCGCATCTGGTTGAGGCAATGATACACAACAGGGTCATCGATTGGCTTGAAGTATGACATGTCATTGACATGTAGGGGTAACACATCGGCAGTATCGGAGTTTTACCTCAAGGGAGATTTAAATCAAAATGTCATTGGAAGATTAGGGATTTTCAATTCAAATTTTGACACTGGAACAACAATAAATTTCGGTAGACGGCGAGATGATAAGGTAAAATAAACCATTCTGACCCAAATTTTAAGTCCCATTTGAACTTAAAGTTTTCTATTATCACAAATGACAAACAAACATGTAGTTTTGCATCCAACGTAAATAATAAAGTTTTGAGCGCGGGAAAATGTTTCTCAGAAATCATTGGATGCACAATCAAATTTTTTCATTAGGTAAAATGTAGTAAGTAAAACTTGGAGTTTTGGCACCAGAAAAAATGACGTGGGCACTCATTGGGCATTCATTCGGGCAATCGTCGGGCAGTCACATTATTGTAGATAAGGGGGCATAAAATATTGTAGAGTATTGGGAGTCCGGCAATGACGGGGTATAGAGGGCGGGGTATAGAAGTCTATCTACGTTCCTCCACAAGGCATATCTGATTCGAACCGCATAGTAAAGCTAGTCCTAGTGGTAATAGCAATCTCAACGGAATTCTTCTTCATGTTGCATTTCGCGATAGGTTAGGATCTGGCCGCGAGCATCACCGTCCAGGATGAGACACTGTTGGTTTTTTTTTTCGCGGTGAGGCTGGACTTAGATCACTGGCAGGAATATGGTAGTGCTGAAGCGCGGCTCCGGCACCATTGGATGTGCAGAATACCGCGACGCAGCCATTGGGTGCGGGTCCATTGTCACCGCAGAACGGGTCAGGACAAGCTGTCGATACAAAGCGATTATGCAGCTTGCCTCCCATGAAGTGTGGTGAAACTTTGAACAGCGCGTGATACTGAGTCAATTTCAACGCGAATTCCTTGTTCATCAACCAAGGTAATGGGTCTGTAATAAAATAAGCCAAACATTAAGAAGTTCATGTTGGAAACTCACTATCGTTTCGGAGTTTCTCCGCTCTCTCTGCAATGGCGTCTTCGATGTCCTCGGCATTGTTGGCAACCCAGGGGTCGTATGCCTTGACGCCGGAAAGGTTATCTGTTCGAATCAAGATTGCTCCCGGACCAGTCGGACCACTTGCTGGAGCTGGGATTTGTACTGGATGGAACTACAGGATCAGATGGGGGAGGGGGAGGGGGAGGGGCAGATGGGGGAGGGGTCTTGCTTCGACATTGCGGTGTTAGGTATGATTTCCTCCGCATGTCGCAGAAAGTGATCATGTCCGATCCTTCGAGCATTGCGCCGTTTAACCTCATTCCGTACCTTAAACAGTCGTGAATAAAAACCAACAAAAAAAATGTGCACGGTAGTTACCTAGTAGCAACATCCGCGTGTTTGGCTGTGGTGCGCACTTGCCCATGCAAAGAAATGAAGCAAGTATCTTGAGCGAGCTGGTACAGTGTGGCTCGGTAACCCTTCTGTGCGCCTCCAATAATGAAGACCTCTTTCCCAATGATGTCGCGAAACGAATCTAAGTTCACGTTGGATACTTTCATGACGAATCCGATAGGAACGTCGATCTGTCATAACTCAGAGATGCTCAAGTTGAGGAGGAAAATAGTACTTACGAGTGAGTGATCGCCCTCAGATATCAGGGTCAAGCGCGCATTTGGAAAGTCCACGATTTGCACGACCCCTTTCAGTCTGAAACTCTGGCCCACGGGCAACAATCACGACGTCTCCGGGCTTAACGTCATAACCCCTTTCCTTGGTAAATTGGAGTGTCTTGGAGGACCGAATGCGCTTCACAAATGCAACTGGGGACGTGAACCAGCGGGTCCTTGATACCACTCCCAGCCCGGAACCACAGCGTTTCTCCCTTAGGAAGCCACTCCACAATCCCGCATTTCCCCATGTACTCTCCCGCACCCACTTCTATTTCGTCCCCGATTTGAAGGGATTCGGGCTCAGGGAGAGGGTTGAAATCTGGCTGCGTTGGCAGCCGGGATTGAAGCACGTGAGTTAAAGGACGACGAGACAAGTAGTACTTTGATACTTCCACCTATGCAATAATCAGACAGGCCTACAGGATGTTATATTGACCCATACCTCTTCATTGGTGGCCTCTTGGCATACGTGAAAAAAGTCCTCGGACTTTCTAATGATATGCCCTTCTAATCCAGTGTATGCGCCCGCTACGACTCGAACCGTGTCGCCAACCCAAAAGACAGGCTCAATGTCCTGGAGCCGAAATTCCAGTTCTTGTCGATGTCCATCGAAGGTGAATTCTAAGTGTGCGGTACCAAGCGTATGGCTTGTCGAGACGACCGTCCCGATTTCTGAACGGACTTCTCCTGTGATAGCCTTGGCCGAATCACCTACGCGCAAGAATTGCAGTGAAAAGGCCACCAGAGTTTTCTTTAAGAAAGGTGCATCCCACCCGGCTTGCAGATGTAGTTGAATATCGTTAGCGTGAGGTGAGGCAACTAACTCCAGATTATCGCGGCGAAATTTCTTGAGTAAAAGCCCCATGTAGTACCGCTCTCCTTTGTACGACCATCCTACAACTTTATCATCCTGAACGATGTCCGACACTGCCTTGTTATTTGGCAGGCAAGATCGGTCGAGCAGCGCCACAGATCTCGCAGGCATGTGGTATGGGAAGTCGCGTGGGGGAATTAATGTTGCGACAAAGTTATTTGATTGCTCGGAATCGAAGACATAGCCGATATCACCCTTGTATTTCCCTTGTGTGATTTTCACCCACCCAGGGTTGGGAAGTGTGGGGCGTGAACGTTCGACCGCCGCTTGTTCTTCCTCCGAAATGCGAATATACTCTTTCACGGAGGAAGAAAGGAATTTTAATGATACCGCGATCGTCCTAGGGCTGTTTGAGACAGCATAAAGCTGACTTGGTATCCAAGGTGATACGGTAACCGCAAATCCATTGCTCCTCAGATGTTCAGCGACATGTTGCGTGGCAGATCCTACAACATTAAGTGACATGCTAGATCATTGAAATATTTACTCACTGTGAACATGAAGAAGGTACATCCTGCTTTGGACTGCGCTGGAGGACGAGGCCGCTCTATGAGATGTGCTGAGTGCGTTCTCTGCGTACCTGTCGAAGATGTGGTCAATTGCTACGGCTAACCTATCCTTGGCCGATGAAGGTCCTAGCAAGCTTGTAACGTTTGACGACCGCGCAGAAGGGCCATCGTCACCCTCGGACTGAGGGTTTTTCTCTTCCTCTTCCTCTTCCTCTTCCTCTTCCTCTTCCTCTTCCTCTTCCTCTTCCTCTTCCTCTTCCTCTTCCTCTTCCTCTTCCTCTTCCTCTTCCTCTTCCTCTTCCTCTTCCTCTTCCTCTTCCTCTTCCTCTTCCTCTTCCTCTTCCTCTTCCTCTTCCTCTTCCTCTTCCTCTTCCTCTTCCTCTTCCTCTTCCTCTTCCTCTTCCTCTTCCTCTTCCTCTTCCTCTTCCTCTTCCTCTTCCTCATCAGATGCTTCGTCGTCGATAAAGGGATTGTTTGGCTGCGCCTATCATTTAGTATAGAGGTCATGACAACAAGAATGTATTTCTTACTCTTCGAACGCGTGCACTTTTCAAGCGACCGGCTGCCTTTGGTGCAGACGTTGATATGGGAGATTCTCTCTGCGGGGTCACAATATTCAATGGACCGGAGGCGCCCTGGGGTACATGCCTAGCCTTCACGGCGAGAAGATTGTCCAAGGCGAGGCTGTCATCAGCCGTCACCGGAGAACAATGCATCACGAGCATCCTTCCAATCGTCCCCGTTGTATCGATCGCTGAGATACGAAGAAAAGGCCTCATCCATCTGAGGGTATGTCATGTCGGTGGTAAGGTATTGTTCCAGAATGCGCCATGCGCCGTGATCTGCCAGCGGTGATGGCGCGTTTGTAGCTGTGTTATTCGCATGAGAGAAATGTTATAAACGACGTGATGTAACTACTCACCGTCATCATTCCTGACGCGTTTCGGGGTAGGTTCATCACCATGAGCTTCAGATGCCGTGCGTTTGGACATTCTGTAGTTGACATCAATTAATCATGGACTTCTGTTGCAACGGGGAGGCTTACATATTGTGCTCTCTATTCTCTATGTATTTAGTATTCTAAGGACTTTGCTACGCGCTATGTATCAAGGTATGGAGTAGTGGTAACGGAAAGAAGAAATGTTAACGCGAAGGGATCTGTTTTATAGTGAACGACTAATTTGGAAGCACTTAGCAAATACGGCCACAAGTGTGTGCAGCATCGTTGTGGAGACAATTTGTGGACTCCGATGTTCAAATTGTGCTGAGACCTAGAATTCTCAAGTCCCGCCCGCCCACATATCCAGCAGTAAGTAGTCAGTTAATGCAATAATTATGTCATACGTGAATTCTATCTATTCCATCTCCTGTACATACTTGCAATCGGGTTGGGAAAGGAAATATTTTATTCGAAGGACGCCCTTGATATACAGAATGACTATGAGTTCAAACCCAGCCGGCTGCGGCCGGGTGTGGGCGCTGAGCGCTGAGCATGAATTCAGGCTGAGATTGAATCTCATAGTCATTCTGTATATTAACCGCGTCCTTTCAGATTCTTGAGCTTCTTTCCGACTTTTATCTTTTAGTTCTGCTGCCTTGACCTTGTGCTTGACTTGGTTTTGCTGATTGACTTTGACTATAGAATATTCGCGTACAAGCTTGACATAGTAATATTTAAGTTTAACATACTTATGTTTGACATTGGAACTATAATGTTAGAATAGTTGCAATATTTTAACAAAGACAACTTCAGCTGAGCCTGTTGCCCAGCGCAGATGTGCCATATGACATACAGTCGTGCATTGCCCATCAACGAATGATTATCGATGCGAAATCGATGTTTTGCATGAATCCAATCTACGGTAGTACGTACATTATTTTATCTTAACAGAATCTCTCTAACTTCCGAGAAGGATCACAGCGTGCATGTCCTCATCATGCAACTTCTCGCTGCCCAATATGATGGGTTTCACTCGTCTGGAGTGTTGATTCTCCACCGAGCTTCGCGCCCTCTCAAGGCCTTCGCCCCTCCTCTGATCTTCGATGTATTTCTCTACTAAGAAACGAACATTATCAGTCAGGTCCTGCGGTTGATCCCCAGACTTCGAATATTCTCGCCAAACATTTCCCAGCGACGTCAATGAGATGGGTGATGTGTTCTGTTGCCCGAGGATCTGCAGCCTGGTGGGTCAACTTGTCGCGTGGTTATATGACGGATGTTGCTAACATATGCTATCATCGCCATTGCGATAGCCAGCTGGGCTATTCCCCATACAAAGCTCTTCAGCGCTGACACCAAAGGACGGTCATTTGCCGACTTTGCAACACTGTTCCGTTTCCGACACCAGATGGAGATGGTCGGTTCCGTGTCGTTCATAGACGTTGCCCCGAAGATCAGGCTGTGGTGAGTGTCATCGTATGTCTTGCAGTCCGTCAGTCTGGTTAATTTTTACATGTCATGTAAATGACGCACTGTCACAGTTTGTACTCGGCCATTATCGGCATGTTGCAAGACTTGTTTCAGTGTTCCTTCATTTTTGTCAAAAACATAAATAACTCCTGTGTCACTGCCCCCAACTACAAGGGTAGCCTTCGCCCCAAAAACAACCTGCTTCGGGAATGTCTTGACTGGGTTGGTATTATAGGTACGGATGCACACTGCATCCTCCAGGCGATGTAAGCTGAATCCGTTCATGACATTGTCGATCAGGAACAGCGTTTGAGCTGCGTCCACAGAAGCATGCCCGCTATAATAAAATGGTAAGTGATTGTCGACTACTTCTGATGCGAAGTCATTCACATCATCGGTCCAGCGTTGTTTGTGGCGATAATAACGCCATCTGTGCCCCTAAGTACATGGCTAGAACGGAATATGAGATTGACATTCATAGTGATAAGGTTTGGACACCTACATCTCGCCGTCATACATGCCAAAGACTACTATGTTTCGACTTGCAGTACGGTGGAAATTTAGTGTGCGTGGGATCGTAGTAGCGAGCTCAACGCTAAAAATCGGTATTAACGGTCCTTTGAAGTCAAATGCCCATACTTGAACGCGTTTGTCGCGCGTCCCACTCGCAATTCGAGTTTCGTTCCCGGTATGGTCGTATGTAAGACACATAATTTCCTTACCCGTTCCGATCCTCCTTGATACTTTTGCGTCAAAGTCCAGCAAACCTTCCCCCTGCTGTTGCCAAATCCCTATGAAACCAAGTCCCGTGCCATAGCATAGTGTCTCGCGCGTTGCCTCATGGCGGGTAATCCAACATGCGCAAGTCACGGGATCGGTTGGATTTCGAACGGCTGGGGTTTGTGGTGGAGTTGGGAGCTGAACTCGCCTTTTGAGGTCCCAGATTCTCATTCTGTCAGAGCCTGATACTTGGTAAGTTAAGTTGTATTCCATCATGAATATCGAACTCACCCCCGCTTGCTAACATATTGCCATTGCGAGAGACTGCTAAGCAATTGATGGCGTTCTTGTGCCCAACAAGGCGCCCTTCGAGGCGATAATCGTTCGAATGACTGGTGGAAAGTAAAAACATTGGGGCGTCAACGTAAGTCCATCGTTGATGTCTTAAAGGGTTTTAATACTGACGACAAGGCCATAGACAATAAACAATAACAACATCCTGCCTAACAACGTTATCCTGGTTGGCGCTTGATGTCCGATCTACACCCGAGCTCCATATAAAATGTCTTTCTGGCTCGGGTTGGGTGTCAGGTCAGTCATGACCTCCGTGCCTGTCGCTCCTTTTTATGAGCCCGAGGGCCCTCCCCAGTCCCTTCCATTATTGATGTATCACACAGAAATGTTTTGTCCGATGACATCGTTCGTCTCGGTATCTTGGCAAGAAGAAATGGCATTCTTCACTCGTAAACTCAAATTTACGGAGCGTACGCCTACTATTTCGCGCGTGTTCACTACCGCGTTGTCTCGCGCAGCGACACCCATCCCTTCTGGCCCGCCCGCCCCCAAAGTCGCTAAGGCTGTCTCATTTTCTGCAGAGCACATCGCGCAGATCAGCCAGCCAGTGCAGATGTCAACAGCTTCTTCAGTTGTCATCCATAGATTCCCATGAATTTAAAATCCCACAACCAGACGGCGAGGCTGGGCGTCCTAGCCGTGGTGGATACAACTTGGAAAAGGCACTCAAGTGGGATGCCGACCGCTTCAAGGCGTTCAAGGTGAGATCACGCCTTTAGTAACTGAGGTCTCCTCGAAATTGATGACATTAGGAGTGTGTTCATGGTTCGATCCAGACACATTGCGACACTAGCAAGAGCAAGACATCTCAAACTCCAGCCGCGATAACTGCAGTTCAGATTGAGGTAGATTTATCATTTTTACATCTGTTTGATACTAACTTCGCTTAAGGTCCTCTCTCGCTTTTCGGAACTCAATGACTATGACGGCTGTTGGCCAATTGGAGATATAATTCAGATGCAGCTGAAAAATATGTCTGCGAAGCAGCGACAAAAGCATACGAAGTAGCAGTACGTACAAATAGAATTTCCACACCTGTTTGACACTAACTTCGTTTGAGGTCTCGCTTTTCGGAACAATGACTATGACGGTTGTTGGCCAATTGGAGATATCTTTCAGAAGCTGAAAAATATGTTGCGAAGCAGCGACAAAAGCATACAAAGTAGCATTACATACAAATCACGAACATAAATTCAGTTTTTGTTAGTTATTTGATTACGCTCGAACTCCTGATGGAGGTAGTGATAATTGACGAGAATTACCTAACAAGCTGCATATGCCCCATAGATTGCCTTATCGTACACCCTGGATACTGTTGTAAGGCAAGAATGTTGTATTCGGTTATGCTCTCGACATTCAGATTCAGGTGAGCTGTCTTGAGATAAAATGTGCGCTACTGAAAGATTTGAATCACAAGATGTCCCGCCTGGTGTCATTATTTACGAATGCTGCAAAAGATCATCCTCTTACCCCAGTTGTGGAGTCTCACCCTCTCAACGAGCTTCGTCCGGCAGCGGCCATGCACACGTATCCACCCCAGCCTGCTGCCCCGGCTAGTTTAGATTCTCGTCTGTCAGTAACCACCTCTTCGACCGAGGAGTTCGCAATGGTGTTATTTGATAATGCAAGCGAGACTGCTCGGAGGAAGAGAGATGACGATGACCAGCCAGTGGGTCATTGAATTCTTCGCTTTTCTCAGCTAACGAATATTTAGCCTAATAAAATATTCCTCAAAGAAGTTGATCAGTCGTCCAGACTGCGGGATGATGTGCGCGAGCTACAATTCTCCAAGCACGATCTATTGCTCCGAAAGCGGCAAATCCAGGTACGCATAATTAAACATCTCCCGTGTTCGTACTTGACTAGGTTTTAGATCACTGCCAACTCGCGAGAATCGGAATTGCAATCCGTCATCACACAGTATCAAGAACATCAGGAACTCCTTGAGCGTAGCAATGCCGACGCCCTTACATCATTGAACGACAATCATCACAAAGAACTTGCCGAATTCCAGGTGGGGTTCTATCCTCATGACAGTTAATATCCTGACTTTCTGTGGCAGAATCGGATGAGATTGGGTCTGGATGAAGCACAAAAAGAGTCTCGTATAGAACGAGACAGATTACTGGCTGAGAAAGACACTCTCTTTCAATACGAGGCTAGGGTTACCAGAGAGAAGTTGTTGGCCGAGAAAGAAGCCGAGTTAGCCCGCTTTTCTTCCGAGTATAGCAGCAAGATAGCCTCATTGGATGTGCGTATCGACATAGTTTGTGTGGGGAGCTCTCCTGATATATTTACAGAGCCAAATGCAACAGGCAAACACCACAAGGTCCATCCCCTCCCCTGCATGGCGCCATCTTGTAGGCAAGAGACCTGTCGCCACATGCACGAATATTGTTGGGTTTTCAATAGTAAGTTCATCTCACTAGCGTAGATTCACTGCCTTGTCTAATACCACCCATGCCTCAGATTTCTGACGCAAGTTCAGAATCTGATGGAGACGAGGAACCTCGGGTTGGCATCGGGGGTAATTCTGCATCCCTCCTTACTTCACTATTAGCCGATGTTCCGATTCAGAATGCTACCGTCGGCATGCTTGTTGAGGCGCTTGCAAAGGCTCTTCAGATTCCGTCGCAGACAACGCCCCCCAGGGCAACTCGATCGAAACGCAAAACCCATAAGCCCCCTGTCGAGAATTTTACTGATGCCCAGCGCAGAAATAATAAGGTATGTTATTTCCTGAAACAACTTTCATTGCTAATGAAACGCCAGGCCAACGTTCGGGAGCTATTTCAAATCGCATTCCATTTCGTGAAAGATGACGAGTTTATGCTGCATGAAACTGCGTCGCGCGAAGCCATATCGTCTTTCATGTACGGATCGGGCACGGGCCCTAATCCTCTCGAATTGCAGTGGGATATGACGACGACACACAACTCCGAGTGGAACCAAAAAGTAATTGACATTCTCTGCTCCCAGTATACTTCCTTGCTTGAGAAGAACCAATGGACTTCAAGATCCCGTCAGTCCGTCATGGACGATATTACCAATAAATTCAATCAATGCCGCAAGTGCTGGAGAAAAGCGCAGCCTCGTGTGCTCAGCGATGGCATTCGCGAGACTATGCAAGAAGTAGGAGATAGACTCGTGGATCAGACCAACGAGCGATTGCGGCTCACTAGGGTTCACACTCGCAGAGCGACGGTCAGTCATCTTTCTGTTGCACCTTGAAGAGTTAAAGAATGTTGAGCTGCTTTCTAGAAGTTCGAAACTCGTAAGAAAGTCACGTCGGCCCTCCTAAGTGACAGGATTGCAACTGGAAAGGACGACCAGGCTGTATGGGCGTATCTACAATCTCTTGTGGAGACCCTCGGCAAAGACGGTATGAGCTCTGACGAGAGTGAGCACGAAGGTGGCGAAGCTCAGGTATTTCGGCTGAAGAAAATGCCATGGAGAGCGGAAGTCAGGCATGAGATGCATATCATTGATCAACAGCGGTTGGCGGGTGCCGCGAACTCTACTCCCCGCGGAAGCAAACCCGCAAAGCGTTTTCGCAACGCAACCCGGGAGTCCTCTCGCCAACCAATCGAAGGCCTGCCAAGGGCGTTATACAATCCGTCATGGTTGAAGGAGCAACCTCCTTCCTTCACAGTATCTGATAAGAAGTTCCAAAGGATGGATATTATTGTTTCCCACCAGTGATCACGAACCCAAGTAGCTGCCGTTTGTATGTACATTTATAGTGCCGCCATTTGTATACTAAGTTATCCCCTATGTACTATCCTCTGTATTGCCTCCGGGGTATTTTTGACGTGCACTCACATGGGCAGCTCGATTTGGAAATGTTTACGATTACGACAAGCAGGGCGCTGATGCGATCAGCGGAGATTGATTTAAGTCATTCACTATATTAGGCTGCGTCTTCCCATCCGCTACTCTTTCTTTCTGATTTGAATGTTCCTTTTAGCTAGGGCCTTGACGAATCAAATGTCGTGTACGTATTGTGCATTCGCGATCGGCATCGTGATCAAGGTAGAGTCTCATTTTTCTATGGTACATGGAGCACATTCTTACGAAATCAAGTATGTTCTGTCTCTGTTGCTATTGGATATCCTCCTGGCATTCCAGCTAGAGTGTGGCCTAGTGTGGTGCGTTAGATTGGTGCGTTAGACCCGTCATCGTTCATGAACGCACCTCGCCCACAAACCAACAAAGGTTCTGGTCTCGCCCTTTGAACTGTTCCGCGCTTGTCGTTTGTTTTGGGCTTATCTTCACCATTGGAAATAATGTCGTCCACTTCCATGCCCAACAATGCACCCTCGAGTGCTGCATGGATGCGCTCGCGTAAGAGGTCAGTAGTTGGATGTCCCCCCTTACAATGACGACGGAGACACCTGTTTATCGCCTTTTGTAGGCCGCGAGCAAGTTTCTTCTTCTTCGAGGACAAAGGCCCCGCAACCTGACTGCTACTGATGTTATTGGCAATGTTGGCCATCGAGATTGGCGCCTGAAATTCCTAAACACGATAAGTCTAGAGTTTGTCGGCGGGACTTATGTTGCTAACCTCATCGCCCCCTACATTAGGGCTTGTGATTGAAACATCTTGCGCACTTCCCAATATCCCGGGTGATTTGGGTTCATCAATCAACATGGCGGATCCCATCCACAGCTGTGTATTTGGCTGCGAAGGGTCAGTTGAGTGGTTGCCTCATTGCGAACACATCTTCACCATCTCTTGTCCCACGTCTAGATACACGGCAAACCTCCTCATCAGAGGTGTTGGTTCCATTTTTGAATTCCTTGACGAGGGCCGAACATAGGGATTAAAGCGATTCCTACGGACTGTAGTGGTTTGTGATGTTAGTGTAAACGGCGGCATGATCATGAGTTGTGCGATTGAGCAATTCATGTAGCCTTTAAAACTAGTCCTATGCTCCATGAATGGAATCACGATATGGTCTCCATTCAGGCCGTCTAGAATTTCATTTCGTCGCTTGTCTTCCACTGTATTCCTACTGTAGCTTGTCTTCATTTGTATTCCCTACTGGTGAAATGTTTCTGGTTTATCCCTCCGTAGGTAATGATACTTTATGGTGTATCCCCTCTGATTTATCCCCTCTGATCTTTTATCCTTCTACAGGCGATGACGTCAAATTTAAAAACTTCATGTTCGCTTCTGTGACTAACAATAAGCTTCCTCGGAACAATCACTTCGAGCGACTTAAAACAGTCCTCTTCAATCCTTAAAGATTATTTTGCGATGGGAAACTCAATAAGTCACATCTCTGGCCAGAAATCCGGTTTACGTGAGGTCCGCTCCGTATATTCATTCCCTCTGTTCTGTTGTAACTTATCATATACAGTCCCAGGACTCCTTGTCGACGACCGCCTCCTTTGGCACGGTGAGGCATTCACATGCATATAAGCACCTACTCACTGTTGATTTGTAGAACATCGACACTCTAACAAAGGCACCCCTGAAGCGTAAATTCGAATTTGATGACGATTCAGTATCCCCGCGAAAGCGACGCCTCCTGGAATGTTATTCCATGGGCGACATAAGTCACGTTGTTGCTATGGTGCGTCCCGATTTCTAACATATGCACCGGTATTGACCAAATTTTAGCCCAGAACAATAAATCGTCGCAACACTGACTTTACAAACCCGTCGGCCAAGCGCTTGTACAGGGAGGCGGTACGGAAAGACCTCATATATATTTGCCTCCGCTGATCTCGACCCTAGTCTGATATTTTCTTGAAGCGTAAAGCGGATACTGTACTAGATCCCTTTTCAATTCAACGCGTCAACCTTTATGAGCCTTGTACCACTCAGGCGTTTATATGGTCCCTACCTGCGGAAATGCTCACGGCTATCGTCGCTCTTCTAGGAGCGCAAGATCTGCGCTGTGTTACCCAAGTTTGTTCTCTGTTGAGAGAAATTGCTGGTCCCCTCTTCTTCGTCAACCGAAGCTTCCCAACTTCACCGCAGGACATGTTTCACATTCAAGTAGACTCGTACAATTTTGACGTTTTGCTTACTTGGATACGTATGGATACCTTTCGTCCTCCGCGTATGATGTTGTGTTGGTTGGATCCTGATGTGCGGTCCACGCAGCTCTCTGCATTTTCGCACTTTCTCCAGTCCGTCCCCCACAAATCGATACGATACATAACACTTTTCTGGAATTTTGACATTCTTACTTGCTTAGTTCTCCCTCAGATTATCACAGTCTTCGAGAACATCCGTGCCTCTGGCTGCGAAGATCTGACGTGCATGGGATTCTGCAGTCGCGTTGGCTCATCGTCCGTCACTGGACTCACCCGAATTCAGGGGCGTGTAAACGGGAATCTCCTCAAAACCTTTGATGCATCATCACAGGCGTTTTTTTCCCCAAAACTCCTTCCTTTCACAATCCAGACCATCCGCTCTTCCCGTTTGGAAAAGCTTCGACTCAGTTCCATCAAACTCAGTTCTGCACACTGGGACAGACTCCTGCGGCACTTGGCCGTCCCAACGCTAGTCGAACTCCGAGTCGATGCTGATTGCGCGCCGTCCACGCTCATTCGTTTTCTGGCCCGTCACCCTGGCGTTAATAACCTTAGTGTCATTCCGCAACCCGGTAGTCTCTGGAGGACCCATCGAGCCACCGCCTCTTTGGCATTAACGCTGTCTACGCTAGATGGGCCTTTGTCCCATGTCCTCCCAGTCCTTCGGAGTCACCCTTAAACCACCCACCCTCGCCTGCCTTGCTCTATCATTGCAAGCTCATGACGCTTCACCTGACTACCTTACCACCATCTTACGATGTGTCGGCTATTGCAACAGCGTTGGATATCTTTCTGTTTCCCTTCCTCCCCAGAGTCATTCCTATTCGGCAATGATTTACGCAGGCACCCAATCAGCGGTTCACGTCAGACACTTGGCGATCCGCTCCTCGACCGCTGCAGGAGATGCACTGGTACGTGTTTGTTTGAGCACTATTTCAATACCTCAATACTGATCATGGCCCAGGCGTTATCTGCTTCGTGGATTGAAGCCTTTCCTCTAGTCAAACGTGTCAGTATGCAGGGCTGCTCCAATCTCACTGCTGAGGATCTTATTCACATCATGCGCAAAATTGCTGATGATGATGTCGAACTGTCTGTGAATCTGCGTCCCGAAGATTCATTGTAATTTATTGTTTATGTCGCATCCCTGCCCCTCAGAATCGGATATGCGCAGTACTCGATAGTACTTGTACTTATATGTCCTGCTTTTCAATTGACTCCGCCACGTATAATTGTCAAAGCCTATGTACAATCGGCGGGCGCTGGGTGCCAAATGAGGTTGATTATGTAATCATTCGCTATATCAGGCGCATCAGCCTAGTGGGCGCTGGGTGCCAAATTCTGGCGGAGTTTGATTATGTAGTCATTCGCTATATCAGGCGCATTCTTCAGTCACTTCACCTCTTTCCAATTTCTATGTTACAGTTGCAGTTGAAAGTTCTAAGTACTAGCTACATGATTGTTTTAAGTACCTACTATGATTGTGAGATTTTGAATAAATGTGGATCGAAGCATTGGTGCTTCCAACACCAACCGAACACGGATCAAAGTATTGGTGCTTCCAACACCAACCGAACACGGTATGTCCATCCGTTCCTTGATGGAACGAACTTTGAATTGGCACCAGCAGCCCTATGCCCGCCATCTACGACATCCGTATCCTTAGGAACAATCTTTGTCGAGTACAACAGCCGATTGACTATGCCTTTGACAATACTTAAATATTTGCCTGCGCATCTCATAAGGTAAGAATCTAGTGAAGCTAGTCACTGGTCCTGTTCTGAAGTTTGTTTAGATGCCTAGCCGAATATTCCTCTGCAAATGTACCCGATGCTGCGAGGTTGGAGGAGACGGAATGCCTAGGAATCCTGGCGGCAAAGAACTACCCTTCACTATGAAGCATGTACATTCGCTGCAAGCCGCCAGCATTGCTTCCTCACCCCGTGAAGCTTCTGTGCTTCATCTTGCTCGTCAGGCCTTATTCGAGCCCAGCGATTTGCATCATATCACAGATCGTCAAGCGTCGTCCTCCCAACATTTGGTCCACCCAACGCATGAACCTACAACGTCGACGCCGGTGGACGATCTCGCCGCCGAATTATTCGCAATCACCCTGAGCGACGACAAGGCTGATCCAGATAGTCATAGTAAACTCTGGGTTTCTCGATCAGAAGTTCAGCGGGACAAGGAAAAAAGCTGCTCTCTGGATTTCACGACCAATCTGTTGTCTGGACTCACTCTGGATGATACGCAGTGAGCATTGTATATCACCTTACATCGAGCTCTCTAACTTGGCTATTTCTTAGACATATTGCCCGTGCTCTCCAGGCCGCTGAAATGCGGCGCCAGTCAAAGGCTCAAGTAACATTGAATTTCGTGGAGTCACAAATGGCCAGAGCTCGCGCTCGAATTTTCTCCGCGACTTCTCGTGATGTGCTGCGTGTCATCCGAGATGAGCTGACCGTGATAACTGCGACCCTCAAAAAAGTCAAACACAAGGTCTCCTCTATCGTTTCTAGCAGAAGTCGGCTAGAATCTTCGTGTGATGAAATGTACAGACTGCTAATCAACAAGGAAGACGAATTTCCCGTATCATCTGAGCCTTTCGAGTTTGATTCTTGTGAGTGTTGTTCATTTCCTTGCTATGTTCCTCCGACTAATATCCCATGAAGCACATCATTATGATTTGCCAATCGATTACTGTGACGAGGTGGCTCAACTATCCCTCTTTCTAGGGGTAGTCTCTGTTGTCACTTTTGGCATCAGGTCGCAGGCACGGGGAGTTTCTCATGGGAGTTCTCTCCCTAATTTTGAGTCTTGCGATGGAGACGCAGAGCCCTCATTCTCAGTCTCGTCGTCAAAACACTCTTGCTCAGATCCCGCAATCTATGGAAACCGCGCTTTCACGCTTCAGGCTCGACGGCCAGACCACTACGTATGCAGTCTGTCCAGTGTGCAATTGTACTTACAAAATGACGGCCGACCCCAATTCAAGTCACCTGCGATACCCTACGAATTGCGTCAACAAACCCATACCAGAGGCTGATCCTTGCGGCGAACCGTTGCTGCAGCGCTCCGCTGACGGGCAATTCGAGCCAATAAAAACCTTCATCTATCACCACTTCCACGACTACCTTGCCGGGTTGCTATGTCGTCCCGACCTGGAGGCCTTGATGGATAAGCCTTGTGATGAATTGCTGGCATCCATCGGGAGTGCGCCACATATTGTCAAGGATGTTTGGGACGCGGGTTTCTTTCGTACTTTCAAGGGACCGACTGGCCAGTCTCTATTTATTGACAGAGGCGATGAAGGCCGATACGCTTTCACGCTCAACGTTGATTTCTTCAACGTTGAAGGCAATCGTCAGCGAAACGCATCAACATCCACCGGCATCATCTCATGCGCATGTTTGAACCTCCCCCTTGATATCTGGTACAAACACGAGAACATGTACTTAGCTGGCATCATTCCCGGGCCTTCAGAACCTTCGGGAGACGAATTAAATTTCTTTCTTAATCCCGTGGTTGATGATATGGTTGAAAGTTGGGAGCGAGGGATATGTTATTCCAGCACAGCTCTCAACGCTCGCGGTCGGGTGACACGCAGCGCCATAGCATGTCTAGTATGCGACCTCCCTGGCGGCGAGAAAGGCCGCTCAGCTAGCGGGTCCAACGAGTCATTTTTATTGCACAGCCTGCCATTGCTGGCACAGGTCGACTTGTGGTCGAACAGATATCCAGTCTGAAGATTGGAGACTTCGGGACAAGGACGAAGTACGCCGCTATGCTGAGCTCTGGAAGAATGCCGGAACTTCGGCTCAGCGCAACAAGTTGTTCGCATTACACGGGGTGCGGTGGTCGACACTCTGGAGATTATCATACTGGGATCCCTCTCGTCAAATCGTCGTCGACGCTATGCATTGTCTGCTGGAGGGTCTCGCGCACGCTCATTTCCGTGAATTTTTAGGCCTCACAGCCGACTCCGCACATCGCAAGCCTGATATTATCCCTGCTTTTGATTATTCCTTCCTCGACGTTGACCTCAACAAACCTCAAGACTTCCAAGAAAAAGACGTCAGAGTTGTCAAATCAATCCAGAGCCTCCTTACTGAAGCGGTCCCCAACCTTGAGGGGAATGATACGCAGCTTATCGAGGATCACCTCATACAGTTAGAGAGGAAATTGTTGAACAAGACGGTCCCATCCCTTCGGTTCTTGTTGGTGGGATTGGGCATCGCGCCAGACGCCCCACACCCTGGCAAAAAAGTCTTCAAACCCCATTGGGTTAGATCGCTCATCAGTTGGGTAAGTATTTTATTTTATTGGTGTTATTGTACCCTCTTAAGCCGCCGCTCTAGCGTCGAACCCAACCTTTCGCTCCTGGGCTGTCCAAATCGCGCATTGGTACCCCGGAAGTCATGCAACGTATTACTGATGTCATTAGGACGACAGATACGCCATCCTCCTTAAGATCAGTCCCCTATAACTTCGGGGAAACGAAAGCTGGGACTGTGAAGGCCGATGAATGGCGCACATTAACGACAGTATACTTACCCATAGCTCTGGTTAGCTTATGGGGTGAGGGATCTACTCATCGCACCCCGGAAATCGCAGCCAGTCGTCGTGCCATCCTTGATCATACGATGGCCCTCGTATCTGCCGTCCACATTGTATGTCAACGATCCATGACCACGGCTCGAGCAGAAGCATACCGTGGATACATTGTCGACTGGATGAGGGACTTGCAGGTATTACTTCCACATGCACCCCATCGCACGAATGGTCATATGGCGTTGCATGTCTGGGACTACCTGCAGCTCTTCGGGCCCATAAGGTCATGGTGGTGCTTCCCATATGAGCGTCTCATCGGGCAGCTGCAGCGGTTGCCCAACAATCACATTTTCGGTACGATTTCAACTTTTGTGTCAATAATGATTCTCTTACGCTGGCTCACGCAGGTCAGCAAGAATCAACTCTCCTTCACTCATACATCAAGGCTGCAAAGCTCAAATACTGGCTGAACCGACCTTCTTGTCCTCCCGTGTTTAGGGAGGTGAAGTCTCTATTTGACAGACTTGTGTCTCCCTCAATCGACGCAAATCCTATTTCTGTGCCCACAGATCACTCACCTACACCGCAACAAGTTATTCCAGAGGACCTCCACCGACTCATCCAAGTTCGGCGGGCAGTCTTGCATGCTCGCACACTTCACCGTTTATACCCGTGACTCCACCCATGTGGGCAACAGCCTGGTCCTCTATTACCCTGGTGGTATCAAGAATGTGCAACCGACACCGGGAATCATCAAGTACATTTTTGAGACGAAGGGAGTAGTGGGCTTCGCCGTGCAACGTCACCTCCCTCAATACTCTCGCCCTGACCCTTTCCGCCACTATCCTCACTTCCCAGCTCGTTTATATTCCTCAGCGCTTGCGGACCATCTCGAAACTGTCATGCCTGACTGGGTAGTGTCGCATTTCGCGCGATGGAACTTCTCTACACAGCACATTGTTGCCGTGTCTTTGTGTCAGGTGCGTTCCTCCCGCTGTTTCCACATGTTATAATGGTCTCACAATAAATGAATAGGACTGAACACAGCCATAGTATGCTTTTACGGTACCTAAAATTCCCTCACGATCATAGCCATATGTTGTTGTTTATTTGTACGTTCACTAGTAACCACGCCATTCTGCTGGAAATTTTGCGGATACTTCCGGACTGAGTTTCATTCTCTATATAAACCTCATCGAGTCATTTGTGTTTTTTTTTCTTCTTTCTCATCATTCTGCGTACATACATACACCTGTAAGCGCGGTCCGGCTTTTCGCCGTTACATAAACTATACCCATACATACATATTTTACTCTATATATCCATGATCCGGGACCCTGCCACATCTGATGGGACTGTAGATGTAGATGTAGTTGTAATACCAGTACACGTTGACGCGCAGGATTCGCAACCGGCTACCCCTAACACCGCTACCCCTATCAATCTCCAATGTGATAGTTCCTCAGATGACGGGACTGTCATCCCTCCTGCAGAGCCGATACTATCACAGCCTGCTCTCACTGATACTCCCATCAAACGCGATAGTTCCACCATATTACCCTTTACGACTCTTGCACGATGCCGAGTCGACACTCTGAACGCTATGGGCAAGGAGATAAAAGACCATGTTGTTGGCCCAATGCCAGTGGAGGCCTTTCTAGACGAGTTCCTGCCGAATCCGAAAAACCATGACCCCTCGGACTTCACTTCACTCTTCACTTCGGCCTCCAACGCTGAAGCATTCAATATACAATCCGTTAAGAGAGAGGAGGCTGCTTACGATTTATTCGTGAGTGACCCTGCATCTAAGGATAGTGAATCGTTGACAATCTAACTCCAGATCAACGGCATAAAACCCTTCGCCCCCCAACTATCATTTGTGAACTCGTCCAACCGTGCAGACACGAAGAACTGTTCGGCCTTCACATTCAACGTCAAGCCGGATGTTTGTGTATACGCCGACGGAACATCTCAAGGCTGCGATATCTCCAAACTCGAAGTCAACGTCGAATTCAAATGGAATGATGGATATGACGCATTCAGCAAAGATCCTGGGCCTGATACGCATATTGTATCTGTGACTGAGAAGGCCTTCGATACATTGGGCCAGATAACGAGCTATGCTAGCGCTCAGCTCGGCGCTCAATATCACACCCACGTGTTCTCTGTCTTGATCGTCCGCAATCGCGCTCGCATCATCAGATGGGACAGGGAGGGAGCTATTGTTACGGACGCCTTCAATTACAACGACCCACACTTAGCCGACTTCTTCTATCATTATGCGCGAGCATCGCCTGAGATGCATGGCGTTGATACTTCTGTCACGCCCGCTAGCACCGAGGATGCTGCTCTTGCAAGGGAGGCCTTGAAACTTCCCACCGCTACGCACATGTTCAAAGTTGCAGTTCCTGAGGATCCTGCTGTTGAGGACTCTGGCTGGTTGACGTTGATTATTCCCCAGCCTGTTGCAAAGGGTTTTCCACCTGTTGGCCGCTGGACTCGCACGTGCCCTGCATTTGATCTCCTGAACCAGAAGGTCGTAATGTTCAAGGACTCGTGGCGCGTGTCGATAAAGGATGTCCTACCGGAAGGCGAAACTTATAAATTATTAAAGTTACACAAAGTTCGCAATGTCGCAACATGCATTGCATTTCACGATGTAATCCACCCTATCCCTCAGCAAAACACCCAGACTGCTAAGTTTGGAAGCGCCGAATGGGCGTGTCCCAACAGGGATGTCGCCAAGAAGCTCATCACTCCGCATACTCTTCACCGCCTGGTTCTTGATATTGTGGGCGAGAAGTTGAACGACTATGCAAGATCTCATCAACTTGTCCAGTCTATCCGCGATGCGTTGTTTGGTGTGTATTTCTCAATCTCGCATATCACCTAATCTCATTAGCCACGCAGCTCACAAGGATGCGTACGAAAACGCAAAAATCTTACATCGAGACCTCAGTGTCGGGAATATCGTTATCTACCGAGGAGTGGGCTTCCTTATCGACTGGGACCTAGCAAAGTTGCTCACTATTAGGGGTTCTCGACAAACGACTCGCACGGTATGTTAGTTCCATGCCCAAACTCGTAATTTGTACTGATTTTGCTGTCGCTAAGGGAACCTGGCAGTTCATGTCTGCTCACCTCGTCAAGAATGGGACCGCCATCCATGCTGTTGAGGACGACCTCGAATCGAGCTTCTACGTCGTTCTGTGGACGGCTTTGATGTACGCGTCAAGCTACATGAGCATCGTTGACCGGACGCAATTCATCGCGCATACCTTCGACGCTGATCCGCTGCAGGGGTCTGGAGGATCCGCGAAATCCAATTTCCTCGTCGCGAACACCAACCTCCCACAAGATATATTTGTCGGCTGCAAGCCACTCGACAATCTTGTCGTTGAACTCGCTCAATTTTTCTCACATAGATACTCCAAGGTCCGCCCTGAAGACCGGGCGTCACTTGCGAAATGGCAGATTACACTGGAGAATGCTTTGGCCGAAGGGGTGGAGGGGGATGAACGCACGGCTGCAAATCAAATGGTGATAGATGTCGTACAAAACTTCGTGCTGGAGTCGCCTGCTTACAGGAAGGACATGGGTATGAAGCTCCTGCACTTGCACGACCCTGTCATCCAGATCTACAACAAGCACCTTGAGTCACCCGGTTGGCCTGACCAAGACGCGGCCAGACTGCAACCACTGCAACCGAGCGAGAAGGTAGCTGGGCGTCGCGTGTACACGAAGTCGCTTCTTGTCATGCAGTACTCGACGCCAGTGCGGGTGCAAGTCACACCAACTGGCAAGAAACGTAGGCTAGATCCTGAGGATAGCGACAAGATCCTCGATCCGGTTGGTGGCTTTGATAATCTTTTGTCCTTATGATACTCTAGTGTTACTTTGCGCGCTGCATCTTCGTACATACTGTGATACATTTTTCGTATACAATTTTCGTATACAACATTACTGATCCTGCGAAATCTCATACACCATCATCTCTTTCGGCCAAGAACGCGTGCAATTGAGGGAGCGAGTGTGATTCTTCAAATGTCAGCGCTACCACAAACAAATTTAAATCACAATCTTTCTATCTCCAAGTCGAATCGAAGTGACTGTGGCCACCGAGTGCCCGATGAGTCACCCGATGAATGCCCAACGAGTGCCCACTGTAATTTTCCTTGGTCAAAATTATATATTTTTTCGAACCTCATTTTACCGGGAGACAATCTGAAATTTCCTGGAATGGGCAAACACCCGTTATTATATAATATTTTGCCTCTGCGCTAAAATTTTGTAATTACCATGAATTACCACTGGTTGCAAAAGTTAATATTTATACTAACATTTATGTCAGCAGAACACTTGAAGTATTATATACATTTAGATGGACTTAAAATTTGTATCGAAATGTGTTGTTTTGCCGTGTCAAGTTGCCGGCAGTCAAAATTTGTTATGGTTTCAGTGTCAAAATTCAACGCGGAAATGGATAATTTCTCGACCACATTTTGATTCAAGTCTTGCCTGTGGAAAAACTCCCAAACCGCCGGTGTGTAAGTACTATTACTGTTGATTACTCGTCACACTTCGAAAACTTCCATTTCGGGTATTCTTCACCAGTCTTCGGGCGTGCGCAGACCTGTACATATCGAGTGAATGGTGGAAAAACCTCAAATTGACATCAAAAGCTACCTTGCAGTCTCCATTAGACGTCCAGTACATCTTTAAAGCTGAGTGGTATTCAAACATCACGCTGAATGTGAAAAGTCAATGCTGAAGCCATATCGGTCGCTATCTTGACGGAAGTACGCACCTGAAAGTATCCTGGCTATCTGTGGTGCTCTCCAGATGAAAGCTCGAGGTCAAGGAGGGCATGCTGTCTTGGTAGACCAGCATTGCATGCTGTAGTCAAGTCAAAAAATTGTACATCAGAGAGAAGACGGTAAACGTGCATCCCCGACGGAAATGAAGTTCCCTTTAGGCATCTCAGGTGATGCACCTAGGAAAAACGCAGCCGAAGTCTCTTGCGAATACCTAAGAATCCACTGCATATCCGTGAGCAGCAGCTGGGAGCAGGAAACTGAAGCCCAACGCACGATGCCGCTCGCCTTGTTGTCAAGAACGATATTACCATCTCTCACGGTCACAAAGAGCCCTTTATAATCCCCCGAGGCGCTCTCAATCGTGTAGTTGCCGGGAGAGAGGAGACGGTCAGAGTCAGACATAGTCAGAGGAGCAGATATATGTGTGTCAGGGGGGATGATATGGCCTTTGATGGTCTTCTATACATTCTCCCTCGCAGGAAGCGAGTTTCGACTCTTCCATGTTGCTCTGTTCCAACTTGGAGCCTACTCGGCTCGCCGCGCAAATAGTGTCGAGGGTAAAGATAAAGCAACGACGGCAGCAATAGATATTATTACATAGTAGTGTTCGACCTGAGGCCTGAGACATCCTAAGACTTTCCGGTCTTGAGTCAGACTTCTGCTCAAACTTGAACCAGACCCCACGTCAATGCCAGAGGAACGAAGTCAAGTCCTCGACCCGGACGATGCTCTTATCCTCCCAAACCACGCTCCTGCGCTAGGACGAGGGCGCCAAAAGGCTGTGAGAGGCGAATGATCAACCTTAACTCTCGCGACTGGAATCCAAATCAATGGATTTCTTAGGTACTGGGAGCGCAAGCTAAGCTATGATAGAATTCTGGCACCACGTGCACACATCAATCGTCCCTGATGATGTAGTCACTTTCAATGCGGTGAATCAGAGTCGTTAATACTGTTCACCCCTGTTATCGAGTTGTATTTGAGGAAGGCCATCTGGGTGAATGTAAGTCTTGACACAGGAAATGACACGCGTGTATGCATCTCACTCACTATGAGTATGTTTACCGCGATCAGCACATTAACACTGTTAAAAAACTTGACAAACGGAAACAAGATCCGTAGGATCGGGGTGCCAAAAGACTCGAAAATATCAGTTGAGCGTCGTGCAAAATTAACGGGAATTAGCACGAGAAGCAGCCTGGATCCTGGTCTGGAGATATCGTAGACTGTCCGTGTCGGCAAGGTTTGGAGGTGGGTGGGTGGACGAAAATCGGTGAGTGACGCGAAAAGGGTATGAGCAGACAGAACTTTCTTGGATTGATCGCCGACACTCAGCAACGACCCAGGCGAGTATCCCTCTATGAGGAACTGTGGATCACCCGAAGAGATCTTCTTGAAAGTATCAAGGTTCGAGAACCTGGGCCTTTGGATTTGTGTTCTTCATGTCTAATACGTTCAAAGGAGAAGATGGATTCTCGCCTTGGCCTATTAGCTCATTGGCAAAAGAGACGTTACAGACAGGAATAGATCATGTCCCCAGAATATAGCAATGCTTATCTATGTACTGGATTTTGTGAATTCCGCACTAGAACATGTACTGCCGGTGCTCTATACGAGAACTTCTCGGAGAGTATCAGCATCTACATAGTGTCGATGTGAAATGTGCCCCACATGCTGGTACTTATAGCTCAACATCGTTAAAGTCACAAGCTGGGGCACGTTAAGGGTCCAAATTCAGTTTCACCAGCCGAGTGGCACAATGCATACGCACATGCAATTAAAAAATACCCGCCTGGATTCAAGAGCTTCGCGACACGCATCGGATAAACATCTACTGTAATCCTTCCATTATCACCCTTCTCCATCAACACGATGGCATCGTATGTGCCTTTATCGAGAATCAGATCCCAAGCTCCATTCTGGTCAGCTTTCTGATCGTCGGCGAGCAATGATGGGTCCCCCTGCAAGAAACCGCATATGGCCGTGAGATTCCGAGAGTGCGCCACCGATTGAGCGAGCTGGACAGCTCACTATAATCAATTCCAAAAAGTTTCTGTGCCAGATAACATCCCCATGCCCCTCCGCAAGCGTGGATGATAGTGCACCATTTCCACTTCCAACTTCAAGGACTAACACATCGCGAAGGGGCGTGTTAATCGACCCACTTCACCATCTCACTCATCGCCTTGTTGCCGAACCTAGGCGCAAGAAGCATAAATGTAATAGAAGCAATGTGGATACACACCATATTTCACCCTCATCACCGTTTTCACTGAAGTTCTCCAATTCTTCTTCGTAAACGTTCTCCCAACTGATTGGCGATAAGTGACGGACCTACAAGTTTACACAGAGGGTGGACACGCCTACTGCTTTGTCATACCAAGCTTTGATGGCTCGAGCTTTGAGGTATCTATGACGTTTCGGGGACTGCCCTTGATCACCGAAAAGATTTGGAGCCCTCGATCACTGTGAAGATTTGGAGTTGATAGAATGAAAGGTACTGCTTAGTAAGCCAGTCAAATTAGCTCCATTAATGACATGCAGGTAACATGCGGTAGTGTTTCAACTGGCCCCACACAAATGCAGAGGAACCCCAAGAAATAGGTTCAGACGGCAGATAGTATAGCGAGCCTCGACCAACGGAGCGAGTGGTGATATGTGTCATGATGGATATATCAATGCGATGAAATACAGTGTAGACTTGAAAACTGAGTAACTCTTCCGGTTCAAGAACTTGGAAATGACTTACCGGCACGACGAGTAACCAACGTATAAGAGTTGAATGTTATCTCGAGTTTCCATCTGTCTCGTCTAACAAGTCTTTAGCCTCGTTGATTTTGCTTGCCATGTATGGGAGCCCCCGCGGTGATTTGCGAACTTTGCGAGCACGATATGATGGTGGGCATCTTTTAACTTGTTGCGTAGTTTTACGCCTTCTCTGCAAAAAGTACTGCCGTCAGACACTACGTGATAGAGTGAGCTGAGAGTGCAAACTTTAACCCAAGGATTGCAATATAGCCTTCTTGCGATTCATTTTCGCTTTAAAACCACCCTTTACCCACTGGTCTGCTGACTGCTTGCCAATAATACCATTGCGCACAAGAAGTCGTCCGAGTCGGTCCAACAAGAGCAACTGTGATAGTTCCTACACCGACAAATACAGGAATTGCCATGAGGAAGAAAAGAAGAGAGCAGGCGTGGCTGTGCAGGGCTGTGGCGATACCGCGTTTTCTTGAATGACTTGTCGGTGACTGTCTTCAATTTGCTTTTACGATTCAGCTCATTGATCTTGTTGCTGCATACTACGTGGCCCACCTCAAAGCTGAATGGATGACGCTGAATGGCGCCGACTGAATGACACCAAATTTTAGTTACTCTGGGACACTGGACATACAAAGTACCCTTTTGTGCTTTGTTCTTCCAAGCACAGCCTATGCGTGGTTCCTCGTCCCCCTTTCACTGCTAACTTGCTGTAAAAAACTGTTACCATTCATTTACAGTAGACGCTCATCCAGCAATAAATAGCTCTGGCCTTGGATCACGTTCCTACATCCTCACTTACAACACATTGACGCTTTCCCTCTCCATCTCTCACACCCATGACCCACACATTCTTCACTCTGCAACAGAACGTTTATCAAGCCAGTCATGAGCCCATAACCGTGGAAGACGTTGACGAGCTCAATGTTTCTTCTCAAGCCTTGCGGCGTCTTATCAACTCAGCTCAAGGCGCCACCGTTGGAGTGGCAGCCACGTATCGCCCCGACTGTACTCTTTCGTCTTTAGCATTTTCAACGCTCACCAGAGCACTCGTAATTCATTTCTTTGCTGCGAATAAGCCAAATCCGCAGCAGCAGCTGCAGAAGAAGAAGAAGAAGAAGAGCCAGGAACATCAACCTCAGGTTTCCCGAGGACGCATCCTTATACAAGACGAAATTCTGTGTAATATTGGCATTAAACTCTATGGGTACAGGATAGACAGAATCGCAATCGGTCTCTTCCTGGAGCTCTCACTTCGCATCAATGCCGGGGTTGACATCCTGTCGGTGTCCAACAGTAATCGGCGCTCCTTCCAGGCAATTATGGACGCCTTGGGCGGCATGACCTTACTCCAGAAGGCAAACGTGAAAACCCTCTTCTCTCATAAAGATGGGGACGTAGCGACCAAGGATGTGGCGCTTCAAGCTTGGGCAGCATGTCGCGCTGCCACACTGGATGACATGACGCTTAGATATGCTGCCCTATCTCGAATCGCCACAGACACAATGCCAGATGTTGTATGTAATCTTCATCACGTCATTGACGCCTCCCTCTGATTCATAATGTAGCATCTGAACACCCTAGCAAAGATCTCTCGCGACGCTGAAGTTTTGGATTCTATGAAGCCAACAAAAGTCGTCAACCATGTCAAAGCAGACTTCAACTACAAGAAGGGTGATGTCAACCTCGAGTGCACTCGCTTCAGTACCCGTATCATGAAGTCTAGATATAGCGACCAAGTATGTGAATTTATGAGACGGTATGCCACCAACTCTGAACGTTCGCACTTACAGGTCATCCAAATCGAAACGATGGTTGGAGATAAGCGGACAATGGTCACTGGTCGTGCAGAGCGAATAGATGGAAAACAGGCTCATATCAACATCAACGGCAAGGTACATGCTTCGAGCAAGGTCCTCACCGTGACAACTTTTGGGAAAGGAGACTTGACAGCCGCTGAATCATTCAGAGAAGATGTAGTGCTAAAGGCGCTTCAAGGTACCATAACGTTGACCAAATATCCATTCTTCTGTAGTATCTGGGCGCCGTCATTAAACATATCATGGCCGCCCCAGAATGCTTCCACCACGTCGTTCGTCTACTATCCCGACGGCACATTGAACCCCTCGCAATATGTTGCAGTGGAGCGAATTATCTCGCAAGCGGACAGGGATCGTGTATTGCTTATTCAAGGTCCTCCTGGTACTGGCAAAACAACAGTCATAGCGGCCAGTGTCAATAGCATGATCAACACTGGCCCTATGGAGCGTACGGTTTGGCTTGTGGCGCAATCTAACGTTGCTGTGAAAAATATCGCAGAAAAGCTTGACAAGGTTGACTTCCGTGATTTCAAGCTTCTTGTATCCAAGGACTTCCATTATGACTGGTATGTCGCGTCTTCCTCACACCTTCGTCACACTGAATTTTGTTTTCATATTGCAGGCACGAACACCTCTACGAGAGACTGCAGCATTGTTTTATACGATCCGACCAATTTGGTGGCTCGGTCGTCGAAATCAGTCGACTTTTGCTCGACGCAAGAGTCATACTCTGCACGTTGAGCACACTGTCCAATCCCAATATCGATACCATAACTCGTCTTGTTCCGGTACAAACCGTGATATTTGACGAGGCAAGTCAAATAGAAGTGGGAGACTACGTGCCGCTGCTTAAGCGTTTCGAGCCCAGCCTCCAAAAGATGGTGTTCATCGGTGATGACAAGCAACGTGAGAACCGGGCAGGTATTTCATCATTGACTTTTACTGACTTGGATCTTAGTGGCGCCATACGGCCAAGATGATATTGGGCAGCTACGAAGTGTGTTTGAGTTTCCGCACCTCCGAAAGCGGGCACACTTTTTGAATACCCAGTGTAAGCTCGTATCTTGACTTCGTGTCCTCGCCGTCTCAACTCCGTCCAGACCGCATGCCAGTCGTCATTGGAAACTTCATTTCCCATCATGTATACGATCAGAAGTTGAGGACTATGCACGAAATCACCAGCAAGACAGCGTGTCGTTTCCTGGATGTCAAAACGGGCCGGGAGGAGAAAGCGGGGCACAGCTGGATAGTACGCCTTTCTTCCTCGCCTTTGTGAATGTGAATCTCAGCCTTGCGTCTTTCGTATTAGAATCAAAAGGAGATATCCATGGTTATCCACCTCGCCCGTTTATACGAAATCCAGGGCAAGAAGTTCAAAATCCTCACCCCGTACGATGCGCAGAGGACTACGATTGAAGAGCAACTAAAATCAGCGAAGCTTCTGTGGGAAGATAAGTGCTTCAATGTGGACTCCTTCCAAGGCAGGTGGTTCCTTAACATGCTGGAAGGATCTGGCTGACGTTTGACGCAGGAAACGAAGAGGACCATATAATCATCTCTCTAGTCCGTTCCCAGGGCGTGGGGTTCTTAAAGAACGCGCGCAGGACGAACGTTATGCTGACACGATGCAAGATGAGCATGATCATTTGCACGAACCGTGATTTCGTGACGAAGGGTGCAGCAGCACGCACGCTAGTCGGGAAGCTTGCTGCTACCATGGGCCTTGAGTCCTGGCTGGACAGTCGTAATATCATCAACGGCATCTTCAAGTGATTTGGACTGTTTACATTACGTTTCTTCGATGAGCTTTGGGACTTTCTTTAACTTGCTCGAGGCATCTTGCACCGCATTTTGTATTATATAGCAATTGATGTATGCACATGCTGTAAGCCAGAGTATACGTAGCAGACTCGTTATGTTGAACCATATATATGCATATGGAAACTTGTAAGTTAGCGTGCGCGTCGATGTCATCAAGCACACAGGATAGTCAACCTCAAGAAAACCCACCTCAATGCCAAGGTCAGACACTGAGTGTGTGACGGCGGCTTCCTAGTAACAAAGTGGGTAGTCAACATATCCATCCAACATTAATGATAAAATCTTCTTCCGCTTCTCGATCACGGCACCAGAACTGGACGAAGCAGCTGGAGAAGCGCTGTGAGAGATCTGAACCTAAAAGATCTATTCTCACTGAGAGAAGAACATCATACTGCTCGGAATTGGACGCACTGGCTGAATACTCACCCTCAAACCGAGGAAACACGGAGCCATCGGCCATCGTGGATCCATATACATATATCAAGCTAGATAAGCTCCTCTTGTGTATGTGCCCTTATTTATCCATAATATTCAGTCTATTAGCGGCAAAAAGCATACTCTCAGCTGGTGTTCTCAGCGACGATTCCATCCTACAATCATAATCGTTTGATTTCCTGTTGTAAGTTAGCATACACTATAACACAAATTCAGAGCAATCGTGTCATGGAGGTGTTGTCAATGTCTGAATGAAATAAGTCAGAGATGTCTATTACAATATCTGCAGCGTCCTCATATCCATCGTGTCACCAACATAAGTTAGGTCCTTGACCCGGGCGCAAATGACGCTCCTGCACTAAAACAAGTGCGCCAAAAGGCTGTGCGAGGCGAATGATCGACCTTAACTCTTGCGACTGGGAGTCCAAATCAATAGACTTCCTTGAGGCACTTACTCATCGTTGAGGTTCTGAGAGCGCAAGTTGAGCTGTGATTGAATTCTGGCGCCACGCGCATACATCGACTGCTTGGATCGTCCCTGACGGTGTAGTCATTTTCGATGCAGTGGATCAGGATCGTTAGTACTATTCACCCCTGTTGTCGAGTTTTATTTGAGGAAGGCCATCTGGGTGGATGTAAGTCTTGACAAAGAGGGAATGACACGCGTATATACATCTCACTTACTATGAGCATGTGTACCACGACCAGCACATTAACATAATATTGTGCGTGAATAGCACGTATTTTGGTGCTGATGAAGACGGACAGGAGGAAAGGTAAGATGAACCAAAAAAGAGCGGAGGAGGTTCGTGCCTTGTATGCATTCCGATCAAATTCTGACAGGTGGAAATGTCAAAATTTAAAGGGCCTCTCAGAGCCTCTCAGCTGCTGCCAGTGATCGTCGATGTTTGTTTGAATGCTCCTTTTCATTCAAAAAAACGACGACGATCAGTGGAATACGGTACGACAACTCAAGTTGCCGAGCAGATCTTAGATATAGGGGAGCTCAAAGCTGGGACGCCCACTAGCAACGCCTAGTATACCTGGAATGAATAGAAGTATGTAGATACGGAGTCAACCAAAATACTCACCTGTGCGAGCGCGATTATGATGGACGCTAACGTTCGTGGACCACAGCTTCTGATAAACGCAGGGCCGTCTGAGCGGGACACAGGAAATACTGGTCACACGGTGGTCAAGCAACACCTTTCGGAAGCTTGTCGGATCAGAAGAGAAAAATTCTGCTGATTCAGGGCCGGCAATCTGTTACACTTGTGGTCACGCTCTGTTTTTCTTCCTTCTCTCTCTCCCTTTAAATGATCAGCTCATATCCTCCTTTCATGACGCATATATATCACCACGAGAGACTGGCCATCGATGTCATGCTCAATGCCGTCGGTGGTCATACCTAATGATGCATCAAAGTCCTTACAATCACATCAGCTTCATACGCGCTAATTTTTTGCCACCCATTACCCCGCCCACCCACGGACATATGCTGGTTGGTTCGTGCTTTCCAGGATGGTCGTGTCGAATGTGTCTCAGTAACTGAGAAGTTCTAACTCATCATGCTGGCCTGGTGCAACGTCTCCTTAAAACGCCTCCGTCGACGTACGTCTACTCTATTATGCCATTCTCCCATTCCAACGTTATACTTCTGTTTTGTCGTTCTAATTACTGCACAGAATTCGTGTTAACCACAGGAATTACGTGCCCCAGATTGTCTATGCGAGGGCAAACCTCGCAGAAACCGCGAGTATCGTCGAGGACCTACAGACGCATTAGATGTGCATCTGGACCCCTGCTCCGGACTTTTGGCTGATCGAGATTTGTGCCCGGTGCGGAACTTGTATAGTTGTTTGAAATCGAGAATACTCACCATCAAACAGCAAACACGATGACATCCCCTTATCGAGCTAGATCAGCTCTATCCGTGTTTTGTCTATTTACTGACGCTAGAAAGTCCTAGAACTGCCCCACGACCACAGGATAAGGGTCTGCGGAAGACATCAAGACTGATCAGCAGTACACAGTTGTTGCATCGCATCATGCTCACACCATGCTTGTTGGTTGGTGCTTTCCATGTTTTGGTGTTCCATGACTCCATAACTGAGAAGCTCCAACCACCATCACTGGCCTGGAGATGTTAGATCGTGGACTGAGTGAGCTCTGGTCATTGATCTACATCTCCCTTTGCACGACTTATGTCGGTCAGTCGAGTGACAGACGCCTTCTCAGATTACCTGTGTATACAGAACCTCGTATGACTTTCCTGGTGTTCTGCGTTATCTCAAGTCATGTATGCAGGTCGATTTTCTCGAGGAAGAACCGACATCTCTGGTTGCTTCAAAAACTCAACTCCGCATCACTGTTCGTTCTGCGGGTGGGGTAGTTGCTTTTGAGGCGTGGTGTAGTGGTGTGGGTTGCAGGGTTGTTTTGATTCTCTTTACAACCAAGGTACGCATCTTGTTTGAACTCCTGCTCCCCGCTTTCAGCTGGTTGATATCTGTACCCGACGCAGCGCTAACCAACAGGATCAGACGATTCATCGCACTCACCTCTGAAGAAAGGAAAAGAGTGTCATCGCCTATCCAGGTGATATTAACTGGATGAACTCTACCTGCGTTGGTCGACTTGTTCTGACTCGATCTTGGTGAGTGTTGGTCTAGGAAGAAAGTTCGATGCTGATGGTGCGCAGATAATACTTACGGTCCATCGACCCGAGGAGTCCTTAATGCGACACAGCGTTAACCATGATGACCGTATTGGAATTACATAATAATCGTTCAAACGTTCTGCATTACCGTGATAGGGACACAGACGTCTTATTCCGCCAGACGGGCGTATCAATATTTTATTCGGCAGCCCTTGAGGCACATACACAACTTCGCACATTGAAAGCACAGCACCGCACCGTGGATTGAGGCCACGAGTAAGAAAAAAGCCTACAGCGCTATCATGGCTGACGTGAAGGTTTTGACCGCTGTTAGAGGCAGCGTCCAAGACAGGGTGACAGTACCACTACCGTAAGAGACATTTGTAGATGTTCACATTGTATTTCTCTGGAGTCGATGCAAAAGCCTGTATCAACGCGTGCAAAAAAGACATGTATAAAAATGATTCAAGAGTTTATGTGAAGCACGACCAATGGTCATCATAATTGCGTTGAAAGTAAGTAACCCAAGGCGAAGCCAGACCACAGAATGAAAGCCACCACACCCCTCAAGGCCAGCGCCTGCATGTCCCTAGACCCCGCAATAATCATCCAGTAGTCCACCGGATTCACGCCCAGGAAAAATATAAAACCACCTAGATAAATATCAAAACGGTCAATGCGGAACTCTCCTGCAAACTGAAGAGGCACACGCACAGGTACCCAGAAACGCCCAAGCCATCGCGAAAAGTAAACTGGCCGTACGAAAGACAACGAGGTAACTCAAGACCACCATCTTGCGCGGTTTCTAGGCTTTGGTTAATACAAGCTCACCACGCTCTAGGAGATTTCCTACCGGGGTCAAAATCTGTCCCGACTTCCTCCCCCCGATGATCAGGAGATACGCAAAGCACAAGTGGCAAATTGGCCCCACGAACATCAACGGGGGCAACAATAGCATCAGCACTTCGTAGTTCTCTTTGGACGTACGGTCCGTATTTTCAATACTAGTCGGCAGTGTAAACATAGTTACCGCATACGCGATGATGTTGAGGAATTGCTACAATAAGAAAGCGGAGGTGTCAGTCTTGCACGATAGAATGGGGGTTAATGATGAACCTACGCTGGAGCGGAGTCTCCCCAAATCGTCCAAGCGTATACGATTATACCAGCTGTCTTCTTGCCTCACCTCCTGCCACAATTCCTCGAGATCGGGCTTTCTGAGAGTAATCAAGCAAAGTTGAGTGAAACAAAACCGAGCGAAGGGCTGGGATGGCGGTTTCCAGTGGTCAGGAAGATCTGAGAGGTGGCTTTCGATCTCTTTGTGAGGTGCGTAGGCTTCCGTCTGAATCGGGTCTTTGGAGACGTCACCACCCGAATCGAACGAGGAAGAAATAGTGATGATAGTGTCTGAATATTCTGTGTATGACATGCATGTTCGAGATAGCCAGCGATGTATTCATAAGTCGTGAGATGGCGTCAGAGGGAACAGCGGGATACCTACATACCTCGGATTGTGCGGTAGATAAAAAAAAGCAGAGAGGACCCGGTCTTTCACAGTGAGTTTGCTAAGGTGGAAGCACCAGAGCAGATGCAATAGCCATGTATGTAGCCTGATGTTGTGATTCCGAGGGGCCTAATTGATTTCCTATAATTCCCACGGCTACAATGTCGTGCGTTCGCTGATCCGACATATAAGCATGACGAGGAAACATGTGTTTTTGGTTCAGACAGAACTTCGAGCGAACGGTAAGACAGATGTCGGTTTATTCAACGAAAAAGGCGGTTATGGCGATGTATGTGTGAGGCGACATTCAATGAATATCGTCAGAACTGGTTAACCAGGACCAGCTTCATGTGCACAGTGACACTACGAGTCAAGAAACTACCTCCAGCTGCAGTATGTCACACGCATGGGAGATGACCGGACACCCATAGGTGATTACATGAGGACGCTTCACTGAGTACTTCACAAATGAACGGAGGCTACTGGACTTCCTTCCGTTCCCATTTTCGGCTTGTTACCCTCATCTTCAATTTTCAAACATTCTTCGCTAGTTAATATGCGTGTTACAACGAACGCCAATAGAACTTTCCACTGCAGGTTGTTCTAATGCAACCTTGTGTTTCGGAAGTGGGTTCCGAAATTTACATTTGGAGGACCTATATGTGGTTGACCTAGTCGTACGTTCGGAAGGACCCAGTGACTACGGCATGAAAATATTAATATGGGATGTCAGCAATCAGACAATCCATCGCACTCACCTTCGCCTATCCAGGTTATAATAATTCTGTAAGAAGGCGAGCGCAGGCGGGGAGAAGGGGCTAGAGCTAGCAAAAAAGGAAATTTCGGTCTCAATGAAAGCACACTAAACTCTGGAGAAATTTCTACCGGGATGGGAACCTGTTCTTGGGCCAGGCTCCAGCCGGCCACGAAAATCATCCCTCGGTACCACAGTGCCACCATGATCCACTGGTACGGCCGGTAGAACAGCTCTTCGTAAGCGGCTATGTGAGAAACCGAATGAGTCAGTCAAGATAGAATGAGGATCAACAATATACACACGCCCTTAACGATTCTAACCCTCGGACGGACAATTAGATTATACAATCCATGTTTCGCCTCCTTCCACACTTTCTCGAGATTGGTCCTGTCGAGAGTGGTCGAGAAAACGCTAGTGAAGAAAACCCGAGCGTAGGGCCGGGCTAGTTCCCCGTCATCAGGAAGGTCTGAGAGCTGAATTTCGCATTTCTCTGCGGGGCTTGCAGGCAACGTCCGAGCCGAGTCTTTTGGGATGTCGCTGCCCCAATCGATAGAGGGGACATGGTAATATCGGTATCGGACATGGTTCGAAATGCTAGCCACGGGATTTACAAGTTGTGAAAGGAACGTCGGTGGGAACAGCGGGACACCTACATCGAATTAATACTGTAGATCAAAAACCGGAGAGCGACGCGCAAAAGTGGGGAGACCGCGAAGGAGAGGAAGAGAAGGAGTGAATTGCGAATCTCCAAAGTGCTGATCCTTTAAGGGAGTGCACGGGCCCGGTGCTTCACTACAGTAGAAGCACCAGAGCAGAATGATTTCTGCGTGAACTGTTGCCAAGGTCATGTATGATTGTGATTCGAATGAGGGAGGTATAAGGAAATTGATCAGCAGAATCAAACCCCCACGACCACGATGTCAAGAATTTATGCGTTCACTGATCACAATGACAATTTTATGCGTGCCCAATATCATGTCATAAAAGAAGCCAGATCTTGGCATGATCATCCAACTATGTGATACAGTTTCACCTCCTGAAACCACCTCAGCAGATATGCCACTAGCCAAGAAACCTGCATTAACGGCAGAGATACAAAGCTCAACTCCCAACATCGTGATGGATATCCTAGAATCAGGGTCTTGCTGATGACCAACAGATCAGCGTGAATTCTACATCAAGAGAGTTAAAACATACGCAGGCGGTGTTGTAAAATAACTTCATAAATTGCATCGCTGAACTCCTTCTTCTGAGAGCGGTGTATTAACCCCGAAATCGACCGAGAGTGTGCTTGATACATGTGGATGGCAGAGCTCAAAGCTTCCCTGACAGCAGCTGCATTGGGAGACGCCATGTACTCCTGGAGAGAAACATGGATAAGGTGAACGGCCTCCTGCTGATCGCGCGGTAGCTGGTCCACAAGATAGAAGTTGTGTTCCAAGATAATAATAGCGGCTGGTTGTCAATAATGAGTATACTCATCGCAATGGGGCCTAATTCTCACTAGAACCAAACTGAACAATGTTCTCAAATGCTGATGAACCAGAGGCCTAGCAAACGTTCAACATGAGAACTATGTGGACAGGCTGTGAGCAATGTGACATACCGGAGAGTGTAATATGGACCACATCTCCTTATCTTCGGGTCGGTAAGACTGATGAATCGTGATAGAAAGGCAAAAATGGTTGAGTATCGATCTACTTACGCTCTGTCGCTGTCAACGCATTAGCGATGCGTTCGGTCAGCAAGGCTCGACAGAGGATCAAGACACTCACGTTCTATCAAGGGATCACCAATGGGTTCGGTCAGCGAGGTTCGAGCTCGACAGAGGATCAAGACGCTCACTTTCTGTAAAGGGATCACCCGTTCGGTCAGCGAGGCTCGAGCTCGACAGAGGATCAAGACACTCACGTCCTGTCAAGGGACCACCAATGAGTTCGGTCAGCGAGGTTCGAGCTCGATAGAGGATCAAGACAACTAACATCCTGTCAAGGGATCACCAATGCGTTCGGTCAGCGAGGCTCGAGCTCGACAGAGGATCAAGACACTCACGTCCTGTCGAGGAACCACGAATCCATTCGGTCAGCGAGGCTCGAGTTCGACAGAGGATCAAGACACTCACCCACTGTCAGGGGACCACCAATGAGTTCGTTCAGCGAGGCTCGAGCTCGACAGAGGATCAAGACACTCACGTCCTGTCGAGGAATCATCAATGCGTTCGGTCAGAGAGGCTCGAGCTCGACAGAGGATCAAGACACTCACTGACTGTCAAGGGACCACGAATGCATTCGGTCAGCGAGGCTCGAGCTCGGCAGAGAATCAAGACACTCACCAACTGTCAAGGGACCACCAACGGGTTTGATTAGTGAGCCTCAAACTTGACAATGATCAACACACTCACCCACTGTCAAGGGATCACCAATGCGTTCGGTCAGCGAGGCTTGAGCTCAACGGAGGAACTCACTCACCCCCTGTTAACAGATCAACAACAGCTTAGGTCAGCACGCCAGCAGGAATGATTGACAGACGTACTTCCTGCAAGCAACCACCGATCATCAATAAGAGGCATTTTCAAACACTCCCACAACTCACTAAATACCGTGGAAACCAGACATCCAAAGCATCTAAAATCTTACTATCCTCGAATTTCCCAAATATGCGGGATAAGACTGTCTGAGCGGAGACTGCTTCCTGCACAAGTGTCCTCAAGACGTCGAGGTAATTTTAGTTGTTGTTTCTCGTCGCAGATAAGTCAGGTTTGGGTGGTCACCTTTCGACTGCATGACGGATGCACACATCCAAGTTAGTCCGCTGTGTGGAGACAAACAACTGTTTGAGCATCTCATTGTCCAAAGTTTCAGCCGTGCATTCGATGAGTGGCGTGCAATCTGCATCATCCTTGTCCATATCTAAATGTCCGAGAGAGCGACCATATGTAAGTAGCCAATTCAATAGATTGACCAGCTTACCAGGAAGGCATATGTGGCATTTTGGAGGATGTTGGTTGCCATTACGGCTGTACAAAAGCGTCAGTTGCGGCCCGTTGGCGAATGCTTCTCTGGCGTGCTGCGGGGCCAGTGCTTGAGCATCACTCCTCGATATTCCCTTGCTTATTAGCTCTGCATATATATCGTCGTAGAGAGCGTCAAACTTAGTAAATAGTACAATGACTGGAACTGAGGAATAATTGCGAATGAGTAAATCATACATGACAGATTCAGTTGCTTACTGCTTCCAGTATCACATTGAGAGAAAAATTTGACCTCGGCTTCCATGAACGACCTGCCATCCTCATCCATGGGAATGCAGTACCTGTGCCAAAGACGTGAGATAGTGCAAGTCAAATAATTGTACAACTACCATATGGCATGGATTCGATGCTTCACAGCTCGTTCCTTAAAACGGCTTGCGATAAAAGCCTTCACCTTATCAAATTCAGATTGTCCTCCTGCCTCAAACCCGCGTGAATCGTGAAAGACGAATCCCGGGTTGGTTCGAAACACCATTTCATTCTCAATATCATGCAATCCGCGCTGAGAACTTGTCAAGTGATATTACCAACCACTAAGAGCACACCCTACCTCTCTGGATGCCGCCAAAACGGAGACGTCGATCTGATCTCCGTGAGTCAATCATCGTCATACAAGTGGTAGGCTAGTATCATGAGCCGCACCTTTTTTCCAGCTCTGTTATATATTTCTGGGTTGTCCCGTGTCTGGCAAACCCTTTGGAGAATGGTGGTTTTTCCTGCATTCGCTCTTCCTATGATGAGGATTCGGAAACGCTGGAAATAGCGTTTTAGCGGCTGTGACTCGGAAGGATGCATGATGGAGGAAGGCCTAGTAGCAGTGTGTGAACTCTTTGAGCGCCCAAGTGCTGTTTATACGTTTATATTAGTAAGGAGGGAAAGCGATGAGCTTCGATTGGAATCTGGCCAGTGGATATGGCGCTATGTCTTCTTTTTGTTGGAAATTACTGCATGTCGAGCCTCGACTTGATCCTAATAGAACCGTCGCCCGCAGGATATTCTAATGCAATCTTATGTCTCAGAAATAGTTACGGTGTCCTGTAAATTTGGTCTGGGGCCAAATCAACACCGCTAGTTTGCAGAGGCCACCCATGATGCATTGATGCATGCATGAGGTCAAATTAACCTATATAAATCAGCGTAAATTTGCACTGCATTGCGAGCAGACAATGAGGCGGTTTATTATGTAAGTCATTATTATGTAATAATATTTCAGAATTCGTTTCAGCCTGAGATTGTTTTCTTCCTGCAGGGCTAGACCTTTAACCCATTGCTGGGCGAATTCGAAGTAACATTTCTTCTCGTCATGGATATCTTCAGTTGCAAAGGAGCAGTGAGTCGCGACCCCGCTTTTTACACCTCTTAGCAAAAGGCCTAGGAACGCCTATTGTATCATCGTCACCCTTGATGTCTCCTTGCGCTTGCCAAACCGCATAAACGAGGCAAACATGATGCCACTAGTGTCAGGGTGGGCCTTGTGAGGTGACGTTATCTATTCAATCGGCGAAATACTAATAGTGAGCAGTGAACGGATAGACGTTTGAGATACAACCCCCTCCTCAAGGTATCCAGGATGCGCTTACTTCTCTGCATTCTCTACCTCGTTCGAGTGATCCGAGCCGCGCCTACCACTAATTCAATTACTATCAATGATAGTTTCGAAGCGGTATCATCCTTGGAGCAGAGAACTCTGTGGAGCATTGTCTCTACCTGTACTCTGACTATTCTTGCATGCACATATGGTGCTATCCATCCCAATATTCCGAGTCCTAATGATAGCTCCTTTCGTATTCTATGGCGACGGTTTGTCATCATGCTGGTCGCACTGGCCGCTCCCGATGTGATCATTGCATGGGCTCTGCGCCAGAGGCTCTGGACTCAGCATATCACAACAGAGTTTCAGGATCATTTCAGTATTCATAATCCCAAAGATTGGTCTGAAAGTGAGTCCTACACTCTGAACAGTTTCTTTGTACGACTGAGTATGTACTTTTTTAGTCATAACTGATGAGCGTGTAGAAGCACCTGCAGAGCAACGCGAAGGTGAACTCGACCTTCTATCTTGCATCCTGAACATGGGTCCTTATGGCTTGCTTACCTCTTAAGATCACGCTGGCACCCATACTCTCGTAAAGTACGCTGAAGGTGAACCATCCGCACTAGTCTTTCTTCCGAACCGGCAGTTCATAGCACTCCAATTTAGGATATGAAGGAACTCATACTCGTGCGAAGCCATTGAAGGAGAACGTTGGGGTTGATGTTTCAGAACAATCTCAAGGCATGCTTGTCTTGTACTCTCTCCAACTAAATCTCTTACGTACGTCCTTAGATTACAGATGGACTCAGACTCACAGCTTCTTTGCGCTGATGGGCGGTTTCATGCTTTATGTGGACGGGAAACCCTTCCAAACACTGTCGCCCGACCACCTACTCAACCTGATACGTACTAGATCCATCTGTGGCCCAACCCTCACAGAAAAGCAGATCCGCGACCGGAGCAAAGGGAATGTGGTATCAAAGGGGTTGATCCTCATTCAGGTGTCTTGGTTTGTTTTGCAGCTCCTCTCCCGCGCCATCTATCACCTCGAGACCACACAGTTTGAGGTGGGGACACTTGCTTTTGCGGTTCTCAACTTCGTCACCTATGCTCTGTGGTGGAATAAACCTCTGGATGTAAAATGTCCTCATCCAGTCTACTGGAAGTCGACCGAATCCAAGCCAGAGGTCCATGTGTACGTTTGCGCCTCAATCAATTCTACCGCTGCTGACCACGTCCCTCTTAGTGTCCCTAAAAACAATGGTCCGATGCCTTTGCATACCACGATTATTTCAGCCATGGACACATTTGTAAAATTCTTTGGCATTGATGCCATGTCTTCTTCAACGCTACGAGTTGCAACGTTTGATGGCGTCTGCCCCTTTGAACTAACCCCCCGGCAAAGCAAGGCTCTGACTCTCGCTGGATACGCGACGGGAATCATTTTTAGCGCAATCCACTGTGCCGCTTGGTTTTATGTCTTCCCCACATATGAAGAGCAGCTCTTATGGCAGACGAGTGCCGCCGCTATTACTATCGGACTCTGTATTGCTCTCGCAGTGCTCTTGGTTCTGTATAAATGGATCGCTGCAAGGATTGATTCGGTGATGTTTAAATTAATCTTCCCGGTCAATGTATTGTACGTCATAGCACGTATCACCCTTTTCATACTTATGTTCACCACTTTGCGCGATCTTCCTCCTGACGCATACAAGACAGTGTCGTGGAGTAATTTTGTGCCGCACTTGTAGTTCTTGCTCGTGGTACTTGTCATGTATGTCGTACGTTTTTGATCAAATCCAGGGTCGCAGGTTGTCACTCGGAACCGGTCAGAAAATCGAAGTCGACTGGTTCATCAACGAGCCCAACGACACCGGAGGATGGTCACTATCAGACACAATACGACGTGCAGTGCGCATCTCTGATCTATCACCTCCACCTGAGCGACGCATTCTAGGAAGCAGCGATTCTACCATGACGAATGTGACAACGCCAACGGCAATTACTTGGCAGCGTAGCTTGTGAGTGATTCGTCTGCTCTCCTTTGTTTCGTCATAGCGTTGTGGGAGCTCTAGAACCATTTTTTAGAACAGAACATCTCGCAGGCGATGACACTGCAGCTCCGATGATCGCTCGATGAGATGTGCAGCTGGATCTCAGACCGATTAATGTATGGGGGATACCATTCAACTTGTTCTAAGCACCGATGACGTACATTTGGCGACGGTGTTTTGCCCAAGTCACATTTGGGGGACAAAGACTGTCAAAGATACGTAGTATGTGCGTTTGTTGAGTATGTTTCGTGGTGTCTTGACTCGGGGACTGGTGTAGAATCGGCCGTGATGGATACTGCGGCGTTGATGTGTAAGATATAATAAGTAGTAGAACCCTGGAGAACGTCGATAAGTACATCAGTGGACGTACACGCAGCGTGCAGTCATTGTGACGCCTCATCTATAAACACAAGTACTTATAGACAGAGAACTCGTGCAATGTAGGAGACTAGTTACAAAAAAGTCCGTTCTATGCCAGCGAGGTATGCGTTGGGGGAATCCTGCGTACTGTGTATTGAATGCGACGGGCCCAGTGGGTTATAAAATCAAAAAGAGATCGCTTTTCATCATGAGCCACCCGGGAACGTAATTTCCAGTTGCTGAAGCCCTGACGTAGAATCTGGAATCGAGAAAAAACTTCGTCCATATTTGGCCGCTGTGTTGGGTCCGAGCGCATCATATCTGATACTAGACTGCTCAGGAATTTCACGCCTGAGTAGTGCTGTCCCGTCTAAATCAGAGTGTGAAACATGAGAAGTTAATATTGCACTTTACGTCAAGAAATGTTTCTTGGATGGCATGCCCAAGATACCAAACATCAGTTGGAAAAGGGTTCCGAGGTTTATAATTGTCTTCCTTGAACTCGGGCACTTCTTTATCTCCACCGAATATGGGATATTCCAATGGGTTGGTGTTGGTCGCCTCATATTTGCGGGAAATACCGAAGTCTATATAGTAGTATCGCGAAGGAGAGTACGTGCGTGTACGATGCCTGGCCGGGCGTTTGAAGTCTTCCGACATGTATTGGTCGCTTGCATGCCATGGGTCTATGAACATGTTGCCGTCCATCAGTATGTTCAATTGCATGCAATCTCTATGTCCAGGTCATGAAACAAGTCACTCGGGCAACTCGGGTACGTACCGGTGAGCAACGTGATGTCGGTGCATGAAGCGCAGCCCCTTCAAAAGAAAGTAGGTGATGAGACGGGTCAGTCAATCTGATTCAATCAAGACCTTACCTCGAAAAGCTGTTGGATGCAGTCTACGACTTCTCCGACCGTGTCAAAATAGGGATCTGTAGCATCTCGAAGTAACGGCATAACGATTATTGCAAGATCACTGTCGGTGGGCACCTGCAGAACATCGTAAATTGGCACGCAATGGTTGGCCGGATCTTGACTAAGAGGGGGGCTACTGAAACAGCGACCGATTTCTATCTCATAAGGGTGTCGCTTTACGTCTACACGTTTTTAAGTGATACGCGTGTACCGTCTTGAGTGCGTTGTGCATCTAGTAGAAGATAGTGCTGAAGGACACATGGTAAGTGATCAAATGTCGAAAGTACATAGCACCTACTGGCGACCTGACTCCGTCCTCGCAATCTATGTAGAGTTTGTTGGTGTTCGTCCAAGAGGGCACCCAGTCCGGACTGTAACGACTTCGTAGTTTGTAACCCCTTTCTTTGAGGAAGTTGTAGTGGTCCCTCCACCAAATCTCGTATTCAGAAAGATGGGAATGAGCATCAGAAGTCGAGGCCATAGAAAACTGCCTGAGCTGTGAATTTGGTGGTGGGCAACGCCCGCCAACACAGCGTGTCATTCCCACGCGCAGTTTTAGCGCGCAACTTTAGCGCTTTAGCGCCCAAATAGCAAATACTTATAAGGCGGCACAAACTTTGTCTGGGTACCGTATTCTCAACCTTTTGAACGATCCAACTAGACCAAAATACTATGTAATAACCTAGGAATAAAATGTTGGGGCCGAAATCTTAAATGGTTCAAAACTCGTCAATTGATCAACACGTCACTTCGTGCATATGCATATCACCCCCAATAAATATGGGTGATTTTTGAAAATCGAGCCTCAACGTTTTGTTCATTGCATAAAAATACACACGACAATGGTGACTAAACAGTGATATGTGCAGAAATACGGTACCCACTACTGCAATGTACACCAGGGCCCCTAAAACGCGAATTCTCAGCCACAGACGCGTGCAAATAAAGAACGCGACCTACTGCATGTGGACTAAAAATCCAAGTCGTCGAATTCAGGCAGAGAACAAATACGCACACATAAGTGACTTAGCATTAAATAATCAATTTCCCATTTCGCGGACTTCAGAATTCACTTCCCCCGGGCTTGCCATGGACCCAATTGCCATGCAAAGTTACTTATCGGCTCACTGGCAGGCCGTAGCACTCCATAGTTCATATCTACGTGCCCTGATAAGAAATTTCCGAATAACGAAATATCCGACATGCATCGTTCTATCTGACCTGATCAGTCACTTCGAGGTTAACGTGATTCTTGGTCAACCAAGCGCTCACCACTGGCAGTCGGCAATTGTTATGTTCTTATAATCCTCCTGCAAAAGACACAGGCTTGTTCTCCTTGCTCTCCGGACGTTTCATCTTCAAGCATAAATCTTTGTATATCAGCAAGGAAGTTAGCGTGACACATCACACCAGCTTCTGTCATTTGTAGTGCTATTCAATGGATCCCCCAAAGTCCAAAACGACAATTCGAATATCCACGAATCTAGGTCCTGCAAGCCAATTCGAGGACTCGCTCATGACCGTGATCGAGCTGAAGGGCAGGACGCATAGTGAAAGGGGCGAGCATTATCTGCAATTATCGTTGGTAGCCTTGAAAGAGCTGGCTGGCTTGCTGGAGGACGAGCGCCTCTCAGCAAAAGACAAAGCTACCTTCAATCGAGCTTATATCGCTGGTAGGGATCGATATGATGAGTAAGTTTTCATTATCACCTAGCCAGAAGGTCTTGCACTGATCCATAATCCATCCTCATAGTGTGAAAATAATCAGAGACAGGCTTCTGGCGCAAAAGAAATCCTTTCGAATGTTCATCGTTAACCTGTTCGTTCGCGAGTCGGAAGCGAAGCATTTTCATAAAGTCTCGTATCGGAATTTTTCGTCTATCAAAGTGAGTCGACTAGGTGTACAACAGGCATCTCAGAGTTGAATAGTAACGCAGAGGACTTCGGAAGACCTGAACAGACTGCTACTCCCGGATAAGAATGATATCCTTGGTATGCCAATGGGAAACATTGAGTTGCCTTTGCTGACTCCGATCTGTTAGCCACATCAGGAAGCGCCAGTGAATCTGCGCAAGCTCACGGCGACGTTTCTGTTTGCGAAGAGAGTCCGTGTGATGTGGTAGAAGGTGGGTGTATTCGCTGCATTTTGTGACAGAGTACTAAGCATCCTTTTGCTCAAGGTAATATTTCAGGTTGGTGTGCTGTCTTTGTGCGCACCCATATTTTACATAAAGGAATCAGTCAGAGATCTTCCTCCGAATGAAACCCTCCGAGGCATTAATGTGGATGTACATACGGAACAGGAGGCCAACGAGGTCCTCGCGACGTTGAACCGATTCAACCAAAGCACGATATCCGAGGAAGAAGCCGGAGAATCAGATGATGATCGAACCAGTGCGTTGTTAATTGTCACCCGTGATAATATTTGACAAGTTTCTTGATATCTCAGTCAGAGCCCCGATCTCGCAAAGCAGACCGTCGTCCCCTAGCCCCAGCTTCACGATCATATACAATTATAATGTTTACAGCCACAGTGTGGTATCTGTTGATTCAGAAGTGACAGGAACAACCATTAACAGCGGGGTAAATGGAGGTTCGTCATGCTGTGTTCTCGATGCTACCGTATACAGTCTGATAATGATGGTAGGGGTTGGCTCTGCTATTGATGCCAATAAGTCACTAGCTCCATTGGATTGATTTGCAGGTTGTAGCATGTTGGTCATGCCTAGTCTGCAGCGCTGTACCAGTAATATATCATTGATTAGATATTTAGGGGTCTCTGGATGCCCTCGCATAGCCAGAAAGTCGCGACAATCACGATGAGGCTCGTGGAACATGTCCACACATACACCATAATTACGTCTGTTCAAGGTAGCTCAAAGTTGCCTACAAATGTCATCCAACTTCGTGTCGTCGAACACGATTTGTGCGTGAGGACCTTCAGTGCTAGATCGGGTTTCATACATGATCCGGTAACCCTACAATTTCGTTGAAAGTAACACAAGGCAACACCAAGCTACTGAATGGAAGCTAACACACCCCTGGAGATCGCCCGCACATCGCTCTTGAAAACGGCGTCCAAGAACAGGGCTAACGCGCAAGCTCCCGCAATAGAAGACCAGTAGTCCATCAGATTCACCCCTAGACACGCTATAAAACCACCTGGATAAGATATCAAAACAGTCAGTTCTGCGCTCCCGAAAACTAACGAGATACACCTACAAACTATCAGGTTAAGATTATACAACCCTTGGCTCACCTCCTTCCACACTTGCTCGTGATTGGGCCTGACGAGAGTGGTCGAGCAAACTCTAGTGAAGAAAACTCGAGCGTAGGGCTGGGCTGGTTCCTCGTCATCAGGAAGGTTTGAGACCTGAGTGTCGACCTCTCTGTGGGGCTTGTAGTCACAGGTATGTGTCGGTTCTTTTGGGATATCGTTGCCCCAATCGAGAGAGGAGGAAGTGGTGACAAAGTCGTCTACATCGTTATTGGGCACGGTTTGAAGTGGATAGCGATGGATTTACAAGTTGTGAGAGGACGTTGGTGTGAGCAGCGGGACACCCACCTCGGATTAGTATTGTAGATCAAAAACCAGAGAGCGGGGCGCAAAAGTGGGGAGAGCGCGAAGGAGAAGAAGAGAATGAGTAAATTGCGAATCTCCAAAGCGCTGATCCTTCAAGGGAGTGCACGGACCTGGTTTTTCAAAGTACTGGAGTTTTGCTAGTAAGGCGGAAGCACCGGAGCAGGTGATTCCGAGTCGGCGTGAAGGACAAGTGCGTTCACTGGTGGACTGTCATGGACATAACGAGGCCAACAGAAACAATCTTTTTGTTCAGATAGAACTCGAACAGCAATAGGGATGTCAGGTTCTTCAAAGGACGAAGCGGGTTATGGCGATGCGTGAGGCAGCGTTCATTATCAATGTGGTTATTGCGATGTGTGAGGCGACATTTCATTGTAATGGTGAATACCATCAGATGCACCAGCTAATCAGGACCAGTTTCATGTGCACAGCGACACTACGAGTCAAGAACGCACCTTCAGCTGCAGCATGGGAGACGATCCGGACACCCATCGAATTCCGACTCAAATGTACATTCGGAGGACCTACATACTATATATTCCAAAGAAATGATGGCAAAGTCTACATGCGGTTGATCTAGTCGTGTGTGAGCGACCGCCTATAGCATGGAAATACGGAATGCCAGCATCCTGTATGGAAGGCCAGAATTCGAACCTATGAACGATTTCTGGGCCGCAGGCGTAAGACACATTATTATGTAATTGATATCAGGGTTGTTGTGAGATTGAAAATGGTTCTTTGTTTCTGCATGCGGGCATCAGCTAGACCAGGAACGACTGTCTTCCGAACTTCTTGGCTCTCGACCTTTGAAGCGAACAAGTACTTCTTCTCAGCCTTCAACCGAATTCCCTGCTTGCATATGAGCAGCTTTTCTGGGTCGGAAACTGAGTCACGACGAGTCGACGACGCGTTTTAAACCTCTTTCCAAGAGGTAGCCAGACAGCCATGTGTCATAATAGGTATTCGGCACGTGGCAGTGTCGCACACCATATCCTCGAGGCCTTTCCTTGTGCTTGCCAAATCATAGACGCCAGGCAAACATGATGCATGTCACTGGCGTCAAAGTTTAATTAAGTACTCTCATGAGGTGACGTTGCTATCCAATCTTATATAGTGAGTGAATGATGTTTGAGATATAACGTTGAAGCCTTCCCCCCCCCCCCCCCCCCAAGTATCCAACAATGAGCTTCAAGTGTCTTCTCTGCGTTCTCTACCTCGTTCAAATGATCCAAGCTGCACCTACTACTAATTCAACTACTATCAGTAATGGTTTTGAAGCGCTATTAACCGTGGACGAGAGAACCTTGTGGGGCATCATCTCTACCTGCGCTCTGACTTTTCTCGCGTGTATATATAGCGCCATTCATCCCAATATTCCGAGTCCTCACGACAGCGACCTTCGTATTCTATGGCGACGGTTTGGCATCATGGTAGTCGCACTACTCGCTCCCGACCTAATCGTTGGATGGGCTCTGCGCCAGTGGATTTGGACTCGTCATATTACAGCACAGTTTCAGGAGTGTTTCAGTCTTCATCCCAAAGACTGGTCTAAAAGTGAGTCCTACACTCTGGACATGTTCGTTGGACGACCTAGTATGCACTTTCTTTTAGTCAATGAGCGTCCTGAAGCACCTGTAGCGCAAAACAAAGGTGAACTCGACATTCTATCTCGCATCTTGAATATGGTTACTGACGGCTTACTTACCTCATAAGATCACACCGACCCCCATGCTGTTGCAGCGCATGCTGAAGGCAAGTTTGACTCGTGCTCTCTCGAACTCATCTCTCATTCGTGTCCTTAGATTACACATGGACTCGGACTCACAGCTTCTTTCTTCTAATGGGCGGTTTCATGCTTTATGTGGACGGGAAACCCTACCAAACACTATCACCTGACCACCTTTTCTATCTGATACGTCATGGGTCTATCTGTGGCCCGACCCTGACGAAAAGGCAGATCTCCGACCGGAGCAAAGGGAATGTGATATCTAAAGGATCAATCCTCCTTCAGGGGTCTTGGTTTACTCTGCAGCTCCTTTCCCGCACCATCTATCACCTCGAGCCCACACAGTTTGAGGTGGGAACACTCGCGTTCGTGGTTCTCAACTTCATTACCTATACTGTGTGGTGGCATAAGCCTCTGGATGTAGATTGTCCGCATCCAGTCTACTGGAAGTCGACCAAGTCAAAGCCAGAGGTCTATGTGTACGTTTGCGCCTCAATCCATTCTACCGCTGCTGATTATGCCCTTCTTAGTGTCTCTGAAAACGACGATCATCCGATGCCTTTGGAGCTTATCGTTGTTTCATTCTGTGACATATTTTTGAAAATCCTTGGCATTGATGGCTTCTCTCCTCGAAAGCTACGAGCTGCATCATTTGATGGCATCCACAACATTAAACTAAAACGCTGGGAAAGTAATGTTCTGACGTTCGTTGGATTTGCAATTGCAACCATATTTAGCGGCATCCACTGTACAGCTTGGTTTTATTCCTTCCCCTCACATCAAGAACAGCTCTTATGGTGCACGAGTACCGTCACTATAATTATCATGCCCTGGCTTGGTTTCGCGGTGGGCTTCGTCCTGTATAGATGGAGAGCTAAAGAACAGGATTCGGTGAAGTTTTAAGTGTTGTTTTTAATATGTCCTGTATTATACGGCATAGGACGTATCAGCCTATTCATACTTATGTTCACCACTTTACGCAACCTTCCTCCTAATGCATACAAGACAATGTCGTGGAGTAATTTTTTGCCGCACTCGTAGTTCGTGCTCGTGTTACTTGTTATGTACTTTGTACTTTAATAATCATGTCCAGTAATGCATGTTGACCCTCGGAACCGGTCAGAAATTAGAAATCGACTGGTTCATCGACGAACATAACGACACCGGAGGATGGTAACCCTTGGACGCGATCCGAAGTGCAGTGTGTTTGATACTCTCTGACTGTCACCTCCACCTGAGCGAAGCATTCTAGGAAGCAGCGATTCAACTATGATTACAACTAAATCGCAAAACATAAGTATGCCCGGAGCGTCTGTAAGTATTAGTTAGACTCCGTCCCAGTTCGACGCTCGCTTTTCAATGACCCTAGAATTACCAAGCTCGCGAACAAATCAAGCAGAATTGTCACCACTCTCAACTTATCCCGGTGCGATAATTAGGACTGGTCTTCCGTAGATGATGCGAATGAGTTGGCCGTTGTTTGGAAGGGTAGTGAATACGAGATATGTTGATGCATGAACGTTGGCGGCCCTTCCGTGCGGTATGACGCGAGATGTGAAGATAGAATGTCAAATCCATATCTGAGGCGGGACAAACCTGAAGCCCGTCCAGTCTATATATTCCGGGGGAGATTTCTTGTCGAGGATGCTGCCCCGCTGAAAATGATAGGCGGAGCTGTGCCATAGTCGCAATTGCATGATCTCGTATCATCTACTGTATACTGGAGTCCCGCGACCACACCGTTTGACGTCGACACCATGATCTACAGGTCTGTCATGGCGATCAGCATTTCCCTAAGCTGACTGTCCATCGTCACCTGAGGAAGACTAAACTGGTCAGTGAGTCTGTGGATAATTTGAATGCTTCAACGCATATATTTTTGGGATACCGCTGCTGACGTGCTGGAGTGGTTGTTTGTGGCAGTGTCAGTGGCTAACGCTGTATCGCATCCTATGAATGTCTCATTGTCTAGCGCTTCCTGGGCCAAGTGAGTCTAGATACGACGAATGGCCTAGGTATTAGTAGGAATAAGAGTGCTGTAAGACCAATGGAGCTACAGTTACCAGATTCTGAGCCGATGCTAATCTGACGCAGCCATTTGAAGCACCCTTGCGTCTTCCAGAACGAATCGTGTGTGCTGCATCGTGCCCGTATGGCGTTGTATCAGTGCAAAATTGTATTGAGAAACAGCAACAGGAATTAAGGGCACAATGAAGTTTTTGAGAAAGAAGATCGATCCGTACATGGGGCAAGCAGCTGCGAGTGGCAGATATCATTTGGTGCTGGTGCGGCAAGCAGTGATGTGACAATCTACCTGAGCCCACTTTGATTTAGTTCGCATTGCGACTACAACGACAGAATCGGAAAAACTGGCCTGCAACAGTGACCCAAGGCGAATCCTCGTCGTTCAGCCCACTCACTTCCAATACCTGCTTCTTCACTTCACGGTCCGCATCCAGCTCCCTGACAAGATAGTAGCGGAACACCATCGACTTGGGATCTTCTCTGCGCCTTCGAACCAGTACGGGTGGCTGGCTGCAAGCTCCTTCGAGGATAGTCGGTGCCGACGGCTCACAGATAATCGATGCCTCTCACTTTGAAGTTTGAACCAGAAATTGAGATCGGTAGTAAGGAACTCGTTCGGCAAGTGCTAGTGTTGCTGTCCTCATTTCTCTGACCATGATCGCACTTGCCTGAATCTGAACACCCAGACAGTTATTTTGCTTGTCAGAGAGGAAATACAAGATCAAGTCGTAGAAGTTTGCAGGTGGCAACTGCAACGCCGCGTTGCGCAACCTAAAATTGGACATTTGTCAGTCGTGACCGCCGCTGGTCAGCGTGGGAATATAATGATGAGCCTTTCTTGAGTCAACTTTTCGCAACTCTGATATTATAGGTTGTCACTAGAGACCCGATATCAGTCTCGAGCTCGTAGCTCGCTCTTATATCACCTCTCCTTCCATCCTACTGTTACTAATGTGCACGTATCTCAGTAAACTTCGTGACCAGTCCTTCTAGCATGAGGCAACTAGATCCAACCAGCACTAGTACGAGGTCTGATTATACTTATGCTTTCTCTCCACTTCTTGATGTTACTGACACCTTGTTCGTGCCCTTTAGACTGGTAACGTACCTTTCTGTCTGATACTGCCCATATACACGCCCTTGTATTCCATGTCATCTTCAGGTAGATGGCGTAGATACTAATCGGAGGGTCCTTTGGATCAGTCGCAGCGCCTCTGCAAAATTTGAGCCTTTGAACGTCCTTCAAAGTAGCAACGGGTTCTCTGATGCTCGCACGGAGTCTGAACTGTAGAAATCATATCCCTTTTGTCAGCTGAACTCCCATAAGAAGTTTGGCCGGACTCAATGGTACACAGCTGTTGGCGGAGAACATTGGAGATAGCTGACGTGCATGTATAGAGTCTTCCGGATCACGAACAGGTCTGTGCTCCTCAACGCTGCGCTCAAAGATCAGAAGTATAATTAAGGTCGAACTTCCGGTTCGTCTCCTTAACTCCGTGCCTCCATCCAGCCTTTTGATTCACAAATATGAACATCTCAGCAGTTTATATCAATATGCAACGTCGACGCTTGTCTCGAACACCAATATCTATCGATGACATATACAATTATGTGAACTACAAAATATATCGATCAGCGTCACTGGGTACATGCACTTCGCGGGCTACTGGTCACAGCCACGAAAAACCGTTTAGAGTTCAAATTCCACTATCGCCAGTCCATGCAATGTTTGTTATCTGGCCAGTCGGACCTGACCCATCTAAGTATAAGTTTTTGTGTATCCTTGTAGCCGCCCAGCTCTAGGAATTTTCAAAAGACCGTGGTCAGTCGGCTCCAGTTAGATGGTTGGTATCGTATCTCAGAGACATGGGATGGTATTATATGTTTTTGACGATTGCAGAGCCCTATAATTGCAATGCGTGGTAGAGTGCTGGTAACCTGCTAGAATCCGAGCGAATCAAACCTGATACAATTTAGGCCTTAGGGTAAGCCTGGGTTTCAAGGTACGATCATCTACAAACGTATATATGAATCCGATGGTGAAGCTGATGAACCTCACTGATCATGTATAAATCCTCAAGTCTGCACGTAGCGCCTTGCACAGCGCCAATGAAGTACCAACGAACATGGTTGGTTAGCATATCGTAAGGTGTCGAATGAGTTTCCGTTTCCGTTATCTTTCTGTGCTATTTTTATCCAGGGGCGCGGCGTTCAGGATGATCACATATCTTGAGAGTGTGTTGGAAGCTCGATCGTGTGTATTGGTAGTCATACTTAGGTATGTCGGTGCTTCCTGATTTGTGGGAGGATCTTATAAGTACAGGGAATAGCGTCTTGGCACTCTTTGCTGAGATGTCTTTCGTTTCAGAGGTTGAGGATTTGCAGATATCCAAGGTATGCAAAGGTCGCACATTGGTAATCTCGACGCTAACATGATATTTGATTCAGTATGCCAATAGTAAGTGCCTATGGATCGTCGGTGAAGCAGACGGGGATTGCTGACTACGTTGTATCCCCAGTTGGCGGTCTTGCAATTCTCGTGAGTACCGAGCACATTCGTGGTGTCACCAGCTCAATGGCTCTTTTCGGCGCCTTAGATATTTGATTTCTGCATCACGTTCCAGGACGAGGTCAAGATCAATATGATCTGTCTATGACTCTTGTTTTCATCACGCTCTACAGGTACAGTGGACCTGGAACAGGCCATGGGGTTTCATTCGTGTCATCTTCACCATATCTCGATATCTGCCTTTCGTAGGCTCTGGACTGACTGCATATGGTGAGTCACCCACTCTGATGATCTTTATCTTTGCGGATTTTTGATGGATGTCTTAGCTGCACTGCGTGTCAGCGGTCCGGTAAGTATTCAGAAAAAGTGGCTTCTAATGATAAGCTGATTGCATGGCGCAAAGTGTCCCCCTAGTCTGGAAGAAAACAGTAAATCGTTGTGCCCAGTGGTTAATTTTCACTCAGCCTAACAACGCGATCTTCAGTTATTCATATTATAGGTATCATTGCTGCGGAAGGTGCGAGTTGTACAACTCACCGTCCGTGTGAAGAGCAGAGTAGATCATGCTTCTACAACAGGCTTGCTGGTTATTCGGACCTGGGCATTCTGGGAAAAGAGCAAAAGAGTGCTGATTGGATTATCAATTTATAGTGTGGTGCGTCTTCCACAGGGCTGGAGTAAGGGCATAGACATTTAACTTTGCAATAGGTGACAATAATCGCCGCCGTTTCTATGAACGTCCTTCCAAATCACCAGCTCATTTCAACAGGTGAGCTCGTTCGTATTTACCGACACGTGTCGTTATGATATGATTATTAGATGTGTCTGCTATACCGGGACCATGCGGCTTCGAGTCGTCAAGAAATGCTGCGCTGGTATATTCTATCTTGGGACTTTTTGAATGTGGTCAGTGACTATGCAAGGCGTACTGTTGGCCCCCTGACCCACAAGCAAAACCCGGCAGTGATACTGATCCTTACTGCATATAAGTGGCTCCACGACTACCGGGAAATTCAGAGCTCGATAGTAGCAGCCTTCTATGGTGGTAGTATGCTTTACATGTTGTGCATTATCGGTATGTGGAAAAGTTGGCTCTAAAGTGATTGATGTGTACTTCGTTTCGCAAAGCCATCACGGTCATCAATGTGATTATTGACGCAGCACTTCCGGTGCGTGTACATGTATGTCGAACCCCAATTGCCCCACGACTTATCTTCCGTTGCTTGGCTGTAGGTCGGCTATACAAATATGTTTGATACGTGTGTCACCGGTTGAACTGCCACTGGCTACCAACTAGTACGAACTCACTGCGTTTAGGCTTCAAGTGGTTATTCATAGCGTCCTGGCCTCACGGATTCTATTCCACCTTCGAAGTAGCGACGGTCGTGCTCATGAGCATGACACGCCCATACCATTGTTGGTTTCAGCTATTCGCTATGGAAAACCTTCGCAAACTCAGATGGACGGGACAATAGGTGAATCCATTGAAGCATGAGGCGGGCTTAGTGGCTTGTGGTCAGAATCGGACAAGGTTTTGTTAGGGCTAGGGCCACAGATGAAGTATGTGAATAGGGGTTGTGCCGACATAGGATCTCACTGCAGAAACCAGTGTAACTTTATGTACGCTAAGTTAGAGATCGGTAAATCAGTGCTCATGCGTAGCTCGCTGTTGTATTGCCGTAGTTCTTTCGAGTGGGTTCACAGTACATGGTACTGATGGACGGAAGAGTGACGTAAGATCAACATGAGGCGAGTGGCATTACAATTTCACAAAAACTACAAACACACAATGGCAAGATGTACAGTGCAGTAGTGCCAGACATGCTAAGGCCGCTCGTCAGAAAGAGGATTGTAGAAATAAGAACAGTAACATTACCGACACAAGGAAGCTCGTCCGAATCAATATGAACTTTGTTCAAAAAAAGGGTCCGCAATAGTAGCCCATGGAGTCTGCTCGTCAGTCAATCCACTCTCTTCCATCATCTGCTTCTTCCATTTGCGGTCTCCAGGTTCCTCTTCGTAAACAGAATACCTGAATGGAGTTGAATAGGGATCCTCTCTAAACTTTCACGCAATGACAATAACAAGTTTCCGACTCTTGGGAGGATAGCAGGTGGGAAAAGCCCAGACACCTGTCATCTCTCGTCTGGCAAACCACCTGTTTAGTTCACCACTTATACCCGTATCATCGAGAAGGTCGTAGTCAACTCTCATTGTCTTCAACCAGAAGTGCACAAACTCGATAGTAAAAACATATCCGCCTATTTTGTACACCATAGCGCCTCCTGCAGTGAAAAATATGTAAGAGCATATCTTTGAGGACAGAAGTATGACTCAACTTATCGTGAGTTGGGTTCTGGTCGAGGGTTAGCAAGGTATTGGTGTGAGTGAGTGCTTCAGGGGCAAACTTGAACGTGAGGTCCCGACAAATTATATTTAGATGTCTCGTGACCGCTACAAACAACGCGTCAAGCTGACCCAAGCTGGTTGGTTAATGTCTCCGTCCACGCACATCATGCGATTTTCTCATCACAACGCTACGCTGCTGCTCTGTCATAATCGCTATTCTGCGGTATGCGGCTCGATGCCAATTGTACTTTCCTCAGGACGGTGCACCATTTGTTGTAAGTGATACCGTCCTCTGTTGTTGGCTTTTTTGACTGCATACCAACTGTAGCCCATCATAGACTGCGAGATTACTCGAGACAGAGATGCAGGCCACGCACGACTTGCCAAACACGTGATACGCAAGAGGGTCTCTCTCCTCAATAATGCTTTAAAGCACTTTCAGTTGGTTCTGGACCGGTGTCCAGTCAGCCATCCTGACCACACAACGGCTCTCACCAACCTCGCATGGATACGCTTGAAAGGATACCTTCAAAAGAATCTCCAGGACATCGAGTCTACTACTTCTCTCTTCCGCAACGCCCTTGCATTACGTCCACAGGGCTATCCCGACCACGCACTATCTCTCTATCATCTCGTCGAGGCACTGACCTGGCGCTACAGAAAGGAATATCTCTAGGCGGCCTGGGCACTCAACTGTGCTATGTGTGCCGTGACGAAGAAATTGCCACTTGAGCAGAGAATCATTTTCATTCATATCGGTGTGTAGTTCCTGCTGTATTGTCTTGTCGCATTCCTCGGTGCAGCCTGTTTGTAACAGTCGACGACAGATACCAGCAGCGGACAGTTTTTTTTCTATGACTCATTCCTTACGCGATCACGAGGATGTCCGCTCTCGTTAGCTCTCGAGTGCCGAGAGATGACTCGATCCAGCCACGAAACTTTCTTCAGCCTTACATCACTCAAATTTTGTTCCCTCGGGAGCCTGACTTTTACCTCTGAAGTGACGATAGTAGATGAGCAACGATCGGAATACATTAATATTGCCCTTGTTCCTTCACGTCACGGATTTGAGATATGAAGATATCTGGGTTCAAACAGAATCAGACCTACACTATATTCTGTGTATTTTGCGCAACTGGTTAAAACTCAAATCTATCACAGCTTATGGGTGCTTTCCATGGTCGCATAATGATCAAGATGAGTCGTTAGCTCCGGGGGAAGATACCTGTATAATATACTGCAGCGTCGGATGCAAGCGCAACTTGAATGCAATCAAGCTCGAAAGCCGCGTGGAAACTACATTAAAAAAAGTATGATGCACTGACATGACAAGATTTTCCTGGACAGGTAAGTCCCTCTGAGAGTGCAATATCACCGATATCGCAGTGGTTTGCGGATTTGGAGCATAGTTGGCTGAAGTTCTAAATCGCGACTGCGAGAATTTGGCCAAGCGATTCAACAAGCTTTAAACTGAACAAGTATAACGATCTGACTTGGACAGGTAATCATTACGATCTAATACAAAACTACAGAGTGGCTGGTAGCGTCGAGATCAACAGTGTCTCGGGGTAGTAGGTACAAAATGTGTACAAGAAAAGCGAGATGGGGTGCCAGGCAGAAAAGAATCACTCCCATACTATCATATAAAGACCTAATAAAGTACCAGAAGTCAGCGCGGAATGTAAATAAAGAACATGCACCTACCGACGAGGATACAAATCAAAGAGAAGATGGGGCCAAAGATCGCTATGCGGGAGAGAACAACGTAAACGAGGACCTCGTGGAGCGACAACTGGAACCGTTTCTGGCCCTGGGTGAATTTTTGGTCAGTGATAGCGCGATATAGTAGCACTGTAAAATTCCTTGCCTTCATTTCGATCTCTTCGCGCAGCTCGATTGACCTATTGAATAACGAGAGCAACGTGACACAGAATAGTCCCAGGACAGAGCACAGAATCGATAGCAAGAACACGTAAAAATAATCCGGCACGATAGAAGTATCGTCGGGTTGATGAATGAACGCTGGTGGTTCCCTCGTCGCCAAGGCAAGACGGGTACAGCCGCAGAACAAGATCCCCACTTGCTACAACAGCAGAAATGTCATTCTTGCAAGACAGAATGAGGGTCAAAGTATACTCACGATATGGAGAGGCAAATGATGGTGATGTCGATTATACTCCTTCCAGCTCTTTCCTTTCATCTTCAGCCAAAACTTCTCAAGATCGGACTTTCCAACGGAGAACCATCAGATGACAGTGAAGAAAAGCCAAGCGCAGGTATGGGATGGTGGTTTCCACTCATCAGGAAAAGGTGGGAGCTCTGGGACTCGGAGGTAGCACTTCTTTTCTATATCTCCATCTGGTATCAAACACGATTTAATGTTCGTCTTCGTTGAGACTCGGATGGAGATGTCGCTGACCGAATCGACAGGGGAAGAAGCAATGACCCCGCTATCCGAATTCGTATTGGACATAACTGGCGATGTACCTTGTACTTTTGTTGAAGATGAGCGAAGGTTCATGAAGATGTGCAAACCTTCGGAACGTGATCAATCTGAAACTTGCGCAGACCGACGGGTCCGAGAGGAATACGAATTCAGACCACAACACACCAAAGTATATAGGGAGGTGGGTGGTGGACAGATTTTGGTGAGCGCAGAGAGAAAAGGAATGAGGCGTCGAAATCCCGTCCTTATGTTATGTGAGGCTAACATGTGCTTCGTTAGCAGAGAAGCATACAGATGAAGGATTTGCAACGTGCATACTTACACAAAGGCCGTGTTTCGTGAGTCCGCGTCAACGCCGACAAGCTCGCGATTCGCTGAAAATGGGCGGGGGGTGGATTAAAAGAAAGTCTACGTGAATAGCAGAATACCTACGAACTGAGTGTTGTAGATCAAGAGTGTTGAGGGCAAACGACTCAACCTAAGTGCAAAAAAGGAAATTACTCCTAACAACGTCATGCAACTTTTATTGCATACCCCATGGGCTCACATGCATGCGTTCTTACACCTATCAAAGTAAGCCTTATGGATGTACGTGGTCAATCGAATGCTGCCTGACCGGTCGGCACTGACTTGACAGCGGTGACCTGACTTAACACCAAAGGCCGTTAGGTATTCAATATTCAATATTCAATGACGAGAACACCACTTTGTGCACGAATTTGCAATTTTATCTGCGCGGCACAAACCCATTCGGGAGTCAGCTGAAATTATCGCATCATTCCAGTGTACTCGCATAATTCCTACATCATTGATGGACCCAGTGTCGATGATAAGCCCTCGCTTATTTTTCGCCATGGGATGTATGACGGCCCGCAAGCTTGAGACTGCGATGTAAGGACATATCGAGCCACGGTTCTGAAAGAAACAAAGATGTCAATCGGTCCATAGTCCGACTTAGGGGTAGGCCTCGACTTCGTTTGATAGATCAATGGCTTAATGTATTGTTCACAAACATACCTCAGAATGAACTGCAATATGAGTCGCATGTCGCCACCGCTGGTTACCTCCACGACCCGTCTTTCCGCGGGATTCTCGAAGGCGTCCATTGTGTCCATCCTATGAGACATGATATGTACCCCTGCTCGGCAAAACACTCAGTACCTTACAATGTACTAGTGGATACACGCATATCACTGTGGGATCTTTGAAACAAATAGACTTACAGATGAATCAATCCCGCCGCTTTCGGAGCAACCATATCAGAACGACTAATTGCGATGTGGAACACAAGGCAGGCCCTGATACCTAAAGTGTAAACCTTCTTGCATGATACGAACGAACACGTCCGTTAGTTGTAATGTGCTGGACCAGAACTTCCTGTCATGGTCGTGGCTGCCACGGGTATACGTTATCAGATAATACGACCTCGGAGGTACGGACAGGGGTGACTTTCCGTACATTTTGATGACTTCGAATTCTGACGTGAAAAAATAGTTACCCACTAGTAAGGCGACGGCGGAAGGTCATAGAAGGCCCTACAAGCTTACGAGCTAATTAAGCTGGTGAGGGGTGCCATGCGGTTGGAGTCGAACTCCAAATCTGCCTAATCCAAATGCCGTCTGACGGGCCGCCCAACTTCGGACCCTGCTGATACGAACTGAGCGCTGGGCTACATGAGCATGCGGACAATTGCGAATCTGAAATTTATTCTACCCCTCCAGTTTTTTTCCAAATCTTGGCAACTTGAAGCGAGCGGCTTTAAAGTGGGTGTAAGGTTCGCGCGATCAACCTCCTTCTGCGAGGGATAGATATATACCTTGATAACTACTAAGCAGGACCAACGAGAAAATCGGCGTCGATGGGCGTCTATGGCTGCTCGAAGATGTCGAGATGGCTGTTGAGTCTGGTGATTGTGACTTATTAGGCAGCCTGAGGTGGCTGTGAGGTCGGTGTCTAATAATTTGCGGAGCGCCAATTTCAGTGAAGGTACTTACTTTAAGCACTCGTCCCCAGGGCGTGAACTTGACTACGACTCGGACTAATACCATAGAGAGTTTCCAAACGCAATGTTCCGTGTTTCTCACATCAAGGGTGTGCACGATAACACTACTTTCTTTCGTCCGAGGCGGCGGGTCTCCATCTGACATTTGAAATACTTCCAGGAACTTCTGAATACACTGGCAGATTGCTTTGCTTCCTCGTTATATTCGCATGCGGAGGCTGATTCAGACTATAAAAAGGGCCATCCTTCGAGGGCAGCTTAACAACAACTTGCATAACTTACCTTGGGCACCCTTCTTCAGTCATGGATGCGTACATGAATGTTCCAGTTCCTGGGTCGGCACCCGGTCCCACAGACAAGTCTCTGCGAGTCGCCAGAAACAAGCTGTACCCGATGCAGGCATGGTATTGCATTGGTATTTTCATTTTTATCATTGCTATCTTACAGTGGGCTTCTTTTTTTCACTCCAAGTTTGTTGGGAGGCGTCAAACTTCCAAAACCTCTGACCCAGAACATGCTTCTGTGCACCGTCATCACAGTTTTTCTTGGCGTCGCATTCCATTAGGACTCGTCAATGCATACCGGGTCATTGCTTTCCGCTGGACACTCGAATTTGGAAATTCATACACCCTCAACATGGCTGAGGTTTTCGTGACTATGGCATACATCGGTTTTCTTTTTGTATGGGCCTTTATCAACAGTAAGTTTCTTGAAGATGCCACTCGCATGTTCTGAGAAAGCTTCTAGCAACCGACCTTGAGGGCCAAGCATTGGACATTACATACTGGTGCAACCGCGCGGGCATTCTGGCTGCGAGCCAGTTCCCACTGATTACTGCACTTGGAACTAAAAACAACATAGTATCGTGTACGGCTCGCATACTCGCATTTTACCTGCTTGCTGACTGCCTGTAGTAATCACCGGTATCAGCTGCGACAAGGTAAGTCTGGTATAATATTCGTCGTTGCTTTGTTATAACATTATCTTTCTTCAAGCTTAACTATGTCCATCGCATGATGTCTAGAGTTGTTTTCATCTTGCTCTGTGTTCATGCAAGCGGCGAGGTCGTGCGAAACGCGCCGTACGTGCAACATGCCATCGGGAATGCAATGTACTAACACGATACAGATTCCAACCATACCTCGAGGAGCTGTGGCTCATATGCGGCATAATTGCCATAGTTGCATTGACCATTCTGTGTATCGTCTCCTTGCGCCCCATCCGAGCACAAGCCTACGAGCTTTTTTTCTATGTTCATTTCTCCATGGTTCTGTAAGCCAATTCCAATTCTATTGTTGTTGTGACATTCACAAAGTTTCTTTCAGCACTTTTCTCGTCGGTGCTTACTTCCACACACAAAATGATACGTAAGTTTTATTACGCGACCCGTATGCTTCACACTGATGATCGCCAGCATGACCCAGTGGATCGTTCCCTGTTTCGGAATCTGGGGATTAGACCGCTTTATACGCGCCCTTCGTCTAGTGGTGTTTAACCACTCATACTTCGGATTCAAATCGGGGATTACGATGGATGCGACTGCTGAACTCTTATCAGATGATTTCGTTCGATTGCGCTTCCACCGCCCATCTCATTTCCACTGGACGCCTGGGCAAACGGCTTATCTTATTATGCCGTCCGTTTCCCGCTTGCCATTCGAGGCCCACCCTTTCACCATTGCCAGCGTTAATTCAGCCGTTTTTGATGTGCCTGAAGAACAGAAGCCAGCAAGTGAAAAATATACTCAGATTAGCCTAGCAGAAGGCGATCTTGGTTCCAGTGCTCCATTCTGGAAAGAGCTCGTGTTTTTTATTAACGTGAGGCAGGGATTCACTGCCCGCTTGAAAGACGCCGCCTCGAAAGGTGATAAAGTCAAAGTCTTTGTCGATGGGCCATATGGGCCTTCTCCTAACCTCGGTTCATATGACACATCTGTGCTCATTGCTGGTTAGTCGCCGAACTTTCTACACACGAACATTGCTCATGTATGTCGCACTTCCAGGGGGATCCGGAATCTCGTACACGCTACCGGTATTGTTGGATATAATAGAGTACGTCGACTGGATTACCATTTCTGTATCTTGAACCTAGGTTTTTCTTCAGACGTGTCCGCACCGGTGAAAGCAATTGCCATCGTGTTGTTTTCGTCTGGTCAATTAGGAGCGTCGGTGAGTTTATCAATCTCGAGGCCTGGGCAAGGTTAGCTCATTCATTCTCTTCAGAGCATATTCACTGGATCGACGAGGCTCTCGTCCGGGCACTCCGACTTGCACCTTCTTCTTTATCCATCTCAATCCATATTCACGTTACCGGTGCAGCAGCGCCTGTTGATACGCTATCACAATCGCATGGTCAAAATAATGACGCCAAACCTGTGCGTGATTCCCGTTCCGACATTGCGGAGTTACAGGATGGAAAAGCTGTGGAAATAACGAATAACTCCCTTTTCGTTATGGAGTCCGTCAAACTTGCAAATGGAAGGCCCGATCTACCGGCTATTCTCAGGGATGAAGTGAAAGCGGCGACGGGCAGGATGTCCGTTAGCGGTCAGTCTTCGCATCTACACGCTACGGATTTCGGTGATACTTACTCTGTTTTCAGTGTGTGGCTCACAGAGCATAGCTCGATCTGTTCGTGGTGCTCTTCGGTTCCCAGTGTCCAGCCCTCTCAGTGTAGCCAGCGGCGGTCCGAGTGTTACTCTACACATCGAGTCATTTGGTTACGCTTGAAAGAGGGTTTTATGAAAGCAGACAGCGGTTTCAAGCTCTGGTTGGTTGAATATTGGTTGAATAGGAAGATCTTGGTCCAGACATCCAGACATAGATGAAAACACGACATGGCTGTAGTTTACCTGCCAGTTGTAAGTCAGCATACCATGCTATGTAATGTATACAACGACCTAGGGGTATGTAAAGGTACTCTCAAAGTTCCCGTCTTCGAAATCCAACTACAATATCTCTAGCGTCCTGATGTCCAACATGTCATGAACAGCAGTTGTGTCCTTGACTTGTGCTATGATGTTGTGATCCGAAGCGATCCTCTTGAACTCCCCACCTCGTTGCTGAGCTAGTAAAAGTGCACCAAAAGGCTGTCCAAGGCGAACGATCAACCTCAATGCTCGCAAGTGAGACTCCGAATCAACAGGCTCATGTTCTCCAGGATACCCGCCAAGGGATTCGTCTAAGTAAGACATAGGTTCGGACCAAGTAATCATGCTCTTCGCATCGTCTGCAAAGTCAGGCAGACCAACATCATGACGGTTCCAGGGACGGATGAGCAAGAATGCCTGCGGAGTGGGGCGTGCCGGAGAGAATTGAATCAACTTGTCTTCGGTGGTGATTTGCAGGTCTCGAAGACCATCTGCCTTGACATCATAAATGAAACATGTCTCCCGGTCTTGACCATGCCTTCGTCTGACTTCCCTGACAAAAAATGCGATGCAAGGAAGTTGTAGCCTGCGGGTCGCGAAACGAGGAGAGCTCAGGTTGTCAAGACGGGTATACAATGTTGAAGCTGACTCGACAGCTACGACATCTCTCAGCGAGGAGACTGATGTCTGTAGCTGATCTTCAGACAGTGGAGATGGCAACGTGCATGGTGGAGATTTATACGAGGTGATTTCAGCTGGGAGGCAGCTGTTGAATTCAGATGCTTTCCCAACCCAGTCCAGGGCAGTGATGTCGCCCGACTGAGCTACTATCGCCTCCAAGAGCCGACCGAGTGCGTTTTGTTTCGTCTCGCCGTAGATTACAGATAAGTGGACGCCGAAAATGCCAAACAATGAGTATGCGACATCTTCCTGCAACGTAGTGTGACGCGTTGACGCCCATTGCAGCTTCTCTCGCGCACCTGACATCCCCGGACGGAAGGCGATGAGGGTCTGTGTATCTATGCCTGTCGAATGCTCCAACTCCTGCATGATAGTGACAGACTCCTTGTGGTTGGGAGAGCGGTCATCAAGATATAGGGTCCAATTCTTTTGGTAGAAAAGCACAACCTTAGGAGCCAGGAACTCCTGGACAGTCCATCCTCGCGTGTTCCAAACGCTGTGTGCCAGTGCGCCCGACTTCGCCGAAGGCGAGACATCCGACAAATAGATGATCGTGAGTGCTGAATGGCGATACCAGACGAACATGGAGTTGACCGATCGTTGGAGCTCAACATGATTATTCTGGTCGATGCAGCACGTATCGCTCCACGCCCAGCGATACCCAGCATCCCGAGAAATCCTGCAAAACGTCTGCAATTTCACCATGGTCCCGACTGAATCTAAATCATACATGCTCTGACCCTCAATGTCACGCAGGAGCGGCTCATTGCTTTCCCACCTATGCGATAACATGACCCAACGGAAGGACTTCACAACCGCTTCTTTTATGCGATGCGATTGGAGATGCGGATCCTTGATCGATGAAGACAAAAGCTCCTTGTACTCTGTGCTTTCCACGAAGGCATTCATCTGGGCCTGTTGATTGCATAAACGCCCAGTGAAGGTGTTGAGTACACGAAGTGGTGCATTTTCCAGGTGAGTGTGAGCGGCCCTTCGAATAGTGTCTCCGGCTTCAGATGGACTGACGTACTGCTGACGCAGCTCTGGAGAGCGAGTCATTTTTACGTTGACTTATTGGTGATTCATGGCTTACTGCATATCTGCCCGTCAGTAGTATCTTCCAACTTGAGGAGCATCATTTCGAAGGCTTCGATTGCTTCATCATAGCGCTGTGTCGCATGAAGCGTTGCATGCTTCAGTTCGTACCCAACATACGATGAAGGGTTGAGTTCGATGACCTATGCGTTGGCGGTATCAACTCAAGTACTCCAAAACAAGAAACATATCGTCCTCACCTTTTTTGCGTCCTGAAGGGCCTCCGCATAGAGGTGTCGTTGAAACATCGCCTTACTGCGTTGCACAAAGAGGGAGTCACATGAGGAATCTAGTCTGATCCCTGCTGAATACAATTCAATAGCCATGTCGTGATTGTTTGCAGCAAAGGCCTCGTCTCCCTTTGAGACACAGCGCGCAGTGCATTCGTTTTTGAAGGCTAAACGACCCCAGAATGTATATTTATGTGCAAGTCGGCTGAGATTCGAATGGACTCACCAGTGGACCATTGCTGACAATCTGTCTTCGCAACCTCGTTCATCATGTATTGATGCGCTTCGACCGCTTCGACCACTCGATCTGCGCGAAAGAGGGCTTCGCACAATCTTTGGTTTACGGTTTGCCACAACCAATCCAGATCCCAACCGAAGAGCTGTCCAACACATCATCAATCAGTGGAAATTTGTTATGCGCTTCGGACTAACGCACTACCATGAATATCTTGAATCTCGGTTCAAAAAGTGTTCTGCAAGATAACAAGTTGATTATATTGGGAATACTTTTGCCGAGTTGATCAGCAGCTTCAATGTAGCGCCCATCCTCGAAAGCGTTTATTGCAAGCTGCACGCGCAGATACGACTGACGAGCGTGTTCAAGAGTGAGACGATTCGTGAGGTCTGACATAAAGCTCACGTTGACAACGCTGCACAGAAGGTCATCTGAGTTTTTATAAGTGGCGGCGAGGTCTCCGACTCGCCGCACTGCCTCATCATGGCAATTGGCATTGAAAAGTGCAACAGCCTGAAAGAATGACATAGAAGTCTTGTTATGAAAGTCTAACTATAAAAAAAATAACGAAAGCACCTTGATCAATAGTAAAACATAGATAGTAATCGGATCACGATTAGCAAATGTGGAAGCAAGATCAAAGGCTTCCATAGCGTCCCAGAGTTTATGGTTGCCGCACAGGGAGATGCCCTTGGAAATATAGCCCAATAATGAGGGCTGGGTAGCAATGGACTAGGTCCCCAAGCAGAGTCAACTTGTATTCAACAGCGTCGTGATAGGCAGAGCATCTGACCTTTTTCGCGTCCTCAAGCGCATTGTCCCAATCGGAGTTTCGTGCCCTTACAAATGAACGATTGGCATAGGAATTGTGGTTCTCATCTGCGTCGATTTCTTGGTTCAGCAGGTATTCAGCGGTTTGCAGGTCACCAACAATGTATGCAGTGTGGACCGGCGATTTTTTAGCGATCTACATGAAGCAAGCTCATATTCCGCATAAAGTAGACACATCAAAGGCAAACGGCTCACGTCAAATGGTAGGTGTTTGTGGTGACTGTCAGAGACTTTATGAATTTCTGAGGGACCATTGCCTGGGCTGTTATCATCCACCGGCAGCTGTGGATCATCATGCAAAATAGTGTGAATGAATAGAAACTGTTAAGGCGGAACGATAGTGGATAAGAACATACCTGCATGCTACCACGAAAATGTTGTGGTCGCCGTGATTCTTCTTCATCCTCCTTCATCTTCTTCCCTGCATTGTGTTGCTCGAGTATGTTCTTAATAAACCAGAGCCGAGCATTCCCATCCTCGCCTCCACTCACGAGCAGTTCTCCGGTGGAAGAAATTGCGACACAGCAGACCTCTGTGGGGTGGCCAAGAACCTGTCCAATCTGCTGGCGCGTCTTTGTGCTCCACAGCCGCACAGTTTTGTCCTGTGAGGCAGTGGCAATGAAGGAGCCATCAGAAGAAATGGCGAGCGAGTGAATGGAGTCAGTGTGACCGGTGCAAGGTCGACCGATCTGGTCTCCGTTAGTCGAATTCCAGAACTTGACTGTCCTGTCGCTTGATGCAGAGACAAGTTGTTGGCCATCAGGCGACCACACAACACTTCTAACATGATTTTCGTGGGCGTTGATATCAAGAAGAAGCTCGGCATTATCGGTCTGCCAAACTCGGATGCTGTGATCTCGTGATCCGGAGGCTAATTTTAGCCCATCTGGGCTGAATGCGACACTAAACACTGAATCACGATGACCGTGGAGTGTTGTGAGGACAGCGCCAGTTTCTGCATCCCATAAAACAACTGTTTTATCATCCGAACCACTGGCGAGAATCTTGCCGTTCGGGGAGAAGCACAATGAGTACACAAGGTACCTCAGGGGCTTCACCAGCGGACAAAATACTTTTTGCTTGCTCTCGACGTCCCAGATGATGATTGCATCATCAAATACACCGCTACTAGCAAACCGCCTCTCATTTGGGGACACGGCGACTGATAGCACACAGTGATTTCCCTCGAATGGCTCTCCAAATGCTCCATTCCGCACGTCCCAAATTCGCAGGGTGGAGTCCACGGAACCAGTGACCATTCGCCGGCTGTCTTTGAAGAATGCCACTGCATTCACTTGTCCCTTGTGCCCTCGCATCGTCTGCGCCGGCCGCCCTCTAGCACTAATATATGCTTTTCTTGCTACATCAAGCACTCCCAACATGTTGTATTGGCCTATATGAAGTGATAGACGATCAGTAACCTTTTGAAGTTGACAAGGAGCGTACTTCTGGGATATGGTCACGTTGCGAATCTCATGCGTGGTGGGTAGACCGTAGCACTGGTTTTCATCCCATTACTCAACTCTTATAGACGAAGTTGTCCACGGTTGTTGCCGGCACACACGCCATCACAGCCTTCACAGTCCAGTCACGGTGACGCCCGCCAAAACCTTCATGCCGCTCAGTGGACTCGGATATGCTCGAAAGAACACGCGCCGTGTATCACCAAAGTCAAATCTGCGACCAAATATCTCTTCGTCTTTTAACATTTGTAACGCGCCCTGCTTCGCCACGAGATAAAGAATACCTGGAACAATCGCTAAGCGCTGATGTTTTCATGGGAGCTCCGGCATTGATGGGATGTGACATATCGTAAGGCACGTCACCGGGGTGTGATCGTTTGCCTCCTTGCCAACCTCTTCAGGTTAGTTTTCCATGCTTCACATCCACAATTGTCTGCACTGGTACTAGATCTCGCCAAGATTGATAGTTTCCCACTACTTGTCTTCGATTGACTCTCAGGGCTGTTATCAGCGAACGTGCCTTCGGGATCCATCGTAGAAAGGTCATCTTGCTCATCCGACAGACATCTAGATAAACTCACTAACCCATACTAGTCATGATTGAAGATCAGAAGAGCCAACACAATCTACGAAACTTGCCGAGAAGTCGACTTGACGGGGAGGCCTCGGCTCGGGAATCATCGAGTAGAAACCATTGTAGAAAGATTACATCACAATACTAGCACTGCCAAATGAGCGTCATCGGTCTGCTTTGACTCGCTGCAGACTTACGAAGTACCCCCGATATCTTATGCTCCCTTATACCCACTCCTTTGGGCAGCACCTGATATGAAATCCAATGGAACAGAGATTGTATTTGGGGATCCGTGGCACACGATGGAACTCTGAATGCTAGCTCTATGAAAGCTAGCTGGGCGAGAATGAACAGGCCTATTGTGTGTTCGATATGCAGCTTGTCGAATTTCCGAACGAGCAATTGGTCGTGCAAGGGAGCGACCTGCTAACCAAACCCCGAAGAGAGACCAGAAAGGCGCGATAGGCCTGGGCTGCTGGACTTCTGCAATAGCCCGTCCGTGGGGAACGTCCCTCTGTTCACCGAACTCTCTCCCATCTGCAGAGACAGGTGTAAACTTGACACAGATCCTTGATGAAGCCCGTCTATTTCTGCGGCACTGGTGTATCCTGTCGTTGTTGACTTAGCTTCTAACGGAGGGATCACTGTACCCTTTTGTGAAGGTCTTGAAGGTCGTGAATTGGTTCCTGTGCAAGTATCATCTGAAGGAGATAAGAGCTCCCTTGCAACTTCCACCCCAGGCGGCAGAAGACTCGGGAAAATGGGTGAATCCTCTTTTACGATATCCTCTTGAGATCGCGGGAGCGACATGCAGGTCGTGAAAGCTAAATCCTCGGTATGTTGAGAATGTGGGTGAAGCGCCCTGTCATCATGGAGAGCTATTGACTCTGTACAGTAGCAAGCGCAAGGAGAACAGGCTACGTCCAATCTAGATTACCTTTCAAATGTAATTCCACTGGCGGAAAAACGTGGCAAAACGTCAGGTTCCCCGCTGTGTCACCACGGCTGCAAGATACATATATTACTCACTTGCTGTACTGGAATTTCGAGCAACTGGCGTGGCCATGAGAGGATATAAAGAGCTTATCGTTCAGTTATTACGGACATTCGAAACATCAAAGCTGTTGTCGGCCAGGTACAGACGCGACGGGGTGAAACTTTTATTATTGACTGGTGGTTAGCACTTGGTGGCAATGAAAAGATTGGAGACAGTTCAGATACATCGGATAGTGATTAGTTTCATGTATACATAAGTTTCATATAGTAATCGGGCACCTGTGTTCGGTTCGTCCTCCGTCACCCAACCCATAGCAGCACCTGTCAACGTACGTGTAAGAACACATTCCCATCGCGAGCACACGCTGGCACTTACCAAGATGCTCATTCGGGTGCATGATCGTGCCCTGTAGAAGGGGGTACCATACATTGGGCATCACCGCATGTGGACTGTCCCCACCGAGTACGTAGTACTAAGAAGAAGTGTCAATAGTGCTTTGAAGTTTGCACTTAGACTACTAGTGGAACGTGAAACAAATTACCATATCAGGAAAGCACGTGGTACCAGTTAGGACGCCGTCGGGCCTCGATCCGTTGGGCTGACACCAGTCTGATACACCAGAACACTGTCAGCATCATCATCCAATGCCAAAATCACGGACCCCCTACATACCCGAAGTTCCGTTGTCACTTGTGCACTGTGTTGTGTGGCAGGGTTTCTCACGTCACGACCAGTCAAAGATTTTGACTGGAAGCACGAGGAACATCGGCAGTACTCAATCGTAACGCTGTCGTGTTCTCCAACATCTCGGAGGACATGTTCTATGAGGTTTTCAGCAAGAAATTTAAGTGAAGCTTGTCACCCTCCACTTCTTATCGCGTCTCAACGACATCTTGGCGCACTTTATCAGTGCCAGTGATATCCCCATTTCCACGCCAACTTTCTTCTTCGTCGCGCCGGCTCGCGCGCTATGCTGACTGCAACAAGCTTACCACTGATGAGGCCGCTATCCCCTTCTCTGCTTATGGCATATCCGTCCTTGCTGGACGTTCTTTTTCTCGCACATGCACGCTGAACACTGCCTGACTTCATGTTAGCGCGAATTAAGGTTTTGTTATAGGTGCAGCCCGTTTCAAATCATTCAAATCAGTTTGATCTATCGCTTTGCCCGCAGTTGGCCCGCTGTGATGCGCTGATTCCATCAGTGATGCTCGGATGGGGCAATATTGTGGGTCCTGCGTGTGGTAACACCTCCGAAGTCTTGCGATGATGGAAGGATAAAAAGCTCTCATGCCCACCGTACCAGTCAACTACACCAGCGCAATGCCAATACACCAACGTCCTGCCGACGTCGGCGCAGAAACTCGATTCCTGGATACGAACTCGCCTCGCAAGGGTTTGTATGACTATATCATAGTAGGAGGTACGCTTGGCTCCCCTTTGACCACAAGATCACCCATGTAACAGGTTTCCAGGTGGAACCGCAGGATGCGTTCTTGCCAGCAGGCTTACTGAGGACCCCAATATCTCTGTCTTACTTCTTGAGCGTGGTGGCGTTCACAACACCTTCATCATGCGGTGTCCTCTCTTGTCTGGATCATTCCTCCAGGGGAAACATCCTTCCGTACGATGGAACAGCACACCTTTGACCGCTGCCAATGGGCGTGTCCTTGAAATCCTCACCGGGACTGTATTAGGTGGTGCTTCAAGGTTTAATGCAATGGTTTACACTAGGGGTAGCGCTGCGCAGTATGACGAATGGAGGAAACGGGGACGCGTTGGTTGGAGTTATGCCGATCTCGAACCATACTTCATCAAATCCGAAAATGCAGTTAGCACTCCAGGAAACCATCATGGCAGTGGAGGTAAATATGTCAACCAGATCGCGAGGAACCTACACGCTCACTCAAACCTGCAGGACCATGGAGCAATCAACATTTCGACAAGTTCCACTTCAGTTCATTCCCTCGGTATTAATCTCATTTATCATTTTAACTGCAGCCTAATCGCACTACTAGTACTGCGAAAGCTGCCCGTGACTTGGGTATATCGTACACCGAAGATGTCAACGCCCCAGAAGGCTCTTGTATATCCTGCGCGAAACTTCACGTCACAATGACTCCGGATGGTAAACGTCTGTCCACCCTCGATGCATTTCTTCCACCTTCGATCATCACGCAGAGGCAGAGGCTCGATATTTGCACTGACACGCTTGTCACGAAAATCGATTTTGAACATGACGGCGTGCAAGCGGTCGCATCGGGAGTGTTCTTCAAACCGTTTGACTCCCCTGCGACCGAGAAGATACTCTACGCGAGGGCTAAGAAGGAGATTATTGTTTGCTGTGGAGCTATCGAGACTCCCCACTTGCTACTGCTAAGGTGAGCGCTCAGCTTGCTTTTCTATTTATTTGACTCCATTTTGTGCAGCGGGATCGGGGCAAAAGATCATATATCAAAGCATGGTATCAAAGTCATCAAGGATCTGCCAGGTGTTGGACACAACTTGGTACGTCGAGAGATTTTATCCGCTCCATTTACTAACTGGGACTATAGCAAGATCATGCCGGCGTCACGCTCACGTACAAAGTCCCCCTCTCTGACTCATTCCACTCGCTTGAGAGCAGCTTAACGCGAGCATTGACGGAGTTTTTGAATTACCTGATATGGGGTCGGGGACTATTCACGAACCCTACCTTGCAGGTGTCGATCTTTGCCAAGTCGGACAATTTGGGAAGTGACGCCAAGCCTAGCTTTGATCCCACCAACCGTGAAGCGTTTCCCGACATTGAAATAATGCCCATCCCCGTTGAAATCAATCGCGTTGCAACCCAGAAGTCTCAGGGCTTCTTCTCATTTCTTTGCGTTCCTCTGCAACCTAAATCATCGGGCACGATCGAGCTTCACTCCCACAACCCTCATGCAAGCCCCAAAGTAGACCTTGGATTCTTTACGGACGCCACAGATTTCAATGTTGCCAGGAAGGCTCTGCGCCTTGCAATGAAATTAGCAGAAAAGATGCGCGCGGATGGGTACCAAATGGAAGATCATCTGGTTCCTGCCGGAGACAGTGACGAGCAGTTGGACACCTTCATCCGACAGGGCGCTCGCACAACATTTCACTACGCATCTAGTTGTCGTATGGCTCCGGAGCATGATACAGTCCCAGGCGTGATTGACGATGAGCTTCGTGTGCATGGAATTTCCCATCTGAGGATCGCAGATGCAAGCATCTTCCCAGATGTAGTAGCGACTCATCTCCAGGCTCCGGTTGTAATGGTGGCTGAGAAGTGCGCTGATATGCTGAAGCAAACGTGGAGCGCGACGATACGATAGCGCACCCTTGTGTTAGCGAAATTGACAATTGCTGTGTGGTTTATGGCGTAATTAGCTAGTCGCTTGCACATACACGATGTATTTATTTAAAACTTAAAATCCGCTATCATGATGTAGTAAGTACTATTGATCATCGAAACGACAGCCTCCGCACGGATACCTCGATACCACTGACGGTAACTTCGGATGTGAGCGAGCGTCCAGCCTCCAGTTCTCCGCCAGCGTCAGATTTGCGCGCATGGCACTGGAATTGTCTCCGTACAAAGACTGTACCTGTGAGTGTGGCCCCCAATAAGCACTGCAACTTTGACTACACCAGAAACGGCGTGAGGAGCATGCGGAGCGCTGGAAAAGCTCGGTGAAGGACGGCGATGGTGAGTTCTGAGCACACAAGGTATGTTAACGAAAGTAGGTAGAAAAGGGTATAGAGAAATGTATCCACGTACTCGGATGCGAAGAGCACAACTCTTCGCATCCGTGAGTCACGTGGATGCGCTGAACGTATGGTAAGTTCGAGCGTCTCGATTTAAAGTCGGTTCGGCGCGTAAAGGACGTATAGTCTAGACTATACGTCCTTTACGCGCCGAACCGACTTTAAAGCATAGTCCTTACACATGTCCTACGCGGTGGCTCTCCTTGTCCAGTACATTCACGTTGATAGCTGGGTGGGCGAGGAGCATGCGAATGTACTCCAGGCTTGATGGGTCGGTAGAGGCGCACGCCAGATGGAGGACGGACCAGCCAAGGGCATCTTCGTCTATAAAAAATGGCTCTCTGCCAATCGTCTCCCCCAGCACAAGCTACCCAGCTCCAGTAAGCGCATCCAACAAACCTACTTATACCCACTCATTCCTCCTCTAGCCCTCACCTTTCGACACCTCCATCGAACGGTGCCCAGCGTCTCTGCACTCTCAGCTTTTACCAAGCTTGAGTACGTCGCTCTCTCCACATCGCGTCAGCCATCGCTAACCCTCCCCAGATCAGCAACTTCAACGATGTCGTCCAAGAAATCCGAGTCCCGCCTTCCTCCAACCAGAGGCGCTCCTGGCGTTGCTTGGGAAGCACGTCGATCAGGCCCTCAACCTACTCATCATGAGCGACGTCTCGGGGATTGATCCCACCATCGGAGATGCGAGCTGCGAGCAGCGCGTCGGCTTCATCCTCGACACGCTCGCTAAGGTTCAGGGTTACCTCGCTGGCAATCCTGGCTCTAAAGAGCAAGTCGCCCCCCCTCCCCGCATTTACGCTGGCTGACCCTCTCCCAGGACCGCCCTCCTCCTTGTTGCGGCCTACAATGAAGCGCACAGATCCGACAAACCCGACACCAAAGTGCGCACGGTCGAGGATGCCGTGGGTGCTGCCAACTCCACCGAGTACACAACCATGATCGACGCCCTTAAGAAGTATCTCAGCCAAGAGATCGCCGCCTATATTGGCCTTTGCTACACCTTCACCACCGTCAGCATTGCCGCCAAGGACGAGTTCGGCATTCCCTTCTCCTATCGCTCCCAAAACTTCTTTGCGGTCAGCACTTCGAAGGCCGAACAGACCAAAAACCGTTCCGATCTAGACAGTCAGGAAGCGGCGCTTCGCTGCAAGCTCGCGAACTACTCCACCCAATACTTCGAGGACCAGACCCGGGCCCTCCCTTGCGACGACGAGTTCGACTTTACTTTCGGCAAAGGAACTACACGCCGTTACTACGTGGAGCAGCAGCTTTGGGAGGCGATGCGCTCCATGAAATCGGCCGTCGTCGGCAAGGATGGAAGCGAGCTTCCGCTCATGCCAATCTACAACCAGATGCGCGCCATCGGCTTGCAAGAGTTCCATGCCCACCGCTCCATCATCGTCGTCGTCCGCCGCATCCAACTCCACCGCGTCACCGAGGAAGGGGAAGGGGAAGAGTACGAGGACGAGGATGTGCTCCAGCACGAGCTCGGTGAACCGGAGCCCCCCTCCAACATCACATACACGCTTGGAACTGCCCGCGCCCTTTACTTCACACCCAACCCCGACACTGGCCACTTCGAGTTCGTCGCCAACCCGACGCCTGTGGAAAAGGAAACACCCTGCCTCTACATCCTTGCCTGGAGTACCTACTTCGATGACGCCACCGGAAGCGGTCTAAACTCTGCCGACCACGAAGAGTACTTCGCGGCGCTCGTGCAGTCCGACCCGTGGTGGTTGGTCATGCAGTATAGCGCAGGCCATCCCCCCTACACCGGAAGCGCCAAGGACAGAACCCCCCACCACGACACCGGCTTTGACCAGGCCTGCAAGCACCAGGCCTTGAGCTTCACCTACTCCCGCGAGCACTGCGAAGGTTTCAACCTCAACAGTCATATCTCCGGAGAACACCGCCCCAATCTCTGCAACGAATACCGAATGGCCTCCCTCATGGCGGTTACCCGTGGCATTACCTCTTGCCAGGAGGTCAAGATGGGTGAGCCCGGCACCTCCTATCTCCGCATCAAGCGCCCCGTCGATTTCCAGATCGACCACCTCCAGGCCATGTCCCTCTCTCAGGCCATCAAGGGCTGCGAAGACTTGATCAGGTTCCACGAGAAGGTCGAGGCGGCGGGAGCAATCATCGGCCCCTTCGTCGTCAGGATGGGCACGGGCGCTGTCAGTTGCACTGACCGCGACCACGCGGACCTGATGACCAAAACCAAGAACGTGAATGCTGTAAAGAAGTACTATCTTGAGAAATATCCCAACAACGAGATTTTGTTTTAGTGCCTGATTTGTTTTCCGTAAAAAATCGTTGTACCTTATACATTTCGACACCTTCTCCTCCAAAGATGGTAGTACAGTTTGCCTCTGAACGTCGAAGCAGCTTCTGTGAATATCAAACACTTGATGCATCATGTCTGAGACGTCAAGGTCCAGTGACCATTCCACGTGCGGAATAAGGCTAACAGCGGCGAGAGTTACTTCAGGGTCTGTGGATGTCTCAAGCAGCCATTTGATGCTGGGTGCTTCGAGATGGCATGTGGGTATGTCGAGGACAAGGAGGGATTTATTCTCATCCAGGCCCTGGTTGAGCGCTTGTGCCTCAGGGTCCACGACGTTTGCCCGAAGAGTGCAGAACCAATGAACACAGCCGGGATATGGCTACGAAGCGTGTTGAATAATTCTGTGGAGTGAGCTGAGCACTGAATGTGATATGCAAATACTTGAACAAGACTTGAACAAATGTATCTTGTGCGGAGTTACCGTATATAGAAAGTAGGAAGCGCAGCACTGAGAGTTGACTGAGAGTCCAAACGGAAAGATCCATATAAAAGTTTAAACTACCAAGTATGTTGACAGGTTTATTTCCACCATGCGGTACAACTGAAGTCTGTGAGCATGAAGCCTAGTACTTTCTCTTTCCCTGGACTTAGAGTTCATCGTTATTCGCTATGGTCGTTTGCAGGAAATTGGTATAAATTTCTGTAGCAGCAGCTGGAGATGCGAGCACACATGATTAATCGATTACACCCTCTAATTTTTAAACAATCCAATAACTGGACAGCGACTGATTATATTTGTGACAATTGTAACGACGGAGTAGGTATAGATTATTGCGGATACGATTATGCGTTTGGATTAATAAAAGTTATTATGAGGAGGGCTGTTACAATCTGACTTGCTGTTCGATGCGCTAGCTTAGCTTGACACAAGGACGAAAATTTGATTAATGAGGGCCCATGATCCACGTCTCCATGCCATACTGAGAGCAGCAGCGAGCTGCGGGGACCAGGGGACTTGACCATGGAAGTTGATGTGCGTGACATATTGCACTTGGTGTCAAATATCGGAAGAAAGAGAACCAGGATGGGGCATAATAGTTGCGCTAGACACGAGTCAGAACCAACAACAACAGTAGATGAATAAGAACCAACTCACATAGTCCAGAGGACATAGGAAACGATCGAATCCATACGACAAACCCAAAAATAGAATCAATACGCAACACTAACACACTTCCCCTCCCACTTCTGCCAATGCCTCACCACACCCTCCACGAGAAAATGCGCGACATCCATCCTCGAAATCGTCCAACTGCTCTCCAAATCCCCTTCTTTCACTCGATATGCTTCGCTTCCTTTACCTTTTACGTCCGCGCGACATTCCCCGTCAGTAAACAGCGCGGGCCGGACGACGACAATACTCTTAAGTTCCCCAGGATTGGGAATACGGTTCGTCCAATCAACACCGGAAATCTCGTTGCCTGGGCTGTCTCTTGCATCCCAAGTCCACCCTGCGCTATGAGCTATAGCTTCCTCCGCGCCACATTTGTCTTTGTGCGGTTCGGAAAGGAGGTAGCTATAGACTGGTTTGAGAGGAAGAGGGAGAATTTGGTGGGAGGCGTGCGTGAGGCCTATAGAAGAGATCGTTATGATCTTTGGGTGCGGAGATGGGAGAGTCTCGAGGACGTTGAGGAGGGACTGGGTAACAAGGTTTGGCGGGGTGACGGTGAAGCCTTTTCTTAGTGAAAACTGGGGTATTCCGCCTGGTAGGTAATTGAATGAGTAAAATATTGTGGAATGATGGAATGGATTATGCGCACCGACTGTGAAGATGAGGAAGTCGACTGGTCTGGCATCTGAGTCATCCCCCTGTTGATGCTGAGCCTCAGACCATGCCCGGCGGACATCGCTCTTCACGAGAGCATCGCCTTGGATAAGGCGGGCTTTACCTTCCTTGATGTAATTTTGGATCGTGTCATCCTGATCAAAGACTCGTGGTGAGCGCAGGAGGAATGTAACGGTAGCGCCGAGAGCTGGGCATAAAATGTCAGAACACATATGTTTGGGCGTCAAGGAAAGGGGCTATCTAACCAAGAAGCCGGACAGCAGAGTAATAGCCTATGTTTCGTGAACCTCCGATGACGAGGACTTTGGAATTTTCCATGAAGCTTGGTGAGTACAGTGAATGAGGAGATTGCGTCGAGGATAGGGATATGGGCTTACTACTAACGAGGCACCCCCTTTTATATAGCTCCGTGGCATGACTCGGTCAGATGCCTTTGGAACGCGCACTACTATCATAGTGCCTATCTATATTTGTTTTGATCCAGCCGCTGCGCAGCATCACGCCACCGGCAAAAGGACTAAGGCGAGACAACACCCCCTTTAAGTAGATCCTTGACATGACGCGGCAAATTAATGCCTTTGGAACGCGTACTATGCGGATGATCCTGCGCTGCGCTGCATCACGCCGTGCGGAAGTCGAGCACTTGCTATAACTCGACGCCTCCAATGGTCTTGTTCTACAGGATAAGTCAATCTACCCAGCCCTCTTCCTACAATAAGAAGCTGCAAAAAGACACTACGTCCTTCATACCACCTCAGCACAGTAGACCTCATATCATCGACCAGTGAGCCTAATCTCAAGAGCACGCAGCGGAGGGTAAGTAACAGCTGAGAAAGCAGCTGCAAGCTGTATGCAAATCTGGTGAGCGCGTGTCCAATCAGCCAAAGAATCAAACACACCTCGAACCCGAGATCAGCGCCGTACGTCGCTCCTGCCATCTTCCCAAGCGGACCTGTATACCATACCTACGAACGAATTGATATGGGTCAGTGTACGAGGTTAGGCTACGGTGATGACATACCTCTGACATCCCAACGACAGCACCTGTAATGCCAAAACACATTGCGAGTATACCTGCTATGCCCAATGGCAGCCTTGAGAACACGGCGGTGTCAACAGCATCTTCACCCCAAAAATAGCAGACTCACTTCGACGGCATATCATAAGCATCCAAATTGTACCCCCCGAGCGGCCCGTTCTTACGCCTGAAGATGAAGTGTTCCTCGGCGACGATTACGATGAAGAAAGCCGTCCAGTAACTGAGTATACTCAGGAAATTTGAAAGGATGGCACTGAAGTGTTCCCGGCCAGCGACACCTGCTACGGTGTATATGACGAAAGCGAGGAAAACCCAAAAGAAGCGCGGTATGATGGCGAATGGGCGTCCGAGGGCTTGTATGGACAGGCCAGTGGAGTAGGTGTTTGGTATGTTGTTAGCGCTGTTTCTAGGTTAGTACGGACAAAGAGGTTATTTCGTTTCTTACATGACAGAAAGTGCGAGAAGCACGAGGATGAATTGACCAAAGTGGCCCCAGGGAGAGAGAACTTGCGCGATTAGACCGCCTGTTGAGCCATCTGCGAACGCAGCGATGTATGCGGGATCTGTAATTGTCATGAGGGCTGCGCCGAGGATCTCGACGAAGCAGATAGGGATGAACAGCCCGAAAAACGTAAGCAGGAATACGCGCATGGGCGGTGTATCGGCTGGTAGCCGGCAATTGTAGTCTGCCGCGACTGGAGCCCACTGGTTTACAAAATTTAACACCTGACACAAAGAAATGATGATTGAACGCACCCCCGAGAATGAACCGAATACGATTCCACCGAAGCTGAGAATGTCAGCTGAGAGGGCGCGCCCTGTGTCCTCGAGAGACTTTTGCGCGTTGACGTCATATCCGGCTTTACCCCCAAGACCCCAGAGGAAAAGCATGATGATGCTGGTGATTATCCATGCGTAGCGCTCGTAGACGTGTACCATGTCGTACCCGACAAAACACGGGATGAGGCAACACACGCCAATTATAATGATGCCAACGACGAGCGGAAGGGTACCGGGATTGATGTTGGCGAGCGTTTGACCTCCGAGAATGACAGCTGTTGTGGAAAAGCCGAGCCTAGACGTGATCAGCAAGATGATGTGCATATCAATGAGAATCCCCGCACTGGGTGAAGATGTTGAGGATTGAGTATATGGTACCGCCGAAGTATCCTGAGCTAAAGCGGGTGATAATCATGGTGCGGAGACCAGTCATAGGGCCGAGGGTAGCAATGAACGCTGTTGCAACGCCCCCGAGAGCGCCGAAACAAAGTATAGTCGCTACAGCATTGCTTGAGAGAATAAACGTGGTTGCCGCGCGGTGTATGCTGACTGACATACCCAAAACTCAAAGTGAAAACGGACTGTCCGAGCACCCCGATGGGAATTGTAGTCAACACTGCGTTAACGGACCTATACAAAGGTCAAGGGAACATGAAAAAATGGGTTGGATCGGATCGGACTGACCACCACATGAGGAGGCTAATACACTGGGCTCAGGACAAGGTATACGAGCGTAACGCAATATACGCACTTGTTCCATGCATTTTTCGACTCTCTCTGGTTTTCTGGTACTCGTTCTACTCCACGGGCCTCGACACCACTGGCAAAGAGTCTTGAAAGAAGTGGACCGAGTGTACCAAAGCGGCTTACGATCACGCGATCTGGAGCTGCCTCGACGTACGCAGCTTCATCTTCAACCGACCCGAGGGCTTTCTCCTTGTCCTCTGAGTCGTAGTCTGGGGGAGCAGGCATGGTGGTCGCTGGGCAAGATGCAAAGGCCAACGACGTCGATAGGCTGGTTGATAAATGATTTCCAGCGCACCATCTGATACAAGATAGCAAATAGCAAATACGTTAACCGAACTGAACCCGAAGTACCCCGTTGAAGCATGCACCGCGTGCCGTCTGACTAGTCCCGTCCCTGGTACCTTAGAAACCGGCCGGACGGATCATTCCGGTCTCCAGGATGCCGGGTACAACCTAAACGAATCTATATCATTCGACAGTTTTAGTAAAAGAAAGGAAGCAAGTTAACTTGGTTGAACTGCTATCTATCGACTGTGCTACACATCCAAAGCGCGGTGCGAAGGTGTTTGGTCACTGGCTGGTATTCGAGGCGCATAGGCTGACCCAAAACATCGTGTGGAGGTATATATTCCGAATCAGCCAATTCATGGCGTTGCAGCAGCGTGCAACCTCAGCATGCCCATACTTCCGAGTCACGCTGGCGGAAATCAGTCAGCAAAGCAGTAAAAACGTAAGTACAACGATGCCCATCGTCCGAGATGAAGCACACATACATAGCCAATCTTGAAGAGCAGAGCAGTATAGATCACGCATGATATTCACGCGGAAAATCCCTGCAATGAACATCATATTCTCCAACATTAAGGATATCTGGTTCTAAGTTGGCGCAAAGGGTCTACAAGGAAGCGTCGGATGAGTTCTTAGCTCAGTGAAAAGAAATAAAATATAACGCGCCTAATACCCTGTAGCTAGTCAAACTGCCTTCTAATGATGTGCCCCCTTTGCAATCTGAGCACCGTATGGGTTTTTAGGATCCTGGGCATACGTCTCCGCTGTTACCCTTTCATGGTAGGTCAAAGTAGAGAGAACATACGACGTACCACGAACACCCATCTCCTCATTTGCGAAGACCGAGAAATGCCATGAGTGTGTTCTAGCTCGAGGTTATTTCAAGTAGGAAACAAATGAGTCCAAACTCATCGGTAAGGCTGGAACTGGAACTAGGAGTGAACGACGTGCTGAACAGGACGAAACCGGGAACACACATATCACGCACGTGTACAGGTCCACCAAATATTCATAATCAAGAAGGAACGGCTGTCTTCCTTCTATATGGTCTGGCTAGGGGAGACTACCAAATATTGCGCCATGATCAATGCTACAATTAACGCTTGAGCTCACATCTGTCGCGTCGTCTAGGTCATCATGGCAGCAGAGGCGCCATTTTACACAGTCGTGTTCGAAGATACCACAGAGAGCTCATCTACGCAGGAGCTCAGGGCGTCGCTCGAGAAAGGTACAGATGAAGAGAGACCGGACACGTTGCGCAGGATGATCATTGTATCAACGATTAATGGGAACCTTCATCTTTCTTGTGGGGCACGCGATGCTGATGCAATGATGATGGGCTAGCTCACGCTCTTGATGGCTATTATACAGTATATCATACCCTCCAGAAATAAGCTGCTCAAAAAGCTGCTTCACTTCTACTTGGAGGTGTGTCCCAAGTATGATGAGAACGGGAAGTTCAAGCAGGAGATGATTCTAATTTCTCCTTGTCACGTGTACGTGTATTCGTTCATCTCTTACCGCGCACACACTCACTGCCTTGCCCAGAAACGCAATCCGAAATGACCTGGTAAGGCTATTCCCCACGTTTTTCTGTTCTTCATATCCCTACAGCAACACCTTAACGAATATATCCGCGGTGCTACTCTACGTTTCTTTCAGAAGATATACAAAGATGCTGAACTCCTCGATCCCCTCATCCCCACCTGCCGCAGCTGTCTTGAGCACCGTCACTCATAAGCCCGCAAGAACGCCGTATTAGCTTTGTACACTATCTGCCGCGAATACGAGCATCTCATCCCAAATGCCCCCAGGCTCATGTAAACTTTCATCGCCGCAAAGTCTGACGCGACGTGCGAGCGTAACGCATTTGTGTTCCTCGCGCATCGCGCGATGCCAAAGGCTGTCAAGTGGTTGATTAGCATGTATCATCCGCTGACAAGTCTAGATGAGCTTTTGCAAATGAGCCTCATAGAAGTTATCGGGCTGGATTGCAAGAATCAATGATACAACGTATTGAGTAAGTCCTCTTCACTTGGGTTATCTTGCTTCTCCTCACGCTTGTCGTCTTGTAGCCACGATATATTAGATGCATGTTTGAATTGTTGAGCTCATCGTCGCATGCAGTTAAGTATGAGGCTGCTACGACGCTCACCACACTCACGCAGAACCCCACTGCTGTGAAAGGTACATTCACGATTAGGTCCCGTGCACATGTCTGCTCACTTTGATTCTTAGCGGCCGCATCGTGCTTCGTGAATCTGGTCGTCAAAGAATCTGACAATCACGTTAAGCTGATCGTCCTGGATCGCTTGGACACCCTACGCTCCAAGCATGGGCATATTCTGGATGGATTGACCATGAACATCTTGCCGGTCTTGTCGCGGTACGAACATCGATCGAGTACTACTTGAAAACAGCTACTGAGTTCTATTGTATCAGCGCCGACATAGAGGTCCGAAGGAAAGCCGTAAGCATCGTACTCAGCATGACCTCGAGTCGGATCGTGGAGGAAGTTGTTCTCTTCCTCAAGAAACAGCTACAATGGACACAGGAGCGCGAGTTCGAGAAGGTTGGTCTTGCAGTTCTTCACGTTACTGTGGACTACTACTGGGATAGGCCCCGGAGTACAGGCAACTTCTCGTCCAGTCGATCCACGTATTAGCGGTCAAGTTTTCTGAGGTAGCTGCAAGCGTTGTCCACGCACTCATGGAATTCCTCGGAGACTCAAACAATCCCTCTGCGCTTGACGTCGTCGCCTTCGTCCGGTTCGTTTTTTCCCTCTATTTTCCACATCTTATTTGACTAACGTACCCGCAGCGAAGCGGTCGAGGAGTTTCCGCACCTCCGGCAGTCCATATGCGACAAGCTTACTCAAACTCTGACAGAGATCGAATCTGGCAAAGCTTTCCGCAGCGTCCTCTGGATTCTGGGCGAGTATGTTGAAAACCTGTCAGACATTCAGGCCACATTCCAGGATATCCGCAAAGTGCTTGGTGAGATCCCAATTCTTGCGAGCGAGCAGCGGTTACTGGACAATGCTGGCGGAGAGGAGGATAAGAAGGAGGATAAGAAGGTCGAGGGAAGCGGGAGGCCAGAGGTGCTTGCTGACCCAACGTATGCGACGGAGATGGCGTACACCAGCACCAACTCAGCGAGATTAGAGGCTGTCAAGGCTGCGTCCAAATCGCCATTGAGAGGTGCGTGGTATGCCCGTTCATGTCGTTCGGAATTCTTAAGGATATGATTTCAGCCCTCATCGGGAGGTGACTTTTTCACTGGTTCGGTACTCGCCTCAACGCTGACGAAGCTCGTGTTGCGATTTGACGAGCTTGCGAACGATAGTCCAAAGGCCAATTCTCTCCGCGCTGAGGTGCGTACTACTTTTTTAATATTTCTATAGTGTTCACCGACGCCCACCCAGTCCATGCTAATCATGACATCCATTATCCGAGTCTGGCAGTCGAAGTTCGTCACGGTACCGATCGACGATGATTCAAACGAGCGCATTCTCAATTGCACACAAACCCTGAGCGAGCTCCAGGAAAAATCCATTGTCCACGATATTTTCCTGAAGGACACGAAAGCGACATATACTAAGATGCTCGTCGCTCAGGAGGTGGGCACTTGGTCTCCTTCAAGTCGTGATGTTACTAATGTGCCAACAGAAAAATGCAGCGGAGAAGAAAGAGTCGGAAAGCACACAGGAAAGTATCGTGCATCTGACATTCTGCCATGATTCATCGAGATTAGGCTGTCTAAATTGCTGATGCATGGTGGGATCTTTTGCCGAGGGCTTGAGAGGATGGGGGAATGAGGCGAAGTGATTTGAAGATGGATATCAAAGAACACACGCCAGTCTATTGCGCAGACGAGTTCAGTCGTTAGATTTGAGCCGTCCAGAACCACCCAATGACCTTGCTTGATTGCGCGTAAGAGACTCTGTCCACTGGCATCGACCCATTAAATTTGGCCACTTGGTATCACCACAGACGATAATTGCCAAACGCGATGCAGTAAGGCCTGTGCTAAGATTCTAAGGCTACGAGTGACTTGAGAGTGCGTCTAGATCGAACTGAATTGCTGATTGGTAGTCCTGATTATCGATGAAGCATCCCATCAAGACAAGCGGAAGGAGGAGACTGTCGACATGCAATCTGGCACCAGCGCATGGAAAATTTGTTGGGAGATACGGATTGTTATCATGTGGGCAAGCGGGCAAATTAGTGAACACCGGTAATTTCAATCAGTCGCTGTTGCAGTGCTTGCACCATATGTAGCATCCTTTTGACACCAACAGTGGGAAGATTTTAGCAAAGCGGCATGGTGCATTACAAAGGGACGATGAAAGACGTGTTGAGTCGAAGAGATATTTGATTACAGAATTGATTATGGTGCGTGATAGTAACAGATGGGCCTTTTCTCCCGAGCGGGTTCACGGTACATGGATGAGGCACCTGTGACTCCCACGTATCCCTTGTAATTAGAGGCGGATGTAGGGTGCCTGGGCGCCTCTAGTTACAGGTAGATAGATCAAAACAGCGCTCGGACGGATAATTGTTCAGTATTTAGCGTGGGTACTTAGCAAAAATCAACTATAATGCGTCACCGGCGTGCTATTAATATCGTTGCCTTCGGCAATATGACGTTCCTGGCCCCGACACCGTTCGGCAAATCCCGCAAACCTTCGTGCTCGCTGTCTGCCACAGCGAGCTCGCAATCCAAGCGTTCCCTCAACCGTTTCGCGTCAAAATTTTTACACAATGTCATAGTAGGTATATTGTATACAATTCTGTCACAATGTATGTCATAAATGTCTTGGATCCCCTCCTAGGACATGCTCTCCTCCCCCTTCCGCGAGTAAAGCCTATGAATCAATCCGCAGAGACCCTAAGAACATCATGTAGGGCCTGCGCAGCCTCTTCTACTGTTTCTGAACCCTCCTCTTCCTCCTCCAGTTCCTCCAGGGTTTTTAGGACATCCAAATGAGACGGGATAATGAGAGATTGTCTTGCGGCGTGGTGCATGCGGATGTGAGATGGAACTTGAATGTGTGGTGTGCTGGCGCTGTCACCAGGAGAAGATTTGGAACTTTCTCCAGGGATGATGCAACCGCTAAATCCAGGGAGCTCGGCAATATCTGCTAAACGCTGCAAAAGATGACCATTAGCTCTCCCACGTGCCAAGCGTCGAGCGCCAATCTGGTAAGAGAGTGCAGGTTCTAAGGGCATTGTTTGTGCCTCACAAGCACGTAGGTAGCGGTCCTCGTCTCGAATGTATGTTATGAGACGTCGAATCTCGATGTTGAGGCGAACTATCTCCTCCTTGGCACGACACATCTTGAAATACAAATCCATCGCTTGACGAGAGGCCGGCGTTGCCCACGGACGCTCTGATACATCTTCCCGAGCATCACGTAGTAAGTCAAAGTCGGCCAGGAATGCGTATTCGATGACTTCATCCCATTTAAGAGTTCGACGGGGTGGAGTGAGTGCAAGCGCTGCGGTATTGTACCGGTCGAGAGCTGTGCAAATGGCTGCGGAATGAGTCTGCAAAGCCTTTGCAATGTGCTTGCGCAATTTGTAGCCTGAAAGAAGCAGTCATCAGAGGAAGAAGCCTGTGTTAAGCGAAACAATGATCACCTGTACCAGAGCGGTTCATTTTTGTCAATTCAAAGATTCGAGCAACAACTAAACCTTCTAACGTATCAAGAGCACGCTGATATCTTCTTTTGGCGACCATCCGTCCAGCATTCTGCCACTCAGGATCATCAGGAACCCACCTACACACAATATCGAGCTTGATCTCAAGTTCTTGCACGGTTGTGAGATCCTTCTCGAAAAGTTCGAGGGTATGTCTACGAGCCGTCTCCATTCTGCGAGTTGCGGCAGCATCTGCCATGCTAAATGAAGTGCTCGCGGGTGTTGCAGACGCCCAGATAGATCTTGCGCTGTCAAGGTTATTCCTGGCAAGAGAAAATAGTAGTACCCATTGAGTCATTGCAAGAGAAAGACGTACTGGCTGGCAGCGAGGTTCGTCAACTTCTGCCAATATTCCATTTGCAGCGTCTCGTGCTCTGGCTCGCTGTGCAGGCCGTGAAGGTAATCCCTTTCCTCTTGCAACCACCGTTCGAATACAGACTCGTCCGGGATGTGAATGTCTTGCATGAGCTTCTTGAGGTTGATCTCACCATCTGAGAGGATGTTCAGCGCCTGCTTGTAGTTGTTATGTAAAAAATTTCCTAATATCGAATTAGACAGTGTTTGATCTAATTAACGAAAACTCACCGAGACTCGGATAAACTTCATATTCATTGTTATGCTCAAAGTATGTCGCGATGAGCTGCTGACGGTGAAACACGCTGGCATATCGCAGCATCGAGGCTAGAGCGTTGGATTTCGAAAATGTTCGTTCGCAAGTCTCGAGGCCCTCGAGTCTGAGACCGGTCACATATGTTGCGAGATGATATAACTGGCAGAGGCGTTTATGTGCGTGTCCGTGGAAGGCTCCAACCAGACAAGTATGATGAAGTAAGCGAGCGCGTGGACCCAATGCGCTGTTATCGAGGGTGGTCTTAAACTGACACCCAATGTCATAACCGCTGCCCAAATTTGAGCCCAGGGCATCGAGTAGCTTGGCGACAACAGATAGTGGGTACTTGGCACTGTAATGTAGATGTTAGTACAAGTTGGAAAGAAACGAAGTAAGACTTACAGTTCACCGCTTTGGACCATGTCGGCAATAAGAAGACAGAAACCATGACGACACACGGTGTGGGGACAACAAATCTGCTGAGTAGCATTAGGTGTTGGGTCTTGCTGCCTAGCTGCTATGCCTTGAGAGACAATGTAAGACCCAGGCTTTCTTGACTAGGGAGTGCTCAAGCAGGGAGAGAGAGAGAGAGTGTGTGTGTGTGTGTGTATGAGAGAGAGAGAGAGAGGGAGGGTGTCACTCCAGACAATGAGGCTAGAACTTGATATCAGGAGCAAACTAGTGAGCTAAGAAGCTACAACCAGAGAAGCTACAAACTGGGGAAGCTACTACTTAACCCTAGAAGGGGAGCTACCAGAATATGAACTGAATACTGCTAATGAGTGGAAGTGTAGTGCGAAGATTTGATGATTAGGTAAGCAGTCAAATGCCAACATAAACAAAGGAAAGGGGTAAGTAAAGCTAGGTAGAAACTGTCAATACAAGGCCACAGGGAACTAGTTCCCTACAACGGCAAGGAAAACCCCCGTTTCATCATATACCCCCCAGGATCTTTTCGTCTTCTCGTCATCCATATTCTTCCATCACCCAGCACAGGGGTTCTCGTCATCGGAAGGCTCGACCTGTAGATACTTAGTCGTTATTCATTATTTTTGAAAATGAAAAAAAAAAAAAAAAAAAAAAAACTTACTGAATCCTCGTCATGTTGTGCTGGATTCGCCCACTCGTTAACATATTCACGGGAAAGATACCGATCGTTGCACACTCGCTGTGTAGTAGGAAGTTCGATTGAGGGCCCTGAATAGTCTCCGTCGGCGCCTATCAGTCATCGCGAGACCCTCTTGAGTGAGTCGTTGCCGTCCATGGCATAGAGCAGACGGAAAGTCATTGCAGGCTCGTTTTTCAGCTCATACGTACAGCAGGGGCAAGCGTTCCTCAAACGCCAGTCGGGAGAGGTGCGATGAATGGTAGCGTTGACAAGGGAATCCACGCGACTGCGTAATTGGAGATAGAGGTCGAACGAGATCGAAAATTGGCGTGATAGGTACCTGTGAAAGACAGTCTTGAGTGAGAAGTTAGCGCTAGCATGCAAATATAACAAGAAAACGGACTTACTCCATGCAAATCACAGATGGACTTCACAAATGCTTGGATAGAGAGATGAGGACTGCACAACCGAGTAACGCGGTATAGTTCCAGCGCATCTATGGAAATGGTGACAGTTGGTGATATTGGGGAGCAGGGAATGACGCCATGGCGGACGAGAGCAGACGCAATGAAGTGGTCGGTTGGTGCGATAGTTACTGAGACCTTCTCAGCGTCTAAATTATGTTAGCCAATGGGTGTAGTCCGGAAATGAAACTTACAAAAAATGTCGACGACTTGAACATCCCAAGAGCCCGAGTTAGGGTCCACATGTGAACACTGATTCCTATGAACCTCCAAGAAGCCCCGAAACCCATGCTGAGCGCGTTCGTGGCTCCATTGAAGGTAGGCATCAGTACGTCCAAACATTTGTTGATCGAAGGCATCAACACGGCGCTGAATGCGATCTCTACGAGTCCGATGATCTACACGGCATCGTTGTTTGCTTGCAGATTTTCTATCAATGCAAGGGTTAGTGAATACGGTTAGCAAACTCAAACAGGCGCAGACTTACGGAGTCCAAAGGTCCCCGTATATCTCTCATGCGAGATCCTCGAACTCGCCTCCCGCATGACTGATGTCAATTGGGTGAGTGCCGTCTAATATGTTGTTGAAGTCGTCATCGCCATAGTTCACGCTGTCAAAAGCGCTGTTACCGGCCTGCTGCTGAGCAAGTGCCTCAAGCCTGCGGCGCTCCTCGGGAGACATTGCTGGAGAACTGTAAGTCTTTCTAATTGTCCAACCACAGTAAAACTTACCTTGAAGTCGGGCACGCTGCTCTCCACGGGCCTTGACGGCACGAGTCGCAAGTGCTTTTGGCCCATAGACCTCGTTCACGTGGACTCGAAGACCCTGGTGATTGCGATCAGCTTTGATTTGCCTTACCTTTTGAGTGGTGAGTCGTGTTCAATTTCGAGATTTTATTAACATATTGATCTGTCTGTGCAATACCAATCAACGAAGACAGAATAATGATGGCACGTGACCACTGATCTTGGTGTTTCAGGAGATTACAGACCGTAACAGACGGCAACTTCTTCAACGTCTTCAACGTCTTCAATGTCTTCATCCACTTCAGGTAGACGCCGCGGGTTGGATGAGTTGTTGCAGGCAATGACTGTGTCAGGTATGTGGTGATTTTGAACTTGAGTCTCGAGCTGACTTTAAATTACAGACCTTCCCTTCAATACTATCATGTACAGCAAGAAGCGCACGACTAAAACTGACGAGGAACACATTACATTTTCCAACCCTCGTCCTCGTGCATCTCACTCCAACATGCTGTCGTCAGCTTCCACGGATCCCCCATCACCTCCCACAACTATTTCCGTTCTCTGATCCGACCTTGGTGACTCTCTTACAGCTGCCCTCACAGATGCCACGATGCGCATTGCCCCTTACGTCCCACCAGTCCCTCACCCTAGCGAGCTGCATGCACCACATCCCGGCGAGCACCCTGACACATATTGGGTTATTACAGTGGGCCAGGAGGTAGGAATTTTCTTTCATTGGTGCGTCACTTCTGATTTCATTTTCCTTTCACTCTACTAACTACATGTCTAACTACTTTAGGCTTGACGTTGGTGAACGTACTCAAGGCATCAGCGGGGCCATCCAGGTCAGACAAGAGACTTGGGTGGATGCTTTGCGCTTGTATACGAGGAAATACAATGAGGGCGCGGTGGAAGCGCGCCCCCGTGTAGGGGGTCGTTTCTGGCCACCCCATGTCCCTCGGACTGCCCTGTCTGCCCCATCATCGCCTACCTTGTCTGCCCCATCATCGCCTGCCTTATCTGCAAATTCAAGCGAGGATAGTATCTGGACGTATGTCGAGGATTTGTCGGAACAAATGACCCAGGACACGCGGTACTAGACTAGGATATATGTAGTAGAGAGTGAAATCAAAATTCGTGTTCATTGATCTAAAAAGTTTGATTTTAAGAGATCCATCTCTCAGAACTCATTGTATCAAGGTAGAAGAGCAGTGAATCAAGAATAGGACGAGCTATTAAGACAATAGGGGAACATGAACCAAAACCACTCACTTTGCCAATAGGGACACCCTGGGGACGTATATCGATCCAAAAAAGAGCCGAACATGTAAAGAACACCTAGAAATATTATCAGAGTGATTTCCAGGACATACCAGTGAGTTGTGGTTGAGGTAGGATGAAAGCAAGTCATTATCGAGAGATTATGTGTGTGTTTACACTGCGGCACACATATGGCAACTGTGTAACGCACCATACATGTACCCCTTAAACCTTCAATTTGACTCTAATTCAACCACATCATATTGGTATGTCTCGAAACTTGCTGTGTTGACATTTCTAGGTGTTATTGACCTATTCATGCACTTGATGAGGTCAATATATTTACTCTTGGCCTCTGTATCATGTCGCAAAGTGGCAAAGTGAGTGGTTTTGGTACATGTTCCCATATTTTCTCAATAACCCGTCCTATTCCTAATCACAGCTCTTCCACCTTGGTATAATGACTTTTTGGGATGCCTTGTATTACTCTGTGACCTCACTGCCTTTGGTACTCCTACTGGGCATCGCTCTGGCATGGTAAGTTTTATGATTCACTTTTTGACCATTTTTGTTGCTAACACGTTCTCCACTTCATACACACCATCCAACCTAGTGGTAGTGCTTTGGGGGCATGTTCTACACTGTCCTATATACCAGTACTGCGCTCTGATCCCCATGGTGAGCCTCTACTTAGTTTTTCGCATTTTCTGTTGTTTTAATCATTGTATCTCATCTAGCTATTTTATCGCCAGGTTTAGTGGCCCATTTGACTCAAATAGAGTCATAATACCCTCCATGAACACCGCTCCTGTCCTCCTATCACTGGTGAGTAATTATGTTGACTTCTACATGATCTTCAGCCAATCCATTGCCTTGGTCGCATTTTTTGCTGTCCTGGTGCTTTCCCTTTACTCTTTCTTCACTCAGGTATGTTTATATGACATATTTAAACGCTTGGCTGATGCCCTGGCCCATGTATGCTATCCTGTTCTTCTCCTGCCCTCAATGTTCTCTTCAGAGTGCCCTTCTCAGCTTCCAGCACCCTTTGGTTTGAATTTCTTTTTATCTATGGACATTCTTACATATAAATGGTGTTTTTTCGACCAGGGAGCAATGGCTCAAGGCCCATGGATGAGGTGGAGGAGCTAAGTTGCTTGTGGAGTATTAATACATATATGTACACTTGTTCTCAGCTTACTTAGGTCTGAAAATGCGAGATATAGTATATTAAATGACATATAACGTGGTACAGTGAAAAGGCATGGAGAAAATACATTGAAATTATGAAATACTCGAGTTCACTGTGTGCAACAGCGAGCACGAAGGTTTCGGCAACGTGCGGAGTGGAGTGAGCGACGAGCGTGGATTACCCAATTGGGTTATTATATTCACGCGCTCTACTTTGTGCACCACCGGCACTCCATAGATCTGTCTGCGTGCCTTTTCGTTTTGTGCAGCTCGTACACTAGTCTGTAAGCTTTCGGTAAAATACAGATGATGATTGATATGACTTACCCTGGCTTTGCAAGCCAACGTGCAGATGCCTGATGCTGCATTTCTGCGCGTGTCATCGGCGGCAATCAGCAGGAAGGATTCTTGTGGCGATGCATGATGAATGATGATCGATGACAATCCATGATATCAATCAATCAATCAATTCTGACTCGTCAATTTGTGTGATGAAGATCACAGCCGACTTATTAATAGCAGTGCGGGAAACTCCGAATGAGATGGAAGCAATTCAGTCAAGGTACGTGCTATGTGCTAAGGGGCTTCTCACCTTCTCACACGGGTCGCAGCGTTCACCGTCTTATTACATTTGACAGATGAATCTGTGCTCGAGAGTGGTACTCAGGTATGTAATTAGGTGCAATATACTTTTACTTATTTCGCTTGCCTCAGGCTAGCGCTACGCTGCGGGTGACACACTGGCATAACTGGGCATGTGGCCGCCCCAATCAGCCATCACTCCGAGTCAGCACATCAACACCAAAGTAAGTCCTTAACACCCTTCTACCCTCCTCCCAACCCCATTTTTCAACCGGGACCAAGTCCTCAACTTCCTTCTACCTACTGCAGCTATCCCAACCCCATTCTTCAACTTCAACCGCGACTGTTACAGTAACATGACGCCTCCCTATCTTTTTCTGACCCTTTCACCTCTTCACCTCATCACGACGTCACACCCTTTCACCTCTTCACAATTCACCATGATGCTTGATGCACTTCCTGATCCCCGCCGACCCTGACCTTCTGTGATAGAAGCTAGACGCTTCCATTTCGACCCTTGATCTATGGCCTCATGGCCTCACTTCTTTTTCCCTTGATGTTCCTACGGAACACTGACCCTGACCTCATGGACTCCTGCCTACTCCTGCCTACCCGATATATCCTTCTTGACCATTGTACAATTACCAGACCTGCCCTGAACACTGTGATCCTTACCTATATATAGTCGATCCACTTGTACCATTATTCCCTAACTTGATTCTACTGGGTTTTACCTTGACTTGTATATTCTCTTGAGTTAACTCTCTTGAGTCTGATCACGAAACCTCTATACTCTTGGATCGCTATCCTTGAGTCCGATACATCTTCTCTTAGACTGTTTGTCTTTGAGTCGATACCGATCCCTCGTTTAGACTTAATCGTCGAACACGAAACCCTTCTTCAGCTCTCGCCTTAGAAGCTTACCTCCCCTTCCGTTCTGTCACAACCTGACGGCTTAGGCTACCAGGTATATTGATGTTCAACTGATACACGATACGATAGCTTAGGACCGTCGTCCTTCGCTTACCCATCCCAGTCCGACTACGACCGTTGTCATAACAGCGACCAAGTCCTCAACTTCCTTCTACCTGCCCCGTCTTCAACCGCAACCAAGTCCTCAATTTCCTTCTACCTACCGCGACCAGGTCCTCAAGATGCTATTGCGCCACACTACATTGATTGGTATGCTTCGTTAAAATTTTGACATTGATTACTGATCACATATTTTTTTCAAGTTGTAGTGCCACAGCACAACAGCAGTCGCCTTCAAGTATATCTTATTTTCGCATTAACTCGTGTGTTGTATGTATGTTGTGCTCTGCTTGTGGATTTCGAGCGCGTCTCACAGGGGCTTTCTTAGGTTTCACGTGATGTTGTTGTCAATGGACTCCGGGACACTGATTTGCAAGGAAACAATTATTGGTATGTTTGATTGATTTGATGAGCAAATAATTTAAATTTTTGTGACTTTAGGAGGAGGGCAGAGTGTTCGGCACACCCAGACTTGACAATACTATGCATGTCGGAATTCCACCACCATCTGCCCTCGTTTAATTTCGAGGGCTTGGGATACGATGCTGGCGGCATCACTGATGATGATCATAACACCATCCCTCCTCCTCCTCATCAATTCTCACCTTCGTTCTTGCCTCCTCATCATCTCCCTCATTTGTTCTTTCCGCCTCCACCCATTGAGGAGTTCAGCACCAGGATCGACTGGAATGACCCAGCAGTCATGACGGCATTGGCGTCAATGGTGGCAGACCTGCCAGAAAATATTCTGTCATTGCTAATGACGATGCCGGAGGGCACTGTGGCTCTCCCCAGCCTCCCAGCTATTTCCACCACTGACGCTGATGTCAGTTCCCTGGCGGGAGCACAAGTCCCAGTTTCCACCACTGACGCTGATGCCAGTTCCCTGGCGCGAGCACAAATCCCAGTTTCCACCACTGACGCTGATGCCAGTTCCCTGGCGCGAGCACAAATCCCAGTTTCCACCACTGACGCTGATGCCAGTTTCCTGGCGCGAGCACAAGTCCCAGTTTCCACCACTGATGCTGATGCCAGTTCCCTGGCGCGAGAAACAACTCTACCTCCCCATCACAGTCCCCCTCCTGTTCCTGCACCAGTATCATTGACTGACCGCATCATGGAGAAGGGAGACAGCTCCTTGTGGGCCACTCGTAACCCCATTCACCCCGTAATACCTGCACGAATGTGTCCCTCCCGTCGACCTCTCACAATCGCCGAGCAAGAATCCCACGCCATTAAAATGGCACAGAAGGTAGAGAAGAGGAAGAAGCTTCAAGACATGATCACAACATTCGTTCAAGATCAATCCAACAGACTCCATGAGCTGGCGGTCACTCACGACGTCTCCGACAAGCAAGTCAAGGACATCCTCGGTCTCAAGACGCATTATCACAAAGAACGCTGCACGCAATTGCGTAATGCGATTGTGCACGTCAAATCCAAGGAACTTAATGAAGGTACGTAAATTACATATGATGGGTCCATAATCTAACAACCAGCTCAAGGTCGCCCCAGCGGGGACAAGTACAGCTTGGAGGAAATCCAAAACATCATTGATAGTGACCCTGCATACAAGCAGCTGTCGGCCACCGAAGAACAGGACTACATCGACCAGCTAACTGAGTACCGTGCCCTCAAGATGAGTGGAGTTCGCGCAACCAATGTGTCAGCGGCTCGAGATGCGGTCGCAGTGATGGATCGCATCTCAAAGGAGGTAATTTTGATGTTTTCTGTGGTATACTCGACGACTGACAACTTGTTTTCTATAGCTTCATGCACTCCATGACCGAGCCAGCATATATGCAACTGTTCTCATGGTTCGGGGACACGTCAACGACCAAGTTCAGTCGACATGGATCGCAACGGACAACGCACACGAATTTTGGGAGGATCAGATGAGTCTAGCGCTTGATGATATCACACGTCAGTTCGAAGAATGGGCCTGCAATCAGAAGAAAAGTAGGCTCGTTTTTTTTGTCTATCTATTAACTGATGCATCATATAACTAGATATATCCGAGCGCAAAGATCTCACTTCCCTGCAAAAGCAAGCTGCTGCAATCATGATGAGTAAACTTCGTACGTTTTTTATACTCATTCACATTCATTCCCGCTGATGTTTCATCAGGACGCGCGACAGGGAAAATGGACCTCACAATGAATTATCAAAACTACGAGAAGGCTATTGTCTTGGTCTATGGAGTCAAGTTAGATGGTTGGCCAGAGGGTCTCCCTTTCCTTGCACCTTCCCATATGCACACTGTGCTTGAAGTGCGCACTCTTCACGATGCTTTGGTGACAGGTGCTTGCCATTGGAAGAAGCTCAACCGGCGTGAACTTGAGAACCTTCGCACGGACATTCAATGACGCTCGGATGCAGGCGAGGTGATAGGCACGGTGCGCAAGAAGCGCTCGGATGCAGGCAAGACGCGTAAGCGCAAGGCACCTGCTGATGGCGCTACAGATACCACCATGGCCGACGGCACTACAGATTCCACTGTGGCCAAAGGAAATTCTAAGAGGACTCGAAAATCACGCAGGGGAAAGCAGGCTGAGAGGCAGAAGAGAACCAAACCCACGAGTGCTGAATTCATCGAAGACAGTGATGAGGAGGGGTCCAGCAGTGGTCCTGAGCAGTCTCCCAGCGCGTAAATTCCTTACTGTTGCTTATAGAATAGTCTTTATAATGTTATATGTCCGTCTGCAAAAAGATCCGATGCGAAACGGTAAAGGAAACACCTCAAATGCGAGCTCACTGCGGCAGACAGCGAGCACGAAGGTTTGCGGGATTTGCCGAACGGTGTCGGGGCCAGGAACGTCATATTGCCGAAGGTAACGATATTAATAGCACGCCGGCACATTGCCGAGGTGCCTAGTGACTCATTACTACCGAGTACGGTTCATTTTTGCTAAGTACCCACCCTAAATACCCAGCAATTATCCATCCAAGCGCTATATTGCAGTATCTACCTGTAGCTAGAGGCGCCCAGGCAACCCACATCCACCTCTAATTACAAGGGTTACGTGGGAGTCACAGGTGAGCGCGTTAACCGGGGCCATGTGGGCTACGCGAAAATGCCCAAATCGTTCCCACGAGCGTTCCCCCTTGTCCCATACTTTTTTGATTTTTTGATGTGGCCTTTTCGCACACTGTCCAGGTCTGCACAAAATCTCGTTTCCGCAGTGATTATGCATGCAATTGCTTGTTCATCACCATCATAATCAAATGTCTAGTATGTCTAAAAACCTTTGACAAGTGCACCGTGGTGCCCTAGTCATCCAAGTCGTCAACATCACACGCCTAGTAATAGAGCTGCGCCTGCCCCCAGATTGGTTCTCTTGCCCGCACTGGGACCGCCGTCAGCCCTGTCTTGACTGACGTGTATCATTCCATGGTGACATCCATCCATCCATGGGTGAGGAACGACTGTCTTCCTTCTATATGGTCTGGCTAGGGGAGACTACCAAAAATCTATCAGTTGAATGGATTTATGCCCTAACCTCTGCCGAATCGAGTTGCCCACGCGATTGCAAGAGACGGGTGTTGCTTGCCGTCCATTTTCTCCCGCGCTGTTTTAACTTTCCGGGCCAGGAGTTGCGAATCACCACGGCACGAACTTAAGGTGACTTATCTCCTTGTAAGGCTGCCTAATATTCAGCCAGACTATCACCTTCACTTGAAGCTTTGAATGGGCTCCCGCTTAATATTTGCACCCATGACACCTTCTCCACTCGTGTAGACTGATTAGTTCGTCCAGGTCCAAGTAGTTGGCAACAATTTCAATTCAGACACACCTTTCGGCTTCTATGAATAAGCATTGTTGACCATAAACACCGGTGCCGGGGAAACACTCCCGCAGTGTTCTTTTCCTATACAGAAGCCGGTGAACTGCGTGGTTCTTGCCGCTGCCACAGACAATGCCTATAAATCTCCTAATTGATCTCATGTCGAATCCAACACAACAATGAACGTATCTACTATCACTATACCAGCTTTACCTTCTCCACTAAGTCTCTGGACGACCGCACGGTCGTTTGGCGCACTCAATCTCGCTGGTTCATTTGCTGCGCTATGGGCTCTTGTCAAAGTCCTAGGGGTGCTTCGCTGGCGTTTGAAGACAACTCAACTCCGGGGTCCACCTCGTACCAGCTTGGTATACGGCGTTTCGCACGACCTCGGCTCATCTCATGATGCCGGTACAATGTATGAACAATGGGCGGAGGAATATGGGGTAGCGTACACGATTCCGAGCGTCCTCGGACAAACTAGAATCATACTGTCCGACCCGAGAGCTATAGCACATTTCTTTGCCCGAGAGACATGGACCTATGTGAAAACGCCCCTTTCGTTGGCACTTTTAGAGGGATCAGTATGTTAAAGTCCTCTTCTTACTTCATCTATCTGATACATCTTGTCAGATCGGCAAAGGGCTACTATGGTCCGAGGGTGAAACCCACAGAAGGTGCTGTTCAGTTATTGTCCTCGCGCCAGAGACTGATCGACTATCTGTGAATCAGGCAGCGGAAGGCCCTTACGCCAGCTTTCAGCAATGCAGCCATTCGGAAACTTACAGCAGTGTTTTATGACTCAGCATACAAGGTACGGATTCACAATGTCAGACATGCATCACTGAGCTTGATGCTTTACAGGTCAAAGGTAAATGGGATACCATTATAGAATCGAGCAAAGACGGGAATGCTATCATTGAAGTACAAAACTGGTACGTAGCTTTTTTGGCATGAAAATTTCGCACTCCTCATCGAAACGACTTCAAGGATGAATCACGTAGCGTAAGTGGTACATTTTTGCCCTTCAAGCATCGAAAATGACACAACACCAGTTTGGATACGATTGGCATCGCTGGTTTCTCCCATGATTTTGGTTCGCTCGATGGAAAGCGCGCTAGCGTGACCGAGGCGTTTGATACTTTTGGAAACAACTCACAGGCTTCAGCATTTAACCAAGCTTTTATCCTGCTCGCATCGGTGTTTCCTATCATTACCAAGCTCCCCACTAAGCGGACGGTGCTATTCAAGAAACTTGGTACAACTATGGGAGAAATATCGAACGAGTTGTTGGTTCGCAGTCGCCGGGAAAAGGATGCGAATATGAGTGACAGAGACGAGGAGAAGTCCATCATCGGATTGCTGCGTACGCACTTCTCATGATCCGTTGTATTCCCTTTATTGACGCAACGATCAGTCAAATCTGAAAGTGAGGATGCTGAGCTCCATATGTCCGAAGAGGAAGTAGTGGCTCAGGTCCGTGGAGAGTATCACAGCCATTTTTGCAAGCTAACGTCCTGCAGATGAAGGTCCTGCTTCTCGCGGGTTATGAGACGACATCCAGTGAGTTTATTTCTCTTATGGTGTTATCACATCGGCTGATTCTTCCTTCGCAGTCAGTCTTACGGTATGTCCACTGTCTCATAACATCTGTGCCGCTATTTATGTGATCATCAGTGGGCGCTGATCCACCTATCACAACACCCCGACATCCAAACGAGGCTCAGAGAAGAACTGCTCGCGTTTGGCGCTGATCCGACATATGACCAATTGAAGGCCAATCTCCCATACTTGGATGCAGTTGTCCATGAAATCCTACGACTCCATCCTGCGGTACCCGAGTTCGTCCGTCTTGTGAGTGCGCCTGTCTACATACGAATAGACACCCTGACCATAGATATACAGGCATCTGCAGACGACGTTATTCCCTTGAGCGAACCTGTGCGCACCGCGTCCGGGAAAATGACGGACAGTATATCTGTAGCGAAGGGGACATTTATTAACATATCAGCCACGGCGATCAATCGCTCTGTGGCAGTCTGGGGACCTGACGCAAAGGAATTCAAGCCTGAACGTTGGCTGGCTGAAGAAGGCATCAGCGGGAAAGCCAAGGACGTCCAAGGTCACAGGCATCTTCTGACATTTATCGACGGCCCAAGGACGTGTCTTGGAAAAGATTTCGCAGTTGCGGAATTCAAGGTGATTTCTATGAATCAGCTAGTATGAACGTTACTCACTGCGATATAGACGGTTTTGTTGATTCTGGTGAAGAACTACGTGTTTGAGATGCGGGATGGACCGGATACGAAGGTTGAGGTTGGGAGGGGGATTTTACCTCGTCCGCGGGTTGTTGGAGAGGATGGTGTTGGAGTACCTTTGAAAGTTCGTCGGTATGAGTGATTGACTACGCAGGTTCCAATATTGCTATGTTTTCCTCACTTATTCGCCGCCGGGACTCTTAGATGGTACATTGTATTCAGATCAGATGTGGTGCGCATGCTTGGTATCGTAATAGTTCTGTCATGTCAGACTGTATGCCATGAAGGGCTGATAATGTAATTAATGCTCAGGATTGTCCATGGGGCATGATGACTGTTCAGGATCATATATCTGCAAATCGTATAGTAATCTGTTCATGCACGCGACTTCGGTGTAACATTCAGTAAAGAAACGACGTATCCGAATCGTACTAAGAAAGACAAGGAGGAAGGGGAATACCAGACATCAATTTGCCAAGGTATTATGTAGCACGAATCTTGTTCAACTGGATACCGCGAGCAGCACAAGTCTGCGTCAGCTCATCTTGCCACCCCCGCGAGTCATCTATGAGCCTGGCCCAGTCCTCCATGCTGGAGAACGGCTTCAAATGCAAGTCCAGTGACTGTAGGGAGGGCTGCCAACCCGACTGCAACAGGGTCTGGACATCACGTACACGCTCGCCATAGGGTGAGAATGCGAATTTCTCCAATGATGATTGTAAATTGAGCAAATGTTCTGTTTTGAAATACCATGGGTCAATGCGAAGCCTTCGCAGTCCTGCCAACCCAGATATGAATTCGGTAGCTTCTGAATTGGTCTCCGATTCGTCGTAATAAATACTCTTGATGTGAAGCTCCCTCACAGAAGCTACCATGACCCCGATCAAGTGTTGCAGGTTCGAGCCTACTTCCTGCACCGTCAAGGACTCAACACTTTCGGAAGAGGATGCGAATAGCCATTTGCACAGGCCAGGAGTTAGGTTAGGAGTAAATTCTGTCCGAGATATCGATAATTTCGAAAGCTTGAAGCTAGGCGGCTCAAAGCAATCGTTCAGCATATCGCTATCACCGCAGCTCTGAATCATCTCGAAAGACTTGAGATTGCATAGATGAGGTAGGAGAGGGGCAAGGAGTTCGAGGTCCTGCCCAGATACTTGGAGGTACGTCAAATATGGGTACCCAGGATGGGACATGGTGCTGGTGAAGTCCAGGAGACCACAATCTCCTGTCAGGTAAAGAAGTTTCGGGCAGCAGACGACAATCTCTCCAGCGAGTGTCGCGAATTGCCTAATCTCCTTAAAGACAGCGAGTTCCGGAAACGAAGGCCTAAAATGGAGGGCAAGAGCAGGGCAATGGCCACCGAAGCTCTCGCTGCGCACGGTGCGCAGAAGTAGGGGAAGGGATTTGAGCTGAGACAGTCGAATAGATTTATACAGCATTTCCCTTGCAGGCCCGCACCAAGCTTTTGATACAAGACAGCAGCTGAGCAGGACATGGGTGAAACCCCTCAACAAGTGGGTAGTCCATAATTTGACCGACGACGGTAAAATCTTGGACAGGATCAGAGACAGGATCTCGGCTGGTAGATGAGGTGAAGGTGAAATTATGGGATCCTGACTGGTTTCGACGAGTGAAAATTTATCGCTCATCTCGATCACGACACCTTTCGTGTGTTGTACACAAGAAGGAACGACTGTCTTCCTTGTATATGGTCTGGATAGGGGAGACTTTGAACCTTGAGAAACGAAAGATCTAATAAAATAAAATAAAATAAAATAGATGATAAGTTAGCTTGACAAATTATCTGTAATGATAACCTCACTTTCAGACGTTCAACGTTTCACCCATGGTGACTCGCCAATTTATTGCCGAAACGGAGCGCCTCCCAGATCACAACCATGTATTGCTTATAACGACTGGCAGTGTAGCATCTATAAAAGCTCCTCTCATCGTCGCAGAGCTTCTTCAAGTCTGTCCCCCGTCCTGGAATCCTGCCACTGCTTATGTTTACGGCGTGCCAACATAGTTTCAGAATGTCAGAGTAGAGGTGGTTGCGACCAAGGAATCGCTCGCGTTTTATGACCCTGCGGACGTCGTCAATGCAGGCGCACGCGTGTGGACAGATGAAGATGAGTGGTCGGTGAATATACGCGCTTTTCAAGAAGAGCTTGGTCGTCTTAATGTCCGTGACAGGGGTCATACAAGATTGGAGACCCAATCCTGCATATCGAGTTGAGGAGGTGGGCTGACATCGTCCTTGTTGCTCCCTGCTCGGCAAATACGCTCTCAAAGATTGCACACGGGCTCTGCGACAATCTCGCTGTATGTTTCCCAGCGCGTTCATATCACATTCAATGTAAAACCTCTTGCTTAGACCTCTCTGCTTCGTGCGCTGGCACCTACGACACCGACTTACGTATTCCCGGCGATGAATACGCTCATGTATGAGCATCCGCTCACCGCGGAACATCTGCGCGTCATCCGGGATGTTGTGCGTTACCAAGTCGTTGGACCGATTGGGAAGAATCTTGCATGCGGGGACGTTGGTGTGTGACTCTGGCTTCCATTCCTGCTATTCCAGAAAATATGACCTTTTCTCAAAGGACTCGGTGCCATGACAGAATGGCACGATATCGTGAAGATAGTGGTGGATGAATTGAAACTCATTCGCAAAGACATCCAACCATAAAGCTGATGAGTATTCTATGTCTAATATTAATCTGATCTATAAGTGTTTCTTCTTCGCGAATACGTGTATGTGCGCTAGTCCACGAACACTTTGTAGCCTCTGGAAAATGCTCAGCGTCTGATACAACACAACCACAGGCTCGTTCACTCACTGGGGGATTGACAAACCATGCAGTTTCCCACTCGCTCTCTACCCATCTCCGTTTCACGAACCCGTCTATTTCCCTTCCAGCATTCCTCACCATCTCGTCGATCTCTGGACTGCTTTTGGGGCTGCGAACTAAATTCTCCATGGTGATTCCCCACTCTGCCAGCGCAGGCAGACATTCTGGCAGAGTTGACGGCGAGGGTGGAGGCTCGTCATTGCCCGTAAACCCGCACAGCCCATCTTGTTGAATCCGCGCATCGATTTCCGATGGGATGAGATCTGGATGGAAAATAGGCACTCGCGACCAGATGAGCGTGTGTTCAATCTCGATAGGGACAGAGTAAGGCCAACTGTTCTGAATGATACTGATCAACTCTGAGTCGACCGGCATATCAACTTTGAAATATTCAGGCACGTCCTGGGGAAATGGTGGGAGTGACTGGTTAGACCTAGAGGCTGAGATGGATACGTCCTCAGGTCTGGTGTGACTATCAAGTGCTGATGGTAAGAGCGAAAGGGTATCTGGCTGTCCCCATTGGAGACGGTGGTTGAAAAGGTAGTTCGCTTCAGGCCGTTGAGCGATCTTTACATCCTGACTCCACGTTACCCACCCATTGAACCGTGCTCTTTCACGATCACTAGAGACCATGCATCATATCTCTTTTCTAGTGCCTTGTCACGCTTTAGCAGCCCGAGATTTCTTAGTAACGTTGCAGAGTCAGCGTCTTTGGTCTTGTTCATGTTGACGATAGAATATAAGTACCCGGAATTCACAAAGGCCTTAAGCTGGTCCCATGTGAACTTGGCTGGGTAGTGCGTGAGCATCTCTTCCCTTGTTGGAGGACCTGGCAGGGTAACATGCACGATTTTTTGGGAAACATTGTCTGGTGTATCCAAGGGTAGCTCTATGGTCATTGTCATCGACCACCACTATGATCGCCATGCATGCAAATAAGTTGTTTGCCCAGCAGCCTTCGATCCAAACAAACTGCAACAACTCAAATGCCATTTTCAGTGTTCAAACGTTCACTACTTACTACTACTAGCCGCTCGCTAGCAGTCCAACGGGCAGGATTTCATATCTGCTCAAACGAGCTGGGTGACAGCCTGGTAGAATTATGTGTTTTGGACGGAAACGTGCGGCTGGCGTAACAAACGAGGGGTGCTGTTTTCAAAATCATCCGCTTTGTAACCCGCACTATCCCCAGGAGCACTGTGACTGACTTGCCCGTGGCCAGGTACATACTGACCTCGAAGCTTGAAGCATGAGGGTGATTTGAGTCACCACGGCGCAATCTTTACATTGCTTATTTCTCGTAAGACTGCGTACCTGCAACCATTCGCAGTACGTATCTTCTTCGTCTTGCAGACTGATTAGTTTGTTCACACAGGTGCCAGTACTGCGCAAATCTGGCACAAGTTTCGGCTTCTATAAATAACCACTGCTGACGATGTCGGGTGGCAAACTCTTCCGCAGTTGATATTCCGAGTCATAGCGGCTGCGCGAGCCGCTGCCAGTGATTATCGTAATCATGATGCCGCTACAGAAGTGGCTATAAATCTCCTAATAGATCACATGTTGAATTCATCTCAACAATGAAGACTTTCGCTATACTTGGCTCTTTATCGAGTCTCTGGACAACCATGCGTTCGGTTGGCGCATTCAACGCCGTCTGTTCGTTCGCAGCACTGTGGACTTTTGTCAATGTGATAAGGGCACTTCGCTGGCGATTCAAGACGACTCAACTCCGGGGTCCACCTCGTACCAGCTTCCTATATGGCGTTTCGCGCGACCTCGTCTCATCTGACAACAACGCTGCAATGTATGAACAATGGACAGAAGAATATGGGGTAGTATATATGATTCCGGCGGTCCTTGGAAAAACTAGACTCGTACTCAGTGACCCAAGGGCCATTGCGCATTTTTTTGCACGAGAGTCATGGACCTATGTGCAGACGCCCCTTTCTTTGGCGCTGATAGAGTCCTTGGTAGGTTAATGCTCTTTTCTGATATTGTCTCTCTGATGTCTCTTGGCAGGTTGGCAGAGGGGTACTATGGTCTCAGGGCGAGAGTCACAGGAGGTAGTCATCGGTTCTTGTCCTCGTGCCAGAGGCTGATCGAGTACTTGTGAATCAGGCAGCGGAAGGCCCTTACTCCAGCGTTTAGTAATGCGGCTATTCGGAAACTCACATCAGTGTTCTATGATTCAGCATACAAGGTAAGGATTTGCAATCTAAGAAATACGCTATATCTGAGCTTGAAGCTCTACAGGTCAAGAATGCATGGGACACCGATCTGCAATTGAGCAAAGATGGGAATGCTATCATTGAAGTTCAAAAATGGTGCGTAGCTTTGTTGGGCATGAAAATTTCGCACTCCTCATCAAACCGACTTCAAGGATGAATCACGTCGCGTAAGTGATATATTTTTGCCCTTCAGGAATCGAAAATGACACAACACCAGTTTGGATACGATTGGCATCGCTGGTTTCTCCCATGATTTTGGCTCGCTCGATGGAAAGCATGCCAGCGTTACAGAAGTGTTTGATACTTTCGGAAACAACCCTCCCTCAGCAGTAAACCGAGTCCTTTTTATGCTCGGGTCAGCATTTCCTATCATTACCAAGATCCCCACTAAGCGGACGAACCTGACCAAGAAACTTCACACAACTATGGGTGAAATATCTAAGGACTTGTTGATTCGCAGTCGCCGGGAAAAGGATGTGAATATGAGTGAGAGAGACGAGGAGAAGTCCATCATTGGATTGTTGCGTACGCACTTCACATGATTTGTCTTATTCCCTTTATTGACGCAATGATCAGTCAAGTCTGAAGGCCAGGATGCCGAGCTTCATATGTCTGAGGAAGAAGTGGTTGCTCAGGTCCGTGGAGAGTATTTCAGCCATTATTCGCAAGCTGACATCCAGCAGATGAGGGTCTTGCTTGTTGCGGGCTACGAGACGACGGCGAGTGGGTTAATTTCTTGTCCGCTGCTATTAAATCCGCTGACGCTTCGTTGACAGTCAGTCTTACGGTAGGTCTGCTGTCTGATAAAGTCTGTGCTCGCTACTTATGTGATCATCAGTGGGCGCTGATCAAGCTATCACAACACCCCGACGTCCAAACGAGACTCAGAGAGGAATTGCTTGCGTTTGGTGCTGATCCGACATACGATCAATTAAAGGCCAATCTCCCATACTTGGATGCGGTTGTCCATGAAATTCTACGACTGCATCCTTCGGTACCTGAGGCCAGTCGCATTGTGAGTACGGCGAGTCTACACGCGAGTAGAGACCCTGACAGTAGATCTACAGGCAGCCGCAGATGATGTTATTCCCTTGAGTGAACCTGTGTGCAATGCGTCTGGGGAAATGACAGACAACATATCTGTAGCGAAGGGGACGGTGATCGTGATTTCAATCGGGGCAATCAATCGCTCTTTGGCCATATGGGGACCTGATGCAAAGGAATTCAAGCCTGACCGTTGGCTGGCAGAAGAAGGCATCAGCGGGAAGGCCAAGGAAGTCCAAGGTCATAGGCATCTATTGACATTTGTCGACGGCCCGAGGACGTGTCTTGGAAAAGACTTTGCAATTGCAGAATTCAAGGTAATTTCTACGATTCAGCTAATGTCAACCTTACTCACTGTGACATAGACGGTTTTGTCAGTTCTGGTGAAGAACTTCGTGTTTGAAATGCGGGATGGACCGAAATCTCAACTTGAGATTGCGAGGGGGCTTTTACCTCGTCCGCGGGTTGTCGGAGAGGATGGTACTGGAGTTCCTTTGAGAGTTCGTCGATATGAATGATTGGTTGCGAATCCTGATGGACCCACTCATGGAAAGGTTTATCTAAATGGGTTATATATCGCAGTCACCAATCTTGTGTCTAGGCCGTTAGTCCCCGAGACGATAAGATATACGGCCGGATCAGTTTATTTGACACGAAATCAAACTTTTAAGTATTCATATAGGCTAGCAAGCCATAACGAGTGTAAATTTGAGATGTAAGTTGTTCGTCTTACTTACTAGTTGCTTGCTGGCAGTTCACCGGGCAGAATCTCCGAGCCATATCCGCTCAAACAAGGTAGGTGCACGCCTTATTCACAAATTTCCTCCACCGCGCAAGTGATAAATTGTCTCGAAATCTGTGTAATTCATTTTCGTAGACTTCCAAACTTCAGCATTGGTGGAGAAAAAAATGCCATCGACATCGAGCATTGGAAAGGTTCCGAGTAGTCAAAGTCGAAATAGTTGTCATTCTGAGCGTATGAACTTCGCTCTGTATTTCATCGTGAGCCTTGCAATGCATACTGAACTATACAGAACCCATATTATACGGAGCTCGCTCATCTATCTAGTTCAGGCCTCGAATAACTTAAATGGAAAATATTTCAACCCACCAGTGCAACGCAACCAATTATTCATACCGACGAACTCTCAAAGGCACTCCAATACTATCCTCTCCAACAACCCGCGGGCGAGGTAAAAGCCCCCTCGCAATCTCAACTTGAGCATTCGGTCCATCCCGCATTTCAAACACGAAGTTCTTCACCAGAACCGACAAAACCGTCTATGTCGCAGTGAGTAAGGTCGACACTAGCTGATTCGTATAAATCACCTTGAATTCTGCAATTGCAAAATCTTTTCCAAGACACGTCCTCGGGCCGTCGACAAATGTCAGCAGATGCCTGTGACCTTGGACTTCCTTGGCCTTCCCACTGATGCCTTCTTCTGTCAGCCAACGGTCAGGATTGAATTCCTTTGCGTCAGGTCCCCAGATGGCCAAAGAGCGATTGATCGCCGCGACTGATATCGTGATCAACGTCCCCTTCGCTACAGATATATCATCCGTCATTTCCCCGGACGCGGTGCACACAGATTCGCTCAAGGGAATAACGTCATTTGCAGCTGCCTATAGATTTACTGTCAGGGTATCTATCCGCACGTAGGCAGGCGCACTCACAAGACGAGTAAACTCGGGTACCGCAGGATGCAGTCGTAGAACTTCATGGACAACCGCATCCAAGTATGGGAGATTGGCCTTTAATTGATCGTATGTCGGATCAGCACCAAACTCAAGCAATTCCTCTCTGAGTCTCGTTTGGGCATCGGGGTGTTGCGATAGCTCGATCAGCGCCCACTGATCACCACATAAGTAGGGAGCACAGACGTTATTAGACAGCAGACCTACCGTAAGACTGACTGCCAACGAAGCGTCAGTCAATTTGATAGCAGCGGGCAAGAAATCAACTCACCCGACGTCGTCTCGTAACCCGCGAGAACCAAGACTTTCATCTGCGGGACGTCAGCTTGCAAATAATGGCTGTAAAACTCTCCACGGACCTGAGAAACTACCTCCTCCTCGGACATATGGAGCTCGGCACCCTGGCTTTCGGATTTAACTGATCATTGCGTCAATCAAGGGATGACAATGGATCTCTTGGATAGCGTACTTAACAATCCAATGATGGACTTCTCCTCGTCCCTCTCGCTCACATCCTTTTCCTGGCGACTGCGAATCAACAAGTCCTTAGATATTTCACCCATAGTTACGTTGAGTTTCTTGATCAGCTTAGTCCGCTTAGAGGGGATCTTGGTAATGATGGGAAACGCCGACGCAAGCAGGGAAATGGCTTGGTTCGCTGCTGAGGGTGGGTTGTTTCCGAAAGTATCAAACACTTCTGTAACGCTGGCATGCTTTCCGTCGAGTGAGCCAAAATCATGGGAGAAACCAGCGATGCCAATCGTATCCAAACTGGTGTTGTGTCATTTTCGATTCTTGAAGGGCAAAAATATATCACTTACGCGACGTGATTCATCCTTGAAGTCGGTTTGATGAGGAGTGCGAAATTTTCATGCCAAAAAAGCTACGCACCAGTTTTGAACCTCAATGATAGTATTTCCATCTTTGCTCGATTGTAGATCGGTATCCCATGCATTCTTGACCTGGAGAGTTTCAAGCTCGGATATCTCTCATTTCTTAGATTGCAGATTCTTACCTTGTATGCTGAATCATAAAACACTGATGTGAGTTTCCGAACGGCTGCATGACTAAACGCTGGAGTAAGGGCCTTGCGCTGCCTGATTTCCAAGTACTTGATCAGCCTCTGGCATGAGGACAAGAACTGAACTGAAGACTACCTCCTGTGACTCTCGCCCTGAGACGACATTATCCCTCTGCCGGCCTGCCAAGAGACATCAGATAGACGATATCAGAAGAGGGCATCAACATACCACGGACTCTAGCAGTGCCAAAGTAAGGGGCGTCTGCACATAGGTCCATGACTCTCGCGCATAAAAATGCGCAATGGCCCTCGGGTCACTGAGCACGATTCTAGTCTGTCCAAGGACCGCCGGAATCATATACGCTACCCCGTATTCCTTTGCCCAATGTTCATACATTGCAGCACTGTCTTTAGATGAGACGAGGTCGTTCGAAACGCCATATAGGAAGCTGGTACGAGGTGGACCCCGGAGTTGAGTCGTCTTGAATCGCCAGCGAAGTGCCCTTATCGCATTGACAGAAGTCCACAGTGCTACAAATGAACAAACGATATGGAGTGCCCCGACCGAACGCATGGTTGTCCAGAGACTTGATGAAGAGCCAAGTATAGCGATAGTCATAAAGGTCTCCATTGTTGAGATGGATTCGACACATAATCTATTGAGGGATTTATAGCCACTCATGTGGTGGCGGTATCATGATTACGATGTCCACCGGCTTGCGCTTTGAACATGGAACCTGAGGACTATCGACTCCGGAAGTGTTCGCCCCCCGGCATCGTCAGCAGTCATTACTTGTAAAAGCTGAAACTTGTGTCAGATCATAAGTGTCGCGCACTTGAATGAACTAGTCAGTCTGCAAGACGAAGAAAATGCCGTACTGCAAATGGAGACCCATTCCAACTGAAACACGATGTCATGGTAGATTTGGCTATGTTAATGTTATAGGTATGCAGTCTTACCGGAGATAAGCAACGTCAAGATCGCGCCGTGGTGATTTAATCACCCCCTCACGCGTTAAGCTCAGCACCTGGCAACGGCAACTCAGTCCTGGGGATACCGTACAGTGCGGGTTAACGTTACAACGCGGATGATTTTGAAACAGCGCCCGTCGTTTGCGACACCAGCCACTCGTTTCCGTTCAAAACACATAATTGCACCAAGCTGTCACCTGGCTGGTTTGAGCAGATATGGCTCGGATATCCTCCCGGTAGAACTGTCGGAAAGCAACTACTAGTAGTAAGTAGTACTAGTAAAAATGGTATTGGAGTTGTCGCAGTTTGTTTGGATCTAAGGCCGCTGGTAAACAAGTGCAAACGAACAACCTTTCTCGCGAAATTAAGACTTCCTGAGTCTTTCTCCCACTAACGCCACTACCATGAGAGCAGCCCGTGGAAGTGCCAGGGGCCGCACGCGGGGGCAACCGCATGCTCGTGGGAGGGTGAACACTTCTCTCCAAGTTAAAGATTCAAAAGCAGGTGCTGCCCCTCATACACAAATGGAATACATTGCATCAGTCAGCCGGAGCAGTGGGCTCGAGAAAGGCGGGGATGCGTGAGATCAAATTCCTCGGCTCATTCTTCGAACTTACATTTATTAGCTAGCTTGAAGGATTTCAAGGTGCAAGAGCAGTACAGAGTGTTTGTGAGTGAGAAGGTGGGCACTGGGTGTGCATGATGGCATTCGGGATGAGGTTTCATGCAGATCACAGTTACACAAGTTCTGGACAGAGAAACAGACGAAGGATGGGCAGGAGAACATTTTGATCCTATTTAGTGAGTCCTACGTTCCTTAATCAAGAACATATTCCAAACTTTGCTGGATAGGAAAACTTAGAGAAGGAATCTTCGCGTCCAAGCGGAGTGATGCCTTTGCAATCGAAGGTACGTTGATTCGATCTCGTATCAATATCCTCATTATCTAGATATCTTGCAGTGTACGAAACTTCTCTTTGCCTCTCATCGCTATTCGACTCCCCAATTCAGACATCTTCTATTCTCTCGCACCTCCTCCCAGAACTCTACACCTCCGCATCAATCCAGCCTCTAATCAGCTCCGTGCTCATATCGCTCCTCCACCACCTGATCGCCGGATATCCATCGCAAAAAACCTACTTTGAACATCTTTCGTGCCTCTCGCCCAACATGTTTAGTAGGACATCGGAAGCGTATACGTGGATATCAAATCTAGCAACGAGTCTCCGTACCCTCAACCAAATTAGGTTTGAAGCGCTTTCACGGCACGACGTATACAGACATTTCCTCACTGTATCAAAATCATCTGATGAGACATACGATCCTTTGGATCGTCTATCGCAAGATGCGGTGCACGCGCTCGTGGAACGGCTGAGAAGTAAAGCGAGGAATAAGGCGTGGGTGGTGCTACGCAGTGCATATCGGGAGATATCAGCTTCAGAAGAGACCCGGACTTGGATGGTCAAGTACCTAATGCTTTCAAGCAAGCAGGCTTCTACATCGGGTCTTTCTTTGGAGGAGTGGATGGATGGGCGGTGTCGAGATGGTCACCTTCGGCCGAGGGAAGGGGCAGTGGGGAGATGGGTTGTATGCAAGGTCAGATAACTGCTGCTACTTATGTTGATGTTGATCTAGTGTACGATAGAATGTCCGTGATAACTTATGATCCCAGGTTGTCGTCAGGAGATGTGGCGTACATGATACAAACTCTTCCTCCGCTTTTATGCGAGTATCAGTCGATATCCATCTTGCTCAAGGGCGATTGGTTCCGCAGCCTTCTCGAAGGCTGGTTGCCCCTCCATGGAGTTGTTTTCCTACTCTGATATCTCTTCAACCTTCCTCTTCCGTAAGAATGATCTTTTTTCGTGTGCTGCATGTCGTCCGTTTGACCCACGACATCTGAGTATGGTGTAGCTAAATCTGTGACAGGACTCAAGTACTTCGAAAATATCGATGGTATCTTGGGGTAGGTCTTGGTCTGAAAATCAACAATCGATGGTATCGATCTCTTCGCAGCCTCGGTCCTGTAGACCTTACACACGGAGATGTGGATGGCATGTTGGAGGTGCCTACTGTTACCGACAACTTGCACTCTCAGCACGGGATTCCTCGTTTGCCACTGGTATGCACACAGATCCATTGTGATAAGTATTTGATACTCACCTGAGCGCGTAGAGGCTTTCGAGGCCTATAAGAAGAAAACTGGTGGTCTTTACGACGAGTGAGTTTAGCTCGATGAACCACTGATGTCCTATTGATTTATGTGGAACAGGGCCACAAAACTTCTCACCGTCACGGAGAAACAGTACGAAAATCTTAAAAGTTTGTATTTCAAGATCGGCGGTGTAAGTAGCTGCTCTCGGATGACAAACCTCTGATTAATCCGTTGGAATAGGTCACCTATGAATTGACCCGTAACGCTCAGATCTGGCCGCGTGGACTGAACACCCTCGAAGGAGACAGAAGGACAAGATTTATCTCATTGTACAAGACCTTGGTACACAAATCGGGGCTGGGATGGATTTCATCAGTACGTGCCAAAATACGCTGCTGTCGGTCGTTCCTTACAAGCGTCCTGCATCCATTTCAGACGGATTTAGCTGGCTTCAGCGCTTTTACACCGTTTATGATGCCGAAAGCATGCAGTTTGGCAGTGGAACTACAGCATCCACCTCTGCTGAGACTAACTAACTAGAGCATAGGCCCGGGTGACACCGGCCAGATCTAACTCCTTGTTGACCAAGTTTTTATTTTTCTTTGTCGATTTTCTGTTTGATGTGAGCTCAAATTTATTTAAATTTCACATGAAGTACGAGTGTAATAAAAATACTTAAACTTGTGTTTAGCAGTCACATACGAGGAGGTCATATATGTTGTTGAAACCAGGGATAACACAGGTCGGATAACACCAGCATCGCCCTCGAGCTGGGCTATGTACCAGGTTGCACTTGGCACAACCAGGCACATCTATGACCTTGGCACAAGTGACCAGCCTCCTAGTACTTGAGGGTATTTGTGATTAGACTGGGCGATTCGTAAGACGGGGTTTTAGCATCATGCCTGGCGCTGCCAGCGTGTGCATGAACGTCGTTGAGGTATTTGGTCCTGTCATGGAAGATGCTCCTGCCCTCCACAAGTACCTGTGCAGTGTGCATTGGCTAGCCAGCGGTTGTAGTCCCTACCATGATCATGACAGTTAATATTATAATACTACCGGTGGCAGTGCAATATCATCTGAATCCTTGATACTACTAGTCGGTGACAGATCCTGCCACAGCCTTGAGCTTTTGAGCTCTTCACGTTGTTCCTTCTTTCATTCATATTCCTTGGACCACTACATTTTCTGCATTGATAAATACCCTTAGTTACTGCCGTCTGAAGCTAGGTGCAGCTGCTGCAGCACAACGACCAAGTTTGTGGACAACCTCCAGCCATTTGTTTCATATGCCACGGCCTCACCCTTTACTCTCCTTTGAGGTAGATACCTCGGGACAAGACACTTCCCTCAAACACGAGGATTTTGATTCGGAGGTTCAAAGAACTTGGTATCATTACCTGCCACTATGTTGTACGTCCTCGCATCGCGCGACTACCCTCGTTGACGCACTCAAAACATCCACAGTGCTACTTGTCCTCATGTTGGCTCCCCATCCTTCGTTGCTCATCATTCTCACAAACCACTATCTTTTCACATTGGACAAGACCGTCGCCTTCATTATCCATTTCTTGATACTTTATACCCTTGAATTCTTCGCCTTTGCTTCCTTGATGGTTTGCGTAGTTCGTGATCCCGGTCCAGTATACTTTAACGCTTCCGACCAGGATTCTACCCAACAGCGTGAAGATATGGGCCTCACGGAAGCTTTGATGACCATGGGGAATGCCGACGACGAATGTAGTCCTGACAAGTTTTGTCGGAAATGTTGGGTACCCAAACCGGAGCGCGCACACCATTGCAGCATCTGTGGTCGTTGTGTGTTGAAGATGGGTGAGCTTATACACTTCAGGCAGCTACGTTGCAGGCTTACCATACTAGATCATCATTGTCCTTGGCTTGGAGCTAAATGTATCGTGAGTAGTAGATTAAGCCTGCTGTATATCCATCTATAACGTCTCGTTTTCAGGGTTATAGAACATACCCAGCATTTGTTCACTTCTTGACCTGCATCACCGCTTTCTCCGCATATATTGCTACCATATCTATTTCCGCATTCTGGTGGTCTTTTAATAACCCACTTCGGGTTCCAGTAAGGAGTTTTGAATGCGCTTGCTGACTCTCTGAGACTTATATGGTTGTTCAGGACCAGGCCACCCCCGTTCATGAATTGTTACTCGCTGCTGCTGGCGTAATATTTACTCTGGTTGTCGGTTCCTTCTGGGTATACCACATCTACCTCATCACGTATGTGAACGCACAACTTTAATGCTTATTCTGTGCACTAATCGCAAAATAGCACTAACCAAACTACTGTCGAAGCCCTGTCACCATTCTTGTTATTGAGATATATTCCTGCGTTGCCCGCGTCCATGAAGTTGTCTGATCCTCCAATGGAGGAAGAGTTATCATACAACCAACGCAGAGTGGTCCGTGAGGCACATAGGTTCGTACGCATGTACGATGTCGGGTGGCGAAGGAACTGGGCGCAAGTTTTCGGATGGAGCAAGCCGCGGGGGTGGATTATTCTTCTTATTATTGGCGGCTCTGGGTAAGTCGTTTTTATGTACCACCTTTCCTTGCCAAACTCAACGAGAGGATCCATGCAGGAATGGTGATGGGCGGTCGTTTCCACGTAATCCACGCTCGCAGGAGATGCTGTCGCAGCTCGCGGCCCGCCTCGAGAAGGAGGCTTGAAATAGAATTGCTGGGCGCCTCGGTATATATGATGCTTAATGTTATTACAACCTGATGTACTTCCGTGAGAATGGAAGTACAGTAAGCAGACAAGGTAAGCCCATCCAGTGTTTCTATGATCGATGAGTACTAAAATATGATAGTGTTCGTGGACGTTATTTAATGCTGGATTAACGCGCTGCAGAATAAATCAACTTCGGCACGAAAACCTGGATTATGATCTGTCCAAAAAACTTCGGCCGAGTCTGTATTCTGCAGGTGATACCCTTCCTTGATATATCTACACATTTCTACCTGGAAGTTAAGGTCCTCTTTCAAGCCTTTTACTGAGGTGCCTATTACACTTATGTAAGCCATATTTCAGCTTGTGTCGCTGTTGGACAATTCTGCGCCTCACACGTTATCTTTGGATTTTTTCTGTGTGATAAGTTATATCTTCAAAATTATGAAGGTAAGTGGCGCGCCTGTGTGGCCTTGGGTGACATTGGCTCGCTGACGGTTCATGAAGCATGTATGTTGGACTACTGAACCAGTGATTTCACATCAATGGTTTTATGGATGTCATCAATTCAACGCACAAACGATCGCTGACTTGCGGCATGTTCCCGAAGTCGGGCATCGTGCCAGCAAGTCGGCTATTTGACAGGCGAAATGATGGAGAAACAGAGAGAATCAGGTAGGTATGGCTACTCATTCTGAAGGTCAATGATCGCCGAATTTATATCAGTCGGAACGGGGAAATGCCTCCCGGCGAAGCGTGAAGGTGCATGGTTTACCATCTTTTATCACTCCGTCAGCTCATGAGGTTCTCTCATGCATACTTATGGTATGGTCTAGTGGCCCTCGGAGCAGGACGGTGTGTTGCATTCCTTGGATTTGGTCCCCAAGACAATGATTATATAATCAACGCAAATCATTCGAACCCCTGTATCAGACTTATAAAGAGGATGGCTCATGGAATCCCTAGTCCTCCAGATCGTCAACGGCCATTTTCCAAGGAGGTCATTCCGCTCACAGTGCGATATCATGAGCACTCTTCAGATCGTCGATGTTCGGCTCCATGACAAGCACACTCCCAGTCACGCCAATGATATCCAGTCGCAGATCATCAGAGGACTCATGGCTGCCACAAATGAGAGGACCTTGCCCACCATGATTCTATATGACGAGCACGGCTTGAGGCTATACGACAATATTACCACTCAGGCTCCGGAATATTATTTGTTTGGCGCGGAAGAGCAAATTCTCCGAGACTACGCGAGCCAAATCGTGGATGTTATGCACCAGGGTACTGCAGGTGTTATTTCAGGAGAGGTCGTGCTTGAGCTCGGCGCTGGGTGAGTTTTTTTTTTGACCGGGTACTTTCATCTGCTGCTTCGTCCCGCGCGTCCTGTCTGCTGCGATGACATAATGTACATCTGATGAAATGGCACGCGGTCGCAATATGCTTTGTCCTGGCGCAAGGCATTAAAACGTCGCATTCCATCGAAACAACTGCTGATGCCGAGTTTCTTCTTATGTGTAGCGCATTGCGCAAGACTTCCCACATCCTTAACGCGCTTGCTAGTCTCATTCCTATCGCCCCGCCTGTTGTCCCCATAACATACTACGCTCTTGATCTTGAAGAACGTGAGCTCAAGCGTACTTTGACGGGGCTTCGCGAGTCTGCAGTTGGTTCTATGCTTGTCGGCAAAGTCGAGACGAAGGGCATGCTTGGAACGTACGAAGCTGGAATCAAATTCATCGAGGAAGGCGGTCTTCAAGAGACTTGTTTTGCGGACGGTGCTTCGCGACTATCGTTTGGATCTTACAAGCTCGATAGCATTCACCGGGACTCCTCTCCAACCTCGACAGGCTCTTCATTTCCTGACTCGACAGACACTGAGATTACTTCTCCGTCCACACCAGGCAATAGTCAGCCTCCCTTACATTTGCTCTTCCTTGGCTCCTCGCTAGGCAACTTCAAGCGCGGAGAAGATGCCGAATTTCTGCGGGCGTTGCCATTGGAGCCCGGTAAGGATACACTTCTTCTTGGGTTGGATCATGATAATGGTCGCGAGGAGATTGAACTGGCGTACAATGACCCTCAGGGTCACACTCGACGTTTTATACTGAATGGGTTGAAGTCCGCTGGGAGGGCACTCGGAGACGAGTCCACGTTCACGGTAGAAAATTGGGAATACGTAAATACGTACAACGAACTCAAACGTAAGCACCCCTTATCAATGCGATTAAAGGTCAATCCGAACAGCGTTTTAGGTCGTCATGAAGCATATTATAGGTGTACCCGGACGCATAGCATCAACCCCCCGATGGCGCCCAAGTCGATCCAGTTTTTGGAGGGTGAACTTGTAAGCATGGAAATATCGCATAAAGTATGTTGCACACATTGGATTGGGGATAATTCACGAGTAACGAATTTAGTTCTCGGAAAGCGATGCATACACGCTATTCACTGAGGCCAATCTGCGGCCTATCCAGCGATGGATGGACAATACGAGACGTTACTCACTTTGGCTCTTAGAACGCCCGCCTATCGTATTTCCGTTGCTTGACTCGCCATCGGCGGTGTCTGGCCACATTTCCAAGTTCGGTATTCCCTCGATAGAAGACTGGAGCAACATGTGGACTGTTTGGGACCTCATCACGCTGCGCATGATACCCCCTGCAATGCTTTTCCAGAAGCCGATTGATTTGAGGCACATCTGTCTGTTCTATCTCGGTCACATCCCAACCTTTCTTGACATTCACCTATCTCGTCTGCTTGACGAACCCCATACCGATCCTCAGGAGTTCAAGGTCAGTCCCATTCACAAGACATGATCGGCGACTTATACCTTATTTGCAGCACATTTTTGAGGTACAAAGCAATTATTTCCCAAGAATAGGTACGCTAAATTTGATTGTAGAGAGGCATTGACCCCATTGTCGACGACCCGACTCAATGCAACCATGTGCGCCCTATCGTTCCACTCATTGGTCCAGCCTAATGTTATCCATAGCCTCATTCAATGGTTCCTACGAAAGATGATGATTGGCCCTCAATTCACAGTATTTTGGCCTTCCGAAACCGTACCAGGGATCGCCTTAGGAAGGTTTACAGTGATATCGCTGAAGGCAAGATTCCCTTGACTAGGAAGGTGGCTCGTGTCCTGTTCATGACGTTCGAGCATGAAGGTTTTCATGCCGAGGTAACGTTGGCTCTTGGGAAGTTGGTTATATGCTGAGGTTACTTCAAGACGCTTTTGTATATGCTAGTTCAGCGTGCAGGGACAGGAACGATTCCTCCGCCCGACTTTTCTCCTCCCCATTGGGAGAGTCTTGCAGCGCATTGGCAAACAGCACCCAAGCCTGCTGTAGCGACCGTTGAAATAGGCCCTTCAACTGTTACGTTTGGTATTGACGACATTGAAGAAGAGGACACCGATCCTGCAAAACGCTATGATGTCGCTGGTCACATCTTTGGGTGGGACAATGAGAGCCCCAGTCGGGAGGCTGAAGTTAAAGCGTTTCGTATGGAGTGGCGACCGGTGACAAACGGAGATTTTTATGAGTTTTACAAGGGTGCTGGGCAAGGTAAAGTCAAGTTCCCTGCAAGTTGGGAGGATTGTAACGGAGATACCTGTGTAAGTGTGTATCCATCTAGCTTCCGCGTTTAATCCCAAACGTTCTGCAGGTGCGGACGCTGTATGGCCCAGTTCCCATCAAGATCGGCTGGGACTGGCCGGTCCTTACTTGCTACAATAATCTTTCAGTGTATGCGAGTGTCAAAGGCGGACGCATCCCGACCGAACCGGAACTGAGGGTCTTCCTCAACAAATTCTCTTCTGGGTATGAAGGGGGCGCCAACGTCGGATTTAGGAACTGGCATCCCGTTCCGTACGTATGCCTTCTCGTGGATGTTGAGCGTAATAATCATTTCATACCAGGGCCACTACCGGCGGAAGCAAGCACGATGGGAAAGGACACAATGGAGGGGTGTGGGAGTGGACTTCCACTGTCTTTGACAAGTATGATGGTTTCGTACCATCGACCTTGTATCCGGGGTAACTATGATTGATTCTCGTATAACAGCTCATTAATGTACCTCACTCAGGTATTCTGCTGATTTCTTCGACCAATCTCACCAAGTGGTGGTATGTGCTGCACCAGTTTTCATCCACATTAACTTACATTCATCAGATCGGAGGATCATACGTGACCATTCCCCGCATTGCTGAAAGGAGCAGTGTACGCAATTGGTACCAGCGGAACTACCCCTACTCTTGGACGAGCGCCAGAATTGCTTACGACGTGTGAAGCAAACATCACTACAGGTTGTCATACATTGTTGGACATGTCGACACTTATACTAGTTATATGTACACTATCTCATCGTAGAATGAAAACTAGGCACTCCCCTGCTTCACAGGGTTCTCGGATTAAATGCCTCCAAGAATGAAGCTGGCTCCACTTCTTCGTTAACCTTCACCAAAGTAGTTGCTACTTCCACATGCTCTCCCTCCTTCGCATGTTTATCATTTAGGTAGTTTTGAGCGTACTGCAGCGCGAGTCTTCGTTGAGGCTCTGGTACGTTCTTCCCCAGCCAGGTGTAAACCGCTGGGAATGCATGGTCATCCAAGATGAAAACACCATCAGACTGAAGTGAAGTCCTCTCTGCAGCGACAGCGACGACGTGCCCGCCATTGGCATCCTCGTTCAGTTTGTACAACACCGGGGGATCGATCGGACTCCCTTCGTCAGGCGGTAACGGCACGTCCTTTACAGGAGACGTGATTCCTGCTGCTTGAAGGAACTCTTGTTCGTCCGAAGTCCCCTCGTCTGCATGGTTATTATTAGCGAATCGCAGATCAGTCGACTAATACACTCACCAAACACTTGAAATTTAGCCTGAGGAACCCTCCACTGTCCCATATACATCATGTACTCAGCTGACTTGTACCTCGCCCAAGCAGTACTCTTCTTCGTGTTAAATTGCCAGAAGAGGGGACCTTTGTCGAGTACATAGACGACTCCCTGGAGCATAACTAACCCCTCGCGAGGTACTTCGCGCACTATAAGCTGCTTCCCGTCCGCTGATCGTGTCTTGAGCACCTTGTGCCGCGTCGTAACCATCGTGTACATCTTCTTCTCATCTTCAGGCAACATCGTGAGGACACTGTGATGTCCCGTCGATACCCCGCCATGCAAGATCATGAAGTGTGGGAAATAGGATTTGTATCGAGGGGATTCGTGGTTTTGGATTTCGCGGTATAGTGTCGCTTTGCCTCCGAGGTCTGATGGGTATTTTGAACATCGTTCGTGCCTAGAATATATGAGAGGATAACCTACGTTCGTCGAGCTCAGCGGCCTTGAATGCAGCCATGGCAGCTTCATCCTGAGTCGTATATTCTCCTAGCCAGAAATGCAGATCGTAGCGGAGTGCCTGGTCCTTGCCATCAGGTCGGTACGTCTGCGTGAAAGAAACATAAGAACTCGGGCCCACTCGCACATATCGTCCCAATCCCAATCGTCACTCACATGCAAGACAATGTATGATTCGCCATCGTAGAAAGTCCCATAATTCTTCTCATGCGCCACCCAGTCACTGCAATCGATGATAGCAAACTTCTCTACCCTCCAGATCTGAAAACCAGGTATCACACCAGCTTTCACCCAAGCTGATTCCTTAGCGCCAGCGTGCTCGCGGACGCGTCTTTCAAGCTGTGCATGACATCAAGCTTCAAAGCGCCAACGAAGCGATTCCCGAAACTCACATCGGAGCCTATAAGCGCAATGCTAGAATCCCTAACGTCGTACGCAGGCATTATACGCAGAAATCGATATTCACGATGGCGGTAGGGTTAGAGAAAGAACAAGATAACAGCGAACACAGCACGCTGCACGTGTCTACATAAAGCGCTGGAACAGCTTTAGACTTCAGAAGCTTCATCGCGGAATGGAAATAAGCTGTGTCTGACACAACAAGGCGCTTATCCATAGTGCACTGCCACCATAGCCTGGACCCAGAACTATAGGGAGCTATCAGAATCAGAGGTATCAAAGACATCGATCATCGTTTCATCTTCATCATCTGAATCGTCTGAATCTCCTGAATCTTCTCCCCAACGTCTCACTGTAAACACGTCTGCTTCGCCCTCTTCTCTCAAAATACTACCACGTCAAATAAGTATGAGAAACAGTTGATACCGAGGCAAAGGGACTTACTGATCAAAAAGCGAGATCGTCTCATCCTCTCCTTCATCATCCTCAATTTCCTCATGCAGCGTCGGATGCGGCCCAAAAAGTGCTCTCAGGAACGTTCTTTGCGCTGCTAGATCTTGCGGCTGAAGCGTCCTCACGGTCGATGGAGTAGGAAGAAGATTTTGAGCGGCAGGCGACGAAAGTGTAGGGCTATGAAGCATAACTTGTCGTTCAACACCCGAAGTCACGATATGTAGCAAGGACGGATGGATCGCAACAGAATTTACGATTGATTTATGCCCTTCAATTGATCGTCAGCGACGAAATCCCCAAACCGAGCGTGATGATAGATAGATACCATTTAGTCTTGCTAACGGCGTCGATATTTCAAAAGGCACGTATCTGTTCTCCCACTTGCCTTCCGCAAACGCTAGTACCTGCACGTCAGAAATTCCGCCCCCACATACACAATATATGCTCACCGACAGTATCCGGCCATTCATGGTTGTACCACTCATGAGGGGTGATCTCTTTCCTAAGCCCCTGCAAAGTGAGCAAAGGAGGAATCTTCCATACATAAGCCCTGAAATCATCAGACCCAGCGCCGTACATATCATCTTCATCCATCCCAGGACCACCAAACGCGCCCGACTAGATGAAGTGAGCTGATGTGAAATCTTAACACAGAAACGAAGCGGCACACTTTCATCGTACATGAATTAGTGTATGTCCGCTGGGATGGAGAGATGGGGGTTCCATCAGGAGCATTGCGGCCTGTGCATATAGCCAGGGGGTGTGGATCTGACAAGGCATATACCGTCGGGTAATAGTGCTAGAGCATGATGAGAGAAAATAATGACTGCAAGGGGAAGCTTACAAGGAACGTCACAGCCAATTTGCTTCCTGGAGAAGAGTATGAAGCAGCACAAAGCAACTCATGGGAGTGACACACTCACCATCACGATCAAAAGTCAAACTACTGCTCTCCGGATTACTAAGATAACTCGCCGACTTTCTTGATAACTTCGTGTTATACTATCATTCGCCTCGTGAACCAATTCACAACAGTAGCACCACCAAGGGAACATACATACCACTCTCACGATCCCACCATTCGACCGTCCAGACAACGGCCCAAAAGCCATCCGAGTATCCCGAAGACAAACCTGCCCATGCACATCACAAGTCGCAAAAACATGCTCCATAACCGGATGATGTTGCACGCCTGTGAATTCAGCCGTATGTTGAAGCGTCCCCTGCGCCGCGCTCATTCTGCCGCCCGCGCGGCCATCGTGCAGTACCAGTTTTCCGTCTTCGCTGTGAGCATGCACATGCCGATTCAGACTCGGATACGGGTGCGAATTAGGACGGGTTTGGAGACGTACCTGGCGCTGAGAAATATCTCATCTTCGTATGGATGGCATGTAAGCGCTCGAATACTATCCTACGCTCCTTGACGTCATTCCAAGTTTAATAAGAACGGGAATGGGATGCTTACGTCGTGATCCCCGTACTGTTCGATGAAAGACGACGAACCTCTCCCATCACCACTGCTACTGCCAACCCCCCGCAACGTCGAAACATCGTACTTTAAAATAACATTATCCGCTCCCCCACTACCATCACAGCTCGTCAGTACAACACCCATGACGTGATACGAATCCTCACCTATACAAATACTGATTTGTAGCCGAAAAATCAAGCGCCAATACATTTCCCTGTCCACCACCACAGCCATAATCATAAGCATCAGTGACCCTTAGTAACGACAACCACGCACAAAAACTCACACTAGGCCCAGCAAAAGCATGCGCCGGACGCACCACATCCACTTCACTAAAATCCCAAAGCAACACGCGAAAATCATCTCCAGCGCTCGCGAGCCATCTACCGTCGTGCCTCGAGAAAGCGAGGTAGTTGACGCATGATTTGTGGGCTGTTAATTTCCTGTGGGGGTGGTTAGAATTAGATGTTATTGTTATTATTATCGTGATGCTAGGGTGGTTGAAATGATGATGTGGGTAGCGCCGGCACCAGCGCTGGGGTGGGCACGATGTATCAGTGGCAATGGCAATGGCAGTGGCAGCGTGTGCCACGCACATACCAAACGCCGATAAATGTGATCCGCGCACAGACACGTACAAAGGACACGCTCACCGCACAAGGCGCCCATACACCACACACCACACATACTCCAAGGCGCCCACACCCGGGTCATACACAGCTTACCTAGAATACGGCAACCCATGCTCATAAAACCGCCTCAAAACATCCTTCCTCGCGATATTGATAGACCGGGCGGTTAATGATTCCGTTGGACAGAACTTGTAGTGACGCATTATGCGCGTGGTCTTGTCGTTTCATCAATATCGGGCGCGTTGAGGGGTCATCAATATTACGGACAATGCGGAGCGCTGTGGTGCACTGCCTGGGGTGTACACAATAAGCAGTTCCGGTGTACGCAATAAGCTAGCCCTGGTATGACATACAAGGACAGCTGTAGCGGATCGGGTTCAACTATTTCACACACGACGCACGTTGCCGAGACGTATCAGGATGCTTTTGGGTTAGCGTGACTTCCTGTTTTGGTACCGCGCCGACGCTCGAGCTCGCTGTCGAGGACAGCGAACTCGATACTCGCCCAATCTTTCACCCTGTTGCCTAGTTCTTTTTGAGAATTCCTGTCATGCATTCATGCAGGGCGAGAAGGGTTGTGTTGTCCAAGAGTTAACTAGTTACAAGTAACAAATTTATGTCCCTCAAAAAGAACTAGTGAAAAGGGTCAAGGATTGGGCGAGTATCTGAGCTCGCTGTCCTCACCAGCGAGCTCGAGCGTCGTATGACTCGTATCGTCGCACGGTGTTACCAAAACTCAAAATTTCAAAAACTAGTTTTTAACTCGAAGGTGGCGGTGAGTTAAAAACTCGTCGTTAACTCCGTGGGTCCGCAGCCCAGCACCGATCAATCAATCACACATCGCCTCACACCAAAAAAAAGAGCGCGAGCGCGAGCACAAGCATACAATGCTACATACACGATATCACAACAACAGAGTATACAACTACTATATAACAGTGCATTACGCACGTACTCGATAGATAGATAGATATCTAGAAACAGGGATGACGACCGCGACCACAGAAAGGGAAAGAAAGAGGAAAGGAATTACTCGAAAACATACTAATGTACTTCCTACATGTCAAGATAACCTGATCCTATGTACGCATCTATAACCCCCGCAAGGGTCGTCTATGTGGGGTTTTTGAAAACATTGAGAGTGAGATGAAAAAGGAGAGGGAATAAGGTATTAAGAAAGTGAGTGGATTGTTGGATGTTGGATGGAGCAGGGGGAGTGGAATTGTGGGTAGATTGTTTATTTGGGAATCAATCAACGACCGACGAGCAGAAAACAAAACGAAACCAGAGAAAAACAAAGGAGTGATGAGGAACATCACCTCCCAGACCTCGTAGCAGCCTCAAACTCCTTGAAACCTGGAAGCTCAACTTTCCCCCTCCTCGCACCAGTACTCATAAATGTCCCCTCCTCATCACTACTACTCTCATCCTCATCCAAATCCATCGGAAGCACCTCACTCTCCCTCTCAACCTCGCCACCACCCAAATTCAAAGGCGGCAACGTGATAGGCGGCGAATTACTCCTCGAAGCCGGCACCGAACTCGACGAAAACACACTCGGAGGAGATTTGGGTTTCATATTCAAATGATGCGAATTCGGCCAGCTTGTATTTCGGGGTGGGTGGCTAGGGTGGATGGGCGTCATTCCGAACGCCATGCGTACGGAATATGCGAGGTGGTGGTTGGGGTGCGTGTGAGGCGAACCAGGTCTGGAATTGGACGGGCTAATCGTGATCGCACTGCTGTCGAACACGGGCTTGGAGGTGTACATCCCATTCCCTACTAGTGGGTACGTAGAGCTGTTTGGGCTGCTCCCGCTACTACTAGGCCCACTTGAAAGTTGGGGCGTTGGGAGGTTATGTAATCCGCGCTCAGAGGCTTGGGCGGCGAGAGAGAGTTGGCCGGGGTATGTGCGGACGTGGGGTATCGGTCCTTCGAATGAGCCTTGTTTGCGGGAAGCTGGGAAAAAGCCACCGCGGTTTGGGGGACTGCTGACGATGCTGGAACGCCGAGAGCGTTGGCGTGATGTGTGGCTAGGTTCGTCTATAGGGCTGATAGACACATCCGCGGGCGGTAACGAGATGGGTGATGGGGCCCTGGATGGATTTGTTGAATGCAGATTTAGTGTGCGAAGCGGGCCGAGGAATGGGCTTGTGGATGGTGTAAAGGTGAACTCTGTTGCTTTGATTCCCGAGGGTGGGGAGAACTCGGCAGGGCCAGGATATGTTGCACGAGGTTGTGGGTGTTGTGCGGCGATGTGAGAGTCGGAATCTGAACTCAAAGGAGAAGGAGAATCTTCGTGAGTTACGAGATGACGATAAGCGGGGGGATGGAGGGAATGCAGTGGGGCAGTCAGGGTCCGGGGTTTCGGAGCTTCAGGATGGAATGATGGAAGTGCAGGGACGGAGCGGGGGTCTTGTGGCATAGGAGTCATTTGCCAAGCAGGGCCGCTTATTCTTCTTTTTGCACGGGTGAATTTGTCGGAAGATCTGATGTCTTCGTCTTCGTTCCAGTCACGAGTGCTAGATACACCAAAATAGCCGTCAGCGCCTGCGCCCTTGAGGGATATTGTGGAGTGAACGGGGGAAGCGGAAGCACTTTTACTTGGGCGTCCGCGGAAGTAGATTGCCTCGGCGTTCCGGGCTTCGTATTCTGCACGGCGAAGGGCTTCTGCGTGACGAGCTTCGTATTCTGCGCGACGGAGAGCCTCTTCCCGTTCGAGAGCGTAAAGCTCGTCCATTGCTAGACTGGATAAAGCGGAGAAAGCAGAAGGGTTTGATGAAATCGGGACATGAGTCTGGGAGCGTCTCGGGTGAGAAGGCTCATAAGAGGATAGCGAAGTGGGGCGGGCATATGATTCAGCCTACGATAAAAGGGTTAGTTTGATTACATAAACCAGAGAAGATGGAACATACCTCGTCATCGCTATTCGCTCTACTTCGGGCCTTCTTCTTTACTCTGATAGAAGTTCCTTCTTGTATGCGGGGGTCTGAGCGAGACAAGGAGTGTAGGTTGATGCCTGGGCCAGCGGGGTCATCTATGATATTGATATCGGCCTTTTGCTTTGCTTTACCTTTGGCATTTGATGCGCCAGACAAGGAATTGTCGTTGTTGTGAATGCGAGAATGCCTTGTGAGTTCGTCGGAGCGAGAGAAACGCTTCTCGCAAGATGGAAAAGTGCAGACAAAGGGTTTTTCGCCTGTATGAGTGCGAATGTGACGGGTCTAGAAGTGGTCGATCATATGAGATCAGCACGTTGCTCGGGAGTATGAAAAAAAAAAGATGATGGGATTTACCTGGTGTTCGAGCCTGCTAAAAGCACGACCGCATAGAGGATAAGGACATTTGTAAGGACGAGGAGCGACTTTATCATGGGATGGGGGTGCAGGTACTTGAGTCTCCATTGTGGTTGGGATGAGTGATGGAAGAAAAGAAAAAAAGAGGCTCGGAGTATAAGTAGGCGCTTGAGTATGTAATTGGGGGGTTTACTAGTGAATTACGGCTTTGCGAGGAGTCCGGGGTAGGAGGGAGGAAGGGCTGGAATGGAGTGTGGATGAAACGTGCAAGGGGAACAACGTGGAATCACGCTCTCTCGGTTAAACCAGTGCTGCCATCCTGTACGTTTATAAAGAATGAACAATAAAAAATTATAAATTGACATGTTATCTTAGATTTAAGATTTATTATATAATCACCCCGCATCTCCGCCTTGCACCTTATCGTTATCTGGATTACCCCGGTTCTAATTCAACGTTGTCATGAACAGCTAGCACCACGTAGCTAACCTATTTCAATTAAAAACTACCTCCTCGGCCGCCATCGGGCGGTGCACTCCGCCCTTTGGCGTATTGATTTCCTTTATTTATTGTTTCCTAGTGACCGTTCGCCACAACGCTTGCTCGACGTCAGTCCGCATCAACCCCGCTATCGAGACGACGTGTCAAAAATAAATCATTCCTTACCCTTAATTATAACCCTCAACTTCAAACCTCCCAGTCCGCCGACAACTCCTTTATCAATCTGCCACGTGCATCGAACTTGGAAGTACCGAGGTCGCGTCCCACTTGTATGCTTGTCGTGTTGTAACAATCCCCCTCCCCAACAAGACCCCGACCATTTGCCGTGAATGCCGGGACAATGCATAATGCTGCACAATGTCCTTCATTCCCACCCATCATCCCCGCGATGCCTCTCGGAATCCTCAAAGGGGGCAGAAACCAAAGACCCGGGGCTATTGACAAGGCAACATTGCCAATCATCCCCCCTCCCAGCCTAGACGTCCACGTGGGTGGTCCATACCACATATCATCCTATCATTCCCACCCTTCGAAGGCCTAGATCTTATTCCCAGCGTGCAGGGAAATGAAGCATCTCGGAATCCTCAAAGGAGACTCACTCTCAGACTTCCATCCACAACGTTGACGACCACGCATCTGGGAAAAACAACCTACGTAAACCTCCCCATACGTCATCTCTCGTATACGCAATGAGCGTAATGTGCCACTAGTACATCATCCCAGAATATCGATTTCATGGTAGGCTATGACACTGCCCACACGTAGGGACGCGTCTCGGACACCCTCAATGGAGATCTACAACGCAACGTTTTATATTGATGACTATGCACCTGCGTGCTGGATACTGGGAAAATACGTGACGTACGGTTCTCCACATGCCGAAAGGCTCCCCCCACATGCCGAAGGCTCTCCTCATGCCTTGGCGGATGGCCATTCCGACAAACTACCGACACATCTGAGAGGGCGCGCGCTTCCTTCTCACCCCCTCATATGTGATGATCTGTCTCACCGACATACTACCGACGCCTCTCAGAGTTTCGGCGCACGCGCACCTTCTCACCTTATCTGCGTATCCTAACACGAGAATGGTGTTGTTAACTCGAAGGGTTGACAACGAATATGCGAATACTTATGGTTGTGGAATGCGATTGATATTGGTGATTACAACGAGGAGGCTTCGACCTTTGTGCTATCTGGAGAAACAATTCTGCAACATTCGTACGATCAGTCGGCCTGTCTAGTTTTTGTCTTTTGCTCAATATCTGGTCGCCATTTCTTACAAAGGGAGTGGCGCGGTGCGTTTTCTGAGGTTCCGAGGCAGCGACTCGGAGCTGACAAAATCTCGACTAAACTTCAAGCAAAGCTATGTAGGCTACCACTTTCCCCATGGCACTCACCTCAATTAATATGATCACATAGTCATGCTCACCATCATGCCCACTCCACAGGTTTCACCACGCCACTCTGCCAGCAACTGCGTTCGCGCTCCTTGCTATTCCATTATCCGCGCTTGGAGAGAAATGAATGAAGCGTCTCGGAGGCCTTAAAGGAGAACCGACAGCGCAACATTAACGACCACACAAAGACAAACGGGAACGTACGGGAAGGACAAGGAAGGACATCCAGTACAAGGACTCCCTTTGATCGTTCGTCGCGAGCATAGCGTGTCTCTCCACGTTCTCACTCGTGATGACGCTGTATAATTGACCGTGACAGCATGACGTGAATCGTTCACATTGTACAAACAAAACGCGCATAAACATAACATGACGTGGTGTACGAAAAATAGGCTCCGAACCACCGGTTTTCTCCCCCAGCTCATATGGAGGAAAATGAACCTGGAGGCCCTGGAGGAGATTAGACAACGTACCATTGATATTGACGACAACCGCGCATTTGGATCTGGGAAAGTATGGGATGCAACCACCACACAATGAATTGAATTCGGCTTGCCCCAACGCTCCTCGCTATGACATTATCCGCGGGCCAAGAGGGAAACGAAGGATCTCGGAGCCCTTGATGGAGAATCGGCAAGAGACTATATGACGACAGCCGTGCATCTTCCCCAATCTAATGCGCCGTGGCCTATAGAGTTAAAAAGTATCAAAACACACGTTTCGTTCCAACACACACGTTCGTTTCGAAACACGCAGTTGTTTAATGGTACGAGACGCTTCTTAGTAGTTGCCTCGAGTTCTCATCATGACGAACCGACCTTCGGGGATTTTGAACGACGTTGATATATGTTCTTCGAGGGACCTATTCAATTGTAATGATTCGTGTGAGTCCGAGAGTAACTACTGTAATGTCGACGTCATGATAGCTCAACGTAAACCACTGCCTTTTGTTCTATTTAGTCTCCCTACATAGCCCGAGTCGTGATTTCGAGCTAATATATTGTCATGATAGTTCATCTAGAGCAGATGTCGAGATGAGTTGCCTTCACAATGATCATGATGTGATGGAGTCTGCCTAGTGACATAGGGGTTTTACTGGTCCACCTTCTGTCCAAGTTTTTTATTTCTTTTGCTTCCTCAAATGCTTTTGTGTTTCCGGAACCGACGGTTGGGAATGGACAATCATATGCATATGAATGTTACCCGACCACAGCCCCGACGAATACGAGACATGCGCACAATGTGACATGAACTCGAAATTTTTCTGATGCAACACATGTTAGTGGAGTTGAAAACTTATCAAGGTTTAAGGCCTAGGTTTGAACATTGTCCGAGCATGGAAAGCCGAAACCTGTGCAAAAGCACTCATTGCGGTGCCATGGGGTGAGGACGAGGCGGTGTCGCCCTTATCTACCCCAAACTGCGGTGACTTGCATACGCCGTGACGTGATCGATCGGTCTGGAGCATAGGCATCACACTAGTACGAGGCCCGGCCGGCGCGCCATTACCGTTCCAAGACACTACTTGGCATTTTAACGAAATAACATACGGGTACACCTTCCAAAAGGCGCAAAAAAAAAGATACATATCATATATATATTTGTATTATACCACGTAGATCCCGAATTCTGGATGATGGATTCTGCGCATCGATATGAAATCAGCTATCATTCAAATTTGTTTTGATCAAGAGTATGTAGAGTTGTCAAAACTACATACATACCATATGCAGAGGTTACGTAGAGATACGGACCGATAGCAATCATTAAGCACCACCCTGCACACACATGCAGGCAGTCAACGCAATGCGCAGAACAGCCTGGTATTGCGCAATACTGGCCCCCCAGCAGCACCGTTGTCGTGGAGTATTCGTGGAGCCAGAAATGAATGGATCGACCGTCAAGATCTGGGTGCGTGGTCTTATCGTGCTACTCCCTGTCAACAAAACAGCACATCCAGAAGGTACAGCGACCGCCGGCCGGATGCAATTGTAAAAAGACGATAAGAGACAATTCAGAATTCAATGGACCATTATGGAGGAATAAAGTAATTTTTCATGTGATTATAATTATCGCAACACAGATTACCGTCGTCTCGTTCTCGTCGTTTGGAATTTCGATGTCTCGCGACGCAACCGTCTGTGATTCAGATCCAACCTTAGTGTGATTGGACAGATAGCATGTTGGCGATACCACGTACCTGCTGGCTCTCTCCTTTTCCACTTCTCGCCTCTCTACTTCTTCTGCCGTCAGGACCTCGAACCTTGTTCTGAATTCTTCTGCTTCCGTCCATTCTCTCCATACGCTTTGCAGCACCTTTGGTCCCTTCGTCCTTCCCCAACCCATACCCAGCCCCGTCTTGTCTTTCATCCCCTCAGCTTCCTTGTCCCCACCAATCACGCCCCATTCGATAGCGTCCTTCTTGTGCTTTATAAGCTCTTCATGGATCGCATGGGCTATGAGCGGCAGCGCCTCTCCCGACAACCCCAGCTCAGTACAGAGCTGCGAAGCAAATGCTTCAGGCGTCAGGGGTGAAAGCAAATCCCACTCTATATGGTCGAGTAGATGATACGTCGCTATCTGCACATCAATCTGAAAAAACCTCAATGAAGCAACCAAACCAAATTCATAATAAGAAAACAAGCGCACGCTCAGAATAACACGACATTCAGCAACCTCCTCGCCACCTTCAACATGCGGATCCAAATCCATAGCATGGTCCACACCTATATCCATCGACGCAACGCCTTCGTGGTCTTCGATCTGTGCACGAATTTGGTTGGCAACTGTATCCACCCATGGGATGGCAGGCAGGTCAAGGTCTGCGCAGAATACTCTAGCAAACGATTCAGGTTTGATGAGCGTCTCGTTCAAGTTCCAAACGAAGCAGTCTCGTATTCGGAGCGTATCTGTTTCAAATTCAACCCGAATAGGCACCAGAGACGCGCGCGTCTGTGCTTGTGCCTGAAGCATATCCACCGCACTGTACACAATCGTTATTTACGAGACCACCCAATAGCAGTAAAAGTACGCACGGATATTCATGTGCAGTCGGAGCGACGGGTTTTGCTTTAATAAATCGACTTGGAGGAATCATGCCTAAATAGCTCTGATCCAACTCTCCCCTGTCGTTATGCATTGGTGTAGAGCGCGCTTGTGCTTGGGGCTGAGGGGTGGACATCCCACTGCCCGAGTGAAAAACCGACATGCCAGTTCCCATTCGCCGCGTCCTCAATGTCGTCCGCGTGCCTCCACTAGCCACAAAATCAGAGTCGTCAGATTCGAGAGCACCAGCGTCTGGGAACTCGTCGCCTGAGCCTGGTTCGGCGTAGTTGATCATGCCTCCGCGGCGGGTGGACGCTCGCGTGTTTCCGGCTGCTGCTCCAGAGGGCTGCGTGAGTATGGGTTGGACGAGGAGAGTCGTTCCTGTGCGTAGGCGGGAGGCATATGTGGAGTGGAGAGCTTGGGAGACTACGGGTAGTGGGTGACGGGGTGGGTTAGGGGGGAGCTGAGGAGCGACTGGTGTGGGTGCGACTGGTTGTGGGGGCGGTTGATACGTGGGCGCGGCGACGATCGGTTGTGGGACTGGTGGGGCAGTAGTCTTTGCGGTGCGATGTCGAGCACGGGTAGTCTTGTTCGGATTGGTCGTTGACCAAGTGTGAACATTTTTCAGGTAAGCTGGCGCGTTGTTGTTGTTCAGTTGAGGAGGGAATGTGATGAGAGAAGGAAACGAACGAACCTTTGGATGTTGATTGTTGGGGTGCGGGAGAGACGTAGTGCTGGAACTGGTTTGTGGGGTTGTTGGCTGCGTTGGAGAGCTGCGTGATGGTTTGTCGCAGCTGTAAATCTGTGAGGTTCGTCATGTTTGTCGGGTAGCTTGTCGTCGAGGAGGCCGCTTGAGATGCGTCTGTCATGTTTTGATTTCGACCAATTGGTCGAATCTCCAAGGTTGCAATATTGCTTTCTATCTGCAACGTTGCTGGTTTTCAAAATATTGACTGGACCAGCCTACCTATGACCGACTTGGAAGGTTCGAGCCTAGAACTTGAGAAATCGAATGGAGTTCCAGCTCGTGGCGTAACAGTACTTCTAAGAAAAGCCGCGTTTCTTACATAATCATAAACTTTGGATTGAGAATGTCGATGATGTCATTTCACTGGACCAGCTATATAACAATCGACATTCAATTCCACTCCACCATCACACCAATATGTCCTCCCCACGATCCACCGAGAATCCCCCCAAAGACGACCCGGAAGCACCACGCCCTCCTTCCAAGGTCGTTGAACCCACCAAAGTCGACACTGCACCACAACAAGGTAAGTACTTTATTCATTCCCTCGTTTCAAGTTAGACCTAATAAACGCACCCTTCTAGCTTCCACTTCACCTGGTGACGGTAGTCACATACCCGCGGACCAGATACGCGATCCCTCCGAAGTCGATCGCAACGACCCCAATATCAACGTGGTCGAAATCCCCGGAGAGAAATTACCGCATCCTTCCTTCAAAGAACAAGTGTTTGGTGAGTCAACTCCATGCGAATCGGCTGTACAAACTGACGCGCCGTTTAACAGGTTATGCCAAGGTATGATGCCACGATCCGCATCGCTTGTGGCTTATTACTCATTAATTACTTTGCCTTGCCGACTTGCTTTCAGGTCATCCGCGGAACGGTCAGTGACTTGTTCAAACTTCTATTATTCTCTTTAATTATTTATCTTTGTAGGCTCTTGGTAAAGCGGACGTCAAGGAAAAGGGGGAACAAGTGTTGCGAGGCGAAGAAACGGTTCCGAAACGGCGAGGTTCGACTTCGAATTGATGCCTTGTCATGTTCCTCCGTCAGTGAACTCGCTACCTTGTATTTTATTCCTATTACTCGAACAGTCGAACCCCATGTTTAATCACCCGCCACCGTAGATCACATGCAGTGTTGTAGCCTACTTGTAGGGCAATATATTCTACGGATGAGGATTCATCATGATCTTCAAGTACGATCAGTAATTTCCTGAATGTTCGAACTCCAAGCTCAACTCTCGTCATGCATATCTAGACTACTTGGCTTGAACCGGGTATTATCTTGATTATCGCAGTCTGCGAAAACGAGGCAATTTGCGAATCATCCCGACCCCGATGATCCTGCAGGGTTATCCTCTTGTAATACGGAGGAAAGATTGTCGGTTGGCTTGCACGAGGATGTGACACTTGCACATTTAACTGCCACCTGCAGCGCGACAGTTGGATGGAGGTGTATCCAGACAAGCTTAGGTGCAAATCTATGAGGGGGGTTCCGCCGGACAAAATAATTTTGTATGGCAAATACAAACGTTGAAGAAGAAAGCCAAATTTCTCACTACGTCGGTGGACAGTCGCGGCTCAATTTGGTCGGAGTTTCGCTATGCCAAACGAACCTAGATTTTCTCAACGTTCATGCCATCCCGCTCCTTCCGCCTGTGTCCTCAATAGTACTACTACCCAAGCCTCCAAATGAACGGACCTAGACACCCCCAGAGTGTCTATTTCCCGGGAACGTTCTCGATCTCTCAGTGATGCGGCTTTCAGTAGCTTTCAGTTTCAAAGGGCATCAGTGCAAAAACTCTCAGGCCAGGTTCAAAATAATGGGGAGCAACTTGATGCGCGGATTCACCACATCCGTGCATGCACGGCCCACCAAGCTGGCTCGTATAATGAACTCAGTGGGTGGCAACCATATCGGTTGAAAAACAAATTGAATCACTTTTGGAAGGTGGAGGGTGCGCTTAACCAACTCAAATCGTGAAAGCACAAAGTCGATGTCAGCGGAGGCCAGCGGCCAGCTGCAGGCAGAGTATTGATGGGAAGTCGTCGTCGAGAGAACATTAATATTGCGCAATTGACGAGTCACAGTCGATATTAATGCGGCGCGCCAGTGATAGATAAAAATCACACAAACCATTTGAAATTTTGAATTATACCATACAACTTTTTGTTTGAGGTGCCCCCGAGTCGTAGCAAATCGTCGAAAGCAAATGATGCTCGTTGAAAGCTTTGAAGAGCCATTTGAGGGTTTCTCCGAAAGACGTTCTAGCTCAGGGCATAAGTGTGACAAATTGATAAGCAATACATCGAAGGGCTTGTGGCGCTGCCACAAAGGCTAATTCCAATTGCTAAACTGGACAGGGTCCCCCTTTCAATTATCATATAGTTACAGTACCGTGCTCCCCCGACCCCAAGGACTTCGTTCAATAGACGGAAACGCACGGAAGGAACCTTTAGAAGCGTAGCCCATTTATTAGGGTGCTCTCGCTCGAAAATTCCACTGGACAACCACCATGTCTTCCACACCCATTGAAACATCTGGATCTACTTCACCTGTCTTCAATGAAAAACAGATCGAAGAGTCTTTACCGCCTTCCGCGGTGCACGCCGCCAACCCAGTCGTCTCCAGCGCCGAGTTTGTCCTCGAAGTAAGTTCTCACAATGTGGTCGTCTGCCCGGAAATCATTTGATTGACGATGACCACCACCAGCAAACAAACATTGTCAAAATCAACAACGACGCGGTCAGAATAGCCGCACAATACGTCAGTCCAAATCTTGATGTAATTTGAGGGCGTCACGTATCTGAACGAACCGTGTAGATTTTGCGAAAAGTCGCATCCGAGTCATATACTCCTCGCACATGGCGCACGCATCCCTTGCATATCTGCCCTCCGGAGCCATATGACCCCAATAATATACTCACGGGCGCATGTCTGAACTGGATATTCCTCATCTCCTCCCTGAATTTCAGTTTTTGGTCGGAAAAAGAAGGCCAGCCAGATCGATACGGCGTTGAATGGCGAACCAGCTGGGGCAGCGAAACAAAGACAATCCACACCGGATACTGGAGCCTAGTAGCCGCTTTGAATCGAGGTGGGCAAATCATCATCAAAAAACTTTTATAGTGTCCGAATATGTACTGACTTGAACCCGATGATCGTCAGCGCTGGAGGAGGGTATTCCCATCATCGATCCGAAATTTTATTCCTCCGAGACATTGTGCCCAGATTCGTTGATAGCTCACGTATTCCGCGCTGCACCTCAATCTGCCGAACCGATGCCCCTGTTTAATGAACGCTTAGCGATCATGCGTGAAGTCGGCACTATACTGTGTAATGTAAGCTCTTCCCCATATGCATACGCATTCTGGTTTTCATAGACGTATATGTAGGATTTTGGAGGATCGTACCTAGGGTTTCTTGATGCCTTTGAAAGAAGACATGAGAATCAGGGCACGGCCCTTGATCTCGTCCAATTTGTCACGGACTCGTTCCCGTGTTTCAGAGATGAACGATTGTTCAATGGACGACGAGGCAAGTCGATACACTGCTGGCATCTATCAAGTCATCAAGACTAACCATCCGTGCTCACCAGTATATTTCTGGAAACGACCCCAAATCCTAGTCGCAGAGATCTGGGCAGCTTTCTACCCGGAAAATCCCTACACCCCACACCCCATTTTCCCCGGACTCAACGGGCCACTTATCAGCGACCTAACGATGTTCGCAGATTACCGCGTTCCACAGATCCTGCATCACCTCCGCATCATCACCTATCCTGCATCACTGATCCGTGAACTGCGCAACGGCACGCAACTCGGTCCCGGATCGAAAGAAGAAATGAGCTTGCGCGCCGCGAGCATCGTCGCTGTTGAACAGATTCGAAATGAGATGATCTCTTGTGGATCTGATTGGGAAGCGAGTAGTGTGCTGATCGATTTCTATCTTTGGGATCTTGCCAAAAAACTGGAAGGGGGAGAAGAGTGCATTGATGGGATTGAGACGGATGATATCGTGCCCGCGCATAGGACGAGGAGTATTTGGTACTAAGCTTTTGGTTCATCAGTAGACATAGACTTCGCTTTTTTCGCACTCCAGTGTTTATTTACTCTTCTTATTACCTCTAGAATTATAGATTCACTTATACATTTGAAATGTGGACATACCTAACGACGACAGTTTCTGGTTGCACAAAACAGCCTTCGGTCTTCTTGGTGGCATGGCATTCACAAGTTCCAATCTGTGCCACACTGATGAACTCAAATGTGTGGGTTTCTGCACTTCGTAAGCTGTTCCACAATGTCTGGAGCGACTGAAACCAACGCCCACAACCTTGGATATGACGTACGTGTGAATTATGGGCGACGTATCTCGGTATCCCAGGCCGTCAAAACACCCTACGTGTTCATGCAGTGTATGACGCAATAAATGACATGACACTTAGCTAGCGATAGCATCAATGGTCTATGTGGTGCAGTATGTAAATGAAACTGATGCGATTCTAGCCTGATTGTGATAAACCACAAAGTCCCTCATGATATCATGAGCCGTAAACGAGTTCTGGAGTAGCTTCAAGCTCTTCTGAGGAAGATATCGATGGAGGACTATATTGTCCGCCGTATCCGGCCACGCCAGATCCATCTCTTGGGTAAGGATCCGTTGCAAGCCGGATAGGAACCGTGAGCCGCAGTTCCTTGAAAGGTGATTTAGAAAGATCGGGCGGAGTCATGGTCAACACCACACAGTCCTTTATAAATAGGTATCAGCTGAGGCCATAAACAGAATGCAAGCGCCTACCTTGGTGGAAAAGCCACCCGCCTTGAAGCCCCCAACCTTGATGTCAGGACTGATGTAGATCTCTCCTGAGAAGGCAGTCCAGTGTGCACCGCCATCGCCCTATCGGAATCACGTCAATGATTGTCAAGCATCTTTGTCAGATGGAACATGTGACATACTGCGTGTCTGAAGGCACCTTCGCCAATACAATCGACTCTCCAGATATCAGTGCGAGTGCCAAGTATCAATGCGTTGCTGTTATGCACATGTATTAAGTACAGTCGCACAGGGGAAATTGAAAGAACAAACCGAACATCAACAGTCGTCTGCCTCAACAACTGTATTTTGGTATGCTGCGTTTTCAGAGACGTGATTACCACTGGTCCCAAAGGCAAAAACGCAGCAAGAGACATTGCTGAAGATGAGAACATCACATGAAAAGGAATGGCCTCGTGCATGCAGAATGTTCGACTGGCTGGGAGATATAACTGGTGCCCGGGAACCATCAGGATTGAGATATGCATTCATTCACAACATCGACCTACCTTTACCATAATATCATGCCCTCCCTGATTTGCGTGAATCAAAGTCGGAAAAACCTTCCATTGCGGGGTCTCGATTATTCCCCATTGTCCAGGTACCAGAGGTGGTGGTAATGGGGTGGACGGACGAGTGCGAGGAAGGTAATCAAACGGAGTCGAAATGGCCCTGTAAACCGTGAAATGTAGGGTTAATACGATTCCACCTGGAAACACACCAATCTCCGCCCCCCAATAAGGACGACTTCACGGCATGTGGTATGATGTTAGGTTTCACAGCAATAGCGCTAATACTATAATGTATCCTCGCCCGAAATCCAGGCAGGCCGGATAAATGTGACTCGTGGCTTGGCGGTAGGGGCTGTTCGTGATCGTCAAGATGCTGCTCAAACTTCGCGCCGTTCACATACATAAGTTTTTCCGCCATTTGAAAAAGTGGTTGGAAGAGGAAGACTGAAAAGAAGTGAACGCGGGCATGGCGCTTCGTAAATCCTGTCCTTGACCCAAAGAATGCTCTTATTGAGAAATAGTTTGCAGTTCGTCGTCCCGCCTTCGGCCACTTCTTCCATCATCATGGTACCTTCGATCTAACGAAGACTGTATCAGAACAAACCCCTATTCATTCGGCTAATCTGCTCACCTGAACTTCAACACTGGTGATACCATCTCGCTTGTGAATGTCGAGGGTGCCCTCCACGGACGCGCCATAACCGTAGACAGGAAGCGAGGCTTGATCATCTTGGCCCGCGAGCCGAAGACTCACGCCACCATTTCTGGTTTGCTTTACAAATTCGCGCGGCGACCGGTTGGGACTTAGGCGCGCATTGTGAGCTAACCGGTGTTCATGAGCCTGAGGTGCAGCGGTATACGCTGGCGAATGGGCTTGTGACGGGCGGGTAGGGTACCCGGGGAGAGTCACAGTTGCAGGGGACATGGTAGTGCACTACCAAAGTTCAGAAGGTCCTTTTCTTTCGAGATTCAAGCGCTATGTGGACCGTCGAGCACCATGCGCTCACCGGCTATACTTAACCCAGCTTCCCACTCCTTTCGGCGTTCACAGCTAAATGAGTTAGATTCGATGGAGGTCCCAATATTTGGGCTCCTTGAGCCTCAAACCTATATTGCAATGCTGAAACAAGGAAGATCAGATGGCATTTCTCCATTTTTTGGATCAACCACACCGGGCCCGGGTGATAGCACGATATCTTTTGCTGCAATGTGGACGACAGGAAGCGAGGAATAACATTTGCACCTTATGGCTGCATACCTACAAGTGTGGCCATATCCCCACATGGTCATCGGCCGACGGGATACGCGGCTTATAATATCTACCAGTCACTGCGTTCGGGGTCTGGGTACCTGAGCCTCGTACAGCTGTGGTAAATGTTCGTGACTGATCTGTACAAGGGCCATGCTCACCAGAAGAAAACGACGTATGGCAATCTCCGAAAAGTCTGAGTTCCCGTACCTAGCCAGGCCGTTGTACCTGGGCTGTAAGAGCCTTTGATTAGCAGGGGCAATCTGTCGTGCAGTACCTGCACAGAGGGTTCGGATAGCTTGAGTAACCGGGGGTCTGGAACGAGAAGTTGCCATAGGTGTACTGATGGCATCACACTAGGTAGTATCGAAGCACTGATAGCGCACATATAGATATCCATATATTGAATTAATACATCAAAACGTCTTCCTCCCTCCCCTCACTGCGCTAATATCAATGCGAAACAATAGGATCAACCAACAGCCTGGCCCGCCACAGCATCCTGCTCCTCTGGGACCCATGCCGCCGCCTCCGCAAACGGGAGGAATGCCAGATATCCAGGCCATTCATGCGCTCTTTTCCGCCCTAGGACCGAATGCAATGGCAATGCTCAGCTCGATACCACCACTGGCAATGCACTACGCACCTCCTCCGAGTCTGCAGCCACCAGTTGCACCTCCTCCACCGGTGATTGACCCCCAGCTTCAACAACCTGGAGAAAGCCCATTAAACGAGGTCTTGCGACGGCTCCAAAACCTCGAGGAGTCCCTCAAGCGGCCACACGACAACGACGACAACGATGCTGATGACGAGGAAGATGGAGGTACCGTGACCAAGCGGCTTAGCAAGAAACCAAGGAAGGACAGCAAGTTTATCCTGAACATCAGGACCAGTCAGTTGACGCCGGCGCAGAAAACAACAAGAGCGGAACTTCAGGTGCGTACCTGTGATATATCGTTGGTTATATGCACTGAAAAGGGACTGTTTATGCTCAGGATTGTGTCCGTATAGCAATCTACAACCTCACCGGTATTGTCGCATCAGAAATTGGAAAACCACGGGACGACGAGGATTCCGACAGAGAGTCTGACACTGACGACGAACGTGACGAGACTTCCGCGCTGCTGAAATTTGATTTCACTGCAGATGTCAGCGCTCCGGCTAATCAGACAGTCTGTGAGCGTGCCGCAGGGATTGTATGGAGTGAACAGCAGCCTGTGAGTAATGATTTGTGCACAACAGATAACTTGCAACTTACGAGCTACAAACAGGTGGAGAAGACGTCCAATTTGACACACAAGGATGTGAAGTTCAACAAAGCTGACGTGCTAGCTTTCGCAAAAGATAAGTTCCGCAACTACAAAAGGAAGTACGAGGAACGCACCCACGAGGAAAAAGGTAAAAAACGACAGGTTACAAAGCGGCGAACAAAACGGCGTGAGCGCCAGCGCAAGGTTTGTCAATCAGAACATCTTCACACGAATGTAGTATAACCACTCACAAACTTAAGAGAAAAAATGACCGTTTGAAGGCCATCAAACTCTTCAAAAAGCGGAACGAGGGGCAAGATCCATCTGCGCTATTGGAGACTGACTTTATGTCCGACGAGCTCTCCCAGCTGGACACCGACAACGAGGCAAGAAAACGGACACGTCGGGAGGAGCTTGAGAAGGCAGCACAACTGACAACTGCAGAGGTGAAGGATGGAGTTGCTATCTGGGAGGTTGTAAGGCATGGGTATCGATCGAAAGAGGTCTGTCGTCACGAGTGAATCCTAGAACTAACCTACAACACATTTAGTTGAACACCATCATGGACAAGCTTGACGACATACGTGCCGAACAACGGAAGAAAATGGGCAATAACACAACACGGACAAGACGTGTAAACCTCGGCAACACAAACCCGGCTCCTCCCCAATTGCCTATATTTCCCTTCATGCTCGATACTGATTGGTACAAGACATACATGGCCGATAATCCTGGTGCGACTGTGGCCGTTCTCAAAAAGGATCCAGCAGGATTTGGCACGCGAGTGGCCGACGAGGCGAATCAGGAACAGGAAGATGACCTAGGAGCCGATGCAGATATTCACGAGAGGGAGGGAACCGTCCAAACTGACGATGATTGGAACTAAATCAATAGATGTTATCATAGATGATGTTGATCACTTTGCTCACCCTGTGGAAAATTAAACAACCTGGACATCCTGCATTGAATGATGTGTATAAATGAACTTTGCTCGTGTCTCCGAATGTCAAAAACTTACACGAGTGAGACCAATCGTGACCCAGAAAGGTTTCTCGACTTGTTTGTTTATCTTGGGGTCTTCGACGTGTCGCATAACTTTCAAACGGCACGCTTGCGAGAGAATCGAACCGATGGGGATAAAACGAGATGGTCCATCTTTCATGCTGTCGAGAAATTTATTAAAGTCCCAGAAGTAGATCTCCAGCTCTGGGCTAATGAACATGAGTCAGCGCCGACCATCAGTAAAGAGAACTCACTAGCGAGTCCAATGCCGACATTCAAAGTCTATAGCCTCTCGGAACCAACGGACTTCTAGAAGACAGATGTCAACATCAACACCTTTTTGCCAATGCGTGATGATCGAGTGAACTTGTCCAACATATCTCTTGTTGTTGATCTCAGCTTGAATGATTGAGTTCGGTGCATATACTCGAGAATCGGATGCCACGATACGACGTCCATCAACAATTGCATAGTTGTGAAATCGAGCATGTGAGCCGAGGAAGTTGGGGGAAGATGATGAGTACGACGTGGCGCTAACGATATGAGCATGCGGATAGGCTGTTTGATAGAAGTGGAGAAGATACTTCTGCTGGTCTAAGTGAAGTGAAGATGATGCAGCGAGGCTTAATGAAAATCGTGTTCCAGCTGAGGAATGTGGTCAATAAACGAATATAAGACACGAGTGAAAGATACCTTGCTGTGCGATATCGTCAATCTCACTAGCGAGAGAAGCCACAGTTCCACGGGTGTCGCTATCTGTTGCGATGATGGATTTTACGGCCTCGTATAGAATAGCATCTTCAGCAGAGGGCAGTTCATCAGATTCAGATGTGCGAGCGAGCAAATTTGTGAGCTGTAGATGATCATGAACATAAATTATTAAGGTGAAAACAAGAATAACCACCATGGTCCGAAGCTCAGTGTCGCGCAAGAACGCACGGAAGAATGAGATCTCAATTTCACCATCACCGTGGTTGTTTGTTGAGTAGCTTTTGAGAACCTTGTTGAGACGTTCGAACAGAAAAGTCCAGAAGCCGTAGACGGGGCCGTAATCCTCCAGTTGCTCAAAGATGTGAGTCACCCAGTGATGTGATGGTTTGACATGCTTTGGGTGGATCTTCGTATCGTTAAGCTTCGTGTTTGATCATAGGTTAGGTAAATTACTCACTTCCAGAAACCCAAGAAGGTATTTGTTGAGGAGTTCCTTCGCACGTGGAATATCAGCATCATTGATGCTACGTCCGAGAATGATCTTGAGTGCAGCTGCAAGATTCAAAAAATTGTCAGCATCATCAGGGTGCATGGGTACATCCTTTGGACGTGCTGGTGGCTCCTCGTCCTTTCCATTCTGGGCTGCTTTACCCGCTGCAAGTCTCCGAACGCGCGCTTGCTCTCGCTTCGCCCAGCTTTCGTTCTCCTTCTCGTGCCGTTTCATGTTCTTCGGGTACCACTCTTCCCAGATCAACGGAATCTTGAGTATCGTCGTCAGTCAATTGTTCAGAAGACTGATAAAAAAACTTACAGCGATGGGACAAAAAACGAGGGCTAGGCCTTTCCACTCATCGGATGTGAGTGAACCACCAGCAGGATAGCCAACCTGATCTGGTAAACGTGCGACCCACGACGGCATCTCAAACTGGTAAGACAGTAAATGACCTAAAAATCTCGAGCGTCTGATTGTAAATACGTACCGTAGACAAGAGTTTATGAATTTGATCGAGTTCACGATCTACCTTCGCAGTTTTCTGGCGAAGTATGTTCGTCTGGATCCAAGCGTTAAACCACTGTGTTTTGATGATACCTGTTGTGTATATTAGAAACTATGATCAGCGCATAACATTGACACAACTTACCAAGCAAAAAACAATGCATGGGATCGATAACAGTCATGCGAACGGGGTCAAAGTATGGTAAGCGAACAAGTTCGAACCATCGAGCGCTGTGCTTGGTGAAAAATTCGTCCCGTTCCTTGGACTCCCGGTTTGCGTATTCTTGAGCATGTTTCTTGTGTTGCTCACCATCTCGTCGAGGGAATTCTGTTTAGTCAGTGAAGAGTTAAGTCTATCTAAAACAAAAAGAACATCATACTGTCGTATTCCATCGCATCCTTTGTTCGTAGTTCTGACTGCGGAATGTGGCAGCGCGAACAAAATCCTTCCTTTTTACTGTGGCTGCCAAATCCGCACACCTTACACATTGCCGGATGATCACAGCATACTGCAACCAGAGTTACACGAACACGGCGACCTAAAGCAGCTGAATAAGGTTGGACTCAAAGATATAATTCGACTTGCCATTGGGAAACTTTTTTGTCTTGAGTGTGATTCCTTCATCGTAAAGGCGGAGCAGATCGTCAACGTAGTTCTTCATAAATAATTGAAGCTGATCGGCATCGAGCTCTTTCGGGCCTGGAGTAATACCATACAAAATTAAGTTTCTGGGGCGATACCGCATGTGGGTCGGCAGGTTTGCAATACAGCTGGACATCACACCGGAGCTGTGTGATCCTGCGTTGCTGCTGCGCTGATAGTTGAATCTTAAATCGAGTCAATAGTCTGCTGATAGACAAGTTTGAATCTCACCCATCAAAGCCGAGTGTAATCCCTATTCGCAGCTCATCTGAATCCTCACGTTCAGGGCTATTATTGAAGAAGAAACTCCCATCCGCGGCTCGTAGTGTCTTCCATACCTCACCATCTTGTATGGACGAGCGTTTGCCAGGGGTAGCTTGGCATGAACGCCAAGCATCGAGATGTCCTTCGATGCCATCTTGGGACAAAAGTCGAAGAATTCCGTTAGAAAGCGGGTTTTGGGGACAGCGGAGTTTCGCCTTTGCGCTTGTCTTTGGGCGTGTAGACCTTGAAGATTGTGTCGGAAGATCCTGCTGACGAGTCTCTCGGAAAAGCGGTTCACTGCAGTGGGTACAGAGAGAATCAGGTGGCGAGTCGGGGGAGAAGATCCTCATGCAGATGGGACACATAGGATGGACCTGAAAATAGTCAGAGAGCGCTAAATGATTGAAGGCTGTTCTCAGTGTCTGCGCCGGCTTATCGTCGTCAGTGAAAGCTCCAAGTCCATAAAATATAGATGCTGAAACCTTGAGAAGAAGGTTGGCTGCACGGTGGGGCAAGTGGTAGCGGAGATTGAGCCATGCTACCAAGAGAAGGATGATCTTCCAAAACCAATGCGGAGTTGCATTATCGAGAACAATATCTGGAGGTAGCGGGGGTTCTGGTAGCGGAGATGAAGGTTCTTCATAGGTTGGTTGAACTGTCGGAGGGCAAACATCGGGAGGCAAAGGTAGTTGAGCGTTGGATGATGCTTCGGCTGTGTCGTCAAGACTCGCATGGCGGAGGAGGTTAGCCATGTTTTGATCGAGCAAGTCATTCAAGCTCGAACCCTGTCGTATAGAGATTTCTTTGACACTCGCGTCGTCGTCATCTTCGTCATCAGACACCTCAGCAAGAGCAGGCATTGAATGAAAGGGCCCACTGTCGTGATCATCACCAACTCCAGAAAATAATCCGTCGTCGAGTTGGAAATTATAGTCGTTCGCAAACTCCTCGATGTCCCCTTGCATCTTGATGTCCTGTAGCACGGGAGAACCTTTCGGTTCATTAAAATGATCGTCTAAAGCATCAGTAATAACATTAGTGTCCATCCCGGCATCAAACATCGAAAAATGTGCCGGAAACTCACCATCATCCATCAGAGAGTCAATCTCGACTTGTCCCGGTGTAGGGAGGCTTAAATTGTCAGTACTAGGACCAGACACGCAATCACCGAAAAACGCGGGACCGGAACATGTTTGCTTGATGGCCTGAGTGGGGCTCAGAGCAACTGCGATAGTAGGGGGATCATCAACTGAAAACATATCAAGACTGACTACATGATCGTAGAATGAACAACTCATACCTTGAAGGATTTTTTTACCTGTGGCCTCATTGATTGGCTTTCGCGCAGCCGCTATCTCTTCGAAAGAGACGATCTCGTTGTCGTCATCTTCGTCGTCGTCGCTGCCCGTCTTCCTACTCTTCTTGACTCCGGCAGCTTTACGATGCTTCCGCTCCAACCATGCAGGTATCTTTTTACCTTGCCTTCCGCACTCCTTTACACATGATGCACAAATACAATAAACGAGGCGCTTATCAGCGTCCTTCAAAAAGAGGTCCTAATTCAGTACGAAAAACTGTGAAGTTCGTCCTAAGTACTCACTTTCTTTGCCTTCTGCACCCCTTTGCTCTGCTTCGAGCCTCTTGGCATGAAGTGCTGCGAATTGTGAGTTACTGAGTGCACGTTGGAGAACGAACCCTTTAGAACACGAGGCAAGGGACTTAGAACTTTCGCAGCAAGAGAATATTGGGTCAACGATGATATATTGAGGTCGTGCTACCTATATGTACATGGTATTGCCTTCGTTGGACCGAGGCCATGGCTATGCGAGAGGCGCAGTGAGTCGCACAGATTGGTCACCGAAGCTGAACTGAGATGAACATGGGTACATGGACATACACTGAGGGAGTGCAAGCAGCGCCGGACGTAGGTCTGAGCAGGTGGTCTTGTCTAAGTTGTACAGCGTGATGGATTCTGAACATACACGTGGCGTTCGCACACATATGGAAAGTCTATCTACAGCCACCTTGCCACATGGCATCCACTTTCACCCAGAACGCAGTGAGTATACATTGGGTTAATAATGACTGTCAACTCTACTAGGTGAGCCTCCAGCGCCGTTCTACTTATGTATTCATGTACCACTAAGTCGTACAATCTATCCTACATGTGTTTCGACAGAAGAAGTGCCTAAAACCCACCCTTTCCACGAGCCCGCGCGATGCTCCCTTGGATTCCTTTAACCACCCCTCGAAATCCCGATCCAACGCCAGTAGAATCCGTAAGTGGGTTGCCTTCCCTGTCACGATATATTCCATCCTTCTGTATTTCATGCAAATGCGTGTTCTGATTTCTCCGGATGGCATCAAGCCATTCCTGGCACACCGTTGGGTTATCGACCATAACGTTCACCTCTTGGCTATGATACCACGATTGCGTGTCTGAAAATTTTGATGACATCAGTGGATGGACCGTTGGTGAGAATGAGATATACCTTGGTTTCCATTTCCTACGATCCCAACAGAATCATCAATAACCATCAGTTTCACCTGAAATCAGATGATCAGGGCTCTACCAAGAGTGTCAATTAAGATGAGACGAACATGACAGTTCCGTTGTTGCACGGAAGCATTGATGGGCTTGATTTGATCCTTGCCTGTATTGAATGCGCGGGTGAGTACTCGAAAGACACCCTCGCGGGAGAAGCACATGCCTGTGTACCAATAGAGTTTGAGTTTCTCTTTCTCCTCGCCCATCAACTGTGCGAACATCGATTTAGACACTTCCTCATTTGTGCCTCCTTGCCCAGGGAGTGCCTCCCCACCATCATTAAAGCCCACGTCTAAATACAGTGTGCACTCGATGCCGCGTCTGACTGCATTCAAGACACCCTCTACCACAGGGACTGCATTGAAGGTCGGGCTTTGGATGAAAACCTTCCTCTGTGCGTATTTCAGCCCTGCAAGCCAGGCTGCATCCTGCGCGTTGTGCAGACCGCTGTCTGGATTTCCAGGCCTCCCATTCGGTGCACGGTTTACCAGCACCATGGGACATTCTCCATGACCTGTGTGGAGAATGTGTGGGGTGTATTCGTTTGCAGACGATGCAGGTGGCTCAAACGGGATACCGGCATGTGTATCTGGTTGATCTCCGGCATCTGCTTATTGTCAGATCAGGGAACTAGCGAAGTGAGACGACGCCTACTAAGGTGCTCTGTAATTGTCTGATAGGTACCGGAGATGAATGGAATTTCTGCATCCACAGACCCAAAAGAGGCGCGACTTTCCTTTCCTCCTTCGTCTCCGTCGTGTATGCCGCCGGCCTCCTGCTTCAGTTTCTTAAAAAGTTCGGCCCCTTTGCTGCCATCTAGATTCCAGGTCGTGGAGTATTCATTATCCATCCCAAACTTGTAGCCTCCGTCAGGCGGCCGATACCGGGTATCGAGCAACGGAAGGGGTGGGTTCATGGGCCTGAACCAACTGATGAGAGCAGTATCGTACAAACTGTCAACAATCGGGCCCTCTAAGTGTATCATCATCTCCATGTTAGGACGGTCTTGAATATTATTCGAGTTCAAGAGCGCCATTTTGCGGTCCACGATCAAGAACTTGCAATGGAACGTCCCAAAAACAGGTCTATACATTCGCCATGTAGCAATTCACATATGAGAAACAACTGGGAACACTCACTGATGAAAATTCACTATTTCGAAGTCGAGTCCTGGCATGTCGCTCCTCTTGGGCAGCTTTACTTCATCACTAGCCATTTCTGCGTCGTCGACAAGAACGTGGCTTTCGGTAAGCATTTTGATATTTGCACGGTCGTACATCATCTTCACCACGACCTTCTTACCCCTTTTCATCGCTCTGCGCGAGAGTTCGACCAAGGCATCGCATATTTTGCTAGCGGACTTGGATGCTTGCCAAAAGTTAGTTGCTAAGAACACTTCCGACTCAGCGCGGACGATGCAGTCATAATGATGCTGTATGATATCCGGAATGCTGCTCAAAGCATTAGCGGAAGACGAAAGATAATATAAATAGTCGTGTAATTACACGGAAATAATGCTCAGGTTCACGACACCTCTGGAACCCAGCAAGGGGGGTGATACCACACCAGCCCAAGGATTTGTTTCGAGCGTAGCAAGCACGTCACAGTAGATCTTTTTTACGCAATTAGTCAAGATTAGACGTCTGCACTTTACTTACCTTTAAGAACAAGTCACTGGGCCTACTGCCAAATTTTCCGCACTCGGCGGCACGGTCGAGATCCACTTGCGTGGGTTCACCTAGTGGAATTCGATGTGTCTCATTCGTATTTCCACGGTGCAGCATTCCCATGATTGTCTCCATATAGCCTCCACCGGAAGCTACGGGCTTCTTGTAATGCTCTGCATAAAGCGTCTTCGCAAGCTGCCCTGGCGATGATGTCGGGGAGGCTGCGAGCGCTGTGGTGAGCGTCTCCTGGGAGTGAGTTAGCGAGTAGACTTCGTCTGAGATGGTCATTGTGGTTTGGAGAAGAGTGTGAATCTGAGCGCAGCCTCATCATGACGAAGTCGACGGGGAATAGGGCGCTGTGCGTCATTGGCTCCAACCAAGGACTACGCCACGAACTTGTTACATCATTACACGGATGCAATTTGCGGGGGTAATTAATTGATTGGCATACACTCAGCAGAGTTACTTTGTTATGATAAGATATAAAGGCCGCATATGTACAGCAAGAGTATGGATATCTGGTAGGTGCCAAGTTGCAACCTTAGAAAAACAATATAAGTTAGCAATATAACACGAAGTAGTAGATATAAAGATCAATAAGGATATAACATGATATGGTTGTTTGATGGTTGTGGATAAATATACAGTGCAGTAGTCGGAATACAGTGCGATGCGAAAGAAAAAGCGTTCATGAGCGATCGATCCATGGTTCTGTAGCAAGTCGTATAGGAAGAACGCGTTGAAATGAAAGGTCGGGTCTCAGTGGCCCAGGGGGGAGTAGCAAAGACAGCACAATGTAGTCCTGGAACGATATCATAAGTTTGATTCCAGACTGTTTAAAGAGACGCCAGCTTACTGTGGTGGTAATCTGGCCTGTGGTGAAACCAGTGTTCAAGACGGGGACTTCACACCGAAGGTTGCCATTCCAACTCCATGTCACAGGCTCTTCTGATTCTGATATTACGGCTTTGGAGGTGGATGATGATTGCAGCATCATCCGTCCGCGGCCAAGAACATCTTCATGACTGAATGACGTGCCTTGAACGTTGACGGTAGTTTGCCGCAGTATGTAAACGTGCAAGACTTCCTCTATTGCCGAGGGATCTTGTTGAGGAAGGAGCTTCGCAAGACTGTGCAAGAAGAGTGGCGAAGTCTCCAGTCGCAGATGGAAAGGTATCTTTTCCGAGGCAGTGAATACACGGACGGAAGGGAAGAAGAACTTGAAAATAAATAAGCATGAGCTGCTGAATGATCGATTGCGAGGATGTCGACTTACATGACAGCGTGCCAAGAATGCTTCGTTTCCTGTATCAACAGTTGGCTTCGTGATCCAAACGTCCTCCATCCAATCCTCAGGACATTGTTTCAGCTCGCTGAAGCAATCCGGGACTGGCCGTGATGGCCGTACTCGGGGGCGATACCTGACGTGAATCTTCATGTGTGACTCCCTGAAGATGATAAGGTTTTAGTTTCAGGATGCATCGAATCTACTGCGTACTCGCCTCGAAAGCTTTTTGCCAATCATTGGGACGTTTCTCGACTTTGTTACAATGATTTGCAGTGTGTAAACTATAGCCACACGTTGCGGTTTTGATAATTCAAAAGATGGCGGCAAACGGATAGGACGATCCTGGCCACGTTCTCGGTAGGAAGTTGGAAAAGTCATTGATAATGGCATGATGCTAGGGCAAGTTTGTCCATTAAGGGCGGAACTCTCCCATAGTGTCCGCTCTTTTGAAACAATGGTGACTGCTTTGGATGATTGACCTGGAAGGTAAATACGGCCTTCAAGCTAAGGGTAGCATTAGCAAATGTAGTGGAGCACTGACAGATCCCACATACCTTTGCTGCAACAGCTACAACTCTCTGGCGATGGTCAAGTGCAACTTCTCCTCGGATAGTACTCCCCAGACCATATGATGGATGGCGTTCCTCTTCACGACAGTCCTTCAGTGTGAGGGTCATCCCTCTTTCCCGGTAAGTAAATGACGCATTGTCTCCACGCGGTTGGGTCAAACGAGGTGACTTTTGTATGCACTTTTCACCAGGAAGTAGTTTAGGAGAATAGTCAGGTGCAGGGGTAGATGGTGTATACGCTGGCAACAACTGGATGGAGAGTGTTTCCATGATATGCAAATATGTGGGCGCTGAACAGATGGGCTCGTGATGAACTTGAACAACAGCTTTATACCCATGTTAAACCAGTGTGGTGTTGGTGGTTGCATCATTTTCGGACACAACGTGGATCCGAGAACAGCTCCATTTGCGGCTATGAGTACAATTGATGCGAATGGCAGAAATTAGGTGCATCAGGGTCGAGTCGAACAGATGCGTAAACCGGTGGCCGGTGAGACCGCTTTAACAACGCGATCCTGTGTTTCTTGCTATGCTAGGTCAACGCGTGAACAACGCACGAATCAAATGCAATGTTGATGATGATGTAAACCTTGGCGCAGTGCCAGTGACCTATCTTTGGCACACCCGGCGGACGTCCATGACATATGTAAGGCTCGGAGCAGCTTTTGACTGACGTCTTCCCCACACTGGAGCGAAAGCTCCCATTGGCGGTGAGGATTCGGCTGCCACTCAAGCCGTGTCCCTGTAAGAACTATCCAAAAACGCCAAGGGCGCAGAATCTACTACTAGATGCATCATTGACGTACCCACATATGGATGAGGATTTCTAAGGCCGGGGCGCGTGTGTCTCAAGGTTTGTGGTTTGGACGTAACTCTGAGTCAGGCGTCAGGGACTCAGGGACCGGCGCCTTCAAGCTGCCAGCGTTGTTGTCGCATGGCGAAAAGTGAGGATCAGTCTCGACAGGCCTCGATTAATCCTGCAGTACTTGGTTCAACACGATGCCGCCGGAGCAGCGCACCTAGGCGTTCTATTTTTGGAAATCTACAAAGTACCCCGTCTACCTAACGGAAGGTTCGTGGTTGGCTACACTTTTGGGTACAGTCCCGCCGGTTCCATATATTCTATCCATTATCCCACTTGTAAAGAGAGTCTCATGTTCTTTCGGTTTATGACAAAGAATGTGCGCCGTTGCAGCAATTATAGCAAGCCGGTCCCCAGCGGGTCCCGGGTACTACAATTCTACTGACAGCAAAACCAATCATCTGACTTGGAAATATAAGCTAGCTGGCCAATAATAAACATATTAGTAAACGGGCAAGTAACTTTGTAAGACGTGAACTTACTATGTATATAGGCTCCACAATTATAACAGATCCAGAATATAATAGAGTGAGTTGTTCGGAACAGACCCGTACGCAGTATGTCGATCCCGTAAATAATCAGTCCCGGCTATTGTTACCAAGTCACAGCTTGATCCGACCATGGGTCTGTCACCAGACGAATAGGATGATGGCATTTTAATGCGAGAAGCGGACACGTCATTGGTTGCAGAGGTTCGAGGGAGAGCACAATAAAGTCCTATAAACATATCGTCAGAAGGGAAATTATAGGAACAAACAGTTCAAGTCTCACTCTAACCGAAAGCCCGTTCGTTGCGAAGCTTGCGACTGTCACATCTTCAGTACACCGCAGTTCGCCATCCCAGTCCAGACAGTCAACGCCCTCGCCAAGGGGGACGTTGCGGTATGAGTGGTGATTCTCCGGTAGAGAGGGAGAATATGTCAATTTGCCTTCTCCTAATATTCGGCTGGACGCCGGTGCTTGTTCTTCGAAGGCTTTGACAACTACTTGGCGAAGTAAGTAGACGCGGATGGAGATTTCCCCTGAGAGGAGAATAGGAAGGCTGCGACCAGGTGCAGATTTTTCAAGGAAGGGGGCTAATGAGCTCGATGGGGCACGCAATTGCAGGTGGAACGGTATAGTCTCAGACAGTGGGTAAACCTGTACTGAAGGAATAAAGAGCTACCAACGCAGTCAGGATTATGAGTAAATTGCAATTTGAAGTGCTTACAAGACATTGTACTGGCGTGAGCTTGGAACTCTTTGTTGTGTTCATGGTATAGAGCACTTGATGCCATTCTTCGGGTGAGCTTTTCACCGTGGTCATGAACGGTACATCACTCGGAAGCATGGGGGTGTGTGGGCGAGAACGTGGATGATAGCATACGGGTACTACAAGACTGTAAATTGTCGAGTCAGGAAATGTGAGTTTTGAACATTGCTGCGCATGCTTACGAATCACTAGAGCGGAATGAAGATATAAATCGTCGAGGTTTTGAAACGACAACGCTAAGGGTGTAGGAACATGTGCCAGATGTCACTTGTTTATCCTCAAAAGAGGGAGGTAAAGGTCGCGGTTGACGTCCATCCATGAAAGTAGAAGGAAAGAATATCGTAAACGGGAGAGTCTTAGGGCAAGGCTCAGTGGACGAAGAACTCCACAAAGAATACGAATCAGATGCAACCGATGTGGTGACGGCTGCCCCTGATAACTGAACACGAAGGTGACCCTCAAGCTATTACAGAAAGTAAGATAAAGACTACCGGGAAGAATGACGTAACCCGTACCTTCAAGGTGACCTCCGTAAGGCCCTCAGAACTTCGCAAAGATATGTGGCCTCGAACGAGTCCATTTCTGCCGTAAACAGGTGTTGTGTTCCCCGGCCGCTGATCTCTTAAAACAAGCGTGATATTGTTTGTTATTCTACGAAAGACTCCGGTGTTCTGAGTCGAACCAGTCCGGCGTTGAGTCTCCTCAACCGTTTGTTCTCCTGGGAGAAGCTCTGTCGAGTATGACGGCGATGGTGGAGAAGGAGTATATGTAGGAGGAATAGACTCCATTTTGATATAAGAGGTACGAGGTGTTGATTCACTGTCATGCCTCGACCGATGGTGTTTATAACAACACAGGTGTTGTTAATTTCGGTGTTCAATTTCTGATCGAGTCATGGTTGATCAGGGGGAGTCATCCCCATGCTCTGCTGCGACGCACAGTCCGGCACCGCACCTTTGTAAAGATGGCAGTCTAGTGCGATCATGATTTGATGAAGAGCTGAGAATTGCTAACGATAAATGAGGATTCCCACGTATATCGCGGATTTCGTACATGAGTCATTCTCCAAAAGTTCCAGCGTCGACTTCGTTAGCCTGCAAGCTGTGGCGCCGGCATTCAAAGATTCGACGACTGTTATTCTTCATCAATGTTTAAGTGACCGAAACACCGCAAAAGCATCATCCAGATTCCACGCAACGTGACTCGGCGTACATGTAAAAATGGCGTAAGTTCTGCGTGGCAATGCAGCAATAAAGGCGCGCATTCTGGCATCAGATGTCTGGATCAACCTTCTCTTCCCTAGGCAGAATGGGACCAAGATCGACGACAGTATAGAAAGTGAATGTCTTCACTTCCGGGGTCTTCGCAATTGTGCGGGAAGGCGTCCCGGCACCGTCTTCCGAAGGAAGTGGGTCATCGGATCGATAGGTATAGGAAATAAGCATGTTGAACTGTAAAGCGAAGGACATTGAGCACGAGCAAAGGGTTCACGGGTGCTTCCGTACCTTTACATGGCCCCGAGCTTCTTTCCCTATGACAATTTCACCGCCCACAACCGTAACATTGGCCCTCTTTTCCAAGACTCCTACAGTCTTGACCTTCCCTTTGCCGTCTCTGTCTCGGCTTCGACCCAATTCCAAACCAAGTTCATCGTCTTCGAGCCCGAACATGTCGTCGTCGTCATATTCCCATGCTTCGGCAAATGCGGCAACAGGGAATGAAGAGGTTGGCAGGGATACTGCGAAGGGTGTCCTTCGAGCCTTCTCCGGTGCAGTACCATCAGTTACTGCGGTGACGTGCATTCGCTGCACCGAAAGTCGGACTTGAATAGGATCATAGAGGGGATTCGTCAGAGCGAGGTGGAAGGGGTACGATTTTCCAGCCATCATAGCGCCAGCGTTCCGGTCATCCGGGGCACTGGGCACCTTGGCCAGCGGCCGCCTAGTGGCATCAGCCCCTTGGGTGTGGGGAAGTGCCACGGTCATGGCTGGCAAATAGTTGGCTGCTACGAGTTTGATCTTGTATCGCACGGATTGTGCCTTTTGCTCTGGTTTGATAAGGATATGCCTGCATGTCGGACATCGCTTCGAGACTTTGGAATGAAGTGGAATCCGGAGAGGTCGTAGATCGCTGTACTCTAAGTTTAGTATCTTCTCCTACACATGACCAACAGGCACGCACCTTGTTCTGAGCGAGGTGGTCCAGCTGTTTCCCCATCTTTGCTCAAGTGACGCAATCTCCTCCGCAATCTCCATGCGCCGAAGTGCCTCAACATCCGAACCATCTCCTTCAGACCCCAGCTGACCAAGAACACCAATCTCCATTCTACTTTTGTACTCTGGCATCTCGTCCTTGTTTGCTGTCCTGTCCCGGCCCACACGACTGCGAGCAAGAGGGTTGTATTTCCCGACACCGGGAACATCACGCGCAAGTGCAGCGGAAGCAGCGGCTGTAGCAGACGAAGTGGGAAGATGATGAGAAGATGTGCTCGGAATATGAGACAAAGAAGAAAGAGATGATGTACGGAGGAAAGGTTCAAAATGCTCCTTCAGTCGCTCAAACTCCAGGGATTCGGACGCAGAGTCTTCAAATTTCTGCAACTGTGCTATCAGACAGGCAATTAGATGTAAACCGGTGTGCATGGGGAACAGCGCACCAGCCAGTCCAGTTGGTTTTTCAAACGTTATCCCAACTTCGGCAGAGTCCCATCTGCAGTGATTACAGTAAAGAAAGAAGGGAGGCTCTCCGACGTTACTGAGAGACACAGAAGGACGGCCATCGCCGCCATCAGGAGGGTCAGACGCGACTACTTGCAAGGTTGACCGGCATATTGGGCATGAAAAGCAATTTCGAGCACATCTATCACTTGTGAGCGACAGTCATAACAGGAGGATAAAAGGAGTATACCTGTTCTTTTCCGCACGAACGCTGGCACTGGGGACTTCGAAAAGGCAATTTGGACAATAGTAGCCACTGACTTCGACGGAAACACAGCGATTGCACCGAACAGCGTCGCATTCCTCGCAGAAGAACAAGCTATGCAAAGGATGGAAACTAGCAGAGGAGGACGCCATGTGAGGAGGCGGAGGCGTCTGAACTGACTCTTCAGACTGGCATGGACAATAGTAATGGATTGTTGGCGCCATGGGTGTCTACGTTCTCGTCGACAGCGACGTAAATGCAGATTAATGAAGACAGTTTTTGGTGCACTGTGTTTGAGCGATCGGAGGGTGGTGCAGCTCACCGGGCCAGGAAGAAATGTGGACGAATGTAATAGAAGACGACTACCAACTAGCCTTACTAGCCTTACTAGCCTTCTGATTCTAGGAGGGGCAAACACCCAACTTGAACTGCCAAATTCAATCTTCGTGCTTCTTTAATTCACGTTTCTCTCCCAATATCATGCCTGCCATTATGAGGCATTCAATAGACGTATATCAATTCAAAAAGTAGGTGACTTGTCAGTCGTGACCATATATATGTCGTGCAGTGTCAAGTATCCAGAAGGTGTAGATTAGTAGGCTACAGCCACAGGAAGAGAGGGTAATGCGACAAGACTCCAAGTCCGCTTGAGCCTAGTCTCCCGTAGTCCGACCTCGATAGAATGAAGATAGTCGTTCCTTCTAGCTCGAGCCAGGTACATAATTCAATAACGTGCATCCCAAGCACTTTGATATTCAGGAGCGTAACCTGGGTTCGCGTTGGGCGGCATGTGCATATCATGCGCTCCTTGCGGCGAGGGGTCGTGGAGCGGACGGTAGCTCTGGGGTCCGTAGGGAACCCATGCGGCCTGTGTGGGAGCAGAGACGCGCTGCGAGCGACGGCGGCAGCAGCAATAATATACGCAAATGCCCAGAATGAAAAGCGAAATAACAACACCGAAAATAACACCTATCACCCATAGCGGCAGCTTGGACGATGACGAGGATGTGGTCGTGGTCGTGGTTGTGGACTTGGTGGATGTGGACGAAGAATGCGAGGCCAGCGAAGTCAGGTCATCGACACTTGAATCGTTGCCCAATCGCACTTGCGCAAAGTCCACAGAGGCCGCACTAGCATTAGTGATCGGCAGCAGTTGAATGAACGGGGCATTGGTGCCAGGAGGTGCCTCGTCAACAAAGGAGCCGAAATCGATCAGGAGGTACGCATTACGCACTGCTATGTTTTAGGACCTGAGTGTCCTAGAATAGTAGGTATTCAGACTCACAAAAGGCCATGCCGAGAACCATATCATACATCACCACGCCACCCGCCGTATCATCGTACGAGAATGGTTGGAACTTGTTAAAGGAAATTATAGAGCTGGCAAAAGTCAAGTGGTTGAAGACTCACAGCTCCAACGCACTGGTTTTTGCCCGCATCAAAGTTGAGATCAAGCGGGTGGATAGGGAATTGTATTCCCGCGAACAAGAAGGTCGCGTTAAGTTCTTGATCGCATGGTAGTGCCCAAATTTCTCCTATACCGGAGATGGTTGTTAAGGAGGCACCGGGAACGTTACCGTAAAGCGCTTCGGCAACGTACCTGTCATAACATATCAGAGTAGATGAGAGCTTTCCACAATAAACTTACGAAGGAACTTGTGGGAACGTGAAACCTGTGTCAAAGACAACAGTTGCGTTCTTAGGATAGGATGTATCTGTCACTTGGGTCGTAATGGTAATAGGTTGACCATCGGGACCGATGATCCCATTCTCATCAAGTAATGTCATCCAATGCTGATTCCCAGGCACCATGACCGACGTGACTGGGTGTTGAGGTTGGGTGTGAATATCCTCATAATTAGTTAGGACTTCTCCGATGGTAAGGTCGCCTGGGTAAGGTTCGTCGGGGTCATTAGAGCGGTCGAGAAGAACAGCGAGATAGTTCGATATGGTGTCATTAGAGCGGAAGATTCGGTCGAGAGGAGGGTCTGCGGCCGCTGTCCCACCTTGGGATCTAATCACAGAGCCTGTGTATGGCCCAAGGCCGATAAGACCATCAACGGATTGAGTAAATCCAGCCGTCGAGTCCGCAAATACTGTACACTGATTAGCATGTATGATAGCGGATAGGGAGCTATACACACTGAAATATTGGGCTTCAATCTGATACCCGGCGAATTCCATCGTGGCTGAGAAGACTTCCCCTTGAGGCAACGGAAATGAGCCATGGCTTCCATTTAATATTGTCCTGACGAATCAAACAACTCACCAGCGGCACCTCCAGAGGCATAGCCAACTTCAGCCTGGTAGTGCTCGTCAACTGCGTCAGGAACCTGAGAGGTTACAAAGAGATCAGAGCTGATGGCAATATCATTGTCAGGATTTCGAGTCCCAAAATCATCACTTGAAATAGGCAAACTTTCCTGCCAGTGTCGATCAGAACGCCGAACGGTTGTCCGTTCAAGGTGATGTTTGTCATGTACTCGATATTCTGGTCATCTTCCAAAGTACTTTGGAGGCCAGTGAGGCTTGTTCTTTTTTGGAACTTGGACCTCGAAACTCCAGTCTTGCCGCGGAGTTCAAGGTGAACCCCATGTACGACGTCCAAGGTGGCCAAAAAGCCCAAGGGAAAAAAGAGCGCAGACAACCTCATAACACAATAAGAGAAAAGAACAAACAGACTAGGACGCTGAGCCATCAGGTTTATATGAGGCTCAGCTGCATGTTTTACGTTGATAGCACTGCCTGTGCGATTATGAATTGATCGAATGGGCGCTCAGAGTGGACACATGTTACCGTACTTATTAGGGCTCACCATTTTCGACCATATCCTGTTTTTGGTTGTCGTGCATGCTCTTCCCGTATTCTAACTGTTATGAGTTACAGGAACATGCAGCCTCTGCCCTGCAGGTTGTTGACCTTGCCTGTCACGGACATCTGGATGATTTCCTTGGCATCTAGTCTCCCGTAGTCAGACCTTGACAGAAGAAAGATGGTGGTCCTTCTATATCAAGCTTGGCATCAACATATCTATGGAGTACATATGCATCAATAGTAGTTGGTATAAGTACTGTCTTGTAATGTCGCTCAGCGCTCAGCACCAGGGCACTTCTTGTAGTCACTCACATAATGAACTTCATTCGATTACAATCCAGTGGATGATCAGAGTATTTCCAAAGCATGCTGGTAAGATGATAACAGCTGCTAGAGCGTTACTACATGGTGGAGCTGTGAGAAGAGAAGACATATAGAAGTCGTTGACATGAGAGCCTTCCAATACCAAAATTGCTGTGCAGTTGATCCAACAACTTTTATATCGTTTCCATCATCTGCTCTGGGTTTACGCCGTGCAGGCTGTTCCCTGACATATTATTCAACGCTTTGGCAGCGTCGTGATGCACTCCTTCATATCACTTTCCTTTGTTTCTTCGTTGTGTTCGCTTTCTGTCCTTGCTCTCCGAATCCCATTCGATGTCCACGTACACTCAAACACCCATTTCCCTCGTCAGTCATCTTCCAGCGGCATAGTACCTATCGGGAACACGCAAAACTCATTCTACTACACCAATGTCACGCTCGGTGGTCAAAACATATCCGTGATGCTGGATACGGGAAGGTAATTCTCTAGAAGCGTCACTGCGGCTATCTGTTTATTCGCCTGTTTACAGCTCTGATCTATGGGTGGCTGGCTCAGTACCTGGGGCCACAGACACAGGCGATTCTTTGAAGCTTTCATACGCCGTTGGAACAGCTGCTGGTCAGTCACTCAAAGTTATAGCTTGCACGATTCATTACGTCCATAGCCAGGCGACATCTATACCGCACCTTTTGAATTTGCTGGGCAATCTGTCAGCGACCAGGCATTCCGTCCGTGTCCCTTCTTGGACCATTGCTCTACTTCTGACATCCAGTACAGTGCTTGTCACGAATGTGTCGTCTTTCTCCACAAATATAAATTCTGAAGGGTACGATGGCCTCATCGGCCTTGGCCCAAATTCTGGTTCTTCAATATACAAGAAACTCGACGGCAACTCGGGGAACAACCCAATCAACAGAATTTTCCAACAGTCGTCGACAACCTCCAGTGACTACATAACTATGATGCTCAGTCGCAAAGGAGACCCAGGGAGTAATATCACTGGCCAGTTCACCATTGGAGAAGTCGTTCCAGGATTTGAGAACATCACGAGCATGCCGCAGTTGTCGATAGAGAAGGTCTACAAAGTCACAAACGAGGATCAGCATTGGCAGATCATAACAGATAAAAACAATGGCATCATTGGACCTGATGGACAAGCGATATCATATTCATCGATTGTCCCTAAAGCTCCAGACGGTACAATAGTCGGAGTTTTGGATTCTGGTTTTACCCTGCCTCAAGTGCCCCGAACGGTGTCCGACGCCATTTATGGGCGTGTACAGGGCGCTGAATGGTCGACCTCAACCGAGGCTTGGCTAATCCCTTGCGGGCAACTTATAAACGTTACCTTCAATTTTGGGGGTATTTCGTATCCTATTCACCCACTCGACGTGGTGTCGAACGACTTTGGAGTGACGTTCGCAAATGGAGACCCCGCTTGCCTGGGAACGGTATGTAACAGTTTCTGCGTATCACGAAGCTGTTCTAAATCTGGACCTTGCGCAAAGTTTCAACCTGTAACCTCTGCATTTAGTCTTCTCGGAGAGTATGATATGATCTTGGGAATGGCTTTCAGTAGGTCGTTGACCTGTTCTAACAATACTTGTCTGACACCCTCGCAGTGCGAAACACGTATACCCTGATAAACTATGGAAATTTCATCACCGGTGGCTCAAATTCCAATAATCCATATGTCCAATTGCTCCCCCTCACGAACATCGAATCTGCTGTCAACGACTTCATTCAGGTCCGACTGAACGGGCAAAACACAATCAACTCCTCTCAATACACCCTGCTTCCTGCATCACAGCAACAACACTCGCCCGAGAGCGCCACAGAAAAAAAGCAACAATACGAAGAACTGGTTTTAAGTCGTTGGCCTTATATCCTTGTGGGAAGCCTGGTGTTCTTGATTCTGCTAATAAGCTATTGCGTATGGCGTTGTTGCTGTCGCCGCAAGCGGTTGGCAAAGAAAGCTGCCAAGAAGGCCGCCCAACAGAAGGGCGGGGCTACTTCTGGGAGCAGCTTTAAGACTGGTCCTTACGCGCAGTTGCAGGATTCCCAGAGCACGCAGAGTCTTGTCATGCAACCTATGCGTGCGTCGACCGTCGATTTCGAGGAGGATTACAGAAAGGACGCATTCGCAAGAAGTCACTGATCTCTGCCAGACGAACTATATGTAGTCTAGTAGATTTAGTCCATTTCTTCAGCAGGACACTAATAGTAGCTGGCTACTTCCGTGCATTGCGTGTATCCGTATCTAGCCGTAACTTTGGTAAATGCTCAGCGCTCAGATCTCAGATACCAATTATAAGTCCATCATTTCATAAACTATAGTACACGCAAGCCTGTCTCGTGACGATATGTATGCTACAACTCAATTACTCAAGGTTTGGAATGCCCACTCCAAACCATCCCATCATCCCATTGGAAATACAACGCGTCTCAGCATCATTATGATGTCGACAGAATGTTTCGTAACCAATACTCCACCCCCCTGAGTACACAATTGCCACTGGCGCTGCTAGTGCCCATGTAGACGACATGAGCCACGCCCACGGTCATTGCCACTGAAAGAAGGCCACCAAAGGAAACTAGTAATGGGACATATAGTGCCTTTGGCTGTTTCGGCGCTGAGATAGCTGGTGGCTGTGGTTCCTGGACTCGCACCTCCGGACCTTGTAGCAAATCGAAGATACTGGCGTTCAGCTGAAAGGCCTTATTGGCTTCTTCCAGTACAGCCGCTAGCAAATCAAGGTTCAGCAGACAGAAAGGAACCCAAAGACGATAAACAGACCTTTCAACGTGGTATCTTCACCAATCCCAGCGTTCATTCCATCTCTGTACCAGTCCTTGATCTTCTTGAGATCCCCCATGTTGGCAGATTCACTACTGTCCAATTTCTTGAAATCGTAAAATCGGATTCCATCTCCTCGGTCCACGTCTAGGTCGTATGCCTTGGCTATACGTCGTCGTATAAACTGGCCACCGCTCATATCACCGAGATAGCGGACGTAAGCATGTGCGAGTAAGCATGAGGGGTCCGAAAGTCCAGAAAGCTCTCTGAGGCGCGTGGTATATTCCACAAAAGGCTTGGGAGGGGACGCCATCAATGAGCTATGCGATGGGTGCATCTGCCATTGTGCTTCCGGAACCTCAAGTAGATACGAAATGTCTTGGGAGAGACTCGGGGTGCGGGAGAGCAACGTAGGGTTATAGGTTGGTTGTAGCGTTGGGTATGACGCGTGCGTCTCTAAACCCCTCTCGAGTTCGCTGAGTTATGTGAGTCAACAGACAATACAGAAGGCGATTTGAACAAAGCTTACTCGTATACGTGCCATAGGATCATTAAAAAATACACGTATTCTTCCTTGTCCAGCTCGCCCTTTACGAGCCGGACGCCACCTTGACTGTTCTCTGCAGATTCATGGGCCTTGGACGTACCAACGCGAAGCAATGACGCCATTGGGAGTGAGAAATCGTAGTCATTGTTGACCTCCATTGCTATCAAGATGGTGGAACAGTGGGAAAGGTAACGTTCACGCAGCTCGCCAGAACGAAGCTGTATAAATACGTGTAGCAAATTTAAAATGCGAGTGGCTCAAGAAGTGGGGAAGACACAAAAGGACTATGGATGCTGTACATAACTGCGGAGCATCCGAAGTATGGCGCGAGTTCTGCCCTTTGTCTGCCCCGTAAGCTGTCCCGTGACTCCGAGGCTCCGGGATGGCCAAATATAGGGACCTTATCGCGGGGGGTGACTCGGATGAGTCGTGGTAGCCAAGGCTGTTAGGGCCTATTAGCAGTGTCAGGGCGTCACGGTGGAGGGGATGGCGGGGACAATATTAATGACAGCATCCTCATCAATGGTATGAGACACACAAATATGGTAATAAGTTCGGAGTCGTCCGGTCGACATCCTTGTCGGACAAGTCCGCGATCGTACCATTGATGTAAAGCTAGCACAACCCAAACAAGCGCGCGGTACTAGCCAGATTCCAGAGGTCACCGTTGGGGTCTAATCTCAGCCCCCACTCACTCGACCTTGTTTTTCGTACAGTCTTTCGTCTCACTGTTTGCAATAAATCGCGCCCGAGCTGGGAGACTCCGATTGCCCCTGATCGCGCTCTATATAAGTAGGTTAGGCCAAGTGTCTGGCAATGATTGGATGATAGCATACTGACAACATTATCACCAAATATTACCAGGATGTCGCCACTGTGTTAAATCTCTCTCGATGCCAGCGGCAACGAATGTGGCACCTCGGTGGACCCCCAGAACATAAGTACTAACGTGCGATTATACACAGCGCTGAGTCTTCGATCCTTCATATCCATAGCCTCACAATACAAAGTTCAGTCTCGATTTCATGATTAATGATACATACATGCTACAAGCTCAGATCCATCAACCCTCAAAATCTAGGTGCAAGCCCCCCAGCCGACCACTTAGAGAGCAATATTAATATGTTTAAGAAAATCGAATCGGCGAAGGCAGTAGTCGACCCCCCCTCCCCAATAGTTTGCAGTCACAAGACTCACAACTCCGCAAAAATCTTTCGAGGTTAGTTAGATGGCGTTGTCAAGCGTGTAGACAGTACTCACATGAGGAATTTGGAAAACTGACGGCGAAGTCGGCGTAGTCATTGATCTAGTACGTCGATGTTTGGAGGATGCAGCGTCGTTTGGGGCGGACAGATTTTTTTCTGCATCCCTCGTGCTGTCAGATGTACCTCCGTCGGTGTGTCTAACACGAGATGAAAAAGAGCAGTCGGTGGACACTGTCCTGCGCTGTGACTCAGTACTTGAATCTAGCGATGGTTGTCCAGAGGGTGACACTGCCGAAGACGCCTCCGACGTTTGTGTCTCAAGCTCAAGTTGCATAACATCATTGGCTGATAATCCCCTCTTCTGTAAGTAATTCACGCGATTGGCACCAGATCAGGAACTTACGAGAAATCTTGAGTTCAGTATCATGAGCCAGCTTGCAAGCTACGCCGTCGGGGCAGTAGCCCGCTAAGAACGCCTTGCAAGGTAGCCCTGTGGGACATGGTTAATAAAATAACTACTGACTGTGGAGCGCATACTATACCCACCCATCATCACACCACCACCAATCACTCGCCATGGAATAGGATGGTAATCGCGTGCCTTGAGCTCTTCCATAAGTGAACGTGGTTTCGGAGGCAAGTGAGATGGCGCTGTCCTACGGGCCTGATGATCAGCTTGCTTTGCCCGTTTACATTTCTCTACGTCGTGAATACTGTGGTGGGGTTGAGCCGAAGAGAAAAAAACATTACATAGAGAAAGTACGCACAACCTGCATTTATCGCCTTGAACACAATTTTTGAGTGGTGAGAAAAATTTGCAAGGCTTAGCTGTTTTGTTGTGATGAGCGATCAACGATGGAAAAAAGTGTCTGTTAGAGAAATGAATCACTTTTATATTGAATTGTTTTCTCCATTTCTTGCTCTGCTTTCCTACGGGTGGCAGCTCGAGCATTCAAACTAATTGGAGTGTGTCCTCTATTGTTACCAGGGGCTACATTGCTGTGGTATGTGCCCGTGTTGTTGGGGTACTGGATCCTTGGTAACGATTGTGAGAACGCAGAAGGGAACCGTTCTGACGGGACGGGTTCTTTGAGGGTCATGACATTGAACGCTGTGTTCAAACTATGGTCAGACGAGGCGGAGTCACTCGACGAAGAGAGATCCGTAGAATTGTCAAAAGCGTTTCTTGACGCGTCGAAACCGTGCGGTGCCACATGTGGGGCTACCGTGTATACAGCGTACGCTGTGTAGCCATGACTATGGCCGACGTTTTGATCCCACCCCTTATGTGGTGTTTTCGTGTGTACATCAGGTCCGTTAGGGTAAGCATACTCTGATGGCGGGATTCTTACAATGAGTCCGTGGGAGACGAAGCAGACTATAGACACCATACCTTGTGGCGCACTCTCCGGCTGTAGGTGCACAAAACGGCATGCTGAACCACGTCGACAATGTCCGGTTGCGTAGTAGCGACAAACCTTGGTCGATTTTGAGTAAATTCTTCTCTCCTTATCTGGTGTGCAAGGAGTCCGCCCCTCTGCATCACTACCTGTGACAATAATTAATGTGGGCACTCATGCAGGCGCCAATGTCTGGAATATTCTTACCGAAATTATGAGGAACGCTGGAAACATTAGCCATGTAGATAACAAGAAAGAGTGGAAATCCGGTGTTCGTTAAGATGAATAAGATGAAACGGCGCTTCTAGCCTGTTATAAGGGTCTGCGAGAAGGCCCGCAATCCCACCCGCAAAAGCACAAGTGGAGGTCAAGTGAAACAAGGAGTTTCATGAGACGCGACTGTTCAGTTGTGGACAACTTAGGTCCTTGGATCGCGCTTCGTCAGACAATGGCTAAATCCGAAACCGGCTTAGCACCGGTCTGGTAGAAATAAAAAGGGTCATGGACGAAAAACTTGCCGCCGGTGCAGTCAACTGTCTAACCATGTGCGCGTTTTCAAAAGATTAAGAGCTCTTCTGACTTGCGCAAAATGACTTACAAGGAAATTGGGCAAACACGTTGAAGTGCAAAAATAACAACAATAAGAGTCGGAAGACCCTGAGGTCATAGCTGCGGACCTTGGCCCGCATCTGTTCCTGTTTTGCTAATCAAGCAGCTTCAAAATATAACAAAGTGCGTCCATACGTACCTTATCTTTCTTTTGTCCCCTGGGCGCAAATGATATTGACATCGGACAGTAAACCACAAGCAGAACTTGCAAGCTTGATTTGGTAACAAATTTTGTGATCGACTCGCCGCTTACGTTACTATTTATCATGGTGCATGAGCCACGGAAGCAACAGCATCGGTATTATTGACGAGCACATGGTACTACAACTGCAAAACACGGTAAACCGCAGTGTGAACTAGAAGAGAACCCGAGACGCCGCCTTATCATATATCATACAAAATAATTTCAACGCGTTTGTCATTATTCATGTCATGAGCCGGTGTTTCCGCCACGGTCATGAAGTAGGGGCGTCAGCTCCGTAACAGGAGACGTAACAACAGGCGAAGTTGTTGCATCAGGATCGGAGCTCTGTTCATTAGCAGATGCAGCACGAGGCTTATTTGCTTGGGAAAGATGCCAGGGCTGGGTGACATCTGCTTTGCAAACAGGACACTGCAAAGAAATAAGAATCATCATGACCCGGATGACATTGATACACAATAACCCACCAATTTTTTCCGGTTGATCAACCAGGAATCAACTTCCTCCAGATGAAAGATGTGATGACACGGCAGCTCCCGAACACGATCTCCTTTGACAAATTCCGATAAACAAATGGCACATTCCGCCTGCGATTCGCACCATGGTATCGGCGCATGGTTTAGTGTTTCATGAGATGTAGAGGGCGACGATGAACTATGATCTGAGGGGCCTGATTCTAGATCACTGTCGTGTGCCCCGCTTGAATGGGCCCCATGTGCCGTAGTCCCCTCATGTTTCTCCCATCCAGTACCATTCCAGACCCGCCAAGGAAGACTTTTGACTATAGTTTCCGGAGCACGATCACGTTGTGCTGCACGAGCCATGCGAATGCGATGGATGAGAAGTGTGACGAATGTGAGACAGGAGGGGAGTATAAGGATGACAACAAATGTTAATATTGGGCTGAACGACCGACTTTGAGCAACGAAATGCGGGCGAGACATTGAAACTCACGAATACCATTCCCAAGCTGAGTATTGAGTCGTGATCAAAAGTGAAAGCGTTTGTAAGCCGGCATGAGAGGTCGTAGACGATTTGATTAACAGAGATAATTCCTTGTAATCCGAGTATTTGATGTAGGTGGAAGCAATTGTGACATCAGAAGCATCGGCTGGAGCACTTCAACTGCGGTTCGATGGTGGCACGAGGAAAAGAGCGAACCTTTACTATACATATTTATGAGTGCGTCTGGTTGACCGTTGATGTCAGGATCTTCGCCTCCTACTACAACAGCCCTGGCACCGAGCCTCTGAGCTTCCCTGACCTGATAAAATGTGAGAAAATCGGGTCTCGGATTCTAGACGAGCGCATTCACTTTGTCAACGAAGGCGCAATGGCCTCTCTGCACCAGGGCGATCCAAGACTCGCTTGGATCCGGTTGGTGGGGACCACTTATGCAGAGCTTCGGGCACCCTGAATTCGAATGTCGGTCTTCCAGTGAGGTATCGTTGCCAGCGCATGAAGTCGTGAATGAAGACATTGGAATGACATAACCTAAGAGTGGTTCTTGCAGTTCCCGGCCAAAAGCCGCAGGCCTTGAATGGAAGGTAAGAGGCGGTGATCGATCCACCACAGAAACCGAGCTTTCAGCGCCCCATACCCAACCCCACAACCAACCGCCCTCTTGCGAGGTTGCGGACAATTTGCGGAGGAAGCTCAATGGATGTGGATGTGCATAGACCTGAATTACGAAGAAAAGGAGCAGTAAGACTAAGGACGCGCGGGCCATCTTGTGAGCCCCTCGAGAATGAGAGGAAAGACGACGACGGTGATAAGTTGGGTTTCTTGAGTTAGCGGAACTAGTAGGTATATGGCGAATTGGCAACATCCTGCAGAAGCAAGCGGCTGCTTGGCAGCACCTTGTTCGGCAAATTCCGGGCATGAGCCAGAGTGCTGTTTCAAGTCGTTCGACCACTTCCCATTGGACACCATAACAAGCTCGCTGTCGTCGCGCAGCGTAGCTCTTAAAATTATTACCGTCTGACTTTTTTCCTGTGCCTTGAACGAACAGCCTCAGGGCCAACGCTTCGCGACCCCTAAATCGCACAGATGGGGAACTCGGTTCAACCAATGCCGGGCAGCGCTTCCTGATCTTGCATGTGTTCTGATATCACTTCCCGACTTCGATCGTCTTGCACCAGCAATGCTGGCTTCAAAAACTGTCTACGACGTCTTTCAACAACACCCTCTCTCGACCGATCGTTCTGTAGCTTACAACTTGGTTGAGCCAGTGTTACTGTTGCGTTTTCTCCGGCAATGCGAACCTTGTGTCCAAGTCCGTTGGTGAACTTCTGGCCGAGGATGATATTCGGAAAACCCAATGCACTCTAATGAAGACATCACAAGTCTTGTCGCCTTTTCTGGTTCTGTTCAAGAACTCAAAAGGCTGTTTAGTTAGAGGTGGTTTCTTCATCTTTCCGCGCCCGCGTTGGTCTCATTTGTTCGGTCAGAATGAAAGACCGGAGATTCAACACAAATCAGCTCTCCTTGGAGGAGTCTACGCGATTCCGGAGAGCGATGTACAGATTGACCTTGTATTCAGCCGTCTACGGCACCCGTCGGTCGTCGGACTTGGTCTCCAGTCAATCGCCAATTTGTCCAAGAAGCTATAAATTTACGAGAGGTCGAAACATTTTGCTGAGAAAGTTAGCTCCAATTGCTGCTGGTGAGGATTTCCTGCTTGAAGTATGTGAGCGCGAGCATTTTCATTCATGCTCTATTGACTCGTCGTGAGCGCATGTGGTCAGCGGTCCATCGGTATTCCTCGATCCCGGCGAAATACTTGAGATTTATAAGGAGGAACTCCTCATCGATGATTCATGCCGCGATCAGGAATTCTACGAAGTCTGGTCTGGACTTGCTTGACTACATGACATGGGTTTATGACACCTGGAACAAAGAGGACTGGCTATGCGAACGATGCTTGGTTCATGAGCGATCATCTCCACCTTTGGTACGTAGGGAAGCAGGTAAATCGTAAGTATCTGTCCTTCATAATTTTCGACGTCTGTTCACCCCATGCATCCCAGGAAGGACAAATAGTTCTAGAAAACTGCTGGTGTGAGTATAACTGCCGTACCCGAGCACACAACAGATCACACGCTTAGAGACTGAATGTGAGTTCCTGCGGGTTGCTGTAGTCGGGAGCTGAACTTGTTCTGGATTGTAGCACTGGTGCGGCCCTATCACCTTTGAGCAATGCGAATTTTCCTACAGCTCTCGAATCATCATGTCTCATTTCGAAGGCTCTATGTTTTCAATTCCGGGCATTGCGTGTGTATCGCGATCTGGTAGCGATGCTCGATTAGTGAGCTTCCAAAAGGTGTATTCAAGCAGGTTGGATTCAGAATTAGACGCACTCGTGATTCGTTGACAAGAACCACTACAGAAGAACCCCGAATAAGAATCGGATGGACGACGTCTGGCCAACGCGAGCAATTGTACGCCCCTCAGCCAAAATTATCTTGATGCTTGTCACTGCCTTGAGGTACGACTGCAATCTCATTTTGGTCGTCTTTTTATGTAGACAGGCGCTGAACAAACGCTGAACTAAACTTCCTGTCCAACGCCTGTCTATTGGACGAGCACAAGTAAACTGCAGAACGATCCGAGAGGGCATGGCTCAGCAACCGTATCACTGGCAAGTCAACCACTGAACCTTGTAGGTACACCAGGTTGTTATGCTTGCTAAAATTGATTTAAACTAATGAGTGCTTTGATGCATTAAGCTGATCACGTCCGACATTGAATGAGGAGACTGGGTGCCATGGTCACTGTCGGACAGCCGTGGTTGTGCGACGTGTTGTATGGATCTCCTTTACATCGAAGGCGAAAGATCTCTTGGAAACATCGTGATTAGCCCTTAGCCGGTTGAGGAAAGCCTGGGCTCGGGTTAAACGTCGAGTGCCCAAGGGAGACTAGGGTTTCGCCCGGTCTTTTCTCCATCGCCGTAATTGTAAGTTGTTGAATTAAGTTGCACAGAAGGGTCTCTGGATTTAGGAGATGGTCTTAGTGTGACAAGGATGTGAAGGGGTCAATCGTCCTCTATTCCGGGGCTCGTCGTGATTCGCCACTGGCAGTCTGGCACTTGCAAGAATTGAAGAGAATTGAAAGCACCGAGACTGACCTAGTCTTCCCTAGACAATGATGACGGTCGTTCCTTCGAGACTGACTCACCAGCGCCCTTCGTAACTTCGTTGGTGCCGGGGATGAAATCAGCAGTTCGGATTATCTTCGCTTTGTGCGGGGCTTCCGAGTGGCAGGTGACTACTAGGAGACGGATCTAAGACGGACGTACGTACATAACATAACCAACAAAAAATGATTTCAGTCTTGACACCAATGTTGCTGCTGTGCAACGGACCGCTAGCTGCAGAAACTCTTGCAAACGTTTGGAGTAGCTCGAGCTTGTTGATAGCCAAGTGGCCTCGGAGTGCCCGGCTCAGGCTGAATTCTATTACTTACCGTGGCCCAGTCTAGCCGCGGACTTTCTTGGATGTAGTCCACGCGAAACCACGACACGATTGATCGCCTGACATAGTTCTTCGGTTCTTGCCCATGCGTGCATATGGCATCGTACATTCCGTACTGGAATTATAAAGAGAGCGTCTGCAGCTTTTTGCAAACCATCTTTCCCCAGATCATCATGTGGCCCTCCCTCAGGCTACTTTCCGCGCTCGGCCTTTGCGCTTCAGCGTTTGCCCAGTCAAGCACGGTGGACTCGTATACCAGTACCGAATACCCCGTTGCAAAGGCTGGTGTACTTGCAAACATCGGTGCTGGTGGTGCCAAGTCATCCGGAGCTTATGTGAGTTCTGAAGACACCAAATATCTGAACCGCTAACCTGGACCTATGTAGCCCGGCGTGGTCGTCGCCAGTCCTAGCACCACCGACCCAGACTACCTGTACACATGGGTCCGGGACTCTTCGCTCGTCTTCAAAATGCTCATTGATCAGTACACCTCCGGGCAAGACACCACTCTGCGTGCTCACATTGACGACTTTATTACCGCCGAAGCAAACCTACAGCAGGTCACTAATCCAAGTGGAACTGTCTCCACTGGTGGCTTGGGCGAGCCCAAGTTCAACATCAATGAGACCGCATTCACTGGAGCGTGGGGTCGCCCCCAGCGTGGTATGTACGATAAATGTGTTGTGTCCCGCTATCGCTAACAGGTAAACAGATGGACCTGCGTTGCGTTCAACTGCCATGATCACCTATGCAAATTGGCTTATTGCCAACAACAATGAATCATACGTCACTGACTCCCTCTGGCCCATTATCAAGCTCGACCTCGACTACGTCATGAACGACTGGAACGAGACGACGTGAGCTTTGCGTAAATCAAGTTTTCTTGTCCCGAGACTCATGCAAGGCTCAAGTTTCGATCTGTGGGAGGAGGTTGATTCTTCTTCATTCTTTACTAGCGCTGTTCAGCACCGTGCACTTCGTCAGGGCTCTGCTCTTGCCACTGTGATCGGCCAAAGTTCAGTTGTCAGCGGATACAATACCCAGGCAAACAACATTCTCTGCTTCCTCCAGGTGCGTAAAATGGCTCTTTCATTTAGTGTTTTCTCAATCCGAGTATCTCAATAGTCATACTGGAACCCCTCACCCGGCTTCATGACTGCCAACACCGGAGGCGGCCGCTCTGGCAGGGATGCTAACACAGTGTTGACATCCATCCATACCTTTGACGTCGAAGCTGGCTGCGATGGTGTCACATTCCAACCCTGCTCCGATGTTGCTTTGTCCAACCTCAAGGTCTATGTCGACTCATTTCGTGAGATCTATGACATCAACACTGGCATTCGCGCTGACCAGGCTGTTGCAACTGGACGGTACCCTGAGGATGTGTACCAGGGTGGTAATGTAAGGTCCTTATTCCTATCTGATGTCATTTCTCAACTTTCCGTAGCCGTGGTACTTGGCATCCTTTGCAGTTGCCGAGCAGCTCTACGACGCCCTCATCGTGTGGAATAACGAAGGCTCCCTGACAGTTACAGATGTCTCTTTCCCTTTCTTCCAGCAGTTCGACTTGAGCATTACGCCAGGGACCTACAGCTCCTCAACTCCGACTTACAGCGCCCTCACAACATCGATCAAGAATTTTGCAGACGGTTTCGTCGCTATGGCTGCGAAGTACACGCCCTCAGGCGGAGGACTGGCTGAGCAGTACAGCAGGAACAACGGAACACCGACCAGCGCCGTTGACTTGACGTGGAGCTATGCATCTGCGTTGACTGCGTTTGATGCAAGGGCTGGTAAAACATCTGCGAGTTGGGGTGCCGCGGGCCTCTCTGTTTCCACTACATGCTCTACTAGCAAGGCCGCAACTGTTCCTGTTGTTTTCAAAGTCAACGCTACTACCGCCGTGGGACGTGAGTTAACTAAAACTGCGAACGTGACCAAAATTATTGAATTTTGTTTCCTATAGAGAATATATACTTGACTGGTTCCGTTGGTGCTCTGACTGACTGGAGCACCACCAATGCTATTCTCATGTCCTCCGTCGACTACCCAACCTGGAACAGTGCGTCTGGTCTTTATTCAATTGCAACATGTACTAACTCCACATCCTAGCGGCCGTCACTCTTCCAGCGAACACGCAAATCCAGTACAAGTACATTATCGTCGACAATGGTAGTATCACTTGGGAGTCTGATCCCAATAATGAGTTCACGACGCCCATGTCTGGTATCACAACCCTCGACGACGTGTGGCGGTAATCTTATTCCTGAGCTATTCTGGACGCTTTTCTGGTGATGATAGCACAATTATACCCATTCCCAATACATCTTCATTCCCTTGACTAGTTGCAAAATGCAGTGCAACACGACGACCGATGAGTACTTGAGTGCTGAGCGTGACACATGTCCGTTACGTAAAATGGCGTAGCCACTGTAGCCAAGCCACTAGCACCTGGCAGGTCCAGTATACATACGCAGCTCACGACACACTTGATCTCCTGCAAGTTTTCATCATGTCCATGCTAGACAAATTCAGGAGGGGCGCGCAGAAGGCGGGTATTCAGGCCACAGCTCTCGTCAAAGAGGGCTCCTCGCGCGTGGCGACTGGCTCCAGAGATTTTGTGCAAGGATTCACGCTGCCAGGGGAAGCTGAGAAGGCAGCAAAGATTCTCGAGAGCTTTCTTGGTGCGCATATTCCTTCCAATGACGTCGGCAGCATCGTTTGTTGAATGTTTTACTGCGCACAGCAAACCCAAATCATCCTGAGTCTGCACTCAACTCAATACCCACAGCCGTTCTTCAGCGTGCAAGAGGTGACATTCATCCACTCCCAGCACCCCAGTACTTCTCACTGACCAACGCACACAGGTCTCGCCGTGTTCCAAGTGCTCAAGGCTGGATTCATGTTCAGTGGGAAAGCTGGCTCCGGCCTAGTCATCGCGCGGCTCCCGGACGGATCATGGTCTGCGCCCTCGTGCATCGCAACCGGCGGGCTCGGGTGGGGCCTCCAAATTGGCGCGGATATCACAGATTTCGTGATCGTACTGAACAGCGAGGATGCAGTCAAGGCATTCAGCATAGGCGGGAACGTCACTATTGGTGGAAACATCAGCGCCGCCGCCGGCCCCATTGGCACTGGCGGGAGCGTCCAGGCTACCTTGGCTCACCCTGCACCCATGTTTTCATACTCGAAATCGAAGGGTGAGACATTGGCCATTTTCATCTTCATTTTGATTTCATTTGACCGTAATTGTTGTTGTTAACGTGATGTGCTGATACGTGCTACAGGTCTTTTTGCTGGTCTCTCGTTGGAGGGTACAGTTCTTATAGAGCGGAAAGACGCTAACCGCGACTTTTACGGTTCGCCTGTACCTGCACGCGATATCCTCGGTGGGCGTGTGCCTCCACCCGAAGTTGCTTCGCGTCTGTACGAGATCATCGAGGCTGCAGAAGGACTGGATGAGACGGGTGTCCCGCAAGCTGCGTACGTGCCCAGTGCTACGGGCCAGCATATGAGCATCGGAAGCAATCATATGGTGTTTGACGCGGAAGCACATTAACGAGTGGCGCTGGCTTTGAGTAGGGAGTGATGGATATATATGAGATCGGTGCTTTTCCTGTCTGTAAATTTTTCGCTTTGTTCAGTTCTTTATGGTGTACATCTTATACCTGATTGCAATCTTATCGCGTCAAATCTTCTCATTAATTGGTCTAGCTACAGGGGTAATATGATGCATATGTATGGATAGCACATCTAGGAAGGTATCGACACTACAGTTATGAGTAATGATAGCTCTAGCAAAGAATCTGAAGCACCCCAGACTTCAAATACTTATGCCATACAAGAATCTGGCAACACATACGTATCCCAGAATCCAGCCGTTCCGTTGGTTATGGCTAAGTCTGTAGCGTCAAGGCCCAGTAATCGCATCACGAGGTTGTAAATCTCGACATTCTGGAACCCTGGCATCACATATTCTCCCTTGCCCTCCTCTCCTCGCGCGGTGACAGCAGCCTTTGCGCCTTGAGAGAAAGGCCCGTGTGCAACGAACATGGCATACATCGAGGGGTCATCGTTGTCGTAACCATGGTTCTAGAAGGTACAATGCATTAGCTCGGTGACCTACAGTGCAGAAATCAAGTGACATGAGATGCGGCAACGTAAACTCACTCCAGTTGACATTCCGTCTTCGCCGTCCGTGCGGTCAGTCAGCGCGTAGCCTATACGTGGGACAATCCACACAGGGGCGATGCGGTAATTGCTAGAGAAGTGGTATCGTTCGGGCATAGGTTCCACCGTGCCTGCAGTCATCTTATCGTAGTTGAATGCGTTTAGGTCCACCAAGGAGGTACCAGGGTCGGTAGAGAAGCTCTCAGTCGTAAACACGTCGAACCGATCAGGGTGGGTAAGCGTGTATTCACACAGACGCTCAAGGGCCTCAGTCACGTTCGTGCCTGGAGCGAAGCGTAAGCCCATAGATGGCCAACCTGGACAGTGCACGTAATCATTCAGTCTCAAACTTTCCGGGAAATAGCAGATAATATACTGAAATCACTTACCATCCACTTTAGTAACACCTTTCCATGGCTGACCAATAATCTCGTCGACATACACCCAAGTTGGGTGGCTGGTGTCTGTCATCCCGTGGTCGCTGACGAAAATGATATCAACGATATCCGTGAGGTTACGTTCGCCCAGTGCTTGGGTGAGATTCCGAGCGAAAAGATCAACGGCTGCAAGGCTCGCCTGTAGCAAGTTTATCAACACGCCAAGCAACCAAAACAATCAGCACAACGCTTACATTAACGGCCCCAGACATTGGCCCTGTTGCATGGCCAGCTTGGTCAAGGGACGGTTCGTAGCCTATGAATTTACAATGTCAGCGATAAGGAACCTAGTGCCACAGCGGAGAATCATGAAATTGAAGAGGATGAAGTAACAAGGGGAAGAAATTACGTTGGCCCGCTTAGAGCAAAGGAAGCTTTATAAATATATTCGACCAATCCTGAGGCAGAGAAAGAAATATCAGGGATGCAAAAACACACCAAGGATAAGCTGCGGCCGCTCTTCCAACGGGAGATCGACCCACTCTAGGAGATTAGAAAGTTTCTTCTCGAGAGAGTAGTTATTCTGCGTTCCAGTTCAAGTCACATTACATCCTTTTTGAGTTCAAGACTACACTCTTACCTCCCAAGGTAGGAAATATGTAGAGTTCATGCCTGAGGATGTAGACCAAGGACCAGGCCTGTTCAAATGAATACAAAGCCAAATATGAGGCAGAGGGGAAAACTAACCACATGAGGTTTGCGGTGATGATGCCTGCACGCTCAGCGGTTTCCCACATCTAAGTTGCACGAAGGGAAGGATATGCAAAGGGACAGGGAGGACAATGCGTGTGGTAGTCAAATGACAAGACGGACATGCAAAGTTGCAAGAGATGAAAGAGAACACATTAAGCGGGCATACATAAAATAATTTTGGTGGGGTACTAACAGGTTCGCCTAGCCACCAGCTCGGGTTCTGCGCGGATTCAACACGAGAGTAATGGAATGTGTCTTGGAAAACGGGGTCCCAGAAGTTCTACATGGTCGATGTAAGAACTCCAGACAATTAACGAGAGTGAAGGACGAACGTTTGCAACGATGCCGTGCGACTCGGCGTAAAGGCCAGTCCTACAGGCAGTGTGAGTTCATGCTGAGCATTATACGGGTGGTACTTACATTAGTGTCCAGTGATTTCTTGAACAAATGTCAATCAGGCATATCAAATACTTTACCAAGGTATGACTCACGGGAACGTCAAAGTCTACAGAAATGAAAATGTTGAGTGACAGATAGTAGAACCAAAAGGGAACGCGCACGGGGAAAACAGGCTTCATGAACTTTGCCCTTACACCTTGCCGACTGATATCCAGCAAATGCGGCGTGAGTCCACGATCCAAGTAATCCGCACGAAGACCATCGATTGACACCATGAGCACTGTCTTCTTGAACTCGTGCGTTCCATTCGAGTATAATGCGTCCCTCCTAGTTCTCGTGTCATGTCGAGTGCGGGGCCAGAGTTCGAATATGGTAGAAGCGAGAATAAACGAAAGAAGAACACTGAATCCAACGAAGCGCTTGCGTTTGCGTAAGGGTGCAGGGGAAGTGGGTTGCTCCTCGAGGTCAGGTTGGACAGCGTCTACGGCGTCAACATTCGAGAGTAGACCGCGTCGTTCATCGGGCGTGGCAGATGTATCGAAATCATGTGTGCTCGTCATCGCGCAAGAGGACGACGACGAAGAGAGAATTGAAAGTGAAAAGGAAACAAAAATAAAACACTGGTCTAGTGGCCGCGTAAGTAGACCAATCGAGGGAAATGAAATACACTATGTATGTATGTGGCTGTGCTAATTTATTGCCTTCTGCAGCCACGTTCGCAATGACATGGATCCTGGGCTGGACAGTGTCCTTGCTTGCCTACATCAAGGCCCAACTCGTACTTCTGCTCCTCTATGTTCTTTCTGCAGGCCCTATCCCACGTCATGTGGCCTTCGAAATGGACGGTAACCGACGATTTGCACGTCTCACGGGCCGCTGCGCGATCGAGGGTCATTCAGACGGGTTCCATACACTTAAGCAGGTACACCTCTTGATCCTGCTTCAGTCGTGTATATTATCTGACGTGGGCCACAGGTATTAGAGATATGCATGCGCCTTAACATACGCTGCGTCACAGTCTACGCCTTTGCAATCGAAAACTTCAATAGACCAGCCGACGAGGTCGGCGCGCTCATGAATCTAGCAGAAGAGAGACTCGTGGAGATTGCACAGAATGGGTGAGCTTTTATTTTTTATATTAATGCATTGCGGTCAAAGTGCTTGCTTGCCTGACGTCATTGCCTGCTAATTGCTTTTCAGTGCTCTCTTAAACCAGTACGGCGTACGCCTCAACGTGCTTGGTCATCGCGAGCTACTACCTATGCATGTTCAAGCTGCAATTGATAAAGCGGAGGGAATGACGCGTCAGAATGATAGGTATATCCCCTCTACCTTCACTTTCTATCCTGAACTTACTATGACAGAGCAATATTAAATGTCTGCGCACCATACGCATCGCGGCATGAGATAACATTAGCGGTACAATCTGTTGTGCAGCAGGCACTTGATAAAGAGAACGTTGATCCTTCGTGAGTACTGACCTCTCCTTGGCCGTTGTTTCAATTTGTGACTTCTCCCGTTCGTGTTTCAGCTAACCAATACACGCAGATCGATCACAGAGCAATCCATCGAGGAAAACCTCATGACTTCACTTGGGGGCAGCCCTCCGCTCGATATTTTTATTCGGACAAGTGGCGTGAAGCGATTGAGCGGTTTTCTGCAGTGGCAGGTGCGTCTCTGTCCCTTCCCTTCCCATCATCAGTCTCTGTCCATTTTGCTTGTTCGTCTTCCATCTCCCATTTCAAAGAACTGGATCTTCCTTTTCTTGAAGAAGGCGAAAGGCTCACTCATACGCCCATCCGAACCGTTCTCTTCACCAAACTCATTTGTGCCTCTCACAGTGCTGCGAAAACACCCAGATTCACATGGTAGATACTTACTGGCCTGACTTCGGCCTCTGGGATTTCGTGCCTATCCTGCTAGATTACCAGCGGAAGATGTGGGCGCGAGACTTGTCAAAGCTGGTGTAATTTCCGCTGGGTGTTTGCTAGTGTAGTGGGCCGTGCCAGATATTCACATTTTACCACGTCCTCAACTAATCTCGCTCGGTCAAATTCCCTGTTGTTTTCTAGCTTCGTGAGCTCTCATATTCTTTTACCCAGCTTCGGATATGTATTAGAGCAAGTTTACTGTCGGGTCGTTTGGTCAAACGATGAAGTGCCTGTATCTCTGTTGCACATCATGTACATAATAGTCAAATCGGCAACAAGCTTCATCCGCGAGCGCCATGGCAGATCTCTTGAAAACAAAGACGCTGAATATGCATAATAAGTTCAACCGACAGATGAAACGATGGTGAGAAGCAGTACTGCAGTGTTTTACTTCATCATATAGTCCGATTGTTGGGTGGCCTGATGCATCTCATTGATGTCGTGCGTACTCCGCCCGCTTCGCATCCACCCACGCCGTTTCATCAGCCCTTAAACCACCCGGAAAAAATACCGGAATGAGTGACAGCGCAACTCCGCGTTCAAGCGCTTCTGCCTCTGCTAGAGCATTGAAGACTTTGTCATGGTGCACCTCGCGTAGGCGTTCGAGGTGAAATCCAAGTGCGGCTGCGCTGCGCGGAGCGCCAGCAGCAATCAGATTCTGAATCATGCCGAGACCACCAATTGCGAGTAAGTACCACGCATCATTGATCAAGGTCTGCACAGTGAGGAGGTGGGCAGTCCAAAGGACGGCAAGGAAAAAGGTCATGACAGTGGTTGAATGGAATCGTTCTGGCCGCGCGGCAGCGAGGTCCTCCAACCTAATACCCGTCCCTTCGCTAACAACGACGATGACACTATTGCTATGACTCCCACGCGTGAGGCAGATGATCTCGCGCTTGTCCACCTCCCGTGCTGCCCATTTCTCTGCGCGCCACTGAGGCAGAGCGCCGCCAATGAGGGCCAGTGAAGTGCCGCTGGCAGTGATTATCAAAACCAACCAGTCGCGACTAAGGATTACAGGAAGGACAGAAATAACGAGTTGCACAAGGATAGTGGCTATACCGCTATAGTATAGCCAGTCTTTTACAGGAATGCCGACTGGCTTGGACTTGGAAGCGAAGTATATCGAAACAGTGAGACCCTTGGGACTCTGATAATGAGGGGACCAGTGGTCGCGCAGGAGTCGACCAAGAGGCCAAGACATGTTGTTGCGAACGTGTCCGTCTTTTGCGTTTACAACGATAGACGGACAGTCGGATGGAGGCATGAGGCGACCCTCCCCGATAGCAGAGAGAAGGGCGCTGAAAGAGTAGGCAACCCAACCAAATGAGAAGGCAACGGGGGTAAAGTAAGATGAGCCGGTGCCTGCGAGCTGCGCAATGGCACGCTGCACGACGTCGCCGCCGATGATACTGAGAACGGAGAGGACACCACTAGTAGGGCTTTGCCATTGGGACTTGAGGGAGTCAAAAGACGACTGCTGCCGAGGCCAGAGCCTGGATTGTGAAGGAGGCATTAAGAAAATTGAACTGTCGTGAGTCGCATGTCCAGATCCAAATTCACGTCATCTTGACGTCGCATAGGCTATTAATCTCCACTGCCCCCAAAGAGTTGCACCGTCTTAAGTGCACCATATAAATCACTGCGAAACCGCGCAATACGTGTTTGTATATATTTGTAGGGCAGAAATATACCTGTAGATAGTTGATATGTTGTTGTGACGTGTCACAACTCCATCAGAATCCATGTTGCACCAAGCTTTCAGTTGTGCGGATGTACTGAACGAACCATCTATAACATTCTCCGTCTTTATCGTGACTTTGGCCAAGCTAGCAATCCTCAAGGCCACGTCAGTGGTGTGACAATATAATTCAGCTGTTATTAGGGATAAACAAAGATACACAAATATGTCTTGTGCGGTTTCGCCATTGGCCTTACGGTACATGGCCTTTCGAAGCTGGACCCCATCGTAAGTCTCATGAATACTCTTTGACTTTTGCTAACGTTGGTATGCTGCAAGGCTCCTTGAGGCCTCAAGTTTAATACTTGCGGACTCATTTGAGGACGCGCGCGCATGCGTAACAGGGGTTATGGTTTATTTATCTATGGGTGTCCCCGTTAACACCTCTAGCATGCTGCGGCATGTTCAACCTAAATGAATCCCCTTCGGGTCTCAATCCTCGGAGGCAACCGTGCAATTCAAATGGTCCGATAAGAATCCATGGCGTTCCTCGACTCCATTGCTTTATTGATTGGGTCTTATATCACCGGTCCCCCTCAACATGTCGTCCCGTTCGACTGCGATATGTTCCATACCATTTCATTCACTCCGAAATACCATTCTAGACATCTCCCCATCTGCCACCCCACGCAGAGTTCGGCTTCTCCACTGCAGACAATTTCTAGATCATGACATCCTCGCAATTCACGAGTATCCCGATAACCCTTCTTTCCCATACACAGCTGTGTCGTACGTCTGGAAGGGCTTAGGTGTTGACCCTAGCCACACCGATCACAAGTACGGTACATTCGCTGTCAAGGGCGCTGAACATGGCGACCCGATCAGCATCGATGTCCTCAAGCATGCGTGCACTGCTGCTGTGGACGAAGGATCTGATTACATCTGGCTTGACAGACTCTGTATCTTGCAGAATGACCACGATGACAAGGCCTGGCAGATCCGCCAGATGTACAACATCTACAAGTCTTGTGCACTGTGCATCGTTTTACCTGGTGGAGTGCGCAGACTCGCACGGGTCGATGAAGAAACGACTTGGATCCACCGTTCATGGACGCTCCAAGAAGTCATGGCGCAATCAAAAGTAATGGTCTTATTTGCTTGGACATACGGAAAGGCGTTGTCCATGTCAAGTGTCAGCGCATTGTTCGGTTATAACGAAGTCATCCAAGGCCAGTCGGCCATTTGTTCCCTTGATCACGCCCTGCAGGCCAGCATCGGGAGGCTCAACCTCACGGCAGAGCGGAAGAAGTTTGAACCCTTCTCAATCAAGCTCCTTGGTCACGCAAGAGATCCTAATACCAGCGCACTCCTGGCTGTTCTGAATGGTGGGGGTGTAGAGTCAGAAGCTGGTGCACAAGCAGTATGGCGATGCTCGCTCATGCGCACGTCCTCATTCCCCATCGACACCGTACTCAGCATCATGGGCATGTTCGGAGTGACTCTTGAGCCTCGTGCCTTCCAGAAAGGGGACAGACGAGGTGCAACTATCGCACTTGCCAAAGAGATACTGCGGAAAGGAGGAAGAGCGAGTTGGCTCGGTCCTTCCCTCTCTCTTCCCCCAGCAAAAGGGCTCTCTGCATTTCCAGAATTTCCGCACGTGTCTGTAGCAGGACAAGCAACGCTGACGACCAAAGAGGGGGACCGACCAGTTGCAGAGTTGCTACCACGGGTCACAGAAGGATGGTTGAATGGTGTTCCGACAGGGGTGATGGATGATGCCGGATACTTCACTTTTTCCGCACCTGCTGCACTTTTGGTTCCCACCGGTCTTCACAAGAATGATCCTACCCTGTATGACAACAAGTCACCATTAGATGCCACTGGGCAGCTACAGGTCGTCGCAATGGACTGCACTATCTGGAAGATACATCTCGATGGTGAAGAAACCTATCAGCCACCACGCCGCACTTTTATTGTCTCCATAGGCTCTTTGGTGCACTATACTTCTGCTACCTTTGGATGCTTCGTGAATCCATATCGCTACAGGGCATTGCTGGTGGAGGAGGACGGGGATGGAAAGTTCCGCCGGACGTCCTATTTCGCCTTGGGTGAAGCATACGTACCCTACATTGAGCGCTGCAAAACGCACACGTTCTGCCTTGGAGATTAGACTGCCCTTGTTTGGCGGGAAAGACATAACAGAGGAGGAACAAGAGCGAACGACTGTCGTCAGCTTCCTTCTATTTTGTCTGCCTATGGGAGACTAAAGAAAAGTTAGGTCGGATCGTACATATGCATGCAATATTTAATCAGTATGTAACAACTAATTGTGTTTTAGGGAGGCAATGCTGCAAAGACCAAAATAACGATCTAAGATAACCCAGACGCGGCGGCAGCGCTTAAGTCACATCGTTCAATTGTACGGTAGGGCTGAGGGCGAGAGGCCAGCTTGGCCTTCTGTCGTACGCATATAACTCAAGTTGGTGATTTATATGCGGAGGCAGCTAGGACTCCGTGCCCAAGCTGATCACGAAGAAGTCGAGCAGGCACGGTCTAGTGTTTGATCCCAGCGCCAGAGCAGTTTGTATTCGGGGCGTGTTTGTTGACGCGAGAAGACAGTTATGGTCGCAGGAGCAGGATGATTGAACGAGACAAGGTTGGTTTATGGTTTATTAATTATTACTTCCGATGTCCAATTTGCCTTATTAGTCGTCAGCCCCTGAACCAATCAATGTCCAACTGTTCGTGTATAAACCACCAGAATTAATGTGCTATCCCGGAATTCTACGGCATGATGTGCGTCTCCTCTGGAAATTTATATTGTTCGAAAACAAAGCTTAATTCGTGCGGATTGAGGACAGAGTCTTCTGGCCACGTCGTCGCGCACTTTTTTTCGCTGGAATCTGTTATATTACTGTGCCCCGGGCTTGTACTACAAGTACTATGTATGAGTCGCGAGCCATCCAGATGCCATATCTCGCGAATCTTTTATTTTTGGTCTGAGAGATACATTGTTCCTTAGATCGTCTAGCATGTAAGGAATGTGTATCGTAACAAATGAATCACCATGATGATGATGATAATGATAACAATAACAAAAAAGAATGGAGTATCACGTTATGGTATCCAGTAGAACGAATGCGTATGGTTCGTAAAGTCATAAAGTCGTATGGTGTGATAGATGGTGAGTCGATAGCAAGGAGCACAACGTATACAGGATAGTTGGTAGCGGAAGTGAAACACTAGATCTCATCATCGAAATCGAAGGAAATGGGGGAGGAAGATGTAGGAGGTACTTCATCAATGAAAAAAGGAAGCCACTTCAACACATCGGGGCGTCTGCTTAATAAATAGGCGGGTATTACCCGCGTATTTATTAAGCATACGCCCCGATGATCTGCCGAAGGCAAAATTGGCACGTCGGCTGTCATAAAGTCACTGGACATCGCCGCGGCAGTTATATCAATAACGTCACCTTCCAATGGTAGAGCGGCCCCGATCCCCATGTCCAGCCAATGAACAGGACCTTAATCTTGATCATTGGCTGGCATGGAAATCGGGGCGGCGGCCTCTGTGACCATGACCTCTCTTTGCCCTGCGTGTTCTGCGAAGTGCAGCTGAAAGGCATCAGGTCTGGTATACCAAATCATAACAGTTAATAATGAGACGAGCATATTGAGATTGGGGATACGCACGTGGGCGAACGAACAGGGCAAGATCCATTGATTTTCTCTTAAGCATCCTTATGCTTTGCTGACCTGATGTGGCGGTCGTAGTAGGAGCGGGGAAGGATGACCTCGCGATCAAATAAACATCTGTATTTCTGGTGTCCCTTTTTATCGACTCCGGGTTCGAGTGTCTGTCCCAAGGACTAAGGATACGACCTCGCAACATGAAAAGAAAACTCACAAAGTCTGGGTCGTCGGCTCCTCCAAGGGCGGAGGATGAGCGACAAAGTTTGACATGTGGCTGAGGGATGAAATCAAACTGACACTTGAGAGTTCGATGTGTACTGGCAAAGTCCCGGCGGATTATCAAGGAGGGAGCCACGGCATGCACGTGGCATCTACACCGCGCTGCGATGCGCAGGGTCGAGTTCAATGGGACAGAAGCGGCTCGCAGACGAGATCTTTCGCAGGATCGAAACCGCTGCCCTCCGCTCTACTAGCCCCTCCCTCTCGTTGTAGCTGCACCCTATCTTAGGGGGCTATAACGCTGCCCCGACCGCTCATACTTCTAGTTCTACGTAGGAACTCCTCCTTTTAAGCTATTTTGGTAGGAGTAAATGGTCCGTGCCCTTGTGATAAGGGCAGGCTGCGATAGCCCATGAACGGACTCATGACTGACCTTAAACAAACGAAGGTGTACATAATGGGGGGCTACACGAGTTGGCAGAATGCGATTCTTGCAGACTAGATCCTTAAGATCCTGCGAACCAATCGTATACGACCGATTGTACCCCTTTCGAAACCCTAACCCTAAGGCATCTGGCATAATATTTGTTTTAGCAGTCAGCCGCTCTGTGCTAGAACTCAGAGTCGGGGAAATAATGTACACATTCTACTCTTCCGAGATCCTTTCGAAGAACTGTCTAAGCGTATCTGACAGTACTTCAGGCAGCGCCTCAACGCTTCGTAAAACCACGTAGTAATCGAACGGGAAAGAATCCAGATACCTCTCCACCTGAAGCTCCATGCGCCCGTTGACCATCGTGTAGGCGACTTGGTTCATCGAGACGATCGAGTTCTGTACAGCGGGCGTGTCTTTTGTTTGCCCTTGCCCAGAAGTGGAGGTCGAGTGCAGTGAGTCAATTATGATGAACACGATCATGACGCGTTGGCTTGCTGCCCGTCTCAGCACCTGTCGCAAACGCTCGTGGTCCTGACAGATACCGTCCGATATGATGATCTCGAGCTGCCACAGTTCACCTGCACTTGCCGACCCGGTGGCCCTTCTCTCCCGAGCACTCTCTAGCACCCCGAGGCTCGTTTCAACCATATCCAGAACGTTCGTTGCACGTTGCTCGAATCTGAACGCGCCGAGCGTCTTTGCACCAGCAGCATCCGTAAATGGTCCTTCATCGAAGCCATGAAGTAACTCCATGGCCTCGCCGAACCTAGCAATTGCGATGTCGCCGACCTCAAGTTTCCCCATAGCATTGCTCACGAGGGCAAGTGTCTGATAAGCGAGATGTACGCTGCGGGAACTTGCCATGCTGCGGCTGTCGTCGAGCGCAAGAAGGACCTGGTATTCGCGCTGGCTGGGGCGCGTACGCCGAAGCCAGATCTTGTCCTTGGTGTAGTCAGAGGCGATGTAAGGAATGATCTTCTTCATGTTAAGCCTTTTGCCTGTCCGGTAATCGCCTTTGAGACGAGTGGCCAGGGTGGGTGCAAGGATAAGGCGCAGTTGTTCGCAAAGAGCGTAAGAGAGGTCGTGTGTGAGGGATGTGTAAAGCCGCCAAAGAGACTCGGCGGCTTCACAGGTATAGCCTGAATCCTGCCAGGTCCGGAGGGCCGCCTCTATGTTTTCAAAGGAGCTTTCTGGACTGGGCTGTTCCATGTCTTCGTCGACATCCGCTTGTGCAGACGAAGGATCAGGACGTGAGGAAACATGTTCGGGCCTTGCACCAGAGCGCGCTTCCAACTGAGTTATAGCGCCTTCGATGTCTGGACGTGAACCCTCCGTGGTCGGCTCTGTATGCAATGATGCCAATGACTGTGGTGGTGGTACGAGCTCATCCGGGCAGGGAGCATCGATGTCCATGGGTAGTGCAACTGCCTCGGTTTGCTCATCAACAATCCTTAGCTCACTCAGCTTCGCAACCTGCTCCTCGCCTGCCGCGCCCAGAGCCTGCATCTCCTCGTCCGCATCGGCATACTCCACCTGCTCAGCAACGTGGTCTGCGACAGGTGGGGAAGACTCTCCACCGCCCAGGATCTCTTCGAAGCGCTGTTGTACTTCTTTGAGGGCATCACCAAGGTTGCGGATAGGGTTCGTAGCGAGTTCGGTGTGTTGGCGAGCATAGGCTCCACCATGCTGCGTGCCCTCTGCCGATGTACCTGGTTTCGTGGCAGTGTCAGTGGAAGACGATGGCTGCGAGGGTTCAGCATCATCTCTTGGCCTGGTCACAAGTCAGATACAGGTATATGCATGGAGAAGTAGACGTACTTTGATTCTTCAGAGGTCTCGTTTGTGCTCTGTTCAGCTGCTGCGGGGTCGTCCTTCATTTCACCAGAAGCGTCGCCTGCCTGCCCTTGTTGCGCACTATCATTGGCCTGTGGTTCGTTGTCCTTGTCCCCAGAGTCTCCGTTTCCGGGCGAGACATCTGGGCGAGCAACAGCGCCTTCCTCGACGTCCTCCTCTACATTGTCTGCATCGTCTGCAGCATGGGGAGGCTGATCCGGCAACTGGTTTTCTTGCGATTGAGGTTCTGGTACATCTTCTGGGGACTCATCTTTTCCGGGTTGATCGGTTTCCTCCATCTCATCGGCGTCTTGTTCATCTTCGTCCAGCTCCGTGTCCATTTCATCCCCCATGTCGAGTCCTCCTTGATCCCCCTGTTCGTCGGGCTCCAGATTCATGTCATCGGGCAGATCCAGAGTGTTGGCATCGGGAATGTGCTCGTCCATGGGCGCACCATTCGCATTTGGGGCCTCCAAGTCTTCATCAGGTGCTTCGCCCTCATTTTCATCGCCTTCTTCTTCGACCTCCCCACTTTGTTCATCCATCGTTCCATCTTTCTTTTCTTCTTTCTCCTTCCCACCCTCTTTCTTTGATTGGTTGCGCTCCTTGGCTACGACCTCTGACTCCTTCTCCTGCATTTCTGAGCGATCTTGGGGGACTTGATCCTGATCCGCAGGATCTGATTCCGCTGATTCGTCGCCCCACAGCTTTTCATCGACCGCATCCGGATCACCTGCATCAAGCTTCCCCAGCTGCTCATCCGGCCCCTCCTGCTCATCATCATCATCCTCTTCCTGATCTCCGTCCTGATCTCCGTCATCTGGCACATCTTCCATCTCCCCACCAATATCCTCGCTCATCTCAATGGTGTTATCATCAGCTCCGTGTTCCTGCTCATCTGGGGCTTCGCCTTCGTCCCCTTTCAAGCCTTCAACCTGACTTTCATCCTCGATCTCCTTGCTCACGTTCTCCGTTCCCATTCCCTCGCCCAGGCCCACTCCTCCGGCGGTCTCTGTGCCTCCTTCGCCGTCACCCGAATCAGTCGCCTCTTGGGGTAAACAAAAGCCTTGCCTAGCGATGGTATGCATAACAGAGCAGACGATGAAGTCAAGCTTGAAGAGGGCCTTTGTCCACTGACTGTGCACCATGAGGTGTTCTCCCACGAAAGCAATGTAGAACTGGAGGAAGGGGAGTAGGCGCCGAAGGCTTGCCTGGATGTCGGACTGTGGAAGGGAGGAAAGATGGGTCGTCATGACATTCAACCGTTCCAAGAGCACTTCAAGGTCGAAGGCCTGAGTAAACCCTGAAACTGTGCGCGAGTCCTCGCTGATGAAGTTATCCTGGGGTTCATCATCAGGATGCTCGTCGGTAGACCCTTCCGGACATCTTTTCAAGAGGGACTGCACTGTGACCAAAAGCGTCTCGATAATAGCATCCGCACCCAGTGGCTCTACAGTTCCGGATGCTGCCTCGGCGTCTGTAGAAGCATGTTGATCACGCAGCCAGTGCTCCATAGGAGACAAGATGTAGCTGAGTCGCGGTTCCGTCGTTTTCATCTTTTGAAGGTAGTCGGGAAGGGCACGGAGATGTTCATCAGCTTCTTGAACAGTGGCGTATTCAACTGTTGGGGCAAATAATTAGCCTGTGACTATGTTTGTGAGGAAACTACCCACCACCAGGCAGCACCATGAGCATTGTGCACTGGCTTCCCCGGAAAACCTCCGAAACACGGTCATAAAGAAGTCGTGTCTTGACACAAACTGATTGGACCTCAACCATAACTGAGGGTGCGGCGCCCTGGTCCTCCTGAATCTCGACGAAGAGGCGAATTCCTTGGAGAAGTTCTTCGAAAGCATGCACGGCGTTGCCGAGTGTTTGACATAGATGCATCAGATGAGTGGGCGAGAATCCTTTGGTGACAAGTAGAGGTGCTTCGACGAGGGTCTGGAGGCGCTCCGCGCACCGTTTGATGTCAACAAAACACTGGAAAGCCTTTGAAAGCCTGGAGATTGGCAGTAAGAAACGTTGTCATCAGGAATTTGTTGACTTACGAAGACCTCCCCTTGAGAGCTAATGAATAACCCGACTCCACAAAGGTAACACCCCGAAGCAGATCGCGCGTGCTTATGTCCGAGTGATGATCGGAAAGCAAGACTCTGACTGCCGGAAGTGCACCACGAAGGCGGTCGAAGTAATACTCCCCCTTCTCGACATGTATTGAGCTTTCTGGAGGCATTGAGGGTTGCTCTCGTATCCAGCATTCATCTCTGAGCTCGGCGAGCACTTCTGGTTTGACATTGGCAGCAAGACCAGCACGTTTGAGCTCCTTCAAGAGATCGCTCAAAGCCTTCTTCTTGCGAACCAGCAGACCCTTCACGTATTTTTCTCGTTTCTCCTTGGAAAGACCTGGGGGCACACCTTCAGCTGATAGGTCTCGTGCGGTAAGGATGATTTCGACCGCAAGTTGGTCGACATGATGAGGGAGACGTCGGCGTAGGAAAGCCCGAATACGATTGTTCACAAGCCCGCGGAATCTCGCGAGTGTCTGGTTTAAATTGGCCAGATGAGAAGGAGTGGAATGGGTTTCGTTTGGTTGCGGACATTCACCGCGCTCCAGAGTGCATGCTATAGAGAGCAGATCTCCCGAGTAACCCAGTGCATCTATTGATTGAGCACATTCTGCATCACCAGCGAATGTCGGCAACATGCGCCCAGTAATGGGCTGACGCAAGATCTCCCGGAATTTGCGGATCAGCTTGTAGAGTTGATGATGCGTTCGCTGAGCACTTTGCTTCAGGGCATGAACATTGATGTCTTTCCAGCTGGCAAGCTTTATGAATGCCTGAACATCTTTCTCAAGTCCTCCTCTTTGGTCTGCCAGAGACCCGGCTAGCTGGACTGCGAATAATCTGTAGTATCTCCGAGTAGACGTCAAGACACGTCCGACGCGTTGGAGGGCATTGCGCTGCCATCCGTCCAACGTAGACGAGATATGACTGACGATGACCCCGAAAGTCTCGAGGAGATCCAACCTGACCTGGAATTGACCTAGGGAGCTGGATTGCATGAAGTCATCAAGGAGCGATGGCAGTTGCCTGAGATAATGTTGGAGAGCTCCAGTACCAGCGTCTTCATCCTCGTTAGCAGCACCAAGCGTGCCGCGCACTGTGAGATCATATAGCCGGAACCAAAATTCCGAAACTCCTTTGACGAACGAGTCGAACTGAGATTGTAATAGCACTTTCCAGCACGACAGCTCCAAGCGTCTCCATTCTACGATGAGCATTGTCAACTCTTGCTGATATGCCCTGAGGCTATTTCCGCGGTGTGCGTACATTTCCCACTCGTCGGTCTGTTGTATAATTTGCTCCAGGCCGGACAACAATTTGGCAATGGGACTATTTATGTCCAGGGCCAAGTATGCATCGCAGCGGTCTTTCAGGTGCTGTAAAACCATCTGATCCGGCCAGTCTTCAACGAGCGCGATCAATCGCATTCTAAGGGAGTTCACCGCTATGAGGGCCTTCTTTGCCTCTTTAATGTTCGCGTCAGTGTAGAAGTTGAACAGCTGGTCGGCAGGGCGCTCCTGGGACTTCAGCGCGAGAAGATGATCGTGAACCAAAGAAAGCTGTTCGTGCAAAGATTCGTCATCAAGGGTGTCTGGAAGTGTGGGATATCGATTGTCGAGGAGCGTCTTCAAAACCGACCGACGAGATGATTGAAACCTCGTACTGGGACCTCCAACACTGATGCCGATACAAGCAACTCCAGTGAGTCCAAAGTGCATCCCCAGCAGCGCTTCGGCTGCAGAAACACCAAAAAACTCAGCGGGCTTCTCTTGAATCCTGTTGGGAATACCGTCAGGACTAGCAAGTGCATCCTCAAATGTCGGGAACAGCTCCAAAAACTCTTTTTGTTCCGCTTCAACTTCCGTGGAGGCATCGTGATCAAGGGCACTACGTTTGTATAGCGACGTGTCATCATGTTCCTTCTCACTTTGGCGAGTGCGGTCCATAGTCCAAAGCCTGAAAGCCTGTTCATATGCCGCATGGACAGCAGCAGCATGGGGAGCGAGACCCGACATGGTAGCTTGCAGACCTATGGCTGATACATGGAGAAGGACCTGGTCAGAGGGAGATGCTCCAGATGCAGCTCCTTGTTCAAGTTGCGTCTGCAGCAATTGCGCACTGCGAAGAGATGGATATGTCACCAAAGAAGCAGCAACTATGTTCTGTTGAGTATGCTGTGCGTGGGACATTTGCTGTGCAGAACAGCGAACAAGTCGGATACCGAGACGGAGGAGGAGGAGTGCCAGTTGGATAATTTTTGCAATATCTTCAAAGTCACGGTAAAGATTGTCCATCCGTTGACAAAAACCGGATATTGATTCCTGCATCACGGATTCGCGTGCGAAAGCAGAAGGATCACCGGTTTCGAGAAGGGCAGTTAAATCATCGACCTTGCTGGATTGGATGACTTGACTTTGAAGCTGCGAGACCTCGGACCAAAATGTGTGAATGCGATTACCATCAGCACGTCGGGGAAGGTTTGAAGAACCCAATGGCACATGTTTGTGTTCTCCGTCAGATAAAGCATCGAGATATTGTGTAACGCTGTTGAATAGATTGCCAGCGGTTCGGTGTTCCCACGCTCTATGGAGAGACGACTGGGTCGACAAAAAATCAGCCTCTTCCTGAGAATACTCCGCTAAACGACGGATCACGGCTGCGGGGTCTACCGGAAGATCAGGAATTGATAGGTCAAGGATCACTCTGCTGAGGGAAATGTAGCAATGTCCCAAGCGGGCCACCATGATGTGTTGTGGCTGGCGGTCAGCTGCGAACCGTATAATGGTGGGGCGCAGAAACAGCTGAATAGCTGCTCTCAAGGGCTCGTGCTTTGAATTTTCGAGGAAAGACAACATTTTCATGGGAAAGGCACTGCTGTGGACGGGAGATCCAAGCATGGCTTGCCAGCTGATATCATCAAAGGATGAAGCAAAGCAGGATGCAATCTGATGAGCGATTAGAGAAGGAGTACAATGGTGACCGCCGCTTCACTTACGGATAACATGCATTGGTACATGAATGCCGACAATTGTTGTACCCGCGGCTCATGTACAACACATTGCATAGAGAGCAGCCGTAGGTGACGGCGAACAGCACCTTCGTGCCCTTCAAGGGAGGATAGCGAAACACTCCGCGCTTTGCTACGTGGTGGATGAGCAGACGAAAAAGATAAAAGCAAATTTATTATACTTCAGTTCTATTGAGGCTCGAAGAAGAGTTGGGCAAAGGAGGACATCCGGCCCATCAAGTATTTCCTGCGCAGGATCTCGTCAGGCACTGGATGTGCAGAGGTCACGTCACGATCACTCACGACCTGTGTTGAGCATGAATTCCACAGACTTGCGAGCCATCGAGTCTGCAAAGCAGTCAAGAGATGCGTGGGAACTAATGAAGGACTCAGTCGCATTGCGAGGGATATAGTGGTGTGCTTACCTCCCCCTCCTGCGTCATATGCCCATATGAAATGCTGATATGATGCAAAGCGAATGAGGTCTTCCCGTGGTTCCTCGCATGCCACGTCGATCAAGCGTTTCATGATAGAGGCAACAATCTATAAGATGCCATCATGGATATCCTGCAAAGGAAACACCAAATCGCAACTCACCGATGATGATGATGATGACGACGACGATGCCTCACGAATGTTACTCAACCAGGGCAATTCACAGATAAGGAGAGAAGGATCGACATGTCGTTTGAAGGAATCATTGCCCCCATGGAATTTCGACGTAACCTAGAATTTTGACTTCAGCGATGTGCGCGCTGGAACAAAAATTAGACTGAACCTTTTCTTTCACCGTGTTTGCCAATTCCATCTCTAAGCTAGTGGATACTGTACTCATGAGCGGAAGGGTACAAAGGGATAAAACTTCTAGAATTTGTTTGCGGCGGACTGTTGAGGATTGATGAGAAACGTGCTGAGCGCAAACAAAAAATTCATACCGTGCTGGTTTAAGCCTTCATATGGCTGCCCAGCGGCATACTCGAGACTTCTGATCTCTGGAACTGAGACTTCGATGGTCGTTGGTGCGAACAAGTGCGTCCACATTTCTGTCAAGCCTAGTCCAGAGGTGGGGGAAACTGCCTCATCTAACACAGCAGAAATACTTGCGAGGCGATCAAACGCCGGGCTCCGCGATTGCAACGCGGCGATGATTGATCTAGAGCATGCTTGTATCGAGGAGTAATCGACATATGTACCCGCTCCTGATCGTCGGAGTTGCCTGGAAACACTCAGTAGTTTGAGTGCGAGTTCAAGGTCCACCAGCTGATAATACTTCAATGCGAAGGACAGGATAAGAATGGCGAATTGAAATCTGACCTGAACTTGAGAACTTCCAACGATTTGGTTGAAAACCTCCTCAGCCGCTCTACGTACCTCTCCCAGAACTTCACGAATAGCATCCAGCAGTCGTGAATATGTCGGATGTTGCTGACGTGTTGGTAAAATTATCTTGCTCGCACCTATGCTGTGCAGTTCTTGCGGCATCTCCGCCCGCTCGGTGTCATCGATGAATATTGCAGCGATCAAGTTCAAAGTTTGAAGGAGCATCAAGTGTATTGGATGATGACTGGTTTCATGACTGCAGAACTTGCATGGCGAACAAACCATGAAAGCATCCACTGGCTATATTTCAATAGACGTATTGAGTACATGCAAATAGTGCGACGTGCACTAGACCCAGCACGGATGTAGCAAACACTAACCAGAGCTGTAATAGCGTCGTTCGTCACTCGGGAAGCGAGGAGATCTTTTCGCCACTCAGCAAAGAGCTTGAAAGCCCCCGAAGAAAGGGTATCATCCAAAATAGACTGTGATATGCACGAAGGCCTTGCCAGCTTCATATAGCGCCGCAACGAAGGAATGACATTCAAAGAGATTGTCCTTAGGGTGAAATTAATCATAGCGCGCAGATCCGGTTTGGATGGTCGAAGAAATGGTGCCAGAGTGATCAACGAAGACGTAGAAGACTCTTCTTCCATTAACCCAGACGGCCATGAGTCGCTACCTTCTCCGGGGGTGGTGTAGAAAATTCCTCTACGTGCAAGCTCGTGTGTTACGGCGAAAGAAGAACCTGTGCCTAAGACAGTCCTAGGAAGTCGACGATGAAGTCGGAGGCGAAGTTCGTCTTCTGAGGAGAAGGAAGCGGCCAATGACACTTCAATACCTCGATTTCGCATCGCACGCGACAGCTCGCCATATCGAGGGTCTGATGTCATAAACATGCGAAAATTGGGATGCGGTTTGAGCGCTTGTACCGCACCATTGACATATCCTCTCTCGCTGAGAACGAGAACTCCACCAGGTTCACAAAGAGAGTTCAGTCGATCGAGGACGGAAGGATTACAGAGATTTGCGCCGTCCAGAACTACCCAATGGCCTCGCTTAATTGCGCGTACGAGAGGTCCATCGACCCATTCAAATTGGCCACTTGATGTCATCACGGACGATAATTGCCGAACGCGATGCAGTAAGTCCTGTGCTTCATCCGAAGAATTTTCGACAGCGAAGGCCGATAGTACTTGTGCTGCAGAATGGAGAAGGGAGTCGGAGGATGGAGGTGCTGAATACAAACCGAGAAGAAGCGGAAGAAAAGTCTGGTGATCAGTGGCACAGCTGGACAGGCATCTAGAACGACTTTCTCCAAAGCTGATGATGTCTTGAACGAGAGCAAGCACCCGGGTACGATGGTCCATTTGTTCGAAACCTCCAAGGATATCCATGGTATCAGTGGAACTCGTGATGGTTATCTCATGAAGGATATTCCCTGAAAGATCAGCAACAGTACGGATGAGCTCTGACTTACCGCTGTCGTGTCGTCCTGTAACAATGACCAACCACGACCTAGAGAGACATGCCCCAATGGCTTCTAGAGTAGCAAGGTGAGCTTGAAGTAGGCGCCTGGGTCGAACATTAAGGGTGTTATTACGTCTCTCTACGAGGTAGTGCCCGACACGGAAGTGTGACGATGATATGACAGGATGCGGATTGTGAAGAATAGTCGGGCTAGGTAGAGCAAATGTTTGGTCGAACAATTGTTGGGCGCAGTTACGATCAGCGAGAGTTCTGAACCTGCTGAGGTAGATGACTCGCAAGAAATCTCGAGGATGATGGGAAATGGGCGATGATTGCAATAACTCTCCCCAGCGGAGAACATCACGAAGGTTGAATTCCCAAGGACTGCCGTCGCGACCAAAGGTCCTTCTGTGTACAACTTCCTGGTTCAGGCGGCTGTTGTATGTGATCATGGCACGTAGCATGTCCTCATCACAACCCCTGAAACGTTCTCGGCAAACAAAAAGAAGATCCTCGGGGGAAAGCTCCTCAATATAAACCTTCGTAAACCGGTCCAGAAATGACTTTGGAAGTCCCTTGCGACCTCCCCCCTGTTGGAGTGGATTTTGCGCTGCGAAGACACGGAAAGCGGGGTGTCGAACGAAGGATCTGCCGAGCTCAGGAATGTATACAGTACCGCGGTGGTCCAGCACGGCATTGAGCCCCTCGAGGATAGCTTGGGGTGCGAGATTCATCTCATCGAGGAGAACCCAATGTCCTTCTTGCATGGCAGTTAAAAACTCGGCGTCTTTCCAAGCGAATTCTCCAGGAGAGCCATTCTCAACAGGAAGATCAGAACCGAAGAGATCCATGAGATCCGTTTGGTCGGACAAGTTGATCCGACAAAGCTGATATCCCGAAAGCATCGCAAGAGTGGTGATTAAACTGGTTTTTCCGACGCCTGGACTGCCTTCTAGAAGGACCGGCTTGGAGACCTGGCATGCCCTGACCACTCGCATTGCATTCTCACGAGCAGTCGGCGCCTGCAGATTGAAGCTATGCAGTACTGATCCTAACGGGCCTTTAGGGATGGCAAAAGACCCAAGTTGCACGAAGTTCGATGCGTCAAAAGCGTACGACTGTTCGGCTTCCTTGAACGGCACGAGCGTCTGCAGCTTTTCCAGGGCATCATTCCTCAGTTGACTTAGTGCGTCAGATGAATAAGAAGCTAGCTGTGGCAAGGATCCAAGACCGTCGAGGAAAGTCATGTGGGCTGCATGATGCTGGGATATTGTCAGTAACAAAATTGCCTGGACACACAACTCCCACATACGAATATTTCTGCCGGTAACATGGAAGTTTCTGCACTGCCGGAACACGCGGCATTAACGAATGTTACCCAAGCCTAGAAAACACCGATGAATACGAATGGCTAACACTGACGAAAGGGAGACCTACCAATATATCTCGCAGGGAGCAAATAGCAGGGTCGCAAACTCTATCCCGAAGCCAGTTAGTAAACTGCAGGAGCGGATCCGTGAACGGCTTCACGGAGTTGTGCTTCCACGAGTGGTCGATAATCAACCGCAAATCCGCCTGATTGGTTACGGCTGGTACCCAAATCTCCGTGAAACGGTTTCGTAGAGCAGGAGAAAGTTCTTTCTTGCCATAATCACCACCCGGATTCATGGTAGCAAGCAACTTGAACTCGCTGGAAGCATGGATGGCGGGATAATCACCATCAATCCCGCCACGTTCTGCAAGCACGATCGTACGACCAGGTTCCAGGACGCTGTTCAGACGTTCTAGAACAGAATCGTCGGCAAGGGAGATTTCGTCGAGAAGGAAAACGTCTCCTCCGCGCATTGCGCGGACTAATGGTCCATCATGCCATTCAAACAAGCAGCAGATCCGATTGAGGTTCTCCTGAATGTCGCGTAAGGGAATCAGAAGCGACGGGTCCAAATCCTTGCTAGACTTGAGGAGCGTATCAATGCGGGACAACAATTGTTGAGAATCAGAAGGCACGTCGTCAATGCCCGCGCGCTCAAGGATGGTATTAGCATCACGGATGATATTGGCCTCGGATGAGGCACGGTTGCGTACAGGTCGCAAGCCACCGATAAGGTCTGCGGTCTCTGTGTTTTGGTGGCAGCTCAGTGTATACAAATGCTTGGAGATGACCTCCGCGAAGAGCTGACAGACAGATGTCTTCCCGGAACCTGTCTCTCCCACCAAAAGCACAGGCTCGTTGAACCGCAGAGCACGTGACACTAGGACGAAGAGCCGCTGCATCGCACTAGTCCAGACGACCTGCGAGTCTAGCGGTATGGGGCATCCTAAAAAGCTCTGTACATCCTCCATTGTGGAATGAATGTCGTAGATCGCCCGCTCGTCAATGCGAACCTTCATGATGGATTCTATGACCTCCTTCACCACGATTTTGTCATCCTCGCGTCGTGCACGTTCCGCAAGTAGCATGTACCCATTCTCCGCCAACTCTTGATAACCCACCGCATCACGACCGGCCCACCTAAAGAGATCACGAAGAGTAGCAAAGCCTTGCTTGCTCTCGAACACACGACCCGACTGACGACGTTTCTGCAATTCACGGAACACACTGACGATTTTCTGGCCATAAGAAGGTGCGATACGGCAACGCTGGCAGAGAATAGTTTCAAGCTCAGCTTGGGGCACATCTTGGAAGTGAACCTCGAGGAAACGGTTTCGGAAGGCACGGGACAAAACCTTCCTCCCTGCATATAGGCCAGGGGGATTCTGCGTTGCGAACAGCATAAAGTGTGGATGTGGGCGAACGACCTCTTGTGTCTCCGGGACGACGAGCTCCCGGTTGTCATCGAGCAGCCGATTGAGAGCTTCCAACACGTCCGTAGGTGCCAGGTTCAGCTCGTCCAGTACAATCCAATGTCCATATCGGAGAGCATGGACGAGCAAGCCGTCTTTGAACACGAGCTTGCCAGTGGCAGGATCAGAAACGTATGAGCCGAGGTATTCCTGCACGTCAGTGTGCTCATGATTGTTGATACGGATAAAGCGGTGGCCAGTTCTGCGAGCGAGGTATTCCACCGCACTCGTCTTGCCTGCGGAGGTGGGCCCCTCAATCAGCACGGGAAAGCGGCGAGTCAAGACGATTCTTGCGAGGTCGATGAGCTTCTTCTCAACTGATGGCGTCATGATATATTCCTCCATGGGGTCCTCGGGGAGCGGTCCCTTCTCTAGATGAAATGGTCCAAACTTGATGAATTCTTCTATTGACTGCCCATGAGGAAGATTCGGTTCCCTGGCGAGCAATGATCGGGGATTGCGAACACCAGCAAGGATATGCTTCTGTGCAAGGGCTGTCACTGTTTCCGCGCTTGTCCCGTCCAACACCATAGTGAATGCCATCAGCATTCCTTCCCAAAGTGCTCGTCGCAGCCCGAACATCCCTGCGATATCTGCAGCAAACGTCAAGGCTCTCGCCAGCGTGCGCATGCTGTAATGAGGCTTCTTGTTCGAACCATCTGCGAGCTCTGCACCCTTGGCAGAAATATAGAACTCCGCAATGTCCATCACAGCACCCTTATCGCCAACCGCATTTGACCCGATATACTGTGAGACAATGCTGAGGAGAGTCTCGCGATCTGCATCGGGGGGTGGGACATCAATTTCTGTGAAGCGTGCACGGATGGTGGGCGGGAGGTCTTTCTTGCCGACGTCAGTAGCGGGGTTCATGCATGCAAAGAGACGGAAGTCAGGATGCCGCGGAACAGCAGACAGGGAGCCTTGCTCAGTAAGCGTGATTGAGGCTGTTGGACCGCGCAGGAGGCCTGTAATACACTCTAGTGTCTCGGGACTTGCCAGGTTGATCTCGTCCAGGAGAATCCTGGAGCTCATATGAGAAGTGTAACTGTGTGTAGCTGAACTGTAACATACCAGTCACCAGCACGCAGAGCCTTCACGAGTGGGCCCTCCACAAAATCAAACGTGAATTTGCCTTTCCCTTGTGCGTGTTGCAGATCGAATTCGACCACATCCTTCTCAAACCGTTCCCAGTCTGCTTCGGAAAACTTCATCTCGGCTTCGACTTTCCTTCGTTTCCTCGGCGCGTCGGGGTCGTTCTCCCTAAGAAATGGGATCAGAAATTGAGCGAGCCAGGTTAACTTCAACACATACCCTATGACTCCTTCAACCTTGCCTCGAATTCTCTCCCTTGCCATCTTCCCGCTCTCCTTCCACATACCAACAGCCCTTTTCCACCGCCCTTCCCTCACAGCTTTCCTCAAACCGTCCTCAAAGCCCGCATTTCGCTTGCGGCTAAACGTTTTTCCAAATAGCTCACTCCAATGCTCCATCAACTCGCTCCCCCTGACACGTGCATCAACAGGACGAAAGCCCCCAAGGAGATCCGATGCTTCTGTCTGGTGTGAGAGATTCAGAGAAATTAGTGGGCGGCGCAGTAATGATGCAAGATATGTCACTGCGCTCGTCTTACCCGTACCAGTCTCACCGGTGAGCAGGACGGGCTCGGACAGCGCAAGTGCAGTGCTGATGCGCGAGAGGAGCAACAGAGCTGGCTTGTGCAGGGCGAATGGTCTCGAGGATGCACCAGTGCTCATGCCCTTCATGGGACGAGCAGGAAGACGTGTGCGCCCACAGCGTGCGGCGAGCACATCCCCGTTCACATCTTTCTCGATTTCGAAATCTGATGTATGCCTTAGAAGCAGCCATTCCTGCCGCTCTGCATCCAGATCTAAGTGCACCCCAATGACGGAGGAAACCTGCGCAGAGTGTGCACGCGCAGACGCGGTGAGAGTGCCTGCACCGAAAAAGACATCGCGGGCCTCGAGGAATATTTCTTCACGAAGACTTGGATTTGGGAAAACGTTTGAGAGTGGTAACAGAGTATCATTATCCATGTCCATATCCACTGTATAACCGGACGGCAGGAGGCGCTCGACTCGCTGGCAGAACTTCTGAAGTTCACGCAGTCCAACAGGACGCGAAGATGACGTTGAGCCGAGTGCTTGCACGTCAGCCCAGAGCTTAATGAGAGGGGCAGCAGCTCCCAAAATCTTCGGAAACCTGCTTTCTATGATAGATCTGACCTCTTCCGCGTCTGGTGCGCTCACCATGACTTCATGCCATTTGTGTGAACCAAAGAATGTTGGGGGAGGCACCTTCTTTCCGTGCCCAACAGCAAGCGATCGAGTGGCAAATAGCGCAAAACCCTCCCGCGCCTCGACACGGCCCTTGCCGGGGACCTCTATACCTGCGCGGTGTCCGATCCAATTTCCAAGCCCCATACTCTCCACAAGTGGTTTCAAAAGAGCTAAAACTTCCATGCTAGCACGATCAATGTCAGAAAGTACGAGCCAGCGCCCCTCGCGCAGTGCGCGCACAAGCACGCCATCCTTCCATTCAAAAGTGCCAAGCAGTGTTGGTGAGGAAACATACGAGCCAAGAAGGGCCCGAGGGTCAAGGGAAGTGTCGGCTAGGTGAACGATGACGATGAGCTCGTTGACTGGTGTCGTCGGGTGTAAGTTGGAAGCGAGATGGGAGATGAGGAGTGATTTTCCTGAGGAAGGTGGGGAAGATAGGAGAACAGGCAAGCGGAGGGATAGGTTCGCCGCAATCTCACGGAGAGCAGCGATAGCGGAAGGCGTTGCAATGATGTTAGAAGGAGAAGGTATGGTTGGAGATGACTTGAGCATCATTAAACCATGCATGTTCACAATCCATGGACTAACAGAAGTATTAGTTTCGTATTTGTGACAATATAGCAGGCGGCCGACCTCAGATCTGCCTCCGAGAGAGGCTGTAATACATCCTCCGCTTCAAGAGAGCAAAAGACGGGACTTTCGAGAATTGTATCACGTGCATCATGAATGCGCTTGATCTCTAATGTAGGCACAAGCCAGCCGTCCGTCTCAACGACAGTCCCGTCAATAGTCTGGCCATAGTTAATTGGACAATCGACACCGCATAACTCGCCAAGGACATGGGTGATGAGCTTCTCGCGCTCAAGTTCTGCCATACCGACATGTGATGCATAGCACCGAGCAGCAAACAATCGTACGCCTGCATCAGGGTGAGGAGGGAAAAGTAACTTGGATAATAGCGACGCGTCCCATAGAAGGTGCTTGGGGAGGAGGCGGTTAGCGCGGAGAAGGCGATAATATGCAAGCAATATGCGGTGCAGACGAGGGATTCCAATGTCAGCGATAGAAGGAGCCGCAGCTATGAAAGCGAGTGGTCCCTTGGATAGACATGGTTTTTGGAGGAAAGCGTATAAGCATCTAGAACCAGACATGAGACCAAAAACACAAGTGCAATGACGAGACGCACGGATATAGCTCCTCATGGAACTCGATGAGGAGACAAAACGCGATGAACTTGTCTTCGATATTGTCATCGTCGTGAAGCCATCTGGCGCACAAATCAATCAAGATAGGTCGGAACAGATCAGCGATTGTCAGAGTAAGAGCTGGGACAGCTAGTAGGCGAGATAGTGTGAGCAGAGCATGAGTTGTTGTGTTCGCTTCTGTTATTTGATGGATATGAATGGAATCGGGAGGCAGAAGAGCGCGGAGTGCGCGTTTTTGTTTTGCAAGATTGATGCTGAGTGGGTCGAATGCATTTGTCGAGGTCATCATGGCCATATGATGTAGAAAGAGGCTTTTGGTTGTGGCATGCAGTATTTAGTATGCCGTTCTGTTTCTCGTTGTTGCTGATGATGTCAATCTCACCGCGCTCGTGCTCGCCGTTGTAGTCGATCTGGAGTAGACTTCATTCTCGGAAAAATGCTGCACTCACGTGACTTGCATAGACTGCGTTTCCATTCTGGGATTATCGACTCTTGTGCCCCCGAACAACTGAACAACGCTCTAGCAGCACGATCGATCACCCATCGCTAACCATGGCGACATCCAAGACGATTCTTGACATTCGCGGCAAGCAGCTAAAGCTTGAGACAGCAGCTGACGTTGCCCCCTTCATCGCCGGCGTCGACCCTACCAAACTCACTGCCATCCATCTTGGAGGCAATTCCATCGGCGTGGAGGCTGCAAAAGAATTCGGTCGATTCCTCGAAACTTCGGACGTGCTTCAAGTGTGTCTTCTTACCTCTGATATTAAATATCTAGGGGTCGTTCCCACTAACCCGCGTACAGCTTGCAGACTTTGGAGATATCTTCACGGGACGTACTATCGAGGAGATCCCTGCTGCTATACAAGCACTCCTCGATCCACTCTCACTCAAGACTTCCCTTCGAGAGATAAACCTCAATGACAACGCATTCGGAGAGCGTGTTGTGCCCTTCCTCACACCCTTCCTCGAAACTAACCACTCCATACGCGTCCTCCGCCTCAATAACAATGGCCTCGGGCCTGCTGGTGGCAAGAAGATTGCCGAAGCAGTGTGCAAGTCCGCACCAACAGATGGTTCACGATCAAATCTTGAGGTTGTCATCTGCGGCCGAAATCGGCTAGAGGATCCAGGAGCCACCGCCTTCGCCAAGGCGTTCGAGGCACACAAGACACTCACAGAGGTGCAAATGCCCCAGAACGGCATTCGTATGGATGGTGCCGAGGCCCTTGCTCAAGGTCTTGTCGCGTGCTCCGAATTGCAGATTGTCAATTTCCAGGACAATGCGTTCATAGATGTGGAGATGGATGAAGAAGGACGGAAAGCTGTCCGTGCATGGGGTGAGGCCATTAAAACTAGCTGGCCAGAGTTACGCTTCCTAGACCTCTCTGACTGCATGCTCTCGAACGGAGAAGGCGAAGTGCCACCACTCCTAGAGGCTTTGAACGATCCGAATTCGAAGAACCTTCAGAATCTTCGGGAGCTACGACTGCAGAACAACAACCTCGATGCCAAAAGCTACGAGGTCCTCGCCCAAGCCGTGACGAAGTTGACCAAGCTCAAGCTGCTAGACCTGCAGGACAATGATGACGTGGAGGATAACGAGCATCTAGATGACATCGCCGAACACCTGAAAGCTCATGGCGGCAAGCTCTTCCGTACGGAAGAGGACGAAGAAGAGGAGGAGGCAGATGAAGAAGGTGAAGAAAAGGTTGAAGAGCCACTAGTGGAGGCTGAAGAAGAGGAGGAACTTCCTGCACCACCGGCAAAGGAGGAAAAATCAGCCTTCGAGATGGTTGCAGACACACTTGCCAACCTCATGGGCAAAGTGCATGTCGGCTGAAACTCAAATAAGAATGTGTAGATGTCTTACTGTACGCTACAACTCCCAAGAATCCTAAGTTACCATGTATACCAATTCTATCGTATAATAGCAGCAGTTAAGTATCTGGATTTACCCGATCCTCAAAAGGATCTTGAAAGAGGGGAATGCATGCATTGTTTTAATGTTCTACATCGAATGCATACCACCCCTGCAGGACTTAAAGGTAGCGGGATCATTGACACTATGATCATGCGTGTCCTTTTTCTCTAGTAGAGTTTGAATGCACAGTCATAGCGAATATTAATATACAGAGCTGAAACTATTTGCAAGCAAAGTGTAAATCGGGTATGCAACAGAAAACGTGTAGTCCTTGAAAACCCAACAATCATGTGTCGGAAAACGGTGTTGGGACCGTCATCAGTTGGTATTAGCATTAGTGTATGCCGTAGTCGCAATACCGAGCTGCTGCTTCCCGGTATCATAAACAGTGTAAAAGCGCTGAAGCCAGCCAAATCCGTCTAGAACGCACAGGATGTTTGTAAGCCAGCCCCCAGCAGGATATCACGGGACGTACTTATGAAGTCTAGCCCAGTCCCGAATGAGGAACCAAGGTCAGACACAATGAGATAAATTTGGCCCTCATTTCCTCCCAGGGTGCTGTTCAGGGCACGCGGCCAGATTTGAGCATTAGGCGTGAACTCGTAGGTGACCTGTTTCCAAGAGATCGATTACAGTTAATCCGAGGATCATCGTACGAGAGCAATACTTACACCGCCGATGTTAAAGTACAAACTTTGAAGATTGTTGTATTGTTGTTGTGTGATAGTTAGGAGACCCGTGTTCCTGATTTACATAAAATAACAGAACATCATAGGTTCATCAAACTGAACTCACGGGTCCTGAACGGCGCCAGTTGCCTGCTGATAAGCCTGAAAGGCCTCTGAACACTTCGGTGAGCGTCATATATCACATTGGGACGTGTGTGCATACCAGTGGCTATGAGAAGAAGGGTGGTGCCAGTGTCCACAATGCCGGCTGTCGTGTTCAAGATTGTGTTGCCAGTGCCGTACGATACTGACTGATCGATACCCCAATACTGATGATCATCAAGTTAGTGAGCAGTACATGTTTGGTCGCGCTGTGTATTTACCCTTGAGGCCGGAGAGGTGGTAGTAAGCGGAACGGAGTTGATTGAGCTAGTGTATCTGGCATACGATGTCAGACAAGGTCGGAATCAAAAGAAATGTCTAACTTGGTGCTATCAGTCCCACCGAAGGTGAGCTCTCCATTGGATACGTTAGCGGTGGAGGACGGCTCGTAGAACACGCCGATTTCATTAGAGGAGATTGTCCCCTGACCGAATAAGTTATCGGTAACCGTAGGCACATCCAGCGTGTTAGACACAGTTCCCTGTGTAAGGTCTACAGGGCCGACACTGTAAAGACATCAGCACTACGGATTATTGCATCTCAGACCAAACCTTACCCCAATATACCATCGACGCCCTGGAACCCTTGTGCGGATGAAGCCACGCCAATTCCTTGGTTCTGAATAACCAAGCTTCCTAACGTCACGGTGTCGGTATCTGATTGACATTTAATTGGTGCGATTGTAGCCGAAAGAAGCGGGCCTTACATTCCTCTCCGGACATAGTCCCTGAACCATAACTAACATTCTAAGTTCCAGTCCGTTCTGTTAATAGTAGGATAAGACTCAGAATTGTGGGCTCACTATGGTGTTACCAGTGTCCTGACTGGAGCTTGTGGGATTGTATGGCAAGTTTGCGCCAACCCACGTGTTCGAACTACCTGAAATATCGTTGACATATAAATAAGTAGGCATACTTCACGTCACTGATTTTCCACTAACCCGTATCAATCAACAATGTATACTGGGTCGCTGGGTTTCCAACACCAACTTGCATGGTGTAAGTGACACCTGAATCGGTGACATCAATGCTAGAGTTTGCACTGGTACTGCTGCCTCCTGTGCCCGAAGGAACTGTAGTGGGTGGAACGGCAACGGTACCCTTATGGTGGTGACGTCGACTGTATTCCCCAACAGTAGCCGAGGGGGTATGGTGGGACTTGCCAGCTAGGAACTTCTGTGCGCGAGCGCGGTCGCGCTCAAGAAGCTCCTTGGCACCACCTTTGGCTGCACGCAGACGAGTCGCAAAGGGGATTCCGCGGATAACGACGTGTGACATGGTTCGAGTGGTTTAAGGTATCAAAGTTGAGGATTGAAAGTGAAACAATCGCGTCGAGTGACACTGTTTATATAGGGCTAGAGGTGGGTGCTAAGATAGGATTCTAGTCGTCACTAGTAGCCGGAGGATATATCGATGCTGTAAAGCATTGGCAGGGGAAAGAAGAACCCTTTCGAGAGGAGAACATCCCAGAAATAACCTTGCCACTGACATGGCATCATAGTATCCATCGTGCCCCAAGGAGCCACAATAACAACAACGCGAGAACCGTCACTGGAATGAGTATAGGCACCAACGTGGAGCATTTCAGATCCGAGGGGAGACCAGGGGTGCTATGCAGAAGGGTGAGATCCGAGGAGTGGGAACCTATTGACAATTTTCAGAGAAACAATCACTTTCCGTACCATGACACGTCTGTCATGAACTTAGAGCCACTGGCTATGCTTGCTTGCAGACGAGCGGCTCCCTTGAGGCAGAACCATTCGGCGAGGATAAATGGTAAAGCGGAGGCGGTGACCCGGAGGTTTGCATAGCCGTCCATGATAGCGAAGCTTCCATTCACTGTCGTATATCAAGCCAATGGTGACTGGTCTGAGCAAGACAGAGAAGGTTGTCGATAGTTGCCTATCCGGGCTACAACGCCAATCCCTCTTTCGGTTAATCCTGAGAGCCGTTTTCACGGTCAGTCATTTTGGTGGGAAGCATCACACTCAGCGCAGCTGAGCGCGGAAATAAATAAGGAGTTTGAATATGGCTCATCCATATTCCAGGCATTCGAAGTGATGCATTGCTACTTTTTGTAAAATTCCACCAGGCCAATAAAGCTTAATGAAGTCACATGCATGACCACAATCACTGCCTTGCGCTGCCTTACGGCAATAGCTACACTCCGACAAGTATTCTAAGTCCAGCGCGTCACGATTGAAAGCGCAAGATCTCTGGACAGTGCTCGAAACCAAACAGTAGCTATGATACGCACCTATTAGTAGGGCTCGTCGATGCGCGTCTCACATTCACTAGTACTCCAGGCTCAAATATATTTCGAAACTACCCAGAGCTCAGGGTAGCCTACAGCTTGGTGATCACTTCTCTCCTGCTGCCTTGGCGGTGGTTGATCTCCATAGACACGGTGAGAGCCATTTGGTCAACGACTGCAATGCAGTACTGCTTGTCCCTCCAACCAGCTTCTAAATTACCCTGGCCAATTGCAGAGGGGGCAGTCCAAACTTCAACGTGAGCATTGTGTCTTCCATGAGGATCAGTCAAAAATCGTGATTCGCTGTATAATCCAACCGTTCGAGAAGCGTAATCCTGCGATGAGGGGATACGAGCCTTGAATTCGACGGTCATGGTCACGGTCGGAAACCAACTAGAGAATAGAGTCAATCCTGCGTGACTAGAATACAAAACCGGACGAACCAATCTGATGTTCCTTGACTAGCTGGCTCTGAGTCAGGTAAGAGGGAAGGGAGGTTGCGGAACATGTCCCCAAAAAATGGGATAGACGAAGGCTTGATTTCATCTTCTGTTCTGGTTAGCTCACACCATGCACCCCACTCGACTCCTCCTCCGCCTATGATCTCGGTATCAGCTCGGGTCTGGCTGCGCATAGCATTCCGCGACAGGATGCTGCGGTCTATGGACCAATCCAGAAGTGAATGGAACTTCCAGGCACGCCTCATCCCATCTCGGACCGCCGCAGAAGGATGATTGTGCAGGGGTAGACGCCGAGCGTATGGTGATGGTGGCGCTAAACTGCGAGGAATACCGCCCGGCACGGGAGTAAGATCACCAAAGATAAGGTGGGATAATAGTCTGATGTCCCCCTGGCTCACATGGTCAACCGCACGGTAATAGCGAAGAGCGAGCCTGTCACTCACCCCCTGGACGAGGTCCGCTGAAAGATTGGTGAAATTCTTCCCTATCTTTTGGACGCTGACGCGCACTTCCGCAGGCCCAACATTCGTCGCACGAAGAAAATGGGCGGTAACGTGGATTGGATCTTTATGTGCTGTCTCCGATTGAAATCGAGTGCAAGCTTCTACTATCTGCCCCAATGAATAACCTAGTGGGATGCGTTACTACCGTGAAACGAACTTCAAAAGTGCAACATACATACCTCCTTGAGGAATTCTGAATAATGAGCGTGGCTCGCCTTCGCAATGAGCACACGGCTAGATATAACAAAAAAACTCACGACCCAATGACCCAGCTACTATCTAGCTCCGTTGCGTATGTAGCGGCTCCACTGCATCGCGAGGTTTCTGAAACATCTAAAGCTCGCACTAGTGGGACCATATAGACAATTTGAAAGTGAGAACGGTCATTGACTAGTATAGCTACAAGCTATAGGCAGGCCGCAGAAGGAAGGAACCAAACATTTCAAAACTCATATGTGGGGCCCCGCCCTAGCTTGTCGAATTTGCTAATCCTATCATATCTGCTATATATCGTTCCTGACGAAAAGCCGTGAAACACAGTACTTGGGAAGCTGAAAAGAGGAAGCCAGATCATTTGAGGGACGTCTATCTGGCTGCGTTCATATTTGACAATATAACTGTCCTGTCACCCATGTTATTGATATCCCGACGTACACGTAAAGCTACATTTTGACGTTCCTCGGCAGTTCCACAATCTGATCGAATCCAGGATACTCAGGAAGATTGAGCTGGAATTTCTCCTGCATTGCCCTGACAGCAGGTATGGATATCATTCCAGCGATTAAATTTCTCAACACTTACTTTGGCACGAAACGCCCTCCAAGGAAATGCCTTCCCGTGAAGTATTTCGCTCCTACCTTTGGTGCTGTCAAACTGATCAGGACGTCAGGATTCAGTCCGACACCTTCTGCATTTCCGCGTTCGACGTCCCATCCACTGGGAATATCTACCGAAACAATCGGGAGCCCGGATGCGGAGATGAGCTTCAGAGCATCCTCAAACGGTGCCCGGACTGGTGGTTTGAACGAAAAACCGAAAATGGCATCCAGAACAACGTTCGAGGACTGGAGGATGCGAGGCAGCTCCTCAGCAGATGCTGAAGGCGAGATGATAGGGATGTCCATATTAATGCATTGCTTTTGCAGGCGCTACTAGCCCCATTTAAGATGCTGTGTCAAATCAATAAAAACACCTGACGATGTGGGCTGACCTGATAGATGTCTTTCGAGCCTGGCTGTTAGGGGTTACATTTTGGGACCAGCGCTTCACTAGGCGGATGAGACTCACCTTGGGCATATATATTGTTGGCTCGTAACCAAACATTCCTGAACGATTCCAGCATTGGAGCAAAGGGTAGGTCACTCTGAGAGCATACCAAGATGTCTAGCTGCGACCAATCCATCTCCTCCCTGGTTTCCTGGTCCACAGCATACCAAGATTTTCGGATACTTTTCCTTGCTGTACACCGTAGCTAGCGTTTGGGCACAGGCCAAACCAGCCAGCTCCATCAACTGCAACACGGATCATGCTTGAGTATCCTCTGTCGATACAGTACCAGTGAAGCCCCGTGCCTGATCCAAACTGAACGCCCCAACCGCATTCATGAGCTCCTCATCAATCTATCCATTACACGGATCAGCTCGTGTCTAACAGGTAATGATAACATTCTGTGCACCTGTTGGGCTAGCTGCGCGGTGAGGAAACGGATGGACATGGGTAATTTCCAAGGGTGTGAAATTAAAATAATATCGCAATTGGGACAACTGGGAAGTCCAAATATAATATTGAATAATCGATAAACGCGCCGCAAAATATCGTAAGTAAGTATCAGTGTTGGCAAATATTATAACAGGATGGTGAGACAGTGAAAAATGATGATCGCGTACAGTAAAAATGCAGTAGACCACAGTACAACAACAGCAAGAATGTCTTTGGATCAAGGAGAAAAAATCGAGAGTTTGCCCCTGAGGTACAACATGTCAGACAGAACTTGACTTAGCACAAACCCGACGATGTTCTTCCCAGTCCTTTTTCTGATGTTCAGGAGAACAGTACTTCACCAACCGGCACTTGCTACAGACAAGCCCGTTATTGGTCGGAGTATCCCCACTGTCGGCGCTGCTCTGCGATCCTTCACTACTCTCGGCATACTGCGATGTTTCTTCGTTGAAACAGATGTTGCAGTCGATCCAGTTGCACATCTCCCGAGATCTCACCTTCCTCCCGTTCCGACGACCACGCTTTATCGACAATATTGCCGCGCCTTCGACGCCACAGCGAGGAAATCGTATCATTTCGCAGTCGTCGTTACAGCACGGGTTGGGACAACCACTAGGAAAGTCAAAGAATATTTCCTCTGATGGAACGAATAGTGGGTGCGTGAATAAAATTTGGGAATAGGAAGTCGTCTGATGGGAGAACAAGATGATGAAGGGCGGTCGTTTCTCGTAGAGAATAGCTCGGAAAGCGATATCAATCTGAGGAAAACATGGTGTGCGCCGTTGTTTGAGGAGAGTATGGCTCAGACGCATGTCTATGACCACATAATCAACGTCAACACACGGACTGGCAACGGATTGATGTCACGAACGATTGTACTGAATCTCGTTCTCCATGCTGGGTTTACACGTGCGCCCGAATGCATGTCGGCAGACGAGCTTAAAGTATTCTGTTACATCGTCCATCTCTTGGCGTTTCATGTCTGTGACAATGATGTATACATCGTCGCAGCCAAGGTCATGCATCCCTCTGAGCATCATCAGCTCAGGAAGCTAAGATTGTCCTCAGTTACGATAATCATGATCTAATCAGCCGACTTCTTACCATGGTAAATACAACGGGCATCATAGATAATTTTCGGTCTTGCATTGACCTGTGATGATACACATGTGTTGACCAAGTGCGATCCAGAGGGATCAGACGGCCGGTGTCGACTGTACGACAGAAGATGTTTTCTGGAAGGAAATCTCCTTTATTCCAGACGAGGACTTGGCGTCTAAGAGAGTTTGCGGCGTGTTTTCGCTCCCTAACACCTTGAAACCATTCCCAGTACGCGTCATTGCGGTGTTCAAGCCATTTGTCGATTAACATGTCTGTGGCATCATGGTCGAGCGTTTTGCATATCAGCTCGCTCATCGAGAGGGTGGGCTGTGATAGAGCCGAGTAATGCCTTTTCGCCATGGCTGAGTGTGGCACAACCTTCGATAATTTTGTGTATTGTCGTTAGTGTAACGAAAGGAAGATAACTCGGATGATGATGGGCTACATACAAGGGGCCTGTGAAAGAGATTGCTTACGGCAAGAACCACGAACACGCCGGCCCTAACTCACACCACACCGGATGACTAAGACTTTCAAAAGTGCTTTTCATTCAGCAATCGTTCACAATCTGGCATTAAAATCGTAATTCCTAACCATACCTCAAAGACAGTGTCTGCCAGAGCATGATAAGGAGAAACATATACCAGCCCAACTCCCTCCATAACATGGCCAACAACTCTCGTTCCTAGTGACAAGTTGCATGGCACGTTCCGGTATGGGGGCAAGCAGCATCTATGGCACTGTTAGCGAAAACCTTGGCAAATCTGGCAACCACGAATGTTACCTATCATGAGACGCAAGGGGGAAGTTTCGGAAAGACCCTCTCCTGCGGTAAGCAGAGAGTCGAGACTCTCGTGTTCTTCTATCTTCCTTCCACATGGACCCTGCCATGTTACCACCGTCCGATATCGTGCGGGAAGATAACTATTGCCGAAAATGTGGTTGGTAAGGTGGGCTATTATTTCAAGCTTTGCCTCCTGCGCATGGCAAAACTTAACGCGCTGCGTCACGGCAGGCGCCGCACTCTTGTGAGTGTAAACATAGCTAAACCACAAATGGAGTGGACGATCGGCTTCTCAAGGAGGTAAGGATCAAATTTCGTATCAGAAACCAATTACTCACCAATGACCAGCCTAAGAGCAGAATGGGGACATTTTCCTACACCTTCCATCAGCAGTTCTTCTAAATCATGACTCGGGTTGAGTCGTTGCCCGCTGTGGTTCTCCCAATATGACAGAGACCGATGCTTGGCCTCGACAAATCCCTGGCAGAATAGGTGCTCGAGCACATCCTCCAAGTCAGTTAACTTCTCGTTCTGAAACTCAAGTTCGACCAGCTGAGCCGTCGCGGGCTTGTTGCAGCGTGACGCTTGGTGATAAGTCAACCATAGCTCGTTGTGGGTCATCACGAGCAAGCAGATGGAGAAGAAAATGGGAGTCGAACGATGGCAAAGGCTTGAGATTCAGCACATCCGCTTTTATATACTTTTCCTTTGGCGTGCTAAATGTTTTTAGTAAGAGAATTGCCATGAAAACATTCCTTCCACAAACCGCCGACGATGAGCCTACCTCTTACGACAGTATTAGGTGTTTTACACGTATTATTTGGCCAAAAACATGCCAATCTGCTTTTACGTCGACGCTTAAAGCTTTCTTGACCCACCGAAACGAACACTGGAGGAGGATACGACACGTTCCTTCACCATTCGACATGCCACTAGCAGGTAGCAGGGTATTTATTGTATTGATCAGGCGCAATCTCCTAGTCGGATTTAAATTTAGTCACTGATGAGAGTCTAAGCTTATAATAGTACGTGAGGGAAAATGCGTTGGCGTACTCGTCACGTGGGTTGATTTTTTTCAATAAGCAGCTGACTACCTAGTCCCTTCGGGACCGCTGAAGCTTAACCTTAACCTTCAAAGCTTGTGGCACTAAGGCCTGGAATTCTGGAATTTTCAGTGAGAGTCTGGTTACTTCGGTACCATATGCTTGCCTCTGAATCGTCGGTAAGTACTGGGAAAAGCCTCACGCATGAACGTAAAGACAGGAGTCCTGCCTTGCGACGTTGACAACTGAGTCTTCTATCACCGCCGCGTCGGGAGACTCGATAAAAATCTGACTTTTCTCATAGTAACCCAAAGCCGAGCATTGCAAGAGAACCAGCTTTCGACAAGTCGCCTTTATCTTTGGTGCGTGTTTATCATCACTGTCTCTTTAGATTGTTACCACTTCGTACTAAGTATCAGCGGCCAGCGGATTCCGAGAGAATGAAGCAGCATGTGCGTGTGATCTTCGGATGCCATGTGTGACAGCGCCACATCATCTTTGACAACGCCGGGGCTTTACCATAATAAAGAAGGAACAACCGTCTTCCAAACTCTTCCTTCTATTCAGTCTGCCTAGGGGAGACTAGGGCTTTGCCGGACCTGTGATACCAAGCGCGTATGCGCCAGGTATGTACACACGATTTCCCTTGCTATTTAACCTTGTGATCTCGACTCTCACCGCATGCACTTCCGTCGCTAATAAACCCCCTACTTGGAGCGACCTCTACGCATGCTTTATATCTTTCCGCGATAGTATCGAAGGCGCGGATGTTTTTTGCCCTGGAGTGTTCACAGGCACAAAGATATCTTCACATTCTCGACTTCGATCACGATTGTGCACATGTATGCATTCCGGTTAACGCACTGTGCCGTCACCAAACTCGATAACCCCGCAATGACACCTCTAGCGACAGGAACGCTCAACCGACTGGCTTATGCGCTGTACTCCCGGGTAGTCCACCTGTGGCCTATCATGAATTTTTGGTTTTTTTTCCTCTGCAGATCGAGGCACGAAGCCATCAGTCCAATACCAGCATCTACATGCCTTCGCGTGTCGGTCTTGTTAAGCGAATGTGCAAGCGATGGGGGTTGTATTTTTCCCCTCTTGCCCACTATCCTCCATGACTTCTCTACAACTCAGATCCGAGCTGTTTGTGCTGGATACGCCTCCACGTCATGGTTTGCCTGGACTTAAGATGACCGCCAAACGATACTATACACCTTTTTCAGACTCTCGAGGACTGACACTTCTGTTTGCGCATGGAGTGGGCGCACGTCAGTAAGCTTTTGTTTTCTCAACTACACTTGGCTGACTTTCATGGATTGTGTAGACAAGGAGCATTGGGAGCCGATGCTTCGGTATCTGTTCTCCCACCAGAACTTGGAACAGTCGTCCAATCGTATACGTGAAGCCTGGTGTTTCGACTGGTTGAACCATGGGGATGCCGCTATAATCAACGAGGCTGCACTCAAGCGCCGCCCGCCGGGGGATGTTTGTGAGTCCGACAACGGAACCCCTTATTACTTTCCTCATATGCATATCTACTCCAGCTATAGCGGAATGGGCAGCAGCAATTGCATCCTTTGTGAGATCACCGTTTCTCAAGGGACACAGACTGGTTGGCTTTGGACACTCGGCGGGTTCCAGTGCGATGTCAGTTATCCTATTTCCCACACACTTCGCAGAGGCTGACCTTTATATTAGAATACTCTCCACACGCGCATTTCCCTTGCGGAATCAACCCTTCATTGCGGTGTTTTTGCTTGAACCTTCGATGCTTTCGCGCGAATTGTGGATGTCTCACTTGCTGGAAGGAGAGACATTAATGAGAAGGAGCACCCGTGCTACTCTTCGTCGGCGTAATATGTTTAACACTCGGGAAGAGGCTGCCAATTACTTTCGAGAACGGAAGCCATGGACAGGATATGATCCTGATGTATTTGATGTTTTCACAGTGAGTGGTTTTAGTATTTACGAATTCTGAATTGTCAACTTCAGTCGGCCGTGTCTAGCAACACAGTTTTCACTCAGTTGTCATACAAAATGGCAGCGAAGAGGAAACCAAAGTCACTTTTAAATGCGACATGCATCATGAAGCGCTTGCTTATCAGGACATCGAAAGCCATTTTGAAGCTACTGACCAGTATACCCGCGTTTGCCGCGTGGTTCCTGTACACATTGTGTTCGGAACCATTCACGATTACGTGTAAGCCAGTATTCAGCGTGGTTCCTACTTCTCCTGATTCGCTCCCTCCTAACAGTCCATCTTATTACCAAGACTGCATGACGGACGTCTCCCAGGGGAGATCTCCGGCATCTGTAAGAAGGGTCCCTGGAGCTGGCCATGGCGTAAGCCGTCCAACTTTGATGGCTGGGCGATTCTTATGTATGAACAGATACTTCAACAAGCTCCCGAAGCCCTTGCAAGGGCAATATCTGTCGGCCTGAATTCAATTACGACGGATTCGACCTCGCATCTCCTGCATCGACTGTGATCGTCAATAACCTTCGCAAATACCCAATGATGTATACGTAACAGACTACGGGCAACTCAAACACGCAACCCGCTCATGTACCTTTTCTCTTCAAGGTTGGGAATGGCCGGACAAGCTTTCGTCCATGTGATGTAGTGATACGTATCCAGCTAGGACGTACTTAAAATGATTTACTTCCCAAGTCTCCACATGCTATCCTTGACATTGACCAAGCCTTCTCTTCGAGCAGCTTCCATAAAGCTCCCAAGTTGTTCCACAGTGCGATCGTAGCCAGGTGCAAACTTGAGCATTGATTGTATTCGATCCAGCGGCAGCGAACCCAGATTTGTAAGCATTCCCTCGATGAACTTGGCGCCATTTTGCTGTAAGATCAACTGCGACAAGTGCAAACGATAATAAAGGCATACCTTCCAGTACATTTTCATTTGTTCGGCCTGCTGCTGCTGCGCGCTCATCACTGGCGGTAACTCCCCCGCTTCTGCTATTGTTCAAGGTAAGTAACGGGATATTCTACGTCAAAAGATGAACGAACCAGGCTTAGGTGCTTGTGGTCTACTTCCTGGTGTAGGGCCCTCGGCAACACTAAGCAGCCGGAAAACACCCTCCGAGTCTTCTTTCAAAACATGCATGTCTACCCAAGTAGCAAGGGCTTTGACAGCTGCATTCCGATTGACGGAGCCGACACGGAGGACGAGTTCATCTACTGTCCATATGTCTGTTATAGGGGGCGAATTAGTGCCATCATGCGGCTGTGTGAAGGCTCACTTACCCTTCTCAGAGAAAAGTTCAATGAATGCGGCTTCCAAGGGGGGCACATCAGCTTCCAATGTCCTGTCTTCGAGCTCGAGCTGAAGATGAACCCGGCCGAGATGCGGTAACCAACGGAGGACCTTATCAGGTTTGAATACAGAGAACTCTGTGGCATATTGCTCTTGCAGGCTATACTGGTTCAGAGCCAGGATCAATTACAGGAAAAGAACGTACATCTGGAATTGCCCTGGCATGACCATGTCACTAGACTCGAGCGCGGGCCAGAAATGTCGAGATATAATTGTGGGATGCATTGAACTCTGTGCTTCAAATGGTGGCTCTGTACCTCGTCATACACATAATAACGACTTACTGCTTTCTGTGATTGCACATGTTGGTCTACGCGGCGCGAATCTGTCATATCTCGCAGCATGACTTCACAGACCTGCAACGCAGCTTCGCCAAATCGAATCTTCAAAATCTCGACATTACGACGCTGTATGCACCTTCTTGAGCATATCTACCAAAGTCGGGTGTTGATAACTAACCTCGCGGTCAAAATTTCCATCCTTCACCGCCAGCAGGCGTTGTGCTAGCAGTACTTGCAGTTCCTTGACGAATAGGTCCTTCGTATCATATATGCTGACTATGGTGCTGATGACGTCGCTTGACTTGCTCGCGCGGAAATCCGGCCCTGCATCAATGGGTTCAGGATTCCACTCAGGATCAGAATAGTTCTCCATCTCGGGCTGTTGAAGGGGCTGAATTGGTTCGTTGTCGTCGACCAGCGAGTCCCCACTCTCTCCATCTCCGACCAAGCTTGCTACTATGCACCGTATGGTGTCAGGCCGATCTCTGACCAAACACGCAGATGTCATCCGCTGTTCCTAAGTCCAACATCGCGTGTACGTACCGGAGATATCTTCTTGTGGGATCTGCTACTTTAAATAGGAGCACTCCAGGAGGATCGACGATTCTGAGACACTTGATCGTCGAGACATAATGCGTCAGAATATCTTTCGTATCTGCGCCCGGGTGAAGGAGACGCTTGTTGTTACTGGGGGCCACGATCAGATTTATTGCTGCAGTCGACAATTGTGAAGCATGACGCGACATACGCTTGCCGTAGTGCTTGTACGAGGTCCGCACGTTGATCGACACGTGCCAAGCACTCCTGCGTGCACAACAGAGATCAAAAAAAATATTGACTACAGAATTCAAACCAACCTTCAGGTCTTGGAGGGCGCCTACAGAATCCGGGAAATCGACAATGATATCAAAAATTTCCTTCGTCCTGCAAATCAAGTTATTACGACTTACGGCTAAGACCAAAACCCTCACCTTAGGTTGCAAAGCGTCTTGTGCATATGGAAGTCGAACCTTGACCCTACGCCTTGCATCATTGTCTTAGCCTCATCAGCTGAGTGAGTTGTGAGTCAGCAGCCGGGACGACTGAAAATGAATCACCATTGGTTGCTCCTCTTGCAAATGGATATAGCATCCATGGCACAATTTTATCGATCATCCAGGCCCGAAGGGTCGCAAGCATGGGTTCTGACCACTTTCCGGCACACGTTTCTACTACATATGATTCGATGAACTCGTATCCTATACTTGCGATAAGGGTCTCATAGCGGTCGATGAGGCTAAGAGTGTCAAAGGCTTGCCACAGGACGCGGTCTTGAGGGTCCTGCGACTGGGATACAGTACGCTGCAGCGTAGCTGAAACAAGAGCCTTGATTCCCCGAGCGAAAGATGGAGGAAGAACAGAAAAAATGTGAGTTTGGAAAGCGAGAGTGTAGGCGGATATCATCGTTGGTCCGAGACTAAGGTACATTGAATATGTGTTAGCCTTGGCAAAGTACATGATACGTACTCTGCGGTTGGTTTCCACGCGTTGTACCACTCGACCAGACGGTATACGAGCGATTGTATGTTTTCTGTGTCGGAATTACTCTATCATGAAGCATTTAGCATGACCATACATTGCAGGGATACAGAAACTTTAACCTCGTAAAGCGTCATATACACCTCAACTTCTCGGGTGATCAAGTGCTGGCTCTTTCGCATGTCCTCTTCATCCTCAGAAAAAACACAATATGAGAAATGAATAGTCTCACCAAGGAAAACCTCCATCGTGACAGGTAACCTCCTGCACTCGCCGACAACGCCAAATGCTGCCCTCACTTGATTCAAATCTGACCCGGACTCAGTGATAATACGGTAAAGTGACCAAATTTACCGACCATATTGCTTTTGTGGCGCAGGGTCATTCAAATCTCGCGGTTTAAGGAACTCTATGGCCAGAGTCCACGCCTGAACGCAAAGTTGGAACATGTTTATGCAAGGTAATTGACATAACATACCTCGCTGAAAGCTAGTAGACCAGATATTCCTGGCTCGCTGCGATTAAGGCGGTTGAATGACTCTTGCCATTTGGCTGCAACTTGAGCTCGTACAGCAGCCGATGCCATCAACGGTCAAGCAGTACCAAGTTGTTGTACTAGTACTCAATTGTCATTGAAGGCTTGTCCGTAATATTAAGTCTTGATATTACGTAACCATGTACCAGTTTTTTTAGCCAAATAAAAATCGTTTATCGTTTAGCCAATTAAAAAATTCAATCGTTCACCGTTTACCTCGTTGGGCCGTTGGACAAAGGAACAGCTATCTCCGGGAGACTTATGGTGTGCCACTGTGGTTATTGGTGTAGCCTTTTACTAAAGTTTCAAGTTGGTTTTCATTGAACGTTGAACCGCCTCATTAAAATAATTGCACCATAGAGTTCACCAATCTTTCAGCGCTTATCCAGTACGTTCCTCATGGCGACGCTTCGCTGATATTCCAATGTTGCATAAAAATGCATCATATCCGTCGACACAGTGGTGGGTGGCAGCCCAAGAATATTGAGAGGAGGCACATAGGGAAGTATTTTCTGCGTACATCGATTACAGTAAGTTGACAATAGCCTGAGTAATTGGTCGGCGCCACAGCATGTGCTTTGCACTCGCCCGGGGTCGCTGACCGGCCGGTAGAAAACTCCTCATGGCACCCGACACGTTCACGATCAAGTGAACGTTGCCGACGATCATAGACTTTCACGCCCTTTGCGTTTACTGAACGAACATGCGGTCCCTGACCAGCAGCACACTACTTTGCAGCCTTCGCATCAGACTGATATTTAGGTTCTACACGTTCGATGCTGATCTTTACGTTCTACATTATTGTGTAATCTAGTGGGTTCCTAACCACCCCACGGAGTCGTAGGTGGCCAAGAACAAGGTACGTGCGTCTGTTCCTATGTAACTCGGGTTAGTTAAAGGTAAAATTGCAGCTGACAAGGTTTTTGAGGTCCTGTTATTACGTTCCATTCACGTTCTGGGAACAGGGCACTCGTCACTTCGCGCACCGCCAACCCCGTGGCTTACAACTGGGTGTGAAAACTAAACTAATTAATTAACACACCAGTATGTGTAGGTTCTTGTTTTGAATGTGAAATGGTCGCTGCTTTTTGTCACGCATGTGGTAAATCGGGGCATTGTCGAGTCCGAAGGGAAGTTAAATCATTGATGTTCTCCCATATATGATTAACAAGGTTGCAACTGATTATTATTGTTTCGATAAAGGCTTTCGTGACTCGTGAGATCACGATTATTTCTCTTCCATGTCCATAACCCTCGACGACCGCGACCTCACTTATGATGGTTCATGGTTTCTTGGTGGTGCAGCCCTATACGAATATGATAACACTACCACGGCGACGGTTACGGCAGGCTCGACGGCCTTGATCAATTTTACTGGTCGGTGCCATCTTTCTGGCATTGTAGAGCTTGTCTCCTTGTACTGACGTGGACGCCATGCGCAATTAGGGATCAGCATTAGCGTCTTTGGTACCATTGGTCCGAGCAATATTGGGACTGGAGCCCCAGTCTCATCATACCAGATTGATAATCAACCTGCGGTGATTTTTACAGCTCCTGTCCAAGGAGATACTCTGTATCACTACAACTTTTTTACTTCTTCGACGTTGGGCAATGGTCCACATCAACTAATAATCACCAATCTCAACCAATCCAGCTATCTATGGCTTGACTATGTTCAGTATACCCCTTTGTCAGGTAATATTTACTATATCATAAATCATGACATATCTGATCGTGGATGCCAGCGACTTCATCTAGCTCATCATCTAGCTCATCATCTACCAATAGCCAACAACCAATTACAATTACAACTTCGTCTCCGTCTACGTCTTCGGGTGCTCCCAAGTCCCAAACTGACCCATCGTCCTCGTACTCGTCATGGACACTAGCGGCGGCATCTAGTTTGTTATCTCCCAATACCCAGCAACAAACCACAACGTCGTCTTCGACTGCTCCCGGGACACAAACTGACCCATCCTCATCCTCATCGTCCTCGCCAGTGCCTCAAACTTCAGTGCAAACCACCGATAAAAATTATGTATCAGTAATTGGAGGGGTAGTCGGAGGGGTAGTACTGGTTGTGGTCGCGCAAGCGCTGATTTATTACCTGCGGAGACGACGCGATACTCGAGCACTGGTCGAAGAGAGAAGTGTGTTGATTCCCTATAATGGAGGTTCAGATTCTAATTTTTATCTGCAGACACAGATGTGGACAATGCTCATCGAAACCCAGCTGAAGCTTCAGTATCTGAAGTTCGCAGCAACGACAATTTTTCTCTGATGTCGAGCGCTCCTCTCGTTCGAACCAGCGATTGGCCCCGTTCAAAACGGTCCCAGTACTCTTCTGTTGTCTCACCGTCTGTCGTGGGCATTAGGAGCATGAGTTATGCCGAGGACTTGGAGGCCGATACCTTTTTGCCTCGCCAGATAGTCAGCGAGGAACAAGTTTATCTACATGAAGACGGTGGTGTCCGTGTAGCTGGTGGTCGGCTTCGTGAACAGGCGGAGGATATTCCTCCTGAGTATCGAGAGTATGATTGATTTGTGTAACTTGCACAATGGGGATGCATTCACTTTTCTGCCAAAATTCACACTCCTCAAAGCGATGTCGTACAACTAATCCAGCACAAAGAACCTCTGATTATTTTGCTGATCCGACGGCCTGAGGAGAGAAATGCCGTTTAGCAGAACAATGATAACAATGCTCGATGTCCATCTCGCTGGTGCCCCAGCACTTATACGGACCGCGTTCGAATGATTTTACGTAGGTGATACAGTCGTTCACGCAAGGTCGCATCTAAATTACTCATGGTGACCAACTTTGCGCGGGATCCCAGGATGCACTGATCCAGTACGATATTCAATGCGTCAAACAACGCTTGAGTTGATGAAAGAGCATAAACAAAACACGCTAAACGATAATCTAAACCCCGCTTGTACCCTCTCCCGTACAACTTCAGAGCATGAGAAATGTTGCCAAACCAAATACAATCGCAATAGCCAGCCACATGAACAACGATGAAGACCTTTCAAATTTATGTTGCAACGCCAACCTCGCAACAACCAGCTGAGAGGGAGGGCCTTTAGCACCAGCTTCATCGATGGCAGCGATTTCTTCAGCGGTGAGTGGGGCTTCAGGATCTAAATCAGAATAACGTCGCATTTCATTATCTGAGACATACGAAGATCTTCAACGGCGAAGTACTCCTGAAGGCGTTCCTTGCTCCGACTCGTCCTTCAGTGATGGAAGTGAGATGAGAAACGAGAATTATGCGGAAAGTGGATAGACACACGTGACAATCGCTACGCCTTTACTTCTGACCCAGGAAAAGATCACCTGATTAGGGGTTGCGCCAATACGCTTAGCAGCGGCGTTGACAACCGCATCGACTGGTCCCCCAGGATTCTGCGTAATAGAGCTGCCCGCGAAGACAATCAGTATGACTCGGAGGCGGACTCTTAGGAGCAGTCCTCACTTCAAACTTCCATATGCTTCCACTATAATATTCTGTTTTACGCAATATTCAATCAAAGCTTTGTGCGAAGCATAGTTGTAAGGGTGGAATTTGATCTGCATGATAAAGCTTGTCAGTTGTACTGAGAGTAAGTGTCTAGAAGAATTTACTTGGTTGACAGCAGGTTTCGTAACCGCAGTCTTCAGGAGTTTCTGAAGGTCCTCTAGAGTAAAATTGCTAACGCCGATACTCCTGATAACCGTGAAGACCAGCGAATCCCATTCGAGCCGAAAAGGGCACACCTTGTTAATCCATCTGTCTTCATCTTCTCAAATTCTCGCCACCCAGACTCAAAGTCAGAAAAGAGCTGCGGAAAGTGCACAAGATACAAATCAACATAAGAAAGGCCAATCTGAGCAAGCATATGATTGAGTTCCTGTAGCAACTCGTGAGTGGTATGTGAGCACTAACCTTGTTCAGACTTTGTTGAATAGCCTGCCGCGGTGATCCAGCAAAGCTGTATTTGGTAGTGATATACAAACTCGAACGAGGAAGACCACTCTCTTTGATAGCCAGGCCTACATAGCTTTCTGTCTGATAATCTTATACCAGTGCAAATTTCGAAATATAAGGTTCTATTAAATGATTGTTGCAGTTAGAAATAACATACACTGTGCAGTATCGATATGGGAGAATCCATTCTCGATAGCCTGGCCCACGTAGTCTGTGACATCCTTGAATTTCATGGTGGACCCCGTGCCAAAGGCTATTGTGGGTAACTGGGACGCGCACAGAACATATCAGGTCTTGACACGGTGATACAAACTTTCATGAAGCGACGCATTACCTGGTTTCCATCGTTGAGAGTGACGGTGCCAAATGGCATAGCGGAAAGAGACTCGACGGTGGTGAGAGAAATGGTCGAGCTTCAGGTCGCATATATATATAGCCTGAGTACATGAGTTCTCTCTGGCGTTTCAGCATTTCGCCTTAACCGTGACGGCACCCCGGAGGCCGATCTCGTGATTCTCGTAGGGGCGCACCATTATGTGACGGATGTGAAGGAGCACGTGACGGTGATGGCTCGCTATAGCTACATAGAAGTTGGCGTGGTCCGAGTCAGCAAATTAGCTGAGGTGGATGAGTATAGAAATCAGAAACGCTGCAGGCATACCCCATTTGCCCTAAGATTATACTTCAAACCCCGCGCGTGCCTGATAATCTAAAGACTAATGCTACAATTTGAAAAACCCTCGAAAGGGATGATTGACTCATCTAAGTATCTCCCAATTTGCCAGTCCTACTGGATAACTCCCGTACAACCCCAAAACACGAAAAACTTGATCAAGCCAAACATAACCGCAACAGCCAGCCCCACGCACAGCAATGGAGCCTTTTCAAATAATTCGTGTTGCATTGCTAGCCTCGCGACAAGTAGCCGGGAGGGAGGGCCTTTAGCACCGGCTTCGTCAATGGCAGCGATTTCTTCATATGTAAGCGGGGCTGCACGATTTAAATAAGTTAAGATAATGTCACATTTAGATTCATGGTTCGACACATACGAAGATCTTCCACGGCGAGATACTCTTGAAGGCGCTCCTTGGTTCGACTCGTCCTTCAATTGCAAGAGCAACATAAGATACGAGGATTATCTGCAGGGCAGATAGACATACGTGACAATTGCTACACCTTTACTTCTGACCCAGGAAAAGATCACCTGGTTAGGGGTTGCGCCAATACGCTTGGCAGCGGCGTTGACAACCGCATCGACTGGTCCTCCAGGATTTTGCGTAATAGAGCTGCCCGCGAAGACAATCAGTATGACTCGGAGCGGCGAACTATTAAGAGCGGTCCTCACTTCAAACTCCCATATGCTTCCACTATAATATTCTGTTTTACGCAATATTCAATCAAAGCTTTGTGCGAAGCATAGTTGTAAGGGTGGAATTTGATCTGCATGATAAAGCTCGTCGGTTGTGATGAGGGTAAGTGTCTAGAAGAATTTACTTGGTTAACAGTAGGTTTCGTGACCGCAGTCTTCAGGAGTTTCTGAAGGTCCTCTATGGCAAAGTTGCTGACGCCAATGCTCCTGATAACTATGAGGACCAGAGAAACACGTTCAAGTCACAAAGAGCACACCTTGCTAATCCATCTTTCTTCATCTTCTCAAATTCTTGCCACCCAGACTCAAGATCAGGCAAGGCAAGCGGCATGTGTACCATATACATGTCAACATAAGAAAGGCCAATCTCAACAAGCATATCATTGAGTTTTCCGGGGTTTGCTTACGCGCGAGTAATGTGATTACTGACCTTGTTTAGACTTTGTTGAATAGCCTGCCGTGGTGTCCCAGTAGCGCTGTATTTAGTGGTGATATAGAGACTCGAGCGAGGAAGACCGCTCTCCTTGATAGCGAGGCCCACGTAAGTTTCTGTTTGATAATCTTATACCAGTGCAAATTTCGAAACATGAGGTTCTATTCAATGATTGTTGCAGTTAGAAATAACATACACTGTGCGGTATCGATATGGGAAAATCCACTCTCTATTGCCTGGCCCACGTAGTCTGTGACATCCCTAAATTTCATGGTGGACCCCGTGCCAAAGGCTATTGTGGGGAACTGGGACGCGCAAAGAACATATCAGGTCGATACGGTGATACAAACTCCCATAAAATGGCATGTTACCTGATTTCCATCGTTGAGAGTGACAGTGCCAAACGGCATAGCTGGGAGTAGAAACGAACTTTCTTGAGGGAAGTGTGCGTGTACATGTGACTCTTGTTAGAGTGTGATTAGAGTTCGAAGACATGTCATCATCGTGAAACTATTTCGGTGCTTTTACTCGGCCGTTTATGGTTAATTGTCCTCTAGTGCTCAGATCAGACTCCATCGTCCCCACAACAATATGGAGAGCCCCGTCGCACCATTCATCCCCGTTCAGGAGTTTTCTCCAGAGCCAGACATGGTGATAGAAGACCAACGTGCGCAATCACCAATGCGAAAGCGAGCGCGCCATACTAGCAGCAATGACCTCACAGCATCCGAGTCTGACTGTTCTCTCGTCATTCCAGAGGAATCGAAGGTTCCCGTAAGGGACGATACATACTACATGGCCGACGGGAGCTGCGTTCTTCGTGTGCAGAACACGTTGTTTAAAGTATGATCTGAAGTGATATTCATGCCCGTGAGCTGAATAATTGGTGGTGTAGGTCCATCGCACAATCTTGTCCAAGGATCAGTCATCCTTTGGGCCTATGTTTACCCTCCCACAAGGAGAATTCACGGAAGAGGGGATGTCGGACGACTATCCCATCGTTATGCAGGGAGATACTGCGGAAGAGTTCAGACATTTCCTCTGGGCGCTCTATGCCTTGTGAGTGTTATCTAAGCGCCGGCAAGGTCCAGCCTTCTCAAACTCGAGTCTCGACTTATGACAGACCCTCGGAACTGCTGATAGTTCGGTCCCCAAAAGCCGATCTTAGCCGGCTAATAGACATTGCAAAGGTGTCCAGCAAGTACTCCTTCAAGTCCACAGAAACATGGGCATTGGACGCAATTCAAGAGTATCTTGAACGGAACACGTCCCCCCTGTTCAATGACAACCCTCTAATACGCATGTTCCCAACAATAAGCACTCGCTCTTCGGCTCTTTTGGAGAGTGAAGGCCAAATTGCGCGCCTGATCAGACTCGCTCAGATGTGTTCGCACTCACGTCTGATGGACACGATGATTCAACTTCTTCATAAGCTGATGTCAGGTTCTTTGCACTATTCATATCTGGCCATGACCCTCGCGGATGAGTTCGACATTAGGGACCTGCGAGGCGCGGCATATCTTGAAGTCATGCAGACATCAGTCTTTGTCTGCCCCGGAGATAGTAATGGTCATACATATGTGGAAGGTGACATTCAGGAAACGAGTGAGGGGCCGCAGCGGCTGGTGGTCAGCCCGGTACAGCAGCTCAGGCTTCTGTCGGGATATCACCGCCTTTCTAAGGCATGGGACCGGTTGCGTTCTGTTCCTCCGCAGTTCGATCATGCGCCGTCATGCGGTGCGACGTGGCACCAACATGGATGTACTCAGAGCTGGACAGACTTCTGGAAGGAGAAGACGAAGTCAGAAGGTGTGCTATCCCTTGGCTCCGCAAATGTTCTGGGGAGATTGGGGATTATTATCAAGGAGTTTGACAAGTGGGGATCTGCAACATATATGCACCACGATTGCAAGTCTGCGGCGAGACGCTCTATCCACGACAAGGTGAAGCAGATTCAGGAAGCACTGCCGGATTATTTCACAGGAGGTGGTGAACATTAACGTCCGTCTGACTTGATAGAGTACATTCCATACGTACTGCTAGATATCGTACAAGTTCTGCTTTTCAGTACGTTGAGGGAGGAGATTAATTGATACAAGGGAAACGGCCACGGCGTGAGTCAGTATTGCCCTTGTCGCCCTTTCCCGAGGGCGGTCCTCATGCTGCTGGAATTGGAATTCACATGGGCAATATTGCGCCTATTCCATGGACCATCTTGTATACGGTTTGCTTCATTTCCTATTGAGGTGCCCATCATGTTCTGTATCAAGTTCCCCACGTTGTCAGCTGAGGGCAGTTGCTCCTTTCCAATTTGAGAACCGTTTATAACGGCTTGCTGGAATATTTCATCCTCCTCCAGCTGCTGAACACGCTGTCGAAAGCCACGTAGTATTTCCTCGAACAACACTACCTCGAGCGATTAGCATAGAGAGCTAGTGAAACGAGGATGTTCAACACACGCTTCTGTTCCTGTGGATCGGTGGGACAGATGATCAAGGGATCTTTCAAGTTCTGAACTTCGTCATGTTTCGGCTCATCAAGTCTAAGGTTGGCAATCCACTTTCGCTCGAAAGAATCCTGATTCAATCCTGAGTCAGACAGAGACGTCTCATCGGGGCCGTATGCGGTTCCCACAGAACTTGCAGGAGAAGGAGGACGAATTACGGGAGAAGCATACGCAGGGTCGCCAGCGTGAATTTGTTGAGTGTGTGGCATCCCAAACCTGGTTACTGGTGCGAACGAAGCTGCATTATGAGTAAGTCTGAGTCAGATAATTAAGCAGGAGCTTGGTTACCTTGATGTTTGAAGGAGAGATGCGGGTGCAAGCAAGCCAAAATAACGCGGCACGCGATTTCGTTGATTAGCGTGTCTGTGACACGACCTAGCGTATCATTTGAAGCACACATACCAGAAACTCACTTATTTTTTACGCTTTACTCTATGCCCATCTGTGCCAGCACGAATGCAGCACAGTGCAAGGAGAGCGTCCATTTACACTGAATTTACACTCGTTCAACGGTTCAATTCTTGGTTGCTGGACGCGATGCGTGACGTCACGGGATATCCTATCTGGGTTGTTTGGCTGAGTAATGCACACGCCACTTAAATTCTTCGCGACGCGTCTGTCGCTTCCTTCATCTCCCCCACCACCAGACTCGGTTTTTCTGCCATTTCCTCCTGCTTTTTTCAAATATTTGAGGAGCAACTTACCATGGCTTTCGTGTTCAAGAGAGGTCAGTCGCCCCTAAGTGTGGTGTATGGTAGCTGATCTGCGTGTTTCTCTGCACAGATGGGTAAGCAAACGCGCGCGAGAACATTCATTTCATCATCTGACGCGTCATTCACGTGTAGCCGCAAAGAAGAAGTGAAATTTGACAAGGTATGTATCCGCTAAGCTGTGTAGTGCATCGCTCACCGCATTGTAGATCACGGCAAGGATAAACAAGCTCTGTTATGGCCTTGACCTCAACTATGTCGAGCCGATCGAGTTAGTCGACCGTTTCGTCACTCTTATGTATATCTAATTGCTCCACAGGGTTGCCAAAAAGGTCATTGCAGGTGTATACCAAGGTGTCACAACTGTCGAACTCGATGTAGGTGTTGACATGATATTTTGTCGCGTTCCCCCACTCACCTGAGATAGAACCTTGCCGCCGAGACGGCAGCATATCTTACTACGAAGCACCCTGATTACGCTGTCCTCGCTGCGCGTATCGCTATATCAAATCTCCACAAGGAGACCAAGAAGAACTTCTCCACTGTCGTGAAAGACCTCCATGAATATAGTATGTTTTCGCGTTTTTGGTGTTCAATTTGTATTTGACTTCTTCGTCAAGTCAATCCTAAGAATGGAAAGTCTGCCAGTTTGATTGCCGATGATGTATACGACGTCGTGCTAAAGAATGCTGCTCGTCTTGACTCTGCAATCATTTACGATCGTGACTTTAGCTACAACTAGTGAGCACCATCATCATACACGATGATATTGTACTGATTTTTTGTCAGCTTCGGGTTTAAGACCCTCGAACGGTCGTACCTTCTCAGGATCAATGGCCGTGTTGCCGAACGTCCCCAACATATGATCATGCGTGTCGCTGTAGGCATCCACAAGACTGATATCGAGAGTGTCATTGAGACATACAACCTTATGTCTGAACGATTCTTTACGCACGCGTCACCAACTCTGTTCAATGCTGGCACTCCTCACCCCCAACTAAGCTCGTGCTTCTTGGTTTGCATGAAAGACGACTCCATAGAGGGTATCTATGATACCCTCAAGACTTGTGCCATGATCAGCAAGACCGCAGGTGGAATTGGCTTGAGCATTCATTGTATTCGTGCTACTGGGTGCGTTCATTTCAATCGTGACATTGCTTCATTTATAACATCTGCCCCTTGCAGCTCGTACATTGCTGGAACAAATGGCTACTCGAACGGTATTGTCCCTATGCTCCGCGCGTATGATGCCACGGCACGCTATGTCGATCAAGGTGGCAACAAGCGACCGGGAGCTTTCGCGATTTATCTTGAACCATGGCATCCTGATGTGTTTGATTTCCTCGACCTGAGGAAGAACCATGGTAAAGAGGAGTCACGCGCCCGTGATTTGTTCTACGCGCTGTGGATTTGTGACCTGTTGTATGTATTCGACCATCATCTTGTCATCACTCTAACTTTCCTTTATCAGTATGAAACGCGTCGAGTCTAATGAAAATTGGTCACTGTTCTGCCCCAACGAAGCGCCTGGTCTTCACGAGGTTCACGGCGAGGAATTCGAAGCCCTCTATGAGAAGTACGAGAAAGAGGGGCGCGCCCACAAGGTCGTTCCAGCTCAGAAGCTGTGGTATGCTATTCTTGAAGCTCAGATTGAGACTGGTGGACCTTTCATGGTCTACAAAGACGCCGCTAACCGTATGTCAATGTCATTCGTTGCACTTTCCTTGCTCACAATCATCCGTAGGCAAATCGAACCAAAAGAACTTGGGCACCATCAAGTCATCCAACTTGTGCACTGAGATCATAGAGTACTCGTCGCCAGAGGAAACCGCTGTCTGTAACCTTGCCTCGCTCGCCCTGCCTACTTTCATCTCGAACGGCAAATACGATTTCCAAAAGCTTCATGACGTTGCAAAGGTCGTCACCCGCAACCTCAATCGCATCATCGATGTAAATTATTACCCCGTTCCGGAGGCTCGCACTTCCAACATGCGCCATCGCCCCATTGGTCTCGGTGTACAGGGTCTCGCAGATGCTTTCATGATTCTCCGTCTGCCATTTGACTCACCCGAGGCAAGGCAACTCAATCTCCAGATCTTTGAGACCATCTATCATGCCGGACTCGAGGCCAGCTGTGAGGAAGCTGAAAGGGATGGACCATACGAGACTTTCAGGGGTAGTCCCGCCGATCTCGGTCAATTGCAATATGATCTCTGGGGTGTCACGCCCACTGACCTCTGGGACTGGACGAGTCTCAAGGAAAAGATCGCACACACTGGATTGCGTAATTCGTTGTTGGTTGCACCCATGCCAACTGCATCAACCAGTCAAATTCTCGGTTTCAATGAATGTTTCGAGCCCTACACTAGGTACGTTCGACTGCCTTGTCACGTTCTGCAAGCTGACATGTCCGATCAGTAATATCTACACTCGTCGTGTTCTTGCTGGTGAATTCCAGGTCGTATGTCCCTGGTTGCTCAGGGATCTTGTCGACCGTGGGCTCTGGAATGATGACATGAAGAACATGATCATTGCTCATAATGGCTCCGTCGCCAACATTCCCAGCATACCCACCGATATCAAAGCTATTTACAAAACCGTTTGGGAGATCTCGCAGAAAAAAGTCATCGACCTGGCTGCCGACCGTGGAGCGTTCATTTGCCAAAGCCAGAGTCTGAATATTCACTTGCAGTCGCCTACCATAGGCCAGCTGACGAGTATGCACTTCTATGGGTGGAAGAAAGGCCTTAAGACTGGCATGTACTATTTGCGCACTCGTCCAGCGGCGCAAGCCGTTCAGTTCACTGTCGACCAGAGCGTGCTCAAAGCAGCCAAGGCGCAACAGGGCGAATCCGACAAGGCTGCCACTGGCATTCCTACACCTTCCGCATCTCCATCCCCTCTTCGTCGAGTCCCTCCACCATCCAATTCGAACGACAACCCTGTTGCGTCCAGTTCGTCGGGGCCCAGTGAAGCTACCGACGTCGACCCCGAGTACGCCGCTGCCCTTCAGCGTCAAAGGGATCGTGAACTTGAAGAGGCAAAAATGTTGTGCTCGCTAGAGAACAAGGAGGCCTGTCTCATGTGCTCTGGTTGATGGAGCGGGCATGTAGTTGATGTGGTCCAATATTCATTTGCATCGTCGAAAGTTATTCATCCTGGTTTGTTTGTTACCCGCATTTTGTTTACATTTCTAGGCACGATTGTATACCAGCTGTTGTAATTGTAATGAAATAGATGGATTTCGGTCTGTCAGCATACGAATGGATCTCTGAGATAGTCATAAGTGCCAAGGACAATAAGGATATCCGTACCAATATTAATGATTTAAACTGCATGCAATGTAAATAACAAGATAATGTTCTATGTACATGTGGTATATAATACAACACCATCACACCTACACTGTCATCCAAACTGACAGTAATATTACACCCACTGAATCTAAGGCCATGACTATAGTCGATTGACAGTCAGGATCGCAATGCGTCCATCTTGTGCAATGGCATGATTAATTCCTGGATGGCAAGTCAAGAATGACCACGTAGAGGAAAGGGTATTGCTGACCTTTGTATCCTGGTTCGAGTAGGCCTCTCCGCCACTCCACATCAGCCTGCCACCACCTGCCATTCCAGTGGCTGACGGATGTGGCGGCTTCGACGAGAAAATCACGACCGATGTTATATCCATCCGGAATAATCATATGGTTTTTAGTGGAGTCCTACCAGAGGTGAAATAAGGTTCTCAAGTTCTACTAGCGTTCTGCTCACCATTTCCTTGGAGACACTAAGAATCGAGTGTCAGTAGCCGCGACTAGAAGTGAGGTGGTGCTTACGCCAAAAACCACGCTCCGGTGTCGATTTCTGTGCCATTCTGCTTCCAGGCACGGAAGTGGTTTCCTCCTGAACACCGAATCATGAAAGATTTGATGAAACGTGGAGGAAGGACGAACCTGCTATACTTTCCCAGCAAGTTCCCCACTTAGGGAAGTAGTGTTGCCTTGCCAGAATATGCTCGGATTTCTGGCTGTCGCCGTCACCGAGGTCTGCCTTGTGAACATGACCATAATGGAGTCCTAAACACTCCTCAGAAAACCCAATGGACCTTGCAGGGCGCATCAATAAGGTTCGAACATACAGTTCAAGGTGGCTCACTTATAGTACAGACGGAAGCCAGCATCTGTCAATATGAAGGGATCTGACTGGTTGGATATGATGACATTTAGCGGTTCCCCGTATCTGGGAGTCGTGAACTGCAAGCAAGCGTGACGGAGATCTTATAAGTACGCGATGTACTTACGTCTAGAAACCGTCCACCATTGAGACGCGGATCGGTCCAACCAATCTCAGCTTTTGGAAGATCTAATGTAGTCCCAAAGATGGATTGCAGGGTATCCATAAAACGGGTGGGGAGTACCAGGGCACTGGCCTGAGAGGCAGCCAGGCCCATAACCAGAAGAACGACGGTAACAGACTTGACCATGACGGGACTGAACCAAATAACTTCAGTCTTCAGGACAAGAACCCGCAGGTCCTGGTTGACCGTGGTAAGCGCGGCCTCGTGGACCGCCTTGATGTGAACCGAGTGCAGCGCGAGCCAATGCGAGCGCCCGGCGAGCGATGAGACAAGCACGTGGGTGCCATGATAGGCCCGGGTTTGGACCCGTGATTGGCGCTTTGAACTTCTGCGCTTCCACCACAACGAATCACGTCGTCAATATTCGACATGTCCAACACTGAAAGGACTGAATTCGACGAACACGTCAACACTGGTTTTGTCATTAATGATCGCAGTGAATTCGAAGACGAAAGCGAAAACGACGATGCCGATGCCGATACTGCTTCTCAGCGCTCAATTTCTCTTTCATCTCCTCCACATTCGCCAGTACACGATCCCAATACTGCTCTACGCGCTCAAGATTTCTTTGCTAGACGTGGATCGCAGGATGACTCTATAGAGATTGACTTCAACTCAGAAACGGACGATGTAAGCGACTCCTTCAGCGAGAGGGACGCTCGACGTGCTAGTTCGATTACATCTGCGGCTCCTTCTGCAGCTCTGTTTGACGAATCGAAATACAACATGGCACATGCTGTGACTTATCCGCCAACTCCTTCGTCGGGTGCAACGGATGTAGATTCATTCACTTCTGCAGCTTCTTCGTATTCGAAGAAAGCACGGCCGGAGTCCATGTTGCTACAACCCCCGGAAGGCCCATTAGTCCTGGGCATTGCACTTGTAGATTTTAATCATCTGGTATGATGATTAAGCGTACCTCGTCACTTGGGAAGCTCATATATATGTAACTCAGGTTGGTCCGAAGATCGAGTTTTGCCATGGCGATATTTTCCAGGATGAAGAGATCGTCAAGATACTTCCTTTCCTGGCTCTTCCAGACGGTGCACATCTGGTAATCCCAATGAAGCTTGTGCAGAACTTGCTCTCATGAACACCTTCATGCAGTCGCTGGAAGATTATTCTTATTTTCATTTAGTTCCAAATGCTCCAATACCGACCACGATTTTTGGCATCTCGTGCGGATTAATCTAAATTATATGCGTGCTGGGCCCTGACTTTTGGGCCACAGATGCAATCGCCAAATACCGGCCTCTGTTCTACTTGTTAAAGACGTAGATGTAACTCGCTCAATTGTTCAAAAGGCTGTCGTGGTCCTGGCATCAAAGCCGGTCTTTGGCCCCATTCGGTAAGTCTGCAACGCTGCACACATACCCCTTTGACTATATGCCTTGTTAGGGACCGCTTAGGTGTTGTCACACGCGCACTATTTGAGCAACGGTGAGCTTGGGTGTTACCTCGATGGGCCAAACCTTACTTTGCCTCATAAGCGACTTCTCGGATACCAGTATTCTGGTAGAATTCGGCGCGTCGTTGGAGATCTCCCTCCGTACACAGCTAACGGAAAGCGGATTATACATTGGTGTGTCTGGAGAGCTCATCGAGACGTTTTGTCATATCTGATTTTCTTGTATTCATGCAGGCACAAGCATGTAAGTTGCGCAGTACTGACCATCCTGAGAAGCTGACGAGGGTAGTCGGGAGTTTGTCCACACCTTCCGCCATCGCACGCTTGTTCTATTGAAAGCCCTGATGTGTCAGAAAAAGGTTTGTGATAACCATCGAAAACACGGGCCATATTGAATATATCCTAGATTATGTTCTTTGGTCACCCAGTGGAACGATTGTGTACTTACCAGTACTCGCTCATATCATTAATCCCTGGTAATGATCACTGCATTATTTCTGTTCCTGACCCTCAAATTCGTATGCAGGCTTATTGCAAACACTGGAGGATTCCGGATCCCCGCCCCTCGCCGCACGTGCACCAACACTTTCGTGCCCACAGTCGTTACGAACTTCAGATCGTAAAAGTATGATGGCATACATGGGTTTACCACTAGATATTTTCGGGAAGGTATGGCCTGCGCTGCACATTAGTGTACAAAGCTGACCATGAGGTCTAGGACGCGTTCTTTCAACCATATTTGCCCTTGCAACAGCTGGACCTTCTAAAGGATTCAGAAGGCTGGCTATGCGGGAGCACGAACTCCATCGTGACTCAACAAAAGGAGGTTGAATTGCTTATCAACGTCGGTCATCAGATATCACCGAAGCAGCTCGATCCTCACCTTTCATCTATAGACTGAAACAGCATTACTAGAGTTTCGAAATCCTGCGTTGGAGCGGCTAATGGGCCTGACAGCCGCCGACCGAAAATGGATGGATGAGATCGTTCGAGACGTCAATGATGCTTGGGATGATGCAGATCCAACAAAGCCTGCAATGCAGTGTGTCACCTTGTACAATTGCCTGGTTCCGGTTTTAACATGTTTGACAGCTTCAAAGGCAGTGATGATTACCTGCGAGCCAAGGTTGCGCTAGCTTATGCGTCCGATTCGCCTTGACTTATATTTTGCAGTTCGAAGAGTACGTTTCCGCTGCACTCGCATCTGTTCGATATCGGGAGTTCCTTGCGAAAGGGAAAGTGAACAATGTGATCATTACTGGAACAGGTAAGTGTCGAGGGTGTACAATAACAACCAACACTCATGATATTTGTGCAGGAGGAGATGATAACTCGATCGACGATTTCAATCCCCTTTGGATCGCTGAGTTCACCAAGACGAATGCATATGATGTGTGGCAGAGGTCTACAGACCCTATGCTTTTCGACATCGTCGAGCCACGGTTGGAAAACTTGTTTCAAAGATTTTTTTCCAAAAACTTAGTTTAATTCTGACAGTCACCCATGCAACGAGAAACCCTCTGTCGTCGGAGACATCGGAATTCGGCTGTCCGAAGGACTTCAAGAGCTGAAACTGGAACAACAACTAGCTCCGACCCGAGAAGCCATCTCACGCACCATCACCGCTAGCTCGACGAACTTCTTCAAAGCGGTCGAAGGTGTCCGTGGGCGGTGGCAGCAACGCACCACCAGTTCTGCTTCGTTCAACTCCGATCTTACGAGCAGCACGTATGAGTCCCCGGTGGAGGTCTCAAAATCGGAATTGGGACTGTCTTCGCCCCCCGCTTCTGAAGGGAACAAGCTTACCCCCAATATCACCAGACAGACGTCGAGAGAGTCCGCATCAGGTACATCTATGCGGCCCGTAAGCGTTGCGCAAGCCGCATCGGACGCGAAGGTAGCATTGGGAAACTGGGGCGCAGGTATACAGTCTTTCTGGTCCGGTCGCGCTTCACGGTTTTCCATGTCTCGCTCGAGCATAGCGAGTGTAGCATCCACAGATTCGTTATCTAATTCCAGCACAGTACAACTTCCAACATCACCGATATCGCCATCGCACTCGCGCCCAAGCGTGGGTACGGTGGAGGAGGAATCGGAACATGATTTGGATCACAAGGGATACGAGTCGCAAGAGCCAGGTGGGATCGCTCTTTGAACTAGTTTTGGACCTCGTCGCGCATAGACCTCTGTACTTCATTGCATCACAGATACAGTTCACGCAGTGTTCGTAATTGACATGGATCAAAGACCCAATCGTTTATCACGAGGCTTACTATGGCGTGGACGGGAGTATCCCAATGGTCTGTCGGGTTCTTGACACCAAAGATACTCTTTGATCGTACGTTGGTGGCAACCCCTGTTTGTTGCTTCAGTGCGACTTTTCTAGTATGATGTTGTGCCAGAGTCCATGGCATCGAGACAGTAAATTTTGTATTCATTTCAGTGGGTTGTATGTGCATTATATTGTTGGTCACATTAGTGTATATAATAGAGGAGGTCTGATCAGCAGACACGATACAAGTATGCCCGCATCACGTGACCCAACCAAGTACTGTCTGACTTCGAGATAAACTTTTCACGATTCCCATTCCGAGGCTTCACCTTAATACGCCAGGCGATCCGCAATGTCCGACAAGCTCCTGATCCACTTCTGATCAATGTTAATTAGTATGCGCGGCTCACCAAACATAATAAAAACACTCACAATTACAGCTAAACTTTCTTTATGCGCGTGAAAGAGTTCTTGGAGTTGTCCGAGTGAGAATGTACGCTAACATCCCGAGCTCGCGAACAGGCTCGACGGTCTTGCCGATGTCGTGGATCCCATTTCTCCAAAGAAACATATTCTGCTTAGTGTTAGTGTCAATCTCACTGCGATATTCCCGGGCCTTTTCCTGCAGTGTTCTTCAACATGATAGTTCACACACGGCTACAATCTCAAGGACTCGTGAATTCACTCCATGATGCCGCTCTCATGCCTCAGGCCCTCACTGCTACTAGTTCTTACTACATATACAAGTTCAGCGCTCACTATACCATTTCTTCTCCGGGTGTCAGTGCTCGAATTCTATGTCCGTGCGTATTGCAATTCAAACATATCCACCTAGATTTTATACTCATGAAAGGCACAGGGTCGTCTTCGCCCAATTGCCACGGCGCTCTTCGGCTTCATCCTCCCTGCGTTCTTGACCAATGACAGTCCTCGCGTAACTGATCATGATAGCATAGCAGATAGGGTGCAAAAGTGTCGAGCGGCCTTGCAGAGCTGTCCCCCCGGTCATCCTGATCGACCAGCGTCTCTCTACAATCTTGCCAAGAGCCTTCAAAACAGATTCGAGCATCGGGGCGTCCCGTCTGACCTTGATGAGGCCATCGAGCTCCATCGGGCTGCACTACTCCTTCGTCCCCCTGGTCATTCCAATCGATCACAGTCTCTCAACAATCTTGTCACCGGCCTTCAAAACAGATTTAAGCAGCGGGGCGTCCCATCTGACCTTGATGAGGCCATCGAGCTCCATCGGGCTGCACTACTCCTTTATCCCCCCAGTCATTCTGATCGCTCAATAACTCTCAATAACCTTGCCCTGAGCCTTATAAACAGATTCGAGCAGCGGGGCGTCCAGTCTGACCTTGATGAGGCCATAGAGCTCAACCGGGCTGCACTACTCCTTCATCCCCCCGGTAATTCTAATCGATCAACGTCTCTCAACAATCTTGCCGCCGGCCTTCAAAACAGATTTAAGCAGCGGGGTGTCCCGTCTGACCTTAATGAGGCCATCGAGCTCCATCGGGCTGCACTACTCCTTCGTCCCCCCGGTCATTCTGATCGATCAGCATCTCTCAATAACCTTGCCCTGAGCCTTCAGCAAAGATTTAAACAGCGGGGTGTCCAGCCTGACCTTGATGAGGCCATAGAGCTCCATCGGGCTGCACTACTCCTTCGTCCCCCCGGTCATCCTCATCGATCAGCGTCTCTCAACCATCTTGCCAACAGCCTTGAGAATTTATTCGAGCAGCGGGGCGTCCCGTCCGACCTTGATGAGGCCATCGAGCTCTATCGGGCTGCACTACTCCTTCATCCCCCTGGTCATTCCAATCGATCAGGGTCTCTCAATGATCTTGCCACCGGCCTTCAAAACAGATTTAAGCAGCGGGGCGTCCCGTCTGACCTTGATGAGGCCATCGAGCTCCATCGGGCTGCACTACTTCTTCGTCCCCCCGGTCATTCTAATCGATCAACAACTCTCAATAACCTTGCCCTGAGCCTTATAAACAGTTTCGAGCTGCGGGGCGTCCAGTCTGACCTTGATGAGGCCATAGAGCTCAACCGGGCTGCACTACTCTTTCATCCCCCTGGTCATCCTGATCGATCAGCGTCTCTCAACAATCTTGCCGCCGGCCTTCAAAACAGATTTAAGCAGCGGGGCGTCCCGTCTGACCTTGATGAGGCCATCGAGCTCCATCGGGCTGCACTACTCCTTCGTCCCCCCGGTCATTCTGATAGATCAGCATCTCTCAACAATCTTGCCACCGGTCTTCGAAACAGATTCGGGCATCGGGGCATCCCGTCTGACCTTGATGAGGCCATCGAGCTCCATCGGGCTGCACTACTTCTTCGTCCCCCCGGTCATTCTAATCGATCAATAACTCTCAATAATCTTGCCACCGGCCTTCAAAACAAATTCAAGCAACGGGGCGTCCCGTCTGACCTTGATGAGGCCATCGAGCTCCATCAGGCTGCACTACTCCTTCGTCCCCCCGGTCATTCTGATCGATCAATAACTCTCAATAATCTTGCCCTGAGCCTTCGTCACAGATTCGAGCAGCGGGGCGTCTCGTCTGACCGTGATGAAGCATTTAGGCTGTATGTGCAACTCTCCTACCTATCTCATGCAGTCTCCCATGGGGATCTTACTGCTGCCAAGTCATGGGCCACCTCTGCCGAAGAGACGAACCATGACTCTGCATTACTTGCCTATCAAACTGCGTTGAAATTCCTGGATCAGCATGTTACTATGTTACCGTCTTCTCCACATCTATTTGATGTCGTCAGGATGGCCACAGCTTCACTTCCCATGGACGCTTTCTCGTGCAGTGTTCGTCATGGTGCACTGACAACTGCTATAGAACTGGTGGAGCAAGGCCGTGCCATATTCTGGACCCAGTTGGCACGCTTACGCTCACCGCTCGATGAACTTTCCCTGTCCGGTGACACCGGCGCAGCCTTGGCGAATGAGTTGAAGCAGCTGAATTTTGGCCTTCGTAGCGCGCTTGATCGGTGTACCGAAGAGCGGTCCCCACAAATCCCACAACTGACCATGCAATGGAATGATGTCGTCTCCCGCGTCCGCATGCTGCCTGACTTTTCTCGGTTTTTCCTGCCTCCCCTTTTCTCCAACCTGCAGAAGGCTGCTGAAGGAGGCCCTGTCATCATCGTCAATGCAAGCCAATATGGCTGTGACGCCTTGATTGTCTTCAGTGCACAAGATCCTGTCCACGTTCCACTCGATATCCCGCAGACTGAAGTCTCCGAGTTGTCTTCAGAATTCCAGTCCCTCGCAGAGCAATTTGGTTCTTCTGATCGTCAAAACAAACTCGTCAGCATCCTCCGCAAGCTTTGGGATTGTGTTGTTGATCCCGTGGTCCGAGCTCTAAGGGCGTTCAAAATTCGCCGTGGCTCGCGTATCTGGTGGTGCCCTACTGCTGAGTTCACGCTTCTTCCTCTACATGCAGCAGGACCGTACGAGAAGAACAAAAACAACTTATCTCAAATTTATATCTCCTCTTACACCCCCACTTTAGCGACACTCATTCGGGCGAGACAGCGAGTTTCTCAAGAGGTGTCCACACAACATTTTGTTGCTATCGGTCAAGCGAATCCGGACAGAGGGGAGGAACTCCATCATGTCGCTCTCGAGTTAGCCATTGCCGCTCGGCGTCTCGGGCCCATCGTCTCCTTCACATCACTCGAGGATAACGACGCAACAATCCAGGGTGCACTTGATGCACTAAATCATAATCAGTGGCTCCATCTAGCTTGCCATGGAATGCCACATCGGACGCAATCGTTTGACTCTTCCTTCGCAATGCGCGATGGGCCGTTGATGATCAAGGAAATCATCCGGTCTAACTGGCAGAACCTGGAGTTTGCATTCTTATCGGCTTGCCACACTACCGTGGGCCATGAGAAGAGCTCCGACGAGGTGATACATCTCGCTGCGGTGATGCAATTCTCTGGATTTCGCAGTGTGATAGGTTCCATGTGGTCTGTCGACGATGCGGTTGCACGACAGGTTGTGTCCGTTTTTTACCGCAACCTGGTCGATGGTTCAGGGAGATTGGACTGCACACGGGCTGCGGTAGCGTTGCACAAGGCTGTGAAATCATTGCGCAAGAAGATTCCACTAGAACAACAGATCGCGTTTGTTCATATAGGTGTCTAGTTTGATTTATTCGTCATGTTATTGCATTCTATGTTATCCTGATTGCTTTCATTATCCTGTTGTCCCACCTAGATCCCAGTTATTCAAATAATGTCTGCACGATACTCTGTTTTTTTCCCGTTGTGTACTAGTACTGCAAGCACCGATCCATTGAATGATTATATATTGCTTTGTCAAACATACAATATACTCGCCTGAGTCAGAGTAGAACATCAAAGGAGTTCGAGTGGAGCGCGCGACGCGAATTGGTTCCGCGGGATCAAACGCTTCGTCCTTACATGTGGTAGATGCGCGGCTCACCAAACATAACAAAAACACTCACGATTACAGCTAAACTTTCTTTATGCGCGTGAAAGAGTTCTTGGAGTTGTCCGAGTGAGAATGTACGCCAACATCCGGCAGTGCAAGATCCAGATTCTCCACACTTGAAATAAAACTGGTCGACGCGAGCACCGACAGTCGACTTCTCACGAAGTAGCCCCTGCTGTGGATGATGACCAGTGGCGGATATCAAATCGTGGTCATCGCAACGTAGACAAATATACCACCTGCTGTAGAGACTAACGTCTCAAATTCATCCTCTGATGGCCAAGGCATAGGGGGCCGGCCGAAAACAGTAGGGCGACCTATGCGTGGTTTGTCCAGATGATCGCCGTCAAGATACCTCCTCGAATGTGGGGGAAAGGTAGTGCCAGTTGGGACGCGATGGCAGGAATAATTGCGCCGGCAGCCGTAGCGCTTTGTACATGTTTCTGCGAGAAGAACAGCAGGCCTTTCGGCTGCTTTCATCTTCTCAACAGTGGTGAACGCGATGGACGTTTTCCCCACACCGGCAAGACCGTTGAACGAAACGCTTGTCGGATCATGTTGATCGAGGACTTGTCTTGGGCTCTCGAGAAGCGCAATACGTGTGTTCTCCATGCATCGTGAGTGGGGCTGACGATATAAATGCCGTTGTGGTCTACGACGTCCCGTAGACTTCCATGCGTCGTTAGGATATTGAGCGGTGTGCTTGAAGGTTAACTTAGTACGAGTCAGGATTGGTGAACTGGGAAGACACCTACTGAAATCTACTATGAGGGAGTTTGAGAGCCTCGGTGCAGAATGGGACTCGATTCCGGTAATCGCTGACCTTGGGCGGCGTCCAGACCACATGCGTTGGAAAGCGCCAGCTTGGTAGGAATTGTGTTTGATCGCCTTCTATCTTTGCTCCCGCGGATCTTTCCTGTATCCACCCAAGAAGAGATCTTGTAGGAACCAGGCAGTGTTGGCAGGCATTAGTGCTGTAAATGGGTGGGGAACTGATAGAGTCGGAGCGGCCCATTAACTCCTATTAATCAAATCCAATTGATATCGAAGATGTTTCACTCCAACTTGATCACCGTGTCGTCACACACACACTGGCTCTCTGCAGCACAAGGCAATATGCATTGTCTACAGTATGGACCAGGCACCGGTTAGGTACAAATGAAACTCCCGTGCCTACACGGAGAAGCGCTGCATAGCTCAGAGCAATATCCCATGCAATCATGGAAGGTGCACGGCCTCCAATTGCATATAAAACGTCCTGTAGTGACTAAGTTCACCAAATTAGCTGTATGGTGATCGATCAAACGAAGTAGGCACCTTCGATGTGAAACCTTGTGAAGCGTGCGCCAAAAGGCCTTGGGAAACAGAGCAACGTACTGATCCAAATAAAGACCCAATGGTCGTCCAGGACATGAACGGCGCACGATAACGGGGTTGACGACGCAGGCTGGAACCAGATGTACATCACGCGTCGTCATGACTGGGCGTAAAAATATATCTGAATAGTGAATGATCCCAGGCAACAGAAAATTTGACCCACTAGACGCGCAGGGCGGTATTGCATATGTTCAAGTTGGATCATTGAGATGGGCGCTCAACAACGTTCTGACATATGCTACGCGGTAGCCAAATGTCATGGTCTCCATAAAGAATACCCCTGTAAGCTGTGAGCGCAGAAGTCTTATTGCCCGCGTCTGAGAAAAAGTAGGTTACATACTTGCGACGACAGTGCTCAGAGCTGTCACGGTATCCTGGGGACAAGTGATGACTCGATGCCGACTTGCGCATCTGCCTCATCTGAAGACAAAGCCAAGGAAGAAGCTGGTGAAAAAAGACGCGCCACTAATACTCGCTCCATAGATCCGCTGGACTGCATAGCATGCAGTTCCCTGCTTGGATTTGGATTTGGATATGATGGATTCGTATCAGTACCGTGACACGCCGTTCGAGAAAACTCACGATAAAAAATCATGGCGCGTCTGTGCGACGACAACGTTGATGAGACTGTTTCAATCAAGATACTGGGATTACTCAATGGTCCCCCGCCGAAAAGCATCGAATGATGAAGCCAAGGTACTCGGTAATACTAAGTACTATGACATCGCGAGGCAGTCCATGATTGATGCGGCAAAAATGACATGTTGCTTATGTAATGTACATGAGCTTCCATGCATCTTTTGAACACTGAAGCAACTGCTCGTGCTCAGCCTTGCAAGAGTTGTGGAAGCTGGCCTTGCTGATCATCAAGAGCTGACAATGATCATGGCTACACCAATCCGCAAGAAACGCAACTTCAAGGCTTTACAGCTCGATGTGCCCGCGAAGCCAAAAGAAACAGAGCCAGTACCCACAAGGGCTGCTCCTGCGACTACAGCGACGAAGGGCAAGAAACGACCCCCGCCTATGACTCTCAACGCCCCAAAATTGGGAGTATCTAATGCCATTCAGGATTCAGACGGAAATCTTGCGAATGCAGCAGCCGCGCCTACTTCCACTATTCCCTCAGCTTCCGCAAATACGCGGAGAAACACATACCACACTACCCTTTCCAACACGCTAGCAAACCTTGATATGAATGCCGAGACGCGTTACGATCTTCGTACCGAAGATCTGAAAGACCTTCAGGAGCTTGGCCAAGGCAACGGTGGAAGCGTCAAAAAGGTAGAACATACTCCCACTAACACGATCATGGCCAAGAAGGCAAGTATTTCAATGCGCCAGATCTATAATTCTTTTTCAACTGTTAATTCTAGATCGTTCTCATTGATGCGAAGCCTTCCGTACGGAAGCAGATTCTCCGCGAACTTCACATTATGCATGATTGCCATTCGCGATACATTATCTCATTCTATGGCGCATTTCTTTCTGATCCAAATATCTGCATTTGCATGGAGTTCATGGACAAGGGTTCTCTTGATGGAATTTACAAGAAAATCGGTGCCATCGACATCGAGGTCGTCTCCAAAGTTGCGCTGGCTGTGCTCGAGGGCTTAACTTATCTATATGATGTACACCGAATCATTCATCGTGGTGAGCTTAAACACGTGGACAGCCTTGGTGTGTTCCTCGAGGTTGACGGTCGCATCAGATATCAAACCATCGAATATCTTGTGCAACTCGCAAGGTCAAATCAAGATATGCGACTTTGGTGTTTCCGGTGAACTCATAAATTCTATCGCCGATACATTCGTAGGAACCTCAACTTATATGAGCGTGCGTCTGTATTTCTTGCATCTTCTTTACCGAATCTATAAGGTTATCTCAAACAGCCCGAGCGGATACAAGGCGCGCAGTACACTGTCAAGTCCGATGTGTGGTCTTTGGGCATTTCTCTCATAGAACTTGCCCTAGGACGGTTCCCCTTTGCCGATTCAGATCCGGACGACTCTGACCTGTCCGACTTTGAAGGTACATTGTCGCCTGGTTCCATTGGACTTCCACCGAAGAAAGAGAAAGATAAGACGTCGAAGAAGGACAAGCGGAAGAGCAGGGGTGTTAGCCTACAGGGAGGCGGAATGATGATGAGTATATTGGAACTACTCCAGCATATCGTCAACGAGCCTGCTCCACGACTGACACCAGAAGGGCGGTTCCCTAAGGAAGCAGAAGACTTTGTCGATAGCTGTCTGCTCAAGGACCCGGATGCGCGAAACACGCCCAAGGATCTTTTGGTACTCCCTTCTTATTTGTTGCATCTGTTGTGTCCTTCTAACTGTGTCACCCAGAAACATTCTTGGATAGACAGTGCCAGAGCATCAAGGTTCGATCTTGAGGTTTGGGCGAATACATTTTGAGCTAGTTGTGTGGTTGCCCTTGTATATCTCATATACCCCCTTATCCGCCCTCCCACCCACGCCATCTTAATTCATGCCTGCTGCCATTGTCCTGATTGCACATTTCATCCTCGCGCGCGGTCTGTATTATAGAGATCCCGGAATAATATTCCTTCAGACAACTCGATGTTGGAAGCATACTTGATCTATTTTGTGCCCAGTACGTGCCCTGATACATTGTTTCATCGCTCACATTTCCAGACTGCGAAAACCCCTCATCTGCGTTGCTTTTCCCACACCGCTTTTACATTCCTTCCTATGGCAGTGTCTCCGTCAGGACTCATAACAGCACCAGTATTCCACTGTCTTATTCCCGTTCAGGGTGCATGATCGACGAGTTTCGAAGTGCGTTGAACACTGCTTGCCACACCCTGACCAGGTACCATTGCACCAGACAGTATCGCTCGTCAGTGAGCCAGGAGTGGCTCGTGCGCCAAGGGCTGTTAATGCTAGGAGACTGATCGTCAGGAGATTCATCTAGACCATCGACGTCGTAAGCTGGACGTAGCACAAATCTGTAACTGACCCTTACCGTTGAACAAGTGTCAAGATAAATCACAAGTCTGTTGTTCGCTAGTGTCGGCGCTCAGCATTTGCCGTCGCGTTTGATATAAGTAGCTGCTGATTATAATAAAGCTGAAAACAGCATTTGCGCCAGAATCGTCCATGAGAAGAATGGAAGCTCTTTTTTACGGCCCAATTACCATGCCCGCTATGACGGACTGCAAACGACAGCCTTCTTGAAAATAAAGTTTACATTGCAGTAATTATGTACGCTGTGGAGAATGCTGGTAGTACGGCATGGACCATGTGCATGAGGCCCCCCAGTTAAACATTACGGTACACCTGCGGACTCATGAGGGGCTCCCAATCTGGGTGAAATCTCTCTCAAAGTTATGGTGGCGTCCGGTGCATATAACGCTGGAAGCCGCATGAATCGCGGCCGGACGACAGCTGCAAACGGAGGTATCCGATTGGTCAAACCATGTGATAAGGTAAATCCGCAATCGAAGGCCGGAGGCGATCACAGCATCTCACAGAATGGAAACACAAAAGATCAAACCGACGTGATCATATCATCATCACAATTATAATAATGCGAGTTATAAACAAATACAATGGGGAGGTCTCAAGGTAGAACTCACGTAACACTAATACTGTCCTTCAGGGTGGGATTCGTGTGATAGTTTCATAAGATTTCTATCATAGATGGGCATCAAGGGGCGGGTCGTGTCATCGTCATATAAAAGTAACCTGGTCGTGTCGGTATATCGCTCGTGGCTTATAGTTCAAGGGTGCATAGTCCATCCGCTCCTTGACAGATGAATGGAAGTTAGGGTGCTGGTAGGGAATAGCGCGACCTTTGCCCAGATGTAACCTGCCATCGATAGTCAATCATTAAAGAAGTTACTCGTAGCCACAAGTAGCTCACCTCCATTTCTTGTGCCATTTACCATGCGCATCTTGCCATGCAAATGGAAGGGGCAATATTTCAAGAAGCCACCAAGCCTTCTGGAGCTGTAACTCGTCAAACAAAGGAGCTAGAGCATCGCAAGTTTGAGGATTTGGGAGCGAGGGTGTAGTGGGAGGATCAGTGGGAGGGCTAGAAGGGGCGGATAAGGGTACTTCTGCGACAGGCGACACAGCATCGTCAGGCGCAGCACTGAGGCCGGTCTTCTCTGTCATCGGTGGTGACTTGCCGGTCGGATCCTCAGTAGCAGGCGGCGTTGTCGGGACAGGAAAGCTTGATAACGGCATGCCGACACGCTCAAGAGCTTCCTCATCAAAAGCAATGCCGCACTGAGACAGGATGACCTGCTCAACCATCCAGCGAAGGGTGATTTGCGCCAACGAGACCTTGTCAGAGTTCCCAACATTTCCACCACCTATGTCTGCTCATGTTGCGTGAAGAGAGAATTGGCAAAACATGTGCATGCTTACCACTATGACATCCCGCGAACCAGACTTCCAGAACATCTGATGGTGGTATCGGCTCTACATCAGGGACGTCAAGCACTTCCGCACTTGTCTGATCCTTGACGACGGTAGTATCCCCAGAATTCTTAGGGACGATCTCGATTTTGCTCTGTTGGCGCTTGGCGAAACGGCGCTTCAGCCCTTGAAACTTCGGCTTTTTCGCGAACTTCCTCCCGCGTTTGACAGCTTGAAGGAGATGATTCCGCAGTGAACCAATTTCATCGGAAACACTGTCTTCCAATTCTGCAATAGCTTCGCATAGCTTTGACACATCGATAAATTCCGGATCGGCTATATCCGTCCTGGGCCGATGGTAAAGATCTGGCTGGAATCTAACGCGGCGCTGTTGATGAGAGTCAGCACCAACTTAATTAGGTAATGGGCTAAATAGACCTCGTCGAGAGCCAAAGCGTGTCGAAATGTCTTGATCAGGGTGTTAGAGTCTGTGAATGGCAGGTTCCGGCTCAGGAGCACTCCAGTGCTTTGTACGGTGTCCCTGAAAACAAAAAGTTAGTTGCGGGTAACTGGCCATCATGGGAACAACTTGCCAGACTCCTACAAACTCTACCTTGACGTCACGTGAAAATGTCTGCTTAAAACCTGCAGCAAGCGCATCTGCCTGTACGCCAGTCTGCTTATATGCCTCATAGGCAAAGCCAATTTGTTGGATGTTAGATTTCGGAAGCAGCCCAACCTGCGACAAAGTATTAGTAGGTAAAGCAGCTTCAATCGATGATCCACGACTACTAACCTTGTGCAGCATTCCCGCTAACGCACGTGCAGTATATGCTCCTCGAGAGAAGCCTGCCCTGAGTTCAGTGGAATCTGTTATACTGCCAAGGCGAACGTCTCACCGAAAAGACAAATCTTATCACCAGGCCGGTAGTTCTCCATCAAGAAGTTGTAACCATCCATGACATGGGCGTCCAGGTACCTGCATGAAGTCAAGCCACGTCGACCTTCATTTCAGCTCACCATACGCACCATGCAAAAGCCTCATCCAAGATCTTCGCGAGCCAAGTGAACATGGGGGACACCACTCCAGGGGCAAAATACGTCCCAACACCTGCCTGTATGAATAAGAGTGTAATTGAGTTCACTTGCTACTGCAACGTGGGTGACTCGCGACCGAATGGTAGAGTCACCAGAGGAGTACTATCCGAGCACGTACCTGGTAATAACAGAGCTGTCTGTCCGTGTCTTTCTTCAACAATGAAACGAACTTGACAACATTCGTGTTCTGCGACAGAACAATGTGGGTGAGATTAGTTCCTGTATTCGCGATCTGTGCATGATTTTGGGGGCCTCACCGTCGCATCGTAAAAGCCTGCAGTACCGTCAAAGCTTGCGATCAGGATCTTCGGCTTCCTCGATACTTCGCATTCGCCAGCGTCTGACATAGTATCGAGCAGTCACGAACGAGAGAGATGGGAATATGCGTTCTATGAGGAGTGGGACGACGCAGAGGCTCACGGTCGTATGAATACTCTACCGAAATCTGTGTAGGGTATTATTAGTTCGGGGGGAAACGTGTGTTCTCGACTAGAACGAAATAAGACGACTGGATTTTTGTAGGGAGGAGGCACTGGCAGCTGCACCTATATGGCTTTCGGTGCTTGTTTCATCGGATGACGGTCCTAATTGTAATTGAAACGACGGCAGTTTCACAAGCAGGAGGCTCTCTGACATCATCATATCCACGATCACAGCTGTCGTGCACAGCTGCAATGCCTCGAGATCAGATAAGAGCAAGATCGACAATTCAAATGCCTGACATTGGCGCGGCTCGATACAGCGGAGAACCTAGCGGAGTTGATTTTTCCTGCCGTCAAGTTTCGGGGTCCGGCACGATGCCTCGGATGGATAGTTCAGTAGTTCATCGTGTTTCAAGCGTTTTAGGGCAGTGTAGACACAACTAAATTACGGCCCTTTCTGCTCTGCGTGACGCTTCCGCTTCACAACCCGACTCGCCACAGGCAAATTCGACCCGCTGGGAGAGGCCAGCGGTGGCGCGTGTATCAGCTTTTCCTTGGTCTTAGAACCCAGTCCTCTTCCCCAATCAGCCCCAGATCACGCTTGGCGGAGCTATATCATGTCAAAGCACTGGCCATATCTGGAACCTTGAGAACGCATAGCTACACTTGTTTAGAGAAGGTACGCTTCCAATGCCACTATCACCGAATGATGCCAGATCGGGCTCTTTACTATGTAGAGTACGGCGCCCTGATCATCGCAAGCTCCTCAAGTAGTGTGCGGTGCCGATATGCTAGTCGAAGATTTGGCACGTTTGTCTGTGCGGTTGGTTAATGAATAAATAAGTCGAGCGCATGGGAACAGCTCGCGTACCTTATGGATATCATTGCCTGCAGCACCCGGCAGATACCACTCTTGACCGAGCCAGTGCCTTTTAATCTCCATTTCAAACCCACTCTGAATCACAGAGTTGCGAGCGAGCTCGGCTAGCGAGCTTTGAGGAAGCTTGTAGATCTGTCATGTAGGGGGTCAGCAATAGTAAACGTTATATTAGTGATTGCTGAACAACTTACATGAGCTGCGACACTGTACTCTTCTAGTAGTGGTTCCTGATACCATGGTGTGTCCAAGTGAGTGACCACCAACGTAGTATCAGAGTCAGGGGCTCACCTTCGTAAAATGGAATTGCAATGGGTCATCGGTGCTCAAACTCACATTCAACCCGACTTTAAAAAAGTCAGGAAGCGGGTTGCGCTCATAGGTCAGGAACAGTGCATTGTTGCTCAAGGGACTCATAGCCAGCCCGATTTGTTTCAGGTAGAATAAGTACTGCAGCGCGGGAACCTTGCGAAGCAGAATCCCATGTGAAATCGAGTGGGATGTGAGAAATGCCGCAGTCAGGTGATCCGTATCTCCTGCTTCGCCAGCATGAGGTCGAAATACAAACGTGTCTGCGTGGCAGTTAATTTCAGTGGCAGAAACTCAAAGGCAATCGGATAAGAAACTCACTGAACCCTCGTGCCTTTCGCCAGTGGTTCAAGCTGGCCATATTTGCATACATGTAATACATCCTACGATCCGATATTCAATTGACGAATAACAAATAGTAGATAAGTGTTTACTCACCAATAAGAAAACGGAGGATTCTGCTTGGAGTCCCAGAGACGAGGGAAAGGGAATTTGCGGTGGAATCGACGTTCCGCCTTAGACTCGTCATCCACGCTGTCGAAGCCGACGACCCGTTGCAAGAAGACATGAAGCTCAGGATGCGACCGAGGATCTTTCGTGACCTCAAAGAGTGGGCGGAAGACATCTACGAGCGTAGTATATTGCCTATATGAATTAAATATGGGACAAGAGACTCACTGATTACAATTTCCTCGAATGTGTTGATCGCACCAGTCTCCTTGTACACTTGATACAGTCGAGGGACTTGAATGAGCCAGCGAACGTTGTGTGAGAACAGATCATTGTTGATGATCCATTTCGCGAGTTTGTCCCACTCATCCACGGATCTACCATAAATACTGACACGCCATTCGCAGTTCTAAGGATATGGTCTAAGAAAAAAGTATTCAGAGGTACACGGGTCATTCGTACCTGGTATTTACTTTGTTCCACATCATTCATGACCTCTGTGACATATCAGATCGATGCGAGGACAGCATCATGTAGCTTACCTCTGGTGATCTCAGCGAAGTATGTGCCATCTATTTTATTATCTATTTTCAGGAAAATTTCTCTCAGCCTGGACTCGCCGATCGGATTGTACTTCAGGTTAAATTTATCGAACCGATGGAAGGAATCTTGGTGGGCGTGCATGTCGAGTGTGTTGATGGATAAATCGTACGCGCTCAGCTTGAGCGACTGAAACACCTGTTCCAGCGTCAAGTCTGTCCCATCACGGAAAATGACAACATCCTAAAGTAGCGAAACGTCTGAGTAGTTAATATAGCGCAGGTGATTTCATACAAACATGAGGGCTGCGTTTCATCTTCGACTTGATAAACCGCAAGAGGTGCTTCTGGTTCATGCAACTTGCTAGATGGACGTGGGTGTCCACCTTTCGCACATTGTAGAAGTCCCTTAAATCACCTAAATTAGTCCATCACCTTGCACGTACAAGGGAGGAAGCACCTGTGCGGCACACTCTACAGACGAATTCTTCATAAATGTTTGGGATGGATTTTGATAGTCTCCACGCACCTTCATGTCAGCTAATTCTTGAAACTCATTTAAGAGACTGTACATCTCGAACTTGCTCGCGAGATACTTGAGTCTACGGTACGCCATACTTTTCGCCGGACCATCGGAGATAACACCGAGGACATAGTCTAGATCGACGAAATACTCTCTGATAGTGGGTATATCGAAGAGTGGTTTCTTGATTTCTGCTGTGGACAGGATTGGATCGGATCCCTCTGGCGGAAAGAAGATGGAACCACCTTCAGCATTCGTGTATACTTGATACACGCCTTTATCATCTATTTCAAACTCCCAATCATGATTACCAGGTATTTGACATTGAGAGAAATTGAATTGGTCGTCCGGCGTAACGCGGCCATCTGCACTAATGGCCGTTTCTTTCGCAGTAAAGTGCCAGTGAGGAGGAGGGGGCTTCGGATATATGTCCCACGGCTTGTGAGGGCTTTTCGGGGAAGCAGCTAAAGCTTGGTTAACGTCGGGCTTGACCCCAGAAACGTCCGCAAGGCCCTCAACCACGCCATGGAAAACACCGTCGTGGTCTCTGGGGTTGTCTCCCAGCCTCTGTAAAGATTTCGTAATATATTTGTCGCGAAGCTCAAGGCATTTCTGAAAAGACTGGACAACACGTGCAAGTTCTGGGTTAATCATGGTGTCCACTGTAGAAACATAACCTGAGCGGGCAGATTAGATACATCAGATGAATACGCACTGTGGCGCTGAGCATCCGAAACTTGTTCTTTATCTTCATCGTCAGAGAAAGGTGACGGATGTAACTCTTCAGTTGTTTCAGTTTGAAGGGCTTCACGGATGGAAGACAATATGAAACTGCTAGATAGTGATGTACTATCAGCCTGAGGATGCGCGACGTCGGAGGTGCGACGTTGTGTCCATTTTTGTTCCTCCATCTGATCATTCAAGATCATAAGAGTCCAATGTAACTCCGTTGGAAAGCACTATCTCACTTGTTGGAGGCTCTTTTCATCGGTATAACCATAAAATCCATCTCTGGGTTCGGGGATGGTCAAGCCAGAGCTCGATTCGACGACAGTATTTGATGTTGGAGTGTGTGGCAAGGTAGGAGATGCATCTCCACTCATGTTTGGAGTACCCGGCATAGTCTAGTGATTATTCGGACGGTGATGGTCTTATTTAAGCATCCTTGTGCATTTGAAATTATTTATATATATATTATTATTGTTATCGGGACTTATCCTTTTGATAATAACATTGTATCATATTACTTCTTCTTGACACCATCGAGCTCATAATTGTCGCTCCGAGGACGAAAAGAACGTCGTCAACGACGACGAACAGCAAAGGCCACCGTGAGATGGGAAATACAGCATCAAATACCAATCAAAGTTCACGTTCACCTGTCCCGAGTAGAAGAATCGATTCATCTGCGCGTCGACAAGCTCCATCACATTCACCATCACCCAATCCTCATCAACCGCATCGCTCGTTACGGACAAAGAAAAAATCTCTTGAACTTCCAGATCTTGCTTCACTGTCGCTCACACCAGCAGCATCGTACCATAACTCTGGAAATTCTTCCCCCTTATCACCTTACCGTCGCCCACTGAGAACAACTTCTCCAATCCCGATTCCGATTCCTGCTTTTAACAATGGAACGATGAATAATGCTTCAAATACAGGCACTTCCCCTCGTGGACGTCAGCCAAATTTGAAAGGAACCGCAAACAGAGTTACTGATACGGGAAACTACTCGGCAGAGCTACTCTTGGATCACCCTCCATCCACGCATATTCCGGTGCATAACCATCGCCCGCGAGGTAGCCCTTACTTTAGAGGCGCACCTTTGCAATATAGTTCCACTCATTCTTTCGCATCGCGCGGTCAGTCTGCTCAGCCTCGTATGCAAGAGCTCTACGCCGAAAGTGAGATTGAGGCATCTGAGCAACCTGATCCACCTGGTTTCATTCAGGAGACCGTGCATTCAACCATACCACTTGCGCTTCACAAAGCGGAGGAGGAGATGGCCAAATCGGCAAATGCTGACCCCGATGGGGAGAACGGCCAACTGATGAAACGACCAAATCAATCACACGAGGAACAAAAAGAACCCGTCTCCGTGAAGATTACATGGAATGGTGGTGGAAAAAGCGTGGTCTTAGTTCGTGCTGGAGATGGCAATTGGACAGGTCGTCTGCCTATGGAGCCCGAGTGCGTCGTCTCCTTGGCAGCCTTCGCCGTATTGCTAACAACTTGTCGCAGCGATCCATTAAGCGACAAATCGTGGTCTGCATGGGTACCACTCATGCCCGGCACTCATCATATTCGATTCATCGTCGATGAACAATGGCGGGTAGCAGATGACTTGCCTACTGCCGTTGATGATGAGGGTAGTCTTGCCAATTACGTTGCCGTTCCTATCTCCGGCTTGACCCCACCCCACGTGTCGTCTGTTGCCCCTGCTACACCGGCGGGGCGCCATCCAAACCCTCATGCACACTCCTTCTGGTCAACAACAAGCTCTACGCACGGTTCCATTATGGACACATCTTCTGATCCAAAGGGTACGCTTGGAAGGTGGACGGATGATATTCCCGCAGGGCTTATTGCAGCTGCTCGGGAGGAAGAAGCCTATCTAGCGTATACTGCTGGTCCCGAGTACGACCAGGCTCCTTACCAACATGTCCCTACTCCCAACATTCCACCTGCCCCTTCATTGCCGCGGCATCTTGATAAACTGATACTGAATGCGAAATCCGGGCAATCTCCCGCAGGTAACCGGGGTCGGGAACACCGTGAACGTGAAAGGGAGCGTGAAAACAAACGACGTCAGGGACGATCCCTACTGGGAATGACGAGTACCGTTGCTCGTGAACTTCACAAGGAGGACAGGACTGCAGAACTAGAAGCTCCTGCAATTCCCATTACTACGGCAAGCGGCACGGATGTAACCAGTGTGCATTTCGCAGCCCCTGCGCATACTCGGCTAGGTCTTGATGGTCCTGGGCTGAGCGATGACGCTAGCGTTCTCCCTGTTCCGTCTCATGTTGTTTTGCACCACTTGAGTACCAGTGCAATTCGTAATGGTGTCTTGGCCGTGGGTAATACCACACGATATCGCACGAAGGTTTGCATTTTCGTATCATAGCATCCATCACGATTCCTGACCATGAAGCTTCAGTATCTCACGACCATCTATTATAAACCTACATGACGATTTACGGTTTATCTTGCCTTTCTGGCTGACCCAGTTGCCTTTGTGCAGTCAAGAGATCCGCCCGCAATGATTCGATGATTTCTAGACCATCGGCCTGCTATCTCGACAGCTTTCGAAGACCTCTCATGTCGAGTCACTGTCATCGTACGCAGTCGTTGATTCATTTTTTCTCCTCTTTTTTTTTTTGCGAAGCTGGCTCTTTATATGTTCTTTTACTGCTCTTTTGTGATGACCGCTTGTACGTGACACGTTCTATATTGCCGTACCACGACCGACCAGACATACACGATGGACTTACTCGCTACGATCTCAACATATTAGAATACCCGCCAAAATGTATCTTTCTGTATGTCTGGAAATTTGTAAACACAAGTGTTAACTACACAGTTAGATTATGGTACTGCTGGAATTAGACCTAAGATGTCTATGAAAAGCAACTTCCTTACATTGGGACCGACTTCCGAAGTTGCCCACAAAAAGTGCTTCCTTCGATCGAAATCTTGAACGAAAATAAACTATTTGATATTAATATTCGTATCACGGATCGTCGCTGGTCATGCACGTGCATGCACCTTCATTGAAGGGACTCGGTGGTCCAGGCCGGTCGGTTCCCTCAGGCTGCACTCCGAGAGCATTCAGTATGGGAATACGACATCGCAATTTTACAGTGAGTATTGTCAACTTATGTCGATGAAGGAGGCGATTGGTCCAGATTTCGATAAAATTTACAGCATATGCACTCGCATTCGACACTGGCAGCTCCGACGGTAATCAAAATACTAAATGGAGGGATGTACTGGTGGAGGACTACGAGGCATCATGCTGAACCGCGCGAGCCGTGTTCGTTTGATGCGAACTGTTTGTCTGAGTTGCGGGCGCGGCGCTGTTCGGCGGCCCCCAAGTTGGTCAACACACGCACACGTGGATGAACGTAACGTTCTGCAGAGCTGTACCCCAACATGATCTACGTCTCCTGGTGAAGTTTAAATAAACCAAAGCGCTGCAGCTGATCCAAATGGTTAGGCCGAGAGCGGCATTTTGATGTAAGTATTCGCCAAATCTTTGTCTCCGAACGACGAACACTTGATACTAAGTTCCTCCAGATATTATACAAGGGAAGGAGCTCTTCCGTTCCACTGTCCACAGCATCGCATTGGTATCTAGGCCCAAAGATTCTCTAGATCTACTCCGTTCTCCAGCTGGAAACATCATCTCCCTCCAAGTCCTCGCCGACCCCTCGGTGCCGTGACACTGAAACTTCATTTTGGGTTCCAGGTTCCCTTGCCACTCATTTTTGCTCAGCTCCATTCTCTTGAACTCGAGTAGATCTATTGGCTGGACAACAGAAATCTTAGATGCGGAACCAAAACAAATCATTGTCTATCATCGCTCCTTCCTAGCATCTAGTATGTCCTCAGTTTTCCCAACAGCAACACGCTTTACGCCTTCAGACCATCGTCTTGTAGTTGTTCCTTCCCATGTTGGCAATCACCTTGGTTTCTACTCCCACTACGTTCGAAATGTCATATTTTACGTCTAGGAAGAGGTTCGTATTCTCAACATCGGAGTGCGGCGGAGCTTGCTATCGATGAAGCTAGGATTCACCCCCGAATATCTCAGATTTCGAAGACTGTCAGGGACCGGCTTGTTCCTACAAATCATTGCCACTGTTCGGCTTGGACAAATCATGCGTGCGCGTACTCCTTGTACTTCGGGACTCGGGGCGCGGCAGATGAATGACCATGTCGGCGCACTAAGGAAGCTGTTTAACGCCCCTCCATCTAACGGTTCTTACTAGAGCAAGATTGTGAATTTATGTCAGCTATCGCTTGTCGCGGTGCAGCCTCGCTCGGAGTCGCATTACGCCGTCATCAAGCTCGGGATGCACGCCGGTGCTGTCGTCATCGAGCAACCGTCAATAAACTGACCTCACAGCAGGAGAAAGTGCTTGGCCCTCACTAGGCCTCACTTACTATCATGCGATTCCACGTGCAAGATCACACTTGGCTTCCTTCGGCACAAAATAAATCACGTTGTTCCGAAGGTCACATTCACATGCACATACTAAATGTTCGTCGGTGGCCGTCGCATCGTTGCTGTGCCAAAAGCATCCTTCCGGGCTACTCGATCGTTACTACATATTTCCGCACAAAAAGGGGACCATCGCTTTCGACCTGTTCTGTTTTCGACACCGGTTGTAAGTCCATGTGCTTGAGATCAATTATCAAAGATACTTACGTGGTAAATTAATACATGAGCATAGCATCACAAATCACGGCAGTCTGCGCGTCTGCATAAGCTGGCATCACCATTGGGCAGCTTGGAGCGAGCAGGGTCCTTGTATGTTCACGAAATGAACGCACAAAACCTTTTGCTAGATCGGAATGATCGCGGAACAAGAGTCGGGGTTTAAAATCATTCGCTGATAGGGGTATTTAGCGTAATCCGGACTAACATTAAACTCGCTAATGGCTTTGCTAACGGCATACTTAATTTGCGCTTTACCATGACTGGGTCGACCACCTGGATAGCATTTTGCATAACACACTGTAGCGGTCCTATGTAAGTCCCACGGTGTCCATTTTTGCAATCATCCCATCAATACCCATGTCAACTGATAAAATCTCCAGGAACCTTATCCGAGTCGCGTACATAAAATGCCTTTCGCTGCCGCAAAACGAATGAGCGAGTATGCTGAAATCGATGCTGTAAATGTTGGTTCTCGCCCACGACGCTCGCACGCTCGGCGGTAGTGAGATTCTACTACCCGCCGAATTGCTATACAGGCAGATTGAAAGAGGACTGCACCCGGACACGAACTTTAAACCTTCGAAGAAACGTGGCTTTGACGCCGCTTTTTCGATGAACAATATCACATTTCATAAGTAGTCATCATCAAATGTTCGAATCACCACGGTCCAACTCAAGATCTGAATCAAATCTTACACTGGCCGGGACTGATTGACCGTGTGGAGACATCGTGAGGTCATGAATTTCAGGATTTGACTGCATTCAAGAGCGTCTTCTGCTATTTTTTGACGCGCGTTTATGGTTAGTGGCAGTAAGTTCTATAGGCCGCCTTATTAAAAAACTTCTAGATCGAGACTGGTAAGGCGGTCCAAAAAAAACAAAGTTACAAAATAGTGGCGGAGTTGAGGATGCTATAAAAGCATGCTTCTAACTCCAACTGTAGACTCACTATCGCGCGATTGCAGATATGCAGCTCTACCGCGATACGCAAGGTTACCAGCGCCCTGCGAAACAAAGCAAAATCGCGTCGCAGAGGCAGTATCGAGTCAAAGAGGGTGACGGCTTCCAGGAACTCCGCGAAGTTATTCGCTCAGTGACAGGGGAAGCTCCCCAGACCAGGCGCGAAACCTTGAAGAAAGGTACACTTGTTCTGAGATATATTTTGCTTGTATGCTCACTCATCCCCTTCGTAGCTGCAGAACTGTTGCGGCAGTTGTCTAGAGAAAACGAGGCAACTTCCAGGCATGAGCCACTCCCACCCTTAGAAACATCGCCCTATGAAGTTGACCAGGGATCTAACACATCTTATGGTACGCATTTTTGGATTGATCGACGACGGGTTCTCATTAATGTCATTTTTAGAACCTCTTGTGATCCCCAACAACGAGGCATGGACAAACGCTATTTCACCATGGACAAGAAACAGTAGCCCGATGTCAGACACATCGGCGACGAGCTCGATGCTAGAGTATCATGGTCAATCTCAGGCAGAGATCCACTATGTTGTCGGTCGTGGGGGCGATTGGAATTTGGTTCAACCAACCCCTTCGCAATTTCGACAGTCCTCGTTCTCCGCGCATTGGAACGACCTGTCGCACGTTCACTCCAATATTGATCAAGTTCCATACTACGTAGAAAGGGTGGGAGTAAATTAGATTGCACCTCGGAATTCGAGGAGTCTCTGAATATTACTTGTAGCGTATATGACTTAATTGATCTTGTGGATTTACATACCTTGTAGCTTCTAGCCGTACTGTTTTGTTGCGTATTTATCGGATACCCCTGGCACGAGAGCCACCCAACACGCTGGTTGTTGACAAAATATGCCGCTATACTCGCATCAGTCGCAATATCCGACGGCAGAAGTTATTTGTGCTCTGATAGTACTCCAAGCGCGCTGGTGTGACGATAACCGCGCAATATTAGGCCAAGGGCAAGAGCTACTTCGAGTCTCCATGATAGAAACTCACCATGACATGTGAGAGTCAGGATGCGCGTCCTGACCGGAGGACCTTAAAAAATAAATGGTGTAAGACTATCGTTGGCTCTGATTCGCAAGAGTCCGGACTGGCAATCACCGCGGTGTCCTTGATGCAACAATCACCTTTCCAGGATTGTCGGGAAGTACGCAACTGTTGCGAACATAACACACATACATAGCGCCCAATCATTGAGCCCGATCGATTGGCGATCGATTGCATTTGGATAATAGAGCGAGCCTGCACAAAGGGGATACCATCAGTGTACCACCCGAAGCGAAATTAGGAAGATGCAAGAAGAGTGCACAAAAAGCCACAGGTTTTTTTGGGATGAGATCCGATCATCAGTGTCAAGCCATCGCAAAGAGAAAAATGCGGCCTAGCCACAGTGCTGGCAGAGAAGTCAACCATACGAATAGTGGCAGAGATGCCACATCGAACAGCAACCGATCACATCCAAATGTGCTCCATGATGGTGTAGCGCTGGGAACATGAAAGAGACGCCTGGGGCACTGACGGAACGGACACGGTCAGAAACTATCAATAAGTTGGGTTCGTGTTCCTTCAAGAGGCTTGGTCGCTGTTTTCATTCGGAGGGGGCAAACAAGTACTATAATCCGGAATCAAAAACACCCACGCATGTGTGGAGTTAAAAAAAAAAGGTTTTCAAAAGTCAAAGTATCGGATGCACAGCGGCAGGAAGCTGATCCGGAGGGGAAGGAAATCGAGCCCTCCAGGCTCCGAGCGCTTAAAGAACCAGTACGAAAAAGTTAAAATCTCATGGCGCACGTGCGTTCGGTCCACGCCGAGCGTAAGCGCCAAGCGGTGACGCGTTTGAGAGAATGACGAAAGCACATGTAATTTCATGATAGGCGCCACCGACGGGGACGTTCGGTGAACGTGAGTCAGTGATATATACACAGCGCAAGGTTTGCTCACCTCAGCAATGCGAGCCGATGCACGATAGTAATCCCACTCCCAGCTCTACTGTGGGCAAACTCCGAACACAATTGTCGTAACTTCTTCTCACAAGCCAGCGCCGATCGAGTAAGAAACCATATGCGGGATAGCGAATCAAAGGCTCGGCTCTGCAACGACTCCAAACTGCAGATTTGGACTTGCATCGCGCGGAAAACTATTGCCTCCGAGTACATGCACTCTGCCCCGAACACTTGTCTGCAATTGCGAGAAGCTTGAAGTCACTGTGTAGAAGAGATATTGTCAATGTACTTATCACTACTCGTGGGTGCACCTGATGGTGCCCTTTGCTCCACTGATAAAGTTCACTCTGTTCCCAAGGATTTCAAGATTTCATTGTTATTTACCCAGAATTGTGGCATTGACGGTGATGAATATCTGTTCAGTTATCATGCAGGAACGCAACTGCGTGTATTTGTTGTGTAGCGCTGGCATTCTGATGAAAAGGAAGGACTTACATGTGCCCGGTACTTGGCTCCACGGAAAGATCCCCCGCAGCTGGGACCTGGCGCTCGTGATGCTATTTCGAATCACTACTAGCAGTACCACGAAGCTATTGCGCTTGCATCGTGGTGGGTGCGAGCTTATTTTCCTCGTTAGGCATCGCCTACATGTCCTCGGAGGCCCGTCATCTTCGTAGTTCGCACCACGATATCATAGTAAACTGTACAAACCTTGGTTTTATGGCAAGTTCCATCGCTAGCTTGCCCAGGCACAGTCGAGGCACTGTGTCATCAAGAACGTTCCGGTCGCCGGAGAATTCGTAAAATCTGTACAACTTAGCTTGCAATAATTTTGACAACATGTTTTCTGCTTCAGTTCGCACGTTCCTGACATATGTAAGAGCTTTTGTACTGTATCTGTTTGGACAGAACGTGCCTTCGGCGCCACACATACGCAATTGCTGAGCACTGAGCCGTGCGCGTAATAGACAACACCATTAATGCGGTGTGTGTTCCCTAGAGCCTGGGCCAGATTGTTAGAATCAAGAAGCAGAGGATGTGCAGATTGCCACTGGCAGTTGACTGGTAGAACCAAGTAGAACTCGCCACTGACGATTTCAAATTGGTAAAAGCCATATATTACGTAATACTTGTGAGCTTAGCAGCCTTAACTGTGTGAGTGCGATGTGGGCGACGACGAAGCTCGGCATGTCCAATACGACAGGTGACCTCGCGAAGCTTACGGTCTCTCAGCTCAAAGCGTTGTGCAAACAACGCCGCATTGTTGGTTATTCAAAACTCGGAAAAGCTGCTCTGGTCCAGAAATTAACCAATAATGATGCTACCCGCGGTGACCCTCAGCCTGTGATTTCGATTCGAGGAATATCGGAAAAAACAGCACCAGAACATACATGCCACCCAGCTGTCCTAGCTCCCGCACGTTCTACTAATACTGGAGTTACTGCTCTCGATCACACTCACAATACACAGACTGCGAACGGGGACCTTACCGCTACATCCGCAGAACAACCTACCCAACACAAAGCACTTCCGGTGCCTGGTCTGGTAGATCCCTCAGCTGCCAATCATCATTCAAAAACAACGGTCGTCGCTCCGTTAAGCTCTGACGCTCCCAACGAGAGCCATGGCACGAAACGGCCCTATATCTCTGCTATGTTTAAGTCTGCAAAAAGGCAGAAGCCTTCTCCTGCGAATGCTGTATCTATCTGTGGTGCCGACTCCTCAAATTCCACGAAGTCATCCACGTCTGCTGGAATCCTCAATGCACGTACTGGTCTGACTTTTGCCACCGACTCGGAATCCCCGGCCGCGGCTGGTCGTCCTCCACATGACTCTAGCTTTTCATCAAACACAGTACCTATCATAGCTCTTCGAAATACCCACCTCGTCCAGAAGGGGTCTACAACGACAAGTCAAGGCCGATTCAAACCTCTCGTTTTCACAACAACTCCAATTGTCGCTAGTATTCCAGTAACTGCCTGGCGCGTTTCCCACAACGACCACCAGGCCAACAAAATCACTTTTACACCCTCGGATATTTTTAGCTTTGAGGCTGCCCCCAATTCAACACCTTCCTTCGTCAATATCACATTTCCGCCTAAGCTATCCGACAGGAAACGGGTTCAAAGATGGGCAGTGATCCTCGCTGCACTCACTGATAAAGATCGTCGGACTTGCATTCTCGTTTCTCGGGCATTTCGCTATGCAGGTAGGGCAATTTACGGAGGTCTGATATGGGCTCCTAACGACATTTCATATAGTGTATCTTTCTGCGGCGCATATACTCACTCAGAAGTATCATGGTCGCCGTCTAAACCACATAGTGAAGAGTTATCCACAAAACACGACGAACATGTGGCCCTATCTGCGTCAGCGCCAGAACGAAGTGGCTTTCTGGAGGCATGCATTCCAAAATTCTTTCGTTGGAAGATACAACTCTACGCTTGGGATCGACCCTCTATCTACACGCCTCTGGGCGAGTGCAGATGATGAGAAGCAGGTGGTTGTAGCGCTGAGGTATGCTGTTTTCGCTCGAGGACAACACAATTAAGCATCAGGTTCAGATTCGTCCTCACAAGACTTTGGTTCACGCTTTCGGTCGGGACGAATGAGCGAGATCCATCAGCATGGCTCAAACGTACTGTGGAAAATGCCCAAGAGGTTGTGAAAGGTGAGATCTGGGCCATCACCATTCGAGACGGCAATTCGTTATCCGAGTTCTACGTACTGGAATCCACTTGTGAAGTCATCGGCCGGGGACTCAACGCTCCTCAGCTTGAAGTCTACTCCTCTGGTTTGCGCGCCGACTGGTCAAAGTACATATCGTCTTACCCTGGTCCCTCTGCGGAGTCGCGTAACCTGATCTCAGAACACCTCCGGTGGGCGAACTACGAGGAATACGACCGAGGAATAAGCAGGCACTGGCTACGTCGCATCTCTGGTGAAGGTGATGTTGGTTTATCGAAAAAGGTGGTCGCCGAGCGATATGTTATGGCGTGTGTGGTTGCCAATAGGTGATCTACTGAATTAGATGACTCGATTTGGAACACGCTATATTGACAATTGGCGAGCAGCGTTAGTGGCCAGTGGATGTCATCTAACCAGATGGCGCAAGAATTTGCAGGTCTACCATCTCAAGTAACCCATGCAACTACCAGAGGCGGAATACCGAAGATCAACCTTTACCTACCAGCGTAAGCACTGCATACCCATTTTGGCTTTGTGCTCTCAAGACTCCTTCGTAGCCATCATCATGTTGAGAGCGTTCACTTTACCACATCAAAAGGCGTACCATTGCACCCGGCTCTTGCCGTCATGCAGACCCCAGCAAGAGAGTACATCGTCTTGAAGGACAATGGAATGCAGGTTGGATGCGAAGAAGATGGTGTTGCGAACGTGTGGATGAATGTCCTTGGATGCGACAAGAATGGCATAGCAGTTGTACGTTCCAAATAGTATTTCGAGTACACAGAAGTCGCGGTTCAACAAACCATGTTTGTGCAACGAACCAGTCAGAAATTCTCATCATGCCTAGCTTCTAGCCTACACCTTCACGAGCGTGCGACATAAAGCGCGCAAAGTTGGACACCTCGAGGTTCCTGGGCCCTCTGTAAGACTTGCGTCCCACACTTTATGGGCGCTTTGCGGCGTCTGCCATGCACATTTGCGATGCCCCCGCAGCGCCGCCACGCGTCCTCAGCCACCGGTTTGCTTTCCAATCCATTTTTTCACTCGAAAACAACTGAATTTTTTTTTGTATGATTGTAGATTATAATAGTGCCAGTGGAGAGCACTGTTCATCTCACTTTGACTGTCGTTGACGGTCTGCCGCGGCAAGGCTTTACGACAGACTTTCCTTTCGTTGAACGACGCGCCCTCATCAGTAGCATTGTGCTAGGTCGTGACTGGTGTGTTTCTGGTCATCGTGTAGCTAGTTGCGATGGTATGTCAGTCCCTTTCTACTTAGGGACGAAAGTGTGTGGTTTTACGCTATGCTGATATGGCCAAAGGGATGTAATACTGCACTGTTTGTACAACACCAGAAATAGTCGACATCCTACTGCAATATGGTGTGGACGAGATCAGAACTTTGTGTACATCATTCAACAGCGCATGTCGAGTCAACCCAAAGAGACATACACCATCTACTTCGAAAAAGCCGAAGTGTCATCCGCACAACGCCTGCTCAAATATATATCGCGCCAAATACAGCAGAAGATGACAAAGTAGACGGAAACACAGTGCTAGTCATCAAGCACAGTCGGAAAGGGCCTATCAAGATCACCGACATGGTTCACGAAGATCTGTATGTCCGAAGGCATGTGCACATTTGAAATCCGACAAATAAACTAACCGACGTTCTCTCTTTCAGCATCTTCGAGGACTCCGCAGATTAAGACCAACTGCATATTGTTGCTCCCCTTTTGTCCCAAAAAAAAATAAAGGGAGGATTGGAAACCAGACAGATCCACGTATTTTGAAGTATCTTCGTTCTATTACATATCATATTAATATTACTGATACGACGTATTTTGCTATGAATCGCGATGATTGATGTGACGTCCAGAAAAAAATGTAGCGGGCTCTGCCACGCACCTCAGGCGCCTTGTCGCACAAGGCCTGATTTATGCCGTTATTAATTACCGTCAATGAGCCATGCTGAATTCACCACTTTGATTGGCATGCGAGCTGTACCTTGATTGGCATGCGACCTTTCCTACAAAATTAGTAGCAAAGGGGTAGCCAGACGTGTCCCCCGCGGCCTACTTTTCATGTTACCTCGCCTCTGGACATTACAACCCTGCCAAAGCCGCGCAGAAGTGACATTTTGACGAATTTCAAAATCGAGAATCGGTTTTTAGGAACGGAAAGGTCCATGATACGTTTTCCTGGACATTTACAAGACCCAATGTGCGGGTACAACTCTGGAGAGCTGGGTTCTGTTCCTTGGACCTTGAGCCAAATTCAAGTCGAAGGCGTTGTAGAGGTCACGTGATGAGTCAGATTGGAACAATTAGCTTGGCGGGCACAGGCGGCGATAGTCATTGTTCTGAAGTTTGACGTTGTTCTGACATTCTGTGTATTGACCAGGAAGCGCCGTGGTTGTCATGCAATAAGAATGAGTTCAAACGTTCCCATCCTTCTTGTCTAATCACTTATCAGAAACCGTGGCGGCTGCGCCGCAAGCTCTTGAATCTTTCACAGTCGTATCCTAACACTCGTTTGACTCATGGTGTCACTGACAATGCTCGTGCACTTTCCGCTCATTGTACTTTCTTTTACCGCTCTTTCCCTAGCTTCCCCTTTGAGGTCTATACCCCACAGACACCGCCAATTTTCACGCAATTGTGCTCCACCTGCCCTCAATTCGTCTGCTGTACCATCGTCCAGCATGACCCCTACTTCTTATGTTTCTGCAAATACAGCGTTGGCTTCTGTACCTGCCCTCAATTCGTCTGCTGTACCATCGTCCAGCATGACCCCTACTTCTTATGTTTCTGCAAATACAGCGTTGGCTTCTGTACCCGCCCTCAATTCATCTGCTGGACCATCGTCCAGCATAACGCCTTCTTCTTCTTCTGCGACTACAACAATTACTTACCAGGTGCCCACCGGGACAAGTTCTCCTCCTGTGTCATCGAAAACGGCTTCTGCAACTACAACGACGATTTCCCAGGCGCCCACCGGGACAGCCTCTCCTTCTGTATCATCGAAATATGTTATTGCCCACTTCATGGTCGGAAATTCATACCCCTTTACCGTGGACAATTGGCTCGCGGACATCTTTCTTGCACATTCCAGTGGAATCGACGGCTTTGCTTTGAATGTAGGAGTGGATGATTGGCAGCCTTCACAGGTGGCCAACGCGTAAGTCCCAGTGGTTTTACTGAGCAATGGACTCCTGATTCAGCAAATTCATACTTAGTTACCAAGCAGCTCTCCAGTCTGGAACTGGCTTCAAGCTTTTCATGTCCTTTGATATGACGTAAGTTGGTCATTCATTTTATCTTATTCAGCGAATCCTCACTTGTACAGTTCTTTGCCCTGTAGCACAGCTGCCGACGCTGCAACTCTTCGTACTTATATAACTACCTATGCCACGCACCCCAATCAGCTACTTTACAATGGTCGCGTTATGGCCTCAACTTTCTCTGGCGAAACTTGCACTTTTGGGCAGGGATCTGTCGCTTCTGGATGGTCGACTCAATTCGTGCAACAGTTGACAGGATCATCCGCAGTTCATTTTGTACCATCATTTTTCGTCGATCCATCACAGTTCAATACCTACAGTGGGGTAATAGGTGGCATGTTCAACGTAAGCTCTTCCAGTGCCGTATTATGCACGATTTTAATCATTCTCAGTGGAATTCCGGATGGCCAATTCAAGTCACTACTTCATTTGTATCGTCTGTACCTGGTTTGCTTGGAGACATCGCTAGTGGTCTATCTTCCGCCGTCAGCTCTGCATTGTCTAATCTCATCGGGTCAACAACACCGGACGATACATACATCTCGAGTTTGGCTGCAATGGGTGGCGGTCTAACATACATGGCAGCTGTGTCTCCGTGGTTTTTCACCCATTATGGCCCGTCGTCTTATAACAAAAATGTGGGTTGTCCTTCCGTCGTGCATGTTGCGGACACTCATCAGCTCATGTAGTGGATTTACCTCAGCGATGATCACTTGTATGCTAGTCGGTGGGAGTCGTTGATCAAGATCCGCGACCAGGTAGATCTCGTACAAGTCATCTCCTGGAATGATTACGGAGAGTCGCATTATATCGGTCCGATAGAGGGAGAGCAACCCATGAGTCAAGCATGGGTTGATGGCAATGATCACACTGGTGCGCATTTATAGTCTATGTAGATGATCCAATGCTAATTTAGGTCCTTTAGGCTGGCTCAATCTGACATCCTATTACGCCTCAGCCTTCAAGACAGGAACATACCCCACTCCGACTAAAGACCAGCTCATAATGTGGTCACGTCCACATTCTGCCGCGGCTTCTGCATCAAGTGACCCGGTTGGAAGACCAACCAATTACCAGATTGTATGTGCTTCATTTATTATCATGGTGCTTATCTCAACCACGACAAATCCAGACTCAAGACAAAGTTTGGGCCGTAGTCCTGGCGACCTCCCCTGCTACAGTCGAGCTCTCGACCTCGTCTACTCAATCACAAATTTTTAACGTCCCTGCCGGCGTTTCGAAGTTAGCTGTATCCATCCAACCCGGCGGGACCATGCACGGCACACTAACCCGAGGAGGGCAGACCGTTATTGACCTACAGTCAACAAGCTTCACGTTTGAAGCTGAGCCAACGACATATAACTTCAATGCCCACGTTGTTGCCTCCTCTTAGTCTCATGTTCGGCATTCGCGATTCTTGACATATTTTGGGTTTGTGGTGATTCAAATGTAAAGTTAATTAGAGCCTATCCTTAGCGTTACATAGATCCCGAGCGCATTGTATCATAATCTTCTGCTAGTTACCGTGTACGCTGGTGTACGCCATAGTAAAATCAATTTGCGGCGCAATTGTAGACCACCTAGAACTTCGACAGCTGAAAGTAAACGTCTACCTTACTTTTTTATCGTTGAATTGCCGTCTGACAAGCAAATAGCACGACTTAGGTGAGTGCAATTACCACTTCGGCCTGCGCAACGCTTGCTTTTGGTGTAATGTATTCTTTCCTCTCGCCCCCCTCACGGCCTGTAGGTCCTCAAACTTCCTCTTCGCATATCGTCGTGCTTCTGCATCATCGACTAACTCATCGACAAAAGTTCTCTTGCGGTGAGCACGAGGAAGGTTGTCCGTACTTGCTGTGCCAAACGGTGTGTTTGTAGTAACAATGGTGCCGATCTAATTGCAAAATAAGCAGTTGCGGTACTATGGATTGCATCGGAAACCTACAGCGAAGTGTTTTGGAAGTCCTTTAATACCCTTCCCATCGCCGTCGTCTTTCCGGTAGAAACGCTTGGGGTCTAGTTGATTGCGCAGCCGAAGAGCTTCTACTTCACGGTGCAATCGAGGCAAATCAGCTTCAGCGGGTGCCGGAAGGTCAAACCAGCTTGGTCCAGCAGTTTGGTTTCTCATCTTGACGAATAGACGTCCGTGAGACATTCACTTGATAAGACCGTAGTTGGAAACTCACAGCTCTTCGCTGTTTTTTGTTCGACATTTTGCCGGTAAGCATGGGTTTTGGAGGGGGTGCAGGAGCAACGATTCCAGAGGTGGCTGCTTCTGCAAGTTGGATGTCTGGGTCTCGTACAGTCGCTGGGGCGTCACGTCGACCTTCCACAAATTCAAAATATGCAGGCGGAAGTTCTCCGGGATCTAATGGTGGCAATGGCCTGTTGCGAGACTCAGAGAAATGATAGAAACGTCCTTCATAACATGCAGCACCTATCTGAGTCGTCACCACCCAATTTAATAATGTCCTCTCCAGCACCGAATGCATTTTCTCGGAGTGCCTTTTTCAAGTTGGCTGACTGTCGAGCGTTCGATTTTGCTTTGTCCAAAAGAGACTGTAAGTATTCTTGAGTGATTTCTTCGTCGTCCGAGTCAGAGTCAGAGTCAGAGTCCGAGCCCGAGCCCGAGTCGCTATCAGAGGATGCATTTGAGCTAGAACCCGACGGTGAAGAGCCTTCTGACACCAGTGTTCTAGTGATTCTTGGGCCTGCTGCAGGTAAGATCGACATGGGAGTGCAATATTTAGATCACTTTGCCGTTGACTGTGTCACACTATTCATGTCACATCATGTGATGTTTGTAGGATTCCGCACGATGATAAACGATTTTCATCGAAGTAAGTATGTACTTTTAAATTGACAACTTTCATCAAGACAGCCTGACGCTCCATGGACTCTAAGCGTGAGCGACACAATTCCAAGGCGCGCCGATCTACGGCAGGCTCGAGGAAAAAGGGAAAGTCGCGTAATAAAAGCAATGGTGTTGTCCCTACAGCCGAAGCACCTGATCCCAACGCCGCGATCCTCGAATACAAGTCACTCGAAGACAAGGAGCGCGACAGAAAAGAGAGGCTCGTAAGAGAGGTCTGTCCGTAACATTCCCGAACGCTAGGAGACGCTAATATTCGCCGAAGCTTGCTGCACAGTCGGACTCCAAAGTATCGAGACAGAAGCGGAAGAGGCTGGAAAAGTATGTTGTGCGTCAATCTCCTTGCCTTCCGAAAGATTTGTACAACGGTTCCTGTAGGAAAAAAAGTTATTAAAAGAAGAGAGACTCGTGATTTTTGAGAAGCTAGCGTATGTCAAGCTTCCTCATTTTATCGTCGCATCCCCACAGAAGTTTGTAGTCAGACGCAAGCACAAACTTCAAGCCTTGATCTTCAATCGTCATCTACTCTTGGTACAGGAGCCACCTCTACGGCTCGGGAACGCCTGGAGAAGCTAGAAGACAAGGAAGTACGTCGCGCCATTGAGGGTCAGCCCAATAAACGTCGACGGCGCCATAACGATTTCACTGTTCATGAACACGGAGATGGTGAAGACGAATCTGACGCGATGGATGGAGTTGACTTCGAAATAGTTGATCAGACGCCAGAGCAGCATGATGAACACGAGGACCTAGTGACGACGGAATTCTTATCGGATCCTCCTGCGGCGTCGACGGTCTCACAGCCAGCCAGTCTATCCACTTTCGCCGTTGGTGGAGCCCTTAAACGCAATCCTGACGGCTCTGTTGTTGCGCCCCTAGTTGTGAATAAAAAGAGTGAAAAGAGTCGAATGGTATGTACGCCCTGGCCAAGGGACTTTCGAACTGACATTTTTGTCAGAGGGCCTCCTTCCCGAGCTGGAAAAGAAGAGTGCCCCCGAAAGGGGTTTCAGAACAGGAATCAGACTCATCATTTGACAGTTCTGATTCAGCTTATGATACGGACGAAGAACAGCGCAACGAAGGTCGAGAAATGGGAATATCGGCGGAAGGTTCAGACGAGGAAGAAGAGCGCCCTCTACCTGCCAAGAAACGCCTTGGCTTCAAGGACTGGGCCGTAAAACAGCTAAACACAGCGAAAGGCCACGATACTACTGAAGGGACACCACCGTCTCTCGAAATCGAACATCCCACTGCACCTCCACCCAAAAAACGAAAGACGATGTCGTCACAATCGAATTCAATGCGCGGCCCCCTGGGTGAAGACCTAAAGCTCCCTTCCACGTCTTTTGCGGAACGCATGACGAAAACCCAAGAGACTTTCTCTAAATCTTCTTCTAAAAGCATAAAGTCGGTGTCTGTCATTCGCCCCCTTGATATCCAGGAGTCCAGGATGCAGTTGCCTATCATTGCAGAAGAGCAGCCCATCATGGAAACCATAATGCTTAATCCGGTAGTAATTATTTGCGGTGAAACTGGTAGCGGAAAGACTACTCAGATCCCACAATTTCTGTACGAGGCCGGGTTTGGTGATCCTACTGGAGGTTAGTTTGCTCATATGAGTATATCTAATGATGATTGACATTGGCGTGTACAGTGAACTCGGGCATGATAGGAGTTACGCAGCCAAGGCGAGTTGCGGCAATGTCAATGGCATCTCGAGTGGCTCGTGAACTGTCCTTGACCTCCTCCCGCGTGTCGTACCAGATCCGATACGATGCAACTGTGTCTCCTTCAACCACGATCAAGTTCATGACCGATGGTGTACTTTTGCGTGAACTTGCCACCGATTTCTTGCTCTCAAAATATTCGGTAATTATCATCGACGAAGCACATGAGCGCAGTATGAACACCGATATCTTGATTGGTGTCCTTAGTCGAGTAATCAAGCTACGCGAACAAATGTGGAAGGAGGGCACAGAGGGCACGAGACCACTACGGCTCATCATTATGTCGGCAACTCTTCGCGTCGGCGACTTCGCAGAGAATCAGGCGCTCTTTTCGTCGCCACCTCCGGTTGTCAATGTTGATGCTCGCCAACACCCTGTAACAGTACACTTCAACCGGCGGACGTCTACTGACTACGTGCGCGAAGCGGTCAAGAAAGCGGCCAAGATCCATGCCCGTTTGCCACCAGGAGGTATCCTCATATTCTTGACAGGGCAAAATGAAATACAGGGCGTCTGCAAAAAGCTTGAGGCACGATATGGCAGAAGAGCTCTGGAGGCAAGAAAGAAGAGGAGACAAGTTGTCCAAGCTTCTTCTATCTTTGCAGAATCCATTACCAGTGAAGTCCCTTTCCCTGTTGCTCCGGTTCACGGTGAGGAATTTCAAGCAGTGGTCTGATGATTTATCTCACAAAGGTACCCACAGCTGACATCGAGGCCGAGGATATCGAGTTTGGCGTTCAAGAGCAGGAATTAGCACTCGATGTGGACGGAGACCTCGCGGAGGAAGATCCTGAAGGGCTTGATAGCGACGACGAAGATGGGGTCAATACTGAACTTGGCATCGATGTCGAGGAGTGTGATGGTAAATTTCCTGTTGTATTGATATTCAAGAACTCAAGCAAAATGAATCTAGTCCCAATGCAAGTCGTCCCTCTGTACTCGCTCTTGTCGAGCGAGAAACAAATGCGAGTTTTCGATACACCACCAGCAGGCTATCGTTTGGTGGTAGTATCAACAAACGTTGCGGAGACGTCCCTTACGATCCCAAATATACGCTATGTGATCGATTGTGGTCGAGCGAAAGAGGTATGAACATCTCGATCGATAGTGAGAAACACGCTCTGACAGTGTTTAAAGCGGCATTATGATATGGCGAGCGGTATTCAGTCCTTTCGGGTCAGTTGGATCTCCAAGGCTTCTGCCGCCCAGCGAGCTGGTCGTGCGGGTCGTACAGGTCCAGGACATTGTTACAGACTCTACTCCTCCGCTCTTTACGAACATTATTTCGAATCGTTTTCACAACCTGAAATTCTGCGCACGCCGATTGAGGGCGTCGTGTTGCAGATGAAAAGTATGAACATTGACGCCGTTGTCAACTTCCCTTTCCCAACTCCGCCAGATAGGCAGGTGTTGAAAAAGGCTGAGACGGTCCTCACTCGCCTTGGCGCGCTTAGTAGTGCACCTCTCGTATCGCAAGCGGGGGTTTCTATGTCAACGATTGGGGGCCAAGTGACACCTCTGGGGAAGGCAATGAGCTTTTTCCCGCTTTCCCCGCGCTTCGCTCGAATGCTTGTCGGGAGTCAACAACATGGCTGTTTACCCTATGTGATCTCGATTGTGGCAGCTATGTCGGTCGGGGACCCTTTCCTTCGTGAAGAGGGGTTAGATGCCGACAGCGAGTCCGATGCCGATGATGAAGGACTGGGACACATCAAGAGCGCTTCCATCAAAGCGAAAGAGGCGAGGAGGACCCGACGGCGTGCATTCTTTGAATCTCAGCAGGTTTGTCTTCCAGCTGTTTGTCTAAAACTATGCTGAACACTGAAACAGGTTCATGGATCGCTGAGTAACTTCAATAGTGACATTTTCAGACTCCTCTCGGTCGTCGGGGCCTACGAGTATTCTGGAGGGGGTCACCAATTTTGTAAGGCCCATTTTGTAAGACCCAAGGTACGTCTGCTAGTTATCATTCTCAACTCGCAGCAACCTGATAGGAGACTACAGGCCATGGAAGAAATACACAAACTGCGAGCCCAACTAAGCAGCATTGCGCAAGCAAATTTCCAAAACGCTGAAGTTGGTTTCGACAAAAATATCCGACCTCCCAACGACATCCAGGTAATTGGCTTCCTGTTCACGCGATCCCACCCTCGGTGACATCATTCCTTTAGCTAAAGGCTATCCGTCAACTGCTCGCCGCGGCCTTTATCGACCAAGTAGCAGTACGGAAAGATTTAATACAAAACAACTCCAGTGGAAGCCAGTTTTCAACTGCTAAAGGCGTTCCGTATGCGGCGGTGGGAGTATCCGGGGATGTTTTCATCCATCCCATGTCTGTGCTTGCGAATCGCCCTCCGCCAGACTATCTCGTCTTTTCTGAAGTAGTCCAAACATCGCGGACGTGGATCAAAGGTCTGTTTCCTCCGCTGCAAATCTAATAGATGCTGACAAACATGAAGGACTAACGGTCATAAATCCTGCATGGCTATCGAGTCTTGGAAAACAGAGTATGTGCACTTTTTCCAAACCTTCGAGAAACAATGCGGGTGTGATGATGTCTATACCGCGGTTTGGGCCTGATCAGTGGGAGCTGCCTCCCGTGAAGGTGTGATTAATATACAATTGTGCTATTCAATATGTATGCAATGTGGTCTAGTAATAAGTGCGGGCGACGTATATTTGAATAACGATATCCGGAACAAGTGATCGCCTATGACTTCCCAGGCTAATGGAGTAGTAATTATGAGCACTGATCACTGAAACCCAAGGAAATATTACCTTGTTCTTTTTGGGTATAAAGATGCTACCTTTCTCCTTCTTAAAACGCTTTTGGGGTGGTTGAATTGTCCTGGCTTCCTGTGCTCTAGAGGTGGAAGGTTCGCCACCTTCAACCAAACGACGCTTCTGTCCGACATCCCTAGGAATAGCCAGGTCTGCAGGAGGGTCTTTCATCGACGGTTGCTCCTCAATCGTCTGGGAAGGTTTTGAAGGGGGAGGTCGACGACTAGACTCAGCAAAGCCCTTAGGAGTGACCAAATCATCTGGTTTAGGTGGCAAAGTCGCGGCTGGCTGCTTCTTGGGTTTCGGTGGTGATGGAGGCCGGCGAACCGAGGGGTTCATAGTTTGGGTGGTGAAAAAGTTAACATCCGCCTGTCTCTCAGTTAGTTCGAGGTCTAGCGAAGGGGCATGTTGATATCAGACCTCTGCAAGTAATGACCTTTCACGAGCGTCCTGTACAACTTTGCGCCAGCTCTCGTCGCTTCGCTCGAGTGTAGGCGCATGGCCCAGAATGAAGAGAGATGAACGTGCACGAGTCATAGCGACATTCATTCTCCGAACGTCTGTACACCGTTAGCTGCTTGTAAGCGTACAGATTTGAACATCATACCCGACAGGAAACCAACAGATTGCACCCCGGGACCAGCACGAACACAAGAAAGGATGATAACATCCTTTTCTTGTCCCTGGAATCCATCGACAGTGTGGAAGTGTACCTTGCCCTTGATATCTCTCCCAAATCGTTGTTCGAAAGCTCGCTGAAGCTCTAAGACTTGACCGCGGTACATGGAAACGATGCCAACGCGGAAGTCAAAGTCTACGTCAGAAAACTCCTTACACAAGCGTGCATATAAGGCGAGGGCAACTTGGCTCTCCGTAGTGTTCTTTAGAGAATGCCCGGTTGTGGAGACTTCTTGTCCCTGGTTAACGTTGAAGAATCTATATGTACCAAATTTAGGATGCGAATGCCACGGCTGCTTTGTTTTGACATCCATGTCGGGACCATCCAAGAGTCGGCCCTGGTAGAAGACCCTGCTAGGAAGACGGCTAATATCGGGGTGCATGCGATATTGGATGCTAAAAACAATGAGCGCATGGACTATTAGTGAAAGACGGAAGGCATACCTAAGGAGGTGAACGGCATCCGGGCGGTGTTTCTGAAGGCGCACGAAGAGCGATTGATTATAACGGTACTTGCAAGCCTTCAATAACAATCAGCGCATATTCAACAGGTATTGCGGAAGCCCGGCTTACCTCCTGAGACAAAACTGTGGGGGGAAGTTGTTGCGGATCTAGACAGGACTCAATGGGATGTCGGGAGTACGAAGGCATGATACTCACCACCGACCATGATGCATCTTTGACAACGAAACTTAAGTGGTATCAGGGAGCTCAACTCGATGGACTGGGCCGCTTCGTCGATGATGACCATTTCGAAATCAAGTTGTTCGAGCGTTTCATGCCCTGCACCTGACAGAGTGCAACAAATAACATCTGCCTCTTGGAGAACCTCGGTCCTGACGCGCCTCCGTAGAGCATCGAGCGTCCTATAATCCGACTTTTGTTTATCTTTCAACCGGTCAAACTGCTGTGTCAGCGTCATCCGTCGTGAATTGAGTTTCTTGATTTCTTCCTCTAGAACCACCATCCGGGCATTGTTGTCGCGAACAGAAGCCAGCTCATCCAACTTCTGCTGCTTGACCTGCTTGACCTTCTCAATCTCACCTCGTAGCACGTTGATTTCGCCGTGCGCATCCTTGGAAGTATCGTTGGGAGTTTGGCCATTGAGCTTTTGTTCCACCAAGGAGTCGAGGGAAATATCTTTCACGCTGATATCGATCGCCTTTTCTGTTCCGACCCGGACCACTTTGAGCGAACTTGCTTTCCGTTGAGGGCCTCTGTATCCTTCTTTGAGACGGCCGGCGATTTCGTTAATAGCAGCATTACTGGGTGCGCAGAGTAGTATTTTCTTCACGGGCTCCGAAGAGGTTGCGGTTTTCCCGACATGAATGGACGTCACCGCACGTGGACGCTTTTGAAGAAAGGCTTCGACGAGACCACAGATAGTTGATGTCTTTCCAGTTCCGGGAGGTCTGCGGAAGATTGTTCATTCGAAGTGCCAGTCTGATGCCAGATAGAACTTGCCCTTGAATAAGCACAAAACCATCTACCTTAAGAGAGCCAATTATCGCTCGTGCTTGTGGCTCGTTGACATTGTATGCGGTCATGGTGTGCTGTACCTCGCGTTGCTCAATGGTTGGCATAGCAGAGAGTTTCGGGGTTAATATCATTTGAAAGAGATCGTAGTGGGGCAATGCCACAAGAGCGCCATACTCCCGGTGAAGAGTACTCAAGCTATCGAGAGTTCAGCAGTTATTGCAACACAGACAGGAAAACGCACCTGAAAACCTTCTTCAGGCTCCAGACAGTGTTGATCTGCAAACCTATGTCGCCCATAGCGGATTGCATCAAGCATCGGAGACACATTTGCGATCCAAGCGGAGTGGTCCTAAAACTCTGAACCTTCATCATGATCGACTTTTTACCCTCGGGATGCCGGAGCAATACGACATCCGTCTCTCCCAGCCGCCAGTCTTTCTGGACAGGCTCCGAAATAGTTGCGTCAAGGTCCACAAAATCATCGGTGAACTGTTTGGAGGTGATTCTACAGTCGTACACCCCTTGTGCCTCTTCTTTGGATTGAACAATTTGTGACCAACATTCTAGGAGTAGCAATGGCTCAAAGACTCGGAGATAGTGCTGATAGTCCTGGAAGGTGTCGGGAACATGAATCAATGGCGTTTTCTGGCCAACGGTGGGAGGGTCAGGACCATCGTGGTCATAATTCCAAGATAGGAGAGTCCGATGCAGTCCGGCAGTGTTTGGCTTCAGACGCAGCGCCCGACGACGAGCATCTTCTCGACGGTGGAGGCGCTCCATAGTCGCATTCTTGGCTTGGTTTTGAATGTCCAACAACTTCACTTGACGTCTTTCCGTAGGCTTCTTGACTTTTGGTGACCGCTGGAATTTACCCAATGCAACCAAACCGCCATGCATGCCTTCAGCCTCGGATTCGGATTCGGAATCACTAGAATATTCTGATGCAGGAGCTGGGGGGAGAGTTGGTTTACTGGCGCTCGTCGACGTACTTGTTGATAGCCGTTGGTACTTGGGAAACGCGCCCTTCATAACGTCGGGCTTGAGTTGGTCATTCTCAGCAGGTTTCCGGGGAACGGCATCACTTGGCTTTCGTGCTGCCGCTTGTGCCTTCTGTGGTGGAGGTTTATGGGGTTGGGTGGGTCGAGCCTGGGGCGGACGAACGGAAACAACTTCAACCTCATCCTCCTCCTCAAATGAGGCCAGTGCGTCCTCCAACTGGGCTATTCGACTTGCGTCAAGTTTTGTCTTTGAAGCGCCAGACTTATTCTTGCGGAAATCCTCGACATGCTTGTTCAGCTTGGCAAGAGAAGCATCCGATGGAGGGACATCGGTTGTCCGAAAACATTCGAGGACCGTCTGAAGCAGCGCAAAGGACTGATGGAGAAGTTCTTCATCAGAGAGCCGCAGCCACCGTGCTAGCTCTGTAAGCACTGGCTGCAGGTCGCTCATCATGTTCTTCCCCATTCGGGAAAGTTTTCGAATTTTGCCAGTCAATAATGAGGATGATTCATTCGTGGCAGTGACGCCGGCAGCCTCCAGTACTCTCCACTGTGCCAACAGATCTCTCCCGAATATAAGCGCATCTCGCATCCAAACCGTCATGTCTGGAATTTCAAAGTACTCTGACCAGAGGTGCGTGCGTTTGAATATCACGGTCATGGACCGCGTCATGAAGTTCCACAGTTTTGGTATTTGTGCTGCAGGCCCTTCCTTGTCTTTTGACCGCAAGAACGAGTGATTGTGCAACAGTCCTTCTGGACTGGAGCACAAGACTTCAATGACGTCGGTGAGACATTGCACCAGCGATTTGGAAAGACTGCAGGCTTCCGGCACCTTTGGCGCATAGTGAACGTATCGCTCCAGGAAGCTGAAAATGCCTTCAAATGAAGAGTCTGGGAGATTGGAGAGAAGAGCACGAAAGCAATCGACCCGAATGTCGACATCAAATGCCTGACCAACAAGCGTCTTCGCAGCGCCTTGGAGGTCTTCAATGGGAGATAGCATGAGGACCATAACATCACGTGCGACCCCAGGCCGACGCAGGACATCAAGAACGAATGACCTCTGGTTGTAGTTCGCCAACTTGGATACTACATCAAGAAATCCGCTTCGTGAATTAGTGAGGAATCGATTGATAGAATCAAATGCCTGGGCATTCGGGCTCGAAAGAACAGGTTTGTATGCCACTTTGTTCAAGAAGTCAATGTGAGAGAACTGGGCAACAATAGCAATGATGGCGACAGCGCCATCTGCGTCATTTGTCTGTAGAGATTCATACGTCTTCTTCCACATTTGTTCTCTGATAACACAGATGGGGAACACCTTTGTGCGTCCTGCCAAGAACTCGCAGGAGGTTGTGATAGATTTGACAATTTCATTGGCGTCCTGAGTCAAAGAACTCGTGATGAGCTCACGAGCAGTGCTGCGAGCTTCTTTCCACTGCGAATTTGCGTAAGAGCGACCAAAAGCCACCGAAATGAAGATCTCGGCATGAATGTCGAGTACGCTTGAAATTGCTATGCGACGTGGCGATGCCTCTTCCGACTGACTCTTCCGCACCTGGGCGGTTAGTAACTAGGAACATTTAGTATAACGACGGATGGGAAGATGAAATAACTGACTCGGACAGCTGAATACATGACCGCTGGACGTGCTTCCTGAAAACGCTCGTGCTGTAATTCCTCACATAGAAAATCCACGATTCTTGCTAGAATGTCCCCATACATGGCAGGTTCGGGTATTGTTGCAAGATACTCCCCGAACCATGACAAGAACCATGGTTTCTCGTCTGTCGACTTGAGGCCCTGCAGCATATCGCAGAAGGAAGGATTGTCCTTGATTGCATCAAAAACGACTTGGGGATACTCTGGGCCCTCGCCTTGCCATAACTGATTGCCTAAACGCTTGAGCAAGAAGAGTAGACACCTTAAGATGTCAGAAAACTCTATTTCCATATTTATTGAACGATCAATGTAATGAACGAAATAAACTCACGTCGCCCAATGTCGTGTAGATGACCCGTTACGATTCTACGATATCCCATTCCTTCAGATGATTTCACGAGGACCTCTGTCGGGAGATGACGTAGGATTTGGCTAAATCCAGCCCAAAGTTCGGGGGAGTCGGAGGAGAACGAGTACGGTAAGGCACTGTCCGTCGTCACCCCTTCGCCTTCACGAGACAGCGTCAAAGCCTTGATAACCGCCTGCAGCGCCAATTCGTGTCCCGCAACAAACTGGTGTTCTAACATTGGGACCTGGGTACTTTTGACGATTTGCGCCTTCGCCCACTGTCTGACAGCAGAGGATTCATCCATTACGAGTACAAACAGGCCAGGGGGAGGCGGATCCGATGGCCAGGATGAGATGGGTGGGCATGCACGAATCAAGGAGAAGACCCGGGGGTCGCGAAAGACGCGCATATTTGAGACCATGTGGTATAACAAAGGTTGTGGCACTTTTTGAGGTGTCGGGGAAGCCAATCTAGAGCTGGACAAGTCTATTCCAGAACGTACGAGGGCCTCTATGACCACGGATAGTTCCCAGTCATCGAAATTGCTATAGAATGCTCTGATCACATCGTCAGAGAATGCGCCAAAATAACTGCAGGGTGGTCAGTATAACATACGCATTCTAAGTACTGTTTCGCTGAGTAACTCACGTTGTCCGAGAGCTAGCCTTCACTTCCCCCAACCCTTTAATGCACTGACAACATCCTGAGAGACAAGACTTCAACCTTTTTTTCCAATCATCCACTAAAGGGCTGTCGTATGCAAAGAGCCTTAGTAAAAATGTAGCAGCGCCAATGGTGAGCTGGTTAGCGCGACTGCAGAACCAATGGTAGGTATGATCGGATGCGGATGGTGGAATTTTCATCAAATATAAATATATCGGTTGAAGAACATCATCTGCTCCGTCCGCCGTATTCACCGGCGCGTCACGAACTGAAGTAAGTAGTGTCTTGACTTTGGTGAGTTCAGCATCGGAGGTCATGAACGGGGTTCAGGTTGGTGGTGGATGAAGGAGAGCAAGTGACCAAAAGCAGTCACGAGCGCTATTCACAGTGGCTTAAAGAGCCATCTCGCTTGAAGGTCTTCTCAGTACAATAACTTTGCGGGCCTCATCGCTACAAGATATGGATTCTGGCGATGTAGAACGTCTTAACGAGCTCTTGGAGCAGGATGTAGAACTGCGGGAGGTATGCATTAATAATATCAAAATATTTGGTAGTCGCTGATCACCGCTGACCTCCAAACTTCCCCATTCTAGAAAATCAAGGAGCAAGTGACGGATCTGGATAAGAAGACTCGCAACATGGTCGGTGTTCTCAATAAGATCCATTCAACACCTTCCGAGTCAAGTTCTGCCATTGCTAAATTTTTCGCCTGATTGCCAACGCCTATCTTAGTTCCAGGTCTCCTTGATAGTGTGCGCCCAATGTTGCACAGTTGTCAGACTACCAGTGCTGCAATGGCTGCACTCATACCTCCCAGCCAGTTCTGGCGATGGAAGGAAATGTGGTCCAACTCTTTGCGCAACGCAATCTTTTCGGCTGCCTTGGTCGAATTTCTTGCAACTGGGAAACTCATTTCGCTGCCAGAAGTCTGCCAGATCCTAGGGAGTGAGCATTGCTTTACCATCTGTGGTGTGTGTATCGTAACTATCCTTCTTCCTGTCGGACTCCTCCAGTCAAAGATGAATGGAAGGGCCGATTTGCGCTGCCCGTCGAAGATTATCTTCACGGTCTAATAAGCCTTGTCAACGAGCTGGTAAGTCGGACAAATTGAATTCATTCTGCTTTTTGCATATCTTTTGCGGTTTTTTTGCCCTCGTGACACGTTCAACTCACTCATCATTATTTTGTAGTCTCGTCTCGCTGTAAACGCAGTGACCCTTGGAAACTTTGAAGCTCCTATTCAGATATCTATCTTTGTGAAGGATCTATTCGCCGGATTTTCAATGGTTCGTTTCAAGTGTATATCTGGAAAGAGCTCGAATGAATTTGATGGTGCCCAGCTGAATCTAAAGAATGACACGCTCCGGCGACGTTTTGATAGTCTGAAATATGATCTCAAGAAAATCGAAGAAGGTGGGCTCACAATCGCGTGCAGGCTGCATGCCACGGTCTTGACTACTTGTCCTTCAGTGGTATACGACGTCTCGCTCCGGAAATTGGCACCTCCTCCACAGGGAGGAACGTTAACATCTAACACATGAAGTAAAATTGTAATGTAACAGCGTTCCACAAATTTGTGTTCAATATTGGATACTCCAGTAGCAATGTACTAGCAGATGACTTGACACGCGCCCCATCAACGGTCAACTCACAAACAGTTCACTTAGGGGGTTGGAGGTCTGTGTGATGACGAGGTGGCAGGGGTCCTCGGTCATTACTAGGAGTAAAACTCCGCGACACCTGTTCTACATCTCCAAGACCATCCACACGTCCACAGCAGCCTTTCGTTCCACTTCGTACCCTACATAAAGCCACTTAGAAATACTCGCTAACGACGATTTTCTGCAGCTCGTTTACAGCTAAACTCGGAAAAAATGGATAGAAGGCGCGCACCAACGCGACCAGCATCCACGGAAGGTATGTTCTCACGCTCACTGCATCACCCTCAAACAACTCGAACCGTGCGGACTACTCACTTGATATCAGAGGTAGATTACTGGTCGCATGCATCTAAGTCATTGGCACAACTCCAAAATATTTATACCCGCCCTAGTAACGTTGACACCATCGGGCGCGTCAACAGACTGATCTCCGCGTGGCCCACCGATGACGTCCTTCCGGCTGAAGGGTATGATTTCTTGAAAACCAATTACAAAAAGCTACATTCAGCCTTGAAAGAAGTTCGACATATTGACGACGAGGAAGTCAAGTACGCTGACTTCTCAGCCTCCCCGTAAAGTGTCACATATTTTTTACAGGGCTATTGACAGTGTTCTCGAAAAACTCGACGTATTGATAGCCCTCCGAAAAGCACCAGAGTTGCTCTCACAAGGTGATACTGTGATTTTTTCTCCAATCTTTAGACACTTGCTCAGCCGAACATATCTTACTCAGAGAAGCGAAACAAGCGCCCACGGCCCCCATCACCTACTGCCACTGCTGCATCGGTAACACCCCCCCTGATGTCTGCCACGCGGCCGATGACAACTCAAGTGGCATCTTCCCGGAGCTCAACGGGCCCTTCTCCCCCCATACCATTTTCGAGAGAACCAAAGGCTCGCAGAGAAGCTCTTGCGAAGCAGCTGCCGTTACAAGAAGGGCGAAAAGTCGCGTTCCACCCACCTGCAGGAAAGGCAGCCGACGGTAGTGCGGCTGACGCCGATGAAAACACATGGATCTTGGCCGTTATCACAAAATGTATCAACCAGGACAAGAATCGGTGGGGCTCAATTTAAAGGGTGTTCTTCTAAACCTTATCCTTTATCAGATATGAGGTGCAAGACGTTGAGCCTCAAGAAGACGGACAGCCTGGACAGTAAGTTTTCATTTTCATCACACGGAGTAAGTCAAACATTATCCTCAGATGCTATAATACAACGCTTCGAGCCATTATACCACTACCGGATCTAAGTGCCCCTCCAACAAATGCCGCGCATTTGAATGCCTATCAGGAATTCCCTGCTGGTTCGACAGTCATGGCGCTCTATCCAGACACGAGCTGTTTTTACAGAGCTGAGGTTATATCCTCGCCAAGAGATGTGCAGGGAATTGGACGCGTAAGATACAAATTTTTATTGTTGCTGCTTTTACGTGACTCAATTCAACTTAGGGCATGTCCACAAAGACCATTCCCACGTACAAGCTCAAGTTTGAAGATGATGATGACCAAGAGCATTCTGTCGCTGCACAGTGGGTTGTTGAATGGCCCGGAGTATGATTATATCACATGTCATGGCATTAAGTATCTCTATTTACTGTATTTTCTCGAAGGTCCACGATGATCCTAGGCAGACCAATGGAGACCGGGTTTAGTCTGACTTTGCAGCAATGTATTAGGGACCCCAAACACTCTTCCATTTTTCCCACCTATGACGCGTTTTACGGAGAACCTCCTATATTGTCCAACTTGAACAGAAGTCATTTTACTTGAACACCATCATGTCTATCGCTCGACAACTTTTACATGAGGTCCGCCCTTTCTTCCGAATGCTGGAGGAGCCCTTTGGCAGGTCCGCTGTAGCACCCACGTACCGACAGCGCTCCCTTTTTGACGACCCCCTCCTCCCTTCTCTTGCTGCCATACGTCCCCCAGTTGATGTAACAGATGAAGGAGACAAATACATCATAGAAGCTGACCTTCCTGGTGTTAAAAAAGAGAATGTTGATATCAGGATAGGTGACGCGGGCCGTAGCATCACCATCGAAGGCAAAACCTCCTCTCGTCAAACCAATGGCGAATTGAACACTGGCACGGAAGCGACCGGTGAGAATGCAGCTGAGGGTCAGTGAATTCCTTTTGCAGACCGAGCTATATCCGACGCATCTTATCAGGTTCCAAAGCTGTGGAAAAGACCGAGCCAGGCACACAACTTGCTATGGAGCGCCAGGGCAGCCTCAGCGCGTCCTTCATCCGCACCGTCTGGCTGCCTCGTCCCATTGACAGCTCCAAAGCGTCTGCCAAGCTCCAGGATGGCATCCTCACCATGACTATTCCAAAGGCTGAGGATCAGGAGAGTATCAAGGTTCCCCTTGAGTAATTTTCAAAACCAATTGGCATTAGTATGGTACGAATGTTTATCTTCGCTTCGCAATGTAATATTATAGCATCACAGCAGTCAGTCCACTCACGAATTACTGTATTTTTACGTGCATTGCAGTTGTAGCCCTATTCACATACGAACACTCCTATCAGACAGTTGGACGGTTTAATGTGGTAAATGAACCTTACCTGTAGCTTGGCTGTGTGGACCTCGCGAACGACGAGTTCGTAGTTGGATTCATCACGATCTCCAGCCTACAGTTAGATATGGAGTGCAGAACGCGCCATTCTGACAATACGCTCCAGACTGGTGGTGCTCCCTTACCTAGGGTGAAAACCAGACCAGTGAGGTTCGGCAAATTTCCATCAAGACCCTTAGAGGCTTGTGCTCCCTTGTATGACAGTCACTGTCGAAGCGCTACTTGAGCTCACTTGAGAAATGCAATACATACTCACTTGATCTTTGACATTTGTTGTTTCAGTATGAACCGTCGTCCATACCTTTAAGTTCGAGCAGATCGAGTTTTCGCCGAAATTCGAATGACCCGACAAATCCAACCCCAGGGAGACTGTGACAACGTTCCTTCTCATCGCAGTAGCACCTGCCAGTGTGCGTCAGACTACGCGCTACACTATTCAAATCTTTCCACAAAAGCGCTGAGATAAAAAGACGTACGTTTCATTTAAGTGACCAGGCGCAAGGGCCACGATGCAGGCCCCCGTGCCAACTTCAATAATAATGAAACAATTTGAACGAAATTAAATCTTCGGACGAGTACCGTGTCTGAGGGCCCTGATTCCATGGAATCTACTCTTGTGCAGCCCTAGATGAAGCACAGTCGCAAGACTGAAAGTGAAATCGAGCAGCATGAATATGATCATGATGCCGCTGAAAACAAGTCAATTTCAGAGCGATGATGGCCTTCAATTTGCCTACATACATGAATCACAGAGCTGGGGTATCTCAACTTGTACCAGTGATTCCGTTGGAGCTTTTGGGTGGTCTGCAAGGTAATTCGATCGGTGGTCGGGTGAGAGCGCTTGAGGCGAGCATATTTGCGTGCTTTGATCCTTGTCGCTTGTGGCGCCCGCATGTTGGGCACATGCAAAGGTTGAAAGTGTCTCAGACTGTTCTTCCTCCGCTCTGCACCCGAAGCAGTCAGCTACAACACTGCACCTGGGACCACCCCGAACCAAAATTCATTAGCCCTCCCGGTGATGGCAGCATATTATGCTACTCCCTCCAGCTCTGTAGTTGCCCACACCTCCGCGTTGCAACCCTATGGGCAATACTCTGAGGAGGGCGGTCCAAACCCAAACGTTAGCGTCTATGATCTACCTACGGACTCCGAAAATGAAGCAGAGGTGGATGAGCTGGAGTCCGACACCGATCCCGAAGACGAGCTCGCTGCAAGCGCCTCCGCTAACCAGAAGAAGAGTGGACGACGGCTTGGGGAACGTACTCCCGGGACAACTCTGCTTCCCGCTTCCAAAGTAGAGAACATAGTTCAGCCGGACAGTGCGTTACACAAAATATCTGAATCAGAGCTCGCGTTAAGCAACGTTTTAGCTAGCATCTCGATGTCGAAAGAAGCATTGTTCATTTTGTCGGTTGCAACGGTGGGGGACCCGTTCAGCTGTTTTGCGGTACATCTGGATTCTGAACATTGCATTTTCACTTGCAGGAGGAATTCATAAAACGAATGGCACAAGCTGGCCACCGCCAGGCGGCTGCGAAGCGTCGAGGGACTGTAAATTACTCGGATTTGGGTGAGTGAACAATCCCTTTTCTAACTTTTGACTTTGACAATCCGCCAGCGTGTTCCACCCAGCAATATCAAGAATTCATGTTCTTGCAAGGTTTGTACCCTATATCTTTATTTCGCCCCGTCTAATTTATAATTCCAGACACGATACCTGAACCAATATCCATAGCGGAGGCACTTGACAGACGGGCAATGAAAGAGAAGGAAGACTTGGAAGCCAATCCGGCAATGTCAACTACCCACCGGCAGTCACCTCCTTTCGTAGCAGTATCTGCACCCCAGTTAAATGGGAAGTCAAAAGCCAAGTCAAGGCCGTCAGTCGCTAATGGCAGAGAAACATCAAGTGCAAGTGCAAATGGAAGTTCTAGGAGAGAGCATAGACGGAATGAGGACGTGATGGATGGTGTTGTATCAAGAAGTCGGAGCACAAGAGTCGCGCATGAAGATCGTTATGCCGGGTCAGAAGAGCGCGCGTCAAGTGACATGGGCAATGAAACAGGTCTCTATCAAGCGGCTCCATCACCGAGACGTCAAAATGCAGGCCTCCAGGACAGAGGTCGGTCACCTCAGGAATTTGCACCCAACTGGCCTGGCCATTACACTGGCCCCGCGAGCGGCTTCCTACAAGATCCACATGGAGGATTTGGTCGAGGAATTAGTAGTCAGAATCCCGGGCGTACTATCTACTCACAGCAAGCGCGTCCAGAAAATGGTTCCTATCAGTAGCATGTGCTGAAACGGTACATTGGTTCCTATTGGCTAGTGTATTTAAGTATTCGATGCAGTCATAACTAGTAGATCGACCTACTTAGATTTACCCGTGTTACGCGTTACTTTATCTTATCTCCAACGGACCATTCACACTCGACCGCTTCCTAACTCGAACCCCAACGCCATCGAAACTTGTGTTCAAATTACTGCGAGGTCATTAGCTCACAATGACACACGCTTTAGCAAGCCTCCCAATAATCGACATCGCGCCGTACTTCGAGGCTCAACGTGATCTGACGAAATGCCAGTCCACATCAGACGCGTTACACAATGCTTGTCTCGAGTACGGGTTCTTCTATCTAGACATTTCACAGTTCATAGATCCCTCAGAGCCTGAGGAGTTGACCCGGCTAGCTAGAGAATTCTTCACACTGCCACAGGAGGAGAAGGATAAGATTGGCCTGGAGCACCAGGATTATGCTAGAGGTATGTCACAGCTTGAGCAATCTCTGAACCATGTTCTTGAAATTCTTATCCAGGATACCAAAGGCTCAAGCAGAATGTGACTAACGGCAAGGCGGATAACCACGAAGGAATCGATTTCTACAAGCCTGTTGAGAACTCAGACAAATCCAAACCACTGTGGGGGGAGAATCAATGGCCTGATGTCCCTGGATTCCAGCTTAAATACGAGCAATGGATCCAGAAGATGAAGAAGCTTGGGCTCGTCGTTATGGAGGCGTGCGTTCTTGCTAAATTCATGGTATTTTCTTCCCAACTTGCACTGTCGTAGGATGTCTGTTGGACTCAAGATGACAACGGAAGAATGGATGGAGTTACGAGCTCAAGTAGACGATAGCTTCTGGGTAATGCGAACCATCGGTGGGCATCATTTGGCCGAAGTTCATAAAAATAACGGCCCTGCTTATCTGTATGAGAGGTTATCCTCCACTTCCAAATGACCACGATGGCTTCTCCTGCGGAGCACACAAGTGAGATCCTGTTGGTTTTATGATATCTAGATATACTGATGCAGATGCATGAACAGAGACTATGGCTGCCTAACGTGAGCCACGAGTGGAAAGCTCAGCAATGTCCCTGACGTCGACTCCCTAGCTTCCTACATGCTGATCCTACTCGAAGTGCTCTACAAGTGTTCTTGCGACAATCAGGCACGACAACAATTGATCCAGAGGGCCTGCCAGCAGAGCATGGTACGGAAGAAGGAATATGGATAAACGCAGATCCTGTTCCCAATTGTGTCGTTTGTAATATCGGCGAGAGTATGTTGCTGGTTTTTATACATCTTTACTAGCTAATGGAAAATTTCAGTGTGGGAGATCTGGACAAACGGATTGTACAAAAGCACGCTGCACAGAGTGGTCCACAGAGGATCGAATTATCGGTAGGTGTTGCACAGCGCTTTCAATTGATGAGCTATGTCTGATTCATTTGCGTAGTGTCTCGTGCGAACCTGTCGTTCTCTGCGACATATTCCTTTACTGACTCGCATATTGATAGGATACCGTTCTTTTTCGAGCCCAACTTCACCGCAAATGTTGCTCCACTTCCAGCAGCTCTGCGTCTTATGCCTTCTAAAGATAAAGAGGCGTCTTCAAACGAAGGACAGACCTACAAACCTGTTGTATATGGGGAGTTTTTGCTAAGGAAAGTTGATAACAATTTCGCATTAGACGGTAAAGGGAAGTATGACTAGTGATGATAATTTTTATAACTTAGAGGTATGAAACTAATAAGAGGCTGATATCTGATACAGCACTGTGATCAACGGTGGCATTCAAATGCTCACGTTTGTAATGCAAACTGTACCAATCACTGTACCAATCTTATCCAGATGCTCGGAATACCAACTTCACCTCCTTATCTCTCTTCAACAACAGCTTTGTTTCTCAACAAGCGCTTCGTGGTTATAAGGGACCGAGGTACATTGCACTAAAAACCACGTGCAATCGTGATGCAGTTACTATCCATGTCCGCCAACATTGCAAAAGTTCTAGAATTGTCCAGCTGGAAGGCCAGTCTCGCGAGACAGAGCCTCCCGAAATTCTCCAAAAGGCACAGTCAGAGATTCTGTCGCATCCCTGTTTGCTTTGCGGATCGAATAACTCAATATCTGCACCCGAGACCTGCTATTCGGCTGTACTAGTAGCGCACAGTCAGTGTGAAGTTATGTAGCTTGAAGTTATTAGAGTCACGTGCAATTCGTAGATGTCAATGAACACTTTGACTCGATCATTCCATCTTCTGAATCTGATTCCTCATCGATTGTCAACGCGATTAATCGCGCGACTTCATCCTCTGGCACGCACAATGTCCTACGAATCTTCTGTGTCCGAACTCCCTTCCCCACTGAAAGATCTCCTCGTGAATTCGCAAGTAGATGTCGGAAAGACTGAGGCCGACAAGGCTGAAGTAGCTCAGTGGATCGAGAAGGTTGCGGAAGGAGAGGTCGTAAAGCCAGCCGCTCTTCCAGTAAGCCGTATGAAAAAATTGACCTAAATTGCCTGATGAGCCAGTATTGTTGCAGGATCTCGAGATCCAACTTGTCCCTCGCACGTACATTGTGAGCAATTACCTCACTGCAGCAGATGTTGCTCTATATGGAGCGCTGCACCCAGTATTTGTTCGTGTTCATTACAGTATCTGGTTGTGCCAACACTTATGTACAGATCCGTAGTCGCAACTACAGCCTGCTCAGCTCTACTCTACTCCTGCACTCACGCGTTACTTTGACCACATTCAAACGCGTCCATCTGTGGTAGCTGCGGCAAGTGCATTGTCTCCAGCGTTTTCTTCTGTCTCCTTTGACCTCGCGTCTGCCCCTCCAATTGAGAGGAAGCCTGATGCACCGAAGAAGAAAGAGAAGGCTGCGGCTGTGGCGGAGCAGGTTGAATCAACAGCTGTAGTGACACCAAAAGAGGACAATTTACCAGAAGATAAGCCTAAAGAAAAGAAAGAAAAGAAAGAAAAGAAGAAGGACGCGGCCCCTGCGGACAACGGAGGGAAGAAAAAAGAGAAGGCTTCTGGTCCTGCTGGTGGCAAGGCTGTTGCTGAAGATGCCGGCGAACCGGTACCATCTATGATTGATATGCGGATCGGTCACATTATTGACGGTGAGCTGGTTCCTACTGTAGAATTCAGAACACTCACCAACAATATTGACAGTGAAAAAGCACCCTGAGGCTGACAGCTTATACATCGAGGCAAGTCATCTTCCGAAAGCAAATATCTGTTATGACTGAATGCATGTTTTCCTTCAGCAAATAGACCTCGGTGAGGAGACAGGTCCACGGACAGTTGTTTCTGGTCTCGTGAACTACATACCTATCGAAGAGATGCGGGATAAATACCTGGTCTGCATTGTGAGTCAGCCTTACTATGTCACAGACAGATGGTTGACCTTTCACGTAGTGCAACTTGAAACCCGCGAACATGCGTGGAGTGAAGAGCTTTGCGATGGTTCTAGCTGTAGGTTTACTTTCTTGGCTCATGGTATATCTCTATCTGACATCAACCAGGCAACATCAAAAGATGGGAAGGACGGTGGCGTCGAGCTAATCCAACCTCCACCAGGGTCAAAGCCAGGTGAACGGGTCTACTTTGAAGGCCCTGATTACGAAAGTGCGAAAATGTTCCCAAGTCTCCATTCTGTGCACTCAGACTGCTTTATTCAGATGCTCAGCCACTTTCTCAAATGAACCCCAAGAAAAAGGTATTTGAGACAATTCAGCCAGGTACAGAAACCACTTTTCTCGCCAGAATCTTGAATGTTAATAGGTCGAATTTCTCAGGATTCACGACGCTAGATACGAAGGAGGCAGCGTGGGTCAACCCGGCAACCAAGTCAGTTCACAGGATCCGTACCAAGGACGGTGTTTGCGTTGCTCCAAACTTTATTGGAGCATCCTTATCATAGATAACACAGGTGTAGAGACGCAGCCAAGGAAGCTTATAGTCTATCAAATATGTATCCTATATCTCCAGACTATTGTGCTCTGTGTTATCTGGTTTCTCTGAATACGACGAGGAATCGGTCTCGTCGACGTTCGGAATGGGTCCCGTGAACCAATGTCTCGCAGAGAATATCCAAGATCCTCCGGCAAATATGAAGACGGCCATGACAATCACTATCGAGTAGTCTACACCTTGCGATGAGTCAAGGTCTTGTGACTATAAATGACACTCACTCATGGTTTGCACATTGGCTGTTTGTGTGTATGGAAAGAGTAACATGACGACCATGAATGCTACCCACACGATGCCTATCCAGCCGATGGGAAAGGACCACCAACCGAGACTGAATGGGCCAGGTTGTAGTTTATCCTTCCCCCAGGTAACACGACAATAGATAGGTGTCACATATGAGATATATAAACCTATGACAGACGCCCTTCAAAGCAACAGTATTAGTATTGAGACTTGAGAATATCACTCGACGTACGAGGCCAAGGAATTAAATGCTGCAGTAGAAAATACCAATACTCCACAAATGGCAGAGAGCAGCATCGCAAACCATACAGCATTCACCGGAGTCTGCGTCTTGTGATTGATGCGCTTCCACCACCGCGAGCCGGGAAGAGCGTTGTCCCGAGAAAACGCAAAAATGACGCGTGAGGCGTCAACAGCTTGTGAGCATCCGCAAAGGTACTGTTCGGAAATCAGATATTTGAACGTGATCTTTTTCATAAACGGACTTTCCTGTAACACTGCGATAGAGCACCAGAGGGTCAAAGCACCTTTCTTCCCCAGGACATTTAAAAATACTTGTCCAAGAGGGAGTGCTAGTTTTGTCTGCAATATGTCTGGAACCGAGGCTGTAGCATAAGAAGCGGCAATGTAATAAAGCCAGCCCAGGATCTCAGTGCCAGCAACCCCCACTAAAATCGCGATAGGTGCTGCACGTGCAGCTCCTGCAGTTTCCTCGGCGATATGCGCAGCAGAGTCATCTGGAGAGACATGGTTAGATATGTGGCCGTTGAAGCATATTTTCGCTCTGCTATGCTACTCACAGCCTGTCAATGACCACATTGGCGATGTAAAAGCGAGAATAAAAGCCCAGACATCTGAACATGGTCAGACGCCGAAACGCATTAGACATAACACACTTGCTATTGCTCCATCCGGTGTTGTTCTCAAACTTTGTCCACGCGTCCTTTGACGAGACTCTTTGATCACCGGCACAAACGAGTAAGGAGACAATTGCTCCAATCGTTGTAGTCACTGCGTAGCACATTGTGAGCCCAAACCAAGAACGCCTACTCTTGGGACTCACTAATGAGTACCAAAGTTACAACTGTCATTCGGGCAAGAATACGAGTCCCAGCTGAGCAAAAAATCGCTTGTGTGAGATGGATACCCTGGATTGGATTATGAGCAAGAGAGCAAAATGCGAATGTGTCACGAGACCATCAGTATGCCAAATGTCGCACCCGACCCCAAGACTACTGCGCCGTCCGTGCCCATCGCTATTGCTGTGGTGACGAGTTCTGTGCTACAAGGGCATACATGAATCAATCATTCATAAAAGCCGGACATGTACACGAACCAACTGAAATTAATGGAGCAGATCAAGGTTACTTGCCCTGTGATATTACTCCATCCGGTTATCCAAGACGCAAGAGCGGACCGTTCCTTCGAAGCCATTTTCGCTGAAAAATAGTACAGCCCAGCGCTTGTTCTGCCACAGGATGTTCATCACATGTACATAATTTAACGGTGATCGGAAAGACTTACGGCATAGAAGAAGCCAGCTCTGCCATCGAAGCAGCAACACACATGACGAATATACAGGCTATGAACCATCCCCACACCATGGCAAAATGACCTCCTGATGAGATAGTAAATTACTGCTTCGTACGTGCCTCCGAGTATTACTGACCTGAAAGTAAAGGATAGGAATAACCGGTTGTGATTCCACAGGATACAGCCAGGATAGCCATCGAGAATGAAATTGTCTCTAGGAGCTGGGCCACAAAGTCAGGTCTGCGCAAGCAACAACGTAAATTACGATACCGAGAATTCCCGCTTAAACTCGCTCTTGTAGCCAAGCTTCCGGAGCAGAATGTTGTCTTTTTGATGAACCAGGGGGACGTCATCCTGGCTATCACGAGTGGACTCCGTCACAGTAACAATGCCGGTTTCTTTATGGTTAGGCATTTTAACGAGATTTCAAGAAGGAGAACAATATTGAATGGTCCCGGGGGATTGGAGTGCATTTTTCTGAATATATAGTGGCTAAATTGTGACCCGCATCTCGAATAAAGAGAACACACCGTCATTGATTGATAATAGATAACAAGACACGAATCCCTGGAATAGACCGTGTCACCAGGATAAAGCATGTTCTTATCTCGTTCCGTATGATCAGAGCTGTCATCTTCGAATTGGCAAGCGCGTGCCACGCATGTTGCTTCGATAGGACAAGCTTAAGCAGAGCTTGGGAACTCGTGGTCATTGCAGAAAACGTAGTACTACCAAATAAGGCATGTGTCAATAAGTAGGTTCACTATAGGTTCCGAGGTGGCGTTCGCAAAACGAACTTCCAAGAAAACGAAGTTACAACCCCGGGAAGGTATGATACCACGGGCGGCGTTGAGCAAGGCTCTACGACACTTCAGCTCCTCTGCTCGTGCATCCATCCACATTTCTCATATTGGAAAAACTCCCATTCCAATTCCAACTAATGTCACCATCACCCAGTCTCAAACTTCACTCGAAGTCAAGGGACCTCTTGGCTCAACCTCCGTCCCACTGGAATCATACATGAAGCTTGCATATCCGCAAGAGAATGTCCTGACAATAGCCGTAGAGGATGCAGAGGTGAAGAAGCAGCGGTCAATGTGGGGTCTTACACGGACGCTCATTAACAACGCGGTCGTCGGAATGACAGAGGGTTTCACTGTCCCAATACATCTTGTGGGTGTCGGATACAGGGCTGCGTTGGAGGACGATCCGAGAGGAACGACAAATGGTGGCAATGGCCAGAGGCTCAATATGAAGCTGGGGCATTCTCATAACGTCTACGTGCCAATTCCTGCCCATATCAAGGCAAATGTGCCTTCTCCGACGAAGATCATACTCTTTTGCACGGACAAGCATTTGCTTGGTCTTTTTGCTGCGAGCATACGGAAGTGGCGTCCACCCGAACCATATAAAGGCAAGGTGAGCATATCTTCAAGTATAATTACAGGGAGGGCAGGCGACTGATGCATGGTTAGGGCGTTTTCATCGGTGATGAACAAATTCGTATCAAATCCGTCAAAAAGAAGTAGTCTGCACCTTGCTTTGCCTTCTTACAGTTTCTTGACGTGCGCTTATGCTTATCATTGCATACATGCAATAGACATGTTTCTAATGAACACATTAACAACACGTAGATAGAATCCTTGACGCTGGTTTGATTCTGAATGCTTGTTGTGATGAGTGGTCACGTGATTTGAATTATACTTCGCCTGCGGGCAGCGGTGGTAGCTACGTTAGCCTTCATCACGTCCGCCTGGGTTGCACAGATTCTTTTTTGCTCATCCGGTGACCATTTATCGAGATTCCTTGAAATGTCATCAGAACTTTGCCCACCATATGCGCCATTTTTCGGCTTTGCAGGTGTTGCCTCAGCTGTAAGTCACTGTGGTCGGAGTGTTGCGTTCAATTCATTATAACAGTTCTCCGCAGATGATTTTCAGCAGTACGCTATGACTATGAACTACTCGGATATTTTCTGATATACTCCAACACAGCGGTTGGTGCTGCGTTCGGAACAGCAAAGGCTGGAGTTGGTATTGCAGGCCTGGGGACGTTCAAGCCTGAGCTGATCATGAAGGCGAGTGCTACCCTCTGACAGGCTCCTTTGGCTTCATGTTGCAGAATATAGTCACTGGTACCTGTGGTCATGGCAGGAATTATTGCAGTGTATGGGCTAGTGGTGTCGGTTCTCATCGCAGGAAATTGTAAGTATATTATTCTAGTGCGACGTTGCATGATTTGACCGGTTCGCAGTGTCCCCATCGAACTACTCCCTAGCCGCGGGATTCATTCATCTGGGAGCAGGCGTTTCTTGTGGAATGACAGGCATTGCTGCGGGCTATGCTATTGGTCTCGTCGGCGACTCGGTAGGCATTTTGAGCCACTCTGAATGGATGCGTGAACCTTACTACTGATTGCAGTGCGTCCGGGCATATGTACACGAGCAACGAGTATTCGTGGCCATGATTCTCATCCTGATCTTTGCGGAGGTTCTGGGGCTTTACGGGTGAGTATTCTATATGTACTTGCCCACACCTGCTGATCTTGTGCACATTTCAGTCTCATCGTTGCACTGTTGATGAACACGAGGGTCTCTGGCCTTGCGAGTTGCGAATGATCACCCGTGCTTCATTACATACATTTTGTGCTCTACATAAATACAGACTCCGAGTAGGATCACAGACCACTTATGGCTTGAACAACTCAGTGGATGGTCATTTTCACTCTCTGGATCTACTGCGAGATGAAGACTCTGAGCGAACTGAAGATGAACCTCGCTGCTTTGGTCGCTTCCTACTGCGTTCTCTGGAAACTGAACGTGAGGCTTCTGAACTTGACGCAGAGCTGGCAGATGAGCTAGACCCTGAATCTGATTCCGAGTCTGAACTATCTGAGGAAGAGGACCTTGAAGACCTGTTTACAATGGATGATCAGCTCACGCTGACACAGTAAATGAATTCCAAACAACCTTCGGGCTTTCTTTCGACTTCTGCCGTCTTCCTCCTTGGCTTTCCCTTTGGATCCCTCCAATGCGAGTCGTTCCTGCTCCTTTGACTCTAAAATCCGGTTCGCCGTTCCACTCCTGAGTGACAGAACAAGGCGTCAGTCAAATTAAAACCATAAATCGTCTTCAGTCAACATACTTTGTTCTAAATTCCTCCGGCACTTCGACTGAAGGCTTTCCCTCTGCCTTCAACTTTGCAAGCAACTTCGGGTTTTCGAGCATTTCTGTCCGTGAGGGACGGGATACATATGGGCGCGTAGACTTGCATTCGAATATGAAATGTCCTGCATGATTTCGTTCGGTCCAAATTGCTTTTGCAACAGAGTTCAAAGGAGCACACACACCTGTACCAAGGCACTTCTGACAAACGGTCGCAGAGGTGGCCTTTGGGTTGTTGTTTGACCGACGGTGAGGCGCGAATTTCGACATTGTGATGAGGGAAATTCAGAGTAGGTGCTTAGATTTAGCTTGTCTGATTTCAACGGGCACTGATATAAAGCCACGCGTCGCGATGATGAGCTAGATCTGGGTGATATTAAATGTTGAGAGGGAAATGTAGAAACTAGGCAAGCTCAGCGCGGACAAGCAGGGAAGTCCCAGGACAAGTGTTTTCGACAGGAAAGGAAATTTTGCTTACGTACCTGGGTCCTGCAAGCAGCTTTCACAAGCCTCACCGTCACTGCGACGTCGCTGTGCACTGTGTGCAGTGTGTATCGGTTCGAATGGCGGCAGGAAGTTAACCTTGTCACTATCCAAGGCCAATTGCAGAGCAATTTCAGAACAGTGCTCTCACTTGCCAGGCTCAGGCTCATGTCAACGATTTCCAAGTGTCTTCTCACCAGCTCCACCCGCGATCTTAGCGTTCTAGCACTGCTGTTATCATTTTACCGGATGATCCAGATCAGCATGCTGTGGAAATGCCTATGAATGCCCTGGAATTTCTCTTGATCATCCACTGGATTGTGCTTGAATGAAAGTTCATTACGTGAGTGACCTCATGCCTATGTGCTCTGGTGCTGAGTGACATTACCAGCAGAGTATTACAACTATCTAATGTACATAGTACACGTGTTGATGCCAAGTAAATCATCCTGATGTTCGTGACAAGCAAGATCAGCCTGCAGGGGTCATTCTATGCCTGTAACTCCTCGCCCACAAAACACTGCAGGAAGAGCATACGCGACGGCCAATGACACATATATAATGCAGTTCAAACACTAGGTAAAATGGGCGCCCCTTCTCGAGCTCCCGACTCGGATCAACTCATGGTACATAATACCCAGGCAGTGTTATCGACGTAAGCAAAACATGCAGTCGACCCTCATATAAATTCGACCGTAGATTCAGCGTCCCAGTTTGTTTATTATTTTCTCTTACTTTCCAGTGTTATGAGGTTTTCTCTGCTCCTTTTCGCTCTTGGCTTTTTGGCCACCTTGAACATCGTAAATGGCATTCACCTAGAACTCCGCGGCAAGACTGGAATTTCTAGGTCCAGGCCTTGGAGAAGGACAAGCCCCAGTGGCCTCCAGAGCACTTTGGAAAACGACCATAATGTCCAGTACTTGACAAATATCACCTTGAACGGGCAACCGTTCAGTGTTTCGATCGACACTGGCAGGAAAGTTTACTCATTCCAGATGATGATTTCGGAACTTAATCCTGACGATACTATTTCCTTCAGCTCTGATCTCTTTGTAACCTCTCAGGTTCCTGAGGCAGTTGACCAGCACTACCAGGTTGCAGTCAGTTACGCCTCTGGAGGTGTTGTCGGTGGGTTGTTGAATTCTTCTGGAGAATATTATTAGGATGCCTAGCTCATTTCCGTTGTCTCAAGGGAAAGTCTTCTCAGCCACGATGGGATTCGCCGGGTATCAGGTTGATGCTCAATATTTTTGTGCGTACAGCTCCCTCCTCGCTATCACGTATGCTAATCGGTACACAGTATTTACAAACTTGACGGGTGGATCACAACCCGATGATGGTCTTATCGGCCTTGGACCATACACAGGTTCTGAGATCAGATCCCGAGGTAGGACAGCGGCTGCAGACCCTCCTCTCGACCGAATCTTCCGCTCTAACGACACCATATCAAATTTTCTCACTGTTCTTCTCGGCCGCTCTGATGATCCCGACGAACCTTATCCAGGCGACCTCACCATCGGTGAAGTCCTGGCTAATTATGAGGATATATACACCCAGCCTCAACACCCAGTTACGTCGGTCATGGTGCCCGGCAATCAACATTGGATGACATTGCTTGACGAGAATGGGATTATCGGTCCAGATGGTCAACCTATCACCATTAAGACCCAAGTGACAAATGCATCATATCCTAATAACGCAACTGTCGTATTTGATTCAGGTTTCACGCTCCCACAAGTTCCTTCGTAAGTTTTTTTTTTTGCGGAAACTCTCATTTAATCTGATATGTCATTGACAGGTACGTTGCCGAGGCACTTTACAGTAATGTTCCCGGTGCTTCGTTGATGGAAGTCACGGGTATGGAAAGCATCTGGGTACTGCCCTGTGATCAAGAAATCAACGCGACCTTCTTGTTCGCTGGAATTCAATTCCCTATTCACCCGCTTGATCTCAACTTTGACTTCGGGGACAACCAGTGTGCCGGAGCTGTGAGTCTGTGATCATTTATTTTTGCCAGTTTATATAATTCCCATTAACAAGTTCCAGCCATTCTCGTACGACAATGCGGTGGACGGCGTGATAACATACGATATGGTCCTTGGCATGGCTTTTTGTAAGTCTGGATATCTACTATTCTAGGCTAGGACATCCGGGTCCTAAAAACTTAACAGTGCGAAATGCATACCTCCTGATCGATTTCGGCTCCTTTGTTGACGAGGCGCCCTCTGGCACCAATGCCCCATACATCCAATTGCTGCCAACCACTAATGCTAGTCAAGCCTCTATGGACTTTGCGCAAGTGCGCTTGGGCAACAGCTCGAATGCCTCCCTCTCTTCGCTGGCCAAGAATTCTTCGTCCACGTCCTCGACATCAAAGTCCAAGCTACCGATATGGGCAATTGGTGTTATCTTCGGCGTTGTTATTTTGATTTTTTTCCTTCTAGGCATTTTCATATACTGTTGCTGCCGCCGCCGATCGCAGCGCGTCTCTGCTCCTACACAGGCTGCATGGATTCCCTATGGACCCCAGAACTACCATCCACTCTACGACCCCTCACCGCAAGGAGCGCGTGATATGCGTGTGGCGCCTAACGCGAACCTACCCTCCTGAGCACAAAAGTGCTTGGGATCCATACTGCTGATTGCGTGTACCTGGCTCGAGCGGGCTTGTATTCTTGTCGTAATACCCTGTTTTCCTGTAACATCATGTTGGCTCCTGCTCTAACCTCTCCACCCACTGGACATTGTACTTGCCACTGCATAGTATATATCACGACTGAAAAGTCACTTACTTTTGTAAACTGATGTATCCATCTATTGAATGTCTCTCATAACCTTTGCCAAGTCCCCGCCCACACCAATCAACAAAACTCCGCTATCTTTTTTTTTGTTGTCGCGAGCATATCATCAATTTCGTGGCGACTGCGTCATGTTGCCGTTCGAACGCTCAGTGAAGCTCCAAAATATAATATGTCGACGTCATTTTGACACCACAACAAAATAAATCTGCCCTTCATCGGTTTCCCCTCTATAGGCCTCGTGCCCTTTGTGATTTCTACGAACTTCAAACTTTCCCACTAACCTCTGTCATACTGGTTCATCTATTCTAACCGGAATTCTTCTCTTGACCAACTCACGCCATATCTTCGCTCAGAAGCCTAAAACTGTCACATACACTGTAACAGCCCTTTCACGGATCCGTCAACGACACGACTCGCGCATCCTATTGCCGGAAGACGAAACAAATGTTGATTCCAAGACGTCGAATGTTGTTTATAAAGAATTGTTATTAGAAACAAATTGCGCAGCCGCGGCAAGCACTTGTATAGTATAACGGTGACTTCGACCTCGGTAGTGACCGTCGACTACCATCATGCATGCGTTCGGACGAATCTCAGGCCTTTCTGTCACCGGCCGATGCTCCGCATATTTTCTGTCCTTCACCACCACCATATCCAGTCACGAACATTAGTTCTCAAGCAGAAACTGACACTGCAAATATTCAAACACTGCATAAATGTTGTCGAGCCCTCGTTCGACAAGGGTGAGCTACATGGAGAAGAATGGACGTGAAAGTTGCCGTCGGATACGGCCAGGCTCGGGAACGACGCCGCAATTCAGATCATGTTGAAGGACATCGACAATGGGGAGCGTCACCTTATCCCATCAAGATACTCTCCGTAATAGTACTGCTAGCTCCGTCCTCGACTCCGTTGGGCCCATAAGAGTGGCATGCTATATCGCTATCGCGAAGTCATCCTTGAACATATTGAGAACATGGAGATTGAGAGACTGGAAAGGAACAAGGTGTGCCAGCAGAGTCCAGACTATCTTCTCTGTGCCCTTCTGTTCTTCACCACCATGCACATGTCCAGCTCGGCTGCAAACATTATATTACGTCATCGAGCCAACACGAAGCATGCATATGTTTCACTCATTTCTTCTTCATCGTCCTCATCGTCTTCTAAAGCTTCATTGGCAACCGCTGACTGCGAATGCTATCCTAGAAACTAGTACTGGCATGAAACTCGACAACGCCCTCGATGCTTGAGGTGGAGCTCTCCGATACTTCGAGTCTTTGGAAGGGTCTATGGGCCCCTACCATGACCTCCCTATCATGATGCCTGAAGGCTGAAGGCCTGAGCACTGAGCCACTCATCCACACATCGAGCAGGTAACTATAAATTACCTTACAAGGCAAAAAAAGAAAAGTGTTGAGACGCAATCCAACTCACTTGCCTTTCCCGCTGACCGAGTGGCTCGTCCCTTATGCTCAGACCATCGCACACGATTGCTTCACGCTTTTTGCCTTTAAAAGCAGAAACGTGCACCGCAGAAAAGCAATCGTACTCGATGTCCATAGCACGCTTGGTGCTTTAAAAGAAGCGCGCAAGATGTGTGGATTTGCCACAACACACGCGCTTTTCATTCACTCCAAGGATTTAATCCACCCCGCAGATCATTCACAACTTCTTCCTTCCTCTCAAACATTATCACAAGATGCCTGCTGTAGAACGTAACGTGGTACGCTCCCAGCCTACCTTACATCACGCGTCTTGTACTTATCACACTTTCTCTACAGACATCTGTTGCCTGCACTGTCTGCGATATGGTTATAAGCCGCAAGGCAGATCTTCCGAGACATATGCGGACGCATGCTGAAGACAAGGAAGCTCTGTACGTGCTTGTGCCTTATTATACCAGATGGATTCTGACCTGTTTACTATCTTGATCAGTATGCATGCATGCCCATTCCCTAACTGCGATCACAAGACCCTCCAAAAGTCCAACATGCTGACGCACATCAGAACCCACACCCGTGAATTCTCCAAGACCTGCCCTCACCCTGGGTGCGCGTTTGCCACTACAGATCCAGGCAGCTTGACGCGTCACCGCAAGGTACTACATGGCTACGAGCCCAAAGCGCGTTGCAGCCCCGGTGGCAAAGCTGCTCGACGGTCCGCCGCCGCGCCTTACCCCTCCACTCAATTTATGAAGCCAGAGGCAGAGATTCCTGCATCGCTGGATCTCAATGAGCCAGCATTTCCCGAGCTAGCAGGCCTCGTTCGCTGCGATGCGCTCTCACCCGCTGAGTCCAGCGGTTCTGGTATCTCCCAAATCTCAGGCGAGCTCGACGAACTCCCCTGGCAGCGACTCTTCCCCGACCTCCCCGTCGAGGCCTTCACCTCCGTTTATGATAAGCCCTCTCAGCTCCCCATCCCCACCTCCAACTACTACCAGCCTCCGACTGTCCCTGCTGGTTCTTCTACTCTCCACATGCCGCAGTTTGACCCGGAGCTGGCCTCCAATGTCAACTATCAGCAGCCCGTTCCAGACGTTCCAGATATGCCAGCTGAACTGGACGAGTTTTTGCAGAAATACGGCTCAGGGTTCTTTGAAGGCCGCTGCGAGTGCCCGGACAGTGCAACGTATTCGATGGCCCAGCCCTCGTTTACGAACGAACACAACGCCGACTGAAATCTTCACTATCATCTTTCATCCCATTGTCATACTACCCCGCATCATCATTAGCATTGGCATCAGCATCACAATCTTATGTGGAATTCATCATTATCATTATTGATCATTTATATCATACCACTTGCATTTCTTATACATATCTTCATCCGGACTTTTAGGATTGCGACCTTCAACTTGTAAATTACATTATGTATATCAATTCACGAATATCATGACTATGGATTGGGACATGCTCAAAGTGTACCAGTCGGCCCAGCTCGATAACACGGCAACGTGCCACAGTCCAATTTCCATACATTCACCCGGCCAGCGCAGACGGCCCAATCTCTATCATAGTTTGCAACCAGAGTGACTCTTTGCAGACTTCTCCCGCGTGTTTTTGTAAGTATTATTTTATTCAAATGTCCTCATGGCTTCCAACCTTGTGTTATCTTAAGTATATCATGATTTGCAACACTGGGCCAGATATAGTAGCTTACATAGGTGGAGGAAGTATAAGAATTTAAGAAAGGTAAGAAAATTGAAAGGGCAAGTAGCAACAGATCTTGTAACAGAGTATCAGGCAAGTGGAAAAATGCGACATCTAGCTACTTTAAGATGCGGCAAACACACAGAAGGTTCAAAAGTACCGTAAGTAGGGGTATCCATCACGAAGACAACCTCTCTGACATGATCTCCTCCAGCTTATATCTTTTTAAGGTAGTATGGAATTTGATATATCCATCGAAAAAACTGACGTAGGCATCATAGGCCTCGGTACGTGGTCTCAGTAATTCGAGGGCATTGTGATACGCTTGCACAGTTTTCTCGATGAGTTCGCGCAGAGCATCCTCTTTAGTGAGAGCACGAGAGGCTGCCATAAGTGACAGATAGTTTACGGTGTCGCCTTCGATCTCCTCTTTGTAGTATGACAATATATCACTGAATAAAAGCATGTCAGGGACGCCAACGGAAAATCGATGCGCTTACTTTGTGTGGTTTATGATTATGATTACATCCGGCATACATTGAACGTATTCACGAAGCGGGAGCGTGGAAGGGAAAATGAAGAGTCCGTATGCATCAGCCAAGCCTGATAGCAGTCTAGAATACTCGGGGTACGAGGGAGCTTGCGGCGAGATCTATCAACACAAAGGGTTAAAATTTAAACCTTTATTGCCAGTGGAGAAATACCATACCGGCATATCTTTAGTTTCATTGTCAAGCAGAATGGAGGACACGAAGTTGAGTGAGGATGCAACGATAAAATTTGACACCGGTGAGGAATAATAGCAAGCAACCTCCCGTAAGAGCCCATCAAGTGTATTTAGGACTGGATGCCCTTGTGGCTGGCAATTCATGAACCGCTCGTTGAAACGGTACACGTGTCCTAGATCGTCAGCCCTGACCATCATGTCGTCGATGTAGGTGACGACAGAAGTGAAGAGGCAGATCCACATCTTGGTTGCACGGTCAGGGAGGTGGTTGTAAGAGTACATCATAGCCACGCCAACGGCCATGTGCGGGAGTATGAGGTCCATCGGATAGCCGCGGTTGATGGCCTCCTGGCAGCATTCTGAGTACCACGCTTCGTCAATTGAGACGTTCTTATATTGCAAGCCGCAACGCTGAAGAAATTCGGCGATGGACTGGTGGATGCTTGCTAGAACCTATATTTGACATTAAAATCCGGACATGGAAGGGTGGCAGAATAAAAGCACGTACGTTGCCATCGAGGGTGGGTGCGGACAGGTCGTTGATTGACATTGTGAATAGCTCGCGGAGAGAAGATTGGCAGTAGAATGGTTGCAATGGGTTTCATGTACCCTCTACTTATACTCTAGGACGTGCAACGAGTAAATAATGGATCGGAGTTCTTGCATAACATGACCGCAGAGCGATCTTCGACCATAGGATCGGCAATGCGCCCGATTGCTGATAATCCCTTCGGTCCCAATGCATCGAGGTGGTTCAATGAGTCGTCGCAACCTCAGAGGTCACAAGATTGTGCGCGGTCCGAGTCCGTCGACCAAGGAAAATACAATTGCTGAAATAGTGCTAGCCAAATCCTTGGCTCTTCGTCAGGGTGTTACCTGAAGCCCATTAATGTTGTTGATCTATTTGTGGTCCCGGGTTCTGGACACAACATGGTATGAGGATAATCCGGTCTACATGATATCGCAAGAATGACGGTCTTGATTTGGGAGCTAAGCTCGGAAGTCGTACGACTCGTGGCAGCCAGGTTCAGCAGATCAAGGGGACAACATAATCAATTCAACGTGACTGAAAATCGTGCCCCAAACTTGCCTCAAACAATCCCAACGTTCTTCTACCAACAATAAATTTGAGCAATGTCCCCAGCTCCTGGACAGCTCCCTCAAGAGCGGCTGGGTGTGAATCTTATGATAGCTTCGGGGAGCCCTAGAAATGGTACGAAACTTAATCTTTTTGAGAACCTACAAACATACATTCAGCGGTACTGTTCTCTGGTCACCAGGTGGCACGGACACAGCCTTTCGCAATATAAATGCCTCAATAAATGCAGACTCACCTGATACCCACAGTGCCTACCCTTCAAGTTGAAGAAGAAGAAACAACTGTCTTCGTTTAAGGTCTGACTACGGGGGGCTAGCGCCCACCCAGCCTCGTAACGCGACAAGAGTTTCATCGGCCGTGTTCCCCAACTTTCGTGAATGAAGTTCGCTTTGGGGATTGCGAGTATGACGGAACCCGCACTACACGGCACACAAGGTGATCTAATCACTTATCAGTGTCGCTTATGTGAGAAGGATGGTCCATCGGGGACGACTTGACTCGACAAAGTTTCTGGTTTATGATCATCAGCCGTAACCGACCACTTTAGTGAATGTCATATCCGACTCGATATCGGGGGTTTCAACCAAGTTTCAATCTATCAAAAGCAGATCTAGACCTGACTAGAGTATTCCAAACCTAGACCAGAGCGTTCCAGGCCACTCTAGATAGATTATCTTTCGAATGCAATTCCACTGGTCATGGCGTCAAAGGGTTGTAAAATGTCAGTTTCCCCGCTCTGTGAGCTACAAAGGCAGCGAGCGCTCAGCATGCCCTATATCTCGTTTGCTATGTACCGCAAAATTCTATGGGTCTCCGAAGCATACATGAATGTCCAAGAGCGGTTCGTAATGGGCAAAGCTCTGATTAATGACATGGCGGGCTCCGACAGACCAAGGTACGCAAACTCATGCCGGAAGCTCGAACTTCTGGCCGTGGAGGACTCTGTAATTGACATCACTGGTAAGCATACCTTTGGTACAGGAATCATGTAAAAGGCCCACTTTGAGAAGTAGACATAGAAGAAATCGAGGTAAAGCCCGGTTTGCACCAGTCCAGCTGCCAGTGACAGCTATGGGGTCCACCACATCCTCCGTGAAGTATCTGTAGGACAAAACTGTTCGGTCATGAACAAAATTCATTGGACGCGCACGTACCTATATATCCAGTTGGGAAGGTACAGAGCACGATAAAGACCCAGAGCGGCCAGATAGTGCGTTGTGATTGTCTCAGCTTCGCCGGTACGCCTCTCCAACGATGATCAGGGACCACCAGGGACTGTGAATGAGGTCAGAAAGCGGAAACGAAAACAAACGAAAGAGGGCATAAGAGATTGAGATACTGACACTGGTCTTGACTCTTGACTCATTGACAAAGGCTATTGCAAAGCGTAAAAGCTACTTGAGGTCAAATGAAAAGAGGTTCAGTGAAAAGCGTGCTGGATAGACATGAAATGCAGTTGCAAGAATGAGCCGGTTGAGGCCTCAGTGACTCGGAGGATGCAAAGCTTGTTGTACGTTACACAGCCATGGAATTGACGCCCGATATTTTCGTCCAGACAATTCTGCGGGTGCGCGGAGTCGGACTACATGACGTAGTACGTACTACGCGTACTACGGGAGGTACAGGTCGCGGGCGAGTTGATAAACATATGGCGTGCAGAACTTGTGCAGAACGACGTCGCCCACGTGAGAATCTGAATCTCAGACCATCATCATGAAGGCCGGGCTTAGACTTCATCGTGAGTTTTCATCAACAGCCTGAGACTTCGGTTCCCGACGACGTGAGGACGACTTGGAATACGATCTTCTTTTCCGGTATTGTCTTACATACAGCGCTTGTCTCAATACCTCATCCGTGGAATACTCCAGTCGTACAATGACAGTGATGTCGCTCACGCCAGAAGAGAAGGAGACGTTGGAAGTGTTCCGCAAACAAGTATTCGATGAGGGAATCATTCGAGAAGGGGACTCCGTCGGGACGGATGACGCAACTCTACTGTAAGCCAATGTTTCTATCTCCCTCGGGACAGTGTGGCATCACTGCCATGAACCAACACCATTCACTGCTAATGTGCACAATGCTACAGCCGGTTTCTTCGCGCACGCAAGTTCAGCTTGAATGAATCAAAGAAAATGTTACAGAATTGCCAACAATGGCGGGCAACTGTCGGAGGCGACGGGATAGACGCGATGTACGACAGACTAGATCCTTATGATGTACGTTCTTCCTTCTGAATCGTCGTTGACAATGAAACCTTCCATTACCATATAGTACCCTGGGCGGGAAGAAGTATTCAAGTCCTGGTCCATGTTTTTCCACAAGGCAAGTTCCCCACGGAGACCTTTGCTGAGAATCACAATGACAGTGATCGTGATGGCCATCTCAGACAGACAAGGTGTGCTTGATACCGTCCTTGACCAATGGTCATTGGTAGATCCTTGCCTTGCAGAAAGGCCGACCAGTGAACATCGAATTCTTTGGCGGGCTGAACCTTCCGGAGTTGTACAAGCATATCACACCGGAGAAGCACTGGGAGGCTATCGTTGTAAATGCAGAATCCCTCACCCGTGAAGTGCTTCCGGCTGCATCGCGTGCAGCAGGGAGGCCTATTCCACAAGGGATGGTAATTGTGGACCTTAAAGGTTTTGGGTTCGTGGTTCGTGGTTTCTGGCTACCCATAAACTAATGTTCGTCCAGGTTATCACAGTTTTGGCAAGTGAAATCATTGGCACAAGCCTCATTCCAGATCTCACAGGATTATTATCCAGACACGTGCGTCCTATTGCATTGTTTTAGTCGCATTGATTTACTCGTGGTCTTAGAATGGGACAACTTTTGATAATCAATGCGCCATCCTCATTTACCTTCATCTGGGGAATGATCAAGCCCTGGCTGGCAAAGGAGACTGTAGAGAAGGTTGATATTCTCGGTTCGAATTATAGAGAGGTTCTACTCGATGTGATAGATGCCGAGAACCTGCCAGTAATACTGGGAGGTACGTGCACTTGCAAGGGTGAAGGCGGATGCGACCTTAGTGCTGCAGGACCATGGATGGATGAGAGGAAGGCAAGGAAAAGGAACGGAAGTACGGAGGACTCCGGATCCGCAGAAAAGACAGAAGAAGTCGCCACAGGGACCGAACAGAACAGTCCAGTTACCCATCCCATGGATACCGAACTTAACTAGATGATGGGTACAAGTAGAAGTATACATGTGTATCATACACGGACATCGATAGGGCATGAGCAATGTGTACGATTTGTACATGTGACATGGATCAAACACCAGTTTCCTTGGAGCAGACGCTTGCAGTCTTTTGACGGATCTTCAATATGAACTGCATGAATATGAACATAATGGTTCCGCCAGTTGCAAGGCTCTAGATAGCTTGTCAGTCAGGGAAAAAAACACGCAGCCCCGCATGATCCACACACCCCAGCAAAGACAGCGGCCTTCCACCAGATATAATTCGAGGTTAGGAAAGCCCCACAAATTGGTGCACCTAAGCTGAACGTGAGCGTCGGTTGAAAAAAGCAAATGGAAAACGTACCTGAGAGCGATCCAATGCCTGTGCATGAACACAATGTCAGGATGTCACCAATTCCAGATACTCGAACTTACTAGCTACTGCAAAAGATATTCCAATTCGAGCGCTTGACCAGTTTGTCAGAGTAAATCAATGGCATGCGTTAAGTGATTACCCAATGTCTGAGATTTCAGGCGTCAGATATGTGATCATAGGGGCCATCATTCCTACATCTGCGGTTGACGTTTGGTGAGCAGAGAAGGGGCTTTAAGATTCAAGCTACACGCACAGATTCCAGAAAAATAACCATAGGTGATACCTATCAATGTGACACTCGCCATTGACCGCAAGCCAATCATTGCAAAGATTATAGCGGAGGCTATTAACGAGGAGCCGATGACCGTATGTGGGACGCCCAGGTAGGCAGAGACAATGCCCGCGGTAAGCCTTCCGATGAAACAACCAGTATGGAATATCGCAAGCTGTTGAAACTAATAAGCAGTTCCGCATTAACTGGTCTCTGGCACACGCACCGAATAAAACGAAAAACTTTCGTCAAGACCATGCAACCGGGAGTCTAATTGAAGATAAAATGCTACGAAAAAGAATCCGACTTCTGAAGCAGCCATCCTAGGCAGTGGGATTAAATTGAAGGTTTTTATTATCAAATATCGACTCACTCACCCTAGACAAGCACAGACATAAGCACGGTCTCTCAGCGAATTTCGCAGAACACGAGTGTAGCTAACGGCCTGGGGTTGCGGTGGAAGTCTTGTACGCATCAGGAGACAAGCAATAAGAAGTAAACCACTGGTCATGGCCGCACTAGCACGGACACCATTTGCAAAGCCAAGTCTTCCATTAATAAGGTTGTTGAGCATGATTGGGTGCACGATTGAACCCATTGACGCCCCCGCAACGACGAATCCCATCACGAAAGATCTACGTCGCTGGAAGTGATGAGATACCACAGCGATAGTGGGAACATTTGTAAGGCCTATTGCAGCACCGGAACCGATACCTTGAGAAAGGAAGATCTAGCAAATTCGTCAATGGAGGCACGCAGTGACAGAACCGAGATTTGCCTGATAATATCCATTTGGCTTCGCCAGGGACAGCATAAAGAGGAAGAAGCATTGAAGGAGACAGCCAATGATCATCAAATGATAGCTGAATATATGATCAGAGACATCTTTAGCGGACCTCGTGCACACATACAATGCACCCCGGTCAAGCATTCTTCCTGCCACGGGACCGACCGATAATATCATGAATGCATTAACGCTTCCTATCCAACTGTACCACCGCAGAAGTCAGAAACACTAGCAGCCAAGAGAAGGACGATCAGAATCTGGGGCCCACTGACGCGATTGCAGACGGTGTGGAATTGGTCAGGTATGTTTGAGTATAAAAGTCTGCATATCAAGGTTATCAGTTTGTTCTGTAAGACAATTCACTGAATCTTGCCCTGGAAGACGCCGTAAGCGCTGGTATATCTGGAACATTGTTAGTAGTCTTGGACCACAAATGCTGAGTAGTCAAAATATTTATTACCCAAAGCCAGAGAACTGGATCAAGAAACTTGAATGCGATTGATTATCTATGCAGCAATAGATAACCAAAAGCGCTTACGCTCCTAGCGCGGTGCCCCAGGCTGTAAAACCACCATCGGGAAAATCTGGCGCGTCTGAGTTGTTGGTATTGCTGATGTTTCCTGTGCTTTTGACCGATTGTAAAGCGCCGTCGGAAGCCTGCGTTGCAGTTTCATCACTAGCGAGAGGTGTGGACATTGATAACAGAAGCGAAGAAGGCAAGGGATGGTGCATATGCACACAGTACCCGGGAGATGGAGTTTAAATATTTCGAGCTCTAACTCAGAGTGCGACCCTATTGCCGTCATTCCATCTTCCGAGTAAGGGGATGGTCCATAACCGGGTATGCATAAGCCGACTCCAGGGCTAGTGTTTGGAAGGGGATCCAGCCTGCAAGTTATTTGCAAACGCACTAGTAGGCCCCCGCCGCCAAATGAACTTCCTTGCAGCTGTCACTGCGAAAGTAATCTCGGTCGTGAAGAACACGTGACCACCTTGAAATATTAGAAGGAACGACAGTCTTCCCTCGTCTATAAAGGTCTGGCTAGAGGAGACTGCGTGACCACATGGAAGTCCTCCAGGCTAAAACAGTTCAAATAATATGTTGCAAAATTGCAACAAACGCCAGCAGCTGACCTTGAATTTGACTTGTTCTCAGCAATGTCATATCACCTATATGCTACGGTCGACATATAATCAGCGAAGATAAGATATCGAAAAATACGCACTCTCAGGCTGATGGGACGTGGACCGTCGGATATCTCTGAATCGGTTTGGGTTTATCAGAGGAGCCACTACAGCCTTCAAGGAGTTCCGTGCCGTTGAGAAATTCCCTTTTGCTCGAACAACTAACTACTCGCGCACTGATGGCCGCTGTCAGAGCTATTCCGAGTCATGTTGCAGAATTGGACGTCTGCCTGGCCGAAGTTTGTATGTGGCTTGTAGTTGAGCACGATATCAACACGTCAACATTTCAGCGGTCAAGAGCGCGAAAAGTATCGTTCCATACACACGAGGAGATTTTATTCATCTCAGCATGAGTCTATGACCATTGCTGGCAACTGACTACTGCCAGACCGTGACCCCTGCTCTTCTGAGTCAAGCCCGGAATCCACTTGGTCAAACATTATCTTCTTCTGGCAGATAATGATTATTCCTTCCCGATTTGCCTGATGATGTACTCACCACGCACGAGTACATAATACACCCTGTAGTACGACACGGAGTTGTCCAGTTATCCTATCTTGCTTATCATTGCGTACTTGCTCTCGCGGCGCAGTGGCGTTCGGACTTCCGAGTATCAATTGAATCAAGAGCGTGAATAGATGCCAATAGAAATGTCCCCTGCGCGATCATCGATGATTCCCGGAGTGTCACGGTGGGCCACTGCTAAACTGAAAGAAGAAACACGAGTTGATTACGTGCTCTTTGAAGTTGCTCTTGAAGGTTATATTTAGAACCCAGGGTAATCGTGTGAACTCAGACTGAGCATGGTTGGCCTAGGCTCTAGTGGCTGACTGTAGAGGACTGTAGCTGATGCCACCCAATATATAAGATATGACGCGTGACGACCGACTCTATCTTTGTGTTTAAGATATCAACCAGCGGCTCAGCCTACACGAAACTCGTTTGCGTGAACCGTGACGGCGAATTAATCCTGTAGCGTATCTAGTAGCTGCTTATTTTATCATGGCTAAGATATTACCACTATTTGCCTGCATCCATCGTCTCCCCATGTGTTAAACGTGCATGACTGTCTTGATTGTTTACATACATACATGCTGGCTGGGGCAACAATAATCAAACACTAGCCTCCTTGGAGCAAAAGATTGCAGTCTTTTGGCGAATCCTCAAGATGAACTGCATGAATACGAGCATCATACTCCCGCCAGTGGCAATGCTCTAGACACAGCTTATCAGCTAAAGATGTGCATCATACATGATCCACGCACCCCAGCAAAGACGACAGGCTTCCACCAGATATAATGAGAGGTTAGGACGGCCCCGCAAATTGGAGCACCTAAGCTGAAGGTGAGTGACGGTTGAAAAAAGCTAATGGCACACATGCCCACGAGTGATGCAATACCTGAGAACGCAGGTCAGGACGTAACTAGATCTAGACTCTAGACACACGGACTTACCAGATATTGTGAACGATATTCCCATTCGAACGCTTGAGCACTTGTCAGAGTAAATCAAATGCATGAGTCAAGTAATTACCCAATATCTGAGATTTCAGGGGTCAGATATGATATCAATGGGCCAATCATTGCTATGCCTGAGTTGACACTTGGTGAGCGTTAGAGGTGCGTCAAGATCCTACGCACAGCCTCCAGCAAAATAACCATAGCTGATACCTATCAGTGCCACACTGGCCACCGAGCGCAAGCCAATCATTGAAAATATTATAGCGGAGGATATGAACGAGCACCCGGTGATCGTATTTGGGACGCCCAGGTAGGCAGAGATAATACCAGCAGTAAGTCTTCCGATGAAAGAACCAGCATTGAAAATAGTAAGCTGTTGAAGCTAATAAGTAATTCCTTGTTAACCAATTTCAGGGACACGCACCGAATAAAACGAAAACCCTTTGCTTAGACCGTGCATACGGGAGTCTAGTTGGAGATAAAATGCTACGAAAAAGAATCCGACTTCGAAAGCAGCCATCCTAAGCAGTGGAAGCCGTTTGCAGGTTCATGTCATCAAATATTGACTCACTCACCCTAAACATGCACAGACATAAGCACGGTCTCTCAACGAGTTTTGCAGAACACGAGTGTAGCTAACGGCCTGGGGTTGCAATGGAAGCCTTGTACGCATCAGGAGATAGGCCATGAGAAGCAGACCGCTAATCATGCCCGCGCTGGCACGGACACCATTTGCAAAGCCAAGTCTTCCATTGATAAGGTTGTTGAGCATGATGGGGTGTAAGATTGAACCCATCGACGCCCCAACAACAACGAGACCCATCGTGAAAGCTCTGCGCCGCTGGAAGTGATGAGATACCACGGCAATTGAGGGAACATTCGTAAGGCCTATTGCAAACCCAGAACCGATACCTTGAGAAAGGAAGATCTAACAATGATGTCAATTGAGTTATGCAGTGACAAAAACTAGACTTGCTTGATAATATCCATTCGGCTTCGCTAGGGACAGCATGAAGAGGAAGAAACACTGGAGGAGACAGCCAATTTTCATCACATGATAGCTGGATGTACGATCAGGGACATTTTCATGCGAACTTGCCTGCATACATACAATGCACCCCGATCAAGCATCCTTCCTGACACGAGGCCGACCGAGAATATCAAGAATGCATTCACACTTCCTATCCAGCTATACCACCATAAGTCACAAACCCTGGTAGCAAAGAAACGGCCCGAGTCTAAAGCTCACTGACGCGATTGCTGATGGTGTGGAATTTGTCAGGTAAGTTTGAGTATAAAAGTCTGTGTATCGTGATGATCAGCTCGTTCTGTAAAACAATCTACCGAACCGTGCCCTCATAGACGCCATAAGAACTGGTATATCTGGAATGTGATTAGTGAACTTGACTGATACATGCTGGGTCAATTTTACCCGGCGCCACAGAATTGGATCAAGAAACTTAGATGGTGGTTGATGATGAGTACGCGGCGATAGGCATTCAAACGCACTTACGCTCCTAACACTGTGCTCCAAGCTGTTACACCACCCTCGGGAAAATCTGGCGTGTCTGAGTGGTCGGGATGACCGGGGTTTTCAGTACTTTTGACGGGTTGCAAAGCGCTTTCGGAAGCTTGCTTTGCAGTTTCATCGCTGGGGAGAGGTGTGGACATGGACAACAGAGGAGGAAAAGTCAGGTGATGGGGTATGCGCACCCGGTACCCTGGGCCCGTCATCGAGTTTAAGTATTTCTGGCAGCCAGTGAAGCCCGAGGCAGCGACCCTAGCCACGATTACCATCGTTCCAGCTTCCGAGCAATGGCGTAGTACGTAAATGGGTATGTCGACTCCACGGCAAGGCGGCCAGTGCCAAAAGGAAGTAAGAAGGGGATCCAGTCCATAGATTGTCTGCATACGTATCCGCCAAGGAAACTTGCTTGATTATGTGTGTCAACTCGTTCAGTCTAATTGGACCATCGTTCGAGTAATTTTTAGCGGAACTACCACAGGGCCAGCCCGTCGCATCCATGGCACGAACTCCGTGCGATTTTCGGCATGAGCACAAGCACTGTGAGCAATCTTAGATCGTCCGAATCTACTGAATTAGAGGTGACGGAGATGATCGACCACGTACGCCGCAGAGCTGCAAAAAGCCCCCATTATGAGTTCTCTCGTCGTCGCCCTCGTAGTACAGAAAGAACGACTGTCTTCCTTTTATCGTGTCTGCCTACTAGTACTAGCAGTACGTCGTCGCGTCGAATCCGCAAACCTTCGCGCAGGTACTAGTTATTATTCCCTTCGATTCACATTTAAGGAAGGACTCACTCACGAGTTGTTCGCTCAGTCATCAGTACTACCTATCTTGTGACTTGCTTGGAGGAGTTCGAACTTCGAACTTCCGGAATTTGTTTGCACGACTCGATGGCGATTCCCAGAATGAGAAAAGAAGCATTATTGCCAACGCGGCTGTCAATGTTTCGAGTTGAAGGTTAAAGTTAGAAGAGCCACACGGTACTCGGTCGCGTGAGCGCAGACTGACTCTCGTGTGAGGATGCAGTGTAAATGAAATAATCCAACGTGGTACTTGAAGCTTCCATGCGACCTAGGCCACGCCGTGAACGGCGAATTATTTCTCGCCGTAGGAGCTGATTTTAACCATGACAAGAAGGCACAACTATCTTCCTTCTTTATATGGTCCAGTGTAATCGTCTGTCCAGGGAGATTGGATTTAGCATAGCATAGCGATGCCAATGCCCGGTCATCGACCGGTCATCCGTCATCCCCCGCGACCTGATTCTATGCACTTGAGAACTGAAGCGTGTTCGGATATTCGAGGTCACCGAATCTTCATATCCACATAGTACATACCGCCACTGGCAGTGGCAGGCACATGCGATCTATGTGGGGCATCCACGAGGATCGACTTGGCCATGACAATACAGTACGGCAGAAGGACAAAAAATTTCATGCATTGACATGAAGCTTGTCCAAAAGTGCAGATAACAACGGATTTCCACCGAGTCTTTCAAGTTCTCCCCTAGCTTGTTGCTCCAACTTTTTGAGCACTGCCAGGGTGTAATCAAACGACTTGGTAGTGTTTTTGAGATAGTCGATAGTGTGATGTTTGAGGGTAGGAGTCTTGGGGCGCTTTTGCAGGACATCTGACAATATTAATGGAATCGAATGACACAACAACAAACGTAATTTTGAACCCACTCATGATCTGTTGGTTTTCGGGCTGTTCGAGGATGCCATGAACAATAGGAAAGGAGAATTTTCCTTCAGATAAATCTTCTGCAAAGCCCTTGTTATCTGAGTACTGAGTAGAATATTCAGGTCATGTCTCAAAGAATTCAGATTGGAGACTAACCTGATCGCTCTGGAGATTCATGTAGTCATCGCGTATTTGATAATAAATCCAATGAGATCGGTCAAAGGGGTGTAGTCACTAAGACAGGAGTGACTCATTCAGTCCGGGAAAAATCAAGGGACTTCATATGTGAGACTTACACGTTCGTGTTTGTGGTAGCGCATGCCATCATGAGTTTGACAGCAATCCTCAAAAGACCGCCCGTCTCTACGAAGTAGCTATGTTCATGATGGTTTCTTAGACAATGACAACAACCTACTGTCTTTCACCATCTGCACATACTCATCTTCTGTGGGACAGCGGAGGGTATCACGCCAGAGGATGTCCAAGCCCTGCCCATGGTGGAGTAACATGAGCTCAGCTATCCTCGTCTCTAGGTTGGGACTGTCTGTGCAGCAATAGAGACAAACGACAAACCATTCACTACAAGGTCCAAGTCGTGATCGGAAACGATGCGTTTAGGAAAATCAGACTTGTCGGTGGCGGGACTGTCGTCCCCGAGCCTATTGTCTGGACCTGCGTTTGAAGTGCAAGCGCGACGCCTCACTGTGGGCCTCAGAGCAGACAACTCATGATATGCTAGGAAGTAGACGTAATTGGCGGTATTGATGGTTTGAGGGACACCGTATATTTTATGCGCGACTGCAAGGGATCAACGACCCTTACAGGGGTGTAGCCGATAGTAGACAAACCTGGAATCCCACGTCTCAGTTGAGAGTCATCTTCTACGTCGTCTACCCTGTAGATATGAAGATGAGTTTGCGTTGAAATTGGTCCAGCGACCTAGAGAGACGTACAAGAGACTAGCATTATGAAGAAGATCCACAACACGGTTGACGACCATGAGTTTGTCTTTCGGGACATTAAGCCAAAGGTTGAAGCCTTCGACAAACTTGTCCGTGACCTTTTTCCCTGGGTTGGCGGTGATGTAGGTATAGGGCTCGAGCAACGCCTAGCATAGTGAATTTGAACCTTTCGTGCGCACTCGAGATATGTAAAGATACTCACAGATTCCTGAGCCTCGGTCCATGTGCTGGACGATGGCCCACAGATTCTTGAGAGGAAGCTATCGTATTTTTCGATATTAGCCCCAGGCTGCATCCTGACTATTGAGATGGATTTGGTTGGCACGATGGAGCGATGAAGCATAAACTGTGCTGTTCATATTCGGAAGAGACCAGTGTAGCGAAATATGACCATCATGCCATAATTTATGGAACCTTCTCATACCCAAAGAGGTAGTACTTTAGGCGCTTCGTCAGAAAGCGAAAATGAAGTCGTGCGAGATGGGGTTTTGCCATTGCTGTGACTCCCAAATCCAAGATGACTCCACAGTTGATCAACTGACAACGATTACCGAAAATTGGATTCCAAGCCTTGGTCCAATTTGGAGTGCGAGCCCAAGTTGCAACCCTGGCGGCGATAGGTACGTCAGATTCAAATCATGGGGGAGCCTCGAGCCATTACGCAGTCTGCGACTCAGTCTGAGTCAAGCGGCGCCAGTCCAATTTCGGATTGATCCAGTGGGAAACATCCTCAACTTCCTTATGCAGCACCTCCTATTAAACCACAGGATGCACCCGGTTTCTCACTTGCACTTTGACCACCATGGCGTCTGAAACTCCCTTCCAAATCAATGTCCCCGACGAGAAACTCACCACCCTCCGCGCTAAACTTGAACTTGCCACTTTTCCGGATGAACTGGAGGACGCAGGGTGGAAGTATGGCCCACCTGCGGCGGATATCAAGCGGCTCACTGAGAGGTGGAGAAACGACTACGACTGGCGCAAACATGAAAAGGAAATAAATGAAGAGCTACCGATGTTTACCCGCGATATTGACGTGGATGGTTTCGGAGCGTTGAACATTCACTATGTTCACAAAAAGAGCGAAACTGTTGACGCCATTCCGCTGTTGTTTTGCCATGGATGTAGGTCGATTCGTATCCACGCAGACCAGCATGTTTCTTACCTTAAGTAGGGCCTGGAAGCTTCTTGGAAGTCAGGAAGATTTTGTCCCTCCTGACTGCATCGGCCCCTGAACATCCCAGCTTCCATGTTGTAGCTCTTAGCTTGCCCGGTTTTGGCTTTTCGGAGGCTCCTCGCACACAAGGATTTGCTATCAATCAATATGCTGAGGTAATTGTTATCCATTACACGTTCTAAGTTCTCTACATGTTGACTGGGTACCCAGGTAGCTCACAAACTCATGCTCGCTCTCGGATACAGCGAGTATGGTACGTTGCTACCGATATTATCGCCTATAACGTATTTGCTCATTTCTCTCACAGTTACCCAGGGAGGTGACTGGGGTGGCCTCGTGAGTGATTTTTTACAAGTAGACACGATTCATCGTCAACGTACCTCCAGATCACTCGAAGAATGGCCTCTGTGTATGGTGGGAGGCATATTAAGGCGTGGCACACTAACTTTCCAGTGTATATGTCATTTCATCGCTTAGCACACAAATTAACTCATCTTTTTGACTGTGTAGCACCGAACCACCAAGCTGGAAATCGCCCCTGTCTTTCTTGTCGTTCTTGCTAACCCCTTGGTCTGCCGAGGAAAAGGCAGGTATCGAGCGCACCACGTGGTTCCGCCACAAAGGACAAGGCTACTTCCATCAACAGAGCACACAGCCGCAGACACTCGGTTACAGTCTCGCCGATAGCCCTGTTGGTCTGCTTGCTTGGATTTACGAGAAACTTGTTCTTTGGACCGACAATTACAATTGGTCTGATGACGAAGGTATCAGCATGTTTTTGTTTTTGGTATATTGCTCACCCGTTTTGAAATAGTGTTGACGTGGATCTCCATATACTGGTTCTCCCGTGCCGGGCCCGCTGCCTCCCTTCGCATTTACTTTGAATTGCGTGGCGATTGTGAGGACTTAGGCCGACTCGGAAGCCCCATTATCCCTATGGGAGCGTCGTTTTTCCCGAGGGAGCTCATAGTTTTGCCCGCAGCGTACGTTTCTATCAATCAACTTTGCCGAGGCTAATATGAGTGTGCAGGTGGCTGCGCAAATTGAACAACGTTGTTTTCGAGTCCCATCACAAGACAGGAGGTCATTTTGCTTCCGTTGAAATGCCCGAAGAACTTGTCCGGGATGTACAAAACATGTTCACGAAGGGAAGCCCTGCGTTCGCAATTGTCCCTGGAAGAAGTGGATATGCTTGAACAAGCGGCATGCGTATGCGGATGACGCACCGCGTTCGCCATCTTTCAAATCGTACTTGGAATGAATGTAGGTGAAAGTGTACGAATAGCAATGTAATTCAGAATATCGGTATGAAATAGTGTATCCTGTTTCTCGCATCTTGCATAATACAATCTCCGTGATTGGCAGGTATTCGTCGTGACTCTTTCATCACTAGCCTTGTCGTGGTCGGATTCGTCACCTCACGAAGGCTCTCATGGTTGGCCGCGAGCTCATATATCGCCTTGCAATTACCTTTGATGTCTGGGATAACTTGAAGTTCACGAAGGCGCTTGTGGTGATCGAGACGTCGCGAAGGACTTGGTTTCACGGAATCACAGCCCAGGTATCTCCTGGAGTCATTTTTGATGGCTTGTAATACACTGTGTCCCATAACTGTGCAATACCTTGATAACGATAACCAACGCTTGCTACTGCCAGTGGCTGAAAGTGCAACGGAAAACACTCAGTGGCTGAGACGCTGTCGGACTCGTAAACACGTGCAAATTTATGGAAAGCGGGAGTGATCAGCTTCGCGACTAAAAAGTCAATTGTTTGGCTCTTCCCCTGCCAGACCCCCAATCACTCGCAGAACGTAGTCCATATATACGGCTGTGCACCTGAAAATGTGTTCAACAGCAGATGTGCAGATGTCAAGTTATCGTGCCATTCGAACACTTCTTGTTGTAATGTAACATGTCAGAATCGAATTCTCCATCTACATTAACCTCCGAACCATCGCATCCTCGTGGCAGAGGTCGTGGAAAGTCCCGAGGTGGACTAGGCAAGTACCTCCGTGCACGAGGCCGTGGTCGAGGCGGCCGTCCAGCGGAATTTCACAAGCGCCTCGTACTGGAGGACGAAGAAGTGGTCGATCTCGACCCTGATTCTGAAGAGGCGAAAGAGCTGCAGAAGAAGTACGCACGACGACAACTTGGATCTAATGCCGATCGTTATGCGGAGCTCGAGCCCGAGTTGGATTCTGACGGTGAGTGATGAAGTGGAAAATGTGTTCAGCGTGTTTTTTTGAGACTTTAAGTAGGAGAGGAGATTCATGAACCGGAGATTGACCTTTCGTCGTTTCTGGCGAGACAGCGGTTATCGGACGTGTCGGAGACGACTGTAGTGGCACTACCTCAAGTCGATGGTGATGATATTGACCATGAACTCGCACATATCTCGTCTCATCGTATTCCGCCTCCGACTTCTCAGAAGGGACGCGTACAGGCGATTGAGTGGGATGCAGAACTGGAGGAGATGAGTCGCGAGAAGGCTGCCGCCGATGCAAGTCGAGGTGATTTGCAACTGACGATAGTAGGTGTATAGAAGACTGATCATGGTTGATAGATCTGAAGGCTCGATTCCGTGCAAAGCCGGAGAAACTTAAAGCGAAACCTCTATTTGCACGCGATAGAAAACAAGGTAGAGTATTCTCGTCAACGCACATTATCTCGCTGACATTTTGTTTCACGCATCGGCCAGATGACAACTACTCTGAGGCCCCAGCGCTTCCCACTGATGCACCCAAGGCACCCAAAGTGGAGATGGAAGATTTTCTTGATGAGTTGCTTGCCTAATGATCTGTCACTCCGAAACACACTGCTTTGCGAATCTGAGACTGCATCAAGGCTTTTTTACTGCGACCTGATTATCACACCTCCATGCATAAGCGTCGCTGTCAGACGCTTTGCATCCCCATTGCTTCCGTTCGTTAGAGGTCCCGCTGGGAAGACGAAACTTCATGATATTGGGGCAAGCCGGGACATGGGCCATTCTTGCTGCGCTCAAGAAGTGTACAACTTGTACAACCGTATCCTATCCACGTGCGCCGACAAGAGTGTTGGTGCAGCTACAGCCTCTCATAGAAATTCCTACCGACAGCAGTCTCCCAGCGAACATCTCTTCTAGTGTGTGGGCCGCGGCTTTGGGCCGGCTTGGGCTCACGCTCCAGGCCGAGCCTAAGCCGGGGCTTTGAGCCCAAGCCGGGCCGGAACATTACTGCGGCGTGACAGATCGTATATGGCGGGCACGGTTGACCGGTACTCACCAGTTGACTTGATGGTCTCGCACTTGGTGTCAAGCCGGCAATGAGAGCGAGCTTGTATCGCAGATGCTAATCATTGATTCGCGGGTTCATTTGGCCATACAGATTTTCATAATACTATCTTGGCTATGACTCTAGTTCGTTCGAACAATATAAACGCCACCATCATCTTCGTGATCATCAACCAGGGAAGCTCGTTCTGTTCCCACCCTCGTTCGCAGGTCGGTTCCAGGGTCGATTGGGTATTGTTGTCGAGGTAGGGAATAGGAAGGAACATGATATCCTCTGATATCTACGCCCTTTAATCACGTCACGATCATCTTCACATGCCTATGCTACCCTGGCATCACCTCATTTGAATCAGTGCTCAGCGCTCCGCTTTGACTCTATCTGATCCATTGACTCCGTTGTGATTATCATCGCAATTGTTCTTCTTTCAGAACAGGATCTCGTGGGTTGTTTCTGGAGTTCTGACTCCATCACTGAGGTGCGTTAACCACGGGCTATTTCGGTCGGGACGCTTAAAATTCCTCGAACCACTGCCCGTTCCACCGAGCAGGATCTCATATCTGCTCACAAGCCATGTCGGAGTTGCCTAGCAAGCTAGTATGAGTGAGGAAATGATAAGCCAACAATTTGAGTACGCCGCATAACCCCGCTTGGAAATTGTTAAGGACGTTGTTGATAAACATCAAAGTGCCTGGCCTGGATCTGATCCACCCCACGGGGACCGATCCATCCGTAATAGGCAATAGGACTTCGTACACTGCCAAAATTGTTTGGACAAAGTTGAAACTCCTACTACGAAATGCTTTGCTGGACCGTCACATCTACTTACACGAGGGCAAAGCTGCCGCCCACAACCGCCGTACGTGTGCTGTCTAGCTGATTGTATGTAACATTAATATTACCGCCGTATGATACCCCCTCGGTCCTGCGCACTCAGTGTCCAGACGCGAATCCATTGTCGAGCATCCTGTTTTAGACTTCCGCCGTTCTCGAGAGGCCTGCGGTTGGGCGAAAGTCTCGGGGTTGGCAGGACTCTGCCGTTTAGTTCGCAACGACCCGAACCTCCCTTTTGGAGGACTGAATGTCCTGAGTTGCGTGGGCGAGATAGCGACGATCGCCATATCTGTCAGGTCTTTCCTATCGTGGATGAATCTGCACATATTCTTTCTTGCAACACTTATATCCACTCCATTGCGTTGGTGAGGATACTTGCGGTCAACATCGGACTCTCTACGGCCTCCCTTGTTCAAATATCGAAGACGCAATCCACTTCCTGTTCCCGCCCACAGTTACGTGCGATGCAAATTCATACCCTCGATCTTGCCTTCCTCTCACGAGCCGGTACTCAATGTCCCCGTCGGCGAATGCAATGCTGACATTCTTGACAAGTCGACGGCAATTATAGTATATATTTTCATTTATGAATCCATTGCATTCTCCGAATGATGTTCACTTTTCACCTCAGACACTCCTTGTACGAAAAATGGAAAAAAAAAATCTTGAACATATGGCTCATGCGATTACCTTCAAAGGCTGCCCAGAACTCACTCTCAGTTCTCGACGTTTGCGCACGGACAACTTTATGCTGTTCTACCGCGTGTATGCCGTCGCGCAGACACTCTAGTTCTTTGATCCTCATCCAACGAAGCCCCCGACTTCGCCAACGTATACACAAAATTTTGCCGTCACCACCTGCAGTAGTGCCTTTGTCCTAATTTCATCTGTGCTGACCGGACTCGCTTGTATCAATAATCCAGGAAATAGGAAGCACGCAAGGTGCACGGTGTCTTATGGAAGCACCAAAAATATAACATGTCTACAGCTGCATTTTTATTGGAAGATGGGCCAAGATGAATGACACCAGAGATAAGCCTGGTTAAGATGTTTCCCACCAGACGGAACAGAAGTTTAGCTCTTCTTTGTCCAGCACCTCCTATTAAACCATAGGATGCACCCGAACGTACCTCTCTCAGTTGCGCTTCCACCACCATGTCTGAAACTCCCTTTCAAATCAACATCCCCGACGAGAAACTCACTATCCTTCGTGCTAAACTTGAACTCGCCACTTTCCCGGACGAACTTCAGAACATCGGGTGGAAGCATGGCGTACCTCTGGCGGATATGAAGCGACTTGCGGAGAGGTGGGGAAATGGGTACGACTGGCGTAAACATGAAAAGGAAATAAATGAAACGCTGCCGATGTTTACCCGCGATATTGATGTGGATGATTTCGGCGCGTTGAACATCCACTATGTTCACAAGAAGAGCGAAACTGTTGACGCCATTCCGCTGTTGTTTTGCCATGGATGTAAGTCGTATTCGCGCATTTCGACAGGTTTCTGACCTTAGCTAGGGCCTGGAAGTTTCTTGGAAATCAAGGGGATGTTGCCCCTCTTGACTGCATCGTCCCCTGAACATCCTAGCTTTCATGTTGTAGCGCTTAGCTTGCCTGGTTTTGGTTTTTCGGAGGGTTCACACAAACCAGGCTTTGGTCTTGATCAATATGCCGAGGTAATTATTGTTCATCGCACGTTCTAAGCTCTCAAAATGTTGAGTGGTGTACCTAGGTCGTTCACAAACTCATGATCGCTCTCGGGTACAACGAGTATGGTACGTCGCTACCGTTATTATTGCCTGAAGTGGATTTGTTCATGTCTCTTCTCACAGTTACCCAGGGAGGCGACTGGGGTTTCCTCGTGAGTTCAGACGCTTCACAAGTAGACAGGCCTTGTCGTTAACGTACTCTCAGATCACTCGAAGAATGGCCGCTAAGTATGGTGGAAAGCATCACAAGGCGTGGCACACCAACTTTCCAATGTATATGTCATTTTCTCGCTCACTTCACACACGTCGGCTCATTTCAAATCGTTGATTAGGGCCGACCCACCGAGCTGGAAATCGCCCCTATCTTTCTTGTCGTTCCTGCTAACCCCTTGGTCTGCAGAGGAAAAGGCAGGACTTGAGCGCACCACGTGGTATCGCACCAAATCATCTGGCTACTTTGTTGAGCAGAGCACCTTCCCGCAGACACTCGCTTACAGTTTTACTGACAGCCCTGTTGCTCTGCTTGCTTGGTTTTACGAAAAACTGGTCATCTGGACTGACGATTACAAATGGACTGATGACGAAGGTAGCAGCAGTATCACTTTTGTTAGTATAATTGCTTACCTGCTTTCGAACAGCACTGACGTGGATTTCCATATACTGGTTCTCCCGTGCCGGGCCTGGTGCTGCCCATCGCATTTACTTCGAGGTACATGGAGATTTCTATGATTTAGGCCGTACAAGCTACCCCACCATTCCTATGGGAGTGTCGTATTTCCCGAAAGAGCTCATACTTCCACCCATAGCGTGCGTTTCTATCAATCAGCTGTCCTGCTACGAAACTAATGTGAGAGCGTAGATGGCTGCGCAGGTTGAATAATGTTGTTTTCGAGTCCCATCATAAGACAGGAGGCCATTTTGCTGCCTATGAACGGCCGGAAGCGCTTGTTGATGATGTACGGAAGATGTTCACGAAGGGGGGTCCTGCATTCGGAATTGTCCCTGGAAAAGGTGGATATGCTTAAACAACCAACATTCGTATGCGTGTCGCCGCTGTTGGCATGGTACTCGAATGACTCGAAAGAAATATTAGGTGAAAGTGTACATATAGGAAGTGTAATTCAGAATATCGGTATGAAATCATGTATCCTGTCCCTTGCATCTTGCGCAATACACTCTGCTATCCATGTAATATTCCGGATTTCCTGTTCCTTCAGCTTCACATAACTGTAGAACACGCCATACTGGAACTGCTGCAGGAAGGCCAGCTTGTTGAGGTGCACCTCCATGCGGAAGAAGCGATCCTCCAGTTGTGCAGCTACTCCAAAGTCCCCAAGATCACCGTTGCTCTGGGCCGACGCCGAGTTGTCAAAGAATGAACGATATTCACCCACGTTCTCGCACACTTGGCGAACTTGATCTATGTCATCCGCTTTGGCGAGGGCGTTGTTACCTGCGGGGAACAATCGCCCGATGGCGGGGAAAAGTTTAGCGCGTTGCTCCTTGGTAAGCTCTGTGTCAAAGGAGTTGATGGTGATGTTTATCGTTCGCCTATCAGCTTCAAAGGCGAGAATGCTGTGCATGACCTCCACTGTTGTTGAACCAATGGTGGAGACATAGCTGTAGAAGTCCTCTAGGTATGCTTTGTAGACGGTATTCCTGATGATCTCGATGTTCATGTCGTCAAGATCAGCAGCAGACAAGCAATCACGGAAGTAGGGCGCTGATCGTGGCATTCAGTATTTGGGGTAGGGGCAATAGCAGGACAAATACCTAGAGGCGTTTCTACCAATACACTCTGGTAAAGCTCTTCCACGTTGGTTGCCACACATAATGCAGGCATGGTGTCGAATATGCCTAGTGGATGACATCGTTCGAGAAGTTCATGCGTATCCCTCTCATGGAGCGTGCCCGTTATGAGTAGGACGACATTGTCAATCATGTACCCATACCTACAAACTATGAGCGCGGGAACATAGAATTGATCACTACACACGTGATGTAATCCAAGAACTTGCTCAGAGGCTCAACAGAATTGCTGCGGAGGAAGTTAAACTGGTCCACGAGAGTCTGTGTTGCCTTGTCCGCTATAGTTGCGGTGGACAGCGGGGATGGTTCGTTCGCGAGAAAGTTTCCATAGTCAGTCGCGGACAGCTGCGTTTTGAAGTCTACACCAAATACGCGTGAGCAAGGAGTAGCTTATGTTTTCTCCCTTCCTGACCTTCCAATGTCTCGCACTGCGTCAAGCTGGCGTATTGAGATTGAGTGAGTGTGCCAGACTTGTAGCCTCGAACGATTCCTTCCAAGAAGCCATTGTTCACCTAGAGGCCTCCGTTAGCTATAGAGGACTTGTTGATGGTGTATACCCACGTTGAAGAAGAGGCCCTCCATAATGACCCACTCGCGACAATAGTAAGTACTGCGCGACTTGGCACAGACCGCTAATACCGTAGGCTTGAGACGTAAGAGGAAGGTTGTTTCCACGATCACTATATTTAGGTGTTATACTTACTCACTTGTCAGGTACTACAACCGCGACTCTACCCGTGAAGATGAGACTGCACATGGTTCGTGGAAATGAGTCGTGATATTTTTGTCCCCCTAATCACAGCTTTCCCAATACGCCATCGCGCACCTCGGTTGCGTGTGCTTTCGCAACGTATAAGTTCGTGTGGATGGGCAAAATGCTGCTCTGTGCTTGGTCCTTACCATGTCTTTATCCGAAAAGAACTCTGTGGTTGAGGGGGACCAGGTTTCCGTAGAGGATCGCAGGCTTTTACGCAAGGTTGACTGTAGACTTCTGCCTGTTTTCACTCTGCTTTACCTCCTTAGTTTCCTGGATAGGTTTGTTCTCTATTTGAAAGCTGTATTTTGAGCTCATGTGATAATGTCCAAGGTCAAACATCGGGAATGCGAAGTAAGCAAAGTCAATGTGTACTCAAGGTTTGCGTTGTTGACAATCCAGGTGACATGTAGAATCGATGGAATGACAACTGTGCGTTGGTTTACGCTTTTCGTGAAATGAAGCCTAGGCCTGACATGGGGTGCCTGTTTCACATCATAGGATCTCGGCGTATCTGCTGCTAGCTATAACACTGCTTTAGCCATATATTTTGTTGGCTATGTTGTTTTCGAGGTCCCTGCCAATGTATGTGCCGCAAATTCCAACTCACCCCTTCAGCTGATAGTCATTTATCCTAGATAATGTGATTCCAATCCCTTTCAATGCTAGTCTAGAGGGAATTCTAACTTTATCGTCTCTGCAGACTGAAGAAATGTAATCCGCAAGTCTGGCTGCCATCATTGACTCTTGCCTGGGGTCTCGTCTCTATTGGCCAAGGCCTTGTCAAAAACCAAGCCGGGTTATTTGGAATCAGATTCTGTATGTTGTCTTGTGTGTGTGTGGAAGGTACCGCTGATGATCGGCTACTTCTCGTCAGTACTTGGTGCCACGGAAGCTGGACTGTTTCCCGGTGTGATATACGTCTTCTCAGTATATTATCGGAGGTAAGAAGCACTATGCTAGACCCTTATGCATACCAGGTCTTGATTACTCGTATAGACATGAACGGAGTTGGCGAGTTGCAATTTTCTTTGGTGGTGCGGCAATATCGGGGGCATTTGGAGGTATGCTAGGTGCTCTTCATGTGACCACACTTCGATTAAATTTCTGAAGGGATATTTGCGTATTCCATTGGATTGATGGATGGTGTGGGCGGAAGAAGGGGTTGGCAATGGTATGTTCCCGTTCCCATATATCACCTCGTTAACCCAAGTGCAAAAAGGATATTCATTCTTGAGGGAATCCTCACAGTGGTCATTTCCCTCATCGCATATTTCATTGTGCCGACTTGGTCTCACGAGGCCAAATTTGTGCGTTTTATCCTTCCGTCTTCGTCACCCCAAAAGTTCAACTTTTGCAGCTATCTGAAGCAGAAAAAACGCGCCTGCTAGATAGATTACGAGCAGACTCCGATGCAGGAACCGACCAAGCCTTCAAATGGTCGTCAGTCCTAGATGCTTTCAGCGATCACTTAGTCTGGGCATATGCATTCCTTTTCCACGGATTTTCTTTTGTGCTGTACTCGCTCAGCCTTTTCCTGGTACGTTCGTCGTCGCAGGAAATTGCGAATGGTGTCTGACTGCCAAGTTTAGCCCACAATCATCGCAGGACTTGGGTTTCAGACATGGCAGGCACAACTGTAAGTCCCTTCGAGCTCAAAGGATTCAATTGTTGAAGTGGGTCCCACCATAAGGATGACCGTCCCCCCGAATGTGCTCGCAAGCTTTTCAATATGGACTACTGTATATTTCTCAAGCAAGTACAATGTAAGAGCGCCCTTCATTATAGGAGCTGCAATTGTATCCATCATTGGTGAGAGCAATTCGTGTCACGCACTTCAATTACCTCATGAACCTCCAGGATATATCCTTCTCATCGCTTCCACTAGCCGTAAGTTACCTTATTCTACTGCGTCGTGGTATAACATGTGTTGACGCATACAACAGCCGGCGTTCAATATTTTGGAGTACACCTCGCAGCGGGTGAGCCGCGGAAATTATTGTTTTGTTGCTCATATATCCTGATTCGATACAGCCGGTGTATATACAGGCAATTCGCTTCTTCTGAGGTCTGTTCAGGTGATTGTAGTCGTGCTCCACTATCTAACAGCATATCACAGTTGGCCTGGGGAGAACGTTTCTGGTCAGGCTAAACGTGCAGTTGCAGTAGCCCTTCAGATCAGCGTCGGCGATATCGGAGCGATTGCAGGCTGTCTAATCTACAGGCCTACACTGAGCAGTCACCTGTACCGCACACCCAATCTTATAGCCATTGGCTATCTCCTGTTCGCTATCGCAATGACCACATATTTGTGGGTCGTGATGAGTGTGGAAAACAGGAGGCGAGACCGTTTATTGTCAAAGGGCGAGGCAAAAGAAGAATCCGAGGAAGAGAGAATCAGATTGGGCGATCGCTCCGTGCGCTACAGATACCGAATCTAAGGAGAATGTTCCATGTCGTCTAAGCATCCATTAAACAACTTTCCGAAGGAATATAACGTAGTGGGTAGTGTGATGCGATGCGATATTAGTATGTGCGTAACGTGCGACAAGCACGCATATAGTGATATAAACATAATGGACAGAGTTCAAAGACTAAAAGTTACGAGGTCACACGACGCCTCTTTGTAGCGCGCGTTGTCCGTTGCCGATACTCGTCGTCACCATCATCTTCGGTAAAGTAATCATCTTCTGCTGCGTCTGGACCGTACAGTTGTTTCCGCTTATCTAGGTCGAGTTTCCGTAGAGAGCGAAGATTGACCATCAATGATTTATGAAACTCGCTCTAAATTTGGACGTCTATCAGACAAGGCCACGGTCAAGAAAGGAATGAATAACTACCTTCGCGACGCGACGTCTTCCATCAGAAGGCCCACTTTTCTCGAGACGCTTTCGTTTTTCCTTGTACTAATGAAACGATGTCAAGATTTAAAATGAAGTGCAATAAATCGGAACGTCACTTTTTTCTGCTCCTCGGCCAGCAACACTGACAGATGCTTGATCCACCGTTGTAGATTGGACTCTACCTTCCGCTTCTTTGCTTGCATTGTCATGAGGACAACTACAGCATTGTCGTCGTCATCCTCAACAATAGCCTCATCATCAGAATCTGGGATGACATAAGACATGACAGCCGCCGCCGAGCGCCGCGGTCTTCGTTTACTGGCTCGTGGAGAAACTTGAACCTTTGACGGGCCGGCCTGAGTGGAGAAACGAGGGATGCTGGGGCTAGTCTCTTTCGACTTCACCTTCACCTTGCTACATCGCTTGGGTTCCGTCGCTGGTGGTTGCTTCGAAAGATAGTCTTCTTCAGAAAAGTAGAACTCGGCGCCGTTCTCAATCTCATGGTAAAGACACCAGTTCTGGCAGGGGTTGAGAAACAGTCAGCAAAAATACACTCTATCATCGACGAGAGCTTACTGGCGCTTTACCGAGACGTGCAAGTAGCCTGAAATGCTTGAGTGTTACTGGTACATGTTGTGATGTTGATACATAGTTAGTTGAGGGGGTATTGCATGTGAAAAATCCATGGAGAAGCTGTGTTATTGTGTTAGAGAAACCATTCAAGAAGAGAATATAGCACCAACAGTAGTATTGTTGTTGATCACGGCGTGTGTCAGAAACGTAGCAGCCATCGCACTTCGGACAGGATATCGTTCTTTGACCCATCGACCAACTTGAATAAAATCTGCGGTGCGCTGCTGAGCGTCCATTGCTATGCACAAGATTCAATCATTACCTATTGGGTACCCGAGCTTTCCAGTGGTGTCAGGTCCAAAGTAGCTGAAATAGAGAGACCGTCTGCGAGAACGTGTGGGAGCCATTTCGTCCTGTCGAATCATAGAGGACAAAGTATCTTGGCCGATTATCCCCTGCGCGGTAATGAGCAAACGTTCGAACGTTGAAAACAACGATGCGCCAACCAATTCTGACGTGTCTCCAGTTTCGATTTCAACAGTTCCTTCATTGCCACTTTCGTCCTCATCCATCTCACGATCATCTATAGCAATTGCGTCCCCCATTTCTGCAGGACCCCCCAAAGCGTTCGGAGCTGCGGTATTTACGCTAGCAGTCCCAGAGTGATTCCGTGTTGCCTTCGAGCTGGTGTTGAAATCTCTACATAGTGGAGCTTCGTACGCAGCACATGCTTCTTCATCGTCATACGGAGGAAGATCGTCCAAGTTTATCGCATATCGCTGAACCGCATTTTCTTGCAATACTGCCTGAAGATAATGATGGCAGTCAACTAGTTTCTTGAGTGTCTTCCCCTATTTATCAAAGTTGTCAAAATGACGGCCCGACATGGTCTTTGGTCTAAACACTCACCTTACTGCCAATCCTGAGGCATTTCACAGCAACTTCTTGAAGAATGTCTTTGATATCGTTCGAACTGAGATTCATCTCATCCTTCGCGAAGTCAACGAGGGCTGAATGCTTCTCAACGAATGGATTTGTCAAGATGTCCACAATATCCTTCCTCGTCAGTGGGAGCAGACCCAGAGGTTCCAGTTTGCTCTTCAATGTGCCTGAGGGGTTTGGCTGGACCAGGACGTTATCCGACAAGCACGCTGTCAGGAGCATGACGATGCGGACTGTTGGGTCTGTACTAGGGAAATCGGCGAATAGATGTCTGAGAACGTTGATGGTATAAGCGGAAGTGATGGAGCGTGTCTTCACAAATAGCTAAAGGCAGAGCTCAAGTCAAGGCAACACACTCAGCAGATTTTAAACTCACCTTGATCAACTCGGCGACGACAGTGCTATGGGTCAATGATAATGAGGGGTGAATGAATCTCAAAAAGTGGCGTACTTACGAGAGGTCGAATAGGAGTTCCTTGGTACGGTCGAGGATCTTGAGTGCACGGTAAGCCGACTCATTACTCTTCGATTCCATGCAGATTTCAGCTGCTACTGTGCGACTCAGGAACATCCTAGCGGGTAAACCGGATCACGAAATGCGAAGACTTATCTGAGCACGCAAAGGTTGTTGTGATAAAACTGCTTGCTCTCACCTACTGTCAAGACGTCGCAGCTCTCGCACGTTTCTGAGAATGTCATCGGAGCGTTCACCGTTATTAAGCGCCATTTTCTCAAACATCTTACGGAAGACGAAGTCGCGGTACTATCGAATTCTTCAGTATTGGTTGTGGATGCGCTAGGAGGTAAGACTACCTTGGTGTCCATATGGAATCCATTGGCTTCAGCGTAGGGAAGTAATCTTGGCTCAATAGCGAGAGCGATCGGCAATTGCACCATAAGTGGGTCCTGTACAAAGGACACCGTGAGCATATCCAAACAAATCACGACATTCCAGAAACCAACCTTCATGCTGAACGGGATGAACTACAGCAAATCATAGGAAACCGCATAATTCAGGATACTGACGCCGCGCACCTTATACTTGCCAAATATATCTCGCACCGTCTCCCACTTTGTGCTCTTCATATCTGGCGGAAGCCTACTCTCCTTCAAAAACACAGAGAAGAAATAACCATCATCCTCGTTCTTCCCCAACGGCACTTCATCGAATAACCCGCAAGCGACCTTCATGAAATGAGCGAAAACGGGAATCGACATGTTGCGAACCCATGCGGTCTTTATGAAATGGTTTGCAGACCTGAAATAATGGTGTATGGCGACTTGGACAAGATATCTGGATACATATGCACCACTACTGATTAGGATCTGGACAAAGGGAGCGCATATAATCAGTTAGGCTCCACGAAGCGCTGGGACACAGCAAGGGAAATAAGGGACGAACGTCGATGACTTTGTCAGTCATAATCTTCCCTCTCCCTAAAGCCCAAAACATAGCGTCCATGCGACCATAACGGTTAAGAAAGTAGTGGGCTCGGACGTAGGGGTCTTGGGACACATTGTGAAAGTGTTTGGAAGTAAGCGTCAAGGCGGTCGGGTCGTCGAGCTCGTAAAAGATCAACTCGATGACTTCATCTATCCAAATCTCAGGTTATGAGTGAGAAAAGGAATGATCAGAAAACATACCACACAGGCGTTGCATGGCGTGTGGTAGAAGGGTTCTTGACTGCGGTAGGGAGAAGCTTGAACTGCTCAGGAAGAGCACTGGTTACAAGTTGGCTCCGTCCAAGGAACCTAACAACTAGAGCTAGAGACTTGGCGAGGTTGGCTCCGTTTACGATGATGTGGTTGGGTGTCAAGAGGTGTGCAGCCGGAGAACGCACTTCATCGGACTTCTAAATTCGTAACCACCACTGCATCTTCAAGTTAAATAACTCGTACTAGACGATCAAAATGTTGCACATAGTATAATATGGTGAAGCTCAAGCTGTTCAGAGTGAAAAGATGCGTGAAATGACAACGTTCTACACCGTTAACAGGCGCTACATTGTGCTGAGATGCAATGCCGGCATGTGGTCTGGGTCTTTTTAGAAAGTCCTCTTATAGTAACTCCTCCAGACTTGCCACGCTAATCTCCAATCTCGGATCTGCATGGAGGGGTCAAAGACGTTGAAATTGACGGCCTCCAACGTCGACAGAATGGACACTACTGGTATCTGAGAAAATTTAGTCAAAATGGTCACGATCCGAAAAATCCGACGTACAGCGGCGGAAAATACAGGCATGGCGTCAACTGGGACCCTGCCCCCGGACTCCTTGAACATGTCTCGTGCGGTGAGCAAATGATCATTGGCAACAGTTGCAAGTTCAAACACCGCGTCTTCTAACCCGTGGGATGATTTCCCCTTACTGAAAATTTCTTGCTGATTGACACCATGCTTGGCAGTGATCTCCGCGGGTATGACCATAACACCTTTGGAAGCATGAAAAGGCAAAGCTCGTAGAAGGGTCGTCAATGATTGAGCCACCCCAAGGTGCGAAGCGGCGTGCGCAAGCGTAGAGGAAGGGAGATTCAGCATTGCCAGCAGAAGATACAGGAATGTTGATGAAACAGACTCCGCATGCGATGTGATGGACTCCAGGGTTAGGTGTGTCTGGTTGTGAAGTTCTTGTTCCTTCAAGTTAGACGACTATAAGGGCCATGTGTGAACGCGTGAACGACTCGCTTACCCTTGCTTCTATTATCCTGTTAAAGTGGTATAGAGGCAAATGGTTATCCCGTGTTGCTTCATGGATCGCAATGGCAATGGGATGACGTGGGGGTTTATTCTAAAACAGAGACAATCGGATGATTGTGGTATGCTCGGAAGTGCCACCCACATTATAAATGTCTTTCATGGCATCTCTCCAGAACATTAGGCGAGCCTGACCCAAAGTAGTCTGGGATACCGCTTCTCGCACCGTGGCAAGCTCGATCTAAGGCGCGAGTTAGAGATAGTTAACGTCAATAAAGCACCTCACGTACATAAAATGCTCTGAGCGCGAAGTACCCACCTTGAAATCTTTTAGGGTATAGCTGGGACGTCAAATAGCCTTCATAGTCATGTTTCCGTACCAAGTCTTTGCAGTATTCGGCTGGATTAGAAATACCAGCCTCAGCGCGCGAAACTGAACCTGCATGGAACTGGCGACAAGAACTAAACCTCTGCAGACAACGAGAACGAAGTGGTAGTGGCACTGTGATCATGGCTCATGACAAAATGTAGAATGACCCGGCAACTAAACTTCAACATTTTGAGTTGCCGGAGTTATCACTAATGCTTTACATCCGATTCCACACTGACGTCCAACCTGTGTCCACAATGTCGGCGAGGAAATCGGGACTTCAAAAGGAGGTCCTAGCACTCTATAGACGGTATGTGGCTGCTAGGACATAGCTCAAACCTTCTTGACGAATCAACCAGTGCATTGCGCATGGTTCGTACCAAACCAGTCTTAACCCAACCAAAATTTCTCCTCTTCGTGCGCTACAACTTTCACACACAAGTATCTTCGGTATCGCCTCGCGACGTCGCGGCTATAGAGCACCTTCTCCGCCGGGGTAGAAGGCAGCTGGAGATGTACGAGCAACCCTCTGTCAGAGACTGCCAGATATCACAAGCCATGAATGATTGGGAGCAAAGCCGACGCGAATCACGGACAACTTCTCAGTAGCCAAACTAAATATCAAACCCCGCAAGAGATGGTAGCACGCAGTGAAAGCAATATTAGGGGAAACTACGAGTATGGTACAAGAGTGTTGGGCGCGACTCCCTCATTCACGTCATACGGTAATAGGTGTCCTGGCCCGCCGTGCCTTCAGCCTCTCAGCGCGCGTGCGAGGAACATTTGCTTTATCTTGAGATGGCTGAACATCAGTTGTCACGGGTTTCGACTTGGACGCCAGGAGCTCGCGTTTAGCTTCCAATTCAGCAGCATACTTCTCATAAAGTAACCTCCGCTCGTTAATCACATATTTTATGCGTGCCATCGATTTCCGACACTGCAAAAACATTTCAAGGCCTGAGTCCAGCGCGAAAATTGCGTGCTTACCTGAAGATCTTTCTTGCAGCCAGCAAGACTCTCTTGATTGCTGATGCCGAGTCGTCTTGCCTCCTCTCTCTGAGCCGCAAGAAGGTTGCGCTCTCGGACGAGAACATACCAAAGCGTATGCAAGTCCTTGAAGCTCTTTCGCCGAATTTCCGCAGCTTTCCATGACCTTGCTGCAGACAGTAACTCAGAAACCTGGGACAGATGTGAAGAAAGCATTCAAAACTAACCGGGATCGTCTTGGAATGTGTCTCTTGCTTCAAGACTCTCATACGTCATCTCCCCGTCAATTTCCTTCTTCCTGAAGAAAGCCCAAAGACCATGGTTCGGGTCTACTTCAACGCCAAGATGAGGCCTGAGGGCAGCACCTTTCGACTTGCGAGTGGACGGTTGGAAGTCGGGTTTTTGAATCATGCGCGAAGGATCAATGAGTGGAACCTCATTTGAGTTCCAACGCACGGACTTCAGAAAACAAGCAGCACGCAGAGGGCGAACTGCTTGCAGAATTGTTGCCATCGTTTTGCCAGTCAAAGAATTACTTGACCTAGGTCCAATTTGCCCGTAAGACACAGCCACATAATTGGCTTAGTCAGCGTTCTCAACCAACTAATATTGCCTGAAGTTTGAAAACAGCTTGGGCAAATTCAAGAAATATCGCTGCTCACGCCTGGCACGTTCAGCCTGAATGCAGCCTATTCACGAACGCTAATCAACAGTTTCCTGGTCAACACTTGCAAACCTCCGCTCAATCAGCTGCACAGCATGCACTCTTCAGAAGCAGAAAAAGCACCATGTATGACCGTGACCTATGATAGGCGCGGCCGAAGGACAATAAACAGAACGCGATGTGCTCTCGAACTCATGAGACATGGCGTGCTCGGTCGCCTCAGTCCCGTTGTCCTCGGGCCCAACCGCTGATATCGGGAGAGTCAAATGCAACGAACGTGGAGTCCAAGAACTTTCTCGGGAATTCCACTCGCCAACATTCGACCTCCCTTTTCCACTACCAGGGACAGCATTCGTCCGCGTCGCACATGAGTATTTGGAAATGGATTGACCCGACTCAAAACAGAACTCACTTCTCCCTGATCCCTTTCTGTCATTCAGAATTTAAACTTTGACGAGCACTTCCACAGAATCAAACATCGCGACATATCATATTTGCATCCAACGAGCTTTCTGCAATAGCCGATCATTTGGGCGTTCTGTTCTGTGCGAGTTTGACGAAATATCACTTCCTTGCTGACGGTTCGAGCCATAGCGAACATGCAGGGGGACTGGAAGAAATGTTTACGTTTGACGTAGAAGCTATGCCCACGTACCATCCTTATGATTCTGGCATGTGCTCCCTCAAAGAACGAGCACAGTGGATTTGTTGATTGAAAGGAGTCCTTTCACGTTTTGTCCGTGGGTCTTTGTTGTTGGAATATCTTCCTACTAAATCCCTATGGATGGAACGCCGCAAGTCCAAGGAGACGCGACAAGCGTATCGTACCGCAAGCGGTCGACACCGCCGTAAGACTCATGCATGATGTGGCGCTCAAACCACGACCGGGAGATCGATGAAAGAAACCGAGAAGAGCTGCGCCGTCTTCGTATTGGCCTCGAAGAGAGCTGTCTGCGCCTCAAAAGCTGTTGGTATTGTTCAACACTTAGGAGCGAGAGGGCATGGTCTTTTCTGAAGTTCATTCATAGATCTTTGACGAGGTCTCTGATTCAATCACATTGAAGGCTTCGAGCATCTCAAAGCAACATATCAATTTATAAACGATCGCGTAGAAGTTCGAGATGTTTGGGGGAGTCTACATTACCTAGCTAGTGGTGCTGACTGTCATCACGACGTCAGTATTCAGACCCTGTCATTCGTTACCACTCTCCGTTTGTTCATCGGACTGGGAACGTGGTTTTGCTGTGAGCACATGCTACCTCCGAGTTTTCTGAATTTAAATCATTTGTGCAGACAAGGGACAGAACGAACGATGACGGGATTCAGGGCACCGAGAGTGGTAAACCAAAACAACGAAAAATGCACAGGCATGGAGCTTCAAGCTTGATTGTAGCAGGGAGGCTTTCATTTTCGGTTTTATCAAAGTAAAACCTGCGACGCTGCTTCTGAAAGTTACATATGACCGTAAGAACTGTCATGAAAATCTATGTATCAGTTTTGCGAAACGAGCGTCAAAGGTATACTGATAAAAGCCATGATCATTCACAGAGCAGAAGCTGATGAACTCTGGATTAAGTCATTTAAATAATGACTTGTGAATTCTAGGACGTCGTTGGCAGACTAGTGAAATGAGGTATACTATTTCTTGGGCTTTTTGGCTGAAACGTAGGTCAGTAGCGGGCTCCTGAGTAAACACTATTTCACTATTTCTCACCTCCATATCTACTCCGTCCAGTCATACGGTTGACTACTCCTCCGAAATCTAGAGATCCACGGACAACCTTATAACTTGGATAAAGAGTTCAGGTGCACATCGAATAAGTGCATCCAGAGGAGACTCACCGGACACCGGGCAAGTCCTGGGCACGTCCGCCGCGGACTGTCACCACACTATGCTCCTGCAAATTATGTCCCTCGCCCTGAATGTATGCCATGACAGTCTTCCCAGTAGTCAACTTGACACGCGCGACCTTCCGCTTCGCCGAGTTGGGTTTCTTGGGCTTCATTATAAAAATCTGCGAGCAAACACCCTTTCTTTGAGGGCAGACCTCAAGTAGTGGTGACTTGGGGTCTTTAGCTTTCTGCGGACGCTTCCGTCGCATCGTCTGGTTGAGTGTCATGGCCAAGGAAGGTGACGAACTGAAAAGACGTGATTCGAGAAGAGACCTTGTGGCAAGAGGAGTCATAGAAATTTGAGTGAGCCTACATGGCTGAGATATTCGACTCCAGGCTCGCAGTGCAGACAGCATTTTCGACTTGTTTTCGAAAGCAGTTTGCAGAAGAAAGCTGTTGGTGGCTGACATAATCAGGACTGTACCGCGTAGACGCCTGCCCTCAACTACCAATTGCACTCGCGACAGACGCGTTTTCAACGCGCGTATCTTACTGAAGAACTCCAGAAATGCCGGTGGCCAGTTCTTCAAGAAGGAAGAGCGCGCGTTCTCGCAGGGAACAATCCTCAGACAGAATAGAAGAGGACTATCCGTCTCAGCATGCTGGTAACAACGACGATGTCGAAGGCGAAGACGATGAGGAAGCACAGCCGAGGCGCAAGTTGAAGCAGGAAAAGAAGACCCGAAAGCAAACTCGCAGAGACTCTGAGTCTGATAATGACCCTCCTGCTGTTGCGGATGATGATGAGGACGATCGGATTGACATCGAGAACTTTCATGACCAGCCCCTAGACAAGAAAGAAGGCGGTAAACTCTCTGGCATTGCGCAGGACTGGGAGATGATCCGGAAGCAGATACATCAGGGCTCATTCTCTCTCGCGAAGGAGGTGGCTACTTCCCTTGCGGACGTCTTGGAAGGAGATAACGCAAAACAGGCGAGTTGGCAGTCAACAGTCACTTCGGACGCTTCCTGACCACTCGGACTACTCATAAGGCTTTGTCAGAGGTTGATGGTATCATGAAAACATTAATTGACATCGACCACGAGATGCAATCACATGAGAAGACTCTCAGCGGGATGCACCAGCAACTTCTACGTGGCGAGCCAGTAGTAAGTGGGTCCTGATGGAGAATATGGTGGTATTTGACGCCTTGAGCAGGAGGGTGCCATAGACCTCTATGAGAAAGAGGTAAAGAAGAGGGTCGATGAATTTAACGATAGAACTACTCGGAAGAAGTATGGCTCGAACGATCAATACGTCCAGTTCAAGCAAGGCATTTTTGTACGTTGTCCGCCAATTAAAGGCCCGCTGGTCTCATCTAGTCACCCTGTTACATAGGAGGTCCAAAATCCTGGCGAGAATATACCTCCCATCAACGACTTTATACCACGGGGTTGTTGGTTCTGCATCTTGCTTGTAACGAATTCTGACAAAGGTCTTCAGAGGAGGGAGATGAAAGTGACGACGACGACGAACTAGAAATCGGAGGAGTTACACAAGACTACAAATGTCCCATCACCTTGAGGATGTTAGAAAATCCCATGAAATCGTAAGTGGATTTATATTGGCCTTGTTGTCTATAGCATAACTTGTGCAGCTCCACTTGTGGCCACGCCTTCTCTGGAGATGCTATTCGGGATTACCTGAAGAGAAGCCCTACTACTGGGAAGTCATGCCCTGCCGCAGGCTGCAGTCAAAAGCTCACTATGGCTATGCTGGTCGCCGACAGTAGTCTCGAAAAACGGGTCAAACTTGCGGCAAGGAGAGCTCAGCGGGATGAAGATGACAGTGACGTTGACGATGACGAGGTGATAGAGTAAATTAGCTTCCTGCGACTAATCTTGGCCCAACTGTACTTAGCTTACCCTGACCAAAGATCTTAATGAGAGGGTTTTCCTGACTAGTATGGCTTGCAACTTCATGATATATGAGTGCAATATATAGTTTGTAGTGCACCAAAAAAAAATCAGTCTATTTCCACAAGTCCTCCGGCGTCTCTCAGTTTCGCTTCCCTCTCTTTGTTTGCCCTAACAAGCTTCTCGATTTCGCAGCCTAGTGCCCAACACCACGTATCTCTTTCAACCCTACTTCTTGTTCTGAAGACAACAACCTTGTGCTTCGCTGAGAGGGAAGGCACGTTGTCCGTAGGTCTGTCCCTACTTTTGCGGTACCAGATAGCGAAGAGCGTGTCCTCTTCTGGGTCATCAGCTTCGAATCCGTCAAAGTAACGACGGGCAAGGTTGGGAGTTTCAGGGTTGTACTCGCTTGGCCATAAGGCGAGAGCAGCCAGATATCCTGAGCAAACATAGGAATCCAGTAGATTGATCTCCCTGCTCTTATGACGGAGAAATGAATTTCGCGAGACTTGGTATTGGAGGAGACGTCCAGCAACTAGGAACAATTGCACAAGCCTGCCATTGTAGGAAGGTGTGAGCTCGCGACCTGTCATTTCAGGGCAATTCTCACTGACTTGTACTGTCCCTGGAGTCCCTTTCGTGTGAATACGCGGCCACTTTTGAGTATGCTTCTACAGTTGTCCAGCGTGCACCAATGATACAGCGAGCTCAGTTCAGGGATGAATTCTGCATCCACAATGGGTGTCGTCGGGCTTTCCTTCCCATTACAGAACGCATGTTTAGTGATACGGGGAGTGACGGGGGGACGATGGCGTGTAGAGTAAGATACATCCATCTCATCTCGAGCATCAACATGATGCCGCTGTGCCCAGTACTCAACAAGTGCGCGCAGTCGATCGACCCATTCTTGGCTCGTCTGGCAAGAGTATGTCTAAAGAGAAAATCAACAAAAGGCGTAAGTAAGGGCCAGATGCTCAAAATATTCGTACCTCAAATCGGATCACGCGCCCAGATATCATGACGATTTCGAAGCAGCGTCTGACACGGAGTTCATTTTTGTCGCGAGCCTGCACAAGACCCTCAGCTCCACCGATATCATCCTCGTCCCTATTCAAAATGTCTTGGTTTCCCACAGATCCGCCAGCTACATTAGCCGTGGCATGCGTACTAGCATCATCGACGATGTTTTCGTGGGTCGTCCTGCGGATCTCCCTGATATTCCGCAGGTCAAAAGCTTCAAACGCGGCTGCAATTTGAGCCGCTCCTCGTGCGACCTCGGCCTCACGAAGAGCCCGTGTGTATTCTAGAGATTCATTATGGTGTGATGATAGGGCACGAGATAAATGAACGTTTGGAGGGACAGGAGCGTGGGAATTTGAGGGCCAAAGGGCAAAAAGGTGACCATCATGAGAAGTAAGGTAAATATGTTGTTTAGTTTGACTGCTGGATTTGATGCGATCGAGATACCCCTCTACACATGGAGGTTCGTGTACCTTTGTCCCATCGGGTAGGTGAATTGTAGCCGGATAGTGTTGGCCAAGCCGAAGCTCAAGGTGTGCCGGTTTGGTTCCCTGAGTAGGATGTCAGCTGAATCTCGAGTCAGGAGTCTCCCATCGTGTTCACCTGTTGCATCGCTAACCCACAGAGGACGGCCCACGGTCTAGGCTGGCACATTACGTCTTCCTCCTTCCAAACCCAGTCAAGCTTTGCCCCCAAATTCCACGCTAACTCGAGGGTTGTGCCTGCCGCAATTTCACGTTCTACCACGTGTTTCCAGTCACGAGATGCGACCTCATGGGAGCCGCAAGATGAACCCAGAGACTTCCGGACGATGTCGATGATATTCCTACGGCTGAACATGTGATAGGCCTTGTCAATATTATCGGCGTCGACGACAGGAATATCCAAATCCACGCGTGTACCGATGGCCGGACACCGAAGTTCAATAGAAGCAGGTATTTTGCCGCCCAGATGACGCCTGTAATGAACACTCGATCAAAAGCTGTGTCCTGAGTATTGCTGACTGACCATAACTGCCAGCACCAGTCCATGCCCCTTGTACGGCATTTTGTTTTGAAAACGAACACATTCGTCCCTTCAGGTGCGCGGTCAAATAATGCTCGGGCTTTCGATTGGTTGTTATGGACAGGCGTGGGTGGACACGAGATACAGAAAGTGAAATCGGTGAAGGAATATAGTGATGAATGTGTTCGTTGAGATTTGAGAGGTATTATGAATGCGAGATGTTTATGTCCAATGATGTGCTCTTTCCCTGGCAAGGTCTGATGGGATAGGCTTTATGGTTCAGTAGGTTGGAGAAATAGACTTACATAGTCTTCGTAAATTTCAAGCCGCTCTCCTCGCCAGACCACCAGAAATTCAGCCCAGTCCTCGTATCTAAGATTGGGAGTCATGCGATTCTGAACTTCATCAAAGTGGCGAAGTATTGACTCTGATTTTGTGTAGCTAACTCTGACGAGCATTCGGTCTAAGAACTGTATATCAGTGTACACCTTCGAGTGGCAAAGTTCAAGATACTAACCCCGGAGTATGATATTTCCTCGCTGACTCTGAGATTGTTGAGGTAAGGGAGTCTCATCCAAGGTAACTTCTGCACTGGTTTCATCCACGTCGCTTCCGCTTCTTGCAAGGACAGCCGCAGGAGGTGCAGGGATATCGTTGACATCATTTTGGAGCTGCAAGCTCGAGGAAGTCCCCTCGTTTGTATGGTCAAAACTTCTACCCTTCCCCTTGTCTAGGCCAACTGGAGCAGACTGAGAGTCCAAGTCTGCTGGGGTGGTTATACGACCACCAATGAAGAACGATGTCTTTCGTTTGTTTGTGTTAATGTGTGCTGAAGACTTCTTTCCCTTTAAAATAGTGGGTCGTTGAGAGCCCCCCGGAGGTGCAACATTAATGTCATTAGTGGAGCGGTACTCAGGAACTAATCCAGCAATAAGACCCGTGCTGGAAGAGGGTTCGGAGCTCGGGGAAGGAGAAGGAGATAGGGATGCTTGAGAGTTAAGGACTGCGCCAGGAGAAACCTCTGTCTTAGCTGTGGCAAACGACTGGCCGCTGACTGTAGAAGGGGGCTCGATCGTGGAGGGACCATCGGTTTGAACATCGGGACAAGTTTGATTAACCTGTAGAAGTGATGCCGGGGGGCTGTCGAGAATGTTTACACCTAAAACATTCCCGATTTCGAAGCTCCCCCCTACCCAACGTTGCGTAGTAGTACCGGCGTCCTTTTTGCGATGTCTCATAGATCCGCCCCATTCGCTTTCTTGCCACCGGTCCCATATATTTTGTCGCTCATCCGCCTCAGCTTGCTGTCCCCACTCTTCCTTTCTCCCACCTCGGTGAAGGAAACGGTGGTATGCATGATTTTGCAGGAACGAGGTGGACGATTCGTCGTCCCCGTCGCTTCCTCTAGCGCGTGAATGCAGCCAACTTGAAATTTGATCTGTGACCTTTCTGTTGGATGAATCTATGTTTGTTTGTGAGGCATCTTTCGAGGCATCTTTCTCCGGCATGGGTCCTATGAAAAACCGGCGTCTTAAATGATCGTAACTAGCGAGGGACTCGCCAGGATGTGCCAGTGCAACACCACGCGAAAGTGGTTCAGTTCGATGTGGGTGCAATGAAGCCATGAGCAAAGGGGGGTTGGGTGCTGAGCGGCTAACTAGCACTCGCTAGACAAGACCACCGTCTCGGTGTTAGCGTTCAACAAGGAAAGTGGCTAACGTCACGTCATCAAACCCTAACCTGACTTTAGGGTTTACCTGCAAAAGCTATTTAGAATGCTATTAACATTAACTAAGGTGTATGTAAATCGAGTGGGGGTTTAACGTTAAACGGATGGCGGTCCGTGGCATGTCCGAGATTGCTACCAGGTCGGCTATTTCGAGTCGACTTTGCCGTGCTCAAGCATCTGGTGCGACTCCTGCACGTACTTTTCGGCTTCCTCCCTCGAGAATCTGCTCAACATCAGATGAATGGACATCAAAAGTTGTACAATTTACGTACCCAAGCTTGCGTCCTTTTACAAGCATGTCTGGCTCCCGGAGAGCGAATGGGTTTACGTCGGTCTCGGTGTTCAGGTTAGCCAGACTATGGTTCACGAAACGATGCGTGGATTCATCAGACCGCACGGCGTACATGACATCTAGTAGTTTTGCGCCAGGGTCTAGACGCCAATAGTCCTTGGCAATCTCGGGAGCAGGCATATTGCTCCATTCAGGTAGACGTCCAGCCTCGATGTCCTGGATGCATCGAGTACTAAGTTGGTGAGCATTTCTGCATGAAGAAAAAATAAAGTTTGTCCTTACTAGGTTAATACGGCCTCTTCCTCTAAGTATCCAACAAATCGATGACATGTGCTTGGTGATATCATATAGGACAGGACTGACAATGCGAGTTAGCAATGAGTCGGAGATCCCGATTCCATACCACCTACAAAACAAGTTATAGAACACGCCCTGCGCCCCTAAAACCAGACCTCGGAATAATAATGAAGGTCTTCGCAAGGTCATAAAGGTCCTATACGATAATGTTGGGTCAGTTATGCTCAACTTTACGAAACACATCCCAATTACATTAGGTGCATTCTTTCATTCTCGGCTTCCTCCAGCAATGTATGTATCCAACCAGAGTCTCGGCGCTATCAAATAATTGAAAATGGGATCGTCAGAAAAGAAGTTTGACTGACCATGAGACGCAAGCTGGTGAGGTGGCGGAGCGTTGCAGCCACCATTCCTGGTACCCCTGCAACCGTCTCCAAAAAAAGGATGCGCTAAACAACGGTAATGAAACAACGGAAATAACACCTGATGATGAATGTGCTCACACTTAGCCACGCCTTCTCGTCCAAGATATATCCGCCCTTTTTGAGTTCTTCGAGCGACATCTTGCTATCAGCGGGGATCGGCTTGTGCTTGTAACCGGACGCAAGATCGAATCCCCATCTGAAATGTACATGAATGCTTGCACCAAACTAAACTTTGACTGTCTCACCTCGTCAGCTTGACAAGATTGTATGCAAATTTGTCCGATATGGTTTTCGCTTCCCTTTGAAGCACCTGCCAGCTTGCATTTAATACAAATCGTGATCAGGGAGGAAATGCAGGAAGTACCTCGACGGCTTTGATTTCTTCCTGGGAGTATACAGGATGAAAAAGAACCCAATCACCTCGGACGATAGTGGGCAATGTGCTAACTGCATCAGGAGTTGTTAGACCCTGCTTAGATGCGGCCGAGTCCTCTGCGAAAGGATTACAAGTGCGTCAATAACGAGAAACAACAATGGATAAATGAGCCTCACTGAGATGGAAGCCCTCCGTTCCCGTAGCCGATTCTTCATTGATTCGTTTCCCTGTCAGTGAGTTGTTGTTTGGCTGACCACTATGAATGAGCGCTCGTCTTGTGAACGTGGTTCCTAATTTAGGGGCTAGGCTCGATCCAGGATGAAGAGTGCGGCAAACGGGACTTGCACAAATACGGGCAGCTTTCAGCAGATTCGACATAGATAGTAGAGGGCAAGCGTAAATAAATCGTTTGGAAGGAAGAATGTTATTGTATACGTATGGTACGAGCGCGCAAGTCGGTCTCTTATGCTAGCTGCGTTCCCGTATGCTTCCGATTCGCATCCGAAACAATCCGTAACCCGGCTTTAAAACAACCAAAAATGGACCAATATGGTGTCCTGCCCCGCCCCAAGCCCCACTTGGTGTTGAGACCTCCCACTCGAGAGTAAGTAACTACTGATGGATTATATTGCCCAGTGAACGTTGTACTATACAAAAAAAGGTCGCTGCTTATTCTTATGTCAGCATTCCAAATATGGCAGGTGCTCAAGAACAAGGCCTACGGGGACAAACCGAAACGCCGAACCTTTACTAGCACAATTTGATCAGATAAGTGTAGGTATGACTATTAATCTGGACCTACAAAACAGTATGACTACTGTGCCGCTTTGCCTGCAGGCACTCTGGCTCATCATGCATGCCAATGAAAAGACCGGAATAACATAAGTCCACCGTCAAAAAATATTAATAGAAACTCACAGCTTTTCAGAATTTTTGATAGACCGATCTGAGCCTTGACGCCCAAGTGCTTCTCATCAAGCTTCAAGTCCAGACTCCACTGAGTTGTAAGATTTGCCCCGACCGCAGCTCCGCAAATGTCGTAGGTCTAGACAGTTAAAACGTGTGGCAGAAACACGAGGAGAGTACATTTGATCCACGCATTCATTTTGAGACATATTTTGTCATGAACATGCGCATCACAATGGAAGCTTCATTGATCAGGGGAAGCATAATAGCCGTGTCGAATGGAGCTTAGAGAGGCGCCAGAGCTATACAGTGTGCCTGTACCGTATCTGCGCTTGCCCTGGATTTACTGTGGAAAGGCAACTGGACAATGTGAGAAAGTCCCTCCATCGCTTTCAAAAGGGCGCTGAAGACACTTCTTTGACATGTTGGTCTCATCGTGATCATAAGACTGGCAACAGAAAGACCCCAACACCAGGATCCGTTATACTGGTAATCAGGACACCACTGTGGGACATTAGCTTACCCACAACGCAAAGTGCTGTGGACAGTTAAGATGCACCGAACATGAAGATACCCCATTCTGGAATTACAAGTAACGCGAATAGCATTAATGAAGAAGGAAGATCCAACGTGACTCAAATCTGCAACGTTCTAGGAGTAAAGGGTCCACATAAATCCAATGACGCGACTGGGAGCCACATCTGGGCGTTGTTGACCGGGTGAAGGCTGGTGGGGGTTGCTTCCTGGTTATTGAACGTGGAGGAGAGTGCGATGAGGGGGAGCATATTGAAGAGATGTAGAATTCAGCGATAAAGTTCATTACCGTGACTTTAGCGGCTAGTGTCAAGGGCACTTGAAGGGAATATCGCCCCTGTCTAGAACACCCCGCCACAGGTCGATCACATCAGAAGATGCTGATAGTTCGCTCCATCGATAAATGGCGGCCCCATAAGGTTTCAATTCCACGATCATCCATGGATAGAAAACATGAGGTGATTCATTTCCGAGGGCGGCGACAGGTCATTTCAAAAGGATCCAAAGCTTTTTTTGTTTTGAGTTAGCGGCGCGGACCAAGAGGGATAAACGCACTTTAATGGTAGTATCCATGACGAAGCATGATGCTGCATGAACATACTAGTAATGCAGCGTGATATTGGGAGATCCGGACCTGTTTGTGTAAATCATATAATTAATTCTGGCGAGGAAGCGCTTGAGGACAAGATAGTTTGAGAGCACGAATTGGACCAACGAGGCGTCGCTAACACAGAAGCCTGCAGGAAAACGCGTTGATGGACTGAAAGCACAGGTATAAAGACGTAGTGAGATCTGAGACTAAGCCCACAGGGTATATCTGGCGCAAAAAGGCATATTTCATCTCGAGGAGGCAATGTGAAATCGTCACAGAAGGTTTGACCGACGTCATGAGAGCAAAGAACAAGAAGGTTGTAGGTCGGAACTGTTGGTGCACAGCTACTAGACAAGAAGCGGAGGCGTGGTTACCTCCCGGATCCGTAAAGTCGGGTTTGCATGGAGAGGACCAAGTTTGGACATTGTGCACGACTTCAACGTGTTTTTGAAAGATACGGAGTGTAACGAACGAAGCAGCTGACAGAAACATAAGGAAACACAAGGCTACCAAGGGGTATCGAAAAAGGAATAGGAATCAAGGGAGCTGACAGCCGTTGGACAGCCGTCCAAAGCTTGTGGCTTCGATCCAAGTACCCCGGTTCAATTTTCTTACTTTACAACCGGCCACATAAAAAGGCCTAACCTTTCACCTTCGACCCAATCTTTTTTTCCTTTTCACTCACAGCAGTTAGCAGATGTGTGCTTAACCTTTCAATGGAAAACGTAGCGCAGTATAGTAATTCACTTGTCTACCCACCATCCAGCACACCTGGCACACGCTCACACGAGGATGATAATCACACCGTAAACGCGTCTTCTGCCTGGTTATCTGGGCAGAGGTCTGCTTCGAACTCTTCTACGAGTTCTACCCACCTATCGTCCATTTATTCCGCGGTGGATCGTCCTCCAGATCACGGGGATTATGCATCTACATCTGCATCCTATGGCCAAGTGCAGCCAAACGACTCTTATTCCAACTACTCTCAACAATCCAACATTCGTCCCGAAGATGATGGAAATCACTCCGCAACAATCGCCCTCTCCCCCCAAATTTCGGGTAGCATCGGCCCTTCTAGGCTCACGCGCCGACAGACACGCGCACAATCCACCCTTCACCTTGGTCTCAGAAGAGACAGGCAACCGTCAAACCCGCAGTCTGATTTACACGCGGCTGAGGAGGTACGTCACAAGTTTGGCTTCTCTCATCAAGCTCATCATCTCCTTTACTAGTCTTCCTACTACATGTCACCAGGGAGCGCCGTTTCGCGCCCTCAGACACCTGCCAGCAGTAGCGACCCAAACCGCTACCAGTTGCCTGACAGAATGTCATTCACAATGGGCTCAGGCGGTATGCCCTTGCAATCACCTCGGTACCTGAACACGCCTGTGTCAGCGTCACCCTATTCCCCATTTCCCATGTATCACCAGCATTCACGTTCGACATCATCTTACTCTACCTCCAATCCCCGCTCAGCTTCACCCGCATTAAGCGTCGCATCTGCACTTACCTCCATCTCATCCGCTACATCCGCCCCAAACTCTCAGACCTTCCCAGCTTTCCCCCTTCCCTCACCCCCAGGCGCCGTCATTCCACGTGCCAAGCAACGAAAGCAACGTCTTTTTAACGTTGATCGTAAGGCTATTTGCATTTACCACCAAGACAACCCCAATGCACGGCAGGAGGATATCGCAGCGCGGTATGGTGTCGAGCGGAGCACCATCAGCAAGATTCTCAAAAACAAAACAAAATGGATGAATGTACCAGAAGATGAAGACATGCGTGTGGCCAAGCATAGGTAACCATCCCCTTTGTCTAGTCTTGTATCGTAAATCTCACTGTCTTCAGGCCCTCAAAATTCCCCGAGGTTGAGGAGGCGCTCGTTGAGTGGCTACTTCAAATGAAGCAGCAACAACAAAACACCCTACTCTCCGATAACCTCATTCGCACCAAGGCCAAGGAAACTGCACGCAGTTTGCAGATCCCTGATGAGAGATTCAAAGCCAGTTCGGGATGGGTCGAGAACTTCAAGCATCGCCATAACATTCGTAAGGGCGTCTGGCAAGGTCACGAGAAGGTTCTGCGGGCTTCTCGTGGCCTTGCGGGTGCCCAAGAGCACAGGCGAGGCGCCACAGATACAGTGCTTTCGCCCCTCAATCCCGCATTCGAGAGTCGCTCTGAGGTCGCGAATGGACGCGATTCTGAAGAGCATTCTACGATGGCTGATGGCGATGATGACATGGAATCAGAAGATGAGCCAGAACTTCCCCACCCTCTGCAGTCACAAAGCGATCCAGGGCCTTCTTTGTCCCAAGCAACGCTGGGACCCACTCTCCCCTTACCACGCATGTGGACCCTACAAACGGATCATCTAACCGCTCCCAACACGCCACTTTCTTCGGTTCCGCCGGGCAATCCGCATGAACCTATATCTCATCAGTCCTTTGTACACCAACGCCACGAGGAGCGGCAGCCAGACCCGGTCACAGCGGACATGAATTTATCTGCGCTTCCAAATACTGTCCAGCAGCACCTACAGGTGACAGACCCGCAGCAAGGGGTACAGCTTACGCACCCCGATCCCAGTTCCCAATATACCGAGCCGGCTGTTGTATACCAGCCTGCGCCGCCTATTACGTCGGGCGATAGCATTGCTAATATCGGAGAAGCCGAGGATGCCATTAACAAAGTCATAGGCTTTGTCGACTCTCGTCCTAATCTCCTGTCTCAGACACAGCGAGATGTTCTCCACGAAATCAAATGCACACTCTTCCAACTCGGAAGTGGAGTGCCGTTCGACCGGAACTGGAGATAATACCGGACATCCCTCGATGCTTCTTTCACTGCGCACGCTTGGATCACCATCCCACATCCACGCGCAATTTTTTTTTCTTGCCTTACCTCTCACCAGTGTTCCTACATGCATTTAATCATCTTCCCATGCCTTGCATTCACCCGACATTGCACGATCGCATCAACATTTTACATGTCTCTCGTAGGGTCTCATTCGTGTCTGCATTCACACTCGGTACATACTCGTAGCTGCATGTCATACCTCGCATTTGATACATCTCTCCTGCATCCACCTAGCTCTTCTTGGACTCTCTGCTGTTTTACCTAGCTCACTTGCAATGCAGAGACATTAAAATGTCTGTGTACTTTTGCTTGATCATTATACTTTGCAATTGTTCAAACATGCTATAGTCATTTATAATATACTGTCATCCATCAACCTTCTCTGTGGCGTTTGATATCAGGTCACTCAGTTGACATGCGAACTGTGTCTGTCGGTTGGGCACGCGGAGCCCTATTTTCCCGACGGAATGCTCGAGGTCAAATCCGTAAAATCACATCTGAATTATTTTTGGGGTATGTAAGTCATGCTCGAAAAATATTCGTGGGCAACGTACGAGCAACAGCACACGACCTGTCAAGATTTAGAGGCCTTGCCACCTGGAGTCACCTTGGGTGGTTCGCTGCACAGAATGGAGGTAAATTCATATTATCCGTACACGGGACTATCGACCATACGCATCAGCGGTGTTTTTCATGATCGTGAGTTTGCCGGCTGATGCAGCAGACACCATTTGGTGTTCAATAGATTTGTTTATCTTGGCCGTTAGTGACTACATACCCAGTGTAATGGTCAATGAAACTCGTAATTCATTAGAAGACGAAGACTCACCTGCCTCATGGACGCCTGCTTGACCAGAGCGGTCTTTTTGGGCGGAATATACCGTTTCCCTTTTTTCGGGTTGGCAGCGGCCTTGGCAGCTTGCCTTGAAGACGAGGCCTTGCTTTGAAGGCCTTTTGTTTTGCCCTGGACCATTGATAAGAGTACTTTCGCGTAGAGTTATGTCAAAATGCGTGCTGTGGACATATCGGGGTCGATACATAAATCAAAGTGCCCGGAAAATTCCGGTTAGGTTTCCTCCGCCGTTAGCTCGCGGCTCAGTTCTATTATTCCATCGTCGGCGACAGCTATGCTCTCAGCATCCCATGTTCTACGCGTCCAGCGCGTAGCTGTTTCACGCGGGAAGGTCAGTGTGCCTTAAAAATGTCCTTCTTTGACTTCTGACGACCGAGTCGACTTTGCAGCGTGCTTTGCATGACCTGGTGACGCTTCCTGGCCGCAAACCAGTCATTTCGTATGGAACACCTGGCTACAGCGCAGTGAGCGGCCATGTCGTCACCGTCTTTGGTTGCACAGGATTTCTCGGACGCTATCTTGTCTCGAAACTTGGTATGCTTAATTTGGCCCACCTGGAGATTTTGGCGTCTACTAACGCTCCACTTTGCAGCTCGAATGGGTACGCAGGTCATCGTGCCTTACCGCGAAGAGGATGAGAAAAGGCACCTCAAACCAATGGGTGACCTCGGCCAGATAGTTCCCATGGTAGCGTTGTATCTGCTTCCATCTCCCAATCACGACAATCTTAAGTTCATTCAAGGAATGGGATATCCGGAATGAAGAACAAATTGCTGAGTGCTTAAGGCATTCTGACATCGTTTACAACCTTGTCGGCCGAGAATATGAAACAAAGTATATTTTGAATTTAATCTCCTTGTTCGACCCACGCACTCACTCCACTTGAATCATCTCAGGAACTTTAAATACGCTGACGTTCATGTTAGCGGAGCGGAGAGGATTGCAAAAATCGCGGCACAAGTAGGAGTACCACGCCTGGTACATGTTTCTCACCTGAATGCTTCGACATCTTCCACGTCGCATTTCTACCGAACCAAAGCTGAGGGCGAAGAACGTGTCAGGGACGCCTTCCCCGATGCCACCATTGTTCGCCCTGGCTCAATGTATGGCCCCGAGGACAAGTTCTTGAACAACATGGCTAGTGGGTTTTGGACTTGCGCTTCATCGTTTTTCCGTTGATCAGACGAATCTGTCAAGGTTGGCCTATTTGGTGGAAGCTCAACCACGGAGAAACCAAAATTCGGCCAGTTCACGTAAATCTCGACCCTGTCACGGTCATGATCTTCCTTCTCAAACTGATCGTGGGTTGACAGGTTATGGACGTTGCTCAAGCTTTAACCAATTTGATGACCATTCCCCAATATCCCGGCACAATTTCCCTTCCTGGACCAAGGACGTTGACGACGGAGTACTTGTTAGACTTGGTGTCATCCTTGACTTACGTCCCGCCATCGAGTGCACCTGTGCTGCCCAAGTCTATTGCATTGGCGCTCGCCAAGGTTGCTCAGGCACCGTGGTGGCCGCTCATCAGTCCTGATGAGGTGGAGAGGCGCTACATAAACGACGTGGACGTTCCAGGCGATTGGGAAGCTGTAGGGGTGACTCCTGACGAGATTGAGAACCATGCGATCACGTACCTACGAAGGTATCGTTCGGCGTACGTATCATGCCGACTACGTGTTGCCCGAGGAGCTAAACTTTGCCTTGTAGAGAGAACTTCGTGCGACCGGTGGTTTTCCCTGCGAGGTCCAGCTAGGCGAATGTCATTTCCGACACTCACGATTCGTGGCCTGTTTCATCATACCGAACTTCGCTGTAGAATATATAGAGTCATATCGGATCTTCATGGGCGTTGCTAATTGTTCCATACTGGAACGATAAATGATTTCATGAAAGCGTTGCTAGGATGCATTAGCACGAGTGAACTTGTGGACCTATTTTCATGACGCTGGGCACAGGCCAAGAAGTCGCTCAAATGCCACCCGAACTCAGGTCAAACGAAAGCATACGTGCGTGAACTGCTTAATGAACTGAGTAGAAGTTTATTATAGGATGATCAAATGACACGTGGGTGATGATTCGCTGCGACACACGATGTAAGTCTGCCGGCGGGGGACGCGGATACTGCGGAACGCGAGAGAAGTATGTATAAGATACACGTGTGCATAAAGTATCTGAATGTAACTGCTGCTGGCAAGCTGAAGGAAAAGCTCGAAAACGGGCTGATTTTCGATCAGAAGCCGGGCGGAACGATGCCCTTTTGAGGTGCCTGATTTGAGCCGGGCGGCGGTGGGTAAGCTGATCCTGGCGAGAGCATCTACAACAAAACGAAGCATCAAATAATCAGTAAACAAGCCATAGCAAAGTGACAGAAGAAGTCCAAAACACTTACCTGCTGAGCACCTTGTTGTTGCGCCATCATTTCTCGTTCCTGTGCAACTATCTTTGCCTCATCTTCTAAACTGAGGGCAAGAGGAAGCCCCACGAGAAGAGCAGAGGTTGTGACTATCCAGACGATGTTACCAATGACTCTTCCGCTGGTCTTTACGAATGATGTAGCTTTTGAAACCTTGGTAGAGATGCTATGTCTGGTGGTGGGGGGGACTATGTCTACCAGTGCGCTTAGGCGGTCATACAAGGTTTCTTCTGCAGAAAGCTCAGAGGAGATAGAAGAAAGTGATTCTTGGGAAGAATGCCGTGAGGATGAAGTTGAAGCATAAGGAGAATTGCCCGAGGACTGTGGGTCTTTTTCTTCTACGATCTCGACCTTGACCATGGTTTGAACGGAAACGTGAGCAGCAACTGAAAAATTGGAGCCGACGTGAGAAGTCTGGACTTCGGTGCCGGCGATGCCTTGATCGGAGTTTGTAAACGTACTTTGTCATAATCTGTCTTACCTAAAAATGGAATCTTTCTTGCCGAAACGACATAATTTGTAACCAAACTCGGGAAAATAACTGGATTTGGAGTTTCGCTGTCAATATCCCTATTGCGGGGGAAATATGACTTATGGTATTATAAGTACAAGCGTGGCCCAATATAAACCGATTCCTCCTTGTCCCTCCTGTTATTTCTTCTTAATTATATCAGTCTATACCACCGCATCATAATATGCAGAACGGTGATCACGTTCGCAATGATAACGGTCACTCTTTCTCGCATCCAGGTAAGTACATTTTAAATCGATCACTTAAATTCTCATTTCTCACAACGTCACACCTCCCCCAGGCCTCATTCTCCCAACTCAATCTGTTCAGAATCAGATCCATGAGTTAGCAAAGACCCTTCCCCCTCCAAGGAAGCAAAATACCGCGTGTGATGCCTGCAGGTCTGTACACCATGCTGGTGATCGGCATCTCCAAACTTATTCACTCCCATCACTACAGGTCCCGAAAAGTCAAGTGCAATAGACTTCCTGGCGAAGACAAGGTAGGTAATATTCAAACAATACCGCCCACAAGTATCTGACCTTTTCTCAGTGTCAGGTAATTACTTTTTTCCTTATATGCTTGACTACGAGGTATTGAGGATAAACGCCAGCACTGCCTGTCTAAGAACTATCCTTGCACGTCAGTAATTCTCTATATTTAATTGTTGAACCGTGAGCCGACCCGTCCTTTAGCCATTTCGTCCAACAAGCGACCAGCGAAAAGAAGCGCAGCGCTGCCGCACGGAGGCCGAGAAATATATCAACAAGCACAAGGTTAGCTTCGGGCACTCCTATCTCGTCTCGCTTATTTACTATATCTCTGATATTCGATTGTCGATCTTTCTATCACCCTTCCCTATCTCTGCGCGATTTTCATCTCTGCTCCCGCCTTGCCAGCCCATCATTCAGCTCCTCTCCTGTATCTGCTAGGTACGATGCTGCGCTTTGGTCGACCCATTATCTAACAACCATCAATAGTTCATCGCCTGTCGCTGAACATAATACTCCCCCCTGGTTTAAAGCCGCGTTTGGTCCATGGAATTCAGGGCGCCTACAAACTTATGGTGGTCTCAACATGCAATCCACTACTCCAACGCTTCTTCATAACCTGTTTGCTGCGCCGGAAAGGTAAGCACCGTATCCTATTCGCATCGCTTAGCTGACTTATCCCTTCACGTCAGCGACTCCACTTTTATGTTCAAATCACGGTCACCAGGCTACGCCACATGGGGAGACATGGCATCCAAACTTGAAGATGAAGCCTTCCGAGCAGAGTACGTTGCAACCTACCCCTTTCCTCCTTTCATTACGTAAACGATCGAAATTATCGCGGTGTACGTCAAGTGTTATCATGTTCCGTGATGGTTACTGAAGAGTCTCTTCGAAGTGGCTTCACCGTTCCTTTTCATTTGCCGTATCGATCTGTTCCTAATAGGCTGTTGCTGATGTGTCTCCCTTTGCTTCTGATGACAGGTTCGCCCTTGACCTAGTTGAAGTTTATTTCCAGATAGTCCATACCCGTCTTCCTCTTCTCAACCCCTTGCAGTTTCGCGCGCGATTAAATCTCCAGGCGACACAACAAAGGCCGGTGATTGCAAAGCAGGATGAACCACTACACCCAGCCCTTATCGCAACGGTGCTTGCCTGGGGTGCAAAATTCTCCGAACATCCCCTTCTTGTGGCAGATCGCGAAAGAAATGGTGGACAAAGCCTGCTCGCTAAAGCGCTCATCAACCGCACCCGAGAGCTGGCCGAGTCATTAAAAGTGCACCGCATACCAAATCCTAATCATGTCGTCATCTCGTTGCTGATCGAACCCCTGCAATGTCGTACGTACTTTATTTCGTTGATTTTTCCTTTGCTCATCATTACGCAACAGAGGACCCACGACATGACAACGGTAATATTGACCCAATTGTTTTCACCGCTGCGGCTAACAGAGAGCAGGCTTCCATAGGTTCTGGCTCACTAGCGGGATACGTAACTTGCTTGAACTACAAGTAAGTAGAATGATTCCATTCGAAAGAACCTTTTTCAATAAACTTATTTGTAGATCAATCACAAATCCGTGATGTCGGATATCAAAGATCCCGATGCGCGCGGTACCATGATTTTCGCTTGGTGGATGGCTTGTCTAGCGGACGCATTCTCCTCATTTTATTACCGCCGGAAGCCCATGCTGTACGTTTAAGGGGATGTTTATTTGACCAAAGACTAATGGCCGCCCATGTAGTGATGACGACGACTATGACATTGACTTCTACACTGCAGATCAGAACGCTCAGGATCCCACCGACCCCACGTCCCCGTCTCCTAGAGAACAACTTGAGGTGAGATTCAGGGCTGTATTCTTCGACAATAAATACTTACATCATGCTTAGTTTTTGGTTGGTAAACTCTAAACGATGCCTTTACATGCGTATTTACACTTTATCAGGGGTACTACCGAGCTGCACACGCCCTTGCTCGGATCTCGCGGACAATTGCTCGCCAACTGTGGAAGCCATCAACCGACCAAGACGGCATTCCTCTTGATTCAGTCCTGTCGTACATCTCAGACCTAAGCAAATGGAGAGATGCACATTTGTCCAAGGTCGGTGTGCCACCTAACTTGGAGGCAAATTGGGATTTCGTATCTGCGGTCTCTGCATGTATGTAGGCGACATTTACTATTGTGTTGAGTTTACTAAACTAGTGTCTACAGGTGCAAGTGATGCTCAGTATCATGTCACTTGGGTAGCCCTTTTCTTTGCGATGGATGAGTTCGGTATTCGTGATGACGCCTTCACACCAAGTAGTATCAATCAGGTGGAAACTGCAAAACGTAAAGTGATGGAAGAAGCTCTCCAAGCTTCCTTGCGCATTGCGGCGCTCGTGAGTGACTGCCATGTGACGAATTACCACCGCTGATTTATTATTCTCAGGCCGGAGTACTTACTTCAAACGGCTACTTGGTACGCTTGTCGGTAAAAATACCACTGTATCAACTAACTCCTTTCAGAAACTGGACCCTGCGGTCATGCATGTAAGCTGTATCAACGCAGGGAATCTACTTGCTCGGCTAGGTCGTCCCGAAGTGTTTCAGTGCATCAAGGCATTGGAACAATACAGCTATGCTTACGAAGAGACCAAGGAACATGCGCGGGAGATCAACCGCGAGTATGATCTTGCACTGCAAAAGGGTCCGCATAACTTCCATGAAATGGCTAGCGCTATCAATACTTCTTCTCGCGCCTTCCAGGCAGAGGCCATGAGCCTCGACGCAATAACCAATGGCAATGGCAAGCACCATGGAAATACGGTGAGCGGTTTTCTTTAATTCCCGAGGAGATAGGCTCAAGTATGATGTGCCAGTACATGTCGATTTAAACCGCTACTGCAGGCTTTACCGGTCTTTTATTGTTTTCGTCCTCGCAAATCAGTCACTTGCTGTCCATTAAACCCTTATCCGTGACGGGTTGTTGTTTACTCTCCTCCCAGCACTTCCTGCATCCATATGGACTAACATTTTTTCCATTATGTAGTTATTCGAGACTGCCGTTTGGTTTCACCATGTTGTCTAAATACTTCGATGTTCTGTAGCAGGATATACTCCAGATAGTGATACCCTTTATCCCAGGCGGACGCTCTTGATAACTTTGGATATACCAGACTGCTCGCCAGTATACTTTGAGGCATCGCCGATACCACCCTTGTAGACTGCACGCTGCGATGATACCCTCTTTTTGGCTTGCTCGTATTTTTGGCGTTTTTTGACCCGAGGATTGCGCACACTCTTGGATCTATGCGGCGTTAGTCCCTTATTTTTCATGATGGCCCGCGTGACTGAGCGCGGGCCAGATGCCTCATCTTCACCAAGTACAAGTCTATGGCGATCAAATGAGAAAGGCCCGTGATTTATGAAAATTGGAGCTTACCTCTCGGCCGACCGAGCCTCCTCATAGTCGATCTTTTTCTTGCTCTTCTTCTCCGCGGCTTGTCGCTTGACGAGCTCGTAATAACCGTATCCTTCCGCCGTGTCGCTATTATCGTCGTCCTCAACATCAACATCTCTCCGTCTCTTTTTGCTGCTGCTGCTTGCATCAGCATTTTCGGGATCCAGATCATCCAGGTCATCTCCGCCCATCCCCAGTGTTCCGGCTTTTCGCTGCCGCTCTTTCTCCATTCTCTGCTCCTTTTCTTTCCTCCGTTCGCGGTAAGGTATATCGTCATCGCCGCCCACTGCATTGACGCGAGCGTTCTGGCGCCTCGCACTAGCATTTTCAATGCGTGACACATGGAAACGTAAGCTCTTCTTGTGCGCCTGTTTGTCCGTGGCGTCAGCGTGTTGTAGGAACGTTGCTTCGCCGAATGCGTCTGTACTATTGGCGTCAACGGGGGCCGAACGCTTCTTCTTGGCGGAAGTCGAGGCGGCCTCAAAGTCTGGCTCGACGAGGTCGAAGATTGGCTGTCCTTTTTTATCATCGGAGGTCTTGCGTTTTTTCTTAGGAGGCTTAGCTTCGATCTTGTCTCCCTTGGGTGCCTTGCTCGGTTTATCATCGGCGTCCATCAGCAGATCTGTAAGCTCATCAGATTCGAGATCGTTTGTCATCAGGACGCTCCACAAGTCAGGTGCATCAAATCCAAGTTCGCCGTCCTCGTCATCTTCATCTTCGTCATCTTCGTCCTGCGAGTCGGTCCCAACGCCCAAATTTTCTAGTGTAACAAGTGATTGCTTGAGAGTGAGCAGACGATTCAGGACCGGGTGCTGTCTCAGGAGTAGAGGACGGCCTGCGTATTTCTCCGAGGAGCGCAGGTGAAGATAATACGCGAGTGTAGTAGCATAGGTCAGAAGAGCCTCTGTGATGTTAAAAAAAGAACTGGTTGGTCAGAAATCCTGATGCAGCGCAAGTAAAATAAACCGGAGGTGAGAACTGACGATAGTATACGTGCAGAAGTCCGAGTTCAATTCCGTCGGTTTCTTTCTCCGATGTTCTGGACAAATTTTGAGCATGAATGTTGGAAAGCAGTAAATTGAGAACTTACGCAGCAATTTTCGCTTGTATTTCGATGAGATTACGAGCGGTATCATCCCAGTCACGGGCTAAAGCAAGAGCTTCAGGATTTTCTCTTTCCAGGTGTTGCAAGACGGCCTTCTTGTCATTCAAGGATACGTTAATTGTAGGATGTGATTGGTCCTCCAATGAATCGCTGTAAACAACGTAAGCGACAAATAACATGTGGATGAGACCACGTACTCAGCCTCAGCATCGGTTTCTGCTTCGAGACCTTCACCCAATCCAAAGTCATCCTCATGAATAGCGTCCCGAGCCTTCACCTGCAGTCTGCGGGCTTCCTGTTCCTCCAGTTCATTTGCCTCCTCGTCTTCCGAGTCGATTTGGGCAGCATTAGAGGAGTAATACGCTGACTTGCTTTGACCCCAGGATTCGTCCTCCGAGCCTGTATCTGAAGGAGATGATGCCTTCTTCGACTTGGTTTTTGTTTTGGCTTTTGTTTTGCTCTTGGTGACGACTTGGTCTTCGTCGACGTCTTCATCTTCAGCATACTCGACTCCGTCCTCATCCTCTTCATCCTCATCCTCGTCTGATACGCCTTCAAGAGCAAAAACTTCGTCTTCATCCTCATCATCATCCTGAACATCTCCGTCCCCATTCAAAAGGATTTTATCCCTGGATGCATGGACTAAGGATCATTTTCAGCTACATGTAATTATTTTCGGGGTATGAGGACGTACATTGGTCCTCTTCGTCTAACTCAATATCAGAAGCCTTATTCCACCGTTTTATTTTGCTTTCCTTGCGATCCACTGGCCGCGGCTTCGAGCGAGAACTGCTCTTGCCGGATGGACGACGGCGAGGCATACTTGGTATGACTTTGATACTTGTTAGACGCCGGACTGATGAAAAACAAATCTAAAAATAGAAAACCGGCAATTAAGCTGAAAGATAAGATAAGATTACAACACGCCTTGTTTCTGGTACCAATAAAACGTAGACAGAGTGACGGAAGTCATATTGCAACTCTCAAAAGCCTAAACGCCTGTGTGCTCAGCGCCGATTCCTTGTTTCTACTCTATGAGCACTGTGGTCGCGCTCCGAAATGGGTGCAAGGACTCCGTGAACGTTGGAGTCAACGTTATTTGCTACGTATGTTTCGTCAATTGATGGTCTTCCCGGCGCGCTACGGCCACCAGCTCATTATACTATTAAATCTCACAGACACCTACTACCATCACATGCACCCTCTGCAGAGTCTGAACTGCTTTCCCGCACCTTCCCCTCCCCCTGGTAAGCTTTTTTATTTTTTATTTATTACTTTTTTGCCAATAGCATCTGTCTCACACCATTTTCCTTTCCTAGCAACTTGCCTGCCTCCTCTTACGTCCTAAACCTCACATACTCTGGTATGCTTTTTTCGTTCGTTTTTACTTATGACGCCTCAGCCACCCCCCCTCTCTTGGAACCTCCTTGCACCATCGTAGCACCTTATTGCCCCTCCGGCCGCATTCGAACCCTCCCGTAACTTTTACTTGGCTAATTTCCCAGCGAGCTTGGCTGCTTCGCTCCCCGCTTTGCGTCCGAACACAGCCCCAGCAGTCAGTCCGCTACCTCCAGGGTAGTTGTTAAAAAACAAACCACCAACCATTTCCCCCGTACAGAAAAGTCCTTTTATCGGTGCATCTGTCTCTTTCAACAGTACGCCAGCGGTATCCGGATCTATAGCGAGTCCACCAAAGGTAAAGGTGATCCCACACGCGACTTTCACCGCCAGGAAGGGTCCCTGATCGATCGCCAGCGCCCAGTTCGACTTTGGAAGTTGCAGCGATACAGTGGTAGACTGAGTCGAGAGTCCATCTTTGACTGTGGGGTCCCATCCAAGAGCTGGGTGCTCAGCTCGATGATTTCGGACTGCCTCGTTGTAATTGTGCACTGTTTTGAGGAAACACTCTTTGTCCTTGAGCCCTTTCTCAAGTAGCTTGTCTGCAAGCTCTTCCACGTTCCCAGCAAAGATCTTCTCAACAATCTCATCTCCATATTCCTCCTTCCGGAGAAATTTAACCATGTCTGCACCCCACACTTGGAATGCGCATCCTTCCGGTTGGAGAAGGATCTGTCGCCCAAACTTGGCATATGTGTAATTTCTGAAATCCTGCCCCTCGTCGACGAAGCGTTGGCCATAAATGTTGACCATGATACCAAGAGGATAACCTGACTTCGTGAACTGATTGCTGAGCTCCCTGTCGCCTGCGTCTGCTGGTGCATTCGCATCCCAACACGTGCTGTGACATCCTGCCCAGTCTCCAACAAGCTTTGCGCCGACAGCTCGGGCCATGGCAAAGCCATCACCCATATTGAACGGAGTACCCCTGACCTGCACGTTATTTCAGTTGTTATAGTAGCATGCCGAGCAACTGTATACAACTTACGTGTGCCTTTTCCCATTCCGAACCAAGATGTTTGGCCCGCAGCTCTGAGCTAGATTCATAACCTCCTGCTGCCAGCACTACAGAAGAAGCTGAAAGATCCAATTCCTTGCCGTCTCTCTGAACCACGAGACCCGTTACTATCCCCTTTTCAACCCTGAGCCTGATGGCAGGAGTCTCGAACCAAATCTCCACTCCGACCTTCTCCAGTGCTTTCATATGGGCCTTAATTAACCCCTTTCCGCCATCCTCAGTGCTGAGTGCCATGCCACCCCAGAACTTCTGCCTCCCATTCACCTCGTATGCTTGGCGGTGGAACGACAGAATGAACGGAATGTCCGCTATCCGCGCGAGCCATTCCACCGCTTCTCTCGAGTTTTCCACCATGGTTTTCACAAGTTTCGCGTCTGGCTTATCTTGGCCAAGGCGCATAATGTCCTTGGTGAAGTCCTCGACAGTATAGGGATCCATGTCGATCTTGGACGCCTGTTCCGGTGTGACATTGCGCACGATCGGGAGGAGATCCTGCAGTCCTCCGTGGACTGTTCTATGCGCACCTGCTGTGAAGTAGCCGTTGCCGCCAACCCATTCGTGTGGGGCTTTCTCGACAATGAGGACAGAGGTACAGCCTGCCTCAACAGCGGCAAGGGCTGCCGAACAACCTGCATGTCCGCTCCCGACCACGATGCAATCGTAATGTGTAGTCATTTCAGACAGTAAGGAGCGCCTTAGCCACCTTTGTGTTCGACGTTCAGTGTGAGCGTTTTAACGCATCGGACATCTCGCTTTGGCGTAGTAAGTCACGCTGGACATACGGCCGCCTGGCGCTAATACATGTGAGTACTCGCCGTATTGGGAGAAAAAAACACCAGGATGTTGTGCTTCACTTAGCTACTGCAATATTAAAGGCTACTACATAGCTTCCTTGATGATAATGCATACTACACTCTGGCAGGGTTCACAGCCAAGAATCCACCATCGATAACCAGTTCCTGCCCATTCATATAAGCTGCAGCGGGCGATGCAAGGTAAACGGCGGTGCCTGCCATCTCAGCAGCGCTATTACATTTTATCGTCAGTGAAGGCCCTGGTCCTCGAATCAAGCTTCACTCACGTTCCCGGCCTCTTCGCTGGTATAGACAACACTGGCATACCGACCGCATCAGTTGCTTCTTGTCCTGAAATGGTGTCGCGTGTCATCTCGCTTTCATACACGCCTGGCGCGATAGCGTTCACTCGAACATTGATTCCTTTGAGAGCAAATTCTGTCGAAAACATCCTGGTGAGGTGAGATCCAGCAGCTTTTGAGCTATTGTAGCAGAACTTGTCCACCAAAGTCAGCGATGATAAACGAACTCGAAGATGACTTTGCTCACATGTCTCTGTGCAACCTTTATGAGTCCGCTCATACTCGTGATATTGATGACGCTGGAAGAGAACCCCTCTTTGTCGTTATTCTTGGATCCCTTGTCAAGCAAATCCAAAAATGCAACAGTCACAAAGTAGATCGAAAAGGTGTTGATCGCGTAAAGGGAGCTCCATTCCTCGAACGATTCATTGTTGAAGAGGTATTCACTGAGTGGTCCTGCCTCCTTTTGAGCAGTCGTTGATGGTCGATTCAACTCAGGAGAGACAGGGCCTGATTGGCCAGCACTTCGTTCGATCATGATGAGTCACGAGACAATAGGGAGAGAAGATGTCATACTTGTTCACGAGAATGTGTAGCTTCCCCTCTGCTTGGGATATTCTCGTTACACCAGCTTGAATGCTGTCCTTTTTTGTTACATCCATCTCATGCCTATGGATTGTGCTCGATCAGCCCGCACAAAACGAGCAGAAACATTGGATCTCACGCGACCATTGATCCCATGTCGTCTCCTTTAGTTGCATTCCACTCCGTAACCACTTTGTCAAGGACCTCCGTTCGTCGACCAGTGATATACACCTTGGCCCCATTAGCGGCGAGGCCACGAGCAATCATAAGGCCGATGCCTGTGCCGCCACCTGTCACCAACGCGATCAGCCCATTGAGATCGTATAGCTTCTTCAGCGTAAAATTTTCAGGTATAGACATGGTGAGAAACAAGGTCGCAACGATTGACACGCGGGGTTCTCAAGAGACTGGCGAAATGAGTATGTCCAGTGTCACAAGATCAAAGCTGACTGCGTAAATAGAATCGCACCCCCGATCAGGCAGGAACAGAAATCATGTGTGTGACAGGAGTCCATGTACTTCGATGCTACATAGCACAGACTCTGGGTATAAAATAAGACAGTTATTCGTTCATATTGAACTTTGACTCACAGGTGGATCCTGCATAGTGTGTGCGAAGTTGCAGAATTCAGACTGTCTCTCTCGCAGAAGTAAGGCATGTGTAGTTTCTCCTAGCCAGACCTATCGAAGGAAGATAATTGTTCCTTCGTATTAGGCATGTGGGACCCCGGGTAGATTGGTGCATTACATATGAACAAGAAGATCAACGATTCCGCTTGCAGACCGTGAATTGTTCTGAAAAAATGTTTTGCGAGGACATGGATGGTCTGCCCAGCGACTACCTTCGTCAGAAGTTCAGAACCTTGATGTCGGATGATATTATGACTTGAAAAGGGCTCAGAGCGACTCCGAGTCCAGGAATTGCACTGATTTCCGCCCAAGGTCCGAAGGTCGACCGTAGTTCGCGAAACACGAGCAGTGTCGGGAGGTGTCGACGGCAAGAACGACTCGGAGTCGCTCGAGCCCAGACGTTCTAGGTGAGTCTGTCCTGCGAGAACGTCGTCGTGGGGAAGCTCGCGTAGTGCACATGAAACTCGATTCTGGAATTCATTCCTAGAAGTTCAGAACTTCATTCACTGCGGCTCACTGGCAGCTCAGTGATGTTAGTCACTATAGTGTGAGACCGCTGAGTCACAGCCACCCCCAAGCGCCTATTTACATAAGCGCATCAGTTGTACACTAGATTCACAGTGTTCACTACGTTCAACTTGAAAGTTACACGATAAACGAAGACAATGCTAAGCCTCTGTCGTGCCGCGAGTTGGAAAGGAGGCGTAGTCTCTCAGGTTTGTCGCAGGAAAGTGCCACGACACCTAGTCCTAGCGGAGACGAGGTATGTAACAGCGCCTATAATTGTTTGTTGAGTTCAGTGATACCCGAGTCGTCACAGCCGTCTTCTCCGAGTCTCACACCCACGCGAACTGGTTCTCGCAGATGGTAACCCCGTCACGCGGTTCTTTCGCGAGTTCTGGGGTAAGCTATTTAAGCCTCGTTTCTCTCCGACCCTTGGACGGTCTGTCAACGCCCGTGGCTTTTATATCCGCCCAGAAAAGCTAAGTAGATGCAATTCGACTCTTGGCATGTCCTACGTGGGATGACTTGCTACTTACTGCTGCTGCAGGATCCCACTTACCCCTGCTTTGGAAACAAATACTTGCAATCTAGCTTTATCAGGTGCGAAGACCGACGAATTTGTCAAGGTGTGTTGGAGAAATATAGACCAGACTGATAATGTCTCTCTTTCGTTATATCAGACGCTCAGGAAAGACCACACGACCCTGAAGTTTGGGAACGAAATAATTACGGATACAACCAGAGTCACTGCATGCATTACGCATATCCCTGGAGTGAGCGACAAAAGAGAATTCACCCACACCTCCACCATTACCGAGCCCCTGACTGATGGTGCTCGGTCTGTTGTAATAAAGCCGATTTGAAACATTGTGTCTGCTTCAGACGACACTACAATCCGGGTGTGTGACGCAGAGACCAGCAGCGAACTGGGCGCCCCGCTCCGAGGGCATACGGACTACGTTTGTGTCTGTTGAAATCTCGCCAAATCCACAATGCATCATGTTCAGTTCCAATGATACGACCATCCGAATATGGGAAGCGGATACTGGCGACGTACTGTGCGTCCCTCTCAGAGGGCACACTGATCTTATCCGGCCTGCTCCGAAGCACATCCATTGCTTTTACTATCCACTCCGACTCATGCTCTTTCGGCTACATCCTCCTTTCTGCAAGGTTCTCGCGTCCCAGCCTATCTCTCGCAGACGAGGTCCTGAAGGACGGATTCTCCTGTGGATCCCAATCCATCCCCACCCGTCCGTCTACTCTGACGACATGCTGATAATACACAATGATTCCGCACAGCTGGATTTAAGTCGTTTCGCGCATGGCATGCGTGTCTAGAACAGTAAGCTGCTCTGTCCTCGTGATAACATCTCTCGTACATTGCGCTCTGGGCAGTGCACGGGTATGGCGCAAACATTTAATGCAATTCTGTCACCGCAGCCCAACTCTACTCGAGACCTATTCTATGGGAACGCTGACTCGCACGAGATGCAGTATCGGCACTTGAAGAAGTGCGTTGAATGGTGACATTCGCTCTGTCAGACCTATCTGATCGAAGCTGCTGGGTACTGCATACTGAAGAGAGAGATCGCGAAAGAGGCGACCTTTCACTCAGCCCTATCTCGCATTTCATCTGGCAACTGCGACCCCAGCCATCTCAATGCGCCAGCCAGCATAAACAAAACAACGTATACTGCATTTCCCGCGAGAAGATTGCGTTCCTTCGATACAGCGAAGAGCGAGGTCGCCAAGGCGGGCCCGAAGGCACGAGCCATTGACGCGGAGGTTTGGCCAAGACCATTGATAGTGCCCAGGACAGTATCGGTAGGGGCGGAGGCCGTGATAAACATGAAGACAGTCCCTGTAATGAAGTGGGTTAGTTATAATGACAAGATTATTTCGTTGCGATGCTTACCAAAAGCCATATCCCATGTGACTATCAGAACTAGTTGGCAAAGCAAGGCGAATGTGATTGCGTGATCTACTCCCCCCCTTGCGCTTGCAAGCCACGACATTATCGGAAATATGACCATGACTGGTGCGAAGCACGACACCGACACGCAGAATAAACGCTTTGGACCAAACCGATCGACTATCTTAGCGAAGAACAATGCCTGAAAGACACCATCGATGATCCCAAACAACGCCAGCCACAAGCCAATAGACGAAGGAGTAAATCCAAGACCACCAAGATATATAGGCGTCGCAAAAAACAGCGGCAAAAGAGCCCTGAAAGAAACGTCTAGGAAAGCGAGCATGGCGTAGTTTGCAATTGGAATAACAACGGTAGGTGTGAGCAGAGATCGCAAGGGCATATCTGCCATGGATTGTCGAGCCTGTGATCCACTACTTGAAGCACCGAACGTGGCTGATGTCAACTTTGGTCGGCGTTTTGTTGATAATGTCTGCTGATTGTCAGTAACGTGGACAATACGACAGGTATGTATGTATGACTTACTTCTTCTAAGAAGATTGACATCGTGAAAAGGGCCAGGACGAACAAACAGGCGGCCACTGCACAAGGCAGAAAGTATGGGTATTTCCCCCAAAATGGATTGGCGAATAATACGGGCCAATTATCTTGTGGGCGCGCGAGCGTTCCGCCGATTAATGGACTGAAATGCGTATTTCATCATTTACCATCTCCACAGTCAACAACCCAGCTTACCCGATAAAGCCTCCGGTGCACCAGACGATCGGGAACAAGGCAAATGCCTGAGCCATATTCGTGGAGTCCGTCAGCTCACCCATCATAGTCTTCATAACTCCCATATTGCCATTCAGAAAACCGGACATGCAACGGCTAGAGAAACCCGGCATGTCAGCATAATATTGTGCATCTTCTTTAGCTGAAGACACACCTGATCACAAGGCTCCAGAAGGTCGTCGAGAGGCCGAAACATAGCATCGAAATACAGGCTCCTGAGAGTCCAATTACCAACACCGGCTTGCGCCCAATGCGATCAGACAGCCGGCTCCACCTTAACACCGTCAGTGCCTGCGCGAGGAAAAACAAAGATTCCTGTCAAGAATATCCAATAGTATGCTATAAGTAAACCATTCTTTGCAAGTCATCAGATCGGCTACTTACAATGATTCCAGCATAATATCCTACGGCCGCATCGTCGCCCCCAGTGATTCCTAGCTCTCGGATAAGCTGAGAAAGTGAAATGAACAAGTCGAAGAAAAATGTTGAAATTGGAAAGTTCATACCTGATTGATGTACGGGAATATAGATGTCGAAGCGATGGGTTCTGCAAGTTGCAGCGTCATAAGTATGCATATCTGGAGTTTTGGAAGAGGTGTTTTAGGCTTCTTCGGGGCCTCTGCAGGGATCAGAGGAGTGATCTCACTTGCTATCATACGAGGAGAATTGGAGGTGTCCATGCTGGTGGTCAGAGCTGAAAGTCCAGCGAAAGCCTTTTTGAGGCCAGAGAGGCAGCGAACCGCCCCAAGGTGTGAACGTACAAAAGTGTATTTTTAGTCTGCACATATGGTTAGCTGTTGGAGAGTTTGTCAAGCGACACCAACGGAATAGAAAACCGTGCAAACTATCCGGGCTCCTGGACTACAAATCAGTAAGTAGTATCTAACATATGTACTTGAACAAGCAACTCAGTGCTTGCGCTCAGCGCCCATGCATCATGTTTGGCAAGAGGGCTAAAAATAATTAGAAAGTTGCTCCTTGCGAAGTCACCTTTACTCCAATGTCGAACGGTAGCGAGTAATCTTCAAAGTTGGAACGCCGGACATCAGATCAACTGGGATTCGTACCGCAAGTCGCAGATAGTTGTTCTTTGCTAGTCCACATGAGGAGAAACGGTGCCTTGGAGTATCATACTGAAGTTGAAAAAATCATGATGAGCGATCAGTTTTTAGACCGACGATCGTGCATGCTCACATTGTTCACCGGCAGAAATCCTGTGACAGGATCTCTGCCTTTGAACAGTTTGAGAGTAAATTTGTGGGATTCAAAGAATACGGTCATCCTGTGACGTCAACGCGTCAACCATGACATTAATCTCCAAAAAGCATTCTGAGATGTGTGCCAGTGGCGGGTTATTGTATAGGGTTCTTCAAACTGAAGCTGGCTCAAGTCGAGGCAAAGACACCAACTTCTAATAGATGCCCGTTTTAACTTGTTCGATGGTCACATCTGTAGCTCGGTGAACTTCAATACGATCCAACCACGTCTAAATCGAATGCTTAGAACAAGAATCCAAACATCAAACACGCTCACTGATATTCAGCCACCCATCCATAAATTCGATACCCCGCAAACCGATGAATACAAATCCTACAACACCATCGTGCAATTCGATATCATTTCCTGTCGTAAGTCACCTTTCATTCATCCCTGTCTTGCATTTCTTCTGGCAACTGCGCCGCCAGCCATCCCAATGCACTGGCCAGAACAATCAAGACGATAAAGACTGCATTCCCTCCGAGAAGATTGTGTTCTTTTGACAACGCAAAGAGCGAAGTCGCCAACGCGGGACCAAAGGCACGAGCCACCGCCGCAGAAGTCTGTCCAAGGCCATTGATAGCCCCAAGCACGTTATTCGTAGGCGCAGAAGCTGTGATAAACAAGAATATAGTCCCTTTAAAAAAGTGAGTTGTATGCAACGAATTTTGTCGCAACTACACACCATATCCCATGTCCCATATGACCGCCATCACTAGTTGGCAGAGCAAGGCAAACATGACTGTGCCATCAACTTCCCCCCTTGCGCGCAAAAGCCACGATATTATGGGAAACATGGCCATGACTGGTACGTAGCACGACGCTGACACACAAAATAGACGCTTTGGGCCGATCCAATCGACAATTTTGGCGAAGAAAAATGCCTGAAAGACACCATCGACGATCCCAAACAACGCGAGCCACGAGCCAATAGAAGCAGGATCAAATCCAAGACCGCCAAGATAGGTAGGCGTCGACAAGTACAGCGGCAAAAGAACCCTCCAAGAAACGTCGAGGAAAGCGAGCATGGCGTAGTTTGCAATCGGAATGACAACGGCAGGCGTAAGCAGAGATCGCAAGGGCATATTTGCCGTTGCCGTGGGTTTTTGGACGAGTGATTCTCTGTCGGGGCTACTCGAAACGCCGGCTGTAATTGAAGTCAACTTCGGTCGACGCTTTTTTGATAATGTCTGCCGATCGTTAGTAATGTGTGCGATACGACAGGTGTGTGGAACCTACTTCTTCTAAGAAGATTGACATCATGACAAGGGCTAGAACGAGCAGACAAGCTGCTACCCCACAAGGTAGAAAGTATGGGTACTTTGTCCAAAATGAACCGGAGAACAATCTGGGCCAATGATCTTGCGGGCGCGCGAGTGTTCCTCCCATTAAAGGACTGAAACGCGTATTTCATCATTTGCCATCACCATAAGTCAACAACCCCACTTACCCAAGAAAGCCTCCAATGCACCAGACAATCGGGATCAAGGCGAACCCCTGAGCCATATTTGTGGAGTCCGTCAACTCCCCCATCATAGTTTTCATAACTACGACATTGCCATTCAAAAAACCACACATGCAGCGGCTGGAGAAACCATGTCAGTACAGCATATTCTCCTCTCAGCTGAAAGACACACCTAATGACAAGGCTCCAGAATGTCGTTGAGAGGCCGAAACATAGTATCGAAATGCAAGCTCCCGATAGTCCGATTACTAACACCGGCTTGCGCCCGATGCGGTCAGACAGCCTAGCCCACTCGAGCACGGTCAGCGCCTGTCCGATAAAAAACAGAGACTCCTATCAATGATTTCTGATGTGAAAACTAATCTCTCGTAAGTAGGAATCCCGACACCTACAATGACTCCAGCATAATACCCTACAGCCGCATCATCACCCCCAGTGATTCCAAGTTCTCTGATAAGCTGAGAGTAAAACAACCATCAACGATGTGCGCCGGAGAGAATCGCGGAGTCATACCTGATTGATGTACGGGAATATAGAAGTGGAGGCGATGGGTTCTGCAAGTTGCAGCGTTATGAGTATGCCGATCTGGAGTTTTGGAAGTGGGGTTTTAGGTTTCTTGGAGGCCTTTTGGGGGACGAGAGGGGTGGTCTCGGATGCTACAACATGTGGATTGGAGGTGTCCGACATGTAGGGCTGAAGAGCCACTGGGAGATGCTTGCAAGTGCAGAGGCAGAAATGCCTTGATGTTATGACACGGACGCATGAGTATTTATATGGGCCGCATCAGTGATACTTATGGGTCATAAGCTATCGATGGAATGTATGTAATGCTGTCGAGTGAATTTGTCAAGCGACATACCTCAGGTTGACAGGTTGCGATTGCCAATGGGAGAAAACAGGAGGTAACTGCGGCGCGACCTACCCGGGTTCCCAATAGAACGGTGTTAAAGAGACTACATAGTCCCTGATCGATCAATGCCTTTTGATAAGCATGGAAACATATTCACTTGATCAAATAGTGGTGCTCGTAAAACATACGCAGAGACGATTGGGAGGGTATTGAGCCTGACATGTTAGGATTGGAAAGCGGTCACGGTGGCCGCCATGGGCGATTTTCCAATCTGGAACAACTGACAATTTTTTACGAGAATCATCACGCGAGGGATGTAATAGGCGTCAGGGATGTTTGCATGATCAAATGAAGAGAAACGCTGCGCAAGCTCAGTCGACTCCAACAATCGTGCTCACTGACCGGAACCCACTTACCTTACCATGACGTAGTATCACGCCACCATCAACCGAGCTAGCAACTGCACGTTGCCATACTGTTTCATCGGACGTTTCAGACCGGATGAGCAGAAAACCTAATATAGACTCCCACACCTGTAGCAGATCCACGCTGAAACCACACCAACACTAGTACTGAAAAAATATAAATGCGGGAATCGTTTACTGAACATCCATGCTAGCGCTACGAGTCCACTACGGAATAGCAAGTCCAGCTTGAACAGCTTCACGCGCCTCAATACGATCGAACCACGCCTAAAGAAAGTCAACTTTAACACGAGACACGAAAACGAAACACGTTCAGACGCCCACCTTAAGACTCGGCCACTCATCAATAGATTCGATACCCGCGAATTGATGAATACGAATCCTAAATCCATCAGCATCAGCAAACCGGTCTGTCAAAGGAAACGAAACGAAGCTGAAACGCACCAAGGGAAAACGTTGATGTCCGCAGCGCTGTACACGCCTCGGCCGGGTCCAGCGAGGTAATCGCGGTCTGCGAGGCGGATCTCCATCACGCCGTAGAGGCGCTTCGTTTCTTCAATATACCCTGCAGTCGTTCTCATCAGGCGCGCACCAAAAGAAAACAAGAAACTGAAACTCACGTTTTTTCGCATATGGAATATCCTCGGGCGCAAACCTGTTGAAATGGTTCGCTGCGCAGCGTCAACACAAACCCCAACGCCCAAAAAACTCAAGACACAGACCTTGTCCTTGCATAGGACCAACGCCTCCATGCTACACCACAACGCCATCAACACAAACATCAAATCGCAAGGTAAAAACTCACCGCCCAAAACATCCACTGAAGCATCTCGCTATAATCATCAGGCTGCCTAACAGCATCAAACCCAAACTTCCTCTCCGGATCATAATGCTGTTCCAGATAAAGCAAAATAGCAGCAGTCTCAAAAACCGCAAAGTTGTCCCGCTGGCGGTCGACGAGTACTGGGATTCGACCGTTCGGGTTCAACTTGATGTACCAGGGCTCTTTCTGGATGTTCTTCGAGATGTCTATTTTCTCGACGCTTTCGTTTGTTTTTGTTTTAGTCTTTGGTATGTGTGTGTAGGGGGAAAGACTCACTCGTAATCGACCTTGTTCCCATAGACGGCTCTTAGCTCTTCAAGAAAAACACTGACTTTGCGTCCGTTGGGCGTACCAGCGGTATACAGAATAAAAGGCTTCGACATGGTGCTGTTGGACGATAACGATCTTGCTACAGAGCCGAGGCGATTCAAGACAGTATGCATATCGTTCTAGGGGTATCACTGTCCTTTATACGGTCGGTCGACCTAGTGGATGACGTCTGGTTTCGCCATATCATGATGCTGACAAGTGGCTGACAACGACAGGCTAGTACGCGGCCATCAGTCAGCAACTCGACATGACAATTCGTCAGCGCGCTTTCTAATTCGCGGACTTCCGAGTTCTCTAAAGAGAAACCCCGGCCTTCTAAGGGCGCATCTTGCCGATCCATCTCAAGTGAGTTTGCGAAGAATTTTATCAATGCAGCCGAGCAGAAGAATCATTGCGCACAATAAGTTCTGAATTGAAAAAAAAAAATGGGGAAGAAGCAGAAGAAAAAAGGAGAAAGAGAAAAAACGTGTTCTACCTCGAACAAAAAGGCTAGCTATAAGTACACATATATAACGGGAAGCACCGAAACAGAAGATCACGAACGTATACTAAAAAGATATGATATCCATATAGCAATCAGCGAACTGAAACTTTGAAACTAAAAAACGAAACCATGCGAAACGAAACAGAGAACTCGAAAGCGACTATAACTAGACGACAACGCATGCGATAAGGAGAGATATTTTGTCCAAGATCCTCCGCAATAAATGCGGTCATGCAGAACGTCCGAGCGCAAAGAATGTTGGTCCTGATAGCATCCAGGAAAGCGGTATGCACGAAATCAGTAGGAATGCAAAAAAAGATCAGCGCTCCTCCATCGCGCCGGAATTTTTATGGCTGTCGCTACTCCTGGATGATTCGCCGCTCCCACAGTTATACGATCCTGAGTAGTACATTCGGTTCGGTGGTCGTGCGTCTGCTTGGCGCGTAGATGTCCGCTCAGGTACAGGTTGAGATCGTAGCGGGGGAGTGCGTTTTGGGTTAGACGCAGGCACAGGTCCACTACGACCGGATGTGGCAGCGAATGGCGAATAAGGTGCTTGGGACTGAATGTCGCCCGATATCAGACGTGGTGGGGCTTCCAACCGTGCGACGGATACCGACATTCGCCGGTCAGGATCAGGAGACCGAGACGCAGCGCGATCCTTATCAGTGCCCCAGCTAGGCGGCGAGACTCGTCGGCGCGGCTCGTTGGCAGTGGGGAATCTGTATGACGATGATGGTTCGGAGCCAGATGACATTCCGTTTTGGGGGAACTTGGACCCCTGGGGGTACCCGGCGCTCTGATTGCGTGCCGAGTCTGCGCGCACAGCACGAAGTGCTTCCTCTAAGGAATCCATGCGTTGACGCATACTTTGCATCTCCTCCTGCATCGAACGCGTCCTTTTCTCTACCAAATCCTCGACAACCTGATCCACCTTTTGTAGAGATTGCAAGAGCGCGTTTGATTTTTGCAGCTGCTCTGACAGCCAGTTTTTCATCTGCTTAGAGTCGTTGAGCGCGTCATAGAAGACCTCAAAGGGCGCCAAAAAGGCAGATTTGTCTCCCGAGTAGCCTGGATGTTGGAGGGAGCGTGGTGTAGGTGGTACCAATGAGTTTGCGATTGGTATAGCAGGGGGAGATCTTGTAGACGTGGCGGTGCGGGGTGCAGTGGGACCTATGGTATGCTGCAAGCCGAATCGGGTGGGAGTTGGAGGAACATTGGTGGCGACTCTTCGAGCTGTCTGGTTTCCACTTAGAGCGGTTGGAAGTCTTGGTAAAGCCATGGGGAAGCGACCAAATTCTGGGACTGGAGGAGCGCTTTGTATGACAGGTACGAGTGGATCAGAAGAATGAGGGCCACGAGGGCTGATGACAATATCAGCGGGCTTTCTTTTACGGCCACCGGACTGAGCTGCGCGACGGCGGGCGAAACTGATAGGGGGAGGTGGTAGGGAGTTTGAAGGAGGGCTCTGTTGAGGGGCATCACTAGTGGAGAGTGACTGTTGACTTGGTACGATCATAGGGGGAGGAGTGAGTGGCTGTGAAGCAACAGTCGCACGAGCAGGACCTGTACGGGGAGCCGTATTTGGACTACGTCGACCCAACCTTGGGAGAGTGGAGAGTTTGGATGATTGCAAAGGAGGTTCTGGAGGGGAATAAGTGGCAGAAGAGGATGAAGTACCATTATTAATAGCAGGTGACAACATGGTTGTCGGACCGGGGGGACCAGCGAAACTTCCTCTGCGTTGTTCAATGAGTGATTTCGGTTGCTGTTTGAGGGCCTGAATAGACCTCAACTGTTCCCTGGAAGGATCTTCTGCTGTGGGTATTGTTATGACCACGGGTGTAATTGGAGTAGAATGTGATGTATCAGAGGAAGAGGGAGCAGAGTTGGGTGGTGGTGGGTGGATGGTACCGCTGACTGTGACCCGTCGTTTCTTGGGGGAGGGTGGAGGAATTGGAGGAGGGGATTGAGATTCGATTCTTGGATCATCGAGGTCGTCTTCCTCCTTTATTCGTAGGACTCTTGGTGACTGGCGGCTATCATTATCATTGTGGCTTTGTGAGAAGGGGGGGTTTGTACGAAAATAGGAAAGTTGGGGGAGAGGGGACTTACCCAGAGTCAGAGTTGCTGTCTGCACGAGCGATGACCTCTTCTCTTGAACGCTTTCTAGAGTTTCTTAGTTGGTCTACGCTAGGTTGTCGTGATGAAAGAGGAGGTGAAATTGTTTGATTTGTTCGTTGAATTGGGGGTAACGCGTTATTTGAGCTTGGGATTGAACTGAGAGAAGAAGTGGAGAATGCTTGTGCAAAGGATGGTAGGGACTGTGGAGGATGATTGAGAGACATGATGATTGTTGTGGGTTAGGATGGATTTGAACGGAACCGAATGAGAAATCGAAATAGAGTATGAATTGGAAAACGGGATGGATGGATATGAACCAAAAATGAAATTTGGAGGGTTGGCGTTACTTCGAAGCTTCGAACGGAAAACTGTCGCGTAATCAATCAAATCAATGGGATACATCAAGGATACATATAATCTATCCACCGTGCACAGCAACCAAAACACAGTCTGCACACTGCCATCTCATGTCTCACACTAAAGCTGCGGATCCCCCCCTCCCCGGCCTTCTAGCGCTCATATCTTATTGGTGGACTTCTCCTTCGCAACCGATATACGCATCTCTGTGAGGGCGTAGACAGCCTCATTGCACACATTCAAGGGAAAATCACAATGCGAGATATCTGAACGTAACACTCGTGGGTGCTCACTCTCTTCTAAAAACAGCGTATAGAAGCTTGCAAGGCATATTTATCGTAACCGACTTCATTTAGCTCATCCAAGGGAAATGTCATTCATCCGAAATTCAATCTCACTTTTTGACTCCTTATCGCCTGAGGCAACCACTGGGGCTTCCCTCAGAGAATCTTCTGACGAACCCCTTCAAATTCAAATTCATTCTCTTTCTCATCAGAGCTCCCTGTAACCACACGCACCCCCATCATCCATCATCCTAACGCGAGGCGTTGCATTAATCCCCATAAATGGGTACCCGCGACGCTCTACTACAACAAAGGTCAACCCCACTCATATCATACGTCAACACCGCGAACATCTAGAACCCTATCTAATACTCTCACCCTTTCGTCCGCTTCTTCCTAGCCGTCAGCACCGTGATTATTGGACCTCTGCCGTCACCAGCGCCTCCAACTTCGCCGCCATCCTTCTCCGGCGGTGGCGGATTTTTCACCATAATCGAACCAAATATGTACGAGTTGTATGTTTCCAGAGAAGCAACAGGCTCCGGAAATGGATTCGGAGAAATGTCAACCATTGCTCTCTTCCCCAGTCGAGGAGGAGGCGTCTGTGGAGGTGCTAGAGTGCTCCGACGGGGCTCTGGCTCGGGCGTCTGTCGGCCCGATCTCTCTCCTACCAAAATAGGACTCGACTTGAGACCGTCGCACAACCCTCGTATGGAATCTTCAATCACTTTTGTCGACCACACCGCCTTTTCCACAGATGGAAATTCATGAGCAGTCAAAAGTGACGTCAACACCCGTTTGTTCATCTGCGCTGAAACCTGCCCAGCCTGCGGCGCAAGCGGTGAAACTTCACTCATCGCCAGAGAGGTCGAAGAAGGCGCAGTCGCAGAAACACCAATCACGAAAAACCCGGTCACCGCCCCTGCAATACATTCCTGCCGGAACGACATCCGCTCCCAGAATTCTTCCACAGACACCTTCTTGACTTCTTTATGCGTCTGGTCCTCTTTCTTACTCCGACCTTCCTTCTTTTCTGAAGCGTCGGCTGGTTCTTCTTCGCGCGTGTTTAAAGTGTCCGCTCGCGCGCGTTTTCGCTCGGGGGACTTGATTCCATCCGCATCCGTCGTGTACGCGATCTCGTCGATGAAGCGGGATTTGGGGTCATCATCAAATGACGGTATGCATTGTCCAAGATGACGCGAATCACCAACAGAAGGACAGGGGAGCGGAATCTCGTTCTGGGAGTAGGGATGTCCGTATGTCCAATTGCATGGAGAACCTGTCGATGGGTATACCCTCTCTAGCGAGTGAGAAGCTTCAAACTCGCTGAGTCCGGGTAGAGTGTAATATAGTTTTGTGCGGCAGGTATCGCCCGCTCGGGACGCTAGCAAGCTTATGACGGTGCTGAATTGACGTTTCCACCAAGCGCAGAGTTTGATGTCGCTTAGGGGATGTTTGCGAGGGTATTCTGAAGAGTTGGGGAATAGATATTGGTTTTGGGCTCTTGCGAATACGTGAATCCATAGATGGTCAGCGGAGATGGGACGCGTGGCAGGGTCTGCGTAGAAGAGCAGGAGTGCGCGCACGAGTGCTGGAGTGGGAGATGGTGCGGTTGCTTGACCTGTAGAGTCAACTTTCGATACGTACAAGATCGCACAGGACGTCGTTGGGATGTTGTACACGCATGCTTCGATTGCAGAGACGAAAACGCAGGGAGAGTCTGGTGTGGTTTGTTCGGAAAGCAGAATCAAGATGTCCTGCAAGTATGACCTTGGTCGGGGATTTCCAAATGGGAAAAGGTTTCCGTGCTTTCTGGGTGACGAGACCAAGACGTGAAGATGGAACTCACGGGTGCCTGGTAGGCTGGAGAGACCTGCTAGGAGTGCATCCCGCAAAGCCATGGCTGCGAAACGTGGGAATATGGGATTTCTGCTCAGCGGCACAAGGGGGACGAGAACCCGAATAGCCGATCAAAGTCTGGTGAGGCAGTAAAGGCGTCAAGGTTAGGCGTTGCAACTTGCACCGAACCAAGGAGCACTCGGGGAGAGTTTCGGGGCTATGGCGCTGTTACACCGTCCTGTGTAACGGAGAAGCTTCACACTGCCATGTAATCACACGCGCCTCCCGGATGTGATCACCGACCCCACTCAACCGCCACTGATGCTATCACATAGGATTTCAAGCTAGATCAATCACAGATTGTAGACTATGCTATGCTCGTTCGCTCCCGAGAGCGTATAGAGGAACAAAAGGAAAGAGGATGTTGTAGTCGTCCTTATGGGGACAATGTACGATATTAGGTTCCAAGAAGGAGTGTATGATACAGGAAAGTCATCATGATCAAAGGCTAGAATCATGCCACATATGCAAATGTATCTCTGGTGCCGTCCACGCGCTCAATGTACTCCTTCTCCAAGAGTGTGTCGATTGCCTAAAAAACGCAGTCAAGTCGACATTCCAGGAAAGAAACAAGCGGCTCTACCTTCTTGATATCGGGAATCTTGGGTGCGAATCGTTGCGAAATCTGAGAAATCACCTCTTGAATCAGAGGCTGGTTCTTCATCGTCTTGCGCGCCTTCATGATTCGAACAATGGTGGCCTGGATCACATATTTACGGTCTTCATCCACGGTCTTGAGAACCTCGGAGGACTCGGCCTTTACCTCAGCCTTGATTGGCTGATTCAAGTTGACACGGATTTTCTTAGACCTGAAATCTAACAAAAACGTATTAGTCCCACGGAAAATGCGAAACAAGTAACCATACTCGGGTTCAAATCATATTGATCGGTTTCTTCGTTGATCAGAACCTTGGCCTTCACCAAAAGCGTGAGCACCTGAGACAAGATGTCCTTGCTGATAGCCGTAGCGGTGATCAACTCCTCCAGCGATAACGTGTCGTGTTTGTTGTACTGCAGGAGCACCGCCATTTGATACGAACTAGTCATCAAGATGTACTTCTGATTGAGGTAGTTCGTCCTGAGTTCGTTCTTCGAGTAATTCCACAACCAGGTCAGTTTGCGGCCAGAGTGCTTCGTCTGGTAGTACTTGGAGAAGCGGTCGTATGTAGCAAGAATTTCGGGGGGGATGATGAAGTCGTTGTTGGGTGCGCTGAGCGGCCAGAAGTTCGTGCCGAGAACCATGATGGAGAAGTTGATGTCCATGTCCTCATGGTTCTGCATACGCTCCTTGAACTGATCAGTGAGGTCTTTACTGAGACTCATGTCTACGGGAAGTAAGTAAGCGACCGAAAGGTGATGGATGGAGCATGGAATGCACCTGTGAACATTCTCTGCAACTTGTTGGTGTACTCGAAACCACAAGCCTCCTTCAGCTTGGAGATCATACTCGCCTCGCTCTCGTCCGATGCCGATACGCCGTGAATGAGGCGCTTAGACAGTTTCGTAGCGTAGAACGTCTGGAAGACGTCCTTGTCCTCGATGTACTTGAAAAGTACCATCTACGCACGCAAATGAGAAATCAGCGCAGAGCCATCGAGCGAGGTACTCACAACGCGGTTCAGGGCACCTTCAAGGTCCTCCTCCTCAGCCATCTTGTTGTTTTTGCGCAGCAACATATCCGCGTGCTTGGCGAGCAATTCTGGTGACTTTGTTGTCGATGAACCTGTTGCAGCGTTGCGGTTGACGAACTCTCTGCATGCCTTATCGAGCGACGCAACGAAGCCAGCCTCTCCTCTAAAGCTCCTCGTAACGGTTTCTGAGTTCTTGCGATGAACCTCAAGCAATGCGTCGACGTATGCTTTGGGATCCAATGAATCTGCACCCTCTGATCCTTCGCCCAACAGTTTTGCAACAGCAGCCAGACCGGCCTTCTTCACATGTTCCTCAAATTTCTTTCTCAAAGGCTCCAGGCCTTCGGGTATGCGCGATAACAATGCGTACATCCTCTGCAGGTCTTCGTCTTTGTCAAAATCGAGCAAGCTTTGGAAGCTCTCCCACATAAGGTCAGAGTGTTGTCGGATCAGCACATGCTCGCATTTGCTGACGAGCTGCTTCCGTGTATCAGTGTTTAGGTATCGGTCCACGCGGTCCTCTTCCTCCTTCAGGCGCTCTTCGGCCTTTTTCAGATAGTCAGATACACTGCTTTCTGCGAGGAATGCCTCGGACTCCTGCTCGTAATACTTCTCCGTTGCGTCAAGGAACGGCGTCTCCAGATGCTCCCTGTAGACATCAAGGGACGCTTTGTTGATGTCCGACTCATCAAGACCCAGCGAAACGAATGAGTCGACCACTTTTTTCACAAGACCTTGATCGATCGTCTCGCCATTTCTTTGGCGCTCGATCAATCTGAGGATGGCACCAGCGAGCTTTGTATGTTTGCTCTGGACGTGGAGGAAGAAATTCGATTTCCACTGCACGAGCGCGAGCTGTGAGAGGCGATCAGTGTATGGCGATCAGCATGACAGCGTGGAGAAAAGGGGTGACGCACCGTGTATACAGGATATACGCCTTTCCGACCTTCGTCCCGTTCTCGCTTTACCCAGTGGCGATTGAGGTAAGTGAACAATCGATTGATGTAGTTGGCACCTGTAGTGTATCTGTCCCATTCACTGGCGTAGTACCGTAGGAGAGCTTCATCTTGGAGGCTATCGGATTGCTGCAGAACGGGTAATGAGAATGATGTCTGATCGCTCGTGAGATCAGAAAAGGGAGTCAACGTACATCCTTGAGGAGCTTGAGATGGGTGATAAAATATCGTATGAGGTTGTTGTACAAATCCGAGCCCATTAGATTAGCCCCTGCTGCTGAGGAGTCAGACTGCGGCCTTATCACCACAGGAATGTCATCACTGTCAATGACACTTACTTCGGCTGCCCTGCCCAACAGAATCAGAAGTGGTACTATGCATGCGCGAGGACGTGCAGTAGTTGTATGCCACTGTGTAGAGGCTCATGTACTTGGAGTAGGAGACGCCAGTCTGGAGCTTGGTCATGATGTGGTCTACTCCCTCCTCAAGGAAAGCCCATGTTGTCGCAAGATCTGCAGTAGAAGGTGGCATTGGATGAGAAACATTGGCGGGGGCGGTTGTTGTTGTTGTTGAAGATGACATGATGATGGTCGTTTGTGGAGGACCACTCGTGAGTACTGCTGGCAAGTTAGGCGCGGCGGTCACGGTGGCGCTGCCTCGCCGCGTGCTTTGCAAATCCATTGTTTGCAACAACCCATCACAAAGCAAGGTAAGACAATTGCAAAGCCATCATGCGGTATGTACGACAATGAAAATCATGCTATCGCTAAATCTTCACTCCTGTGTGTATCGAGGCAATGCCTCCCCAAAGATCTGTCCATGCACCACCATCAAAATCACCTCCTGTGGAGAAACCTGCGTCTCTGATCATCTGCGCAAACTCGGGCTGGCTTGGGAATTTGCGAATAGATTCTACCAAATACTGGTATGAATCGCGGTCGCCAGCTAGGATGGTTCCAAGCAGCGGGATGACTGTGAATGAGTACTGATCGTACAGACTACAGACTAACTTAGAATGAGATAGCAATAAAATGTATTTCACTTACGTGCTCAGGAGCGGGTTATTTACTTTGCTGAATTCAAGACACGCAAAGGTAGCGCCAGGCTTGAGAACCCGGTAAGCCTCGCTTAGCACGGCAGGGATGGACGTGCAGTTGCGGATACCGAATGTGATCGTGTACAGGTCGTACGAATCATTCTTGAACTGAGAAGCAGGTAGTTCCTGTGCGTTTGCTTCATGGAACGAAACCTGAGGTGCTGACAGATGTTATGAAGTAGAGTACATGACAAGCACCGTATAGCTCACTATTGTGGTACATTGTCTTTTTGAACCTCGTGAAACCCTCCTTGAGCATCTGCGCGTTGATGTCCACGATCTCCACGGTCGTCTCCCTGTCTGCATATTTCTCCCTCGCATGATCGAGAATACGAAGAGCAATGTCGCCTGTTCCACCTGCAACGTCTATACACCGGAGGGGACCTTTGCGACCCGGTTTGAGCGTATCTACAAAAGAGTCCTTCCAGAGCCTGTGCACGCCAAGGGAGCTTGCGTCGTTCATCAAGTCATATTTTGACGCGACAGAGTCGAAAACATCCTTCACAAGTGATTCCTTCGACTCCTCTGGAACTGTCCTGAAGCCAAACGAAGCCGTACGACCAGAAGGGTTTGATGAGCGAAGGATCGAGTGGTTATGAATTTGGCGGCATGCTGACAGCTTGCGAGGTATTGACCTTGTTGCCTGCATAACTCGAATGAACTTTTGGAGAGGACAGCGGTCCAGTATAGTGATGGGAATATTATGTAAGCGTCAATGTTTTGCTTGACCTGCTGCTGCTGCAGCTAACCTGACTGAACACTCAAATGCTGAAGCCACGGTTATCTCTTTGGTTGACCCGCAGCTATGCAACTCGCATTGCAGAAAAGCCTCCTGCGCGGTTTCCAGATCCATTGCTGAACCAGCCAAACACTTTTGTCAAAACACTCAAGGACGAGAACTTGACTTTCATTCACCGACCTCCCCCAACAGCACCTTCACCTTATTCAACAACGTTAGCTCCTGCTTCACCTTTGCTCAAGTCTCCGACATCATTCAACAAAAATGCACCCATGCCACCTTTGTTGCGGCCTTCGGCTTACAAAGTTGCACCATCACGAATGTCTGATAAAGACATGGAGCAGCTACGAAAGCTGAGGTTGTCTAATCCCGAAAAATACAGCCGTGCTAAACTTGCCAAATTGTTCAAATGCACGCCAAATTTTGTGTCGAAAGTTGCTGCCCTTCCGAGAGCTCAACGGAAGGAGTTCTCAAGGAAGATGGAGGCGGAGCACGAGACTATTAGGGAACAGTGGGGAGAGAAGAAGGCCACTTTTGTTGCTATCAAGCAGAAAAGGCGTGAATTCTGGTGATCTGGACTTGTTAGGTCCGTATCCAAGGCCCTTCAATGATTTATGCATGACTGACTAGGAGGTCTAGACATGGGACCTGGCTGCTATGTTTTACCGATGAATTGATGATGATAATCTGACTCGTGTGACGCCCGACTACAACCCGTTCCGTAGTCTTCCGTCCATTCCGACTCTTCTCGCGCCCATTTCTATATTGGGAAACCATCGTTCCACTTCTCCCCTGGACTATGAGCCGATTTTCATACCAACGAACTAGCAGAAATACTCTGGCTGGTCCAATAACATTAATTTGCTTGATCCTACCCTACCCTGATGTGAAAATTTTTGCCGAGGTACAAATCTAATCAAGTCCCTTTTTATAGCCTCAAGCCGTGGATTTACTGGATTCTGGATTCGTGAACTTCCTCCTCTCCTCGTACCACCTTGTACCGAGAACTTTGTTTCAAATCTGAATGCTTTATCGTGCCACTTGCTCTTCCTATAAAGCTACACTGGCTTCTGCATTCAATCGTCCAACACGTTCCCTCGCATCTAACTTCCATACCATGTCACCGACTCGCTTTCCTCCCCATTTTGCCAACACTGACCACCGTCAGCGCTCTCTCAATCAAATGCGCTCCAAACAGCTTGGTCTTGAGAAATACATCTATCTGAATGGCCTCAAAGGCCGTGATTCTGATCTCTTCTATGACATTTTGCTTGAGAACATGCAAGTAAGCTGCCCTCATCGTCTCGTGTAAAACCGGGACTGAGGTATTTTCAATTGCTCAGGAAATGATTCCCATATTATATACACCAACTGTAAGGTGTTCCACCAGGTCGTGTGACCATACTTAAGGAACCCTTTTCAAAGGTTGGAGAGGCTTGTGTCAACTACTCCCATATTTGGAGGCGACCTGAGGGTCTATATGTCTCCATCGAAGACAAAGGTCGCATTCGTGACGTTTTAGCTAGCTGGCCGAGTTTCAACGACGGCCGCATAGCCGTAGTTACTGACGGTGGGCTAGATTGCCGTTGTATATTATGTACATCCCTGACCAAACTATCAGGTTCCCGTATCCTCGGCTTGGGCGATCTCGGGGCAAATGGCTTGCCCATCAGTCTTGGGAAACTGTCAGTGTTTACACTTTTCTAGAAGACCCTTTACCTGAGCACAACTACCCAGGGACCTCTACATCGCTGGAGCCGGCATTAAACCATCATCAACTGTAAGTCCATCCTGTTAGTATCCACCCGCACCCAATTGACCCTGATCAGGTCCCGATTTGCCTGGACTTGGGTACCAATACGCAACGCTACCTCGATGATCCTCTTTACATCGGCGTTCGCCGCCCACGCCCATTGGGTCCAGAAGTGTGTCCCCAGAGACCACGTGCACGCGCATACACTCACGTATATTTCAGATGGACGAATTCATGGACGAGTTCATGGCAGCTATGAAAGAAGTCTTCCCCACCCTACTAGTACAATTCGAAGACTTCTCAACAGACAACGCATTCAAATACCTCGAACGGTACCGTCATCAGTATCGTGTCTTCAACGATGATGTCAGTCAATCACATTTTCGACTCTTACTTTTTTGTACTGACCCCTGTGCAGATTCAAGGCACTGGTTCCGTGATCTTGTCAGGCTTCACAAATGCCGCTCGTTTGTCTTCTGCCGCTTCCGGGCTGCCGCCATCAGATCACAGAATCTTGTTCCTTGGAGCCGGTTCTGCAGGTATCGGCGTTGCCAAGCAGTTGTTGTCCTTCTTTACCTTGTCTGGTCTGAGTCCCGAAGAAGCAAAGTCGCGAATCTACGTGAGCCAAGCCACATTCGAAGGACATGTGAATTTGTCACTCAAAAAGCTTGTTAGACTGTCGATTCAAAAGGTCTTATTACTGCCGACCGCAAAGGTCTCCAAGAACACAAGAAGTGTACGAGGATATGTCTGCGTTGTTTCCTACGTGCTAAACAATTATTACAGTCTTCGCGCGTACCGATTACGATGGTCCTGCGCTCACTGACCTAGTTGATATCATTAACCACGTGAAGCCCACCGCCTTGCTCGGCCTTAGCACCATCAGAGTACGCCTTCCAGTAATACTCTTGTTTTTCATAATCTCACTTCGTTCCAGAATGCATTCACTGAACAAGTCGTCAAAACGATGAGTGCGCTGAACACGCGTCCCATCATCTTCCCCTTGTCAAATCCCGTCGCGCTATGCGAGCTAGACTACCAGGACGCCATCGAATGGTAAGCTAACAGAGCTCTCGCAGCATGGTCGATGTTAATGATCCTCGTTTATAAAGGTCGAATGGACAGGTAATCTTCGCGTCGGGTAGCCCGTACAAGCCCATCTCCCACGGCGGTGTCATGTACGAGCCTGGCCAAGGAAACAACATGTACATCTTCCCCGGTATTGGTCTCGGTTCGATCCTCTCCCGAACTCGGCACGTATCGGATGCCATGGTCGAACAGGCAGCTATCGCACTTGCCAGCTCCTTGACGGAGGAAGAGAAGGCGGCCGAGCTCGTATACCCTCGCCTTGCGCGCATCAGGGATATCAGTGCCCAGGTCGCATTTGCAGTCATCAGACAAGCACAAAAAGAGGTAAGGAGGGAATAGCTTTCATGCTTTTCGTGGAAATCCGATGCTGATCTTTGTACCCTTCCAGAAATTGGATGATAATGCTTATCTCCGCACACTCCCCGATTCCGATCTTTTGGGACTCATTCATGACAAGATGTGGCAGCCACCTGCGCTGCAGTTGCGTTCGTTCACACGGCTCTAATTGGGAGTCGTCAGGGGGATGGAGCTAAGACATGAAGTCTGAAACTGTCAGGACGGACGACGGAGAATGCGGGAGGGCGACGGAATAGTCTCTATTTTGATCTGTTGTCATTGCTTGCATGTTATCGTTGCTTTTCTTGTCCGCCGATGCATCGTACGTTGTCCGCCGAGCAGAATGTATTTTAGGATGTTTCAATAGAAACTAGAAGAAACGCTTGGATGGTGGGGTGGGATAGTGTTATTTGATGACCATTGTGGACATAAACATCTAGATATCTATCTGCTCGTCAAGCGCCAGGCTCATCAACATCAGAAGAAGTTGGAAGAATCCCTTGGATGGCCGGGTAGCATCTTTGAATAATCCTTGTATCAATAAGCATCGCGATATGTATCTGTTCATCATGCATCTATCTGATCATCAAGATGTGCTGGGGCTGCGCCGCCATCTCTTAATCTCCACTGGGCGACGTTGTACCGGTGGTTAACACCTTTGAGTGCAGGCAGACAAGCAGATCCACCGCATCCTCCCGTCTGTGGCATGGGAACAATGTAGAAAACCTCTTTGACGCGAGAATGCAGTAATGCCATGCTGCACATGATGCATGGTTCATGGGTTATAAAAAGGGTCAGCCCAGTGAGGAGATAATTTGTGCCATTGCTCGATATATTTGAGATTCCAAGGCTGCCGTCAGAAGGGGAAGCCACGAGCGTCAGGGGATCGGGTAGAATACCAGCGGGGGACGCCGATGCACGCCAATCGGCGATGTCGCGAATAATGTTCATTGTGGCGTGGCGTAGAGGATGCCCGGCGGATACACGCGTGTCTTTGGCTATAAATGACCGAGGTAATAGAGATAGAGCTTCGTCTTCAAACGGCTTGGGCACGTGTGCGATGACCGGAAGCTGACAGACTTGTGAGCAAGCTTTCTCATTGCGGATTTTACGACCAACCTCGTCACTCGATGTTGTCTGAGCAGTTTCTCGTAAAATATGACTGATGGCATCACGAGCCCATTGAACTTTTGCAACAGACCATTTTTCGGGCTCCCATTTCCGTCGTGGTGCGTATACAGTAGGCCACAACGTATTTTTAAAAACAAGTGACGTTTGTGTTAAAGCAGGATTGCATGGGACAGGGATCTGATAGGGATCTCCAATATCGATATTCTTGGGAAGTAAGGGAACAGAAGGCGAGACAGTGAGAAGGAGGGTGGACAAGTGATCCTTTTTCCGGATGCGTTTGAGGTGCGATAGTGTATCGCTCTCAAGACCTGATTGTTTCAACCATCTAGTGGCTTTAAGTGTTGGTTGACGACATGGGAACAAAGAGATCTCACTTTAACATCGTCGCTATGTGTTTCGAGTCCGGGATGTCAACCGCCCATGCTTGCACTAAACGGCGTGGTGGGTCACGCTCTCAAATTTCGAAAAAGTGGGCTGAACCTACTTGTTCTGATGTCTTCCATGGACTCTTCTTCTTCGTCTATCTGAAGCTTTTTCCAAATGAACGGAAGAGCTTCGCCTTCCAGGATATCGTTCGGGTCGCCAGTGCTCCATGCTTCAGCCTCATCGACTTCGCTATCGATAGCAAGAATATGAAGAAATTCAGACTGGTCATTTTGGTCGAGGGAGACTTGAGGGTCCAAGTTTTCTGCGGTACCCACGGGATCAAACCAGAGCTTATGGCCGTAGAAGATACACAACTCTTCATCGGGGTTGATTGTCCTTGTAGACGTGTACTTGATACACTCATGAGCAGGATCGACTGTGTATGTCACGTTTGGATGGCTCGAATGATTGAAAAGGGAGCCTAAGTAGCACCGTGGCGTCTTTTATTAAGTAAACGATGATGATGTGCAAGTGAGCTCTCACCGAGTCCAAGGGCAAGAGCCATCCGCCCATCTCGCCATTTGAACGTATAGTGATCCAGGATCGTATGTCTTCCATGGTCCTCGTACTCAGTTCTGGTGAAAAGCAGCACAGGGCTAACTTCGATCACAGTCTGCGGTGGTATAATACGAGACGCTGCCAACCACGATTTGTCTTCAATTTTTGTGCTGAGAGATCAGATTTCTCACCATAAACACCTCTTCCTTTGCCTTCTGCAGTCTTTATGCAGCACCCTTCACGGTTCAAGATCCAATCACTCTCGGATGATGAATTTTTCGTAGATAAACCCCCTGAAGCGTCGTCTGTAGTCGTGGCCGTAAATAGAAGAGCAGCCATCTCACGTGCTGAAACTTGATTCTGACACGTCTTCAACGGCGCGTCACCGAGGTGAAAAGCTTCACCAACAAGCTTAGGCACCTCACCTTGAAGCAGGCAAACCATGGCGCCTCCACTATCTCCCAGACCGCTTCCTAGCATTTTGCTCATATCCCTAATACCAGTTGCTTCATGGTTCGTCATTCGTCCATTACTGGACCCTGTCCCTCCATTGCCAGCCCTATGGGCATCTGTTGGATTCTCCATATTTGCGTTCCTTGCAGCACTTTACCTTGTCCCTGCACTTGGTCCAACCTTCGTGAAAGCCAACCTGAAAGGGAAGGACCTCTTGAAAGTCTATTCTGATCCCATGTTCGTGCCACTGGATGAGCGCAAGAATATCAGCTAACGTGCATCTCAAGACCAGAGAGTCAAGGCCTCATCTGCGCGTCAATATATATCTTGCTACTAATCTTGTTTATTCCTTTCCCATTCTCCACTTCCATCGCAAGCCTTTCGGGCGGAGGAAGCAAGATCGAAGGCTTGCTGGGCGCTGCCTCTTTACACCATGAGGTTAGTACTCTTCAATGTTAAACAGAACCTGTGTGTGACGAGCAGTACAGCTATCCGTATATCTGTCATCATTACTGTCGCTCTTAATGGCAACTCTATTGGGGTTCCTCGACGATGTGTTCGACATTCGATGGAGGCATAAACTGCCTATTCCACTCATTGCTGCTATACCGCTCTTGATGGTCTATTATGCGGAAGGCGGGAATACTCATGTAGTTGTACCCATTCCTCTTCGGCCATTCTTCGGCCTTCTTGTTAACTTAGGTTTGTAATTTTCAATGTGTTAACGGCTGTTATATTCTCAACCTACCTCCAGGTCCCTTGTATTATCTATACATGTCACTCCTTTCGACATTCACCACCAACAGCATCAATATTCTCGCTGGAATCAATGGCTCCGAAGTCAGCCAAGCATTAATCATTGCTGTCTCGGTTATTGTCAACGATCTTCTATACCTGCCCTGGCCGTTTGACTTCAGTATACCCTTGCACCTTCTCGGCAATCAAATAGAAGTCGAAGTCGGTGGTGCCTGGCATGCAGGAATGGCCTATGGAAGTAGCGAACTCGTTATGAGGCATCTCTTCAGTCTGTACTTCATGCTTCCTCTCGTCGGTGTATGTCTTGGATTTATGTACCATAACTGGTGAGTTCGAATGATCCAAAGTCCTCGAATTGCTGTTTCTCATTACCCATAGGTATCCTGCGCGTGCATTCCCCGGAGACACGCTCTGCTACGTCACTGGAATGGCCTTCTCCGTGGTCGGAATACAAGCACACTTCTCCAAGACCCTACTCCTGTTCTTTATTCCTCAGATTTTCAACTTTTTGCTTTCATGCCCACAGCTCTTCGGTATCGTGCCGTGTCCCAGGCATCGCGTTCCAAGGTTCTATCATAATCTTTGAGATACAGCCATCATTAACCAACTTTTGATATCCCCCCAGATTCGTTCCTGACACCAATTTGCTGCACCCCTCAAAAACCATATTTGACAAACGGCCTCCTACGAGGCTCGCGTCTCTTGTTCTTCGTGTATTTGCCACACTCGGTCTCACAGAGTTGACTATGGACCCAACAAGCGGAGTTGTCCTTGAAGCCACCAATCTGACTATCCTCAATTTTCTTCTCTTGCGCCTGGGTCCGATGAACGAGAAGAAGCTCGTTCAGGTACTTATGTGTACTCAGGTGTGCAGGTTCAACATATCCTTATTCGTCAACTTACTGAAGGTGGCACCTCCTTCCCGAATCCTTTCCTGACAGGTTGCGGGCAGTGTCTTTGCTTTTACCATACGCTACGGTTTAGCTGGTCTCGTATATGATGGTGACAGGCGGTAATGATGTGCATGCTATTGATAGCAATCTGCCTAGTGATTTAGACGATGCGGTCCTGCCTTTATTGTCGTCGGGCACGACTTATAGCAGGGTGCGTGCCTGCCCCTTGATACGGTGGCTTTGCGGTGACACCCCGAACAGCGCTCACTCGTCGGTGGTCAGTTGACGTGTTGGATGGTGAGGGATCCTGCGGGGTAGATGAGGAGGGACTTAGATCATCACGTTATATATAATGGTATTCCAAACGTTTTACCGTCATCGCATAGGCTCGTTACCTACACTGTTCTGCGGGGGAGAACTGCAACCCTGAAGGACTGAAATTCCATGTCAATGACAATGTTCGGTGTGGGGTTGTGACAGGTGTCAATCAAACATGACCAAATATGTCATTTAAGTTTTTGGCTTGTCTCAGGACTTTATAACGCCCCCGTAGTGAAGTCACCACTAGAGCAACCTTTCTCGTTGACCTCGGCCGAATGTTCTGCTAGTATCTGCTAATTTGGCTCACATGCAAGAACTTTCAGCAGGGTCGCCCCCGCTGAAAGTCCGTATAACGCCGTCTGTGTCCTCCGTGTTTCCGGACATAGAGCGTAATCACGAGCAAACTTGCTCCGTAGCACCTTCCGTGTAGGTCGTAGCAGTGTTTTGACAAGTCCTATTGGTGGAATCACATGTCTCATTCGTACCGCGTCGGTCTTACTGGGTCACCACTAAATAGAATCTTGCCTTTATCTTTTAACAACAGTCCATATCCTATTCCTGCAACCGTCATTCACCCTCCTATACTGCAATGACAATCGCTGAGCGCGCCGCTTTCCAGGCTGAGGTCGCCGAGGTCGAACGCTGGTTTCAGGTGAGCCCCTAAACTGCAAGAAGCGAGTTGCAGTATTGAGAATTGTCGATCACGAAGAGCCCACGCTTCGCTAGAGTGAAGAGGCCATACACCGCCGCTCAGGTCGTCGCGAAGCGGGGTACTATCCCGATCAAGTATCCTTCCGAGATTCAAGGAAAGAAGCTCTTCGCCCTGCTTTCTGAGCACGCCAAGAATGGTACACCGTCGCACACATATGGAGCGTAAGTGACCTCCACACAATACTTCTGTATCAACAGGATTGACGGAAGGCGTATAGTCTAGACCCCGTACAGGTTACCCAAATGGCCAAGTACCTCGAGACGGTATATGTTTCTGGTTGGCAATCCTCCAGCACGGCTTCGTCTACCAACGAACCCGGCCCCGATCTTGCAGGTACGCAATTTCCTTCCGCGATGTCATATTTTCCTTAACTTGCATCCAGATTACCCCTCGAATACAGTTCCCAACAAGGTTGAGCACCTTTTCATGGCACAGCTCTTCCATGATCGTAAGCAACGCGAGGCTCGCTCGAATATGTCCGAGGCAGAGCTTGCTGCGACCCCGTCCATTGACTATCTTCGTCCACTTGTTGCCGATGCCGATACTGGACATGGTGGCCTCACTGCAATTATGAAGCTTACAAAGATGTTCGTCGAAAAGGGTGCAGCTGGTGTTCATGTCGAGGACCAAGCGCCTGGGACGAAGAAGTGCGGACACATGGCGGGCAAGGTTCTTGTGCCTATAGCTGAGCACATCAACCGCCTCGTTGCCATCCGACTTCAATACGACATCATGGGCGTGGAGAACTTGGTCATTGCACGGACCGATTCAGAAGCCGCTACCCTGATTACCTCAAACATTGATGATCGTGACCACCCCTTCATTTTCGGCTCCACAAACCCAGATCTTCCCCCTCTTGTGAATGTTATGACCGACGCCGAGAATGCCGGAAAGTCTGGCGATGATTTACAGGCGGTTGAAGACGCTTGGACTGCATCCGCAAATTTGCAGTTGTTCTCAGAGACATTGGCTAGTGCCTTGGTTGCACAAGGTGCATCGAATGCTACCGTTGATCGATTCATATCCCGTGTGGCGCAATCGTCATTCCCTCAAGCAGTAGTCATTGCACAGAGAGAATTTGGTCTCAAATCTGTACCTTACTGGAACTGGGATACGCCTCGAACCCGGGAAGGGTACTACCGCTACCAAGGTGGCACCCAGTGCGCGATTCGGCGGTCTATTGAGTACGCACCATTCGCCGATGCCCTTTGGATGGAAACAAAGAAACCGATCTTGTCCCAAGCCCGCGAGTTTGCAAACGGGGTCCATGCTGCACGCCCAGGTCACTGGTTGGCGTACAACCTCAGCCCTTCATTCAATTGGGAGGCCGCTGGTTTGAATTCTCAGGATATGAAAGGTTTCGTCTGGGAGCTAGGTAAACTTGGCTTCGTCTGGCAATTTATCACGGTCAGTACCTAGCAAATCATCAAGTAACATCTGAACTGACTGATTTTCCCTGTCAGCTCGGCGGCTTGCACTCCAATGCATACATAAGCGACCTCTTCGCTCGTTCGTATGCGAAGGAAGGTATGAAAGCCTATGTAGAGATTGTCCAGAGCAAAGAGCGGGAGATTGACTGCGATGTCTTGACGCATCAAAAGGTTCGCCACTACTACTTCATGTGAGGGCTATGAAGCTAATGATTTAATAGTGGAGTGGTGCCGATTACGCAGATAATCTCATAAAGACTGTCACTGGTGGCGTATCATCCACCGCAGCGATGGGCAAGGGTGTCACCGAAGACCAATTCAAGGCCAAACTGTGATCACTGCACTCATGGTCATCTTAGAGCACATTTCATTTTCATCGCATTTACAAAATCTACGAATACATCATGATTATCATTTGTCCGGAACCCTTTTGTAGTTTTATCTTTTTTTGCCAGTGACTACAAAGTAATGGTTGGATTATGCATTTCTTATCGGCAGTTGCCGATCACTCTCATATCGTGAAGCTTCCACTTCAATTGAAAGCGAAACCTACGGCGCGTCACTGGGAGAATTGATCATTGCAATGAGTTCTGAAGATCGCGTACAAGTGGCTGCTTCCTTCATCCTTCAGTCGCCTCCAGGAGAGATTAACGACGTCTTGAACGGTGCCTGGCACTTACCATATCTCCTCCTCGCACTGCTAATTTCTATTCCGATCTCGTGCAGATGTTCGCGTCATCGTAGATGATGACGCGGGATTAGAGGAAGGCATTCTTCCTGCCCTTCGAGAATATAATATCGCCCAGTTCACGACGGTCGAGGTGCCAGGCGAACATCATCTGGTGAGTACCTAGCTCAACGTGTCGGGATGCCGTTATTCAACGGATCTTGCTCTAGACAATAGTCAGCGAATTTGCGCGTATACCCGACACCGAAGAAGAACGTTTTCTAGACCCACGATCTAAAACTTCTTTCATTTTCAACCACTTGACTCTAGTGAGTCCTCGCCTTTAGTCACGAGCGGCGGTCACCAATGGTGTTAGTAGGAAGCCACAGACCCTCAGTTAGAGGAGCCTTCGGAGGCTGAGCCTCTACGGTCAGTGAATCAAATGAAATACATTGAGACCCATGGGACCTAACAGAGACCAGCGCGGCGTTGGAATCCGCTGCTTTATCGTACTTGAGCTCACACTACCATGACGGAGTTGCTACTGTCCTCGCCATGTCAACCACTCAATTCGCGGTTCAGATCGTCTCCAATAAATACAACCCATCAAATTACTGGTTCGTTGATTATCGCATGTTGTGTATGTCGAACTCAATCATCTTTGCAGGGCTGGTAGATGGCGCTCGCACTATGAAATTGACTTTGAGAGTAGGATCATACAGGGAAGAGCCCTCGTCAATGTTCACTACTATGAACAAGGCAATGTTAGTCTCGTTGCAATATACAATTTCATCGCTCTGACGTTCAATATAGGTCCAACTCAGTACATCGAATGACTCGTCAATATCAATACCAGCCGCTGTGTCATCACTATCTCCTGCATCATCGGCATCTAAGATATTTGCACTGATCGAGGCTGAAGAGTCGCGATGCCAGACATCCCTGAATGATGCATATCATGAGATGGGAGAGAAGGCGTTCAAAGGGCTGAGGCGCGCCTTGCCCCTGACGCGACAGAAGATAGACTGGGATAAGGTGAGTTCCTTATTATCACAGTCATTGTCCCGGCTTAATTGGTCTAGACTATGGGATACAAATTGGGTGCTGAGCTCACTGCTAGCAATCGTGCCTTTGGCGCCCAACCTCGATAGTGGTCATCAGCAGTTTATTTACGTCGCCCGCTTTCAAGGGATACCTCTTGGTTTTCAGTCATCTGTAGTTGTATTCCGTGGAAATGAAAACCATTTCACTGAAATAACTCGTATATCTAACTTGCAACTTGAGATTGAAATTGTAGTCGCGTGTTCAATATAATATTTGTTCATTGTTTAACAAGTACCATGTCTAAGTCTTGCCACCGCTGTCTCAAGTCCAGTAGCGCACCTTCCAACTTTCTTTTACTGTGCGGAGGCTGCAACAGAGGCTGGCACCATAGTAAGTGATGAGTCGTCTGACGGTAGAACATCTACTAGAAAACATACCCATCGTTCTGTTTGTCCTTAGGATGCCACATCCCTCCCGTTGAAGATGCTGAACTCATTCAGCGCATCCGTTTCCAAAACGCAGGCGATCGTGGCAACGGCCTCGATGGCTGGAGATGCAAACGTTGTAAGAAGAATCAAGCGGCTGAATCTAGCAACAAATCTGCAGTTCAGAAATCGGGTGTCAACCAACGGCCGCTGCCCTCCGCTCCGGCGCAAGCGTCGCAGGAGCTTGCACTTCCGAAGGACAAGATAGAAATCAACGCGAACGTTGCAACTCACAGCGCTAGACCAGCGGAATCTAGCATCAAGCCAACCACCCATGTATTCCATACTGTCGACGTCACACAACACAACGAACACAACAATCAGCGCCAACAACAGCAAGGCAGTCATACAGGTGGTCAGAGGAGAAATTTAGGTGATGTAGAAGTGGGCTCGGCGGTTTGGGGATCTAACCGCCTATGTTTTCCAGATAATAATATACTTCCGACGACTGCAGTTAAAAGGCTCCAAACGAAACGTGCGCTCCAAGAGCAGCGCCTTGACGGTCCCAGAGCGGTCGATGACTATGAGCATAAAATGGAACTTTGTCTAGATGAGCCCGCTGCGCCTCCCAAGTACGCCCGTGCTTCAGATGGAAAGAAGCTCGCCTCGTCCGGGCATCCACCAACAGTGGAGCAGCCTAAAGCTATGAACCTCATAACCCCTTCACATATGCAGAGATTTGAAGCACGAAAAGAACATACGCCGCCCTCTCGCTCTGTTACTTTGTTTAGCGAAAGGGCTACTCACTCTCCATTCACCTCGGGACCTGTTCAAGAAGAACGCATTCATTGTGATTCGGTGGCGAAGAACCCTGACGATGGTAACGTGCGGGAAGTGGGTACTCGCACAGATACCTCTTCGGGATCTCCCGTTGAACATGGCGATATTCGCATGAACAATATCGATGATAACAGTGATAATCTCTGCGGACCTCCTAGTACTTCCACTACCGTTCTATTAGTGGCAGGAGGGAGGGAGCAGCAAGGAGGTTCTGTGATGCAGGATGGTCGTCGGGAGATTCATCAACGAGTTTTGCAATCACATCATGAACCGGAAGGCCAAAGCAGCCTTAAGGTCAGGACCTACGTTTGGAGTACAAACAGTTCATTCCTGACATAATTCAACAGCGAACACCGAAGGTGGAGGCAGGACCATCGTTGGGCCCTGATTGGTTGAAAGCCCGACACTCGGTTGTCGATGATCCATGGCGCTGTCTTTGCGATCGGCAGCCCCGAATGTATGGTGATAGCAGACGCAAGAAACCTAAAGCTAAATTCCTCGATAATCTGGTGCACTCGGTGGCGACAACAGATAGGGAACTACTCGGGTTTCTGTTCTGTTGCGACTGGATCCAACAGACACAAGTCAATATCAATATTGGATAGTCTTGGTTTCCAGATAATCGACACAACATCAGGACTTACTACTGGTGACATGAGTATCTTACTATAACTTCATCTACGTAGTTCTGGTATATAGCTGCACTAATGGTCCATTTTAAATCACTTGGCTACCGCCGTAATATCCCTGTTCAAACGCTGCTGCAAGATGTTGTTTACTTCTTCCCATAACCTGCGGTGATGCCGACCTTCAGGCAACGTGTCCAAAGGGTACTGCCACGCACTGATACTCTTTAAGCGGGGAAATATATTGGACAAGGCACATGCGACATCATGTGGATTTTCCAACCTCGAATCTCCCAAGCTTAGGTGAGTCACTGCCAAATTATGAGCCAGGGTTGTATCCTGCCGTGAGGTGCGCATGGACAGGGATGTTATAGGACAAGGAAGAAATGGATCTAGGGCATTCAAGACCACAGCAATTTGATGGAGCCTCGGGCACAGAGCGCACATCGATTGGAGGCCGCGGACAGTGATCAATGATCTAGGCTCCGTAGAGGGCGGACGCCAGCCTCGCCCCTCATTGAGGTAAAAGACCTCAAGTTCCGGCCAGGAGGTGGCCATTGCCGTAAGATCGGAGTCACCCAGAGAAAATGACAGGCACACGCCCAGATCAAATACTCGGAGTTTGGTGAAAGCGAAAAGTGGCTTGAATACATCCACTGTGATGATCTTCGAGTCGGGAAGAAGCTGGGAGACTCCAAATGTAGTATTTGAAAGGCCGTCGCGGACTTTAATGGAACGCATTGCGCTGCATTCATTGTCGCATTGACTGGAATAAAGTGCGCAAAAACACTCTGTTAAGGAAGCAGTAGTCGGTGGTTCAGAGATGTCGAAGACAGCTGACTGCAAGGGCCTGCATCCAGGCTCCACGAATGATGTGACGATCGGCATACTATATGCACGAAGATGCAGATTGCGTAGATTGCAGAACCATGAGCGACGAGCATGGTCTTTGGCTGCTTCGGAACTGTGAAGCGCTGAGCTTCCGTGGTCGATTGACACCCAGGCAGGGATGCCCAAGCTTAAAGTCACGAGTGACTTGAGTTGAGACAGGTGTAAAAGATCTGCTTCGCTGATGGTCGATGACTTGCATTCCAAGGCGGCGAGGCGAGGTAGCCGACAAATCGTCCGAACGGCAGAGGGACCCTCATCCCCCGATGACGATATGACAGAGTGTTTGCTTATTGACATGCTGTGGAGGTTTGGGCAGAGTTTGGGCAGCAACGGCAGGAAGGGAAAGTCGGGAGGTTTATGGAAAAAGAAATCCAGCTCGAGCGACTCCAGAGTAGGACTCAGGAATAATCGGATATACACATAACGTGATCGATCAGTGTCAGTCCACGACAGCCGACGGAGGTTGGGAAACAACGAGGTCGTGATGCGCATCGTGCTTAATAATTGCAGTCGCTCTGTAAGAGCTAATTGGGAGTATGTATCTCCACATGCTAGAACGGGACATGATAGTTTACGGACACGAGACGCAGCGCGTTGGAAAGACGCGGATGGTCCTGATGTGCACGGGTCCTTGGAGAATTAAGTCAGCTATCACGATGTCTATGATTCGATTATGTTCGCGCACATTTGGTATCCTTGGTTTTACATATTGAAGTACGGGCTTTACGTCTGGCAATTCCGACCATAAGAAGTCCAATGCCAGAGGTGATAGGAAATGACATGTCTGAGCGACAGCGTTGAGCTGGCTGTATGGTGCGTCTGCTTCCCGTAGCGTGGTAAGTATGTTCAGAAGGATTTCGTGAACTAGCAACGCGTGATGCATGGTAGATATGGTAGGGAAAACGTGCAGTCGGACTGTGAAGAACTGAACGCCCGAGAAATATATGTGTGGATCCTATGGTGCTGAACGAGAGCGGAGAATTGACAGATATGATAGATGACAGATCACTACCGATTAATCACCTTATGCAAAGATAGGCGCTTGTTTGTGGAGGCGATGATTCGTTATCGGGGGTGATGAGACTTCAGCGAAACAAAAAGCTTTTGTACCGAGCGGATTCTATGATATACTGTCATTCATGCCAAGATACTGTTCGGCATGGGAAGTCGTGAGAAGTAGAAGGCTGGTTTAGAGCAGTGATGGTTCACTGGCGGAGCTACCGTGGAACTATTGTCTTGCGTCCGAGACGTGCAGGGACATGAATCGTGCGGCAAAGCCAAGAATTCAAAGTTGCCGAGGGCTAGTGCTATCATCCGCTGCATTTCCCTCATCCGAGGGACGTCCGCGAATGACTCCTTATTAATTATTCCGTACAACCTGAGGTAGAAGATCAAATGAGTGCAACGAAACCTTGACCAGCCGGCTGACTTTTAAACACAAGTCTAGAAATGATCATGGCGCTGACCGAAATCCTTTTGTGTTCTCCGTTTACATAGACCAAATATGTCGCACCCTAGCAGGATTTGGCGTGTTTATGACGTGGACATGGAGACATTTGTGTAACAGCGTTGAAATCCCGGCTGTAGCGGGTCAATGGCTTTGCGAAGGCTCTTTTAACACGCGTCGGAACCTGGGATTATGATTCGAGTTCGCTTCCTTAGTACGAGGTCGAGGCCTTGGCCTGATAGCATACAACTAGACGAGAATGACTCACTGCGAATGTTTACCGCCGCCGTAATAAGTGCAATGCAGCGCCATGCTCACATGTGCGGATCATGAACTATTTTTCCCCTGCTTCGGGAAGCGTATCAACGGCACAAATACTAAATCACAAATGGCGGTGATCTGAAAACATTTTTTAAAGAATTTCTAGACCTGGTCTGAAGTCTAGGATGCAACCGAGCAAAGTTTACATACAGCTGCGTGATTTTGCCAAGCTGTGGCCACTGACTCGGATATGTACTGCCTTGTCGTGTAGGGTTGACCCGTACAAAAAGCTGTCGACCAAGCGGTGCATGACAATCAAGGCGGTTTGTGCTACCGAACCCGGTAGATGGACGCATCGCTCAGAAATCTGATCCTATGTTAATATACGTGGTTTAGATGGTAAATCGACCGTTACATCAAAGAAGCTCACTTACCATACAGCACACGGTCGAATCTGATGGGTCTCTATTGCGGAGATACATACTCACCAACTCACTGACTTATGGTAATTTTTGAACAAAGTTGAAAGCCGTAATGAAGCGAAAACCAGCGCGGCACGGAGGCAATAATACTGTGTGTGTTTCGGGTCCCGTTAAGTAAGTAACGTCCTCAGGTGAACATGTAATACTCAGATACGCAGCACAGGAATCATGGACTGGTGAACCAGGATTTCCCTAGAGCGAGCTTCGATGGGTCAATCTAGATTCTAATATACGTCAAGAGCCTATCAGGCGAGGGTTGACAGCGGACTCGCCAAATAATTTTGGGGTATGGGTAACGCGATAAACTGATGGGCCGGCTGGGTTGTAATGATGAGATTGGCAGAGGTTCGGATAGTGACCATAACAAGACCATAAGCTGGTAAACAACAATATTGGTACAACCGCAAATATGTAGTACTGAATTGAACACATATGCGACCCCCTCGTGGTGTCGCCATACGACCCCCCGCCACTCCTTTGCCTTCATGACATGACGATCGTCGACGGAAACAGCGAGAATGATCTTATTCGATTGCTCAACGCCATCCAAGAACTTTCTGAGCAGCTTACACAGAACCGCTCTATATCAATTTCGCTCCATGCCTCAGCAGGTGCTATAAAGGTTTTGCCTCCTTTTTAATAACGTCAGAGAGCCTCGATTGATAGGACCATAGACTCAAGCGGCACATACACAGACGGGGTTTGTCCTTCGCAGGTGGGAGCGTGAATGTTGAGTGGGGTTTGTAGATTGGACTGACCTTGCCGCAGGTTCAATCTCGACAAGGTTCAAGGTGTGTCCTACTCATTCCTGATACAATTTTACTGGACTCCTTCCTTGAACGCAGATGTGTACGACGCAGAACTAGAGCGAATGAATGCCTCTCTTGCGTCTGAGAATCAGACGCTGCAGCACGACAATAAGCAACTCGGTGCGCTCATTCGGGAGTACGAGCAGACACTCGAAAGCGTAATGAGTGCATTCCGCACAAGAGCTGTACGTGTATACATTCACGTCATGGCAGCTGATTGATAACAAAAATGCGTCCTCCTTATTCTTTCCCTCGTCTTGATCCGCCGCCCTGTGTACATACGGCACCCGCGGTAATTAATCTCCAGCGTGACGTCCAAGAACACGAGCTCGCTCTCATTCGCGAGTACGAATCCAAACTTATCGCCAGGGAGTCGGAGGACCTTCTCCGTGCACTGTCGGCTAGCACTGCCCAATCCGCGGCCCTCGGGCGGATATCAAACACACTTCGCCACTTCATGCGCGTATTGAATGGCGAGGATATTGAAGTTGCTGATACTCCTTCGCCTGAGGCAAAGCAAGGTGATGCGGAGGAGTTTGATTTCGAAGAAAAGAAGGATTGGTCTCTTGACAGGGACTGCGAGCTTGCACGGTTGGAACGAGAGAACTCTGTATTGCGGAGAATGCTGGGGATGGAGGTACATGAGGTAGAGGCTGAAACTAAATGGAATGTTACAGATTATGCAGTAGACAACTCGCGCCTGCTCGGATCACGTTCTGGATCAAGCAAGCATCCAGCTCAGCCTTTGCAACCACAAAAGAAAATACTGGGTGGTGCGCCAGGCACAGTGGGACCGTACGGCACGTACAAGAAGGGCAAACCAGGCTGAATAGAGCGTGAGACTCTTCTCTCATTGAACGCATATCTGTTGACCGTTGTTCCTTCAGTCTATTCATTTTCTTCGTTCTATTACTCGTGGATTTTGTACATTTATACCATGGATGCAACGGCAGGATACTCGCAATTCTTCTATGCGTTCCCTTGCAAGATTGTATCGAGCTGGATGTCAACTTCATCAATCATACGAACAATGGGCTGTTTGGAAGCCCATACTTGGCCTCATAAGCGAACCTCACATGGGGATCGGTCTCTTGCTGGGCTCTTCTTAATATTTATTTGACCTTGCTTCGGCTGTGCAGCTCTGAAACAAAAGATAGATTGAATAGGTCATGCCGTGATTACCGAAGTACCTGGAGCAGTGGGGATCACGTGAGTGACACCAATCATTATATCTGGTGGCGTGAGTAGGCTCATCACTACGTCTTTGAGAGAGAAGGATTTTGGCTGCATCACTTGACTTGTCCAATAAGCCAGTCTGTTCTCGAGCTTTCGCGTTGTTGCCACGATACGAATTACCTCTGCAGTAACATCAGGCGGGTGACCTTGCGGTGTGCAGCATCCTCCGCCTCGAGGCTCGAGTCGTAGCCCTTCCATTACGCTCGCTGACGTGATGCTTCAACTCACACACAGATCGTGCTGTGCTGCTCTTGACCGGAGGTTATAATCTGCGTGTCTATAATGAGCTGGTGCTCCTCCATTATCTGCCTCTCTCATGGCAGCTTCTTCCAAACCGACAGCGCAAAATTGGGATCCAAGCCTTCTTGCACATGACGCACTGCTGAGTCACCAGTCTGACCTTAACTCCCCAAAATCTGACGCAAAGTCCACTGCTGAGACTGGAACTGATCTCTACGACCGCAGTCTGACAAGTCGCGAGTGTTCTCTTGTTGGAAGAGTATGCTCTGTTGTCGTCGGTTGTTTGTGCATCATTGCAGGCATTCTCATTATGGTCACTGACAAAGAAGGCAGCGGGATGGGTCATATCACACTGATATCAAGCAGCAGTCTACAAAAAGAGACTCTAGTCCTAGTGTTGGACTTAATCGCCATACTGTGTACCGAATCTACAGGGTTCGTACATGGCATCATCGCGATCTGCGCTAGCCTCAGAGCCTCGGCTCCATTTCAACTCTAATCTGCATCTTCTACCACAGCTCGTGGATGAAGCAACCTGAACAGTGCCCTGCTTAACGGTATCATGGCCGTCCTCCTAATTATATCCCACAGCTCAGCCTCGCACATCATATTATCTTCCGATACGATCATGCTGACGATTTCAGGTCAGATTCCCCATACTTTCATCATATTAGGTCGGGCTATTGGGTTTCGCACTCTTTCTCCACATGGTCAGGTATATACGGGTTGTCAAAATATTGACATGGAGCTCCTCATCTTTTGGCTTCGCAGTTGCTCGTCACGCCTTCCACATTACTCCCTCCTCTCTTCAATTTGATGGAAGTGTGACGTTTTCAACAAGTACTAACATCTCAATGACTTCGAGCCAGCTGTCCGCTAATAATGGAGAGCCTACAGAATAAAAATCAGTATCATCATCAGGCTTATTTGGAAAGCCTAAATTCATCATCTGAGCCAAATGAATTCTGTCCCTATTGACCCACATTTTGATCAGCTCTTTAAATTCGACGACTCTGTCCGCCGTGGCCTGGCCATGCACCATGCATACCTGCAGAGGGTTGTCAGCATAAAAGTTCATTCAGTAAGATCAGAATCGATTAGTGAAATATGATTCAAGGATGTACAGCGAATAACATCTCGCTGAGGAAGGAAGCATAGAATGTGAGACAGCACTCTGGACTCTGCTTTGGGCTTCATATTTTTCGCATCCGCTTGGTCCCCCATGAAAGTTGACATGAAGCATCTATTCGGAACTGGTCAATCACACAACATACAAGGAATGTATTATTTCCTTGCGTCGATATGTCTTGTGACGTTGAAGCTTTCTCACTGACGTCTGCTTTTTGAACCCCGTGGTGGTCGGACTTCAAAATCAAAAAGTTGAAGGACTGGTGAATTAGTCATCGACCAATCTTTCACCGTCGCCCTCAACATCGACGATGAGCTCGTTCATTCGCCCTCCTCCGGGTTTGCCGCCCCCACCCCCAGGCATGCCTCCACCGCCAGGATTTCCACAGGCGTCTACCTCAAAGATGCCACCTGAAATCCTTGCACAAAAGTCGCAGAAATGGGTTTCTATGCAGAAGAAGCGCTACGGCGAGAAACGC